AGTTCCTGCGGGCAGGACCATCTTCGCGCCACAAATTGCGTAACCAGGCTCTAGCTTCCCCATGCAAATGGGATACAATAAAGCCTACTTTCTCCTCCTCATCTTTGAAGTCTTTCCGAAGCAAGTGCAGCGCGTATACGACGTCTGCTCTGAAACTGGGATAATGCTTCAGGTTCCCATCGAAGTGGGCTACTAAATTGCCCCCCCTCCGTCCAAGTCCGATTCCCTCTGATCTGGACCCCGGGAACCCCTCCTTGCACGCATGGTCCCACCTGGCTTGCAGATCCTGGGATTGCGCTTCTGCTTCGGCAACTGTCTTCTGGGAGACCACTACCGCAGCGGAGAGCTCGGCGACTGCGTTTTGCAGGGACGCTATCTGCTCCTCAGTAGTCATGTCTGCCAAACTTCGTGAGCTTTGCAAAAAAAAAATTTGCGGTTTCTGGAGAGGGGACTTACTGTCAGGGCTTCCTCAGGTCTCAGCTCACAAAAGACCAACGCCAATCTCTTCTTATATACAAAAGTGTTTATTGGAGTTCATTGTTTGCTTCACATCCGAGGCGCGCAGCCCCACGTCTGTTACACTTAGACCGTTGAAGTCCCCTCTGAGTCAGTCCCTCCCCTGCACCAGTTTAAGAGGCTTGCTCTGCTCCACCTCTTTCTCTCTTTCCTTTTCCGCAGGGTCTTCCTGCCCCCTGGGGTTTCGCCCCTCCTGGATTCCCCTGACGCGGAATCCCCAGCTTGCTCTTCCCCCCTCCTGCGGGCTTTGGGACCTGGCCCCTCCTCCGGGCTCACTGTACTTCCGCGCGCCTTCACATTTGAACTTGGCGCGTGCGCCCAACCTCTAACCTTCCTTTTGACAGCTACACTACTCCCTTCACTACTCCCCTCCCCTTCCGGGAGGGTGGCTTGCTCCGACCTCCCTCCCTTCTCTGCTGCCGGAGCTGCTTCCCCTGATACACTGGAACCTCCACCCCCTTCGCTGCACTCTGGCAGGGAGGCTGGTCCTGACGCCCAGCTGCCACTTTGGGATCCCCCGCTGGCCCCCTGCTCCTGACACGTTCCCCCTGGGGCTCCCCTGGCCTTGACCACCGGTGCCCCCTTCTGGGAATCCTCTGATTTGCTGGAAAGACTCATGGAATCTCTTGAGTCATTGTCATCCTCTTCCTCGCTGCCCTGGGATTCATCCCCATCGCTCTCCATCTCCTGCCTATCCTGTGCCTCTGTCCCTGAACCCCTGACACCAACGAACTCACACGGGGGCGAAACCATTTGAATGTGTGGATTGTGGAAAGAGCTTCAGTCAAAGTGGGGCACTTAGAAGACATCAACGAACTCACACAGGGGAGAAACCATTTAAATGTATTGAATGTGGAAAGAGCTTTAGTTATAGTGGATCACTTAGAATACACCAACGAACTCACACAGGGGAAAAACCACAGATACTTTAATAAACTTTAATAAACCGCATAGGTGTTTTTTACCTTTCCTTCTATGCTTCCTTGCAATACTGATAAAATCTAACCACCCCAATGCTTTCAGCCCCAGAAGAGGAGCTCCCCTTGGTGTCAGGGGAAGGGTCCAAGGGAGCATCTGGAGCCCTGCCATTCCTTCTGTCCCTGGCCCCTTCCCCTCCTCTCTCTGCCATCCCTGGGCCACTCCTTACTCTATAGCAGGAGACTGGATCTGTCTGTGATGGTGAGATGTCCTGGCCGGTTGAAGGACCACTTCCTGTTTTCTGCAGCTCTATCCTGCCTTCTCATGGAAGCTGGAGTCATGAAGCAGGGGAAGACTGAGCACACCTAAGGGTGGCGCGGGGGGTGGGTGGTATTCTACTTAACCTTTCCCTGTCTGCTCCTTTTCTGGATCCAAATCCCCACACAAAAAGAGGCAGTGTGAGGGCACAATCAGTGTTATGGAGCTGCACCGAAAATCATTGCTTTGTGACCGTAAGAGGCCCTTCTCAAAAAAAGAAGCATCAAGAGAATTTAAGCTACACAATTTAAAACAAACAGATAATTACAAAAAAAGAAAGCAGTCTGGTGCCACATTGCGTAGGAGTTAGTTTACACACTCTTCCTGGGGCTGCCTTTGAAAAGAGCTCAGAAACTTCAATGGCTCAAAGAGCTGCAGACACATTACTGACCAGGGCTGGCTATAGGCAGCATAGGACTCCTATATGAGAACAGCTCCGTCTGCCTAATTGTCTGTTCCTGGACACAATCAATGTTTCCACTAGAAGAGGAAGATAGATTTGGAGTGCCGCATTTTCAAAAAAGATGGACACACGACAAATTATTTGTGGAGCTGAAGGGCATGCCCATGTGCCTCATTTGTGGTGAGGCCCTCTCCGTCCTGCAGAAGGCCCACCTGCAGAGGCATCACAGGACAAAAGCACATCCAGTACGAGGAGTTCCAAGGGCAGCTGCACCAGGAGAAGGTGAAGGCGCTGAAAACGGACCTGTTGGGTAACCTGTGGCCCCTCCAGATGATGTCAAATTGCAACTCACGTCTTCTTCAAATTGCAACTCACGTCCTCAAAATGGTTCAGCCTCCACCATCTTTACTGCAGTCAACTGAAGGCAACCAACTGTGCCCTGGGCCCCACGATCTTTTTCACTGCCAATGAAAACTAATAAATGAATAGGAAGAGACGCTACCCATGTCACACTGACATAAACACCTTGCGTATGAACTTCGTAAAATAATGAAAGTGTACTACCCCTCCCCCGCTCGCTCTCCCCGCCTCTCAATTCCCCAGCCTTACACTGTATACAACATTAAAGTCTGTCTGTCTGTGAATTTTTATGATATCCAAAGTAACAGAGTAGCTTATAGTTAGGAAGCAAAATAGCTATTCTAGTTGATAGTTCCTTTTTACAGACTATACAGCGGCCAGACTCTTGCTATTCAAAAGAACTTTACTTTCATAATCATATAACTGAGGAGAATAGAAGAGGAGTCTGTAACCTGAAGTGTATGTAACCTGAGGTACCACTGTACAATATTCTGCTTATTCAAACACGGGCACGTTCTCCCTTGAATTCTCTTATAGTTTATTATGAAACGTTTTTCTTTCACATGAGCAGTATTGTCTCTGTTTCTGCACAGGTTTCTGCTTATTAACATTTAGTGGCCGCCAGGACCACATAACACCGGTCCTGAGAGATCTGCATTGGCTCCCAGTACGTTTCTGAGCACAATTCAAAGTGTTGGTGCTGACATTTAAAGCCTTAAACGGCCTTGGTCCTGTATACCTGAAGGAGCATCTCCACCCCCATCGTTCAGCCCAGACACTGAGATCCAGCGCCGAGGGCCTTCTGGCGGTTCCCTCATTGCGAGAAGTGAGGTTACAGGGAACCAGACAGGGGGCCTTCTCTGTAGTGGCGCCCACCCTGTGAAACACCCTCCCTTCAGATGTGAAGGAAATAAGCAGCTATCCTATGTTTAAAAGACATCTGAAGGCATCCCTGTTTAGGGAAGTTTTTAATATTTAATGCTGTACTGTTTTTAACACTTGATTGGGAGCCACCCAGAGTGGCTGGGGAAACTCAGCTAGATGGGCGGGGTATAAATAATAAATTATTTTTATTATTATTATTATTATTATTATTATTATTTAGTGATCTTTCTCTGTTTCACTTCAGATAATTCAGTGGGGCCTCTTCTCAGTTCATTCTCTTCTGGATCAGCGCCTTAATCCTTTGAAGATTTTGTATATCACAGAATAGTCATTGAAATGTCCCCAGATGTTGTTGTCCAGTTCCCATCACCTTCAGCCAGCAGGGATGACAGTAAAGGATTATAGGAACTCTAATCTGGACCTCACTACCTTGGCTCTGCTGCCCTATATCCTTCCCATTGAAACAAATGTGAGAATAAATTTTGGACGCTATAGATTTATCCTGGTCTGGTGCATGCAATGTCTTTTGTTTTGCAGCTGTGTGATTTGTGCTCATATTGTATTGTGGTGGCCATTGGCTATAAACAATAAAATTTATAGATACAGTAGATTGAACTGCAAAAATAAGTAATAAAATAAGAAAATGATTTTATTTTTTTGGTCCTCACTCCAAAATGGTGTGTGTGAGTCTCCTGGTGTTTTTGGTTATATTGGGGGTGGGGTGGGGTGGGGGGTGGAGAAGTATAAGGCCAAAACCACTCCCCTCCTCTGCTAAATGGATGCAGGAGACCAGAGGCAGCGAATGAAAAAGCAGGGAAAGAGAAACCCTCCAAGTGCCACTGTTTAGAATTAGAGAGGCCGTCCTGGTTTCTGATTTGATCCCAGAATATTCCGCTTTTCCTTAGGGTGTCCCTATTTTCATTGAAGAAATGTTGGAGGGAATGGAGTTATCCAACCCCTGGCCCTCTGAAGGCAATCCTGTATAGGAAAGTTTTTTAATGTTTAATGTTTTATTATGTTTTTTATATAAGTTGGAAACTTCCCAGAGTGGCTGGGGCAGCGTAATAAGATGTGCGGTGTATAAATAGTAAAATGTCCCTATTTTCATCAGAGAAATGTTGGAGGGTTTGGAAAGGTCGGTTGCTGGAGCTAAGTGATTGCATGATCCCAACCAGCAGAGCTGGGAACTGGACTGCCTCCTCCAGCTACCCATTCGGGCTGCAGGCATAGCTGTCAATCTTCCCTTTTTTTGCGGGAAATTCCCTTATTCCAGTGCCATTTCCCGCTGCTATCCCGGAATGTTAGATATCCTGTAGACTGTCCCCGGGGCAGGTGAGGCTGCTGATCCCTTATTTTCAAATCTGAAAATTGACAGCTATGGCTGCAGGGTGGCATCGTCCCAGCTTTCTGAAAATATTTGCTGATAAGGAAACCAGTGACTGCACATCGGATCACAAGGAGACTTATTTGTCCAACATTCTGGATATCTTATAAGATGCCAGGTAGATTCCAATGATACAATAAATTTTGAGGGACCGCGCAAGGGGGCGCATCCAGCCTCGCAGCCTCCCAGGGCCCAACCCACAGCCAGCGAGCTCCGATGCCCAGAGAGGCAGGAAACGGGGCCAGCCAGGGGGACTCGGGAGCGGCTGCACTTTCCTGTCCCCCGCCGAGGAGAGCGGAGGAGCAGCGGCCCGTGGCCTGGCGAGTTTCCCCGGAGAGGAGCCGGATTCCGGTGCAGGGACGGAGCGAGGAGTCCGAGGTGCAGGAGGGCGGAGCAAGAGGGGGAGGAGGAGAGCAGGTGCGCCTCGCCTGGCAGAATCAGGCCCCGAGTCCAGCCAGAGGCTGCAGGGCGCCCCCCAACCGGACAGGAAGGGGAAGGGGCGCAGCTGAGGGGCAGGGCATCTGCAGGAGGGCACAGGGGCAAACATCTCTGGCTCAGGCTGGCACGGACCCTGCCGGAGCCCTGGGGAGCTGCTCCCTTCAGTCCTGAGCTCAAGGGGCAGAATGAGGGGTCCAAGGCAGCTGCTGCTTCGCGATGGACGATGCATATAGTCGTCTGATGATCAGCGGCGTACCTGGGGCTTTTGCCGCCCCTCTCCCTGTCCCTCAGCAGGGAGCCCAGCCCATTTCGACGGTCCTCCCCACGGGGGAGAGGGAAGGGGAGGCAGGGGGGAATGGAAGAGCACTGCAGCGGGGGTGGGGGTGGCTCTTACTTTGCAGCCCCCTGACACCCTTTGCAGGCCACTACTCCTGCCCCCCCTTCCTCTTCCAGTGCCATTGAAAAATCTACCGCCCTCCTTCGTGAATTAGTCTGATCGCCTTTGAAAGCTCTCTTTGCCACCACCATCACCGCATCTTCTGGCAATGATGTCCATCCGATTCATTTAGCAAGGAAATGGCTTCTTTTGCCTGCCCCAAATCAAAGTACACTGTGCCTTTATTAGTCAGGGCTAATAAAACAGCTGATAGATCCATTCCCAGGAGAACACGTCTGAACTTTCCCCCAAGCTATCAAAGCTAGTGTGTCTGCGTGTAGATAAGTGAGAGAGCCTTAAAGCATGTTTTGTTAAAGGTTTTATCTCCCACCTTCCCCAGTAATACGGCTGAGTTTTCAGACAAAGAGTTGAAGTGGGTGACGGTTTTGAGAATGCAGAGGAAAGGAGGATTCTTAAGAAGAGTGGCACATGTAAATGAATAAAAACGTTGAAGACAGTATTGTAAAAGACTGAGGAAGGCGAAATTGAAATTAGCTATTCATTTTCAGATTATTACTCATTTCTATACTGCTTCATATTTTTAAGGGAAAAAACAAAGTAATTAGAGAGAAATTTCGTTGCAGTTTATGTCCATAGGATGTTGAGAACATTAACTCTGTAGATCCAGGAGTTCTCTCCTCCTGATAGTCCCAGATTTGATTGTTCTTTCTGATAAAGGAGGAGGAACAAAACATTTATGGGCTTAAAGCTGCATTGATTCTGGAGGCCACATTCCAGTGAGCTCTGTGGCCAATGTATGCACATGCATGCGCACTCATAAAAGAGATGCAGACCATAAAGTCACATGCACACACGCCAGAGGTGCTGCACGCACTCACCAGACATGCCATCTAGCATACATACAAGTCTTGCAAACTCAATCAGCATGTTTAGACCTTCCAACCCCAGTTCTGGGGTGGGGAAAAATAAGAGCACAAGAAGACCCTGCTGAATTAGCAATGAGATCTGTGGAAAAAAGACCCTTCTGATTGTTCTTTAGAAATCCTCTTTAAAGAGCAGCCAGAGGGATCATTTATCTCCAGATCAGGGCTTCTATCCCATTTCAGCACTGTGCTGATTCCTGCTGACATTGGAGTTTAAAGGATCTCTCTAAGGGCTCTTTAAGGGACGCGGGTGGTGCTGTGGTCAAAACCACAGAGCCTAGAGCTTACCGATCAGATGGTTGGCAGTTTGAATCCCCACGACGGGGTGAGCTCCCATTGCTCGGTCCCTGCTCCTGCCAACCTAGCAGTTCGAAAGCACGTCAAAGTGCAAGTAGATAAATAGGTACTGCTCCAGCGGGAAGGTAAATGGCGTTTCTGTGTGCTGCTGTGGTTCTCCAGAAGTGGCTTAGTCATGCTGGCCACATGACCTGTACACCGGCTCCCTCAGCCATAAAGCGAGATAAGCGCCGCAACCCCAGAGTCATCCGCAACTGGACCTAATGGTCAGGGGTCCCTTTACCTTTACCTTTAAGGGCTCTTTAGACAACTCTCTCTCTCTCTGGGACAGACAGAGAGGTTCATCACATGATGAGACCAAGAGATGGAAACCACAGGGACTAGCAGGCCACATGAAGTGGGTTATTTGGTTTTGTTGGTCAATATTCCTTCTCTTTGTTTGTTTCTTAGGCTGTGCAGACACCATACATTTAAAGCACGTGTCTTCCCCCAGAAAATCATGGGAACTGTAGTTTATTGCTACAGTTCTCAGCACCCTTAAGAACTTGGGTTTCTTGGGTGAAGTCATATACTTTAAATGTTAGGTTGGTCTGTCACAGCCTTAACCCTATAGAAAGATCTGTTGTTTCTTTTCCAACATGCTAGAAGTTGCAGCCAGGATCAGCATTCCCTGTCCACTGAACATGCTCAGTCCTCTCACTGGGTTGTTTTTGGATTTCCCTCCCACTGCCTTGGTTCTCCCACCCCCAAATATTATTTGTACTTCCATAAACCTTGGGGTTTCCCCAAGTCTGGATAACTTCTTCTTGTGCATGGGTGGGGTGGTTTGGGTGACATTGTCATTCACAGCCTGAACATAAGAATTAGGAGTAATAATATATTTCAAAAACCGACTACAGTGGAACCTCGGGTTGCAGACATAATCCATTCCGGAGACTCATCTGCAACCCAAAGTTTCCTCAGGCCGAGGCACTGCGCATGCGCGCTGTGTGGTTTAGCGCTTCTGCGTATGTGCGAGCGTCGAAACCAGGAAATAACCCAAAGGTAAGCAGAAGGTTACGTAGCCCGAAGGCAATGTAACCCAAGGCACCACTGTAATGGTTAAAAAATATGCTTTTGTTTTTATTCTTGAGTTTTATTCTATACTGTTACTTTACTTTGTGTTGATTTCCTTTCCAGCAGGGCAGCGTACAAATGGAAGAGCAGAGGCCAAGGAGACCCATTCAAAGGGCGAGACTGGAATCCAAAGGGAAAAAATCTCCTGCGGACCAACTTGGGACCATTAGGGATCTTCTGCCTCGGGCAGATTTACATCAAATTAAGCAGGAGTCAGAGGAGGAGGAGCCACAGCAGCACTGGGATGCCCAGTGGCAGGATTTCCTGAAGACGATGCAGCCCCCTCGTTCACGGTGGGAAACCCCACAAGCTCCCAGTCCTCCCCTCTCTGGGCATGGTGTCCTTCCGGCCTCCTTCAGGGGAGCTGCGGATGCCAGTCGGTGGCCCAGTGGGAGAGCAGGGGGGACAGACCAGACCCTGCCAGACCTGAGTGGGGAGGCACACGAGGAAGGAGGGGAGCAGATTTCCTCTGTGAAAGTGAAGGAGGAGATCCTGGACGAGGAGGAGGAAGACGCCAACATGAGGTCGGAGATGGAGCGGCAGAGCTTCAGGCGGTTCTGCTACCAGGAGGCCGAGGGGCCCCGAGAGGCCTGGCTTCGGCTCCAGGAACTTTGCTCCCGGTGGCTGAAGCCAGAGAGGCGCACCAAGGAAGAGATCATGGAGCTGCTGGTCCTGGAGCAGTTCCTGACCATCCTGCCTGCGGAAATGCAGAGCTGGGTCAAGGGATGCAGGCCAGAGACCTGCGCCCAGGCGGTGGCCCTCGCTGAGGACTTCCTGCTGCAGCTGCAAGACACCGAGGGGCTTCTGGGAAAGGTAAGTGCCTTCCTCTCACCTGGGTCTCCAGCATCTCATGGTCTCAGGTCCAGTGCCTCTAGACATGGAGGTTCTGTTTAGCTATAGCAGGCACATCCAAAGCCCGTTTTAGGAGCCTAATCCGGCCCACCGGTCAGTTTAATCCAGCCCCCAGAGGCAGTTCCTTCTCTGGGTTCTAAAAAACGTTCAGCAAATTTGGGGTAAGATCCTAAAAAAAAGCTCAACAACTTCAACCCTAAAAAAAGCTCAAGAACTCATGCATGTTCACTTCATCAAATCTGGCCCCCTTTGGAAAAAGATTGGGCACCCCTGAGCTATAGTGACAAAGATTCATTGACAGGCCCATCCTCCTCACTGCATTTCTCTCTAATCCTTAAAAAAAGGCTAATTAGAGCAAACATCTGGAGGCATTCAAAGCATCTTCGGGGGACTTTGGTTTTCATCAGCATAGCAGCTGTGGCGAAGGAGGTTTCCTTCCTATCACCGCCGTCTTCCTGATCTACATTGCTCCCCCACCCTGTCCATAATGCTGTTTGCTCCCCAGTGAGGGGGGGGGGGGAATCTAGATTTTTCTTGTGGTTTCAACGCTCCCATCTGCAGTGTAAGATTGTTGTAATGTTTGTTGAGATGATGCCCATGTTCAGGACAGGTGATTGTACCTTGGCTTATTAAACATGGAAAGGAATAAGCCATTTATTTATACAAGATCAGTGGGACTCACTTCCTGGTAGGTGTGTATAGGATTGTAGTCATTGAGATGCTGTTTATCGAAATATAGCAGCGTCTCTGCTAATCTGCCTTCCAATGTGTTGTGGGGGTTACTGGGTTGTTTTTATTTTGAATGTATTTTGAATGTATTTTTTTGAATGTATTTTGAATGTATTTTGAATGTATTTTTTGTCCTGGGACCTGCGGTATACAAATTTTAAATAAATAAATCTGGATTTGCACCCGTGTTTCTGTTCCAGGTGTCTTGGCCTGCAGAAGATCTTGCTAATTCCCCAAAGTCTGAACAAGATCTGTTAGACACAGCAAACATTCATCTCTCTGCAGAGGCTGAGGAGGAGAGCGAAGAGGAGGCCAGCTTTCTGGGTAAGGGATAGGGGTCTGGATCCTCTGGTCGTTTTGCAGTTTCTGTGGCGAAATTATCAGGCTGCTTTTGACAGTGAAAGCTCTGAAAAAGCCACTTCCCAAACTAGCACCTTCGAGGGATTTTGAGCTGCAACTCCCATCATCTGCAGCCAGCATTACCTGAAGGGATGAATTTGGGAGAATGCTGTTGTGGGGGGAAAGCCCAACTTTCACCCTCCTTTTCTGAGACCCAGATGTGATATGCAGTGCCTCTTCACATTTATTTACCGCGCATGGTTTTTTTTTTGTTAATGCAAATAACATTTTCAAGGGGTGGGTTGTTGTCAGCTCTCCTGCAGCTGCCGTTTGCATTGGGAGGAAAGCCTTGAGTGGCACCCAGGTCTCTGCCCTTTAGATCTCTCATTCCATTTCTAGAGCTTGATACAACATGGAGCAAGTGGCTGTTCTGGTTGACTAGTATAGGCTGAGCATCATCTAGAAAAGGGAGAGCTTTTCTAGCTTCAGTTGCAAACTGAAAGGCCTTAAGATGCCCTTTGCCACGTTCCTTTTTAAAATTGATATATTTTATTTAATGCATTTTGTTTATTAAATTTCCTTCTAGAAGAATATAGTGTTATTAGTAGTAGCAGCAACACCACAGGAAGCTGTCTTTTATCAAAGTCCATTGAGCTCAATATTGTCTACTGTACGCTGACTGGTACCAAACCTTCAGGCTTTCTGTCAGCCCTACCTGGTGAGGTCAAGAAATTAGCTGTTATTGTTTCTTTGACCCTGCCATTCCTCTTGCGAGAGGCCAGGATGGCAAACAAAGCAAAGTTAAAACCACAATGCGAAATAAAATACATATAAAATTCAATATGCCAGTGAGCCGTAGATTGTACAAATAGTACTACCTTCTTTGGAAGCCACAATACAGTTGTCCCATCGACAAAATAACAAAGTGACAATCTTTTAAAGTTTTCTTCTCCATAAATTTTACTGCCATCAACTAATTCATAAGCACAGTTTATGTAAATATGTGTTACATGCTTGCATGGAGAAAGAGGAAAGAGAAGTATTAAATTAAATTGCATGTTGTTAGGCTTAGTTATAGAAAGGAAACAAGGAAGGGCCATAGCTTAGTGGTAGAGCAGTTGTCTGGCATGCAGAAGGTTCCCAATTCCCAGCATCTCCAACTGAGGCTGAGAATGTCCCCTGTCCAGATAATTGTTTACAATGTTCTTTTAAGTAACTTGTACACTTCCCCTATTCTTTATTCTATTTGTTATCTTCTTGATCTCTGATCTTCCCAGTCATTTTAGCCATTTCAGCATAGTCCATCATCTCTGTCAGCCATTCTTCCTTTGTAGGTAGTTTATCTTCCTTCCATCTTTGAGCAAGTAGCATTTGCACAGCTGTCGTAGTGTACATAAAACAGTCTCTTCCGCTCCTTTGGTATTTCTGGACCTAAAATTCGTAGTATAAAAGCTTCTGTTTTTTCCACAAATATTCTGACTCATTATAAGGAAGCTTCCTGTGTTCCTAAATGAGTGTGGCAGTATAAAATAGCTTTGATAATTGATCCAATTTGCAGCTTTGAGGGTTTTTCCTCCAGTGTGGAGTAGAGGTGAGTTTTTGATTCTCTCTTTGTTCCGGCAGGCAGCGACCAAGCGTATGAGAATGGGGGCGAGTCCTTCCCCTTCGAAAGGCACCCACAAGTGGGCATCAGTGGAGTGTCCTTGGCAAGACTCAACGGGAAATTTTTCCAGGTTTGTGGGTTGGGAGAGATGCCAGGCGATCAACAGAGTCAAGACAGCCACCGGGAGAACTCAGCAGAGGTCCAAGCTTTTCTTTGTGATGAGAGCAACAGAGGAAGCACCTTCCCCAAGGGAAGCCAGAAGGCGAAGAGGAAAAGGACAGGCCCTGACTGGGGCAGCGTTTTACGCCGGAGCTTTGATTTCCCTCGGAATCAGAAGATGCAGAAGCTATACACGTGCACCTACTGCGGGAAGATCTCCAACAACAGTGCGCACATGATTATCCACGAGAGGACCCACACTGGGGAAAAGCCGTACAAGTGCTCAGAGTGCGGCAAGTGCTTCAGCACCAACTGCAACCTTATGAAGCACACGAGGGTCCACACGGGCGAGAAGCCGTACAAATGCTCGGACTGCGGGCGGAGCTTCAGCGACAAGGCCTCCCTTATCGTACACGAGAGAACCCACACGGGAGAGAAGCCTTATGAGTGTCCGATGTGTGGGAAAAGCTTCACCTCCAGCTCCAACCTCATCACACACAAAAGGGTGCACACGGGGGAGAAGCCGTATAAGTGCTCCGAGTGCGGCCAGAGCTTTGTCCACAGGCCCCAGCTCGTCATCCACATCCGGACGCACACAGGAGAGAAGCCGTACGAGTGCCTGGAGTGCGGCAAGAGCTTCAATCAGAAAGCAGACCTCATTATACACGGGCGAACCCACACCGGGGAGAAGCCGTACGAGTGCGCGGAGTGCGGGAAAAGCTTCATCTCAAGCTCTTACCTCCGGAAACACGAAAGGCTTCACACGGGGAAGAAAACCCAAGCCGGGGAAGAAACCCACAAGTGCAGCTACTGCAGGAAGAGCTTCATCAGCCGGTCCAAGCTTCTCATCCACGAGAGAACGCACACGGGAGAGAAACCCTTTGAGTGCGCCGAGTGTGGGAAAAGCTTCAGCACGAGCTCCAACCTTGTCAATCACAAGAGGGTGCACACGGGAGAGAAGCCCTATCAGTGCACGGATTGTGGGCAGAAGTTCAGCACGAACTCCAACCTTGTCAACCACAGGAGGGTTCACACAGGCGAGAAGCCCTACGAGTGCTCGGATTGCGGGCAGAGCTTCGGCCACAAAGCATCCCTTAGACGACACAAGAGAATCCACTCGAGAGAGACCACCTCCTGAGTGCTTGCATTGCGGACAAAGGTTGAGACCTGCTCTTCTCACAGGCTCGTAGGAAGCTGCCTTATACCAAGTCAGAGACCATGGGCCTGTCTAGCTTAGGAAGGGCTGTTGTAGAGCACCTGCCTCGCTCGCAGGTGGTCCTTGGTTCAATCCCCGGTGTTGCCAGGTAGGGCTCTGACTGTCTTGTCTGAAACCTTTGAGAACCACTGCCAGGTCACTGAGCTAAATGAACCAGTGGTCTGACTTGGTATAAGGCAAGTTCCTATTTCTAGCTCAGAATTGGGTGCTTCCAGATGGGTGTTCACGGTGGGATAAGTGCTCCTCACCTTATGCCAGCCCATATCCTCGCCCAACCCCCCATTAGTCCAGATTTACCCTTTTCAGGAACTTTAAAAAAGACCAAGCTGTTGTCAGTGACCCATTTGCAATGGCTCTGAACCTGTAATATTAACACCCATCCTTGAATCACCCATTTTTCACACACACTAGCAGTGGCTCTGCAGGGATTCAGGCACCTTCCTGGCCCTGCCTGGAGATGTCGGGTATTGATCCTGGAACCTGCAGGCAAAGCAGTTGCTCTACCTCTGACCTTCCCAGCTAGAACAGGCCTAGACTGCCTGCAAATCTTGCAAGGTCAGATTTTGAGCTGGAACACCAGGGATTGACGATGGTGCTTTAAATGTAAATGCTGGAAGAATTCATACTGGGGATCTCTTTTAACGGTTAAAGCAAATAAGGACAATTACTGACCTCTCTCATCGCTTAGACTCTAGGCCGGGGTGGGGAACCTCAGGCCAAACGTGAACCTTCAGGTTTCACTGTCTGGCCTTCATAATTATTATTATTATTATTATTATTATTATTATTATTATTATTATTTACACCCCACTCATCTGGCTGGGTTTCCCCAGCCACTCTGGGTGGCTTCCAACTGAATATTAAAAACAATACAGCATCAGACATTAAAAACTTCCCTAAACAGGGCCACCTTCAGTTGTCTTTTAAAAGTAAAATAGTTGTTTATTGCCTTGACATCTGCTGGGAGGGCATTCCACAGGGCAGGCGCCACTACCGAGAAGGCCCTTTGCCTGGTTCCTGTAACCTCACTTCTCGCAGCGAGGGAACCACCAGAAGGCCCTCGGCGCTGGACCTCAGTGTCCAGGCTGAACGATGGAGGTGGAGACGCTCCTTCAGGTATGCAGGACCGAGGCTGTTTAGGGCTTTAAAGGTCAGCACCAACACTTTGAATTGTGCTCGGAAACATACTGGGAACCAGTGAAGATCTTTCAGGAGCAGTGTTATGTGGTCCCGGCGGCCACTCTCAATCACCAGTCTAACTGCTACATTCTGGATTAATTGCAGTTTCCGAGTCACCTTCAAAGGTAGTCCCACGTAGAGTGCATTGCAGTAGTCCAAGCGGGAGATAAATAGAGCATGCACCATTCTGGCGAGACAGTCTGTGGGCTGGTAAACAGCTGCCCTGGACACAGAATTGATCTTTGCCTCCATGGACAACTGTGAGTCCAAAATGACTCCCAGGCTGTGCACCTGGTCCTTCAGGGGCACAGTTACCCCATTCAGGATCAGGGAGTCCTCCCTTCCAGCCTGCCCCCTGTCTTCCAAGAACAGTACTTCTGTCTTGTCATTATTCAACTTCAATCCGTTAGCTGCCATCCATCCTCCAACCGCCTCCAGACACTCACACAGGACCTTCACTGCCTTCACTGGTTCTGATTTAAAAGAGAGGTAGAACTTTCCCCAGGCCGCTCCCCTCACTGGCTCCTGCACCTTTCACCAGAAGCATCCAGATCTCACAGGCAGAACACGAGGATGTAAGAAGTAGCCTTATTCATCGAGACTGGTGTTATGCATTCTGACAGGCACGGGCTCTCCAAGCTTTCAGGTGGAGAGTGGGCCTTCCACATCACCTGCTGGAGATGAGCCTTACGTGGACAAATTGTGCTCTACAACTGAGCTATGGTGCCTTTTGAAAAGGTCCCGCATTGGGTTCCTGGAATCTCCCATTAAAAAAAATATTTGAGAGCGCTGTAATTCTGGGACAATGGAACCAATGGCCTGACCTGGTCAGTATAAGTTGGCTTCACGTTTCCCCCATGGAAAAGGGGGGGGCATGAAGATGGTGCAGACAGGGCCTCTCCTGACCTGTGAGCATCTCCGTCACATGTTGTTTAGCAGGTGTTGGTGGCCATCCGTCATGGATGCTTTGCATTGCAGGCAGTTGGACGAGAAGACCTTTGAGATCCAATTCTGCAATTCTGTGTGCCCCCTGTTCCCCCTCACTTGTGAATGGAGCCCTTTCTAGGTAGGGTCGGGAAAGACTCTGTGCCTGAAACTATGGAGAGCTGCTCCCAGTCAGTGCAGACAATGGGGGGGGGGGCAGTTGTAGCTTAGTTTGCATGCAGAAGGTTCCCACACCCCCATGAAGGACTGGGAGAGACCACTGTTTGAAACCCTGAGGAACCGCTACCAGTCAGTGCAGACTATTCTGAGCAACATGGACCAGTTTGGGTCACATCTAATGTTCCTAACTGAACTGGCTCTACATAACTACTAGCTAATGTTATTAGGGCGTACAAACAGCAAAGGCTGTTGAAGATGACACTTAATTGCCCCTCTGTGGGACATCTTTCTTCCCTGGGTTAGGGAAACAACTCTAGCATTTAAAGAATTCACCAATAGTTAAGTGAGGTGATCATCTACTGAGGACATAGTGTAGTATTCCTAACCTATGACTTAGAATTATTTTGATTTAAATAACAACAGTAATGATAATTACTACATGAGGCTTGTCTGTGTTTTTTCCTCTTTCTGTCTGTTTAAATAAACTTCGTTGATTTTGTAAAGCTGTTTATGTTTTGTTTATTGTTATAGTCCTATTGTTTTGGTGGGAAATTAATTGGGGATAAGTTAAGCAAAGAGGCTTATGTTAAATTGTTTTTGTTGTTTTTTTATAAAACAGCAAAACTGGAGTAAAATCCATGGTTTGGTGTTCAGGGCTTCGACCCCACCTCTTACATGTACACAATTTCTTAGGTAAAATACTGAATTATTTTCTTTCTTTTTTTTTGTAAATTTATTTATTTGAGTTTTTCAAATCAATCAACATGCAGCACTTTATGAAGCTGGAAAATGAGTGGCTCCTGTATAGAAATGCCACTGCCATTAGACATTTGACAGTGGAACAGAGTCTCTCAGGAGGTGAAGGACTCTCCTTCAATTGAGGTTTTGTCTGGGTTGGGGGGAAGGGGACAGGGACAGGGAGAGACAGCCCTACAGTAAGAAAGCCTAAAGGTGATTGCAGACAGTACTTTCTCATCACGTGAGTCATTCAGATCCAGTTTTTATGGATGCCTCTGTAACTGGTGAGTTCGGCTGCCACACATTCCATTTGGAAAATTGCAATGGCTCATCCATTTATTGCTCACAACAGGGCACAAAGCTTGACAAATGTTTTGGGGTTGGGCTGTTTTCGCTCCTTTCAGTCATTTTATCCCCTTTTCCATTCTGAGCATGTGCACAGGTATTTTTATACCTATGTGCGCACATTGTTATTTTTTTTTAAAAAACAAAAACAGAAAATTTTTGAGAGAAGAGCAAATGTATTGTTCCTCTCCCATTCTCACAGTCCCAGGGAGGGTTAGTAGTTCAGGGGCAGCACACACACTTTTTATGCAGGTGGTCCTGGACCCCTGCTTTGGAATTGTAACATGAACCGAAAACAAGAATTCAAGAAGGCTGATACAGTGGTACCTCGGGTTAAGAACTTAATTCGTTCTGGAGGTCTGTTCTTAACCTAAAACTGTTCTTAACCTGAAGCACCACTTTAGCTAATGGGGCCTCCCACTGCTGCTGTGCCACCGCCGCCGCACAATTTCTGTTCTCATCCTGAAGCAAAGTTCTTAACCTGAAGCACTATTTCTGGGTTAGCGGAGTCTGTAACCTGAAGTGTATGTAACCCGAGGTACCACTGTATTTTTCCTCACTATTCTGTGGTATGAAAAAACCACTCTGGATCATCTCAAAGACTCTTATATTGCAACATTTTGTGGCCAGGCAGGTAACTCTGGGAAGCCCATAAGCAAGGCACGACGGCTATAGCATATTCCCATTGCGACTTCTTAGCAACTCGTACTTAAAGGCACGCTGCCTCTTAAGGCCGAAAGCTACATTTTCCTTGGAGTAAGACCAACTGAATTGAATGGGGCTTACCATTTCTATGTTCAGTAGAATCGTACAGGATTGCACTGCAAACTTCTGACACATTAGTTCTGAGTGCAATATAGCTGTCATCCTTTTTCTTTTTTCTGTTGGAGGTCCTCCTCAAACAGCAGAGCAGCATGGCTATAGGTAAGTTTTGTCCACAATTAATTTGTTGATCTGTAAGGCGGGTGGCACTGTGGGTTAAACCACAGAGCCTAGGGCTTACCGATCAGAAGGTCGTGGTTCGAATCCCCGCGATGGAGTGAGCTCCCGTTGCTCGGTCCCTGCTCCTGCCAACCTAGCAGTTCGAAAGCACATCAAAGTGCAAGTAGATAAATAGGTACCGCTCCGGTGGAAAGGTAAACGGCGTTTCCGTGCGCTGCTCTGGTTTGCCAGAAGCTGCTTAGTCATGCTGGCCACATGACCCGGAGGCTGTACGCCGGCTCCCTTGGCCAATAAAGCGAGATGAGCATCGCAACCCCAGAGTGGTCCATAACTGGACCTAATGGTCAGGGGTCCCTTTTACCTTTAAGGCAGGGGTGGCAGAAACTTTTTTTTGTTTGAGAGCCATTTTCCTTTCTGGGCAAACATCCGTGGGCCAGGGATGAGTGAAGCCAGAAGTGAAAATGGGCAGATATTAACTTTTCTACACTTATACCTCCTTTGTGTCTTCCATCCAGGGAAGCAAGAGGCATGATCAGAGTTCAAGGACACATTCCAGCCAGGCAAAAGCACTCAGGATGCCTGGAGAGAGTTCCCAGGGCTAGAGAAAGGTCTGCAGGGCCACATTCAAAACTTCCAGTCATCCAACTCCAGACAGAGGCTAACAATGGCTGAAAAGAAAACTATACAGAACAGGTATATTGAAAACCTTTAAAAAGAGAGAGGGAGAAACCAACAAACAAACTAATATCAAAATCACCCCAATGCAATACAAATTTTACTAGCTGCACACAATATTTCCGGGTGTTTTTTTTTTCTTTTTAGCAGCAGCTATTTTGCTTCTCTTGTTTGTAGGCACCAGCGCTCCAAAATAGGTGAATAAATATTTGGATCTTCTAAGGAGCCAACACCAACCTTTTGGATGCTCGGGCCCAGAGTCCATCAGATTTCTCTAGAGCAAGATAAAACGTTGGAACATTAGTTCAGCACCCATATGTTCAGCAGTGGAGAACGGTGCCCACTGTGACTGGTAGCGGGAAGGCAAGGAGGCCAACAGTAGGTGGAGCCAGAGCCCATGATAGTTCTGGTTTTGTCCCTATCCTCCCTGCTGAGTTTTGGATAATCTTCTGGCTGTTGGAGAGTGAGGTTAGTGCTCCATCTGTCTCCAATGAATTTCAGCAACTAAACTAAATATTAATATGGTGGAATCTAGCAATGACTTAATTTCTATCAAGGAATTTCAAGAATCTATCTATGAGGTCTGCTTTCCATGTGCAATGAATGGAATGTTGCCTAGAGATAAAAAACCCTGTATAGTTTCACTTTTTTTTTTAATCTAGTAGCCATTGATCTCCAGCATAAACTATTCACACAGTCTAAATTTATGAAGCTTTCACTCCAAACTCTTCTTCACAGACATCCTAAAGGTTCACATGTAGATTTTCTGTTACGGAAACAGAGGGAATAGTGGACATTTCCTCCCGCGTTTGTATGGTTTCTCTCGTGTGTGTACCCTTTCGTGTTTCTTACAGTCAGAGCTAGAAATAAAGCTTTTCCCGCATTCATAGCACTCATAAGGCTTTTCTCCTGTGTGGGTCCTTATGTGCTTCGTAAGGGAGGATCTGTGACTTAAGCTTTTCCCACACTCAGGGCACGAATACGGTTTCTCTCCAGTATGGGTTCTCTGGTGTGTGATAAGGTTTGATTTCAAATTGAAACTTTGCCCACAATCAGAGCATTTGTAGGGTTTCTCCCCTGTGTGGGTTCTCAGGTGTTTAGTGAGGGAGGATTTATCGCTGAAACCTTTCTTACAGATGGAGCACACATATGGCTTCTCACCAGTATGGATTCTCCTGTGTGTAATAAGGTTTGACTTCCAATTAAAGCTCTGTCCACATTCTGAGCAAGTATAGGGTTTCTCCCCTGTATGTAACCTTTTATGGTTTATGAACTGATAGCCTGTGCTAAAGCTTTTCCCACACTCAGAGCATTCATATGGCTTTTGCCCAGTGTGCTTTCTCTTGTGGATAACAAGGTCTCCTTTCTGATTAAAGCTTTTCCCACAGTCTGAGCATTTATGAGGTTTTTCTCCTGTGTGGGTCCTTCTGTGCGTAAGGAGATGTGATGCCTGACTGAAGCTTTGCCCACATTCTAAACACTTATACGGTTTCTCTCCCGTGTGGATCCTCTGGTGTTTACCAAGGATTTTCCTTTGACTGAAGCTTTGTCCGCACTCCCCACACTTATATGGTTTCTCCCCCGTGTGGATTCTGACATGTGAAACCAGATTCCCTTTCTGACAGAAGCTTTGCCCGCACTCTGAACATTTATACGGTTTCTCTCCCGTGTGTATTCTTTTGTGTTTTGTGAAGTAAGATGTGGTATTAAAGCTTTTCCCACACTCGGAGCACTTGTATGGTTTTTCTCCAGTGTGGGTTCTCTCGTGGACAAGAAGGTCTGCTCTCCTGTTAGCAATTTTCCCACAGAATGTGCATGTGTACAGCATTTTCTGATTCTTAGTTAGATCAACGTCCTGACAGAAGTTCTTTCCACACTCTGAGTCCATCTGTATCGCCTCATGCCTCAAGAATTTATCTTGGAAACTTCCTTTGCACGAGCCACTGTTACCTTCCTCACAAAGTAACCTGTATTCTGGCATTGTCCACTGACGGTACTCCTGCTTGGATTCTTGAACTGCAGGGATCTCGTCCACCTCGCTACCCAGGAAAAACACCCCTTTAGCTCTTTCCAAGGATATTCCACTGGTGTCAATTTGCTTAAGTGGAAAAGCCTCCTTTACGCTCTCCCACTCTTGGCCTACTGGAAGAAACAGAATAACGGCATGAGTTAAACCCTGTACTGGAGATAGAAAAAGTTTTCTCAAAGGAATAAAGTGAATTACCCAATCCTCCACTCTTAAGACTGAGTTTTTCCTGTAAGTGATGTAGCCAAAAAGCTACCATCCACACATCAACAGGCTCAGGGAAACCCAAAGTTGTGCAGAAATACAAGCCTTACAAATGTGTCCTGAATCTTCCAGCATTCAGGTTGTTGAATGTCCCTGAGTCATAGTGTTGAAAGAGAGGGAGAAAAACTTCTGCCTATCAGAAGCATCTAGAAGTTTCCAAATAATACTAACTTTCAGGATTCAAATCCTTACCCAGCAAGCTGGCCTCTCCGCAACCCTCCTCCTTGACTTCCAGAGGAATTTGGCCCTTCACAGGATTTGAGATTAACTTGGAGTAATCAGCTGCCACGTCTTCAACGGATCCTGGTGGCATCTGAAATAGAAAGGGAGGTGGGGAGATACAAATTAGAAAGTCTGCATCAATGCCAATAATTCTGATTTCTCGCAATCACCACTCCACCCAGCACTGAGGGAACAACCATGCAGGACAAGCTTCGTGTGGCTGTGTCAAGTCCCTATAAAATTGAGATTTATTGCACAATATAGATGGGCAGAAGGGGAAGGTTGAATAAATCCTGGTTGCAAAGCTTCCCAGAGTGGGCTAAATTACCTCTGGGGCCTCCATGGCTCTTTGGCCGGTGAATTCCTTGAAGTAGCTGCTGACAGTGTCCTCGTCCTCGTCCTCCAGAATCTCTTCCTTCACTTTCACTGAAGAATCTAGGCTCTCTCGGCTGAGGCCTAGCCGGGTGCTAGACATGTCCCCTCCTCTGTGCTCCAGGCTGCCCTCAGCTCCTTCAAAGGAGACCTGGAATCCCTCAGCACCCTCTCCTGAGGTGGGCTCAAGCAGCCGTTGAGTTTTCCTCTGGGACTGAGGGGCCGGCAGGGTCTCCATGAATCCTGGCCACTGGCCTTCCCAGCCCTGCTCATTCGGTTCTTGCTTAACGGGCTGTGGAGCAGCCCCCGTCAGTAACTCCCTGGTGGCTCCCATTTGAGGGATGTGGGGTTTGCCTCTTCCTGCATCCAATCGCTTGCTTGGTCCAGGTCCTGGTGGTTCATGCACTTCCATTTTTTATTCTCACTGAAGCTCCTGGACTAGAAAAGAGAGTTTGCATTAAGAAATGCAGACGCTCGGGTGGGGATTGAACCTGGAAACTTCTGCCTGCAAGGCAGGTGCTCTGAGTTGCTGTCCTCCCCCTACATCTAGAGAGCCACAGGTTCCCTTCCCCATAAGCTTAAGGCTGACACTTAGTTAGAGAAACCTTGTTTTCTCTCCAGTGTTTTTGCATCTCTTAGCTTTGCTCCTTTCCCAGTTCGAAAAGGGCGCATTGGTGCACAGACAACCCGCAAGATCTGGGTCCTTTGCATGTCTTCTCCCTGTTTGCAACCCTGACCGGCCAATTGCAATCCCGTCCCTTTTCTGCCGTTTCTCTCCCTCTTTCACCTACCAGCTGATCTCTGCCTTTCCGCTTCATCCCCTACTCAACTTACCTCTCGCTACTGTTTCCAGTGCTGGGGATTCAGATCCCTGGAGCCAAAGTCTCCTAAGGCAAAATACCCCCCCCCGCCCCCAGCTATTTATTGCACCAAAGCTATGGGGATGGGCAGGAACAGGAAGTCAATGCCCCTCCAAGACGTACCCAGCCCTTGCCTATCTAGGAACGGGAGAGTTGTCAGTTTAACTCTTCCCTTCGACACAAAGATTATTCCTGGCATTGCACACCTTTTACTAATGGGTGGTGGGGAGCAGAAGTTTTAGACTAACCCCTTTTGATTCATAATAAATGTATCCTCTCCCTTAGCCTCCATCTCTCCCTATTTCTGTATCTGTAGGCGTATTGCTATTGTTTACTTATTTAATTTGCAGAGTTTTGTACAGCATCACATATCCTAGCAAATACCAACTTAAAAAATACATCGCAGTGTGAGTGTCGTGTGTCCACATGTTGCATTCAAGTGATGCACAACCAGTGTACTTGTGAATAAATACAAGAGGAGTGTTCACATGTTACATTCGATGAGTGCACAATCTGTGCAGTATACCTCTCTGTACACAAGTATTTCACACGCGTACAGTTGCTGACGTGTAGCGTTTCACAAGTCGACAGCCTGGACACCTGTGTACGCAGCAGCTGTGATATGCAGATCAACAAGGGTTCACTCTTTCGCAAGAGCACCTGCACATATGCAGAGACAGTGTGCATCAGTGTTCAGTGTAACGTGCGAACAAGCCTTCTGTAAATCAGGGATACACCTGCTCCTTCTGTAAAGCTTTCACACTCTTTGTAAGGCTGTAATTTGGAGCGTGATGATAAGATACCAACCAGCGAGTTCAGTACTGGGTTTAAGTTTGTACGTAACCTGGGAGGCCGGGTGTTCTTCAAAGGCTGCTTTGAATAATACTGAACAAAACAAGGAACCATAAATATATTGCACAGTCGGGGAACTCAGAAGAGACAATACCAAATTGTGGGTGTCTGCAGAGGGGCTTCAATGGGCATACACTTGCCTAGGAGTAAATCCCATTGAACTTAATGGGACTTAACGACTGTCTATTGCAATGCGGTCCTTTTGCTGGACAGGAAACACCTAATCAGGCAGATGGCGCTCATTCCCTCTTTTTTGCAAAATTGCGAGTTCCCGAATGGAAACAGACTTTCCAACATTAATGATCTGGGGGCGGGGGACGCACCAATGAACTCCAGCGTTTGCTGCGAGGCACTGAAAGAGTTAAAGGGCACTGAACGAGGATGCCTAGAGTGGCCGGGTATGTGTGACAAATTGGGGGAGAACTCAGGAAAGCAAAGCCACTTTCCCCTCCTCCTTTCTTTTTTAATTGAAAAACAAATCCCCGCCCCCCTCTTTGGGGTTTCTTATCCCTGGAGCGATTAGGGGGCTGCTGCCAAGGGCAAGCAATGCAAAGCCTGCCTGAAGCAGGTGAGTTCAAGGAAGGAGGGGAGGGGAAGTGGATTGAGCGGAATCTAGCAGAAGGGGATCTGTTGGGAGAGCAAGCAGAGGGTGAGAGATGAGACTCTTCTCAGGCTCAGCAAGTGCCCTCGGGCTCAGTGGAGATCAGGGCTTCCCCCTCTCACCAAGGGCGTCAGATCAGCTAGGAAGGACCACTGATATTGGTTGTGAAGGAAGAATGGGTGCTGTGCTAATCACAAATTGTATTTATTTATTATTATAATCTTCATCATACCTTCAGGATCACCGCACCGAATATGTGCTGGTTCAGACACTTGGATCCGCAGAACTGGCAATGTTAACAGGTGCCACACATACTTCTTCTGCAGATGTAAAATTTATCCTTTAGTGTGGCAGGGCCAACATGTTGGAGATCCCTGCCTGTCTGCCTGTTAATAATAATAATAATAATAATAATTATTATTATTATTATTATTATACCCCACCCATCTGGCTGGGTTTTCCCCAGCCACTCTGGGCGACTCTCAACAGAATTACCAAAAACACGATAAAACGTCAAACATTAAAAACTTCCCTAAACAGGACTGCCTTCAGATGTCTTCTAAAAGTCAGAAACTGTTGACATCAGGCCTTCGCTGTGCTCTTTGCAGCACCTGCTTAAAAACATTTTTGTTTAGGCAAACCTATGCAGACACATAGATGCTGGCATGTTTTAATATCTTTCACTGTTGGTTTTTGTCTTTGTTTAAATGTTATTAGCTGTTTTTATTGTTAATTTTAATATTTACTTAGTTGGTCTTTAAGGTGCTACTGGAAGGAATTTTTTTGTTTTTAATATTTACTGTAAGCAGAGGTTTCATCCCAGCCTCTTGCTTGTAGAACAAGTTTTCCCAATCTTGGGTCTCCAACTGTTTTTGAACTTACAACTCCCATCATTCCTACCTAGCAGGACCAGTGGTCAGGGATGATAGGAATTGTAGTTCAAAAATAGCTGGAGGCCCAAGTTTGGGAAACACTTCTGTAGAGCATGAAACTCTTAATGCCTGGAACCCTGGAGAGCAGCTGACAGTCTGACTTGACATAAGGCAGCTTCCTGTATAAACCAGGGACCCTTCAGACATTGTTGAACGCAGTTCCCATCAGGCCCCAGCCAGCAAGGCCAACAACCAAGGATGATGGGAATTGTAGTCCAGCAATATCTGCAGGGTCACATGTTCCCCATCCATCAGTCATGGATGGTTGATAGCACATATGCTATATTTTTTATTAATAAAATGTGTCTAGTAGGGGAGAGTAAACATGCCCAGTTTTCATCGCCTGTTGCTTATTGGCATTGCTTTTCTTTTCCAGGAATAAAAATGGAGGAGCAAGACCTGAAAATGGAGGAGCAAGACCCGCAGGGCTGGGAATCTCAGCGGCAGAAGGTTTTGCCACTGCAGATGCAGGCCCCATTTTCAGGGTGGAAAAGCTTGCAGGTGCCTCAACAGATGTCCATGGGAGTTCATAAGGATACCCAGGTCTCTTTCAGCAGGTGGCCTAGTAGAAGGGAAGATTCTCCTGTGGAAGTGAAGGAAGAGATTCTGGATGAGGATGCTGCCAGCTTGGAGATGCGGCGCCAACGCTTCAGGCAGTTCTGCTACCTGGAGACTGATGGCCCTCGAGACGTGTGCAATCATCTCCAGGAACTCTGCTATCGGTGGCTGAAGCCAGACAGACACACCAAGGAGCAGATCGTGGACCTGGTGGTTCTGGAGCAGTTCCTGACCATCCTGCCCCAGGAGATGCAGAGCTGGGTCTGGGAACGTGGTCCGGGGAACTGCATGGAGGCTGTGGCTCAGGTGGAGGATTTCTTGATGAAGATCCACCGGGAGGCCATGAGAACAGAACAAGAGGTGAGGGTTTTGCATGCTGTTCACCTTAATGCACCTGTGGACGGCAGTGGCAGCATAAAAAGAGACCTGTGGCGTCAGGACAAAGGTCCATCCAGTCCGCTTTGCATGCAAAAGGTCCCGGGTTCAGGCCTCGGCATCTGTAGGGCTGGGAGAGTCTCTCACTGAAAATCCTGAAGAGCTGTTGCCAGTCAGTGTCGTAGACGATAGAGCCAATAACCTAAAAAGTAGAAGAGGATATGCTCTACATGGGGCTACCTTGAAGGTGACCCAGAAACTGCAATTAATCCAGAATGCGGCAGCTAGACTGGTGACTGGGAATGGCTGCCGGGACAACTTAACACCAGTCCTGAGAGATCTGCATTGGCTCCCAGTACGTTTCCGAGCACAATTCAAAGTGTTGGTGCTGACCTTTAAAGCCCTGAAGGGTCTTGGTCCAGTATACCTGAGGGAGCATCTCCACCCCCATCGTTCAGCCCGGACACTGAGATCCAGTGCCGAGGGCCTTCTAGCAGTTCCCTCATTGCGAGAAGTGAGGTTACAGGGAACCAGACAGAGGGCCTTCTCGGTAGTGGTGCCCGCCCTGTGGAACGCCCTCCCTACAGATGTGAAGGAAATAAGCAGCTATCTTATCTTTAAAAGACATCTGAAGGTATCCCTGTTTAGGGAAGTTTTTAATATTTAATGCTGTATTGTTTTTAAAACTCGATTGGAAGCCGCCCAGAGTGGCTGGGGAAACTCAGCCAGATGGGTGGAGTATAAATAAATAAATAAATAAATTATTATTATTATTATTATTATTATTATTATTATTATTTTGATTAAATATTATCCCTCCTCACTCATGCTAGTGAGCAAGCAGCAGAGCACATTCCCTTGCACATTGCTGGAAGCAAGTTGATGGATTCGTTAGCATCATTTAAGTTGAGCAATGCAGTCTGACATGTCCAGTCTGGATTGTTCCTGGTAAGTTTCCCCCCTTTATTTCCCTCTTAAAATAATAATAACATGACAGTCATGTTTAAAAGTAAGAGTCAAGTTTACTTACATTCACTTCACAGTATTGTCCTGAAGGCAGGCTTTATCTTGTGGTTACAGTTACATTTGTAGAGAGAAGAAGTCAGAGCTAGCCCTCAGACTTTCTACCTTGTGGCTTCCATCCTCTGTAAGGATGAGCCTTGTGCTGCTGGCTAAGAGCCAGAAGAGAGGAAGATGGCAAAAGAGCAGAAGAGGAAGATTGCTGCATGACTAGCCCTTTTTATAGGGTCACGCCCATCTATTTGGTCACACACACACACACAGGGAGGATGCTCCAGAGCTGGTATGACAGGAAGTCCTCCCTGTCTGGAGCAACATTTCCCTGTGTGTCCACTCTAGGCAACAGGAAATGTTGTATTTGACTGCTTCAGTGATGATACATCTAACACGCCCAACTCATTTTAAAAGAGCATTGGATGTCAAACAGCCAAAGCCCTGGTTAAATAGGAACATTTTTGCCTGGTGCCTACAGGTGTATAATGCAGGTGCCAGACGAACCTCCCTGGGGAGAGCATTCCACAGATGGGGAGCCACCGCAGAAAAGGCCCCTTCTTGTGTTGCCACCTTCCAGGCCTCACATGGAGGAGGCACACAAAGAAGGCCCTCAGAAGATGATCTTAAGGTCTAGGAATGTTCATATGGAAAGAGGCAGTCCTTGAGGTATTGTGGTTGGATTGCACCTTGTACCCAGAGGCGTCTTTCCCATAGCGCTTAGTGGTGCGTCGCGCCAGGGTGCCAGCCTCTTTGGGGCGCCCCAGCAAGTGGGGGAGCTGCGCAGCTTTGCTGGCGGCCTCCACTTTCCCTGCATACCCGCCAGCTGCGCCCAGCCAACCATATGGCTGGCGGGCACGCAACTTCCCTCCCAAGCCTCTGCGGGGATCACTCTCCTCCCGAGGAGGCTTGGGAGGAAATAATAATAATAATAATAATAATAATAATAATAATAATTTATTATTTATACCCTGCCCATCTGGCTGGGCTTCCCCAGCCACTCGGGGCAGCTTCCAACAAAATATTAAAATACCGTAATACATCAAACATTAAAAGCTTCCCTAAACAGGGCTGCCTTCAGATGTCTTCTAAAAGTCTGGTAGTAGTTGTTCTATTTGACATCTGGTGGGAGGGTGTTCCACAGGGAGGGCGCCACTACCAAGAAGGCCCTCTGCCTGGTTCCCTGTAACTTGGCTTCTCGCAGTGAGGGAACCGCCAGAAGGCCCTCGGCGCTGGACCTCCGTGTCCGGGCAGAACGATGGGGGTGGAGACGCTCCTTCAGGTATACTGGGCTGAGGCCATTTAGGGCTTTAAAGGTCAGCACCAACACTTTGAATTGTGCTCGGAAACATGCTGGGAGCCAATGTAGGTCTTTCAAGACCGGTGTTATGTGGTCTCGGCGGCCGCTCCCAAGCCTCTGCGGGGATCGCTGTCCCGCAGCGGCATGGGAGAGAGGTGCGCCCCCCAATGGCTGGCAGTGTGCAGCTACGGCCACCCCAACACTATCCGTGGTAATTTGGGGGCGCTGGGTGAATATTTGCACCCCGGCGCCGCATCTGCTAAAGACGGCCCTGCTTGTACCTCTCCTTCCGGCAACTTCTGCAGCCAAGCTGGTGCCAGATGTATTGCTCTGCTTTCCTTTGGACCACATCAGCAAGGTTGAGAGGGGTTTCTTGTCCTCTGGGTATCCTAGGACCTCCATGTACACCACCCAGGCTTGTGCTCCAGCCATGTAGCTCTAGTGTCAATTATGCAGCAAAAAGAACACGGGAGGCTGTGGTTTCACTGAATACGCCACTGTTTCTCGAGAAAGGCAGATGCCAACAACATCAGAGACTTCCGGAAAGGTCTAGCCCAAGATTCCTTTGAAGAAAGTCTGTATAAAGGTTAGCAAATAAATATTTAGCACATTGTCACTTAGCTCAGGTCTGCCTACACAGATTGACAGTTGCTCTCCTGGCCCTTTGTGAAGGTAGGGTATTGAATTAGGGACCTTCTGCTCTGTCTCTGAGCTGTGACCCCTGACAAGAGGATCCTGAACTGTGTGCCTCTTCCTGTTCCAGGTCCCTGGCCTTTCAGAAGAAGGGCCTGTTAACCTGCCTATGTTGGAGCAGAATTCATCAACCACCATGGAAATCCATCTCTTGCTGGAAGCCAAGCAAGAGGGCGATGATGGGGAGACCAAGTTGGTGGGTAAGGATTTTATTATGGCTAAATGTTAACGAGTTTCTTTTCCTGAGGTTGTTTCTGTCATTCCCTTTCCAGCACTGCTCTTTGACGGAATTATTGGCTGTCCTGCACAGAAACCTCTTTCTGTGGGCCTGTTTAGGGAACAGCCCTGTATTGGGAAGATTTTTAATGTTTTATTTTATATATATATATGTTGGCAGTGGCAACCCAGTCAGATGGATGGGTACTAATAAATTTATTATTGTTGTTGTTTGACCACTGGCTCCGTTCAGGTTTCATGCCACACAATAGTTTGCACTAACCGTGGCTTAGAACCCAAACCACAATTTCAGCTGCCAGCAAGGAAACCATGGCTTAGAGCTGATTCTCCACCTTAGTTTTGGGACTACAAAACATGGACTTTTCAGCTCAGGACTACAACTCCCATCAGCCCCAGCCAACACAGCTGGTTAATGGGAGTTGTAGCCCACAACAGCTGGGAGTACCAGGTTGGTGAAGAACCCTGCCAGAGCAGAAAAAGGGTCAAGTAAATGGAGCCAGTTCCTCTGAGGAGCACTTGAGAGGGGCACGGAGGGCTGGGGAGGGGTCTGGGGGTAGGGGAAGAATGAGGAGAATCATGAGAACCAGATAAAGAAGGCCCCAGGCCAGAGTCACTCCACTCCTCCTAAAACCAATACACCACATTAGCTATCCTGTACAGTGGTATCTCGGGTTACCTACACTTCAGGTTACATACGCTTCTGGTTACAGACTCCGCTAACCCAGAAATAGTACCTCGGGTTAAGAGCTTTGCTTCAGGATGAGAACAGAAATTGTGCAGTGGCGGCGCGGCGGCAGCAGGAGGCCCCATTAGTTAAAGTGGTGCTTCAGGTTAAGAACAATTTCAGGTTAAGAATGGACCTCCAGAACAAATTAAGTACTTAACCCGAGGTACCACTGTATTATTATTGGAGGCAATATGTAAGGTAAGAAGAGGTAACTTAGGTTGTTTTTCGATGTCTTCCAGCAGGTGATATGCAAGTGAGGATGAAGGAGGAGGATCCTGAGCTGGAAAGACTTGACTGCATGAACGTTGATACAACATCCTTGAAAAGTGCTGAAAGCCTATCCCTCCAGGCCACTGAGGAGGAAGTGAGGGATATAGGTCAGCAAAGACCCATACATCACCAGGAAGTCCATCTGGGAACAGCAGCAGAAAACACTGTTCATCCCAAGGAATGTGATGAAAGGCCCTTCCAAGGGAGGGTTCATGGGTGTAAGAGAGAAAAGGTGGCCTCTGACACTGGGAAAAGCCTCTCCCAGAACTTGGTCCTTCTCAATCGTCAGAGGATGCAGAAGGGAGAAAAGGCCTTCAAATGCTCATACTGTGGGAAAATCTCAAACGGAAGGACGAACCTGATGATACACGAGAGGACCCACACGGGGGAGAGGCCCTACGAGTGCTCAGAGTGCGGGAAAAGCTTCAGCACCACCTCGAACCTCATAAACCACAAGAGGGTTCACACGGGGGAGAAACCGTACACGTGCTTGGCTTGTGGACAAAGCTTCAGCCATAATGCGTCCCTGATAAGACACAGGAGGACCCATACGGGGGAGAAGCCGTACGAGTGCTCAGACTGCGGGAAAAGCTTCATTCAGAAAGGAGAACTGATTGCGCACAAGAGGACCCACACTGGAGAGAAACCCTACGAGTGTGCCGAGTGCGGAAGAAGCTTCAGCACCAGCTCTCACCTGATAAGGCATAAGAGAGTCCACATGGGTGTGAAGCGATGGAACTGCGTAGACTGTGGCAAAGGCTTCCATCAGAAACTCAGCCTTATGAAGCACAAGGGGACCTACACTGAGGAGAAGTAATAAAAGTACAGAGCAAGGATGAGGGAACCTGTGGTTCTCCAGATGTTTGGAACTCCCACTCCCACCAGTCTAAGCTAGCATGACCCAATGTTTGGGAATGATGGGAGTTGTAGTCCAGCAATATCTGGCGAGTCACAGCTTGTCCAAGAATATGGGTAGAGGGCTTCAGGTAGAAATTCATATTGTCTTGTTTCCACGATGGAGGTGGACAGAGAGAGGCTGCGATCAGCAGCTCAGGAATAGCTTGGTCCTTACAGTTTCTGAAAACATACAAATAATGTGTGCAAACATAACTTTCCCAATCTAACCATGGTTGGAGATCAATATCATGCCACAGATTCGCTCCCCATCTCCTCTATAGTACACCTTGCTTCTTTCCCTCAGTGGACTTAACCATAGCTCAGGATTGTGTCTACCTGTAGCTCGTGTTAATCAGGATTTGCACACCTGCAGTAGTGGCAGCAAGATGCGTACACGTACAGTCAATTAAAAGTTGGTTTTATTCCAGAAAAAACATGCCACTTGTCTGGAGCTCTCTGCCCCCGTGACTTATGGCTACCCTGATGATGACTCAACTAAATTCTCAGCGTTGTTCTTCTTCCTCCGGAAACAATGTGCAAAAACAAAGCTCTTCCGTTGCTTCAATATCCCCTTTTCTTGTACCCCTCCTCTTCTGCGTTCTTGCACGCTGAGAGGTTTGCAAACTGGTTCGGACAAGCTATCGTCTGCTAAGTCCTGTGTTTCTCTGGGCTGTGAACTCCCCCCTGCCCTTTCCTCTGATCTTCCCATGACAAACCTCCCTTCGTCTCCTGGGCTGCCGTCCAAGTCTGGCAGCTGCTGCTGTTCGCTTGCTGGCTCCAGCCTGACACCTGCTTAAGATTTTGGTTGCAGTCTTGTCTGAAGATAACCATGGTTAGAATTAGGGCTGTTGTCAGTGTAACATTGCACCATGGTTTGCTCTAAAAAAAGAGGAGGGGGGGACAAGAATTCTGGCGAAGGGGAAGAAGATTCGGGTGAATGGAGAGTCTGTAAGCACATATTTTGCATCCCAAACCATGGGAAAACGTTGCCGCTGGCACGGGCTGCTCTCTATACACACCCTCCTGGACAGACCTCAAATATTTATATTATTTATTTGCAATATTAACTGCCAATATAAAAAAATATGCCGTGATGGTGAACCATGTAAAATCAAGAATAAATTTGCCTTCGGAAATCCAAGTGCAAATGATAAATCACTACATCAGATCAAAAGAGATAGGTCAGCCATCAAGACCAGTTTATTGGCTCTCATCCAGCTGTGCCTTGGCACCAATCCAGTTGTTGCACAGCCACACCTGATTCACATGTTATGAAGCAGAATTGGGTGCCGTCAGGACGCTCCAAATCCTGTCTTGGTTGCTCCCAACTGCTTTGTATAAATCAGGGGTAGGGTACCTCTCTCACCCTCGGAATCCCACCGCCAGGGTGCACCCCTGCTTTGCTCCCCATTTGTTTTCTTGCCCAACTGGAATGTCTTCTTGAACTCATGATGTCTCTTGCGTCTCTGGAAAGCTGCAAAGGTAAAGTTTACATTAGTTGCTCCTCCCACTTTTGCCACTTGGACACTCCCGCTGTTGGCATGTGACCAGCGGAAGGTTGCTCAGAGGGGAATGCAGTTCTTCAGATCAAAAACGCTTCCCCATCCCTGCTATAGATGTCTAATAGCATTGGGATAAGTGCCCTGTGGAACCCAGATTCCAAGGGGCTGAAGAGCAGCTCCCCTGAAGCTGCTGCTTGCAACCAACCCTGGAGGTAACTGCTGTGAAACTGTGAGCGCATTCAGTACATGCCCCACAGGGCCGACCCCAGAGGATCCCCTGGCCAATGGCATCAAAAGGATATTGAGATCAGGCCCTGTTGGGCAGCAGGAGGAGCAAAACTGGGTGTGCAGAAAGTCTGAGAAACGGAGGCTAAGAGCAGGACAGAAGTGGAAAGAGCCAGGAGGGCTGGGAGAAAGCAACTGAGCATTTATTTCTAAAGACAGCTCTTCTGCGCAAGAGATGCTTTTTGAAATAAAAATACTGCAACCAGCTACTAGCAGGGCCCAGTTCACCCGTGAGGCAGTTGCCTCAGAGGGCAGATTGGGGGACAGTAAGGGAGGGGCCGCAGGTCCAAGCCCCAGAGACGCTGCTTTCCTCACTGCCTCCTGTTGCCTGCCTCCTCCCCTGCTGCTCTCTAGCCTTTTTTCACCCCCTCGGGCAGCAGCTTCAGTGGGTGATAACTTCAGCAGCAGTAGCAGGTGATCACCATTTTCTGTTTTGCCTCAAGAGGCAGTGGACTCTGCAACACAAGAAGTGGTGGACTCTCCTTCTGGGATCAAATCAGAAATCTCTCTCATTCTGGGATCAAATCAGAAACCAGGACGGCGTCTCTAAATCAGGGACATCCCTGGAAAATAGTGGCACTTGGAGGGTCTGTCTTTCCCTGCTTTTTCATTCGCTGCCTCTGGTCTCCTGCATCCATTTAGCAGAGAATGGGAGAGGTTTTGGCCATCATACTTCTCCTCCACCCCCACCAATATAAACAAAAGCACAAGGAGACACACCATTTTGGAGTGAGGACCAAAAAATAAAATTGTTTTACTATTTTATTACTTATTTTTGCAGTTCAATCTATCTATAAATTTTATTGTTTATAGCCAATGGCCACCCCAATACAATATGAGCACAAATCACACAGCTGCAAAACAAAAGACATTGCATGCACCAGATCAGGATAAATCTATAGCGTCCAAAAGTTATTTTCACGGTTGTTTCAATGGGAAGGATATAGGGCAGCAGAGTCCAGGTGGTGAGGTCCAGATTACAGCTTCCATCATCCTTGACTGTCAGCCCTGCTGGCTAAAGCTGATGGGAACTGGACAACAACATCTGGGGACACCTCAATGACTATTCTGTGATATACAGAATCTACAATACTCTCCTGGTATGCCCCACGGAAGACCTTAAGATCCATAAATAGCAACACCCTAGTGGTCCCGGGTCCTAAGGAAGTTAGATTAGCCTCAACCAGAGCCAGGGCCTTCTCAACACTGGCTCCGGCCTGGTGGAACGCTCTGCCTCGTGAGACCATGGCCCTGCAGGATCTGATATCTTTCCGCAGGGCCTGTAAGACAGAGTTGTTCCACCTGGCCTTTGGCTTAGAATCAGTTTGATTCCCTCCCCCTCTTTCTTTTTCCTTTCTCTTCCTGTGAAGAGGCTGCATCCTAATTTTTTTATGTTGTATTTTAATCTTGTTTTTTAAATTGTATTTTAATCAACTTGTTTTTATTATTGGTTGTTAGCCGCCCTGATCCCAGTCTTGGCTGGACAGGGTGGGGTATAAATAAAATATTTATTTATTTATTTATTTATTTATTTATTTATAAAAAAGGATTAAGACACTGATCCAGAAGACAATGAACTGCTGACTGTGGCTGGAATGAGTCCTCTCCAAGGACCTCTACAAAGATGTCAACATAGCTCTTTGCAAATAAACGTTCCCTTTTAGAGCAATCATTTTGCTCTGGAGAGAAGCGCCTGCTGGGCCTGAGAGGTAGATTTGGTCCCCTTAAGGCTTAAGCCATCCTGAGTTGGGTTTTGTTTCCTGACAGCCAAAAGAAAGGGAGGAGCATCTCTCCAGAGAACGAGGCTCCTAGGAAGGTGTAGAGATGGGCTCCTGTGTCGGCATCGAAGAAAGACACTTCCCTCCCATCATAGTTCAGAGTCACTCGGATCCGCTTGGGCTTGTTGCTCAGGGACAGTGGAGGGTTGTCGGGGGGGTTGAAGGCACTGTACCAACCTCCCCTCTTCCCCACAGCCCAGACGCCTCCTTCAGGACTTAAGGCTAAGCAGCCCTTTCTCCTCACTGACTTCCTGGCAACCCCAAGAGCCCACATCTCCTCACTTCCCACAATGACTTCCCAGTAATGGCTGCCTTTGGTGAAGCCCTCACGTCCCAGCACAGCAGGATCGCTGTAGAACCTCTCAGAATTGTTGGGCAGGTGTTGATATTCGTCTCGCCATCTCACGCTTTTGCAGTCCTCAGACAGGACAAGCCGAGGATAAGCTGTGGCTGGATCCAGAGTGACATTTGCTGTTGGGGAGAGAGATGAGGCGTAAGGAAAAGAGGCAGAATCCGCGGAAAGAGAGGACACACCAATGCAAGACAAAACCCAAGAACCAGGTTCCCTCTCTCATGAAATAGGACTTCATTGCATTGCATTCAGGATTGGGACCCTCCTCTCCTTCCTCCAGATGATAAATGCCCTTTTTGCTGTCTTTTTAAATTAGGCTCCCCCCCCCTTATTCAATATATGTTGCTGGATGAACGTTTTGTATATTCTGTTCATTGTCTTACATTTTTCTGACTTTTTCTGACTTTTACATTGTGTATTTTATTTGCTCAAGTTGTTTTGCGATATTTTCTCTGTATAAAGAGATTGATAAATGTAATAAAGAAACAAAATAATAACATTATTTATGCTGTACCCCTCCTGTCATTCCAGGTATCTCAAATGACCCAGAAAATGTTTACTTTCCTTTTTTGTGTGAGTGGATCCAGGAATTGGATGCTATGATGGCTGCAACATCACAACAGTGCAATTCACTCAAGTTAAGCTACTGATTGTTCCAAGGTCTGGGGGACGGGCTGTTTGAACCCAATAAAACAACATTTCCCATCCCCTCTGTGAATTTGGTCTTCCATTGGAAATTCACCTTTCTGAGCCAGTCTGAGGAATACAGTGTCTGAAGAAGGAAGAAGATAGAAAGTTTAAGCACTACAGTGTTGGACCTCTGGTAAATCTTGTCACAAAAATATGTCTTCATAACATACTGCATATTTAAAGTTAAAGAAATTAAGTTGAACAAATATTCTTTTTAAAAAAACTAATAATAATTGAAATTGAAATACTTTATTGTCACTTGTACAATTTGTATACAGTGAGATTACACGAGCACCCCCACTCAGCTCTCTTAGTCTTAATTCCCCTCGTTTACTGACGCACACCCACCAAACCCAAAAGTCAGTTGCCCTGTTGTTATCTTTTCATTCAGCAGCCTAACAGCCATGGATAGAAACATTTAGGTAGAGGCTGTTTGGAATGTCCCCTTACTTCTCCAGTGAAATGTGGAATCTCTTGTGAGACCAAGATGGTTGCAGCACTGGATTTTTTCATTCTGTGATTTGCCCTGAGATCTAATAATGAAGGGGTAGTATAAAATTAATTAATAGATGATAGATAGATAGATAGATAGATAGATAGATAGATAGATAGATAGATGATAGATAGATAGAGCAGAGTCTGAGAAGGAGATGCCTCATGAGGGTAATAGGTGCTTGTTGTGAAGCCCAAGCAAACTCTGAGAATCTCCCAAAGGACCACTCCTGATTGTGTAGATCGGCAACAATATGCAAAGGAGATTCCATATAGTTATGAACAGAAACATGTTGGAACAAAAACTCAGGACTTTACAATACAATACAATACAATACGCCCTGGTGCATTTGCGGTGGTTACCACTCCAGCCTCTGAGGACGAGAATGGCAATATAAATGCGGCAATGGGTAGTTGTGGGAGTGGGGGAATGATGACTAGGCTGCAAAGAAGGAAGCTCTGCTGATGCTACCACTGACTATTTGGCAAGAACAAAATATAATGAAGAGTCTGGCATGCTCATTTTCAGACTTATACAATACCTAGCATAAAATCCTCACCGCCATTATTCATTACCTTTGAACTGCTTCATGTCACCCTGCAGAAGGGGATTTGTAGCACAGAATTGCGAGATCCTTTTCTTCAGCTCTGGAGGGAGATCCACTGGATTCCCTAGTCTCTCTCTTTTCTCATATCTGGTGGAGAAAAACAATTTTAAACCACCCAACTCCAAGGAATGCAAAGGAATTGAGAGGAGGAAGGAACTGCTAGAAAGCCGAGAGGGAGAGGCAAACACAGAGGGATTGAGGCCCAGAGGGTTGGAGGAGATTATGGACGCCAAAGCCAGACACCTGGGGGCCAGAACACGGTCTCTGAGTCTCCCCACTTACATCTATGCCAGTAAAAAGAAACGTCAAGTGATACCATTACGCTCAGAGTTTCTCTGTTTCTAGCTTTGCAGCATTGCCTATAACATGCAAAGGGCATAGGGTTGCCATACGTCCGAAATTTTCCAGACATAGCTCAACAACTTTGCCAAAAAAAAGCCCAACAACTTCTGCATCCGGATTTTAATTTTTTGAAACATGGCAACCCTAAAAGGGCATAAATTATCTGAGTGTACAGTGGTACCTCGGGTTACAGACGCTTCAGGTTACAGACGCTTCAGGTTACAGACTCTGCTAACCGGAAGGAGTATCTCAGGTTAAGAACTTTGCTTCAGGATGAGAACAGAAATTGTGCAGTGGTGGCATGGCGGCAGCGGGAGGCCCCATTAGCTAAAGTGGTACCTCAGGTTAAGAACAGTTTCAGGTTAAGAACGTACCTCCAGAATGAATTAAGTTCTCAGCCCGAGGTACCACTGTATTGACAACACATTGCATATTTCATTCCATCACCCATTCCTTGGCACTGGGCCATTCTTGCCCTCTTTTCAACCCATTGCTCAGTTCATTTTTGCCTTGATTATGCCTTTCGGCTGCTCTAACCATTTGTTAAAATTCAACAAATGGAATCAAATGCAACTCGAAAAAGCACTTCAAGAAATAGCAGAGTGGGCTACAGAAGACAACTCCCACCATCTTAAAAGTATATGTAAGGGTATCTAAGAAGAAGTTTAAAAGTCTAGGAAAAAACTGAAAGGATTTTGCCTGGCTCTTAAAAGATGTTTTCTATTCTTTGTCATTTTCTGCGAAAGAGAACAAAGGAGCAGAAAAACAGGTTGGACATGAGGGGTTCAAAAGAGGGCTCCTGTTGTTACCTGCGAAATGCTGCAGGTGTGGGGAGTCCCCCTCTCTCTCCCTTGGAGCCTGGAGGGGCAGGTTTTATGTACTGGGCTCCTGGACCCTTCCCAGCCTCATGAGGAGAAGCTACTGGAAATGAGAAGGACCCACTTACCTCTGCAAGGTGCTTCTCACATCCTAGAGAGAAAAAGAGTGAGAGAAGAAGGGAAATCAGTGCCTGCCACAAGATAGACCCAGGATAGGATTCGCTCTGGCCCTTTGGGGCTGTGGGTTTCCCATGGAGGAGATATTCACGAGACTATTGTCAACAGACAAAATGGCTCCATTTCGACGCAGTGAAAGGTGAACTATTAGATGCAAATGAATAGAACAAAGCTGCTCCCACTTTTTAAAATCTGCAGGGAAACTTCCCAGTTTTTCATGCAACATAAGAGAGAAAACCCACATTTGCAAATGATGGAAAGAAGCTCCCACAGAATCGTAGAATTGTAGAGTTGGAAGGGAACTCGAGGGTCATCCTGCTCCTCTATAGAACAGCCCTGGCAACCAAATATATATAATCCAACAGAATATATATATATATATATATATATATATATATATATATATATTTATATCTATAAATAAGGAAACATCAAATCTTTAAAAACTTCCCAAAATGATAATAATTCCCTTACAAACACACTTTCAGCTGCTTCTGCCACAGCCTTACCAGGAGGAGTTCACTTCCCGGCTGCTGGCGTTTCTCCTCAATCTCCTGGATGATCCTTTGAAGAGAGGAGAGTTCCTCAGAGAGCTGGTCCATGAGCTGATCCCTTTTTGCTGCAATCTCTTTCTCCACCTTCTCCATCTGATTCAGCAGGCGCTTCTCTTGCTTTTTGAGAAACTGGCGCAGTTGCCTGAACTCATTGGCTGCCTTTTGCCTCTCCGTTTCTGTTAATTTCTGCAATAAGCAGAATAAAAAAGAAGAGGAAAGGAATTCAGCATCTGTATTTGTGTCCAGTCTTCGCAGAATAGAGGGGTGTTGTGAGAATTCCACAGGAAGGGCAATTCTGGCTTCTCAAAGCCTACGAGAACGCCTCTCTTGGTATGCCCCGCAGAGAACCTTACGGTCCACAAATGACAACATTTTGGAGGTCCCAGGTCGCAAGGTGGTTAGACTGGTCTCAACTAGGGCCAGGGCCTTTTCAGTACTGGCCCCAATTTGGTGGAACGCTCTATCACAAGAGACTAGGGCCCTGCGGGACTTGACATCTTTCCACAGGGCCTGCAAGAGAGAGCTGTTCCGCCTGGCCTTTGGTTTGGACTCCATCTGGTCCTTATGTTTCCCTCCCCTTATGGGTTTAATCTATGGGCTACTTTTAAAATGAGGCTGCATTTTAAATTGCATTTTAACCTGTATTTTAAATTGGTCCCCCCCCCCAATTATGTTTTTACTGTACTTTTACTGGTGTTAGCCGCCCTGAACCTGGCTTTGGCAGGGGAGGGCGGGGTATAAATAACTATTATTATTATTATTATTATTATTATTATTATTAGCACGATGAGAAGTCAGGAAGATGCTGACTCTGAGACTTCTAGACTGGGTGAGAAGCATTGGGGGTAAAATGCCAAGGATTGTAACAAGTAATTTGACCCAGAAAGGGCTGGTGGTGTAAAGCAGTGTTCCCCAACCGGGGGGACCCAATGATATTCTAAGGGGGCCACAGCAAGAGACTAGGGGGCCACAGAGGGCAGTGAAAAGTGTAGCAAGAAAATCCTGATTGGCCGGCTATTTGCTTGGCCAAACCCAAGTGGGTAAGGGGGTGCCCACCAGGGCCTGGCACTCCTTTTTGCCATTTGCATTTTCTTGGTGTAGTCCTGGTTTTTTTTCTGGCAGGAGAGGGTGATTGCTGAGGCTCCCGTTTCAATCAATAGAGCCCACAATCTAGAACCCTCTCTTGCCCTGACCTAGCCACTGTGATCCATGTGACGGTCACCTCCAGACTGGATTATTGTAACTCACTCTACATGGGGCTGCCCTTGAGACTGACCCAGAAACTCCAGCGGGTGCAGAATTAATTAAATAAATAAATAAATAAATAAATGTAATAATACTTTATTATTTATACTCCGCCCATCTCACTGGGTTTCCCCAGCCACTTTGGGCGGCTTCCAACAAAACACTAAAATACAATAACCTATTAAACATTAAAAGCTTCCCTAAACAGGGCTGCCTTCAGATGTCTTCTAAAAGTTTGTAGTTATTTTTCTCTTTGACATCTGGTGGAAGGGCGTTCCCCAGGGTGGGTGCCACTACTGAGAAGGCCCTCTGCCTGGTTCCCTGTAACTTGGCTTCTCACAGCGAGGGAACTGCCAGAAGGCCCTTGGCCCTGGACCTGTAATTTTATTCCTTATGGGGTCCTTGCTGTGGGATCACATTCACCCGGTGCTATACCAGCTGCACTGGCTCCCGGTAGAGTATAGGATCAGGTTTAAGGTGTTGGTTTTAACCTTTAAAGCCCTATAAGGCCTAGGACCCTCATACCTACGGGACCGCCTCTCCTGGTATGCCCCACCGAGGACCTTACAGTCTTCAAACAAAAACATCTTGGAGGTCCCAGGCCACAGAGAGGTTAGGCTGGCCTCAACCAGAGCCAGGGCTTTTTTGGCTGTGGCTCCAATCTGGTGGAACGCTCTGTCACAAGAGACTAGGGCCCTGCGGGACTTGACATCTTTCTGCAGGGCCTGCAAGATGGAGCTGTTCCACCCGGCCTTTGGCCAAGGCACAGCCTGACCCCCTTCTTTGGCAATCCTCACAGAACTCTAGCCCAATGGTTGCCATTAATATGATTTCAACTGATTTCATAATGAAATGATTTTAGAATGTTGTATCATTTTACTGTTGTTAGCCGCTCTGAGCCCGGCTTCGGCTGGGGAGGGTGGCATATAAATAAAATATTTTAAAAAAACAAAAACAAAACCCATGTCAGGTAAATGTGGTAGTGGGGTGGCAATGGGTAGGGCTGGGTGAGCCAGAGCTGCTTTTTTGCTGCCCCCTGGTGGCAGCCTGGGCCTGACTCTGCAATCCACCCCAGCACCTAGTGGATCGGGGCCTTTGGATGTTGCCGAGGCACTTTATGTCGAAATCAAGCCTTATCAGAGGAATTGGCCACTCTCCAGGCACCCGGCTTGAGTTAATAACCTCTCTGTCTGCGACTCCCGGCAGATGCAGGCGAGAATCTCTATCGGCGATCCTCCTCAGACGTGAGAAGAACACACCACTCCTCCCCTCTTCCCTGCTATCCCCAGGGAGGGGAAAGAGACAGACAGAAATGTATTTACATGCCTTTTATTTCTGTCTTTCCAGCAGTACAGAGAAACATGTCTGCACTCTCTTAACACCAACAGCCGAGAGAGAGAATAACCCCTCCCCTGTACTTCCAGTACAGGTCAGATGACACTCTGAGCTAACATCCGGTGCTCAGTGCAGTGAATAGACTGTCCCTTTGTTCCCACGGTACAGTCCCAAGCATCAACATCCTGTTTGGCTTTCCAGCCATCTGGAGCTCGCTGCTGCATTGCTCCTTTTTTTAACACTTTATAGGTTAAAACCAGCACTTTGAATTGGGCCCGGAAACTAATTCGTAGCCAGGCCAGTGCAGTCAGAAGAAAGTCACACTGCGTTCAGCGGGCCTTACTCCCAGCTAACAAATTTTAGGAGAGATGAGGCCTTTCCAAAAGGACAGGTGTTCTGAGGACTTGGGCTGCCTCTTGGCTTTTGTTTCTCTGCGTTTTACATGAAGTTTCTCAATATGAGAGTGATGGCTTACGTCCTCCTTCCCTTCCCAGTGTCCAGGTCACTTACCAGCAGGTCTTCGCTTTCCCTTTTTACCGCTGCTTTTTTTACCAGAATTTTCTCTTTCTCCTCCAGGAGATTCTCCAGGCAGCTATCCATCACATTCTGAAGAGAAAACAAAAACTCAGGATTGATTTGGAGAGAGTAGAGGTGGGCGATATGCTTATTTTCCGCCATGCATTCAAGCGCCTGGGAACAAGGTCGGCCCTGCGCTTAGGAAGAGTGATCGGCTTGAAGCTGCTCTGTCTCCTTGCAGAGGATGCGATCCTAGGTTTTAAGTGAGTAGTTGCAAAGTGCTTTCTGTCATTTTTGAGTAAGACCCGTTTGTATAACTCCTGCTATTTCTATAAATGGTATTTTTACTAGAGGCTTATGTGAATTGCTGAAACAGGCACAGAGCCTAAAAGGTAAATACAAATATATGTATAATTGCCATTTTTAGGGCAATTTCCTGTTTGCTTTCAGCCTTAATTCAAATTATGAAGTAATCTAAAGTTCAGTTCACATTGCTAAACATCATGTGAGAGGAGTTTTTCAAAACTAAAATTAATCAAGAGTTATCTTAGGTCCACTATGAGTCAAGCTCGGATCTCTGGCTTAGCCATCTTGTCAATTGAAAACAAAGTAGCGAAAGGAATTGATTTTGATGATGTGATTTCAAAATTTGCAGAGAACAAAGTTCGGAAAAAGGGGTTTTAAGTGCTTTTGCCTACAATGTTAAGTAAATAAACCAGAAAATAACACCTGCAACTATAAGTATCTTATTTTTCCTTCTTTTAATAATTTCAATGTGGGGGGGGCGGGGCGGGGTGACAAGAAATTTTAGCACCGGGTCCCGCCTGATGTTACTACGCCACTGAGCATAAGTGTGGATGAACCCTAAGATTCTCCTGTCAGACTGCACAGCTGCTGTGTTTGCAATGAGGAGAAGGGTGTTACCCTGTTCTTCACCCCTTGGGATGGATGAAACTATCCTTTACAAAATGTTCCAGGAAATGTCAAAACAAAGAATCCCTTAATACAGAATTTTTTTTAGGGGAAAGATGGGAGCCCCCATTATTATTATTATTATTTATTTATTTATTTATTTATTTATACCCCGCCCATCTGGCTGGGTTTCCGCAGCCACTCTGGGCAGCTTCCAACAAAACACTAAAATACAATAACCTATTAAACATTAAAAGCTTCCCTAAACAGGGCTGCCTTTAGATGTCTTCTAAAAGTTTGGTAGTTATTTTTCTCTTTGACATTTGGTGGGAGGGCGTTCCACAGGGCGGGCGCCACTACCGAGAAGGCCCTCTGCCTGGTTCCCTGTAACTTGGCTTCTCACAGCAAGGGAACCGCCAGAAGGCCCTCAGTGCTGGACCTCAGTGTCCGGGCAGAACGATGGAGGTGGAGACGCTCCCTCAGGTATACTGGACCGAGGCCACTACCTACAGAAAACTAGAAGCTCCCTTGCATTGGGAGTTGCTTTCCAGACACATTGAGACAATATTCTGCAAAGAGAACGCACGGTGGGGAGGAGGAAGGAGTCAGTTACCAAGTGCAAAGATGACTTCGTACCTTGTATTCCTGGACAACTTCTTCCTTGAGGACCACAGTGTGCGATTCATGTTCCGGGGAACGTTCACAAAACATGCACACCAATTCTTTATCATCTCTGCAGAACAGGTGGAGTCTTTCCTTGTGTTTCTCACATAGCTCCTTTCCTCGGAGTTTAAACTTTTCTGATATGTTTGCCAGGTCCCAATTGGGACGGAAATTCCCTTTCTGGATCTTGGCTCTGCAGACCGGACACTCCAAGTCCCCCGCACCCTTTTCTTCCCATTTATCGCTGCAGTTCTGGATGCAGCCCTGACAGAAGTTGTGGCCGCAGTCCAAGGTCACGGGGTCTGTCAGATAGTCCCTGCAGATGGGGCACAAGACTTCATCCTCCACATCTGTGGGTGGAGAATAGGAGGCCATGGTGGGTGAAGAGTCTGCGGATTTGTTGACAGAAGAGGCAGCTGTAGAAAAAAAAGCAAAATGAGAAGCAGCTAGAGGATAAAGGGGTTGGGGTGAAAACTATTGGTCAATAAGCATTTCCAAATCCTTCTAGTGGGGAGTGACAGTGCCTCCAGACTGTGTGTGTGTGGATTCAAGCACATTCTGGAGCTAAAATAGATTAAATAGCTCCACCATCCTATTGGAACAAACAAAATTTAAAAACACTTGGCCTTTTTGTGGTCTGCAATAGAAGTTTCTTGCCTGGGGCTAACAGTTTCTGTATGGATGTCTTATTTTCCACAGGATTGTGAAGGAGAAGGGAAGGGTTAAAACACCCCTGCAGGCTCACTGAGAACTGAATGAAAACAGCCCTTTCTGAGCAACCAGCTGCCTGGGAGCATAAATTGGGGTCTAGTGGTAAAATACTCACCCCTGGATTAGCTTTCTCTTGCTGCCAAGATGCTGGGCTGACTGATCGATGAGAAATTCTGAGGTTTTCTTTTTCCTCGGTCAGCTCTTCCTGCTCTTGCTTCCTCGCCCTTTCTTTATGACAGGGCAGAGAAGTGCGTATTATGTACAGAATGATGTAACTACAACCAGGAACTGTTGCCTTAAATGGTGCTTCTGGGAATGCTCATCTTCCTCCCTCTCTCCCTTCACTTCTCAAATATCATTGATTTCCTCTTCATCTTTGCTCCACCCTCAGTATAGAAGTCTGCATAGAAAGAAAGAAAGAAAGAAAGAAAGAAAGAAAGAAAGAAAGAGTGAAAGAGTTAACTACCCTTCTCCATCGTTATTGAATTGAGCATTCGTGTGAGACATAGTTTCTTTTGGGGAAGGCATGGAAGGCTTTTTAAAATCAGAAATATTACAGTAAATGGTTAATGAGTAACTGCTTTGGCCTTTCTTGCATGAACTTTGCCTGACACTTCAGCCACACCCATATTGTTCCTGATGCAGATATAGACTGGCTGTTCCTCTGTGTGTTCTGGGAGATCAAGAGGAAGGGAACTGGTCACAGTAGGAGGAAGATTCCCTGGCTTCTCCAGCAGCCTGTCTGATCTCTTCTTCTTGCCCCCCCCCCCTTCTGCCTCTGTTCTGGACTTCTCTCTGGTGCAGACTCTCCCTGCTCACTAATCCCTGTTGCCCCTTCAGCTTCTGACACCTCCTCCTCCTCCTCCTCCTCCCTGTCTACTCCTTTTTCTCCCTCTGACCACCCATTGTCATCCCACCTCTACGCCCCTAGCTCTGAGCTTTCTTCCCCTGGGGGTTCTCTTAGGGGTCCCCCAGCTCGTGTCCCCCACCACTCCTCATCCAGTCGGTCCATGGCAGTATGCCTTTCTTGGCTGCCTTCACTGCCACTCGGTAGGCTTGGTGGGGAGCCCTTTCCAATTTTTGATAACATTTGACGGGATCTTTCTGTTATGTAGTGTAGTTTCACCCTGGGCCAACAGGGGGATACTGTATATAGTTTTCACTCAGGTCTGTAGATAGTTTTCACTCAGGTCCGCGCCAGTTATTTTAGGCGGGAACTCTGGGCTGTTGTGGTTACAATGTTGACAGCCGGCTGCCTATAAATACAGGCCGGCTGAGCTGTTCGCAGTTAGTTCTATTCCAGCTTACCATAATAAAGAGCTACTTGAAGAAATCGCTGTGCCGGCTGCTATGTCAACCCACCACCTAACACTGGCGACGAAGGTGGGATAGATGGACATCAGAGCACAGCCAGATGCGGCCAGCCTCTGAACTGAGCTGAATCACTGAGCTGAATCACAGAGCGAAATCACTGAGCGAAATCACTGGGCAGAACCAATTCAGAGCTGACTGTTCTGGCTAGAGCACTGTGTTCCATCTATCGCCCTTCACGCCGGCATCGGAATCATGGCTTCACTTGTGCCTCTACCGCCGTTTGCGCCAGCCTCTGAATCATGGGACTCCTACCTCGCTCGGTTCGACTGCTACCTCCAAGCCAACGAGCTGACAGAAGCATCACAGGAGCGGAGCGGGGCCTATTCCTCAGCCTCTGTGGGCCTGAGGTGTTTGAGACGGCCCGAGCGTTGGTTGCGCCTGAAGCAGTCCAGGCAACACCATGGGACACGATCCAAGAGAAGCTCCGCAACCACTACGCACCAAAGCCGTCCAAGATTGCTGCCCGCCATGCGTTCTACCACCGGAACCAGGCAGAGGGAGTCAATCAACAACTACACCACCGCCCTGCGACAGGCTGCAATGCACTGTGAGTTCCGAGACTTAGACGATGCCCTGATGGATCGAATCGTCTGCGGGGTCCGGGACATCCATCTGCAACGGCGCCTCCTAGCCAAGCCAGACCTCACGCTACAGAAAGCCATTGAGGAGGCTGTGGCCTCAGAAGCTGCTGAACGCTCCGCCCAGGAGATCCGCAAGTCCAGCAGCCCGCGCCTTGCTAGGGAGCCAGTTCCGGTGCATCATGAAAAGGCCAGCAGTGAGGAGGCATCCTCCAGTGAAGACGATGACGTGCACCAGACAAAGCGGGAGCGCAGGAAGTTCCAACAGAAGTCCAAGGGCCAACCGGAATGTGCTGGCTGCGGAGGCAACCATTCCCGTGCCAAGTGTCGATTCAGAGACGCCATCTGTAGGAAGTGTTCCAGAAGGGGCCACATCGCTAAGGTCTGCCGATCGGCTCCGTCTGACACCCCCTTCATCGACTCGCAAGTCCAAGTCTTCACTCCAGTCTGCCAAGGAAAGTTGTTTCGCTCTCACCAACTGCCGCTGCCCGTCTGGAACCACGATTGGCCAAACCGACTCGCCTACGCGACGCAAGCTGAACGTCACGGTGCTCATTGAAGGAGCTCCATGTGACATGGAGATCGACACCGGGTCTGCCCTGTCCATCGTGTCATGGAGCACCATCAAAAGACTGGTACCCAGAGTGTCCAAAAGGCAACTCGACTCTCACCGCGTACACCTGAGAGACTACCAGGGAAACGACATTCCCGTGGTAGGCGTTGGCCGGTTCCGGATCGCCTTCAAGGATTTTTTGGGCCTGCTCCGGTTGGTGGTGGTCGAAGGTCAGCGGCCAAGCCTCCTAGGGCTAGACTGGTTTGATGCCCTCGGCCTGGAAGTCACCGGCATCAACTGCATCTCTAACGCAGAGACTGAGGGTCTGGTCAAAGACTTTGCCGAGGTTTTTGACGGCACCTTGGGCCAATATACAGGTACGCCCATCTCCTTTAGCCTTGATCCACAAGTCGCCCCCATCAAGCTAAAGCCACGCCGGGTTCCCTTTGCTCTCAAGGCTAAGGTGGATGAACAACTGGACAAACTGATCGCCCAAGGAGTTTTGGAGCCGGTTGACCACGCAAAGTGGGAAACCCCCATCGTCACGCCTGTCAAGCCAGATGGGTCGGTGAGAATCTGCGCTGACTACAAGTGCACGATCAACAAGGCACTTCAGCAGCACGCTTATCCGGTTCCTGTTGTCCAACACCTGCTGCATTCCCTGGGTGAGGGTAAGGTCTTCGCTAAGCTGGACCTTGCCCAAGCCTGTCAACAACTGCCAGTCGATGATGCCACTGCTGAAGCCCAGACGATCGTCACCCACCGGGGGGCTTTCCGTTGCCGCCGGTTGCAGTTCGGGGTGAGTGTGGCTCCTGGCATCTTCCAAAGCCTTATGGAGCGTCTCCTGCAAGGGCTTCCGGGCGTGGTACCATATTTTGATGACGTCTTGGTGTCTGCAGACTCACACCAGCAGCTGTTCGAGCGCCTCTGTGCCGTGCTGACCAGGTTCCAGGAGGCCGGGCTCAAGGTAAAGAGGGAGAAGTGCCAGATCGCCGTTCCACAGGTAGAGTTCCTGGGCTATCTTATCAATGCCTCCGGTCTTCATCCAACCACATCCAAGATCCGCGCTATCCAGCAGGCCCCCACCCCAAAGAACAAAACGGAGTTGCAGGCATTCCTGGGGCTGCTGAACTTTATAACATGTTCCTGCCCCACAAAGCCACAGTGGCTGAGCCTCTTCACCGACTCCTTAGCACTAAGACGCCTTGGGCCTGGGGTCATCGGGAGACGGCGGCCTTCAACGCGGTCAAGGCTCTCCTTTCTTCAGACAGTGTGCTGGTACAGTACAGTGAATCCAGGCCGCTGGTCCTTGCCTGCGACGCCTCACCTTTGGCATCGGTGCTGTCCTTAGTCACCGTTTTCCAGATGGAAGAGAAGCACCGCTCGCCTACTTTTCCAGGACACTATCTCCGACGGAACGGAATTACAGCCAGCTCGACAAGGAGGCATTGGCACTTGTGGCTGGAGTGAAGAGGTTCCATGAATACCTCTATGGCAGGACTTTTGACCTCATCACTGACCACAAGCCACTCCTGGGCCTCCTCGCCGGTGATCGTCCAACTCCACCGGTCCTCTCACCACGCATGCTGCGATGGACTGTTTTCCTGGCTGCCTACCACTACCGGCTCATCCATCGCCCGGGGAAATCGATGGGCCATGCCGACGCCCTCAGCCGTTGCCCTCTTCCAGCATTTGAGAGGACCACCGGTGAGAGGACCGGTGGAGTTGGACGATCACCGGCGAGGAGGCCCAGGAGTGGCTTGTGGTCAGTGATGAGGTCAAAAGTCCTGCCATAGAGGTATTCATGGAACCTCTTCACTCCAGCCACAAGTGCCAATGCCTCCTTGTCGAGCTGGCTGTAATTCCGTTCCGTCGGAGATAGTGTCCTGGAAAAGTAGGCGAGCGGTGCTTCTCTTCCATCTGGAAAACGGTGACTAAGGACAGCCCCGATGCCAAAAGGTGAGGCGTCGCAGGCAAGGACCAGCTGCCTGGATTCACTGTACTGTACCAGCACACTGTCTGAAGAAAGGAGAGCCTTGACCGCGTTGAAGGCCGCCGTCTCCCGATGACCCCAGGCCCAAGGCGTCTTAGTGCTAAGGAGTCGGTGAAGAGGCTCAGCCACTGTGGCTTTGTGGGGCAGGAACATGTTATAAAGTTCAGCAGCCCCAGGAATGCCTGCAACTCCGTTTTGTTCTTTGGAGTGGGGGCCTGCTGGATAGCGCGGATCTTGGATGTGGTTGGATGAAGACCGGAGGCATTGATAAGATAGCCCAGGAACTCTACCTGTGGAACGGCGATCTGGCACTTCTCCCTCTTTACCTTGAGCCCGGCCTCCTGGAACCTGGTCAGCACGGCACGGAGGCGCTCGAACAGCTGCTGGTGTGAGTCTGCAGACACCAAGACGTCATCAAAATATGGTACCACGCCTGGAAGCCCTTGCAGGAGACGCTCCATAAGGCTTTGGAAGATGCCAGGAGCCACAATCACCCCGAACTGCAACCGGCGGCAACGGAATGCCCCCCGGTGGGTGACGATCGTCTGGGCTTCAGCAGTGGCATCATCGACTGGCAGTTGTTGATAGGCTTGGGCAAGGTCCAGCTTAGCGAAGACCTTACCCTCACCCAGGGAATGCAGCAGGTGTTGGACAACAGGAACCGGATAAGCGTGCTGCTGAAGTGCCTTGTTGATCGTGCACTTGTAGTCAGCGCAGATTCTCACCGACCCATCTGGCTTGACAGGCGTGACGATGGGGGTTTCCCACTTTGCGTGGTCAACCGGCTCCAAAACTCCTTGGGCGATCAGTTTGTCCAGTTGTTCATCCACCTTAGCCTTGAGAGCAAAGGAACCCGGCGTGGCTTTAGCTTGATGGGGGCGACTTGTGGATCAAGGCTAAAGGAGATGGGCGTACCTGTATATTGGCCCAAGGTGCCGTCAAAAACCTCGGCAAAGTCTTTGACCAGACCCTCAGTCTCTGCGTTAGAGATGCAGTTGATGCCGGTGACTTCCAGGCCGAGGGATCAAACCAGTCTAGCCCTAGGAGGCTTGGCCGCTGACCTTCGACCACCACCAACCGGAGCAGGCCCGAAAATCCTTGAAGGCGATCCGGAACCGCCAACGCCTACCACGGGAATGTCGTTTCCCTGGTAGTCTCTCAGGTGTACGCGGTGAGAGTCGAGTTGCCTTTGGACACTCTGGGTACCAGTCTTTGATGGTGCTCCATGACACGATGGACAGGGCAGACCCGGTGTCGATCTCCATGTCACATGGAGCTCCTTCAATGAGCACCGTGACGTTCAGCTTGCGTCGCGTAGGCGAGTCGGTTTGGCCAATCGTGGTTCCAGACGGGCAGCGGCAGTTGGTGAGAGCGAAACAACTTTCCTTGGCAGACTGGAGTGAAGACTTGGACTTGCGAGTCGATGAAGGGGGGGTGTCAGACGGAGCCGATCGGCAGACCTTAGCGATGTGGCCCCTTCTGGAACACTTCCTACAGATGGCGTCTCTGAATCGACACTTGGCACGGGAATGGTTGCCTCCGCAGCCAGCACATTCCGGTTGGCCCTTGGACTTCTGTTGGAACTTCCTGCGCTCCCGCTTTGTCTGGTGCACGTCATCGTCTTCACTGGAGGATGCCTCCTCACTGCTGGCCTCTTCATGATGCACCGGAACTGGCTCCCTAGCAAGACGCGGGCTGCTGGACTTGCGGATCTCCTGGGCGGAGCCGTCAGCAGCATCTGAGGCCACAGCCTCCTCAATGGCTTTCTGTAGCGTGAGGTCTGGCTTGGCTAGGAGGCGCCGTTGCAGATGGATGTCCCGGACCCCGCAGACGATCCGATCCATCAGGGCATCGTCTAAGTCTCGGAACTCACAGTGCATTGCAGCCTGTCGCAGGGCGGTGGTGTAGTTGTTGATTGACTCCCCCTCTGCCTGGTTCCGGTGGTAGAACGCATGGCGGGCAGCAATCTTGGACGGCTTTGGTGCGTAGTGGTTGTGGAGCTTCTCTTGGATCGTGTCCCATGGTGTTGCCTGGACTGCTTCAGGCGCAACCAACGCTCGGGCCGTCTCAAACACCTCAGGCCCACAGAGGCTGAGGAATAGGCCCCGCTTCCGATCCTTTGATACTGCTGTCAGCTCGTTGGCTTGGAGGTAGCAGTCGAACCGAGCGAGGTAGGAGTCCCATGATTCAGAGGCTGGCGCAAACGGCAGTAGAGGCACAAGTGAAGCCATGATTCCGATGCCGGCGTGAAGGGCAATGGATGGAACACAGTGCTCTAGCCAGAACAGTCAGCTCTGAATTGGTTCTGCCCAGTGATTTCCTAACACCTAACACTTTCCTCCAGTTGTGTTTGAGCTGCCTCCTAGCTTGCTTCTTTGCCCTAAGCTCTGGAGTAGACCAGGGAGCCAAGTGGGCTCCACAAAGTGGGAGAGAGCCATTCAGATGTTCCAGGGGTCAGTCAGAGCTTTCACAGGAGCACTAGTCACCAACTGCCTATGCCATGTGCTCCTTACCGAGCCTGCCCCATTTCCCCTATACAGTGGGACCTCGGGTTACATACACTTCAGGTTACAGACTCCACTAACCCAGAAATAGTAACTCGGGTTAAGAACTTTGCTTTAGGATGAGAACAGAAATCATGCGGTGACAGCAGGAGGCCCCATTAGCTAAAGTGGTGCTTCAGGTTAAGAACAGTTTCAGGTTAAGAACAGACCTCCAGAACGAATTAAGTTCATAACCATAGGTACCACTGTATTTCCCCCTACTCTGAAGCACTGTAATTACACCCCCCCCCTTTCTCCTCTCTTCCCAGGCACATGCTGCACTCATTTAAAACAAAACAACCAAAATTTAAATGTTGTTTAGTCGTGACCCCAGAGCACGCCAGGCCCTCCTGTCTTCCACTGCCTCCCGCAGTTTGGTCAAACTCATGCTGGTAGCTTCGAGAACACTGTCCAACCATCTCGTCCTCTGTCATCCCCTTCTCCTTGTGCCCTCCATCTTTCCAAACATCAGGGTCTTTTCCAGGGAGTCTTCTCTTCTCATAAGGTGGCCAAAGTATTGGAGCCACCTCCAATAAAATTTAAATACCCACAGATTAAAAGCCATTTTAAAGCATTTTAGACATTTGGGGCAGTAAAACCAATAACGGAGACCTGAAAAGGAGACCCTAAGCACTGCCCCAACCCAAGAGTTTGTTTCAGCATTATTTTTTAATATGGAGGCTGGATTCTGCCCTCCGGGTCAGGTGAAAAAGGCCTCCCCGCAGTGGATAAGTCCTCCAGCATGAGTTCTGGGGCCATGAGTTCTGTGAACTAGACCCTCCATGGCCAGAAGAGAGCTACCACAGTGAAGCAGATCTGACTCGTCTGAGAAATAGCTGGATTAAGGCTGTGCAAAGGCATTGTGAGCCCACCCCCAGCCAGAGGAAGTCAGGGCATCCATGCCCATTGCTCCCTGGGTCCTGAACCAGAAGAGCTCCACCTTTTGGTTTTCTGGACTTGCAAACAGGTCCACTCTTGGGAGGACAAACTGATCCCCTATTTGCTGCAAAACCTGTTGGCGAAGGCTCCATTCCACCTGGGAGGTCTGCTATGTGGTCTGCTGATAGGGATTATAGATTCCATCACATCTGAAAGTGGAGGGCCTGTCTGGCCACTCTGAGCTCCAACCTGTTTATGGATTGGCTGGCTTCTTCCTTGGATCAGGTCCCTTGGGCATACTGGTATTCTGTGTGGGCTCCCCACCCCAAGAGACTTGTGCCCATGGCTATTTGCACCTGTTAGGGTGCTGTTAGATGGTAGTCCAAGAAAGTATAAAGACAAGGGAAAGTTTCTAACAGTCCTTATTTATTTCAAACTTTATAGAGAGAAGCTGTAGAACCCAGCCTCTTGGATAATGGCATTGTCCCAAGTGAATCTCCACCCCCCCCAATCTCTCCCACCTCCTCATTCGCCGCCATCCGCATCACCTGCTCTGCCACTAAGTGCTCTTTGTCTTCAAGCTCTTTGCTCTCCTACTTTTATGGCTCACTGGTTTCCCCAAGTTTGGGAAAGTGTTAAGGATAATAGTTTAATTTCCATAAACCTGCCCTTCTACATTCCTTGAATTTCATTGTCTGTCTGACCTCACTTTTTTCTTTCCACCCATGAACACATGGGTGTGTGTGTGTGTAGAGAGATAAATATAAGCAGCTTACATTCATGCTTCATGCATCTGACAAAGGGCATTTCCAAACCATCTCTGTTTTGGGGTGGGATTCAGTCACACACAGGAAAATTCAGGTTTCGTAATTAAAGCTGCTTTGGAGTTCTTGCGCAACAAACACACTTCACCAAAAGACTGGGCGCTCTGCAAGGAACAAAACGACCGGGCAGGGGGGTGGCACAGACCAACCAAACGATACAGTGGAATACATGAGAATAAATCTCTTGAAAGGGATCTTTGCTTTATTGAAATTTCATGAACCCATTACCAGCAAAAACCCATTTTGAACAACAACAAAAGTAGATTATTAGTAACTGGCCCAAAGGAATCCAAAGCAGCCATATTCACAAACTGAGGAAGTGTACGTGGGAATGATGCACTGAAGCAGGAAATCCGGATCCGGCTCTCTGTTCTGACCAATAAGCAGCATTGTGGGGAAAGTCCAGAATGCCAGATTCCAAGCTATCCAGATCAACAGTTCAAATTAAAAAAGCAAGGGTCTCCAAACAGCATGGCCCCGAAGATGGAAAACAAACACTACCAAATTCTTTTCTGCACATCCAGAGACTTGACAGTCATCATCACTTATCAGGAACACAGGGAACCCTGAGTGGAAAACTCCATACATTTATATGGTTATCCGCCTGTGTGAATTTGCTTATGAATATTAAGGTCTCCACTCCCTCTGGAGCTCTTTCCAGATTCCATACATCTATAATTTCCCCCTGTGTGAGTTAGCTGATTTTTCCTAAGGTGTTCCTTTTCAATGAAGCTCTTTCAACATTCAATACGTTTAAATGGCTTCTTCCCAGTGTGAGTCCGTTGATGTTTTCTAAGTGATCCACTTCCACTGAAGCTCTTTCCACATTCAATACATTTATATGGTTTCTCCCCCGTGTGAGTCCGTTGATGTTTTCTAAGTGATCCACTTCCACTGAAGCTCTTTCCACATTCAATACATTTAAATGGTTTCTCCCCTGTGTGAATTCGTTGGTGTGTTCTAAAGTGTTCAATTCTACTGAAGCACTTTCCACAATCAATACATTTAAATGGTTTCTCCCCCGTATGAGTTCGTTGATGTGTTCTAAGGTTTCCCCTTTCACTGAAGCTCTTTCCACAGTCAATACATTTAAATGGTTTCTCCCCTGTGTGAGTTCGTTGGTGTGTTCTAAAGTGTTCAATTCTACTGAAGCACTTTCCACAATCAATACATTTAAATGGTTTCTCCCCCGTATGAGTTCGTTGGTGTGTTCTAAGGTTTCCATACTGACTGAAGCTCTTTCCACATTCAATACATTCAAATGGTTTCTCCCCCGTGTGAGTTCGTTGGTGTGTTCTAAGGTTTCCACTTGTACTGAAGCTCTTTCCACATTCAATACATTCAAATGGTTTCTCACCCGTGTGAGTTCGTTGATGTATTCTAAAGGTTCCACTTGTACTGAAGCTCTTTCCACATTCAATACATTCAAATGGTTTCTCCCCCGTGTGAGTTCCTTGATGCGTTCTAAGGTGTCCACTTCCACTGAAGCTTTTTCCACATTCAATACATTTAAATGGTTTCTCGCCCGTGTGAGTTCGTTGATGTTTTCTAAGTGCTCCACTTTCACTGAAGCTCTTTCCACAATCAATACATTTAAATGGTTTCTCCCCCGTGTGAGTTCGTTGGTGTGTTCTAAGGTTTCCCCTTTCACTGAAGCTCTTTCCACATTCAATACATTTACAGGGTTTCTCCGTGTGAGTTCGTTGATGTATTCTAAGGTTTCCACATTGAATGAAGCTCTTTCCACATTCAATACATTCAAATGATTTCTCCCCCGTGTGAGTTCGTTGGTGTGTTCTAAGGTTTCCCCTTTCACTGAAGCTCTTTCCACATTCAATACATTTAAAGGGTTTCTCCCCTGTGTGAGTTCGTTGATGTCTTCTAAGTGATCCACTTTGACTGAAGCTCTTTCCACATTCAATACATTCAAATGGTTTCTCCCCCGTGTGAGTTCCTTGATGCATTCTAAGGTGTCCACTTCCACTGAAGCTCTTTCCACATTCAATACATTTAAAGGGTTTCTCTGTGTGAGTTCGTTGATGTATTCTAAAGTGTTCAATTCTACTGAAGCACTTTCCACAATCAATACATTTAAATGGTTTCTCCCCCGTATGAGTTCGTTGGTGTGTTCTAAGGTTTCCAAACTGACTGAAGCTCTTTCCACATTCAATACATTTAAATGGTTTCTCCCCTGTGTGAGTTCGTTGGTGTGTTCTAAAGTGTTCAATTCTACTGAAGCACTTTCCACAATCAATACATTTAAATGGTTTCTCCCCCGTATGAGTTTGTTGGTGTGTTCTAAGGTTTCCATACTGACTGAAGCTCTTTCCACATTCAATACATTCAAATGGTTTCTCCCCCGTGTGAGTTCGTTGGTGTGTTCTAAGGTTTCCACTTGTACTGAAGCTATTTCCACATTCAATACATTCAAATGGTTTCTCCCCCGTGTGAGTTCGTTGGTGTGTTCTAAGGTTTCCACTTGTACTGAAGCTATTTCCACATTCAATACATTCAAATGGTTTCTCCCCCGTGTGAGTTCCTTGATGCATTCTAAGGTGTCCACTTCCACTGAAGCTTTTTCCACATTCAATACATTTAAATGGTTTCTCGCCCGTGTGAGTTCGTTGATGTCTTCTAAGTGATGCACTTTGACTGAAGCTCTTTCCACATTCAATACATTTAAATGGTTTCTCCCCTGTGTGAATTTGTTGGTGTATCCTCAGTTTTCCCCTGTGACTAAAGTACATGCCACATTCCATGCATTTAAACTGTTTCTTTGTTCTTCCTAATGAATACAAAGGCTCCATAGAATACTGGCCGTCATCTTCCTCACCTGTTTGGGAGTAGAGGTGAGAGAATCCTGTTAAGACTTTCAAGAAAGACAAGAAAGGGACTGAACACATTCCAAACCCAATGTCCACATTCTGTTATTTTAACACTTTCCCCATTCCCCACTGTCCTCTCTATGTTCCAATTTATAGCAATGCAGATGAGAAAATGGCAAGAGCAACACATGATCACTCCATTCACACTAAGTAATACAGCATCATTTTATAATGCAGATCTATGGTAGCATAGTCAAGACCGCATTTTACCAGCTTCTTTACAAGAATATCATGGGGCACCTTGTCAAATGCCTTACTGAAATCAAGGTAGGCTATATCCACTGAGTTCCCTTCATCTACCAGGCTTGTAATTCTGTCAAAAAACGAGATCAGGTTAGTCTAGTATCTTGCTAGAATGGGAAATAAAAGATGAGGAGGTCAAATCAAATGGGCACAAGATATAGGACACAATATACAATTTGAGCACTGGGAAAAAGCGTGGAAAATATTTTTAAAATTTAAAGACTGTTCTCTTTTGAAAGAAAACTATATGAAAATGATGTATAGATGGTATATAACACCAGTACAGATAACAAAAATGTATAAAACCTGGTTAAACACATGTTGGAAATGTAAAGAAAAAGAAGGGACTTTTTATCATATGTGGTGGGAATGTAGAGAAGTAAAAAAAATAACGGGAAATGATATATAATGAATGGAAAAAAATGTTTAAATTAACATATGTTAAAAAAACCAGAAGCATTTTTGTTAGGGATTGTAGGGCAAGACCTGCCAAAAAAAATAAAGAACTTATTTATGTATGCTACAAAACGGCAAGAGTCTTGTTAGCACAAGGATGGAAGAATGAGGAAATCCCAACGAAAGAACAATGGCAAGAAAAATTGATGAGCTATGCGGCATTTGTAGCGTTCGCACCCCGAAATTCTACAACCCGAACCTAATGTAAGTAGAGATATTATGGCCTAAGCTTTTGTGGGCTGCAGTCTGACAAAGTGGACTCTTGTCCAGGAAAGCTGGTGCCACTATAAACTTATGAGTCTCTTTGTTGGCTTTGTGTACCAAAGTTGTACCACAGTTTCTCCATGTAAGCTTATGGGTGGACAAAATTGCAGGGGTGCTCTAAATTATTATCCCTCCCACTCCCTCACTCACTCACTTTCACACACAACCCCAGTCTGTAAGATTGGCAAGTTTACACAATTTGCTTATAATACTAGCCACCTTTGGTCTTCCTCTGCCCAATCCCATGTATAGAGCCTCCAGCCACAGGAATTGTGTATCATGATAATTGGTCCTTTGTCCCTAAACAAATCAAACTGGGGAGGTGCATGCATTTATTGTGTTTGGATGCGGGTGGAATGTACCACTCTGACCCTGTCTATAAAAAATAAAAGTAATAGAAACAATTTAAATATATGAATTATAAATAATTATACCTGGAGTACTGTGTCCAGTTCTGGGCACCACAGTTCAAGAAGGACACTGACAAACTGGAACGTGTCCAGAGGAGGGCAACCAAAATGGTCAAAGGCCTGGAAACAATGCCTTATGAGGAACGGCTAAGGGAGCTGGGCATGTTTAGCCTGGAGAAGAGGAGGTTAAGGGGTGATATGATAGCTATGTTCAAATATATAAAAGGATGTCACATAGAGGAGGGAGAAAGGTTGTTTTATGCTGCTCCAGAGAAGCGGACACGGAGCAATGGATCCAAACTACAAGAAAGAAGATTCCACCTAAACATTAGGAAGAACTTTCTGACAGAAAGAGCTGTTCGACAGTGGAATTTGCTGCCAAGGAGTGTGGTGGAGTCTTCTACTCCCACTACTTTATGAAAGTGATTCCAAAAACAAAGAGCTGCTTTGGAGAAGGCCTCACCACTTCCTTCTTCCTGTCAGGAACTTCCTTCCATTTGTCTCCTCTCCATCTTTTCCTCTTTCTCCCTCCACCATCCATCTATCCCTGTCCCCATCTCCTCTCCCCTGGAACTCACCAGATTTCTCCAAGTGTCTTGGGAGGGAATGCTCAGAGGTTGTGGGGAGGGATGCGGGAGACAGCCTGACCAGGTCACCCGTCCATCTTCCTCCTTCCATCCTGGCCAAGGTTGCAGGTTCAGTCTCAGCTAGGTTTGCAGCTTCAGCTTCCTGAGGAGCCCAGAAGCCAGAGCAAGTTGAAGCTTCCTGGGAGGGAGGGAAGAAGAAGAAAAGGGAGTTTCAGAGCCCCTGCAGGGATTCTCCTGCCCATGGGGCTTCCGGTTCTGGTCTGCCTTAATGGAGGCAACTCCTACAACAGCGGGAGATCATTATCGAAGAAAAAACAAGTATGATTGAGGGTAATCACCATTGCAAATCCCCCCCAGGGATGGGGAAACGGGCTTCACTCACAGATTGTCTTGGTACCTGGCTCTTGCTCTGGAATGGAATGCGAGAGGCAGGGAGGCACTGAGTACAAAAGCACTTTGCCTGCCGATAACTCTCCTAAGCTGCCATGAAGAAGCAGAGGTATTTCTGTTCATTAGATTTTAATTTGGACTAATCTACAGAGGCGTGCTGGGAAAGGTGAGATCATGAACTACATAATCGAAAAGTTGCAAGCTCGTTAAGGTTTTAACTTGGAAAAACAACATCATTCCATGTAAAAGTCGGAGTGGGGTGGAAGCCTTTGGCTTCTTTATACTAAGTTTGATTTTTTATATTTATGATTCGGCAACTCTCCCCTGAAATACTTGTTAAAATCATGGATGTATTGGCGATGACGGTGAAAAATGGATTGCAGATGTGGAATATAACATCAAATGGAACTGTGTGTGTAAAGAAAAGGGGGGGGGAGGGAGAGAAACTATATTTTCCAAAGGTTTATGAGAGACACCATTCCCTACTTTTTATCCTCAGGCTGAACTGAATAATGCTAAAGACTTCAAATTTAGTTTAATTGGATCTAACTTCTTATCGGCTGAATGGAGAAGTAACAGTGGGCTGGAAGCTTGCCAAAGAAGGTTCATTACTAGCTAGCTAGCTAGCTTTCCTCTCCTCGCCAGGCTGAGAGGAAATGGTGTATACTTATTTTGATAGTATGATTTCTGCAGCTGCTGCTTAAGGTGCAAAATAATGAAGCTTGGAATGGTGCAATGGAGAACTTATAAAACAGCTGTGGAATACTAGCTCCACCCAAGACATGATGTAGAACAGCGACAACTAACAAAAGATAGACATAATACAGTACAAGGACAGGAAGAAACATTATGGACACAATAATAGCCACACACAAGAACAAAGAGAGTTTGAATGCTTCACCCCTAGGACTGTAAATTATTTGATGTGTTAACGCGAATAGAAGTCATTAAAATTGCAGATGTGGTATAAGGGTTTGTTATTCTGACTTGTGTGTAATTGGAATTAGTAACAGATAGGTAGCCGTGTTGGTCTGCCATAGTCAAAATAAAAAAAATCCTTCCAGTAGCACCTTAAAGACCAACTAAGTTAGTTCTTGGTATGAGCTTTCGTGTGCATGCACACTTTTTCAGATGCACACGAAAGGTCATACCAAGAACTAACTTAGTTGGTCTTTAAGGTGCTACTGGAAGGAATTTTTTTTATTTTGGAATTAGTAAGATTTTGGAATGATGATAAAGTAAATCATCCAGCCATCAATTCACGTGGGGACCAACAAAATTGTATCATTTGGCGTCTGAACAATTGGCATTATTAATTGTATTATAATTTGGTGTTGTGTCAATGAGGCTTTTATTGGATTATTGTAATTGAAAATCTGTGTGTGTGTGTGTGTGCGTGCGTGCATGCATATATATATATATATATATATATATATATATATCCCATGGGGCTTAAGAGTTCATTTGCAAAGGACTGCTCTGAATACATGGGTGGCCCTTGCACGGAGAAGAAGGAAGCCCCTTGCTTGCATCAGGCCCCCTGGGAGAGGCGGGGGATCCGCCCACTGCTCCCTCTGCCCTCGCTGCCCCCTCCACTGCCCTCCTGACCTGCAAACACCCTTTGCTCCTGTTGCTCAGGGGAGAGAGGCAGGAAGAACCTCCAAACCCATCCGTTTCCTCCTCTGCAGCCCAGTGAGAGGGGAAGGAGCTGCAGCGCCTGGTTCACTTCAGATACACACATGGTTTACTGGAATGTGAATGAACACGGCCTCTGCCTTCCATGGGGTGGGAGTGGGGTGGGTTAAAAGTGGTGAGGAGACCCCCCCCCCAGTCCTTTTGGGAAACAGGAGATTTGGTCAGGAGTAAACAACTTAGATGGCAAGTTCACAAGAGAAGCACTTTGGAGCACTGCTTGCTCATACATGTGTGTTCTGTGTGTGTTTGGACCTAGAAGACAACATACATGTTTATACCACATGATTCCTTAAAGAGGGCACTTCTTTAAATTTGAAGGGCATTTCTACAAAACGGAAGACTTCTGAAGGCAGCTCTGTACAGGGAAGTTTTTGGTGTTTTTTATTTTGTTGGAAGCCACCCAGTGTGGCTGAGGCAACCCAGTCAGATAGGCTGAGTGTAAGTAGTAGTATTATTATTATTATTATTATTATTATTCCCTCCTAAGCCCGTCCTGCTATACATGCTGGTCAGAGACTCTGTCCCAACCTCCCCCTTGAACACAACAGGGCTTCCTGTTTTTCCTGCTATTCTTTACATTTCTATACTGCCCTTCCTCCAAAGATCACAGGGCAGCTTACAAGAGAAAAACACAGAGATGCATAACAGAGTAAGAAATAAAAAGGACAACGTCCCTTCCTCTGCAGTTGTGAAGGCCATAGATAGTTTCATGAGCCAAATGTCTGAGAGAAGAGGAATGCTTTGGCCTGGTACCTAAAGATAAGGAAGGAAGGAAGCCGGGACACTGAGGTCCTCCTACGAGGGGTCTTCTGCTGGGGTATAAATATTAAAATTAATACTATTATTAAGGCGATCCTGGCCAGCAATGCCCACCTCTCTCCCCTCTCCCCCCTCCATCCCTGCAACTCCCTTTGCACCAGATCCCTGCAGGAGGAAGCTTCTCTCCCCCCCCCCTTCAAGGCCCCCTTTAAGAAAACAGCTCCCTTTCCTCCCTTCTCTTCTCCCCGCCCGGATCTTGTGCAGGGCCCGCCTCTCCCCGTCCGGGGGCTTCTCATCCTGGACCCCCTCGCAAAGCCCCTTCCCTCCTTCCCCGCCACTGGCTTTGCACTCACCCGAAATCCCGGGCAGCGGGGGCGGGAATGGGAGCCCCCGCGTGGGAGGCAGGGAGTGAGGGCGCTTAATTAGGAGGCTTGATTAGGAAGAAGCCCCCTCCTCCGCCTCCGCAGGACGCAGCCTCGCTTCCCGCCTCCTCTCCTCCCTCCTTTGCAAGCCCCGATTTTATCTCTGCTGGTGAAGCCGGAAGTCGAGGCAACTCTGAAGAGGACGAAGAAGTTTCTCCCCATGTTCAGCCTCTTGTCTGTTATTTGATAATTGGGGGAAGGAAAACCTTGCAGCACCCAAGCAATGGGGAGACGAGGGAGGGAACGTGTGCATGGGGAATAGAAGCTCATTCTTTGCCCCAGCTGGACTGTGCCTGCTTTGGCTCCCAGCTCTTGCAAGAATATATCGTCCTCACTGCTTCACCAGTTTTGTTCAGATTGCATTTTGAGGAGCAAGTTCAAGGGTCTTGTTATAGGAAAATCCTTGGGCTCACCTGGATTACCAAACAAAGACACCAGCCAGGAATATAGGAACAAAACAGGTGCCAGGAGGCCTGATCTTTATTTTTTAAAAAACTTGCAACAGGACTTCCGCCCGCCACCAGGAAGGAAGCCCAGAACAAAGGATGACTCCCACTCTGATCAGTTTTACAGAGATACTCACAACACCCCTAAAATTACATCAAGTGATGCAAAAGAGGTATTTACATGTCCCTGTTTCCCAGCCAAGTTAATCACACCCTTTTGTCTTGATCTGGGTTTCCTATTGTTTCTGGAATGGCTACCTGTCCCGCACTCAGGTATCAGGATGCCAGAGATTATATCACTCAGGCAGAGGGGCTGCTGAGTACATGGGCTCACACTTTAGAGATTATGGCTGCCTTCACTCATGTCCCAAGCTCCTCCCTTGGCAGCCATTTCCTTCCTGAACAGAACAACGTTGGAATGGTGTAAATCCAACACTCAAGTGATTCTATATGAATTTCTGAAGTTTTCCCAGTGAGCCAGGACATAGATACAGTGGTCCCTCGGGTTACATATACGCTTCAGGTTACATACGCTTCAGGTTACATACACTTCAGGTTACAGACTCCGCTAACCCAGAAATAGTACCTCGGGTTAAGAACTTGGCTTCAGGATGAGAACAGAAATTGCCGTGTGGCGGCAGCAGGAGGCCCCATTAGCTAAAGTGGTGCTTCAGGTTAAGAACAGTTTCAGGTTAAGAACGAACCTCTGGAACGAATTAACACTTAACTCGAGGTACCACTGTACATTTATTAGTGAATTGTTATGTGCAGCACAGTTCCTTTTGAATGGTTAGGAAAAACTGTAATGATGTGTTTTGTGGGGACATTTGCAGAAGTGATTGTGTTGATTTTGGTAGTTGGTGTGTGTGTGTTTGTGTATGATGTCTGCTGAAGGGGCAACCCCCCCCCCCCATCTCCTGGACAGAAGTCTCCCTGTTTATATTATAGGGAGGGAACACTATCTCTGGCTTATTGCACATTCATTACACACAGTGTCTTTTGCAGTGTCCTGTATTCTCCTCACAGACACAGAGACACAGGAACATTGAACAGGGGCTTGCAGCAGCAGCAGCAGCAGCTGCCGGACAGACTACCGGCCAAAGAATTCCTCACATGCAACCACTCCCATGAATCTTTTTGGGGGAACCATGTACTTTAAATACGTGCTGAATGTACACTACAGATGTGAAATAAATATTCTTCATGGGAAGTACTGAGAAAAAGTGGAGGGAAATTTTAATTTGTAAGGACAGAGGGGGAGTTCTTTGCTTCATTTTCTGTCGTGAAAAATAAAGCAATAAATTTAAAAAGCAACCCCTTTTTTCAGTGCTTGCTTTTAAAGCAATAAAGGTGCAGGTACTCACCATGGAATTGTTATAGTAAGTACCATACTTTGAACAGTTGGGGAATGTTGTGGATGTTGGAGTACTCACAGAAAAAAGCCCCACTTTTTTTTTAAGCACCATAATTGCACGGGGGGTGGAAGACGATTGGCTATGTCCAGTAATACCTGTATGCAGCTGTTATAATAAAAATACTGCTCCCTTTCCCTTAAGGGAAAGGGAAAGGGACCCCTGACCGTTAGGTCCAGTTGTGACCGACTGGAGTTGCGGCGCTCATCTTGCTTTATTGGCCGAGGGAGCTGGCGTACAGCTTCTGGGTCATGTGGCCAGCATGACTAAGCCGCTTCTGGCGAACCAGAGCAGCGCACGGAAACGCCATTTACCTTCCTGCCAGAGCGGTACCTATTTATCTACTTGCGCTGGTGTGCTTTCGAACTGCTAGGTTGTCAGAAGCAGGGACTGAGCAGCGGGAGCTCACCCCGTCGTGGGGATTTGAACTGCCGACCTTTTTTTTTTTAAAAAAAATAATATTTATTACTTTTCCAACAATTTAAACACAACACTACAAAAAAAGAACAATACAATACAAAAACACTACATAACACTGACACATTAAACTAACATAACCAAACAAAAACAGTTTAAAACACATCAAACAATTTCAGTATCTTATCTTTCATTCACTTATTTCAACGACCTCCTCATACCTCCCTTTTTGTATTCCACTTCTGTTAATTGTTTCAGCAATTCCTTTCCATCTTCCTCTGTTTTCTATCCTATAATTATCTTAAAACATTCTAACCTTATTTTTTCCTTTAATATTCTATTAATCTATTTATACTTAATTCCTTATAACATTTCTACTAAAGCCATATAACTTCATTCCAACATTCTTCTGACATTCATTAATTTTACAGTATTTCTGTAAATAGTCTTTAAACTTTTTCCAGTCTTCTTCCACCGACTCTTCTCCCTGGCCTCGGATTCTGCCAGTCATTTCCGCCAGTTCCATATAGTCCATCAACTTCATCTGCCATTCTGAACTGCCGACTTTCTGATCGGCAAGTTCTAGGCTCTGTGGTTTAACCCATAGCGCCACCCGCGTCCCCTTTCCCTTATGGGGTATCTAAAAGCCCATATAGAGTCCTTAAGTACAGTGGTGCCCCACAAGACGAATGCCTCGCAAGACGAAAAACTCGCTAGACGAAAGGGTTTTGCGTTTTTTGAGTCGTTCCGCAAGACAAATTTCCCTATGGGCTTGCTTCGCAAGACGAAACGTCTTGCGAGTTCTTGCGAGTTTGTTTCCTTTTTCTTAAAGCCGCTAAGCCGTTAATAGCCGCTAACAGCCGCTAAGCCGCTAATAGCCGTGCTTCGCAAGACGAAAAAACCGCAAGACGAAGAGACTCGCGGAACGGATTAATTTCGTCTTGCGAGGCACCACTGTAGGTTCTCTATCAGTAGGAGAAAATAACAGAGGCTGTTATGAGAATTATAAGGTCTTAGATATAAAATAAATGCTCGTAAATATACCAGGCAAACACATACATAAATATATATAACAGACATTTAATTCCAGCAAGCTGGTCTATGACCGTAATAATAAATTATTATTATTATTATTATTCTTAAAAACAGAGGCCAACCAGAGAATATTGAGAAGCAAAGCAGCTAGTAAGCATGATCTTTATTAAAGGAACTGTTGCAACAGGGTCCCCCACTCCCCACATGAAGGGAGGGAGGAGAGGAACCTAGAACAATGGTGTGCAAGCTGTTATGTAGACATTTGAAAATTGCCTCCTCTGTAGCTCAAGACCACCCCCCAAAACATCATACATACATCACAGAAGGGGTGGTCTACAGCAGAAAACCTGTCTGCCAGGATATCTGATAATGGTCACTGATTGCTTTTACCTAGGCATCCTGGCCATTTTTTGTGATGGTTAATACTTTAGTTCCTCAATCCAGGTCACAGGCTCACCCTGTTCACACACAGATACGCTCTTAAGACAGGATTTGTGAGCAAAGAGACAATGGGGAGACTTTCCCATTTCCTTCCTCCTTGCAGAGAAACATTTGAAGTCAATTTGGAAGAGACAAAATGGTTTCAGGATTGTTCTCCTGTACTATTTCAGACACTTCATTTATGTACTTATGTATGTGTTTGGCCTTGTAAATTTATGAACATATTATATAGATATATAGATATATCGATATAGATATAGATATATATGTCCTTAGAATTCCTATAACACAACCATGTACACAAGAACTCTGTAGCAATGATGCCACAAGCACATGGGGTCTCCCAGGGATCTTCCCCAGGGGGAGTCAATTGCTCTGTAAAAAAAAGGAATCTGACACCAAGATCAGGCAAAACCACAAGTTGTTTTCAAAACACGGCTGCACAGCCAACTTCCCAGCTCTTGCTATAAAGAGGGAGGGCCCTGCTCTGTTTACAGCATAGATACTTTATACCCTAAGCCTGTCCGAATTTCCCTCCTCCAAATCTCCTTTTGATCAGGAGACTGCAGTTCACAGACTTCCCAGTTTGCCTCCTTCATATTCTCCCCTTGATATTTATATTGCTTTCACGCACACAGCAACCCTGCAAGGGAAGTTTCGCATAAAGATGGTGACCAGCTTTAAGTCACCCAGTCAGCTTCATGACTGAGGAGGGATTTGAATTGTCCCCGGCATTTGTGGACCTAGATCCTTGTGTAGCAGGAACCCCCCCCATCCCAATCATTCAGTTTGTACAAACTTCACACACTCACACTCACACTACATATGCCACACTTGTGTTATAAATTCATAGAAAAATCAACCATACATCGGATTTGCACTGCTCCATTTTTATTTTACTCCATATGACAAGGACTATCAAAGGGGGGTGGCTTGGTTCTGGTCAGCCATAATCCCTTCACCATCCCAGCACATCCACAGGAGCCCTGCCCAGTTGCTATGCCAACCCTGATGATCCCAGACAGAAGACAATCAAGATCACAAAGAACTTGCATATGGGAGTGGATTCAGCATGGACTGAAACAAAGGACAATGATCATATCTTCCCTCTGGGGGCAGGAAAATGCCAACTCCCCTTTGTCTCCTGGAAGTGACTCATGGGGAGTGGGAAAGGAGGAACCAGCCAGGTGACAGGACACTCAGGTTACCACCACAACTCCTCCCTCAACCCCTCCTTTCTGTAATGTATGCATGATGTTTCTGGGGGTGGGCTTGACCTAGAGGATGGGAATTTCAAAAGTTTTTATAAGGTCTTGCACACCATCTTTCTGGGTCTTTCCTCTCTCCTGCAAGTGAGGGGAACACCCTGTTGCAACAGTTCAATAAAGGCCAAGCCTACAGGCTGCTGTTTTGCTCCAAGTTATCCTGGTTGGTGTCTTTGTTTTTGTCCAAGGGAGCCCTCGGATTTTTCCGGTAACACTTGGACTCCAGCTCCCATGAGCCCCAGCCAGCGTGGCCAACGGCTAAAGAAGACGTGAGTTGCAATTTGACATCAATCTGGAGGGGCCACAGGTTACCCAACAGGTCCGTTTTCAGCAGCTTGACCTTCTTCTGGCGCAGCTGCCCCTGGAACTCCTCGTACTGGATGTGCTTCGTCCTGTAGTGCCTCTGCAGGTTGGCCTTCTTCAGGACGGAGAGGGCCTCACCACAAATGAGGCACACGGGCATGCCTTTCAGCTCCACAAAGAAAGAGTCGTGTGTCCATCTTTTTTGAAAATGCGGCACTCCAAATCTATCTTCCTCTTCTTGTGTGACGGCATTGCAACCAAATGATCTAACAACACAGGAACAGGTGGAGCGGTTAACTGGATTTATTCCAGGGTGAGGGGAGTGATAATATAATTATTATCAAGACCGATCCAAAGAAAATACTGGAAACGAAGGCTCCACAACCACCATCTTGTGCTTCAGTCCCCTTCAGCCTTATTAATGGGAGAGGAAGCCCTGCCTTCCATGGTAGGATTAAAAACTCAGATATCTATCAGTTAATTGCTAAATGTCTCCTTAAACCTAGGCTACGGTCACCACAATGGAATGTTGAAGTGCCGTTTCTTATTTTTGGCAATGAAATTATCATTATCATTATTTATTTCATTTCTATACCGCTTTATATTTTAAAGAAAAAGCCTCAAAGCGCTTCACAACACATCAAATAAAACAAATAAAAAAATAAAAACCAATTCAAGCTTCAAGGAAAATATTTCAGATCCTTCTTCTCCCCCTCTTCTCGTGTGGGTTCTCCCGTGTGTCAGGAGAGAGGGGCTACCTGGCTGAAGCTCTAACTGCAGTCAGGGCAATGGGAAGGTTTCTCACCTGTGTGGATTCTGACCCCCAAGCTCTTCCTGCATTCAGAGCACCTGTATGGCTTCTTCCCCATGTGGATCCTTTTGTGTGAAGTGAGCAACGATTTCCAGCCAAAGCTCTTCCTGCCTTCGGAGCACCAGTACAGCTTCTCTCCTGGGAAAGCCCCCTTGCACACAGTGAGCTCCTCAAGGCTTTCCCACACAGGCTGCAGTGATTGGGGTCAGGGCCATAGTTAGGGGACAGCAAGGAAAGCCCCCACTAGGGGCGCAGGTGAGGAGGGCCCCCCCAAAGCAGCTAAAAAATATGTCAGTAATATGTCTATAAATAAAAATTTCGATGATCGCCTGATAAGAAAAAGTTTTAAATAGAGGGTCTTTATATGATACCCGGGGGCCCTGCAACACAGCCGCTCAGAACAGAAAAGGGATTGGGGTGTGGAGGGGGGTGTCACCCAGAAGAGAAGCGGCTCTGGCCCAGCAGAAGCCCACCCTCCCCTCCCTCTCGGCAGCCTGACCAAGAGGGCAAGTTGAGCTTGGGGGCAGTGCGCAACGTGAGGGAAGGCAAGAGGGTGCATGTGTCTCTCTCTGTGTGTGAGTGGGTATCCAAGTGGAGGGATGGTGGAGGGAGCCAGCCCAGCACCAGGCTTCAGAGGTTCCTTTCCTTAGTGGAATGAGGGGGTTGCTGCCTCTGCCGCTGCTGCCGCCATCACAACACACGAAGGCAGCAAAGGCAGCAGCTGGCAATTTATTGCATATAGGCTCTACCACTCGAGCTGTGGGGGTTCGGATTGGTGAACACCGATCGCATATTCGTAATGCTAATTTGGAGGCACCTCCGGGAGAACATTTCCCCCATAATCATTCAGATACGGATCTATTATTTACTGTTTTATGGGTGAATCAGAAGGCAGTTAGCATCAGAAAAGATTATGAGCGACAGTTACGGCAGCAAGAAACAGTTTCTTTTCATGTTTCAAACCATTTATCCAGGGGTTCTCAACTCTTAATTTAGACCTTAATTGTTTCAAATTTCATTTGATTATTTGTATTTTGTCTGTAACTTTACACTGCTCAATTTATCCCAATCTCCTTGTATTTGTATTGTTACTTTGCACCGTACCTTTAAACTCAATCTCCTTGTTATTAGCACCACCTGGAGTTGGCTTTATGTTTTTCAAAAAATATTGTTACTAAAAGAGTATGTACTCTTTTTCATTACTGTTTGTATTCTACTTTAAAATTTTTGTAAAGTGGTATGTCATGCAGGTCATCATCTGCAAAATTTTATTTTCAGTTTATGAAGCAATTCTATATCCTCCCACCACGCTGGCGAAGAATTCTACGAAACAGTAGTCAATATCCGGAATCACTGTTCAGTGTTGGACATCATATTTGCTGAATACACAAAGCTTCACAGCTTGTCTTTCATCCTGCAAAGTCTGGTACCTCACTTCATTTAAAGATTTCCAGAGACTTTGAGACTAAAGATTTCATTTTCATTTTGTACAGTGGTACCCCGCAAGACGAATGCCTCGCAAGACGGAAAACCCGCAAGACGAAAGGGTTTTCTGTTTTGGAGGCGCTTCGCAAGACGAATTTCCCTATGGGCTTGCTTCGCAAGACGAAAGCCCATAGGGAAATCTCCGGGGACCTGTTTTAAATGCTGGTGGTGGGGAGCAAAGCCTTTCCCCCCCTCCGGCCTTCAGAAGAGGTCCAGGAAGGCCGGCGGGGCCGAAAGGCTTTGCTCCCCACCGCCAGCATTTTAAAAACAGTCCGGCATAGCAGGGAAGCGCTTCCCGCTATCGCGGACGGCTTTGAAGGCAGGCGGGGAGCAAGACTTTCGCCCCTGCCGGCCTTCAGAAGAGGTCCTGGACCTCTTCTGAAGGCCGGCGGGGGCGAAAGTCTTGCTCCCCTGCCTGCCTTCCCGGAGAGCGGAGAAAGGCAGCGCCTTTCTCCGCTGTCGCCGACGGCTTTGAAGGCGGGGGAAGACTTTCGCCCCCGCCCGCCTTCAGAAGAGGTCCAGGACCCCTTCTGAAGGCCGGCGGGGGGCAAAAGTCTTTGTTCCCCCCTGCCTGCCTTCCCGGGAGAGCGGAGAAAGGCAGCGCCTTTCTCCGCTGTCGCCGACGGCTTTTGAAGGCAGGCGGGGGGGAAGACTTTCGCCCCCCGCCCGCCTTCAGAAGAGGTCCTGGACCTCTTCTGAAGGCTGGCGGGGGGCAAAAGTCTTTGTCCCCCCTGCCTGCCTTCCCAGGGGCTTTTAAATCGCCCCGGACAGCGGAGAAGTCCTCCGCTGTCCCGGGGCGATTTTAAAATGCCGCCCGCCAGCATTTTAAGATCGCCCCGGACAGCGGAGAAGTCTTCCGCTGTCCCGGGGTTTTATAAAATGCTGGGGGTGGGAAGAAAAGCCCTTGTCCCCCCCCCCCCCAGCCTTCAGAAGAGGTCGGGGACAGACTGTCCCCGGACCTGGTCTGAAGGCGGTTTACCTAGGAACGCCGTTATTGTTTTTAAATGCATTCCTATGGGAAACCGTGCATCGCAAGACGAAAAACTCGCAAGACGAAGAGACTTGCGGAACGAATTAATTTCGTCTTGCGAGGCACCACTGTACTTGTTATGGTTTGAAGGAATTCTGTAAAGCTTGTCCATTGCGTATATACATGGTCATTGTGTTGCCTATAGAAGGATCTGGCAACTTCTGTTTCAGTGTATCTGAAGAAGTGTGCTTGCACACGAAAGCTCATACCAAGAACTAACTTAGTTGGTCTTTAAGGTGCTACTGGAAGGAATTTTTTTGTTTTGATTGTGTTGCCTAGACATTGCTGACGTGAGCTTAGGGGTGACAGCGGCCACAGTGCTGAAAAGTCCAAATAAATGGGCAGTCGCAGATCATGAATCTTACTTTCCTCCAACTTCCAAACCAAAACAGAGGAAAAAAGATTTCAGGTTTGAAAGTGGCATGTTAGTCAGGTTTGCTAAACCAAAACTAAGCCAAAATTTAGCTTAGAAAGTGTGAGGCAAAATACAGGGCAGTAAAACGAGGAACAGGGTGGTGAATCCAGGGCAGGGCAGGGAGGGGGATTGGTGGGCAGTTGGTTTTCTTTTTCCACCTGGTACTGAAGTGACTTCAAAACAATCCATTCCAATCTCCTGCAGCCTCACAGGATGGCCCCCCCCCCCCCGGAATTTGTCACACATGCATGCACGCACCCAGATACTCATGAATCTGTCAGTCTGTCTGTGCTTGGCTACCCAGAGTTTAAATGCAGGACCTCTCTCTCTCACACACACCCTTTCAAACACAGGTGCTTGGAGAGAATCCCTAATTTGGCGGGGGGGGGGGGGAGAGAGAGATCTGAAATACTGGACAAAACTATCAATACAGGACATGGCATTTTTGTATTAGGCAAAGCAGGACTTTATAGGTGATAACCAGCACATTGTGTCCAGAAACAGACAATTAGGCAGACGGAGCTGTTCTAATATGGGAGTCCTATGCTGCCTATAGCCAGCCCTGGTCAGCAAAGTGTCTGCAGCTCTTTGAGCCATTGAAGTTTCTGAGCTCTTTTCAAAGGCAGCCCCAGGTAGAGTGTGTTAAACTAACTCCTACGCAATGTGGCGCCAGACTGCTTTCTTTTTTTGTAATTATCTGTTTGTTTTAAAGTCTGTAGCTTAAATTCTCTTGATGCTTGTTTTTTTGAGAAGGGCCTCTTACGGTCACAAAGCAATGATTTTCAGGGCAGCTCCATAACACTGATTGTGCCCTCACACTGCCCCTTTTTGTGTGGGGATTTGGATCCAGAAAAGGAGCAGACAGGGAAAGGTTAAGCAGAATCCCACCCACCCCCCGCACCACCCTTAGGTGTGCTCAGCCTTCACCTGCTTCATGACTCCACCTTGCATGAGAAGGCAGGATGGAGCTCCAGGAAACAGGAAGTGGTCCTTCAACCAGCCAGGACATCTCACCATCACAGACAGATCCAGTCTCCTGCTGGGGAGTCAAGAGTGGCCCTGGGATGGCAGAGAGAGGAGGGGAAGGGACCAGCGCCAGAAGGAATGGCAGAGCTCCAGATGCTCCCTTGGCCCCCCCCTCCCTTGACACCAAGGGGAGCTCCTCTTCTGGGGCTGAAAGCATTGCCGTGGAGGTTTCATTTTTGTCATGATTGCAAGGGAAGAAGGGAAGGTAACCCCCTCCCCCAACACAAAGAACTGAATGAAAAAAGCCCTGTTCTGAGCGATTAGCTGCTGGAGAGCATAATGGGGGGTTTAGCTGTGATGCTCACCTGCCTCCCTGGAGGAGTCTTTTCTTGGGGTCAGGGAGCTGGGGAGCAACATGAAGTTCCCAGGTTACATTTCCTTCTGGTCAGCTATTCCAGCTCTTGTCTCCTCCCCATTTCTTTATGGAGGGGCAAAGGCTATGCACTTTGTATAGATGCAACTATAACCAACAACTGGCGTCTTCTGGGTGCACTGAGCTCCCCCCCCTTCCGCCTTCTCTCCTCCAGATATAATACAGATTCCCTCAGCATCGTGCCCCACCTTCCAGAAGGCAAATATATATGGTTGTTTATTTAGGACATATTTATCAGCAGTGATAAATATGACATTAATTGGTTACTGAACAACAGCTTCAATGCTGTCAACATGAGCTTTGTCTGAGGTTTCAGACATATACATTTCGTTCAAGAAAGATGCAGAAAATACTTTTCCTTTTTGATTCTGGGCACGTGACTTCTCCCATCCTGCTACCATCATGGCAGACATTTGGGGCTGAGATCCAGGGACCCCTCAGCAGCAGCAGCAACAAGTGGAGCCCCCACAAACATTTGTCACATTTTGAAGGGGTTTTTTTATTAAAAACAAACAAAAGGCTTTTCATTAGGCTCTCATAGCCCTGAAATTAGCTCTTGAAAAAGAGAGGGTTGTCAAATAGCATGGCCCCCAAAATTAAAACAAACACTTCCAAATTCTTTTTTGCACCCCCAGAGACAGGGCTCAGCAACCTTTTAAAGTCGAGGGCCAGATCACTGTCCTCAAACCTCGCCGCGGGACGGAGTATGCATGCACATTCTTTTGTTACTACACGATCCAAAGATTAAACAAAAAAATAATAAAGTTCTGAAGGTCCCAGTTCTGCACCGCAGCATATCTGTTCCGTTCTGAGAGACCCTCCCAGGGTTCTGGGGTGTATGAAGCCTTGATTCCCTGTTTTTAACTCCGCTACAGCGAGCGGTTCCTTCTGCAAGACGCATGTTCTCCGCTCTCCTGTATTGGAGGGGGAGACGCTTTCGGAAGCAGAGTTAAAAACAGGTAAACAAGGCTTCATACACCCCAGAACCCGGGGAGGGTGTCTCAGAACGGAACCACTCGCTGCGGCGGCAGGAGCAGTGAGCCAGTTGAGGGCAGGAGAGGGGCTGCCTTAAATGGCAGCCATCAAGTAATCACGCTGGCACAAACAAAGCCCAGGCCCTAGGCTCTAGGAGGAGGGAGGGAGGAGGAAAGAACTCTGCAACCAATCAGAGGGAAACAATGCTGCTGGCACCAATCAAAGGCTAGCCCCCTTCCTCCGCAGGGCAGGGAGAAGCCAGAAGGGAGGGAAGAGGCGCCGCAGTCAGGAAGAGAAAAAGAGAGAGAAGAATGGTGCAGCCCAAACTATATGAATCAGAACCATGATGCGATTTCTGGACCTTCCGTGGGCCGGATCCAGAACCCATTCGGGCCGGAACCAGCCCGTGGCCCTTAGGTTGCTGACCCTTGTCCAGAGACTTCACAGCCATCTTCACTTCCTAGGAACTCTGGGAACTGTAGTTCTGGGAGGAACCTCTCAGAAGTTTCTGAGCCTCCTCAGCCAACTACAATTGGACATCCTGAGACTACAATTCCCAGAAAAGCTGGACCAAGGCCTTTAGCCACAGCCCTGACCAAATAACGGAGCTCTCTCTTCTCTCCCTCTCCACCTCCCACATTCACAACAAATCAGTCTCCCACTCCTCAGTCCCTTTCACTAACCTCCCCTAGCCCTAATTCTTCCACATTCCTTTAAAACATTTCTGTGAGCTAAGGAACACAAAAAACACCCTCACTGGTCACCTTCCACAGGTCAAAAGCCAATGCAGAAAATATTTAATAAAAACAGCTCTAAACAGGTACACAAGAGCACAGAAAAAAGGAGATAAGTTTCAAAAGCAATACCAAATGAACATTTAACACAGGGACCTTTCATTCAGCTGGAAAATGCTATCAGTAAAAAGGTCTTCAATGGGTTATGCAAAGTCCAAGTAATGAGCGCCTGGAATACTGATCTACAAGACAAGGGCAGCCCATCATTTTGGCAGTGAAAGGCAGACCTGAAAACTAAACAGATTCAACACACACCTTGAGCATTCCAGATTCACACTCCCTCCCTGTTTATCTAGCAAAAAGTTGCCACTTATTTTGTACATTTAGTATATATGACCTTCATTACTTTTATACATACATTTGTGTATGCAAATTTAAGTACAAACACTAAAACATCATTCCATGCATTTACAACTGATTTCCCCCTTTATGAGTTTCTTGATATAAGTAGTGAACCCTGAGTAGAAAACTTCATACATTTACATCGTTTCCCCCGTGTGAATTTGCTAATGAATATTAAGGTCTCCACTCCCTCTGAAACCCTTTCCACAGTCAATACACTTGTACTTTTCATCGTGTGTGAGTTAGCTGATGTTTCTCCCCTGTGTGAGTTCGATGATGTATTCTAAGTGTTTTACTTTCATGGAAGCTCTTTCCACACTGCATACATTTAAATGGTTTCTCCCCTGTGTGAGTTCGCTGATGACGTTTAAGTGTCTCACTTCGACTGAAGCTCTTTCCACAATCCACACATTTAAATGGTTTCTCTCCCGTGTGAGTTCGTTGGTGTATTCTAAGTGTTCTACTTTCACTGAAGCTCTTTCCACATTCAATACATTTAAATGGTTTCTCCCCAGTGTGAGTTCTTTGATGTATTCTAAGGATTTCATATCGACTGAAGCACTTTCCACATTCAATACATTTAAATGGTTTCTCCCCCGTGTGAATTTGTTCATGTACTTTAAGTGCTCCGTTATGACTGAAGCTCTTTCCACACTGCATACATTTAAATGGTTTCTCTCCCGTGTGAGTTCGTTGATGTATTCTAAGTGTTTCACTACGACTGAAGCTATTTCCACATTCAATACATTTAAATGGTTTTTCTCCTGTGTGAGTTCGTTGATGTATTCTAAGGTGTACATTTTGAATGAAGCTCTTTCCACATTCAATACATTTAAATGGTCTCTCTGGTTTCTCCCCTGTGTGAGTTCGTTGATGTTTTCTAAGTGTTCCACTATGACTGAAGCTCTTTCCACATACAGTACATTTAAATGGTTTCTCTCCCGTGTGAGTTCGTTGGTGTATTCTAAGATCTCCACTTCGACTGAAGCTCTTTCCACATTCAATACATTTAAATGGTTTCTCCCCAGTGTGAGTTCTTTGATGTATTCTAAGGATTTCATATCGACTGAAGCACTTTCCACATTCAATACATTTAAATGGTTTCTCCCCCGTGTGAATTTGTTCATGTACTTTAAGTGCTCCGTTATGACTGAAGCTCTTTCCACACTGCATACATTTAAATGGTTTCTCCCCCGTGTGAATTTGTTCATGTAGTTTAAGTGCTCCGTTCTGACTGAAGCTCTTTCCACACTGCATACATTTAAATGGTTTTTCTCCTGTGTGAGTTCGTTGATGTATTCTAAGGAGTCCATTTTGAATGAAGCTCTTTCCACATTCAATACATTTAAATGGTTTCTCTCCTGTATGACTTAGCTGATGCATTCTAAGGTGTCTACTTTGACTGAAGCTCTTAACACACTCCATACATTTAAATGGTTTCTCTCCTGTATGACTTCGCTGATGACTTTTAAGTGTGCCACTTTGACTGAAGCTCTTTCCACAGTCCACACATTTAAATGGTTTCTCCCCCGTGTGAGTTTGTTGATGTATTCTAAATGCTCCACTTTCACTGAAGCTCTTTCCACATTCAATACATTTAAATGGTTTCTCCCCCGTGTGAGTTCGTTGATGTCTTCTAAGATTTTCACTGCTACTGAAGCACTTTCCACATTCAATACATTTAAATGGTTTCTCCCCCGTATGAGTTCGTTGATGTATTCTAAGTCTTCCACTTTTGCTGAAACTCTTCCCACATTCAATACATTTAAAAGGTTTCTCCCCCGTATGAGTTCGTTGATGTATTCTAAGTGTATCACTTCGACTGAAGCTCTTTCCACATTCAATACATTTAAATGGTTTCTCCCCTGTGTGAGTTCGTTGGTGTATTCTAAGTTTTCCACTTCGACTGAAGCTCTTTCCACATTCCGTACATTCAAATAGTTTCTCTCCTTTGTGAGTTTGTTGTTGTATCCTCAATTTCTTTGTTCTTTCGCATAAATTCACAGGTGGCTCCATAGAATTCTGACTTTCATCTTCCTCACCTGTTTGGGAGTCTGGGAGGAAAGAGAATCCTGTTAGACTTTCAAGAAAGACAAAAATGGAACTGAACAACTGTCAATCCCAGTCTGCACCTTCTCTCATTGTAACACCTTCATTCTCCACTATCCTCTCAAGGTTCCAAATTTTACGAAAGCTAATAATGGCAAGATAATGGCAAGAGCAATACATGATCACTCCATTCACACTTACTAAGGCATCTTCATTTTATAATACAGATCTATGCTGGAACTGGTTTATTAGACACATCTCTATTTCTCTTTCTCAAGTGAATGATCTCAGGCTAAAGTAACAGTATCTCCTTTGTGAAATAAATAAAACTTAAGTGCTACATGTAACTGTAAAAATATTGCACTATGTTGGAACCTAAGAAGAGCCTGCTGGATCAGGCAAAGGCCCACCTAGTCCAGCATCCTCTTCTCATAGAGGCCAACCAGATGCCTGTGGGAAACCGGCAAGCAGGATTGGAGCACAAGAGTCTTCTCTGCCTTCCTGTGCTTTCCAGAAACTAGTATCAAGAAGCATTATTGCCTAGAACCACGAGGGTAGAGCAGAGACGTCAGTCTTATCCTTTTCTTCAAGCTATCCAAGTTGCTGGCCGTCACTGTCTCCTGTAGGATAGATTCCATAAATGAACTACGCTTCTGTTTATTCATCTTTTGCAGCCCTTAAAGGCTGATAAATGTATTCTTGCCTAAGCTTCTGTGGGCTGCAGTCTGACAAAGTGGACTCTTGACCAGGAAAGCTGATGCCACTATAAACTTGAGTCTCTTTGTTGGCTTTGTGTACTTATTTTCAAATTTGCACCAAGGTTGTACCACAGTATCTCCATGGAAGCTTAGGGACGGACAAAATTACAGGGTGTCAGCTCTGTGAATCTCAAGCCTCTCGTGCCTCCGCTGACAGAGCCTGAGAACGCAAGAGATGTGATTCAGTTGGAATGTGAAGCAGGGGAGGAGCAGCCAAGCTGCAGCAGGAGGAAAGAACAAAGAGCAGGAAGAGGGGGTGCCAGGGGGGGGGGCACAGACTGTTATCTCCAGTTTGAGGTCTGACACAGAGACCCTGGAAATAGCCTGTCCAAAAAATCGTAGGCTCGAGAGAATCTGCGAGAAGAGGGGGGGGAAAGCGAAAGTGGGGGCTTCTTTGCTGGAGGACTCGGCAACTGGAAGCTGGGATGAACAGGCCGAAGACTGAGCTCCACAGTGATTTGTGAGTTTGAGCAATAAACCTGAGATAATTACTACTGGAGTTGTCTCGCGTCTGTGCGGGAGAACCAAGCCATTACACAGGAGCGCTATAAATTATTATCCCACTCACTCACTCTCACAAACAACCCCTGTCTGTAAGATTGGCAAGTTTACACAATTTGCTTATAATACCAGACACTCTTGGAATTTATATGCCCAATCCAAAGTGTAGAGCCTCCAGCCGCAGGAATTCTGTATCATGATAACGGGTCCTTTGTCCCTTAAGCCCACCAAACTGGGGAGGTGCATGCATTTATTGTGTTTTGGTGCTGGTGGAATTCTGACTCTGTCTATAAAAAATAAAGGTAATAGAAACCATTTAAATACATTAATTGTAAATAATTATGGGAAACATTTCCATTCCCCTTCACCCATTGTTCAGGATTGGTGTGCAACATCATTATCATCAATTATTCCTGCCATGGAAATAACACCTAAGATTTCAAAGCCTGGAGGAAGAAAATCTGCCCCCACTACTTTAGGAAAAGGATTCAAGAAACAAAGAGCTGCTTTGGAGAAGGCCTCACAACTTCCTTCTTCCTGTCAGGAACTTCCTTCCCTTTGTCTCCTCTCCATCATTTCCCCTTTCTCCCTCCACCATCCATCTATCCCTGTCCCCATCTCCTCTCCCCTGGAACTCACCAGATTTCTCCAAGGGTTCTGGGAGGGAATGCTCAGAGGTTGTGGGGAGGGATGCGGGAGAGAGCCTGACCAGGTCAACCGTCCATCTTCCTCCTTCCATCCTGGCCAGGGTTGCAGGTTCAGTCTCAGCTAGGTTTGCAGGTTCAGCTTCCTGAGGAGCGCAGAATCTAGAGCAAGTTGCAGCTTCCTGGGAGGGAGGGAAGAAGAAGCCAAGGGAGTCTGAGAGCCCCTGCTGGGATTCTCCTGCCCAAGACATCCTGCTGCCCCTGGAGAAGCCCCAACTGGGCACCCCCTTCCCAAGAGCCCCCACCCATTTTCAAACACCTTTGGCAATTCCTTTCACCTGCCTGTCCCACCTCCCTTCCTAAGGCTGGCATGGTATGCACATTAGTGGCCTGAGAGTAGATCCCTTGGAATTTAAGAGTTAATCTGCAAAGGACTGCTCTGAATACATGGGTGGCCCTTGCATGGAGAAGAAGGAAGCCCCTTGCTTGCATCTGGACCCCCTGGGAGAGGCGGTGGATCCGCCCACTGCTCCCTCTGCCCTCACTGCCTCCTCCGATGTCCTCCTGCCCTGCAAACACCCTTTGCTCTTGTTCCTCAGGTTAGAGAGGCAGGAAGATCCTTCAAACCCATCTGTTTCCTCCTCTGCTCCCCCTCCTGTCCTTTTGGGAAACAGGAACTTCGGTCAGGAGTAAACAACTTAGATGGCAAGTTTGCAAGATAAGCACTTTAAAGCACTGCTTGTTCCTACTATGTGTGAGTCTCTGTGTGTTTGGACGTAGAGGACAACATACATGTTTACACCACGTGATTCCTTAAAGAGGGCGATTCTTTAAAACCGAAGGCCATTTCTACAAAATGGAAGACTTCCGAAGGCAGCCTTTTACAAGGAAATTTTTGACGGTTTTTATTTTGTTGGAAGCTACCCAGATGGGCAGAGGCAACCCAGTCAGATAGGCAGGATGCAAGTAATAATAATAATAATAATAGCTTCCTAAGCCTGTCCTGGGACGCGGGTGGCGCTGTGGGTTAAACTACACAGCCTAGGACTTGCCAATAAGAAGGTTGGCGGTTCGAATCCCCGCGACCGGGTGAGGTGAGCTCCCGTTGCTCGGTCCCTGCTCCTGCCAACCTAGCAGTTCAAAAGCACGTCAAAGTGCAAGTAGATAAATAGGTACCGCTCCGGCGGGAAGGTAAACGGCGTTCCCGTGCGCTGCTATGGTTTGCCAGAAGTGGCTTAGTCATGCTGGCCACATGACCCGGAAGGTGTATGCCGGCTCCCTCGGCCAATAAAGCGAGATGAGTACCACAACCCCAGAGTCGGTGACAACTAGACCTAATGGTCAGGGGTCCTTTACCTTTTTAAGCCTGTCCTGCTAGGCATGCTGATCAGAGACTCTGTCCAAACAACCCCTTTGAACGCAACAGGGCTTCCTATTTTTACTGCTATAAGTGGGATCAGTCAAACCACGAAGCCACTGATCAACCAGAGTTTCCTGTTTTGACCAAGCACAGTTTGAAGTTAGATTAATCTCCCAGCTTGTTCCAAAGCTGGCAGCTGTAGTTTCCTGGTTTGGGCAAAATGGAAAGTTTGCTAGTTATGGCTCATAAGAGAGTGCCTGGTTTCATCACAGTTCACCCTCAGGGTAAGCTGGGACAATTAGGTCAGGAGCAGATGCAGGGAGAGATGGGACAAGCACATTCCCAGCTCCCCTGTTTGTTAGCCTTGTTGTCAGTGCAGGACCACAGCTGGTAAATTTGTGCAACTACCCATTTAGAGTCCTTCTCTTTTCCCCTCTCTCACTAAAGGTTGGGTGGGAGTCCTTCCTGGAGTGATGCATTCTGGTTGTGGGGGCCAGGAGACTGGGGTGGTGGCTATAGTTTTTTGTTTTAATCTTGGGTCAACTTAGGTTTTAGCGTAACTTTGCTGCAGCAATGCATTAAAAACTGTTCCTATTTTTAACCCGGCTTTTCAGGCTGTGATTCAGTCATCTGAACCTGGCCATTATCTTAATAGATCTAGCAACAACCTTGCAAGGTAGGCCAGTCTTATTTAATGCGACTACACATGGGATTGCTGAGGCTGCAAGACGTGCCAAGATTTTTACCTCAGTGGGGAGAAAAGAGCATTTTGGAAATGGAGGCAATTTAGAGGAGGAAAACGGGGTTTGGTGGAAGGTCACCTCTTCTGACACAGCTTCTGCTCTGATAAAATTCAGAGTCCCCTGCAGCTGTTTAAGTAAAGTAAGAATAGCAGGAGATATTATCGCAAACCTCCCATGTAAAGTTTGGTCCAGCAAGCCTTTTTAAAGTGGATTAGAGAGAAAGTGCAGGGAGGAGGAATATTCACCACCAAAGCTAAGCAGAACCTCCATGTCTAGAGGCAGTGGACCTGTGACCTCCAGGTGCTGGAAACCCAGGTGAGAGGAATCATAGAATCATAGAATCATAGAGTTGGAAGAGACCGCAAGGGCCATCGAGTCCAACCCCCTGCCAAGCAGGAAACACCATCAGAGCACTCGTGACATATGGTTGTCAAGCCTCTGCTTAAAGACGTCCAAAGAAGGAGACTCCACCACACTACTTGGCAGCAAATTCCACTGTCGAACAGCTCTTACTGTCAGGAAGTTCTTCCTAATGTTTAGGTGGAATCTTCTTTCCTGCAGTTTGGATCCATTGCTCCGTGTCCGTTTCTCTGGAGCAGCAGAAAACAACCTTTCTCCCTCCTCTATATGACATCCTTTTATATATTTGAACATGGCTATCATATCACCCCTTAACCTCCTCTTCTCCAGGCTAAACATGCCCAGCTCCCTTAGCCGTTCCTCATAAGGCATCGTTTCCAGGCCTTTGACCATTTTGGTTGCCCTCCTCTGGACACGTTCCAGTTTGTCAGTGTCCTTCTTGAACTGTGGTGCCCAGAACTGGACACAGTACTCCAGGTGAGGTCTGACCAGAGCAGAATACAGTGGCACTATTACTTCCCTTGATCTAGATGCTATACTCCTATTGATGCAGCCCAGAATTGCATTGGCTTTTTAGCTGCCGCGTCACACTGTTGGCTCATGTCAAGTTTGTGGTCAACCAAGACTCCTAGATCCTTTTCACATGTACTGCTCTCAAGCCAGGTGTCACCCATCTTGTATTTGTGCCTCTCATTTTTTTGCCCAAGTGCAATACTTTACATTTCTCCCTGTTAAAATTCATCTTGTTTGTTTTGGCCCAGTTCTCCAATCTGTCAAGGTCGTTTTGAAGTGTGATCCTGTCCTCTGGGGTGTTAGCCACCCTCCCAGTTTGGTGTCATCTGCAAATTTGATCAGGATGCCCTTGAGTCCATCATCCAAGTCGTTAATAAAGATGTTGAATAAGACTGGGCCCAAGACAGAACCCTGTGGCACCCCACTAGTCACTCTTCTCCAGGATGAAGAGGAACCATTGATGACCACCGTTTGGGTTCGGTCAGTCAGCCAGTTACAAATCCACTGAGTGGTAGCAAAGTCAAGACCGCATTTTACCAGCTTCTTTACAAGAAGGAGGGCACTTACCTTTCCCAGAAGCCCCTCAGTGTCTGGGAGCAGGGTCTGGTCTGTCCCCCCTGCTCTCCCACTGGGCCACCGACTGGCATCCGCAGCTCCCCTGAAGGAGAGGACACTATTCCCAGATTGGGGAGGATTGGGAGCCTGTGGGGTTTCCCATCGTGAACGAGGGAGCTGCATCGTCTTCAGGAAATCCTGCTTCTGGGCATCCCAGTGCTGCTGCGGCTGCCCCTCCTCTTGCTCCTGCTTAATTTGAAATAAATCTGCCCGAGGCAGAAGATCCCTGATGGCCCCAACTTGGCCGGCAGGAGGTTTCCTTCCTTTGCACTCCAGTCTTTCCCTTTGAATGGGTCTCCTGGGTCCCTGCTCTTCCATTTTTACACCACCCTGCTGGAAAAGAATTAGACACAAAGTAAAATAAAACCCAAGAATAAAAACAAAAGCACATTTTAACCATTAGCCAGTTTTTGAAATATATTATTACTCTTTCTATTTCTGATGTTCAGGCTGTGAATGACAATCATTATGTCACCCAAATGACTCCACCCAGGGACGAGGGGAAGTTATTCAAAGACTGGGGGAAACATCAAGATTTATGGAAGTACAAGTAATATTTGTGGGTGGGGGAACCAAGGCAGAGGGAGGGAAATCCAAAAACAACCCAGTGAGAGGACTGAGCATGTTCAGTGGACAGGGAATGCTGATCCTGGCTGCAACTTCTAGCATGTTGGAAAGGCAGCAACAGATCTTTGTACAGTGGTGCCTCGCAAGACGAAATTAATTCGTTCCGCAAGTCTCTTCGTCTTGCAAGTTTTTCGTCTTGCGATGCACGGTTTCCCATAGGAATGCATTGAAAATCAATTAATGCGTTCCTATGGAAACCGCCTTCAGACCAGGTCCGGGGACAGTCTGTCCCCCGACCTCTTCTGAAGGCTGGGGGGGGGGGGAACAAGGGCTTTTCTTCCCACCCCCAGCATTTTAAAATCGCCCCGGGACAGCGGAGGACTTCTCGCTGTCTGGGGCGATTTAAAAGCCCCTGGGAAGGCAGGCAGGGGGGACAAAGACTTTTGCCCCCCCCCCCCGCCAGCCTTCAGAAGAGGTCCAGGCCCACTTCTGAAGGCGGGCGGGGGGGCCAAAGTCTTTGCTCCCCCCCCCGCCTGCCTTCAAAAGCCTTCCGGGACAGCGGAGAAACGCGCTGCGTTTCTCCGCTCTCCCGGGAAGGCAGGCAGGGGGGAACAAAGACTTTTGCCCCCCGCCGGCCTTCAGAAGGTGTTCCTGCCCCGCCGCCCGGCTTCGGAGGAGCCTTCTGAAGCCGGGCGGCGGCGGGAGGTGTTCCCGGACCTGTTTTGAAGCAAGGGGCGGAGGGGAGAAGATCGCTTCTCCGCGTTGCCGCCCCTTGCTTCAAAAGGGGTCCGGGGAGAAAGGGGAAGACGTGTGCCTTCCCCTCTGTCCCCGGACCTGTTTTAAAGCAAGGGGCAGCGGGGAGAAGATTGCTTCTCCCCGTTGCCTGCCCCGCAATCTCCGAGGGGCAGAGGGGAAGACGCACGCCTTCCCCTCTGTCCCCTCTTTTGAAGCAAGGGGCGGAGGGGAGAAGATCGCTTCTCCGCGTTGCCGCCCCTTGCTTCAAAAGGGGTCGGGGAGAAAGGGGAAGACGCGCGCCTTCCCCTCTGTCCCCTCTTTTGAAGCAAGGGGCGGAGGGGAGAAGATCGCTTCTCCGCGTTGCCGCCCCTTGCTTCAAAAGAGGTCCGGGGACAGCGGGGAAGATGCCAGCATTTTAAAAAACCTCGGGACAGTGGGGGACTTCTCTGCTGTCCGGGGCGATTTTAAAATGCTGGCAGGCAGCAGCAAAGCCTTCACTGCCGCCCGCCAGCATTTTAAAATCACCCCGGACAGCGGAGAAGTCCTCCGCTGTCCCGAGGTTTTTAAAAAACCTCTCCGCCCCCTGCCAGGCTTTGGAGCAGCCTTCTGAAGCCTGGCGGCGGGAGGAGGTCTCTCCGCCCCCCGCCAGGCTTCGGAGGAGGTCCGAGGACAGTGGGGAAGACGCGCTGCGCTTCCCCGCTGTCCCGGAGATTTCCCTATGGGCTTTCGTCTTGCGAAGCAAGCCCATAGGGAAATTCGTTTTGCGAAGCGCCTCCATAACGGAAAACCCTTTCGTCTAGCGGGTTTTCCGTCTTGCGAGGCGTTCGTCTTGCGGGGCACCACTGTATATGATTAAGGCTGCGACAGACCCACCTAACATTTAAAGTACATGACTTCACCCAAGAAATCCTGCCAGCTGCAGTTTGTTAGGGGTGTTGAGAACTCTAGCAATAAACTACAGGTCCTGTGGTTCACTGGGGGAAGCCACGTGCTTTAAATGTATGGTATCTGCACAGCCTAAGAAACTAACAAACAGACAAAAGGAACATTGGCCAACAAAATCAAACAACCCACTCCAAAATATTTTATATTTGATGGTCACAAACTCTCTTTACTGAAGATATTCTAACTTGCAGTCCATTGGCTGCATATGGTTTGCCAAGCCTCAGGGTGTGTCCTGCTAGTCCCTGCCGTTTCCATCTCCTGATCTGATCATAGGATGAAGATCTTTGTCTGTCCTGGAGAGAAAGGTGCCTAAAGGGCCCTTAGAGAGATCTTTTCAACTCCAATTTCAGCACAAACCAGCACAGTGCTGAAATGGGGCAAAAGGAAAATAAATGATCCCTCTGGCTGCTCTTTAAAGAGGATTTCTAAAGAACAATCAGAAGGGACTTTTTTTTCACAGATCTCATTGCTAATTCAGCAGGGTCTTCTTGTGCTCTTATTTTTCCTCCCCCCAAGACTGGGGTTGGAAGGTCTAAACATACTGATTGTGTTTGCAAGACTTGTATGTATGCTAGATGGCATGTCTGGTGAGTGTGTGCAGCACCTCTGGCGTGTGTGCATGTGACTTTATGGTCTGCATCTCTTTTCTGTGTGCGCATGCATGTGCATACATTGGCCTCAAAGCTCACTGGAATGTGGCCTCCAGAATTAATGCAGCTTTAAGCCCATAAATGTTTCGTTCCTCCTGTTCTATCGGAAAGAACAATCAAATCTAAGACTATCAGGAGGAGAGAACTCCTGGATCTACAGAGTTAATGTTCTCAACATCCTATGGACACAAACTGCAATGAGATTTCTCTCTAATTACTAATTAGATTTTTTTCCTTAAAAATATGAAGCAAATAACAGATTTGGGTGGCATGCGTATCTATGGCAAGAGAAGAAAAAAGGTTATAAATCGTTTGAAAACCATATCTTCCGGAAATAGTTAATCGAAGTATGGGACAGATATAAAAATCTATTAGAAATGGGGGTTTCACATTGGTTATCCCCATTAGAGGTTATGGGAGTCAAGAAAATTAATATGAGGAGTAATTGGATTACTTACGGAGATTTAGTGGTAAAAGAAGGAGAGAAATGGAGATTGAAGCCATACGAGCAAGTAAAAGAACATGTATTTGATTGGCTGCACTACTACCAGATAAATGATATGTTTAAAAAGGATGTGAAAGAAAAAGGGTATAAAGAAAAAGATTCGAAATTTCAAACGGAAATTGTTAACAATGATTGTAAGATAATCTCAAAAATGTATAAAATATTATTGGAATGGCACACGATGGATGAGGAAGTTAAATCTGTAATGATTCACTGGGCCAGAGATTTAGGGTATAGTATTGATATGGAAGACTGGCAAAAAATATGGAATGAAAATCTGAAGTTTACAGCATGTACTATGTTAAAAGAAAATGGTATGAAAATGGTATACAGATGGTATATAACACCAGTTAAATTGGCAAAAATGTATAAAACCTGTAACAAATGTTGGAAATGTAAAGAGAAAGAGGGTACTTTTATTCATATGTGGTGGGAGTGTAAGAAAGTGAAGGGGTTCTGGGAAATGATATATAATGAGTTAAAGAAAATGCTGAAATATAGCTTTGTAAAGAAACCAGAAACCTTCCTACTGGGAATAACTAGAAATGAAATAAATAAGAGGGACTGTAAACTCTTTCAGTACGCAATAACAGCAGCGAGAACACTGATGGCCCAAAAATGGAAACAAGAAGAATTACCGACTTTGGAAGAATGGAGAAAAAAACTAACAGATTACGCAGAACTAGATAAATTAACTGGAAAAATCAGACTTCAAAGAGACCACAAGTTCCTAGAGGACTGGGGAAAATTCAGAGAATATTTGAAGAGTGTATGTGAGGAACAAACAACGCTAGTGTGTTTTAAAGAAGCTTTGTGGAAAAAATAAGGAATATTGCAAGAATGTAAACGAGGATAGAAAGATTTTACTTGAAGGCAATACTATAATTAAGGAATGTGAAGGTAGAAATTTAATTACGGATGATTGTCAGAGGAGCTGAGGGAGGTTCAAAAAGTCAAAATATGTGATTTGAAAAATTGTATGATTGGAGATATTGTGAAAATTTTAATAAAATTTATTATTAAAAAAATTAGAAATATGAAGCAGTATAGAAATGAAATGAGTAATAATCTGAACATGAATAGCTAATTTCAATTTCGCCTTCCTCAGTCTTTTACAATACTGTCTTCAACGTTTTTATTATCATTAATTCATTTCCATATGCCACACATCTTAAGAATCCTCCTTTCTTCTGCATTCTCTAAACTGTCACCCACTTCAACCCTCAGCCTTCATCTGAAAACTGTGCAGCCTTACTGAGGAAGGTGGAAATAAAACAATTAATGAAACAGGCTTAAGCCTGTCTCACTGATTTACACGCAGACACAAGAGGTCACTAGCTTTGACAGCTTCGGAAAAGATCAGGTGCCTTCTCCGGGAAATAGATCTATTAGCTGTTTTATTAGCCGTGACAGATCAACAGAGCCTCCATGTGTAGGCACAGTGTACCTTGATGTGGGGAAGACAAAAGAAGCCATTTCCTTGCTAAATGAATCTGATGGACATCATTACTACAAGAGAAAAGAGAGCTTTCAAAGGCGATCAGACCAATTCACAAATGAGGGCGATAGGTTTATCAATGGCACTGGCAGAGGAGGGGGGGAAGGAGTAGTGGCCTGCAAAGGGTGTCACGGGGCTGCAGAGTGAGAGGGACCCCCCTGCTGCACTTTCCCCCCTGCCTCGCCTTCCCTCTCCCCCGTGGGGAGGACCGTCGAAATGGGCTGGGCTCCCTGCTGAGGGACAGGGAGAGGGGCGGCAAAAGCCCCAGCTACGCCGCTGATCCGTGAGCGACTATATGCATCGTCCATCGCGGAGCAGCAGCTGCCTTGGACCCCTCATTCTGCCCCTTGAGCTCAGGACTGAAGGGAGCAGCTCCCCAGGGTCTCCGGCAGGGTCCGTGCCAGCCTGAGCCAGAGATGTTTGCCCCTGTGCCCTCCTGCAGATGCCCTGCCCCTCAGCTGCGCCCCTTCCCCTTCCTGCCCGGTTGGGGGGCGCCCTGCAGCCTCTGGCTGGACTCGGGGCCTGATCCTGCCAGACGCGCGTGCTCTCCTCCCCCCCCCCCGCCTCCTGCACCTCGGACTCCTCGCTCCGTCCCTGCACCGGAATCCGGCTCCTCTCCGGGGAAACTCGCCAGGCCACGGGCCGCTGCTCCTCCGCTCTCCTCGGCGGGGGACAGGAAAGTGCAGCCGCTCTCGAGTCCCCCTGGCTGGCCCCGTTTCCTGCCTCTCTGGGCATCGGAGCTCGCTGGCTGTGGGTTGGGCCCTGGGAGGCTGCCAGGCTGGATGCGCCCCCTTGCGCTGTCCCTCAAAATTTATTGTATCATTGGAATCTACCTGGCATCTTCTCGGATATCCAGAATGTTGCACAAATAAGTCTCCTTGTGATCCGATGTGCAGTCACTGGTTTCCTTATCAGCAAATATTTCCAGAAAGCTGGGACTATGCCACCCTGCAGCCACAGCTGTCAATTTTCAGATTTGAAAATAAGGGATCAGCAGCCTCACCTGCCCCGGGGACAGTCTACAGGATATCTAACAATCCGGGATAGCAGCGGGAAATGGCACTGGAATAAGGGAATTTCCCGCAAAAAAAGGGAAGGTTGACAGCTATGCCTGCAGCTCGAATGGGTAGCTGGAGGAGGCAGTCCTGTTCCCAGCTCTGCTGGTTGGGATCATGCAATCACTTAGCTCCAGCAACCGACCCAATCTGATGAAAATAGGGACATCCCATTCCATAACTATAATTTTACTATTTATACACCACACATCTTATTACGTTGCCCCAGCCACTCTGGGAAGTTTCCAACATGTATAAAAACATAATAAAACATTAAACATTAAAAAAAACTTTCCTTTTTAAAAAAATAATTTTTATTAATTTTTCAACACGAATATACAATCTTATCCTAATTTTCTCAAATTTAACTCTGTTTAGACTTCCTTCCTAAAGAACTTTCCTATACAGGATTGCCTTCAGAGGGCCCGTGGGTTGGATAACTCCATTCCCTCCAGCATTTCTTCAATGAAAATAGGGAGACCCTAAGGAAAAGCGAGACATTCTGGGATCAAATCAGAAACCAGGACGGCTTCTCTAAATCAGGGACATCCCTGGAAAATAGTGGCACTTGGAGGGTTTGTCTTTCCCTGCTTTTTCATTCGCTGCCTCTGGTCTCCTGCATCCATTTAGCAGAGGAGGGGAGCGGTTTTGGCCTTCATACTTCTCCACCCCCCACCCCCAATATAACCAAAAGCACAATATAACCAAAAACACACACACCATTTGGGAGTGAGGACCAAAAAAAAATTAAAATAATCGTTTTATTATTTTATTACTTATTTTTTGCAGTTCAATCTACTGTATCTATAAATTTTATTGTTTATAGCCAATGGCCACCACTATACAAGCACAAATCACACAGCTGCAAAACAAAAGACATTGCATGCACCAGACCAGGATAAATCTATAGCGTCCAAAATTTATTTCCACGGTTGTTTCAATGGGAAGGATATAGGGCAGCAGAGTCCAGGTGGTGAGGTCCAGATTACAGCTTCCATCATCCTTGACTGTCTGCCCTGCTGGCTGAAGCTGATGGGAACTGGACAACAACATCTGGGGACACCTCAATGGCTATGCTCTGATATACAGAATCTACAAAAGATTAAGGCACTGATCCAGAAGACAATGAACTGCGAATAGCAAGTGTAGCTAGGAGGAGAATGCATTGGCAGCAGGGTTTGGAAGCTGTTCCCTGACACAAATCCCCTTATTTCCTCCTCTGGAGATCTGAGGTCTACAAAGCAATGGGTTGTTTTATTCAGAATAAGCTCACTGACATCATAATCATCTCCTCTATGGGTGCCGCTAAGTGCCCTCTGTCTTTGAGCTTTTTGCTCTCCTAGTTTTAAGGCTCGCTGGTTTCTCTAAGTCTGGGGAAAGTGCTAAGGATGGTGGTTTAATTTCCATAAATGAGAATGTTTTAAGATGGAGTTTCCTTTGACAGTAGTCCTCATTTGTGTTAGTCACATGAGGGAGGCATTCCATTCTGTTGAGACTGTTATTCCAGTAACTGTTGTTTTTAACTGCTTTTCTGTTCTTTTCTCTCTCTGTGCATGAGGGAGAAGTGCTGCTGAGAGAGATGTCTCAGGATACTATTGTGTGTCAGTGTGATCTGTCTGAAGTGAAACAGTGGAAGATCACTAAATGCTGATCAAAATTACTGCTCAAAAGTTCAAAAACAGAATTACTGCTGAGGTGAAAGTAAAAACCTTTTGTAAGAAACTGTAAGACAATTCAAGTGAGAACATGCCCGTGTTTGAATAAGCATGAGATTGTAAATATATTTTTCTCAGTTATATGTTTATGAAAGTAAGGTTCTTTTGAATACCAAGAGTCTGGACATTGTAGTCTGTAAAAAGGAACTATCACCTAGAACAGCTATTTTGCTTCTTAGCTATAAGCTACTCTGTTACTTTGGAGATCATCAAAATTCACACACAGACAGACTATAATGTTGCATACAGTATAAGGTTGGGGAGTTGAGAAGTGGGGATAGAGGGGGGGAGGGGGAAGTAAACTTTCATTATTTTACAGAGTGCATATCCAAACTTTTTTTGTCGGTGACACATGCATAGGTTCTTCTTCTATTCATTCATTTTCATTGGCAGTGAGAAAGATCGGGCCCCCAGGGCATAGTTGGTTGCCTTCAGTTGACTGCAGTGAAGGGAGAACCAATTGGAGGAACAGATTGTTGCAATTCTTGGAAAGGGATGGAAAAGAGCACGGCTACATCGCGGTTTGGTCTTTCAAGTACTTGTTGTTAAATACAGTGGTACCTCTGGTTACGTACTTAATTTGTTCCAGAGGTCCGTTCTTAACCTGAAACTGTTCTTAACCTGAAGCACCACTTTGGCTAATGGGGCCTCCCGCTGCTACTGTGCCGCCGCCACATGATTTCTGTTCTCATCCTGAAGCAAAGTTCTTAACCCGAGGTACTATTTCTGGGTTAGCGGAGTCTGTAATCTGAAGCGTATGTACCACTGTACTCTGTGAGTTGAGTGAGGCTGAGAGACTCCAGAGAAGTGTGACTAGCCCAAGGTCACCCAGCAGCTGCATGTGGAGGAGCAGAGACGCGAACCTGGTTCACCACATTACAAGACTACCACTCTTAACCACTACACCACACTGGCTGGAAAAAGGGGAAGTTCTTTTCTTTGCATTAAGTTGTGAAAAATAAAGCAATAAATTTTAAAGACAACCCTTCTTTCAATGCTTTCTTTTTAAAGCAAAAAAAGATGTAGTGCCATAGTTTGAACAGTTTTGCCTTGTATGGGAAGGATATATCTGAGATACAAATGCACACACAACGCTCTCCCCTCCATCCAGGCGAGGAGGAGGCATTGTCAGGAGTTTAAAGGCACATCCTGGCTGGCTAAGGTGCGAAGCAGAGCCATGGAAGGGGGTGGGGTGGATTCTGAGGACCACAGACCACATGTGCAATTGGCTCCCAGTACGTTTCCGAGCACAATTCAATGTGTTGGCGCTGACCTTTAGAAACGCCTCGGTCCAGTATACCTGAAGGAGCATCTCCACCCCCATTGTTCTGCCCAAACACTGAGGTCCACGCTGAGGGCATTCTGGTGATTCCCTCCCTGTGAGAAGCCAAGTTACAGGGAACCAGGCAGAGGGCCTTCTCGGTAGTGGCACCTGCCCTGTGGAACGCCCTCCCACCAGATGTCAAAGAGAAAAACAACTAACAGACTTTTAGAAGACATCTGAAGGCAGCCCTGTTTAGGATGCTTTTAATGATTAACAGGCTATTGTATTTTAATATTTTGTTGGAAGCTGCCCAGAGTGGCTGGGGAAACCCAGCCAGATGGGCGGGGTATAAATAATAATTTATTATTATAAATTATTAAGTGCAAATCAGGTAAGTGTAAAGAGAACTGTTTCAACCCAACTGTAGTGCATATGTAATACAGCCATACCTTGAATGCCAAACGCCTTGCAACTCAAATGTTTCAGAAGCCGTATGTCCGACACAGCTTCTGATTGAGTGCAGGAAGCTCCTGCAGTCAATCAGAAGCCGCGCCTTGGTTCTCATACGGTTCCAGGAATCGAACGGACTCCCAGAACAGATTAAATTCGAGAACCAAGGTACGACTGTACAGGGATCAGGATCAGTGTGTTTGCAACTTCAGCTGTAAGTATTTTTCACAACTTTTTTTAACAGTAAAAACTTTTAATTAGTTCTATTTGACAAGAACATTGACAGCCACCAACAATTATGTAGATTTGTTTGCTAAAAAGGACAGATGTAAACAAAGCTCGGAGCTAAACAGGTAACTTCACAAATGAACCTTATATTTTCCTGCTTGACTAGACCAGCTGCCATGTTTGGGTTGTTTTGTTTTGGTTTTTTGAAAGGAAAAAAAAAGGCTCAAGCATCATTTTGACAGGCAGCAAACTTTCACCCTTAAGAACTATGGAATCTCTTATCTGCCACACAAGAAACAAGGCCTAATTCCACCTCCACCCCACCAACATACACCTTAATCCTCTCTAGCTATTTGGTGGTCCATCAACCCTGATGGACCTAGAAATATTCCCAGTTCCCCTAATTGCTGTCAAAACTATCCCAAGGTGGTGTCAAGCAGATATTTCCCCTAATATTTCCACACCTCAGACGATCTGATCCAAATCAACATTCATAAGCATGGAAACCGAATATGTTGATGCTTGCCTAAGTTTCCCAGATTGGCAACTTGCAATCCCAGTTCCTGGCAGTCTGTTTCTGAACTATAAGGCATTGGCTGGTTCCTGTCACCTGGCAGCTGGAGGTTTCCAGAGAGAGAGTGCAGAGGGCTGAGGAACCAGATGCTGGGACTTCAACTGGAGTTCAACAACACATGGGCCCCAGCCCTGCTATATGCTATATGGAGACAAGGAATGCTTTTCCCCCAATCAGATTCAGAACTATTTCCTGTCTTTTTACCTAGGAAGTACATTTCTGTTCCACACTTCCCTCATCAAGGCCGCTGCAAGATATATTGCTTTCACGCACACAGCAACCCTGTGAGGGAGGTTTCACATAAAGATGGTGACCAGCTTTAAGTCACCCAATCAGCTTCACGACTGGGGAGGGATTTGAATTGTCCCCGGCATTTGTGGACCTAGACGCAAGGAAACCTGTGGTCCTTCAGAGATCATTGGACTCCAGCTCCCATGAGTCCCAGCCAGGATGGCCAACGGCCAGGGAATACGTGAGTTGAAATCTAACATCTGAAGGGGCCACAGGATGCCAGCCTTTCGCCAGGTAAATATTCTGTAACCATTTTGTCGTGCTGGCTCACTTTTATTTTTCATGTTTGAACGTACAAAGGAACAAACTGTGCCTCAAAGAGGAAAGATCACCCAATCTCTGCCTCACCACCAGGTCAATTTCTTAAAGGTCCGTCACAGAAGAAAAAAATGAATATAACCAAGCAATATAGGTTAATACATTGCAACCATTTGCCTCTACCTTTGGCACCAGCCTACACTTAAACACTCTGCTGTGGGGAACCTTTCGTTATTTGTTAAATGAAAGGCCAGTGACCCATTGGAAAAATCTATTTTGTGGGGAATGGGGTCCAAACAGAAGCAGTGGGGATTGATGCCCATTGCTTGGCAGAGCAAGAGGAAGTGTTAGGCAGAGCCAACCAATTCCAGAACCATCTTCTATAATCTGCAAGATTAAAAAATGTAAAAAATTATATAACTTCACAGCTGAAGATTTTACTCTTTGAGGGCTCTTGTGTTTCTAATATTTTGTTGGAAGCCACCCAGAGTAGTAGGGCAACGCAGTTAGATGGGTGGCGTACGAATGATAAAATTATGATGATGAAGAACTTAAGAAAAAAATAAAGAAGAGAATATATATAAAATAATGATAAACATTCAACACAGCAGCTTTTCAGTGTGACACTTGTGGCTGTGTTTCTTTTTCAAGCTCACTTTTGCCTGGCGCCATCAACAATGTGGCCGCTAGCAGCTGGCTTTCCAAGTTCACCTCTGGTAATCGGGGGTCCCTTGCAAGAGACCCCTCCATTCCCCGAGCCGAGTTCTTGCTGTGAGCTGGGCCCCTCCTGCGAGAGAAGCTCACGCTCTCAAAGAGCTTCAGCTTCTCTGGGGCCAAGAGAGCGGCGGTGGCCACAATGCACTCCTTCACCAGCTCACCTCTGGAGAGCGGGCGAAGCTTTTTGGAGACCAGCTCGCTCACCACGAAGCTGGCTTGCTCCACGCTGTCCATTTCCTTCCTTGGTTCCGGGGCGATGCCTTGCTGGGCATGCAGGTCCATTTTCAGCGCCTTGACCTTCTCCTCGCGCAGCTGCCCTTGGAACTCCTCATACTGGATGTGCTTCGTCCTGTAGTGCCTCTGCAGGTTGGCCTTCTTCAGGATGGAGAGGGCCTCACCACAAATGAGGCACACGGGCATGCCTTTCAGCTCCACAAAGAAATAGTCGTGTGTCCATTTCTTATTGAAAATGCGGCACTCCAAATCTATCTTCCTCTTCTTGTGCGACGGCATTGCAACCAAATGATCTAACAAAGAAACGGGTGGAGCGGTTAACTGGATTTCTTCCAGGGTGAGGGGAGTGATAATATAGTTATAATCAAGAGAAAATACTGGAAACCAAGGCTCCACAACCGCCATCTTGTGCTTCAGCCACCTTCAGCCTTATTAGTGGGAGAGGAAGCCCTGCTGATGGCATCCTTCCATGGCGGAATTAAAAACTCAGATATGTAAATTAATCGCCAAATGTCTCCTTAAACCTAGGCTACGGTCGCCACAATGGAATGCCGAGGTGCCATTTTTTACTTTTGGCAATGAAATTATCCTTATTATTCATTTCATTTCTATACCGCTTTATATTTTAAAGAAAAAGCCTCAAAGCGCTTTACAACACATCAAATAAAACAATCCACAATAAAACCAATTCAAGCTATGATATTTCAGATCATTCTCCCCCCCCCCCCCCGTGGCGGTTTTCCCGTGTGTCAGGAGAGAGAGGCTACCTGGCTGAAGCTCTTAGCGCAGTCGGGGCAATGGGAAAGTTTCTCTCACCTGTGTGGATTCTCTTGTGCCTCACCAGCTGGGAGCTGATCCCAAAGCTCTTCCCGCACTCGGAGCACCTGTATGGCTTCTCCCCCGTGTGGATCCTTTTGTGTGAAGTGAGCGACGATTTCCAGCCAAAGCTCTTCCCGCACTCAGAGCACCGGTACGGTTTCTCTCCGGGGAAAGCCCCCTTGCGCGCAGCGAGGGAGGGGCCGCTCCTCAAGGCTTTCCCGCACAGACTGCAGTGGTCGGGGTCCTCTCCCATGTGCATCCTCTGACTCTTGGGAAAGTTGAAGCTATGGCACAGATTTTCACAGTCCACGCACATATTTCTTCTTTCGCCCTCAGCGAGTCCCTGTTTCACAGGGCTGTCACATACGATGGTGTCCACTTCCTCACAAGGCACTGATTGCTGGAATGTTTCTAGTCCCTGTTGAGTCAAAAGCCAGGCTCGATTGTCATGATGGAGCAAGTCGTCCTCTCTGGCTTTTCCCAAAGGTATTGAGTTGAATTCTGCTTGCTTTGATCTTTGCAATGGAAGATTTCCCTCCCTTGCCTTTGTTTCTGCATTACCTGTGGGGTAAAGAACGATCTGAGGAATCTGTGGGGAGAATGTTGAATTTTTACCCTGCCCTCTCACACCCTGAGACACGTGCTTTCAGAGCCGACCCTATTCCTGTGATGGTAATCTTTAACTTTTATTCCTTTTGAAGTTGAAATAGTGGTAACTAGCCCTGGGACCTGCTGGTGAAGGCCAGATAATAAATTGAAGAATAATGATCATTTCCAGTTCTACAATATATTTTCTGAGACAGGACAATCAGAACTATACACAGTATTCAAAGTATGGTTGCGCTATAGGTTTCTAATAAGTCTGGCAGTTCTACATTTGCTAACTTTCCAATGATTGCCAAACATGGGATTTGCCTTTTTTCAAAGCTGCTGCAAACTGGATGGACATCTTCATCAATCTATCCACAAAATGAACCCAAGATCCTTCTCCTGTTCAGTACTGTGGTACCTCAGGTTAAGTACTTAATTCGTTCCGAAGGTCCGTACTTAACCTGAAACTGTTCTTAACCTGAAGCACCACTTTAGCTAATGGGGCCTCCTGCTGCTGCCGCGCTGCTGGAGCACGATTTCTGTTCTCATCCTGAAGCAAAGTTCTTAACCCAAGGTACTATTTCTGGGTTAGAGGAGTCTGTAACCTGAAGCGTATGTAACCTGAAGCTTATGTAACCCAAGGTACCACTGTATCTACAATCTCAGACCACTCAGCATGTTATGTACTGAAGTTCTCACCCTGGGTCAGCAGGGGGATACTGTAGATAGTTATGCAAATAAGGGATCGAAAGTGACGTTCAGTGATTGGATAGTTTTAGAAAGTTGTTACAGTAACGAGGTACTGGAGCTCTATATAAGCAGGTTGACTGAGCCCTTCAGTTCAGTTCAGTTCTGGCCTCTGAATAAAGAAGAGCTGTTTGAAGAATCGCTGTGTCGTCTGATATGTTCACCCACAACTTAACACAGCACATACATGAAGCTAGGATTTCTTGCCCCGACATGCATCACTTTCATACTTACACCAAACAGCACCTGCCATTTCATTGGCCGTTCGCCCACTTTGGAGAGATCCTTTTGGGGCTCATCACAACTTTTCCATATTTACCACCCTCCATAATTTGGTACCACTGGCAAACCTGGCCAAACGTCAAGGCTTCTTGCAAACTTCAGGTTGTTTATAATCTAGTTTAAAAGCACAGGGTCAAAGACAGATCTTTGGGAGACCACACGTCTTACTCTGTGGCAGCGCTGGGGAACGTGCGGGCCTCAAGACATGGCCAGACTACAACTCCCATCATGCCTGATCACTGGCTCTGCTAACTGGGGAAGTCTCCAGGTGCATGTGTGAAGCCTATCAGAGAATGGTACATAAACTGGTGGAGGTATTGTGGTCTCTTGTTGTTGCAACTGCTCCATAAAGCACAGGTCTGGGAATAGCTGTCTAGACACTAGGCTGGTGTATGTGGTTTTTTTTGGAGCCATGGAAACTACTATAAGTGTCAGCTTGGACAATAAAGAACTAACTCTCTGCTGGGTGCATTCCCTGGCAGCACCCTTGGCACCCAGCAACATGCGGAGGGTCGCAGGTTTCCTCGTCTGCTGGAGCACTACTCCCCCCTAATTTGAAGGAAGCCCTGTTTAGGGAAGCTTTTAACGTTTGATGTATTTTAATATTTTGTGGGAAGCCGCCCAGAGTGGCTGGGGAAGCCCAGCCAGATGGGCGGGAAATAAATAAATAAAATCCTGGCCTGCACACCATGGGAGCTGTAGTCCCACAGCGCAGGAATCATCCCCACAGAGGCTATCCAACAGTGAGATTTGGACACAGGGATCCTCACCCAGCAACCTGGCAAGCTCCTCATTCTCCCGGGCCACCTCCGCAGGGAAAAGCAGCTCCACAGCATCTGAGGGATCCTCCTCTGATTTGGGGGACTTAACAGTCACTATATGAAAAGGCTCCGGGAGCTGAAACAGGAAGAGAGACGCAGCCGGTGAGATGAAATCGCTTATGCAAGTTAAATGGCACCATCCACACAGAAGACGGAGGTGTCAGCAGGCTCAGAGGGAAACCTTGGGTGGCAGCCAATGTTTGCCTTACTCAGAGTAGACCCATTGACGTCAATGGACACGACCGACTTAGGTTCATGACCTGGAGTACAACTTAGCTGCATACACTCCCCATAGTTTATGAAATTACAAAAATATCTCAGACCTTTCTCCCCACTTGCTCCGCCTCTTGCAGCCTCAGCAAGAACTCGTCCGCCAGGGTCAAAGCCTGGGCACAAGTCTCCGGGTTGCGTTCCCGGACCCAGCACTGCATCTCCAGGGGCAGGATGGTCAGGAACTGCTCCAGGGTCACCAGCTCCAGGATCTGCTCCTTGCTGTGCCTCTCAGGTGTCAGCCACTGACAGCAGAGCTCCCAGAGCTGCCTCAGGACCTCCCAGGGCCTTTCGGTCTCCCGGTAGCCAAAATGGCGGAAGCGTAGGCAGCGCATCTCCAAGCTGAGAGCTTGCTTCTCCGGAACCTCTTCCTTCACTTTCACGGAAAGGTCCAGAGTTTGATGGGCCTCCTGGACTTCTCCCGGGAGGCCTGGCAGGGCTTGGGCCACACACTCCCTTGTAGGCCACTGGTTGCCCATGGCGACGGCCTTCCCCGAGGCCTGGGAGTCCTTCAAATCCTCCTCTGGTGTGAACTTGGATATCTGCGGAGTTCTCCAGCCTGACTGAGGGCTCTTCATCGTCTTCAGGAACTGCTGCCATTGGGCATCCCAGCACTGCTCCTCCGGCTCTGGCTTAATTTGTCGCAGGGTCGCCCCTGCCTGAAACTCTCTCAAGGCCCCAATGGGGGTAACCTGGGGGTCTTCCCCTCCTGCCTCCAATCTCTTCTTTTGGAAGGATCCTGTCAAGTTCTGGTCTTCCATTGTTATTCTGGCTGCAGAATGGAGAATGGAAAGCAAACAACCATCAATACTTGTGAACAGAGGAAACTCCTTTGTTTGGTTACATCAGAGATGGGGGGAGCTTGTAGCCCTCCTGTTGTATGTATGTATGTATGTATGTATGAAGGTAAAGGTAAAGGGACCCCTGACCATTAGGTCCAGTTGCGGACGACTCTGGGGTTGCAGCACTCATCTCGCATTACTGGCCGAGGGAGCCAGCATACAGCTTCTGGGTCATGTGGCCAGCAGGACTAAGCCGCTTCTGGCGAACCAGAGCAGCGCACGGAAACGCCGTTTACCTTCCCCGCCAGAGCAGTACCTATTTATCTACTTGCACTTTGACGTGCTTTCGAACTGCTAGGTTGGCAGGAGCAGGGACCGAGCAATGGGAGCTCACCCTGTCGCGGGGATTATTATTATTGTTGTTGTTGTTGTTATTACCAGCCTTTATGGTTTTAAAACTTGCAGTTAAAAAATACAAAAAATAAAAACCCCTGTCCAAGTTCCACACCCTCAGCCAGGGTGACCAATGATATACATTCTACAGACATACAGTATAGTATGTATATTTTTGTAAATGGCTTAGAGGTGTTTTTTCAGTCAAAAGGCATGTCAATTTTGTTAGGTAAATAGAAATAATCCAACAATGTCTGGAGGGGCACTGGTTCCCCCACCTGTGGCCTCAAGGGAAGAGGCATGAACTGTGCACAAGCATTGCACATCTGTGGGGAAAGACCACAGCTCAATAGTTCAGGAAAACGCTTTGCATGCAGTTGGATTAGATGACCCAAGAGGCAGGACAAGAGCCCCCCACCCTCTCCCATTACTGCAGTCATTGGCACATGCTCCTTCCGAACCAGGAAATCAGCGCAGGGGTGGGGATTCTGAAGGCCGCATTCCCTTCTGGGCCACATGTCAGAGGTGGGTGGGACCAGAGGCAAACATGAGCAAAGCAATGAGCAAAATTTTTACCTTTGTACAGCAATATAAATTTACACACACACACCCTTCTCTATCCTCCCTGCAGGCAAGCAAGAAGCATTCTCAGAGTTCAATGACCCGTCCCAGAAAGCAAAAATATGGAGGGAGCAAAGCAGAGCGGGAGAGGAGTAAACAAGGCAAGTGGGAAATTTGCTGAACTAATAAGAGCGAAGCTGACTCCAAGAACAGCCGAAAATCATTGTGATCGCGAGTGGAGGAGCTGTGAGCTCCCAGAAGTTGTTGGGACTCCAATGCCCATGAGCACCAGCTGGTCTGGGCAGCGATCACAGAGGATGGGATTTAGAATCCAGCATCATCTGGGGACGCCTGCAGGGTTGACCAGATGGACCAAAGGTCTGATTCAATAGAATGTGATCATGTTGAAAGTCAGATATTGGCCCAGAAGATCCCTTCCCATAAATCGGAGCACGGGATATGTTTGTTTTCATATATATATGTTTTCAAACATACAGTGGTACCTTGGGTTACAGAGGCTTCAGGTTACAAACACTTCAGGTTACAGACTCCACTAACCCAGAAATAGTACCTTGGGTTAAGAACTTTGCTTCAGGATGAGAACAGAAATCGTGCGGCGGCGGCGGGAGACACCACTAGCTAAAGTGGTGCTTCAGGTTAAGAACAGTTTCAGGTTAAGAACGGACCTCCAGAACGAATTAAGTTCTTAACCTGAGGTACCGCTGTATATACGGTGTATGCAATATGGTTTACACGCCTGAGTGGACTTGCCGTATTTTTCGCTCTATAGGACGCAATGGACTGTAGGACGCACCTTGTTTTAGAGGGGGAGAACAAGAAAAAAAAAATTCTCTTCCTCTCTTTTCAGCACCCCTTCAGCGAAGTGGCAGGAGAAACGGAGCCCCTTCCATTTCTCCTCCCGCTTGGCTGAAGGGGCGCTGCACAGCTCTCCCTCTCTGCTGAAGCCAGGAGAGTCTTGCTCTCTTGGCCTCAGCGAAAGTAACCTGAAGCCTGCAGAGCACAGCGGGAACTGGCGCTGCGCTCTGCAGGCTTCAGGCGGCTATCCCTGAAGCCTGGAGAGTGCTCCCTCTGCGCTTCGGAGGCTTCGCGTTGCTATCGCTGAAGCCAAGGAGCCTGCATTCACTCCATAAGATGCAGACACATTTCCCCTTAATTTTTGGAGAGGAAAAAGTGCGTCCTATAGAACGAAAAATACGGTAGGTATTTATAAGGCACTTAAAACAGTTCAGTGAAGGAACCTGCCTGATATTAATAGGCAGGGAGTTCCGGAGATTAACTTCTCGTGCATGAAAGCATCAATTCTTTGCCATTGCATAAACTATGGAACTCACTGCCACAGGAGGCAGTAATGCCCACCAGCTTGGACAGCTTTAAAAGAGGAGTGGACAGATTCAAGGAGGAAAAGGCTCTCAAGGGCTACTAGCCAGGATGCCTATTGCTCCGCCTCCACACTTGGGAGGCTGAGATGCTTCTGAATTCTAGTTGCTGGAAACCACAGGAGGGGACAGGGCTCTCCTGCTCAGGTCCTCCTTGTGGGTTTTCCATCTGGGCGCCTGCTTGGCCACAGTGAGAACAAGATGCTGGACTAGATGGGCTATTGGCCTGATCCAGCACAGCTCTGAGGTAGCCCATTCTTGGCTTTGATGTCAAAGAGCCATGGGCAACCCTCTTCTCCCCTGCTGCAGTGGGTTTCTCAGCCACCTGGTCCTTGATGCGAGTTGCGGATGTACTTATTTGGAGTGTTTATTTCCCTGACCACCCTGGAAAAATTCCTTTCTTTTCTTTTTTTTTCTGCAGGCTTTAAAGTTTTGCCTGATTTACATTTTTGTAACTGTTGTAGAGGTTGGATGGCCACTTGTCAGGGGTTATTTAGGTTTGAATTCTGCGTTGCAAGGGGGTTGGACTAGATGACCCTTAGAGTCCCTTACAACAGTTCTATGAATCTAATGTGCAGAACGAAAATTATGTGGCACACACTTGCAGGAGATTGGGATTCTTATTCTACAGTTATCTCACATTTCATCCAGGAAGTTCAAATCAGCATACGACCAATCACTTCCACATCCATATTTTTTAATAAAAACGCTAACAAGGTAGGTTAGGTTGAGATAGTGTCCCGAGTTCACCAAGGCAGCGTCGTGGCTGGGTGACGGCTTGAACCCAGGTCCCCCGCCTGCCCCAGTTCTAGCTCAGTCCCTTAACCACTGAACCACACTTGGCTCCGCATTAAGCAACCGTCTTTTCTGACGGTTTCCTGCAGGAGACACTTCTCTGCCTTTTCCTTCCCAATTCACAACTTTTCTCCCCAAAACAATCCCCTCTTCGCTCACCTTTTTTTATTACTATTGTTCCACTTGCAGGATCCCTTGCAGCCCCTCGGATGTTGCAATCCAAAATGGCCAAAAATTTGAGAAGGCAAAAAAAGAGAGAGAAAAAGTAAGCGGAACGGAGAGAGAAGAGCCTCTCCCACCTGGCCAAGGAGAAACAGGAAAAAGAATTGAGCACACCTTGGGGGTGGGGGAGAGTGCCCGTCTAGGAAACGCCTCTCTCTATCAGTTTAACCCCTAAGAGTCCGGGTGGCTCATGGCATAAAAGCAGGAAAGGAACAAGGCAGCCCGGCCCCTATATACATGAAATGGATGCAAAAGCGATCAAACGCGGGTGGGATTTTCTTAGATCAGGGAAACACCTGGCCCTTGAGAGAGTGTTGGATTACAGCTCTCATCCTGACCATGGACAGGAAATAAGACTGATGTATAGGAAGCTTGCATGAGTGTTAATGTGCTTTATTCTATTGTGGCTTTAACTTTTCTATATGTATTACATTACGGTTGTAAAAAAATAATAACTGATATTTTTATTTTTAATGTAAAGCGCTATGAGGCGTCCCCCCCTACAATATATAAATTCTATGAAATAAATAATACATAAAAGAAAGAAAGTGAACAAAGAAAAAGTTGGTCCTGGATAGCTCAGTTGGTTAGTGTTTGGTGCTGATAATACCAAGGTTGCAGGTTTGATCCTCATATGGTACAGCTGTATAATCCTGCATTGCAGCGGGTTGGACTAAATGACCCCCACGCTCCCTTCCAACTCTAGAATTCTGTGATTCTCACTTTACAGATTCAGGACAGATTACAGGAAGGACAGCTACCTGCCATGATGGCTGTGATCCATGGTCAGAGGTAGCAATGATTCTGAATACCAGTTGCTGGAAGCCACAGCAAGAGAGAGGGCTTTGGGGCTTAGTCCCGCCTTTAGGTTTCCCACAGGCCCCTGGTTGGCCTCTGAGAGACCAGGATGCCATTGCACTGATCCAGAAGTGTCTTCCTCTGTCCTTATGGAATCACAGGAGTTGGAGTCCAACAACATTGCAGGTTTTTCACCAGCATGTTTACTGAAACCTTTCCAATATTTCTTTTTCTTGTTTTAAAGCTCACTTTGATCACACCTGGAATACAAGAGACTGATCCGGAACAGGTTTGCAAATGCAAACACAGGGATATCCTAGATCGGAGATAGCCCATGTTGTGTCCTGTAAGTGTCGTTGGGACTCCAACTCCCATCACTCCCAGCCAGCAGAGCCCAATGGTTAGGGATGGCAGCTGTAGTACAGCAACATCTGGGCATAGGTGTCTACAGGGCGGCGATAATTTTATTTATTTATTGTGTCTATCTTGCCCAGAGGCTCAAGGAGGTGGTGTGCAGAGTTCTCCGCCTCCTCTAATCCCCACAATGACCCTGTGAGGTAGGCATGGTGGCTGCTCCTCCTTTACCACCACCTGAGGCAACTGACAGTGGCCCAGGGAAGCCCTGGCATGCTGAAGGTAAAAAGGTAAAGGGACCCCTGACCATTAGGTCCAGTCGTGGCTGACTCTGGGGTTGCGGCGCTCATCTCGCTTTATTGGCCAAGGGAGCCGGCTTCCGGGTCATGTGGCCAGCCTGACTAAGCCGCTTCTGGCGAACCAGAGCAGCGCACAGAAATACCGTTTACCTTCCTGCCGGAGCGGTACCTATTTATCTACTTGCACTTTGATGTGCTTTCGAACTGCTAGGTTGGCAGGAGCAGGGACTGAGCAACGGGAGCTCGCCCCGTCGCAGGGATTCAAACCGCCGACCTTCTGCTTCTGATCAGCGAGTCCTAGGTGCTGTGGTTTAACCCACAGCGCTACCCACGTCCCTATGCTGAAAGGAGCAAGGGAGAAAAAAAAGAGGTTGGAGAGGAACAAGGGGTGATGGAGAAAGAGGGCAACAAACATAGGAGGCAGCAAGCAGCACACTTGTGGGGCTGGACTGCCACCTTTCCCAGCTGCCCCCCAGCCTGTCACCTGAGGTGACTGCCTCACCCAGCCACAGAGGCAATCTGGCCATGGAGCCAGAGGTTTTCAACCTTTTTGGGTCCATGGCTCCCTTGACCAATTACATATTTCTGCGGCACCCCTGTGGGGCTCAGGAGCCCATTTGTGTCACCTCTTGCCTGTAGAGCTTGCAGCCTCTCACCCCTTTTTGAATCCTCCCTTGTGGAGTGTTGCCTCAGCCTCCTCTCTTCTCCCCTCTCCTTGGGAGTCCTCTGGGCAGCTATAGCTGCCACCTTTTGTCTTTGAGCTGCGCCCGCCCTGCCCCTAAAGAGAGGTGGCTTCTCACAGTGCCCTACAGGGGCCTGGGAAGCACCCCCTGGCCAGCCCCAGAGGCACTATTCGCCTGGGGAGCTTGTAGCCAGGCTGCTGCAACAAACAGCTGTGCAAGCCTTTGGGAGGCAGAGACTCCAGAGGGCATCCGAGGAGGGAGGGAAGGAAAGAGGGACAGAGGCAGTGATGCCCACAGCACCTCTGAGTATCATTCAAGGCACCCCAGGGTGGCACGGCACACTGGTTGAAAACCACTGGGCTAGGCTGAGATGAAGTGACTGACCCACGGTCACCCAGAGAGCTTCATGGCCGAGTGGTGATTTGAACCATCTCCCAGTCAAACACTCTAATCCAGTGGTTCTCAAACTTTTCAGTGACTGACCCACACTTTCAGAATAAAAATCTGTCAAAACTGGTCACTCCAAACATATTTCTGCTCAATTAAAAACAGCATTGTGTGTTCTTTATAGTCTGTTCTTTATATTTTATACTACAATGAAAAGTTTAAATGTTTCTTTGACTGTCCTTGAATATTCCCACCACACTTGCCACCCTTTCCTGCCACACCAGTGTTGTGTGCCACACCCTTTTGAGAACCACTGCACTAACCACTAGGCCACGCTAGTTCTGGTGCACGGCTACCTCACTCATCCCTGGCCAGAGTTGGCAGGGGGAGTGGGAGCTAGTCTCATGGTCAACGTCTCTTGCAAGGCAGTTATGGCAAAGTGGTAACTTAAGTATTATTATTTTTAACATTTGGTTTGTTCAGTTGCCTCCTGGGACCTAGGCCTGAAAGGTGGTCTGGGTAGATGGAAATAGGTAAACTTTAGCAATATATTCTGTTGATTATTAATTGAGAGCTGGCAGCTGTCCTGGTGAGGCATTTCGTGTTCTAGCACATTCCATGCATCTGCAGGCCCCAAATATGAGCTGAAGTGTAAACAGGAGAACGATTGGTGCTGGAGTGGTGTGCTATGACATTTCAAGCCTTGAGAAATCAGGAGAGCGACGTTGCTAAGAAAGCGATACAGTGGTACCTTGGGTTACAAACACTTCAGGTTACATACACTTCAGGTTATAGACTCCGCTAATCCAAAAATAGTACCTCAGGTTAAGAACTTTGCTTCAGGATGAGAACAGAAATCGTGCTCTGGCGGCGCGGCGGCAGCAGGAGACCCCATTAGCTAAAGTGGTGCTTCAGGTTATGAACAGTTTCAGGTTAAGAACGGACCTCCGGAACGAATTAAGTACTTAACCCGAGGTACCACTGTAGTGGATTTGGAAACATTTCTGGCGGCAGCATACGTTTAGACTCCCATCATCCCCAGCCAGCATGGCCAGTAATCAGGGATGCTGGGAGTTGTAATCTGAGAACTTCTGGAGCATACTAAATAGGAGAAGATTAGAGAGAAGGAAAGGGCAATTGGAGGACAATAGAACTATCAAGATGGAGACACACACAGAAATTGAGATTGAGAGAAGCCCAGTGAAATTTTGAGGGGACACTGATAGCAGAGAATCTAAATCAGGGTTTCCCCAACTAGACTCTCCAGCTGTTTTGGAGCTACAACTCCTATCATGCCTAGCTAGCAGGATCAGTGGCCAGGGATGTGGAGCCCCAAAGCCAGGGACAAACTTTGGGCCTCCAGCCAGGTCTCCCTGTATGACCCTTGGAATGCCACCGAGGCCACACCCCTTCTCCCAGGCCACACCCCTCACTGGTCCTGCTACATGCCCTCCACATTACTAGTATGTGTATTTGAACCGTGATGCCTCCTGTCTGGCTTATTTCCAATGTGATCTGCCCAGATGGGATATTCTCACATTCAGGGGGTTCCTTTCCTATTTTAAATACCTTCAATTTTCAGTACCCAATATTATTCCTGCTCAGGAAGGGCTTTGGCCCACTTGGTGAAATAAATATGAATTTTCTGACAGCTACAGAAACTGCTCCGACAACAGAACTGTCTCTCCCTCGGGACGTGTTTATTAACTCAGCCCTCTTCCCAGGTGGTTATTTTTGTGTTCCATAGGCTCTGGAATGAAACTGAAACTCCTCCCACCCCTCAGAAGCTGAAATAGGGAGCCTCCCAACCCATGAGAACATAACAGGGCTGCTGGATGAGACCAAAGGCCTATGTAGTCCAGCCTCCTGTTCTCAGGGGGGCCAACCAGATTCCCCTGGGAAGCCCGCGAGCAGGACCCAAGCATAACAGCACTCTTCCCACCTGCGATTCCTGGCAACTGCCATTCAGAGGCACACGGCCTCCCATTTCCCCTTGGCTCCAGCCAGCGTAGCCGATAGAAATGGGAGTCCAGCACCATCTGGAGGGCCATGGTTTCCAATCTCAACTTTAGGCCACAGACATTTAAAGCACTCTTATTCCACTTTGGCAGCCACGGTTTCCCCCAAAGAATCCTGGAAACTATTAAGGGTGCTGACTGAGAGTTGTTAGAGATTCCCCTCACAGAGCTACAATTCCCAGAGTTCCCTGGGGAAAGGGACCTATTTTTAAAGCCACTCTGGGAATCTGAGGCCTGCGAGGAGAATTAGGGGCCTCCTAAAAGCTTTCAGCACCCTTCACAAACTACAGTTCCAGGGATTTTTTGTGGTGAAACCGTTCAATTGCTTTAAAGGCCTGGTGCAGTTGAGGCCTTACACCGAGCAGCCATTCGGCTTCTCTTCCGTATGGCTTCTCTTGTGCGTAACGAGGGATGGTTTCCGACAGAAGCTTTTCCCGCACTCTGAGCACTTGTATGGCTTTTCCCCAGTATGCACTCTTTCATGTATTGCCAGGTAAGCACCAGTGCTGAAACCTTTGCCACAAACAGTGCATTTGTACGGTCTTTCTCCCGCGTGAGTCCTCTTGTGCCTAACCAGAGATTGTTTCCGGCTGAAACTCTTCCCACAGTCCAAGCATTCGTAGAGATTCTTCCCCGTGTGCATGCCCTCGTGTTTCACAAGTGACCCTTTCTGACCGAAGGCTTTACCGCACACTGAGCACTCGTATGGTTTCTCTCCGGTGTGCGTCCCCTCGTGCCGGATGAGATCTGACTTCTGGATGAACCGGTTCTCGCACCGTGAGCACTGATAGGGTTTCTCGCCCGTGTGGGCCCTGATGTGCCTCAGCAGGCAAGAGCTATCTCGGTAGCTCTTGCCGCACTCAGGGCATTCGTAAGGCTTCTCTCCCGTGTGGGTTCTCTTGTGTTTAATAAGGGACGGCTTCTGAGTGAAGCTTTTCCCGCACTCGGTGCACATGAAAGGGCTCTCCCCGGTGTGCACCCGAACGTGCCTCTTCAGATGGGAGCTGGTGCCAAAAGTCTTTCCGCAGTGAGTGCAGTCAAAGGGTTTCTCCCCAGTGTGGATTCTCGTATGTGCTTGGAGGTGAGAGTTGCTGTGGAAACTTTTCCCGCAGTACGAGCATTCGTATGGCTTATCATCCATGTGAGCCAAAGTGTGCTTCCTAAAGTCTCCTCTCTCTGCAAAGCTTTCCCCGCAATCTGAACATCTGCAGGGCCTCTCTCCCACGTGGGCTCTCTGGTGTATAATTAATGACGAACTCTCGTTGAAACTTCTCCCGCAGTAAACACATGCATAAGGCTTGCCCTCCCTTTCCATACTTTCAAGGGAGTCAGTGTTTTGGCGGAGATTTCTGCTGCCCTCAGTGGCTCTCATTTTCCTCCTATGCCTGCTGTGGCTTCCATTTTGGAAGGTACTTTGAGACAGTCCTCTATCACCCCTCTCACAGAAAGAGACCTCTTCGGCTGCGTTCTCTGGATGCTTCCCACAGTATTCTTCTGGGTCCAACTGACATCCAGGGGTCTCTTCTGGCTCAGCAATCTGGAAGTCTCTCTCTTGGGTTGTGCTCAAGCATCTTCTTCCAAGACTTGAGAGTTCAGATTCTTCTTTCTCCTCATTCTTCCATGCTAGAAATGAAAAGAGTCTTTATTTCATTTGTGTGCTTTAGCTACACAGTTGTGGCGCCCGCCCTTCAGATGTCAAGGAAATAAATAACTATCTGACTTTTAGAAGACATCTGAAGGGAGCCTCTTTAGGGAAGTTTTTAATGTCTGATGTTTTATTGAATTTTTAATATTTTGTTGGAAGTCACCCAGAGTGGCTGGGGAAACCCAGTCAGATGGGTGGGGTAAAAATAAATTATTATTAATTATTAATTATTATTATTATTATTAGATTGAACCTCACAACTGGACGACTGCAATGGGGGTTTCCCTTGTGGCTGGTCCAGAAGCTGTGGCCAGGTTATCGAGAGGAGAAATTGGACATGCACATATTACGCCTTTACTGGGGCAATAGCACTGGTTGCTGTTACTCTGTCCGGAAGAGTCTGTGTCAGAACCAGGCCTGAAACACCCAAACAGGGATGCGGAACCAGCTGCCTTCCAGAACTTGCTGGACTCCAACTCCCTTCATCCCTGGTCACTGGCTGCAGTGGCTGCAGCAGAAGGGAGCTGGAGACCCAACAGCATTTGGAAGGCCACAGCAGGTGCCCTTCATCTGGGCTCAACTGTTCAGACAGTAACACTTACCTAGCAAGTTGGCCTGCCTGACAGCTTCCTGCTCGACTTCCATGGTGGGTTCCACCTTCACTATGTCTAATGGTACCTGCTTTGACTTGGGGAGATTAACAGCCACATCGTTTAAAGGCTTGGGTCCCTGAAAACAGTAAGAGGAGAATGATATCACCATGAGATAGAATCAGAGAATTGTAGAGTTGGTAGGGACCTCCTGTAGTCCAAGGCAGGAATCTCCGCTAAAGCATCAATGATAGATGGCCACCCAACATCTGCTTAAAAACCTCTAAGGAAGTAGTCTCTGCAAGCTCATGAAGAGCACAGATCATGTGTAATTCAAAGGTTGCCAATCGTGGAACTCCCAATACGCTAAGTCTAGTGCTGTCTCTCATGCCAACAGAAGGAGGCTATTTGATCCTGCAGAGGCATCTGTCAACAGAACAAGGAGGGCAATCTTTTGCTGATTCTCCTCATCCCACCACCCCACACAGCAGCTCCCTCCCATACTGTACCAAAGGGCACACCAACCTTCTGGCACTAATTTTGGGGGTGGCATGCGGGGGACTGTAGGGAGGGAAGGGATATCACGAGCCCCACTATGCGTGCCGTCATCATGAGAGGTCCTTTTGTCAGGGACTGGGCAGAGGAGGAATGGTGGAGACCACCTCCCCAGCCTGACCCTTCCAGAGAAGAAGACAGTTCAGAATTACAACAGGGGTTTGAGGGAGGTCACAGCTCAGAGGAAGATAAGGGGGAAAGTTGGGAACCAATGGGAGAGGAGGAGGAGGAGGAGGCATAGCTGGAGCAGCTGGCTGACACATTATCACTAGAAAGCATTCCAGACCCACCATCTCCCAGAACCCAGCAAGCCTTAAAAGTAGGAGAGCAAAGGGCTCAGAAGAAACGGCCCTTAGTGCCACCTGTAAAAGAGATGAGGAATGAGGAAGAGGGAGGAAAAGGGGAAGGAAAGTCACTCAGGACAACACCAACAGGCTGCATTCCCAAGCCTCTCTTTGTAAATATTGAATAAAAGCAGATGGTAAGGACTTTCCCTTGTCTTATCCATTCCTGGCAACCTGCCGTGGGGGTTGGTTCCTCTGACTCCTGGCACCAAAACTGCAGAGCCTCCCTACCAGGGAAATTAGCCACACTTTATCTCTTGTAGAAGCAGCCACTTAAGGCACATCTAAGAACATAAGAAGAGTCCTATCTCCCTCCCCCCACCCTGTGAATTCTAGCGATTCAGAATACACACGGCCTCTGACAATAGCGGTATCACAGCTAGCACCAGAATCTGTCTGGTAAGAAATATGAGGCCCACCAGTGTGGGAAGAGAGCTGCTGTGCTCATAACCTGCTTGTGGGATTCCCAGAAGTATCTGCAGGGCCACTGTGAGCACAAAAGCCAGAGGCCTGTAATAAAATTCAGGACTTTGGCCTGATTCAAGAGGGGTCTTATGAGGGAGTCCACCAGAGAACATTTGACCAAGAGCTCTCTCAAACCAGGAGAAAGCACTGATCATGTCCAACACTGCGTACCTGGCAAGGTTCCTCAGCCTCCTGGTAGCAGAACTGGATGATGGCGCCCTTGTCCACAATCTCTTCCTTCACTTTCATAAGAGAATAGAGGCTTCCTGAGGCTTCTTGGGCTTGACGCAGGCTTGCTTCCTTTCCTTCAGTCCCGTGGGTGTCATCAGCTTCTGCAACAAGGGAGCCCTGGAATGGCTTCCTATTCTCCCTTGAATGGGGGACCAGTGGAGACTCCATTGTCTTCAAATACGCTTCCCACTGAACATCCCAGTTCCGTAAATGCTCCCCCTCCAGATCTTGCTTAATATGCCGCAGAAGCGGCCGAGTTACAAATTCTCCTCTGGTCCCAGCTGTCAGGAAATGAGACTTTGCCTTCCGACTTCAAGCTCTTTCAAGATTCTGGCCCTGCAGGGTCCTGGTCCTTCATTTTTATTTCTTGCTCTACCTCCAGCTCTGGAAAGGGCAAAGCACAAGAAAACCAAACAGTCCCATGTATTAATCAATGCATCAGGATACAACTAGGGCCATAACTCAGTGATGGAGAAGAGGCCTTGCATGCAAAAGATCACTGCTAGGAATATCACCTGTCTGAAACCCCAGGGAGTAGCTGCCACTCAGTGTAGACAATAATGAGCAAGATAGACCAATGATCTGACTTGGTCTAAGGCAGCTTCCATCTCCTCATTCCTCCCTAAAGTGCCCAGGGCAGCAAAAAGCAAAATGGGAAAACATTATAATTAAAAATAAAATAAAATAACAGAATGAAATCATTTAACAATAATTAAAAACACCTAGAAACGTTTAAAAGCAGTCCAATGTCCTTCTAGTTAATTATTTCAAGGTGGCCAGGAACAGTATATTTCAGTCATCAAATGCCTCCTCAAAGTTAATAGTGAGGGAGACAAGTATGCCTCACTAGGGACAATTCCACAAATGTGGAGTTGCCACTGAGAATGCGTTCTCACAGGTTGTGAAGAAATCCTGTGCATTTGAACTTTGTTTTAATGGGTAATGTGTCATGTATTCTGTCAGCTGTATTATAATATACATTGCAATGTGTTTCACGGGGGAAGTCTTCTTTCTGCTCAGGTGAAAGTTGGTTTAATTGTAACTGACACTGGCATTCCTTAACTGACAGCTGAATTTGAATTCTCAGGATGCAAATGAAGGATAGAATGCATGCATACTCTGATTGGTGGTTGCAGCTTTAGAATTCTCAGTTAGATAACATAATTGGCTGGGGTTAGATCAAAGGGGCCAGAAAAGAGTATATATATGTGGCTGGAAGCTGGTCAGAGTTAGTTAGTTAGTTGGTGCTGGCAGAGAATGGCCAGAAGAAGACAGATGAGGAAGAGAAGGAAGGAAGGCTGAGAGGAAGGCAGAGCCGCTGAAGACTTGCTGGGGGGGGGGGGGGAATACCTGAGGCAGTTTAGGATGCTAGGATCTAACATATGGTATGGGAGCCAAGGGAGATTCCCAGACAGGATAGCAAAAACAGACTTGTGCATCAATAGGTGAGTAGAGAGTTGAAACGGGGGCTTCCACAAAAGCCCTCACTTATACTGTTAGTGAGGTTTAACTGACAAGGAGTAAATATAAGGGCAATCTGGCAAAATAATTTTAGGAGGGTAACTGCTTCCTCAAAGCTGTCTTGCTCTCATGTAAAATAAGCTGTTGGCATTTCATGTGACAGCAACAAAGAGCATGGTCATTTAAAGAGACAGTACCAAATCAAAGTAACCACATAATAAACCTAATTATCTTTGTTAAACATAGTAACTCTATTTGGTTGGCTTCTTACCGTGCCTACATCCCACAGTTACCAGGGTTATTGGTAAGTTAAGGAGGTAAAAGGTGTAAGTGCTATTAAATGGTGACAGCAGTAAGGGTTTAGGAAAACCATTGGAGTGGAAGTTGGACTTGGTTAATAACATAAGTTATGAGATGCCACTACCCCCCTTCCCACCACACACTTCATCCCCAACGAGGCTACACCTTTAGCGGGGACCCCCCATGCCTGTGGGAATGGTGCATTCAAAATACTATGCAAAGGGTTAATGCTGTAGAATCTTGTGATGTCATACGTCTGAGGCAGTTTTTTCTGTTAGTTGTCAACTGTTGAGGGAGACTTAACTCTTAGAGCATCAAGTACACTCTGTTATGCTGTTTTTTGTCTGCCTCAGATAACTATTAGTCAGTCTCGAATACATATTCATATGTTTCAGTAACATAGGTATCACCTGCCTGCCTTGTACATTCAATCTGACAAGAGCAAGTACACCAGGTAAAAGTCATATGCTATTTTTAAACTATGCCTTGCATGGTTGTTTTTGTTGTTGTATTTCTAGGAGGGAAAAGAGAACTATTAAAAAGGGTCAAACATCCTGGGGAAAACTTGCCTCACAACTGTGTAAAGTATAATTGCCACAATGGCAACCATAGAGCACCTGCACCCCTGGTCCCTGGTGAGATTCTTCCCTTTGCTGCCTATGAGAATCAAAACACAAGAAGAACCCCGCAGGATCGTCTAGCCAGAATCCCGTTTCCTACAGTGGCCAACTCAGCCCTCAAGAGGCGCAATGAATCCAGAAGGTTGGCAGTTCGAGCCCACCTAGGGATGGCTGTGGGCAGGATTCCTGCACTGCAGGGGGGGTCGGACTAGATGACCCTCGGGGTTCCCCTTCCAGCTCTTCTGGTGCATAGATAGCCACACCACTGCTAGCAGCCTTGTGCTCCGTGACCTCCCCTTTTCCAACCCGTTTTCGATTTGTGACCCATGGCCACATCTCGCGGTGGTACTGAATGCCAGTCTGAATAGGTCCTTCCCTTCGCCCGTCCGGAACAAGGCTGCATCCATCCTGACCTCTTCCCGACCCCAAATCTCTGAACCGCGCCCTCTTTTCCCCTCTCCCTTTTTCTGCACCGCCCTAGGCGGAATGAGCGACACGGAGGACGCTCTCCTGGGAACAGCTGCAATGAAAACCCTGGATGGGGAGTCTCTCTTTTCCCCCAAGCTTGCTCAATTTCTCCTGCCCCTGAACCCCGATCTCTCATTCTCCCCCGTTTCAACTCACCTGCTGTTTGCAGCCTTTGCATTGCCGGCCCTTCTAGGAATTGAAACGCCGCGCACACTCGACCCATCGCCCCAAGGAAGGAAAACCCGACAATCTCCGCTCTACTTGCCAGAAGTCCCACCTTCTACCGGCTCTCCCCTCCATGGGCCTTTCTAGGCTCCGACAGCTCTCTGTGGTTAACTCTTTCAGCGTTTACAACCGATTCTCCCCCCCCCCACACACAATGCACTTTAACTACGCAGTCCTCAGGCAACAGTGTGTAAGGACTCTTCTCTGTGGTTAGCGATGAGACAATGCAAGCCTAGTCCTCTTTACTCGGAAGTAAGGCCACTATGAGGACGCGGGTGGCGCTGTGGGTTAAACCACAGAGCCTAGGACTTTGCTGATCAGAAGGTCAGCGGTTCTAATCCCCGCGACGGTGCTTGGTCCCTGCTCCTGCCAATCTAGCAGTTCGAAAGCACGTCAAAGTGCAAGTAGATAAATAGGTACCGCTCCAGTGGGAAGGTAAACGGTGTTTCCGTGCGCTGCTCTGGTTTGCAAGATGCGGCTCAGTCATGCTGGCCACATGACCCGAAAGCTGTATGCCAGCTCCCTCGGCCAATAAAGCGAGATGAGCGTCACAACCCCAGAGTTGTCCACGACTGGACCTAATGGTCAGGGGTCCCTTTACCTTTACCTAAGGCCACTATGGGTGGCCACCCATTGGGGATTGTTTACTTCCTGTGGAGGGGGACTGGACCAGATGGCCTTTGGGACATCTTCCTAATCTACAGTTCTATGATGTTCATCACCTACAGAGGTTGATCTGATGGAGGGTGCAGAGTGCATTACTCCTTCACACAGCACATTAAGCAATGGAATTTTGTCCTGGAAGATGTAATGAAGCCTACCAACTTGTATAGCTTTAAAGGAGGATTAAACAAATTCATGGAGGGAGGAGGAGGCTATAAACAGCTAACGGGCCAAGAGGGCTGTGTTCCACCACCACAGTATATGAGGCAGTGTGCCTTTGAATCCATTTCTGCACACTCTTGGGAGGGGAGCGTACTTTTCGTGCTCAGTGTTTTTTTTCTTTTAAGACACATACAACAAAAACCGTAATAACACAATTTGACATTCAGATTTGAATACACTGATATACCTATGACTACACCTTTTTAAACAATATTTCCCCACCTCTCCTCCCCCTACGTCCCGCCACTATCTGCCTTATCGCTTAAATATTCGTTCCAGATTTCTTCATATTTATCCATTCTTATTTTGCGTCGACATGCAATTCGTTCGTATGTAGCTAATCTGTCCATATTATCAACACATGTGCTCAATGGAATCTTTTTGCGGCTCTTCCAATTCATCAAAACAAGTTTTTTTGCTTCTAATATAGTACGGTACATCCATTTTTTTTGACCCCTTGAAATCTCCCACGTTTCCGGAATATAATTTAGAATTCAATTCAATTCCCCTAAATAACAATTTCTTTTTATTACTCTTGCTATAAATATCCTCACCTCGCACCAAAGTGATCTTATCATCGGGCAGTTAATCATCGTAGTACATATGATTAAAGTTCGCATTTTTACTCCCACATCTCCAGCAGTTGTCTGCACTTGTTATTTTCTTCTGGTATAGTTTTGCTGGAGTCCAGTGGACTCTGAATATTATTTTCTGTTGAATAAGTCTTAGTCTTAGATCCACAGAGGCTATTTCTGTTGATTTCATACTTGACTCCCATATATAATTTGTTATCTATACCCCTAACTCTTCACTCCATTTTTGTCTATCATATTCTAAATCATATTTCTTCCTGTTGAGTAGGGTTTTATATAGTGCAAGTGTAGTTTTTTGTTTTTATTGCAGAGATTAAATCTTGTAGCAGCACGGGTGTTTCCGATGCTGCTATAGCGTCAGGGCCAAACTGCCTTTCCAACATATGTTTCAATTGGATGTATTGCCATTGTGTTTCACTGGTTAATCCATACTTTACTTGCAAAGTCTTATATTCCAAAAATTTGTAATTTTCATCAATTAATTGATTCAATGTCAAAATACCTTTTTTCATCCAATTTTGCCAAATTATTACTTGATTTCCAATTTTTAATTTTGGGTTGGCCCATATTGTTAATTTCTCATGCTGATAGGGGTCATCCTTATTATTTTTATTTATATTCATCCAAATTTTTATAGGTGCTGGAGGAAATAGGGGCGTGGCAGGCTGGGAGTGTTGCAAGCGTGGATTTATGTACTTTCCTGTTTTTATATGTAATTTCTCGTTGTACAGTATCTGTTTTTATAATTGCCTTTTCTGTCACTGTAACCTGCCCTAGGACCTTACGGCAAAGGGCATGTAAGAAAGCTGACTTCTAGGTGAGTACACGCATAGATCTTCCTTCCCTCTTCCCTCCGCAAAACTCTTTTAGAAAAATTCTTCCTCCTCCTCATTATTATAATATTTATTTATTTTTCACTAACAGGAACTCAAGGCAGTTTATGGATAAAATAGAAACAGCTAAATAGAAGCAGCTAAAAAGGGGGGGCACAATGTTTAAAAAGCAATTAAACGTTAATGAGATATATATGTACCGTATATAATGATCTCTCTCTTTCACTCACCTAAGCGGGCAGCAGCCCTGTCTATCTCCCATGGATCCCACTTGTATCGTTTGTAAGGATACCGAATACAAATGGGCCCATGGGGGGAGAGGTGATAGAGGATGTAGTTCTGTGGTTAGAACACCAAGGTACCAGGTTCCCTTCCCAGCATCTGCCAAGTAGGGTGGAGAGCCCCATCAGAAACTTTGAAGAGCCACTACCAGTCAGAATAGAAAGACAAAATACTGCATTTTACATTGTTGTGTTCTGTGCTGGGACCATGTGGTGAAAGGAGGATCACAAATCAAAATAAATACATATTGGATCATTGTGGCACCTGTGAGTGCCACAGCACTCTCAGATACCACTGTATCACTGCTGCCAATGCTTCCTGCCTATCTCAATTTTTAAATTACTATCTTTATTATTATTGAGAAATATTGCCCTTTTGGCATGTTCTCTTTTGTTTTGTTCTCCCTTCCTCTCTATGTGTGACATTTTTTTGTATCCAGGTTTTGGAGTGTTTGAAGGGTGGTGGTGCCTGAGCATCTCCAGTTTTCTTTTAGGACATAGGTATTTTGTGCTGCCGTAGCAGTTCCTTGTGATTTCCAAATGTGCCTCTGGGCCCCCAAAAAAATCTCAAATATTTTGCCATGCCTGTCACATGTATGACTATCTTGCTTCTTAAACAGAATGGGTGTGTCTGAGGTGTAATGAGTTCCTGACTCTCCAGGAACATGTTTGTTGCCTTGAGGCAACAACTCTTAGCCGGCAAAGCTAAGAGAGGCTAAGAGGTTGGTATATAAGGCCTTCTGGGATGTTATAGCTGTGTCCCACTCTCATGATTATAGCTCCCCACTGTCAGGGAGAATGAGCATCTCAGAGAAGAGTGGTGTTCTCAGGAATTTCACATACACACCCATGGGGTCGGAACTGGTGGTGACAGACCACAAATGAGACCTTCGGGCCTAGTAAAAAGCTTGATGAAGTTGTTGATCCTGTGTGTGGTGCCCGTGAGAAAGGCAAATTCCATGCTAAGGTTCACTAGGAAAGGGATTGGAAATTAACTCCAGGTATCATAATGCCGTTATGCAAATCAATGATGGGACCACATTTGGAATCCTGTGTACAGTTCTAGTTGGCTCACCTCAAAAAGGATATTGTAGAGTTGGAAAAGCTTCAGAAAAGGGCCACCAAAATGACTGAGGGGATGGAGGGAGCCCCACTTCCCGTGAAGAAAGGTTGGGACTTTTTAGTTTAGAGAGCAGGTGAGAAAGAGGCAACATGAAGTTTAAAAATGATGTATGGCATGGAGAAGGTGAACAGTGAAAAGTTTCTGCCTTGTAACACAAGAACTTGAACCTCAAGATTGGAAGATTCAGGACAGATAAGAGAAAGTACATATTCACATGACGCATAGTTAACCTATGGAACTCCCTCCCACAGGAGTTTGGATTTGATATCCCGCCTTTCACTCCCTTTAAGGAGTCTCAAAGCGGCTAACATTCTCCTTTCCCTTCCTCCCCCACAACAAACACTCTGGGAGGTGAGTGGGGCTGAGAGACTTCAGAGAAGTGTGACTGGCCCAAGGTCACCCAGAAGCTGCATGTGGAGGAGCGGAGACGCGAACCCGGTTCCCCAGATTACGAATCTACCGCTCCTAACCACTACACCACACTGGCTCTCTTTGGAGGAGGCAGTGATGGCCACTGTCCTAAATGGTTTTAAAAGAAGATTAGACAAATTCATGGAGGAGAGGGATCCCTAGGGCTGTTAGCTATTATGGCTATGCTCTGTCTCCACAGTTGGAAAAAGTAATTCTTCTGAACACCAGTTGGGGGAAACCACAGGAAAGTGCTCTTCTTCTCAAATCCTGCTTGCTGGTTTCCCACAGGCATCTTGTCAGCCACTGTGAGGGCAGGATGCTGAACTAGATGGCCCACTGGCCTGATCCTGCAGGCATTTCATATGTTCTTATTTTTTACTTTGGATTTAATAACAGGGCCTAGGTGACAATGAGCATTTGTCCTGATTTGCTTCATTAATGTCTTCCTGTTAATGATTCAATCATCCCACAATTTTCAGCACCTTTCCTCTTCACTTTCCTAACTCACCAAAGTCTCTTTCTTAAAATTTAAAGACATGGGTTTCCTGTTCTCGGGCACCAGAGTGCTTAAATCCACTCTCATTGTGCAAACCTAAATTTACTGTAGGCAGTTGGATCCCTCCCCCAAAAGAGTGACACACTGGATGCATCTGGGTAAACAGCTGTGTTATCTTTGCAATGTAAATGAGCAATGTCTTCCATCTGCACCCTCCCTCTCTGTATCCTCCGTCTAGGCAAGCAAGAGTCATGGTCAGAGTTCAAGGACACATGAAAACAAGGAAAGTCTTGAAGAGCCACTCTGCTGGGGTTGTCCAACCCCTGGTAACAAGAAGGGTTAGCGTTATGAAGATTTCCCCCCTTCAGTAGAAGAGTGCTTGGGTTTTCCACAGTGTTATCACAACTGATCTTAAACACTCCATCCATTTCCACATCCAGAATGGTCCTGATTCCCAAATCTCTCGCCCATTTCCCCCGCCCACCAATACACTTCTTCACACCAAGCTACTGTCTGGATGTTTTCAAGCACTCTGAATTCTACCTCAGGAAACAATATCCTAAGCAATTTGGGACCGAAAATAATTGCTGTCAACAAGAAAAGGAGGTGTGCATGTGTATGTGTATATATATATATATATATATATATATATATATATATATGGGTATACAGTACAGTAGTGGAATTTTCCCACCATTCTTATTAAAATATGTTGTATCAAGAACATTTCTAGACTAGGACTTGGAACAGAATTTTAAGAGCTGGGGGTGAAGGGACTGACAATTACTACCAGTTTTACAATTCTACTACCGTTTCCAGCAACTGAACCAGACTCTTTGGAAATTACACCATTGGGAGATGTGGATGAGAAACTCCAGGTTAGCCAGGGCAAAGGATGCATTCCTTTCTCCAGCACAGATTCTCTGACTTCTAATAACACACAACCCAGGGCTGAAGCTGCTCCTCCAATGAGGGTTTCTCTTCTTCCCCACTTTCCTTTAGATCCTCCCCCCACAAAAAAAAATCACATTTATTGACATTCAGCCAGGAAGACTTTCTGTGATTTCCACAGCTGGAGCCTTTAGTACAACAACCAGTCTGTGTGGATTCTTTCATGTCCTAAGACAGAAGACGTAGCACTCAGGCTGTACATTTGTAAGTTTTCACCTTTGTGTGGATTCTCTCATGCTTAATAAGATTTGACCGCCAGCTGAAACACTTCCCACAGTGGGAGCATTTATATGGCTTCTCCCCTGTGTGGATTTGCTGGTGCTGGAGGAGATCGGAGCCCCGGCCAAAACATTTCCCACACTCAGAGCATTTATATGGCTTCCCTCTTTTGAGGATTCTCTGATGTCGTAGAAGGTCAGAGCGGTGCCCAAAGCTCTTCCCACAGTCGGAGCATTTGTACGGTTTCTCCCCTGTGTGGGTGCGCTCGTGTGCCAGGAGACCCGAGCTCTGGCTGAAGCTCTTCCCACACTCTGCGCACGTGTATGGTTTCTCCCCCGTGTGGGTTCTCAAATGTCTAACGAGAGCTGTGCGTTCGCAAAAGCTTTTCCCGCACTCGGTGCACCGATACGGCTTTTCTCCAGTATGGGTCCTCTCATGGGCCAAAAGGCCCGAGCTCTGGCTGAAACTCTTCCCACACTCTGCGCATTTGTACGGTTTCTCTCCCGTGTGGGTCCTCTCGTGCGCCGAAAGGCCCGACCTCCGGTGAAAGTTCTTCCCGCAGTCCGGGCAGGTGAAGGGTTTCTCACCGGTGTGGGACCTCTCATGAGCCACGAGGGCTGAGCTCTGGCTGAAGCATTTCCCGCACTCCCCACATTTGTATGGCTTCTCCCCTGTGTGGATCCTCTCATGCGTGATTAGGTGGGACTTCCGGCTGAAGCTCTTGCCGCACTCTGCGCAGTCGTAGGGCTTCTCCCCTGTGTGGGTTCTCTCGTGTGCAATGAGGTGGGACTTCCGGCTGAAACTTTTGCCACACTCTGGGCAGCCATACGGTTTCTCTCCAGTGTGAAGTCTCCGGTGCCTGTACAAGCTCGAGCTCTGCTTGAAGGTTTTCCCACAGTCCATGCACATCTTCAACCCCCCATAGTTGTAGATCCTTGCCTGGATCCTGGGCTCTTTCAGATCCCAGGGGCCCTGGTCATAAAGCGGAATAGAGATGTCCTTCTGTTTCTTATGGCCCTCTGAGCCCTGGCGGCTTCCAGATGTTTCTCCTGTCTCAAGGATGCCCCAATTGTCTCCTCCAAGAGAAGCGCCGTCTGCCTCAGAATCTTCCTGCACAAGGTTGTCGTCCTCCTCAATCTCACTCTCCTTTCCATCACCTGCTGAGAGAAGCAGAAAACGTTGAAGTGATGAATCCAACCCTTGAGCTTTATGGTGTTTCAGCTAATGAAACCTTCAGGCATGGAATTAAATAAATCCTTACCGAGTGAAACCGTGTCCTCACCTTCCTGCTTTAAGCTCTGCTCCTGCTCAGTGTCTGAGGGAGGCAGCTCAGTATCAGAAAGGTCTGTGGCCAATGCCTGCAGTTAAACATTAATAAACGTGAGTCAGAAAGGAGCAGAAAGGCTTAGAAACAGAATGTGTGTGTTTTTTTTAAGGCAACTTTTTACATGAATAATCGTGACCCCAAATGATACACTTCTCCCATCTAATGCTATCACAGTATGAATCAAAATACAAAACTGAAAAGTGGGATAGGTCATATTTTTCAGTGGGGACAAACATGGCTGCTGCATATGGAACCTCCAGCTTCAGGGGCAGTATACCAGTTTCCGAATCCTGCAGCTTCAAAGCAACAAAAAGTGTGGTGTCTGGTTGACGAAACAGGATGCTGTACTGAGTAGAACTTTTCTCTGATCCAGCAGGGCTATTCTCATGTAGAAACAGAGGGGTTTTAGTCAAATTTTAGATATTAATCCCTCTGTTCCAGCTGTTTCCAATATTTTGGAACTGAGATCTCCAAGGCGCATTATGACATCTGCTGATACCCCACTGGCTCCTACCAAGGCCCACTGCCCCTCTTCATTTTAAAATTTTACTTTCTAAGAATTGAGAGTTTGGGGGGGATTTTTTTGTTGGGGGGATATGTTTTTAGGGGGTCCTTGCTTGCATTTTGGACTTTCCTTGGAGGAATAGCTTTGGGCTCTCTTGTGGGGGACATAGCTAAGGGAACTATCATGATGATTGTTCTTGCCAGACCAATCTGATTTATTTTTTGATGTAATTACATAGTTGGTGGATCAGGGAAATACTGTGGACATAGTGTATCTTGATTTCAGTAAGGCTTCTGACAAAGTCCCCCATGATATTCTTGTGAAGAAGCTGGTAAAATGTAGGTTGAACGAGGTAACTGTTAGGTGGAATTGTAGCTGGCTAGTCAACCGAACCGAACCCAAAGAGTACTCATTAATGGTTCCTTCTCATCCTGGAAAAAAAGTGAGAAGTGGGGTGCCGTATGGTTCTGTCCTGGGCCCGTTGTTGTTCAATGTCTTTATAAATGACTTGGATGAAGGAATTGAGGGCATACTCATCAAATTTGCAGATGACACCAAACTGGAAGGGGTAGCTAATGCTGCAGAAGACAGAATCAGAATTCAAAATGACCATAACAGATTGGAGAACTGGGCACAAGCTAAGAAATGAATTTCAATAGGGACAAATGTAAAGTTCTACACAATACACCTGGAGGGGGAAGGGTAAATCTGTGAAGTGATTACCTAGCCCGAGTGTGTAGTTGTTAAAATACCCAAGATAAGCCGCAAAGCCAAAACAAGGAGAAAGAGAGCTCAAAATCTGTTCTGGTAGATGGTTTAGGCTCGTGGTCAGAGGAAGTAAAGCTTGAAGGGTTAGAGAGAAAACCCATAGCAGAACTTTGGGACCAGAGTCTTGAGAGAAGCCTAGCCAGAAGGAACAGTACTGAGATAAAATTTCTCTTATTTTGTTAATTTACTGATAATTGTCACTCACACAATATGCCACCCAAAAAGATAAGAAACCCTGTGAGGGAAACAACTTATGAAAGTTCTGAAGGAGAGGAGAATGGAAATCCTCAGAGGGAAGAGTAGAGTTTAGAAAATGTAACTAATATTCAACCTGAGGCAGGAGATCCAAAATTCTCTGAAGACTTTGAAAAGTGGTAGTTATAACAAGAATATAAATTGGAATTAGAAGGAATTAAAGCTGAGAGCGAAAGAATTAGGGCTGAGCAGGAGAGCGAAAGAATGCAATTTCAGCTGGAGAGGAGGAAACTGGAATTAGCAGCTATGGAGAATCAAAATAATAGTAATAAAACCAGTAGTCAAACTCAAGTGAAGGTAGATTTAAAGCGTTTTCCTGAGTTTAAGGGAAAAGATAGCCCTGAGGCTTTTATTATATCATTTGAAAGAGCTTGTCAAGATTTTCAAGTGAAGGATGAAGATAAGATGAAGATACTTAGAGCCAGGATAAGTGGGGCATTAGTTGAAATTTATGCTCAAATGACAGAGGACCAATCCAAAAATTTTGATATGTTTAAGCAACTAATATACACCAGGTTTGGGATTACCTCAGAACAACTGAGAAAGAAATTTAGAAGTGTGACTAAAGTGAGGGAGGAGACATACGCTCAGCTTGGGGCTAAAATCTCAAACTACCTCACAAAGTGGTTAGAACAGGAAAGGGCAGACTCTGTTCCAAAAATCAGAGAAGTGTTTGCTCTAGAACAATTTTATGAACCGATAAACGGCCAATTAAAATATCTTATAAAGGAAAGACACCCTCAATCGCTTCAAGAAGCCACTAACATAGCTGACCAAATAAATGAAATAAGGGACCATAGGTTTGATGAACCAAGTTTTGGCGGGAAAGTGTGGGGGACTAATAGAAATAAATTCCAACAGGCAAAGGGAAACCCATCTTCAGAGACAGACAAGGGAAATAGGCCATTGTCAAAAGGGCAAAATGACAAGGCCCAAGCAAACACCAGTCTCACTGATGAGAAAGGGTGGAAAACAAATTATACAAATCCCAAAGAACTGAAATGCTGGAGATGTGGAAAATTAGGCCACAAAAGTTTTAATTGTAGAGCTGGAGGGGAAAAGTCTGTCAATATTAGCCCTCCGGAAAAACCTATTGTATCAAAGCAGCTGAGGAGAGCCAAGCTAGTCAGGCTAGGCTGAAGCCTGCTGAAGTGGTGGAGTCTAAAGTGGCACATTGCTACACTATTAAACAAGACAATCTTCTTTTGAAAAATGCTGGGGAAAATATTTGGATTGAAGGGAGGAGATTTCTAGGGTTAAAAGATACAAGTTCGCAAGTCACTATTGTCCACCCAGAGATAATCTGTCCCACCAAAAGAATTCCAGGAAAAGTTATGCAATTAAAAGGAATTTCGAAACACCCTGAGGTATTACCAGTTGCAGAAATCCATGTTAAGTTCCAAGATTGGTCAAGGAAGTGGCAGGTTGCTATTTCTGCAGAGATTCCTACTGCTGTGCTGATCGGATGGGATCTCTTAGAGCATGTACAGAGTTCTTTTGTAGTTACTCGCTCAAAGGGGGGTAAACAGTCACCCGATGCTGAGGGGAATGCTACTGTTGCCAAAGGAGACAGAGCTGTGGAACAGATCTCTGAGGGGAGAAATGAAGCCCTGCTGGTTCCTTTTATAAAAAACCAAAAACATAGTTTTGCCCAAGAACAGAAAGAAGATGTTGATTTAGTTAATTGTTTTGAGACAGCCAAATCTGATGTGCCTTTAACCCCTGAAAGTCCTGAGCAATTCTGTCTAAGCAATGGACTGTTATATAGAGAAGTCCTTGACTTGCACTCATTATGGTCTTAGGGCAGTCACACACAATCCCAGTTTCAATACAGTACAGTGAAAGTTTGGGGCAGGCATGCTTCTTCGTTTCCAATCAGTGCATGTCCTGTAGCTTCCTGCTGAACTCCTGTAAGTTTTTATACCACATATGTTCCAGTGTGGGTTTCTGGGTCCCACTTTTTACAGTGCAAAAGTCCCGCTCCACACAGCAATAATGCGGTAACATTGTGGAAGGATCACAGAACAGTTTATAAAGCAGAACGATGGATGGTCCAGTATGAATCCATCACTAATACACCATTTTTGCATCAATGGGCACACCCACACTACAGATTTCAAGAGCTTTTACAATCAATCCTCTCTCCAAAGGAACTCTGGAAATTGTAGTTCTGTGAGGGGGATCAAAGGGGTTTCTCCTAACAATTCTCAACACCCTTATAACAATACAGTAATTTATTACTTATATATCGCCCATCCAACTGGGTTACCCCTGCCTTAACAAACTACAATTCCCAGGAGTCTTTAGGGGAAACCCTGACAATTAGAGTAGTATAAAAGTGCTAGAAATATATAGTGTGGGTAAGTCCAATGACATATTACAGAATACACTTGCCCCCCTCCCCACCAAAAAAATCCCCACCAATCTTGGTGGGACCCTGATAGAATCCCCCCCCCCCCCGCAAAACTTCAGAAACTGAAGTTTCCCTCTCACCTGAGTTCCCCATCTCTCATTCTTCTGCTGCCTCAGTAGGAAATCCTCTGCCAGGGCCACGACCTGAGCACAGATCTCTGGCCCTCGATCCTGAACCCAGTTCTCCATTTCACAGAAAAATTGCTGCGGTGTCACTCAAAAGCGTTCTGAAACAAGCAGGTGAAATTGTTTCTTTTAATTCCACAGTGCCCTTTGTCAAAAACTGACAGGGGCAGCGTCATACAAAAGCGCAAATGAAATGCAAGTGATATATAAATACAATGGCAAAGACATATTTACAATCATTTAGTAGTATTTTTGTGGGATCTTAGATTTTATAGTACCTGCTGTGCGCCACCTTGATATTTTATATGGGTGGACTGTCTACAAACATTTAAACAAATAAATACATATGTATAGATCAGGGCTTGGGTAGCTATGGCCCTCCAGATGTTGCCAGACTACAACTCCCATCATCCCTGGCTTTGCTTGCTGGGACTGATCTGGGGGAGGGCCCCAGGCTCTCCACCGTCCTTCACTGTAAGATATTCTCCAGAGCAAGCTTCTGTTAGAAGCATAGGAGCTAATCCCTGCAAAATAAATAGGTCACACTATATGCAAGAATGCTAAATCCATAAAGATCTCTCTCTCTCTCTCTCTCTCTGGATGCAGAATTCATTGCTGAATTTATTATGAAGCCAAATACCAACTAGGGATGGCATCCCAGAGTTACTTCTACTAAGGGCTAGCCTGTTAATTTCGGTGAGAATAATGCAGTTGGGTAGAAAAACGCTTTTGTTTCAGAGCTGCGGATCTAGTCCCCTTCTCCCTCCTCGGTCTGCATTCTGGTGGGTGGCAGGCAGGAGGGGAAGGAGATCCAGGGTGTTGTTGGCAGTTTCCCCTTTCGCACTGCCTTCTCCTGTGTCATTTCAAATGCCTCCTCTGCAGGGAGAGCTGCTCCTTTCCCCAACCGCCCCTTTCCTCCTCTACCTCCATCAACGCACCTCTTTTTTTCCCTGCACCAGCCGGCAGCCGCCTTGGTGATGCAACCTCCTTTTCAAGAAATCTCTGCAGTCCAAATTGCCCAGAGGCTAGCAATATTTAAATATGTGTATATATATATTTTAAAAATCCACGAAGGGGTAGGAAGCCCCACAAACCACCAAGTTTACTATCGCCTACAGGAAAAGGCCATGGGCAGCTTCCTTCACAGCTGTCCAGGCCTCTCTGTGCAAATGCAGCTCTGTTGATTTAACCCTTGGGATCTCATTCACGGGGAAAGAAGGGACAAAACGGCTTCAGGCCTCCATTGGGGAGGAAAGGGGAGGCTCTTTGCAGCCACACACCCCGATCTCTTGAACGGCTGCTGCTGTGGTCCTTTTGGCTGCAGGCAGGAGTTAGACCGGTGCAGCTTCTCTCTTTCTCCCGCCCCCCCCCACGCCTTTCTTTAAAAAAAAAGTTTTGTGTATTTCATTGCAACACAGAGAGAGATGTATTCATTCAGACAGTAAATATTTGGGTCTATTCAGAAGATTGCAAATATCACAAGGTCAGGGGAAACATCATTCCTTTGAAGAGAAGGCCTACAATCGCTTGCAAAAAGCAGGGCTTTTTACCAAGATGCTACCAGTTTAGCACAAGAAATCCACGTTGTTACATTTAAGAGACTTTGGGGAGTTAGGAAAATGAAGGGGAAAGGCACTGAAAATTATGGGATGACTGAATCATTAACAGGAAGACATTGACGAAGCAAATCAGGATGGATGTTCAATAAACAGTTCCATCCAGAGTTGTCTCGAGTTATTTATTTCAAATCAGAAATAAGAACATAAGAGTCTGCTGGATCAGGTCAGTGGCTCACTTAGTTCAGCATTTTGCCCTCACAGTGGCTGACAGGATGCCTGTGGGAAACTCACAAGCAGGATTTGAGCAGAAGAGACCTCTCCCCTCAGCTGCAATCAGCTGGGGTTCAGAAGAATTACTGCTTTAAACTGTGGAGGCAGAGCACAACCATCATAGCTAACATCCATAGGGAGCCCTCTCCTCCATCGATACAGTACTTTTTGTCGGGGGGGGGGGGCATATTCCTAAACATTTTGTGAATCTAAGTTTGGCCTCATTGAGGGGCAGTATTTCAATATGTGTAGGAAAATGAGAGTACCCCTAAACACTTTTTTAGGGGGGGGGAGCACTGTTTAAAACTATTTAGGATAGTGTTCCTTGCTGCCTCCTGTGGGAGTTCCAAAGATTAACAATGCGCCATGTGAATTTCTACTTCTTTTTGCCTGCCCGCTCCTCCCCACCTACCCCCTCCCCCCGCAATGCGCATGCGGCTAAATTTCTACTTTCTCTTATCTGTCCTGAATCTTCCAACCGTAAGCTTAATTGGAAGTCTTCAAGTGCTAGTGTTACAAGGGAGAAACTTCTCTCTATTCGCTTTCTCCGTACCATGCATAATTTTTACACTTCTATCATGTTGCCTCTTTCTGACCTGTTCTTTAAACTAAAAAGTCCCAACCTTTCTTGATGGGAAGGGGAGCTCACTTCATCCCCTCAATCATTTTGACGGCCCTTTTCTGAAGCTTTTCCAACTCTACAATATCCTTTTTGGGGTGAGCCAGCCAGAACTGTTCACAGGATTCCAAATGTGGTCCCATCATCGATTTGTATCATGGCTTTATGGTACCTGGAGTTTATTTGCATTCCCTTTCCTATTGAACCCTAGCATGGAAATAACTTTTTCATGGCCGCCGCACACTAGGTCAATGTCTTCATTAAAACTATTTACTACAACTCCAAGGTCTCATTCCTGGTCTGTCATCCCATGAGAGTATATGTGAAATTCAGATTTATTTATTTTTGCCTCAACATGCTATCTAGGCGATGGGGAACATCCCCAACCTTTGTGCCAAGTGGGCAATTCACTTTGCTATCTCTATGTCCATCAGACACCCAACTATCTATGTTCTTAATGACTGACTTGTCCATTACAAGGGTCCTTCCACACACCCACACACCCAAGAAGAGTCTTCAGCAAGGGAGGGTGGCCATTCATCCCCCCCCCCCAAATAGGATCCTTCTATGGAAATCATAGAATGAATTGGAAGGGACCACGAGGACCAACTGGTCCACCCCACCCCACCCCACCCCCGAATGTTTCCCTCTTCCTCAGAACAATACTCTCTTCTACCAGGAGTGGAAAACCTTTGGTGCTTCATATGTAGTCAGACTGGGGAGGGTGAATTTCCCACAGGGCCAGGCATAAAGGCTTGGGAAATAATATACAAGGAATTGAAAAGGATATTCAAAATAACTTTTGTAAAACAAACCAGAAGCTTTTCTTTTGGGAATTATAGGGACAGAACTACCTAAACTGCATAGAAATTTATTTATGTATGCTACTACAGCAGCAAGAATGCTACTCGTCCAAAAGTGGAAAGAAGCATAAGTCCCAGCAAAGGAAGAATGGATACAAAAACTTATGGAATATGCAGAAATGGCAAAACTTAGCAGAAGAATAAGAAATCAAGATCAACAAACTTTTTATAAAAGAATGGAAATGGTTTATTGAATATTTACATATAAATTGTAAACAGATAAAAACATTAGCAGGATAATTGTAATAACATGCAGTTTCATAAGAGTATATATTTAAAGAAGATGAATAAATGAGCAAATTAAATGAATTTGGATATGCAGAAGATATTAAAAAATAAATTTAAGGAACTGCAGAAAGGGAGGGGGAAGGAAGTCAAACTTTTAAATGTTAAATCAATGTTAATGTAAAACCAATGAAATGTATAAACTTGGAAAGTATAAATAAAAACTAAAAAAAGGCTTGCAGGGCTACTCTGCCTGGGGTTCTCCAACTCTTGGTAAAAAAGAAGGGTTGGTGTTATTAATATATTCCCACCCCCTCCAGTGGAAGAGGGCTTTGGGAAATGGGTTCTTCAGAGTGTTATCAGAGGGAGACATTTACAGCTGATCTTAAATACTTGATCTACCCTCAAGTCTACCATGGCCCTGATTCCAAAATCTCTCATCCACTTCCCCCTTCCTCCATACACTTATTCATACGGAGCAACCATTTGGATGTTTTTAAGCACTTTGAATTCCACCTCAGGAAACAGTATCCTAAGAGATTTGGGACCGAAAAGGATTGTGGCCAATGAGAAAAGGAGGTATACAGTCATGGGAAAAAGAAAGTACACCTTCTTTGAATTATGTGGCTTTACACATGAGGACATAATAAAAAACATGTTCCTTAGCAGGTCTTAATATCAGGTAAATACAACCTCAGGTGAACAACAGCACATAATATGTCGCATTGTGATTTATTTAACAGAAATAAAGCCAAGATGTAGAAGCCATGTGTGAAAAACTAAGTACACCTTTGATTCAACAGCTTGGAGAACCACCTTTATCAGCAATAACATGAAGTAATTCTTTATCCATCTCTCTCATTGTTGTGGAGGAATTTTGGCCCATTCTTCTTCACAACGTTGCTTCAGCTCATTGAGGTTTGCTGGCATTTGTTTATGAACAGCTCTCTTAAGGTCCCACCACAGCATTTCAATTGGGTCAAAGTCTGGACTTTGAGTGGGCCGTTGCAACACCTTGATTCTTTTCTTTTTCAGTCATTCTGTTGAAGATTTACTGGTGTGCTTGGGATTATTGTCCTGTAGCATAACCCAGTTTCGACCAAGCTTTAGCTGTCAGGCAGATGGCCTCCCAACTGAATCTAAGATACTTTGGTATACAGAGGAGTTCGTGGTCAACTCAATGACTGCAAGGTTCCCAGGTCCTGTGGCTGCAAGCCCAAATCACCAACCCTCCACCACCACGCCTGACAGTTAGTATGTTGTTTGTGCTGATATGCTGCATTTGGTTTTCGCCAAACATGGTACTGTGCACTATGGCCAAACATCTCCACTTTGGTCTCGTGTGTCCAAAGGACGTTGTTCCAGAAGTCTGGTGATTTGTTCAGATGCAACTTTGCAAACCTAAGCTGTGCTGCCATGTTCTATTTAGAGGGAAGAGGCTTTCTCCTGACAACTCTTCCCAGCATATTCAGTCTTTTTCTGATCGTACTGTCATGAACTTTAACATTTAACGTGCTAACTGAGGCCTGTAGAGCCCGAGATGTAACTCTTGGGTTTTTTGCAATTTCTCTGAGCATTGCACGGTCTGACCTTGGGGTGAATTTGCAGGGACGTCCACTCCTGGGAAGGTTGACAACTGTCTGGAATGTTTTCCACTTCTGAATAATCTTTCTGATTGTAGAATGATGGACTTTAAATTGTTTGGAGATGGCCTTATAATCCTTCCCAGTTTCATGGGCAGCAACAATTGCTTCTCTAAGAGCATTGCTGATGTCTTTCCTCCTTGGCATTGCGGTAAAACACAAATGCGTGCATTCACAGTTTTCCCCGCACTTGGTGCACAGATATGGCTTCTCTCCCGTATGGGTCCCCTCATGGGCCAAAAGACTCGAGCTCTGGCTCAAATTCTTCCCAAACTCTGTGCATTTGTACAGCTTCTCTCCCATGTGTGTCCTCTCATGCGCCAAAAGACCCGACCTCCGGTGGAAGTTCTTCCTGCAGTCCAGGCAGGTGAATGGTTTCTTGCCAGTGTGGGACCTCTCACGCACCATGAGGGCTAAGCAGTTGTAGGGATTGTCTCCCTGGTCATAAGGAGGAACAGGGATGTCCTTCTGTTTCCCATGCCCATCTGAGTCCTGACGACTTCCAGGTGTTTCTACCATCTCATGGATGTCCCAGTTGTCTCCTCCAAGAGGTGCTCCGTCTGCCTCAGATTCTTCCAGGCTGAGCTGGTCCTCGTTCTTCTTCTCACTCAGCTTTCCATCACCTGCTGAGAAAAGCAGAAAACCTTGATGTCATGAATCCAACCCTTGAGCTTTGTGGTGTTGCAGCTAATGAAACCTTCAGCCATGGAATTAAATAACGAAGGGCCCCAAAGAACAGAGCTTGGGGTCACCTTGAAGACTAACTAATTTATCATGACAAAAAGCCAAGAACAACTAACATGCCTCCCTCTGGATGTTGTTGAATTCCAGTAACCATCAGCCCCAGTCAACATGGTCAATAGACTGGGAAGATCAGAATTGAAGCCCAGCAAAAACTGGAGAACCACATGTTCTGTCCAACCCCTAGACTAGAGCCCAGCAGCACATGCATGGAAGCATCAGCACAGCACAAAAAGCAGAACTCGCATTAGGAATCTTTCAGAGAGCAATCAAAAAATCAAGCTGCCAATAACACAATGTAATTATGGTGTAACTACAATTGAAATCGGGACGCGGGTGGTGCTGTGGGTAAAACCTCAGTGCCTAGGGCTTGCCGATCGCATGGTCGGCGGTTCGAATCCCCGCGGCGGGGTGAGCTCCCGTCTTCGGTCCCAGCTCCTGCCCACCTAGCAGTTCGAAAGCACCCCTAAGTGCAAGTAGATAAATAGGTACCGCTTTATAGCGGGAAGGTAAACGGCGTTTCTGTGTGCTGCGCTGGTGCTGGCTCGCCAGAGCAGCTTTGTCACGCTGGCCACGTGACCCGGAAATGTCTCTGGACAGCGCTGGCCCTCGGCCTCTTAAGTGAGATGGGCGCACAACCCTAGAGTCGGACACGACTGGCCCGTACGGGCAGGGGTACCTTTACCTTACAATTTAAATGCTGTGTATGGTGCCTGTTGTTGCACCTAATTATTATTTTTTATAGAGTTGGAAAAGGGATCCAGTGTCTTGAACAGCCCCATGCCTCATGGTGAGTAAAACCTAATAAAAGTTGCTGAAAAATAATAAAGCATTGCTGATCATATGAAAATAAAAAGAATGTAATGTTAGCTTGTCCAGTTCATGCAGGTTAGCAGATTTCAAGTGTTCTCGGTGCAGTATGCACAGCCCCTGGTAGGAGCATCCCTGAACATGTGCAGATTTCTTCCCTCTACAGCAAAAATTCCTAAGGGAGGAGTGGGGAACCTTAGGAACCAAGAATTAAATGTGGCTGTCCAGGCCTCTCTATCCAACCTTGGGAATTCTCCCACTCCTCTCTGTCCCCACCCCACCAAGGTTTTTACATTGCTGGAATGCATCCCTCTACTTGCCTGGTGCAGAGTTAAGAGAAGAATTATCTGCCCCCTGCAGAGTTGGAATGTAGTCTACTATAGAGGATGTACGGGTTAATTTCATTGATCTGCCCACTTTTGCCTGTGGCTTCACCTGGAGATATCTCATGAGAGAATGTGGCCCATGAGCTAAAAAACTTCTCCGCTCCTGTCCTAAGTGGGCACAGTGGAACATCTAGGTAATCTAAAGCTCCATCCCCTCTCATTTTAAAAATTAAGTGCCTGGGGAAAATAAATCCTTACCGAGTGAGACCATGTCCTCATCTTTCTCCTGCTTTAAGTTCTGCTCCTGCTCAGTGTCTGAGGGAGGCAGCTTGGTATCAGAAAGGTTTGTGGCCACTGCCTGCAGTTAAACATTAAGAATCATGAGTCAGAAAGGAGCAGAAAGGCTTAGGAACAGAAAGGTGTGGTGTGTGTATTTTAAAGGCAACCTTTTATAATAAAGAATCGTGACCCCAAAAGACACACTTCTCCCACCTAATGCTATCACAGTATGAATTGAAATAGAAAACTGAAAAGCAGGATGGGCCATATTTTTCAATGGAGACTAACATGGCTGCTACTCATAGGTAAATGGAACCTCTAGCTTCAGAGGCAGTACACGACCAGACGTTTTTATTCTGCGTTCAATATTATTTGCGCTCATTATGCTATCAGGGCAGTCACACACAAACCCACTTTCAATACAGTACAGTTGTACCTTGGTTCTCGAACACCTTGGTACCTGTACGTTTTGACTCCCAAACTCCGAAAACCCAGAAGTCTTCTGGTTTTCGAATGTTCTTGGGAACCTGAATGTCCGACACGGCTTCTGCAGCTTCCGATTGAGTGCAGGAAGCGCCTGCAGCCGATTGGAAACCGTGTCTTGGTTTTCAACCGTTTTCAGAAGTCGAACAGAGTTCTGGAATGGATTCAAGAACCAAGGTACGACTGTACTGCAAAAGCTTTGGGGCTTGCATACCTCTTCACCTGAGCTCCCCATCTTTCATTCTCCTGCTGCCTCAGCAGGAAATCCTTCACCAGGGTCACGACCCGAGCACAGATCTCCGGGCATCGAACCCGAACCAAATTCTCCATTTCCCAGAGAAAAAGCACTGCAGCCTCCCTCAAAAAGTTTCTGAAATAAGCAGGTGGATTTGTTCCATTATAATTTTCCCAAAGAAAATTTGTCAAATTTTGTCAAAAGGTTGCGGGGCAGCACCATACAAAACATGAATGAAATTCAAACAACATATAAATACAATGACAAAGGCTAGTGTTTTCATGGGATCTTAGGTTTTGTTGTACCTGCTATGCAGCACTTTTATATTTTATGTGTGTGGACCATTTACAAACATCTTAAACAAATCAATACAAATGTATGTATAGACCAGAGGCTGGGTAGCTATAGCCCTCCAGATGTTGCCAAACTACAACTTCATCATCCCTGGCTTTGCTGACTGACCAGCACTGATCTGGAGGAGGGCCCCAGGCTATCCACACAGTCCTAACCAGAGCAAGCTGCTGGTAGAAACATGGGAGCCAAGTCCTGCAAAATAAGTTGACCACTATACATGCAAGGATGCTAAATCTATGAAGAACACAATACAATGATATTTTTAAAGTGATACTTTAAAGATATACGGTATACGATTTCTTAACTTGGGATGGTATCCCAAAGTTATTTCTACTGAGAGCTGACCTACTGAAATTAACTGACATGACTAATTTTGGCCCATTAATTTTGATAATATTAATTTAGTCGGTTACACTACAATTTGTTTCGATTTCTGAGAGTCAGACTGACATTCCATAATGATTTATTTATTTATTTCCATCCAAAGCATCCTGAGATTGGGCTTCATTCTGTTTCAGAGCTGGGGATCTAGTCCCCTTCTCCCCCCTCGGTTTGCATTCTGGTGGGTGGCAGGCGGGCAGGCAGGCAGGCAGGCGGGGAAGGAGATCAGGGAGCTGTTAGCAGTTTCCCCTTCGCACTGCCGGGTCTTCGCTTCTCCTGTGTCATTTCAAATGCCTCCTCTGCAGGGAGAGCTTCTCCTTTTCCCCAACCGCCCCCTTCCTCCTCTACCTCCATCAACGCACCTCTTTTCGCTCTCTCTTTCCCTGCACCAGCCAGCCGCCGCCTTGGTGATGCAACCTCCTTTTCAAGAAATCTCTGCAGCCCAAATTGCCCAGAGGCTAGCAATATTTATAAATATATCTATTTTAAAAACCCCACGAAGGGGAGAAAGCCCCACAAACCACCGAGTTTCCTATCAGCTACAGGAAAAGACGATGGGTAGCTTTCTTCCCAGATGTCCAAGCCTCTCTGTAAAAATGCAGCTCTGCCGCTTTAACCCTTGGGATCTCATTCTCGGGGAAAGAGGGCATTGCCCAGGGCGGGTTACAGCGATAGAAAATGCAATTATAAATACACATTACCCATTACAACGACAAATTACATACAAAAACAGGGGAGCATAAAACCACGCTTGCAAAACTCCCAGTCTGCCACGCCCCCATTTCCTCCAGAAATGGGACAATCCTGCTAAAATAACTGTTACGGGAACGTGCAAACAGCACTTCTTGACTCAATGCACACCAGCAAACATGTATTCACAGCGCAGCGTTGCACCGGCGGCCGGCGGCCGCCTTCTCCCTTTCGCAACTCCGCAGGGTGTCATTCCTCAAAGGGTTAAGGAAACGGCAACCGGTTGCCTAGACAAGACCCGGAAGCGTAAAGAATGTTCCGCGCTTCCTGTTCCTGCGCGTCTCGATGGTCCGGGCTTGGGCATCGGAATTGGAGATTAGCCGAGGTTGCCCGCAAAGGTGAGTTGGGAGATGGCGGAGGGGAGAGCGAGAAGTTAATGGAGACGCTTCCTTTGGGCTCTTTGCCTGTTTTTGCTCAGGGTCTGCCCTGCAAGCAGCGCTCCCGGGGGCCTTCTGCTGAGAAAAGCTGGGAAAGGCTCAGAAAAGGGCAGCCAGGATGGATCGAAGGGGGTTGGAGCAGTTTCCCCAGTGATGAAAGGGTGAAGCATTTGGGGGGCGGAGGGAGTAAATGGAGAGTCGGGAAAGGGGTGCATCAAATTAGGCACGGCGTTCGGGGGGAAGTGGCTCGAGAGACGTTTTACTCCGCCTTTCATGAAACCAAACTCGGGGCCAAGCAGTAAAGCTGAGCGGTGAGAGATGCAGGACAGACAAAAGGAAGGACTTCTCCATGCAGCATGTAATTGAACTATGGGGTTCACTGCCGCGAGAAATAGTGACGGGCACCGAGTTATTATTATCAATAATAATAATAGAATTTATATACCACCCTATACCCAGGGGTCTCAGGGCGGTTCGCAGAATAAAATCAAGATATAAAACCACAAAATACCTAATAAAAAATAAAAACAGCAACCCATTACCCCCTCCCAAAAAACCCACATTTTAAAAGGGCATAGGATGTAAATCGGATCAACCAAATGCGTGGTTAAAGAGGATGGATTTAAAAGAGGATTTGGCAAATTCAATGGGGGGGGGTAAGACTATCATCAACACTAAGGACACGGATGACCGTTTCAGAGCACTCATAGGTGCTCTGAAAGCACCTATGAAGGGTGTGGACAGGGTTGAAGAAGTATGCAACTTGGAGAGAGGGTGTAGCCTGGGGGAGAGACCCAAGGGCCAGACAGGAGGGTATTTGGCCCTCAGGCCTGAGGCTTCCCCCGCCCTGCTATAGACAATACTGAGCTAGATGGGCCATTGGTGGCTTCAGATGTCCTGTCATTTCAGAAGATGCATTTCAGCTTTTGTGTGGCTCTTCTGTGAAGTCTCCTGTCACCCATGATTATGCAAATACTCCCATTAAACAATTAGAAAATGATTCTGTTCTGAGATGCTGATGTTTGCTCACTCCCTGTCCTCCCTTGCTAATACACAAAGGGAAGTGTGCAGCTGTGGGAGGGGGAGTCCCAGGCTCATGATATACCAGACTGATAAAATTCACTCTGAAAGGGGAGCTGATTACAAGGGAAGTGGGAAAGTTACTGATAAAAGGAGCGAGGTTAACTCCATGAATGCAGGACAGAATTGTGAGAGATTCTGTAACTACAAAGAGACAAAACACATGGCTTATAATAGTTTATGTCTTTTAGATACCTTGGATATATGGACTGCCTCTGTTAATCTATGTGTTTACATTAGGACTGATGGACTATTTTTTATCATCTGTGTCAGCAACGGTTCATTATCCTTTTCTTTCTTTTTGGTATACTTGCAAAAAAAAATGCTGAAAAATAAAATAAGAAAAGAAAGGGGTAGACAAACACAAGCCTTGATACATATGGCTGCTATTCTTGCATCATTGACCTGTTGCGGAACACACATACAAACCTCAACTGTAGAGGGGCCCTTAGTGTGTATAATTAAAGTGACTTAAAGCACAATCTTGTCCTAGTGCAATAAAAAAGAGAGAAGGAGATTTATAGTGGTTAGGGAAATGAGGAAAATGCACCGAATAGTGTGGGATGAACAAATGATTAACAGGGAGATGTATAAAAAACACTACACAAGCAAATCAGAGAGAATGCTTGCTGTCATATTACCGCCCCACAAACAAATTGGGATGAATGCTCAGTAAATAGGTGGTCTGAAGGAGACCTAACTTATCTTAGGATGCAAGCAAGATCCCAAGATTTTGCTATAATCATACAAAACCTTTCACTCATACAGTCATACCGCTGGTTAAATGTGCTTCAGGTTGAGCGTTTTCAGGTTACGCTCCGCGGCGACCCAGAAGTAATGGAGCGTGTTACTTCCGGGTTTCGCCGCTCGCACATGCGCAGACGCTCAAAATGATGTCACGTGCATGCGCGGAAGCGGTGACACGCACAGACACGGGTTGCGTTCACTTCAGGATGTGAACGGGGCTCCGTAACGGATCCCATTCGCATCCAGAGGTACCACTGTATTTCAATTTTATTTTATTTTTTCCTCAGACGCTGCTGCCAGGAATAAAAATGGAGGAGCAGGACCTGCCAGGACCCAATCCAGCAAAGAGATCAGAAATGAGAGGAAAAGGTTCCCGTGCTGTCCAAACTGGGACTGCCAGGGAGTTTCCAGCTGAGACAACCCCGGGAATAATTAAGCATGAGCTAAACAAGGGGCCCCACCAGAAAACTCCGCAGCAGGGGTTCCTGAAGTCCAAATGGTCTATGCGTTCAAGATCAAAACCCTCACGGCTCTTTCAGTCCCATCCGCGGTTGGATGATGCTAATGACTTCCAGGCCTCCTTCAAGGCTGTCATTGACACCAGCCGGTGGCCAACAGGAGAGAGTGCGTCCCGTCGAGAAGCCCGCGGGGCCCATCAAAGGCTGGATCCTTTTGTGAAAGTGAAGGAGGAGATTCTGGATGAGGAAACTCTCAGCTTGGAGATTCGATGTCTTCGCTTCCGGCATTTCGGCTACCAGGAGACCGAGGGGCCCCGAGAGGCCTTGAGACAACTCCGAGAGCTTTGCCGCCAGTGGCTGATGCCTGAGAGGCACACCAAGGAGCAGATCCTGGAGTTGGTGACCTTGGAGCAGTTCCTGACCGTCCTGCCCCTGGAGATGCAGTGCTGGGTCCGGGAATGGGGCCCGGAGACCTGTACCCAAGCGGTGGACCTTGCGGAAGATTTCTTGCTGAAGCCTCGAGAGGCTGAGAGGCCAGAGGAAAAGGTGAACAGAGCTTGTGCGAATTGACCTAGGAGTCATGACAGCTTGGGTCGTCTATGAGTGTGGAAAAGTTGGTCTGGAAATGTGTCTTGGCAAACACAGTTCAATAACACAGACTGTGTCCAGAGAGAAAAGTCTTGATAACACTTTACTAAGTATACTGAACAAAATGGTGTATAATTTGAGGAGAAAGGAAACAGAGGTTTTGTGTTTCAGTTTGGGCCTTGTACAGAGTGCCGGGAGACATTCAGTCAAACATATAGAGGTAAAACTCCCTTGGAACTGCACAGCCAACCAGAGCATGTGCTATCTCACTAAAGATAATGCCAGTGCCTGGTTGCTAAGTAATAACTCCACCTGTCCCTCTCTTGGCTAGTTGACTTTAATGCTAATCAAATTATCCCTAAATTACAAACAGCCTCAGCAAGCATGACCAACAGCCAGGGATGACAGGAGTCGTAGTTTAGCACTATCTGGAAGACCAAAGGTTCCTCATACTGTATACTACTTTTCAGTCATTCCATTCCTATCTGCTCCAAATTCCATTTTATGTGGAGGAAAATATTTTATGTTATTTAAGCCATTCACTATCAATAGATCTTGAAGCAGTTTACATTGAATTGGTTTACATGTTAAAAAATCCAAGAACATAAGTATAGAATAAAACACTTTCAACAATTTAAGATGAAGAAAATCCAACTACACATAGGTCCCACTTTCCAAACACAATGCGCTCCCCAGGAAATCATCCTTTAGGCGAACGTTCGCATAATGAGCTGACAATTTTCATTATTTCTTATGGGAGCATTTCTAATGTGTGTTCCCACCATACTTTCTTCCTAAAATGGCTGCAGCCAACCAGCAAAAGAGGGGCAAAGGAAAAACTGGTTTGTCTGCTGCTCCCTGATTAGTCCGATTTCTTTCGCCATGGTTTCTACTCCAGCAAAAGTACAAACAAGCAGGGAAGTGGGCAAACTCCATCTGTTCACAATCAGCCAAGTGTGCAGCAAAGCTTGGGTATAACTCTCTGTGTAAAGAGAAGTGATTTTTTGCATAATGAGCTGGTGGGTGGTGGGTAGGGTTGCCATATTTCAAACTGAAAATCCAGACAGAAAAGCTGTTGAGTTTTTTGGGCAAAATGCCATTTTTGAGCTATGCCAATATGGGTTGCCATATGTCCGGATTTCCCCAGACATTTTCCCGATTTCCCGATTTCCACTCGGACACTGCTGCTGACTGCAGTATCCCGGTTATATCAGGGAAAATCCAGTTGTATGGCAATGCTAATAGTGCAGCCTGAATATACATAAACAGTACAGTGCAATATCTGTATACGCAGCAATAATCGTATCAGTGTTTAATTTTTTTTTTTAAGTGTGTGTGTGTATGGACCACCTCTTCCCCACATGATTCAACCTAGACTCTGCTTTCATAATCCAAGGCCTGTGTCCATGTGCCCACTCAGAGAGGGAGATGTGGAGAGTGTCAGCATGAGACTGGGTCTTCTTAGTGGTGGCTCAGTGCTTATGTAACACTCTCCCCAGCTACACATGTCTGGCAATATCACTATATTTCTTTAGGTGCAGGCAAAAATGTTTCTCTTCAGCCAAGCCTTTTTATAATCTGTAGCCTCCCGCAGTGGGAGTGATTTTTTCGCTTTTACAGTGGAACCTCTGGTTACGAACGGGATTCATTCCGGAGGCCTGGCCGTATCTCAAAATCTTCGTAACCGGAGGATTGCGTCTATGCATGCGGCGCCGCAGAGCACTTCTGCACATGCGCGAGCGGCAAACCCACTTCTGGGTTTGCCGCTTTTGCAACCCAAGGATTACGTTACCCGAAGGGTAACCTGAGGGTCCACTGTACTGATTTAGTTTTATGTAGGTGATGTATGTGCTACTTTTGGTAAGTCACTTTGAGTTCCTTTTTGTAAAAGTGGCTAATGAGTTTTTAAAGTGACTAATAAAACAAATAATACAGATTTAACATCTACAGTTCTAAATCTTTTGTTCTTCTTCGGTTTCAGATATGGGGGCCTTTCACAAATGTGGCCATTCATTCGCCCGCGTCAGAGGAGGATTCCTCAGACACTGCTGAAATGCAGATTTGCACAGAGGTCAAGGAGGAAGCAGATGAGATCGACTTGCTGGGTCAAGATTTAGGTTTGAGTCCTTTGACTATGAAGCTTCTTAGCTGGTGATGCTGGGGATTGAACGTGGGGTCTTCTGTGTTCAGGGCAGATGCTCCACCGTTGAGTTAGGACCTTTCCCATTCTAAATCATGGTATTCAGAATCTTCTCTCTCATTTCTTGATTCTCTTATTTCTTTCAACAGATGACAGGCACGAACTGGAAGATGCAGAAGGGATCTTTGAAGAGGAAACAGTTGAGCAAGTAGTTGTGGCTGGAGTATCCCCAGAAAGAGCCAAGGGAGATTTATTCCAGGATCCTGAAGTTGACAAGAGACCTGGAAGCCAGGAGGGGCAAGAAAATCGCCGGGACAAGCACCCGAGGAAGGCGGCAAAACCATTGGGGCAACGCGAGGAAGGCAACAGGGGCTTGAACCAGAATACCTTCCAGCACGGAATCCGCCAGATCTTTGATCTCCTGGAGAATCAGAAGCAGCAGGTGAGGGAGAGGCCGTACAAATGCACGTACTGCAGGGAGAGTTTCCAGAACAAATCCCACCTGTCGATTCATGAGAGGACCCACACGGGAGAGAAACCGTACGAATGCCTGAACTGCGGGAGGTCGTTCTCCCAGCACTCGAACCTCCTGAGGCACGAGAGGACCCACACGGGGGAGAAGCCCTACAAGTGCGCCGACTGTGACAAAAGCTTCAACCAGAAGGCTACCCTTGTCATCCACCAGAGGACCCACACGGGAGAGAAGCCGTACCAGTGCTCAGAGTGCGGCAAGAGCTTCAGCACCAGCTCCCAGCTCATCACCCACAAGCGGATCCACTCAGGTGAGAAGCCGTACCAGTGCTCCGACTGCGGCCAGAGCTTCAGCCGGAGGCCGCACCTCGTGGTGCACGAGAGGACCCACACCGGAGAGAAGCCTTACAAATGCACCGACTGCGGGGAGAGCTTCAGAAACAGCTCGGTCTTCAACGTTCACAAAAGGACCCACACGGGAGAGAAACCCTACAAGTGCTCCTACTGCGGGCAGAGCTTAAGCCGGAGGACCAACCTCATTAAACACGAGAGAATCCACACGGGAGAAAAGCCCTTCAAGTGCCCAGAATGTGACCTCAGCTTCCGGTCCAGCACCTTGCTGAAAGCTCATAAGAGGACCCACACAGGGGAAAAACCGTACAAATGCCTGGAGTGTGAGAAAAGGTTCTGCGGTCTCACGGGTCTTCGTAAACATAAGAAAGTCCACGCCGAGAAACAGCCATAAGGGTGGGCCTGAGGATATAAGCAGGGCTGTGATGAAGTGAAAGGGGTTCAAATCACAGGCGCTGGCCTTAACTGGCCTGGGAGCTGTGCATCTTAAGGACCACCACCTTCTGTTATGTGCCCTGCTCACGCTCTTCAACATCTAAGGCCCCACCCTATGTACTGCTGCCAAACAAAGCTCAGCAGACCTCTGTTAAGAGCAGAGCCTTTTTTGCAGCTGCACCACGGTGCAGAATGCCCCTGCCTCAAGAGGTTCTGCCAAGCCCGGACACGGTGCTCATTGAATCCCCAGGCCAAAAATTGAGGTTGGTGTGGCACTGCCCCATTCATCTCGATTGAGTGGCCTCTGCTGGTCAAGAAGGAAGCAATATGTGGTTGTTTTGATTGCATGATCCTTAGTTTTAGGCTAAGTAGGGTATGGGAACTAGAGGGTTAAGCCAAAGGCCTCATAGAAAAGGTGGGATTTGAGGGTGTTTGTTGATCCATTCCTCCCTGTAGCTCATTTTTTTATTGTTAGGGGTGGCTGTTTGTGTGTGTGTCTCCTGCTGGGAAGGGATTTGGGTCATTTTACCACTTCCTGTCTTGTACCATTAGACCAGCTCCTCTGATGAATTTTTGCATTTATTAGTTGCTTTATATTGTCTTTAACCTTTATTTGTAAGCCACTTTGAATAATCATTGATAAAGAGGAATTTGAGTTACTGCTTTGTTGTGAGTGTATCTGTGTATGTATCGTAATTAGAGAGGTAAAATTTCCGGAACATGAGAAAAAAATGTTTTTCCCCTGTTTCCCCCCAGAAAAAATAGAAATTTTGGGAAAATGGGGGGAAAGTTCAGTGTGGAGTAGTTTTACAAATTGTGTGAAACGCAGTGTATATAAAAGTCTTATGCTTGCAATAAAACAGGTAACCCCCCCTTCCCTCAAAAGCAACAAAAAAAGCAAGAAACCATCAACATAAAAAATAATCAAATTTGCCCCTTAGCGCCAACAGCAAATAAAGTTGTCCACCTCAATATTTAAGCTCCATAGAAGGTCTACCCTTTGAGTGGTGCTTTAAAAAGAAAGAAACAGAAGACACAACATATAAATGCAGTTTATTCTATCTCATTTTCTGAACTACTGCTATCAATTTACTGACCAGACTATAGGTAAACATTATGCTGTGATGGTGGAGAACATTAATAAGAATCGTTTAAGGGTTACAAAAGAGAAACTAATTTGTCAGACAAATTTACCCTCTTACCTGTCAGTTAAGACCTGAGAGGAGGACAGAAACTATCACATCCTGAATATACTAACCATTACTCAACTGTAGGAGGTCTGAGGTACACAAGTATAGTAAACTGGAGGCTTTCCCCTGCAGTGCCCCCTAGTGGCACAAATGCATATTTCTGCTGTTTGAGAGCTTCATTGAGAAGTAAGTACTGTACAGTATAACTTTAATTCTATTCCAGGATTTGCTTGTCTTCAGCTGAGAGAACTTGCAATAATTTAATTTACAAAAAGCCTCAGAAATCTTTCATTCAGGTCTTCATGTTATATTGTTTGAATAAAATGTCATAGATAAATTATTTATCATTGGAAAAGAACATATTCCACACACTCCCCCCCCCCCCCCGATTTTTTTTCAGGGGAGGGGACGGTTTTGGGGTGAAAAATCTGTCCCGTTCCCCACCCCCATTTTTCTGTTTTTTTCCCCAGGCCTTTCCCTCTCTAATTGTAATATATTGGATGCAGGAGGAGAAAAGCAGGGTATTGAAAGTGGAAACTAATTTTAGACTTAATGGTCTGATGGGGGTATTACGTCACTTTCTTTGTAATGTGGTAAGTGGGACACAGCTCAGCTTTCTAAGGACTTTTGCACGAGGTTAAAACATAAGAGTAGAAGGCCTCCAGCTTCCTAAACTGTCTCTGCTTTGAACTGCACTGACCCCTCTTTCCTTGGAAGTAGAATGGTATTCTCAGGTTGCAGTTAAAGGCCCATGCCAAACTAGGATACATTCACAAAGATAATGTCTGTCCTTGCACACAAACTCCATCTGCCAGGCTTGCTGCCTTGGGGAGCCCTCCTCATTCTGCTGAGTGGCGGCCCTGGACATCTGCCCATAATCTCGCCCCGAAGGCACCACAGAGCGAAGGGATGGGAGCAAGAAGAGAGATGGGCAGAAGACTCAGGCTGCTAACACACCATTGAATCTTGGAAAGTAGTTTAAAGGTGCTGGGAATTGTAGTTCTGTGGGGAGTGGAACTACAGTTCCCAGGATTTGGGGAGGCTTTGAATACATGGGGTGTCTGCAGTCTAAGGCTGCTTCCAGACACCCTGTTTATTGAGCATTTATTCTGATTTGTTTGCCGGCAGGTAAGGTGATGTGTCAAAGCAAGGGTTACCTTTCAGTGCATTGGGGAAACTAATCATTTTCCTTATTGCAAAAAGTCCAACTTTTTTTTTTTAAATAATATTTATTAAAATTTCAAAGAATACAAAAATTACACAAAGACATAAAGTAAAAATACAAAAAAAATAAAAATACAAAAAATAAAAATACAAAAAAATAAAAATTACAGAGAAAAGAATAAAGAAAAAACAAAACAAGTTCATTTATTTTCAGATCCTTAACTGTCATTGCCTTCTTTCTTAGACCTCCTCCTCCTCCCTTCCTTTGTATTCTAGTTATTAATTATCCCAGCAAATCCTTTCCTTTCCATGTTTCATAAAATTCTATCATTACATTACCCTCGACTAATTTAATCCTATCTTTCTATAATAAAATAAACCTTAAAGTTTAAAACTTAAGTCTTAACCTTACCAACTTCTTAGGATCATAATATTCTTTCATAATTCTTTATGCATCTTTACTAAAGCCAGGTAATTTCTTCCAACATTTTTCTATCATTCATCAACTTTGTCAAACATTCTAATGATAAAGAAAAAAAAAGAGAGAGAAAGATATAAACAAGTCCAATCTTTATCCAACGTCCCTTCCTCCTGGTTCCGGGATTTGTCAGTCCTTATCCATCAGTCTAACCCGGTGACCTTATGTCTGAGGCCCTCAGGTCACTTCCATGGCCCTTCCGCGGCTCTTCTTCATACTTATAACTGTAATTTCCCTTATCTCCTCGTGATAACTCCAGCTTGACAGTGTCTCTTGCTCGTGGTAACTCCAACTTAGTAATGCTTTTAACCCTTCTCGTCAGATCAGATCCTTTTCCGTATTCATCACTGCATTCCATGTAGTTTTTAAAAGCATGTTTCGAGGGCCCTCCAAAGTTGAGAGCCCCCACAGTCCCAAACATATCGCAGCCCATTGCCATATTTAAAAAGTCCAGACATCCCAACATAGGGGGGTCAATCCAGCCCCCCATTTCCAAGCCACACCAAACTTTCCCTTTCCAGATCTGGCTTTTTCCAAGTTCATTTATCCAGTCCGAAGGAACATACTCCTGTTGGGTCTGTTCTGTCAAAACACACTCCTGATTTAATGCCACAAGCTCCTGTTCTGTCAAAACACACTCCTGGTTTGAATCCTGAGTGGGCTCCACATATTTTCCCACAGTCTGGTCAAGACATTCTACTGCCTGTTTAAGATTTCTAGTCGAAATGGCCAGCCGGTTCACCTTATCATGTAATTCTTCCAGTAGAGCATTTGTTTTGTAAAAAACGCAGACCAAAGCTTCTAAAAACATTGTCCTGCACAATCAGACACTTTCCCACGATTATTTTGTAACAGCTGTCAGTTCCCTCAAGTTAGTTACAGTTTCAAAAGCTCCCCCTAGAGGGAAGACTTATATTTATTTTTGCTACAAAGTTTCCCTCCCCCCCCCCCAAAGTACTTAAGATACTTTGTCCATGTATATTCCTTTAAAATGCGGAAGGGAACAGTGGAATCACAAGTTTTCTCTTCTTTTAGCTATCTGTCAAAAAAAAAACAATTATCTTGATAAACTCACGTCAGTTCTGACACCCCCGCTCCAGGATCAGGACGGAGGAAATTAACTTCCTTTTGTGATTACTTCAAATAGTCAAAAAAAAAATATTCCTAATTTAAAATGTTGAAATCCACTCTTTTAAAAACGATTTCCTGGGCTCTAGTGTAAATTGCCTTTGCTTTGTTCTATTTACAAAAGAACGGAAGGGTGACTTCCTGTTTAGCCCTTCCCGCTCCGTACCAAATTCAATAGATTTTTTTATAGTCCAATTCTGTCCTTTCACAAATCTTTATTTGATATCCCATTTGTTCGAATTCTAAGTACTCACGGGTGTTTGTTTTTAAGTCCAAATTGTCCCAGGAAAGAAGGCAGCGCTCTCCGGCAGCAGCTATGCGGCTTTGCTCCACGGAAATAGCAATTGACTCACAGCACCACGCCGCTTCCCCCCCTCACTTCGGAGCCCGTTAGTGGGTTCCTTAGCGATTGGGGGGGCGCTAAAGGTGCCCGCCGAGTCCCACGGTCACAGGCTTCATCCGCCTGTGATTTTGCAGGGGTCCCCGCTTCGCCGCAGCGGAGTAGACCCTGTTTACCGCGGAGCCAGTCCCTCCAATTCAGAGGGAGTCCGCCATTGCCGGTGGCGCCACCCCGGAAGTTGCAAACAGTCCAACTTTTCTTGGGGGGTGGGCTTGATGCACAAGACTCCCCCAAACCACTTTTGGGAGGGGAGTGCCAGAGACTCTGTTCACAGACTGGTGTGCAAGTATAAATATAGCAATCCTGAAAAAGAATGCCTACACTAAAAAAAAAGTACTTAAAAGTGTGTAAAAGCCAGTGAATACATACAAAAAGCCTAGCAATCCTGTGAAATTTTGGCAGTTTTGTTTGTGGCAGAACCTTGGTGAACTTGATCTCTGTGTTAGGAGGCACCCACCCTGTAAATTTAAAGCAGTCATGGCTTTCCCCTTCTGCAATCTTGGAGACTGCCCCCCCCCCCCGGGTGCTGGGAATTACGGCTCTGTTGAGGGGTCTTCTAGCAACTGTCAGCACCATTAGCAAGCAACATTCCAGGTTTTTGTGGGTGAAGCCATGGCTGTTAGAAGTGCTTTAAATGTGTACTGTGGAAGTGACCTTCCTCTTTAATGTGCCACAACCTCCTTTGATTGAAATGCAAAATGCATTCAGCACCATTTTGCATGTAGGCAGTTGGTTGGGATGGAGCGGGACACACAAGTGGAAGAGGAAGAAAAGCTAGCAAAGCATTTTTAAAGAAAAATGTTCAAAGGTATTTCCTCAAAATATGGGCACTGATTTACGAGGGCCAGGAATTAGGGAAAGAAGGACTTCCATACCTTATTTCATGCATCTGATGAAGTGGGCTTGAATCTGTGAAACCATAAAGGTAAAGGGACTCTGCTAGGTTGGCAGGAGCAGGGACCAAGTAACGGGAGCTCACCCCGTAGCGGGGATTTGAACCATACGTCACAACAAATTTGTTAGGGCCCCTCCAGCATGGTGGTGGGGTTTCTGCAAATGTGCTTTTGCAAAATGTCACTGGTACAATGATAGTGCATTTGGTGGCTGATTTATACTGAACATCATTCCACTTTCTTATGCTATCACATTTTTGCTGCCAGAAGGGGCACTCCTGCACTATTCTAGCACAACGAAAGCAGGCCATTAAAAAACACAACCAGAATGTTTGTGGTATGAAAAGTTAGAAGAATTCAGCAGGAAGCTATGGTACATGCAGTGCTTTTTTTCTTTAAAAAAATAGGTTTAGGGGTACTCTCATTTTTCTGCTCATATTGAAATACTGTCCCTCAATGAGGCCAAACTTTAGGGGTATGCGTACCCCCAGCAAAAAAAGCACTGGGTACATGCACAGATTGGAAACGAAGCAGTGCGTCTACCCCAAAACGTTTGCACATGTAAACAGTATTGAAACAACCCTGATAGCATCATGAGCACAAATGCACAAGGAAAAGGACATCTGGAGAGGACCTTAGGTGACCCATACATCTTAAGGACATGACTACTCCCAAAGAATCCTGGGAACTGTAGTCCACCCCTCAGAGCTAGAATTCCCAGCACCCTTAACAAACTACGGTTCCCAAGGTTCTTTTAAAGTGTTACAATACTGCCTTGTGGTTAAATAACACAGCAGCAGCTAACCCGCCTGAAAAGAGTCTTCTTCTAGGGCTGAAGAAGACATGGGTTCCAGATAGATGCAACTTTCGGAAACCAGGATTTCTGCCCCCCACCCTCTGCTTAACGCCCTCAGCTATTTGCGTTCTGTGCAGGATCTTTCCGCCCATTCATCCCTCTCGTGTTACAGGGGCTTCAAGGGGTTAATGTCACAGAGCTGTGACTCCTAGACAGGGCCAGAAAAAGGGAATTCATTTGAAGCTGCAAATGCATTCTTCTTCCTGCCCCCCCCCCCTTCTCCTAGCTGGCTGGGAAGAAGAGACAGCCTTTTGCATGCATTTTTTTTAAAAAAATTATAATATATTGATTGCATTTTGGAGTACAGATTGCCACAGCTGCAGCATAACTGGAGAAGTGAGTTAAGAAGAGAGGGTTTTTTTGGGGGGGGGGGAGGGGATCTCCAATGGAATAGAGGGAGCCAATTGGGGAACAGGAAGCAGCAGGAAATTTGGGGGAGAGGTAGTGGGCTTCCCCACCTTCCCATTTTGCAGAAATGCAAATAGACTAGAGAAACCATCCCTCTTTAGTCCGCCTCTGCAGCTGATCCACGACCGCAGCCGCCGCCTTGTCCAGACTAGGAGCAGTGGAAGGAAATATTTGTTTTTTAGAAAAGCATAAGGGCCATTGAATAGGTGGCGGAGTGGGTGGTGGTGGAGAGAAGCCAAGAGTCCTTTTAGGGTCTCTGTGCGTGTAGCTCATCGGTTGGAGAGCAGAAGACAATAGGGACGTTTCCTTTAAACAAGCCAATCCATTGTCCTGCCTGTAACTTGGCTAGTTTGCAAACGCACCACGCCTTTGAATCACAGGACTTCCTCCAAAGAATCATGGGAACAGTAATTTTAGATGCTGGGAATTGTAGGCGTGTAAGGGTATACTATGGTTCCCGGGAATCTTTGGCATGAGGGAGCTGCATGCTTTAAATGTATGGTGTTTAAAGCCTCAGGGATGGGGAAGTAGTAGTTTGCTGGGTGTTTCTGGACTCTCAACTCCCATCATCATCTCTGACCTTTAGTTTGCCTTTCTGATTTGTCCGCAAGAACATGTGAAGCACACTTTTGTGGCAACTAAACCTTTGGGTTTGCACCCCTGACCGTCCATGAAGTTCTCTGGGTATTCTGAGGCCATCCATTTTCTCGCCCCCTCTCTTTCTCACCTTACCCCATCTTGCAACATGGTTGTGAAAATAAAACCAAGGGAGCTCCAAGCACTTCAAAAGGCAGCTATTCAACAAAGAAAAAAATCCCTGCACTTAGAAAGCTAATATGTCAGCGAGAAACCAAGGCTAGAACGCTTATCCCTGATGCACTAGCTTTCTGTGTGCAGGGATGTGCTTATTTGTTCTTGTACGAGTGAGCATTCCCTGATGTGAGGCCTCGCCCACAGTCTCAAGCGGCACACTCCAGACACAGGACCATACTAAATTCTGTGGGGATAAGTAGATCAGTACATCTTTATGATTAGCTCAATGCTGCTTTGAAGGAGAGATGTAGTAGAGGTGGGCTGCAATCAGCTTGAGGGCTGCATTCCTTTCCGTGCTACCTTATGAGTGTCAAATTTTACCTTTATACAGTACACTAATTTCTAAGTAAACTCACATTCCCATCTCCAGCCTCATTGAGGCCTGGGGTTCCTCTCCCCTGCTATTATAGGTACACTACAACGGTCCTCTATAATTGTTCGGGGATACTGTTTTTCTCAACATTGCACTGCCCCACTTCATTTTAATACTGGATTTCTCTTCCAGAGCTGCTGCCAAGATTTCAACATGGAGGGACAAGACCTTGCAGGACCCAAGCAAGCTGGGAGGAGATTGGAGGAGGTAGGAAGAGCCCGTGATGTCCACGGGGAGAGCACCACCAAGTCTGTGGCTCAGGCACCACCGCAAGGCGTTAAGCAGGAACTAGAAGAGGGGTTGCTTCAGCAAGGCTGGGGAACCCAGTGGTCAGAGTTCCTGGGCGCGCCACAGCCCTCTCGTTCAACATGGACAAACTTACGCCCCTGGTCAGGGCCTGGCGCCAAAGAAATCCCAGCCTCCAGAGCAGCTGAGGCTTGCCGCTGGCCTAGCCGGGAATACACAACCCAAACCGCGGCAGGTCCTGGTGATGAAACCCGCGAGGCCTACGAAAGCCTGGACTTCGCTGTGAAAGTGAAGGAAGAGGTCCTGGACGGGGAGGCCCTCAGCTCCGAGACACTGCACCAGCGGTTCAGGCAGTTCTGCTACCAGGAGGCCGAGGGGCCGCGAGAGGCCTTCAGCCAGCTCTGGGAGCTTTGCCGCCAGTGGCTGAGGCCCGAGAGACACACCAAGGAGCAGATCCTGGAGCTGGTGATCCTGGAGCAGTTCCTGACCATCCTGCCTCGGGCGATGCAGAACTGGGTCCGGGAGAGCGGCCCAGAGACCTGTTCTGAAGCGGTGGCCCTGGCAGAGGACTTCTTGAGGCAGCCAGAGGCGGAGGGATGCCCACCAAGCACTCCTGCTAAAAGAGCCAGGGAGAGGGAGAGCTGCAGGCTGCCTTGGAATGTCTGTGATGGGCTGATTTCCCCCCCGGGGGCGGGGTTCAAATTGTGATCTAGAAGGGCTCAGGTCAACCCGCAGCCCAGAGGCCACCAAACTTTTGTTGGGGCCAGTGGGCATATTTGGAAATTCAAGAAAGTGTTGTGGGCACCAGTCACAAAATGGCTGCTGCTGGCTGCATAGCATAACAAAATGACTTCCATTTGGGGTTATAGTGTAATACAGAATGGCTCCCACATCTAAAAGAGCAGAAAAAGAGATGCCCCCCCCCAAATGTGGGCATGCCCACCCTTAAACCACTTGCATCGGTGGATAACCAGCCAGAAGCTCTTTGCACCTCTCCTCTGTTCAGAATGAAAGGGAGAGGATGTCCACTTTTTGCGTCCAGTGAAATACGGACATGTGTAAGGGGCTGTATTTGGTATTGTGAGAGGCCAAGGCAGTACAAACCCTGTCTCTCTGTGATAGACTGGGGCTTGGGGTGCAGTTGCTGTTTTCTGGATCCAGCACTGCTTGGGTACTGATGGGTAGAGAAAACTCACTTCACTGGGATCTCTGGTCCTCCCCCCTCCCCGGTCAAATTCTCTTTGCGTCTTAAAACTGTTCTCACATTTCCATTCCAGATGTCAGAGCCTCTGGAAGACATGGCTGATAGCACCACAGTGCCGGCACAGGATACGTTGGACCTGGGGAAGCTGCATTTTGCCTCAGATGCCAAGCAAAGGAGCGATCGGGAGGCCATCTTGCTGGGTAAGTGCTTGAGCCTGAAGCAGATGCTGTTAGAATAATAGAATCTTCAGGTTTGAAGAGACCCCAAGGGTCTTCTATTCCAACCCCCTGCAATGCAGGAATCTCAGCTAAAGCACCCATGATAGATGGCCATCCAGCCTCTGTTTAGAAACCTCCAAGGAAACAGAGTCCGCCACATCCCGAGGGAGACCGTTCCACTGCTGTTTTCCCGAACATTTAGTCGGAATCTCATTTCTTGCAACTTGAGGCCATTGGTTCAAGAGCAGGAGAAAACAAGCATCTTCCATGTGACAGCCCTTAAGATATTTGAAGATGGCTATCATATCTCCTCTCAGTCTCCTCTTTTCCAGTCTAAACATACCCAGCTTCTTCAAGCGCTCCTCATCAGGCTTAGCTTCCAGACCCTTGAACATCTTCACCATAGCTGTCAACATTTCCCTTTTTTAAAGGGAAATTCCCTTATTCTGAATAGGATTCCTCGCAAGAAAAGGGAAAAGTTGACAGCTGTGATCTTCATTGCCTTCCTCTGCACACATTCCAGCTTGTCAACAACCTTCTTCAATTGTTGTCGGAAAGACGTCTTGTGCACTAAGGGCAAAGCCCTTCTCGCAGGCGTGGATCCTGTTGTAGTCAAAATGGCATAACTCAGACTCAGGGCAGGTGGATTGGCTGGCAGGTACACCAAGGTTTGCAAAGTTTGCGGTGGGGGGGAGGGGAGAGAGAAAAGGACTCGAAACAAGGCGAAAGGAGAAACAACTCGGTGAGGACTGAGCATGCTCAGTGAGTATGTAAGGAAGGCTGGCAGACTGTGGGCAGGGTGAGACAAAGAAAAAACATGGAGAGGGAGAATGGAATGGAATAGGAGTCCACACACTGGACAATGGTCCATCTAGAGAGCCAGTGTGGTGTAGTGGTTAAGAGCGATAGACTCGTAATCTGGTGAACCGGGTTTGCGTCTCCGCTCCTCTACATGCAGCTGCTGGGTGACCTTGGGCTAGTCACACTTCTCTGAAGTGTCTCAGCCCCACTCACCTCACAGAGTGTTTGTTGTGGGGGAGGAAGGGAAAGGAGAATGTTAGCCGCTTTGAGACTCCTTCAGGTAGTGATAAAGCGGGATATGAAATCCAAACTCTTCTTCTAGTTCAGTGGCTATGGGAATGCTGATTTGTTTACCTACCCTTCACCATAAGGTTGCAGAGCGGGTCACAACAATGGAAAATGAAACATAAAAAGCAATTTAAAACAAATTATTGCCACAAGATAGGGGCAGACCGAGAAGTCTGGAATCCCGAACAAGGAGCGCTTTTATTTATTTATTTTTCTACAGTGCAGTCCTGTGCAGGTCTACTCAAAGGTAAGCACCACCAAGCTCAATGGGGCTTACTCCCACATACAACCTTGGTGTGTGTTTTTACTCAGTCGTATCAACAGCATTTCCTACAGCAAGCTTACATAAAAGTAAAACATTACAAACTGTAATGATCAAGAAGAGGTTTTAAAAAATAGAACACCAATTTTAAAGCTAAGGATTAAAGCAGCTCCAGTCAGCAGCAAGAGGAAAAGCAGTGGCAAACGACGCTGACCTACCTTACAGGGCGGTTGTAAAAATAACAACAAAATATACGAAAATTTTTGAACATTCTAAATTAAGTACTATTATTTTACTGACATTGCGTACCAAGACACAGCAGGATTGTGTACATCGTTCTCCCTCTCCCTCTCCCCCACTTAAAAAACAATCAGAACTACCTTATTAGGTAGATCAGACTCAAAATAAATGACTGGCTCAAAGTCTCCCCTTGAGCTTCATGATGGTTTGAACTTAGATCTCCCCAGTCCAGGTCTGACACCCTTAAGAACTATACCATTATTGGCTTTCTGATGCAGCCTTCCTCAACCAGGTGCCCTCCATATATTTTGTACTATGACTCCCATCAGCCCCCACCCAGCACAGTTGCTGATGGGAGTTGTAGTCCTAAAACATCTGGAGCATCGCTGGTTGTTGCAGGCTGTTTCATTATGATGCACTGTGACTAATGAGACTCGCTTTGTTCTGCCAGGTGAGAACCAAATGGAGACAAAAGAGGGAGATCCACAACCTGTGGAACTCAATGAGACAACGTTGGGAAGAGCCAAAGGGGATTTCCCCCCGTTTCATGTTGAGGGAGAGGCAGCGCCTGAGTGTCAGCCAGAACCAAGAAGTCTCCAGGGAAACCATGCCGGGAAGGAAGCAGAGAAGGCCTTGCTTTGTGAAGGAGGTAATGGAAGCTCGCACGAAAGTACAGCTAACAAAGGGATGCTCAGGAGCAAAAAGAAGTGCACCGAGTGTGGAAATCTCTGCGAGGTCTTTGACCTCCCCACGAACCAGAAATCACAAACGGAGGAAGAGTTTTACATCTGCCCCCGGTGTGGGAAGACCTTCAAGAATGGTGTATCCCTTGCTCCACACCAGGGGACCTCCGTAGCCGTAGCAAAACCCTACCCATGCTCAGAGTGCGGCAAGAGCTTCGGCACCAAGGCTGCCCTCCTGAAGCACAAGGGAACACACACGGGAGAGAAGCCTTACGTGTGCTCCGAGTGCGGGAAGTGCTTCACCACCAGCTCCAACCTGATCTACCACAACATCGTCCACACGGGGGAGAAGCCGCACAAGTGCTCCGAGTGCGGGAAGAGCTTCCACTGGAAGTCGTCCCTCATCACGCACGAGAGGACCCACACGGGCGAGAAGCCGTACGAGTGCCCCGAGTGCGGGAAGAGCTTCGGCAACAGTTCCCAGCTCCTGCGGCACAAGAGGGTGCACACGGGCGAGAAGCCGTACCACTGCTCGGAGTGCGGCCGGAGCTTCAACCAGATCGCCTCGCTCATCGCGCACAAGAGGATCCACACGGGAGAGAAACCCTACGAGTGCTCGGAGTGCGGGAAAGGTTTTGGCACCCGGACGAACCTGATGATGCACAAGAGGGTGCACACAGGGGAGCGGCCGTACAAGTGCTCCTACTGCGGGCAGAGCTTCAGCCAGAGGACGCACCTCATCATCCACGAGAGGACCCACACGGGCGAGAAGCCCTACACGTGCTCCGACTGCGGGAAGAGCTTCAACGCGAAAGCGCCCCTCATCACGCACAAGAGGACCCACACGGGCGAGAACCTCTACCAGTGCTTCCAGTGCGGGAAGAGCTTCAGCACCAGCTCCAACCTCCTGAACCACAACATTATCCACACAGGGGAGAAGCCGCACAAGTGCTCGGACTGCGGCAAGTGCTTCAACCGGAAGTCGTCCCTCATTACGCACCAGAGGACCCACACCGGGGAGAAGCCCTATGCATGCTTTGAGTGCGGGAAGTGCTTCATTTCAAGCTCGGACCTCACGAAGCATAAAAAAGTCCACAGGGGGAAGCGCTCGGCCATCGCGGAAAGTGTCGTGTATAGCCCGGCGCTTGCCGAACCCGGTAGCGTTCAACCGGGAGGGCAGCCTTGCTAGGCCCGAACAAAGGGGAGATGCTGTCAGGCCTGTGTCCTTTTCAATACCAGTCTGCCTCAGTCACGTATAACAGTGAGAGCCAAAGGTTCTGGTTTTAATGTGCTAAAATAATAAAATAATAACGGATTCGTGAGGCCGAGGGGAACCCCCGTGTGGAAGCTCTCAGCAGGTTCCCCATCCCTGCACCAGAGGAAAAGATGCAAGTTTCTGAAGAGGATCACAGCTTCACTTGATGTTTCCTTATTTTCATGACTCACTAGAATAGATAATGTACATTCTGGCCTATTGGAAATGTGACATTTGGCACCTGAAATATGTGGTTGGTGTCTAAAAATAATAATAAAAACATGACAGGCCCCAAACCCTTGTGCATCATTTAGCGCCAATATTGTCGCAACTCTGTGGATTTATATTATCCAGAGGGTGGCATGGGGAGAGCTGTTTCAGTGTGACAGAAAGGGACATTTCAGAATTTGTCATGTTTTTAATACAGTGGTACCTCAGGTTAAGCACTTAATTCGTTCTGGTGGTCTGTACTTAACCTGAAACTGTTCTTAACCTGAAACACCACTTTAGCTAATGGGGCCTCCTGCTGCTGTTGCGCCGTCGGAGCACGATTTCTGTTCTCAACCTGAAGCAAAGTTCTTAACCTGAGATAATATTTCTGGGTTAGCGGAGTCTATAGCCTGAAGCGTATGTAACCTGAAGCGTATGTAACCCGAGGTACCACTGTATAGCTATTTTATACATATATTTCTGTTCTTTCTTTTTTACCTGTTCTAAGCTAGTAGGCTGGGATTAGCTAGGAGGGCCATGTCTGTGTATTAGCTGTAGATTTCTAAGTTATATTGTTTGTTTTCCTTTATGGAAACTGAACATTTCAGCTTGTCCACTTCCACACACTGTCTTTGAGTTCATTGAGGTGCTGCTATTTGTCAGTTAGTATTATGGGTGTGCCTCCTTTATGGATTTGTGCACACAATGTATTTAAGGTTGGTGTGCCTTTTTCTCTTTAAGGCACACTGTTAATTCCCCATTTCTTTTTCACTCCTTTGGTAGCTTCTACTTTATTATGTCCCCCGAAGTCTTGATGACTCACCTGACCACAGCTTCAGTTTTGTGATGTGCTTATTAAATTGTGAGATGTTTGGTCAGTTCTGGAGTTTCCAGATTCCTTATTCAAACAAATATTCATTGTGAGAAATCTGTAAATAAATAATAAGTTTGAAAATTGTGTGTTAAAAAAAAGAAATCTTTAAAATGTCTGCATGTAGGAAATAAGTATGCCTAAGGGAAAATATATTCACCCTGAAATGCTAGTATTCTCTTAAGTTTTTTTTCAGGGAGGGCAGTCATACATTTGAAGCAGGACTCCCCTGAGACGGCTTGACTCTGGGCAAATTCATATTTTTAATTTATACTTCATAAAATTTATATGCTGCTTGATTTTAAGAAAAAAAAACCTCAAAGCAGTTTACAAAAAGAATAAAATAATATTATAACAAGAACCATTCAAAGAATAATTAAAATCAAAGCTAAACTAAAAACAAGTAGTAGTAGTAGTAGTAGTAATAATAATAATAATTTATTTATAGCCCACCCATCTGGCTGGGTTTCCCTAGCCACTCCCAACAGAATATTAAAAACACGATAAAAGATAAACTTCCCTAAACAGGGCTGCTTTCAGATGTTAGACAGTTCTTTATTTCCTTGACATCTGATGGGAGGGCATTCCACAGAGCGGGTGCCACTACCAAGAAGGCCCTCTGCCTGGTTCCCTGTAACCTCACTTCTCGCAGTGAGGGAGCCGCCAGAAGGCTCTCAGAGCTGGACCTTAGTGTCCGGGCAGAACGATGGGGGTGGAGACGCTCCTTCAGGTCTACTGGGCTGAGGCCGTTTAAGGCTTTAAAGGTCAGCACCAACACTTTGAATTGTGCTCGGAAACGTACTGGGAGCCAATGTAGGTCTTTCAGGACCGGTGTTAAATGGTCTTGGCGGCAGCTCACTTTCAGGCCGAGGGAGCCGGCGTTTGTCCACAGACAGTTTTCCGGGTCATGTGGCCAGAATGACTAAACCGCTACTGGCGCACGGAGGACCGTGATGAGTGCCAGATCGCACGGAAACATTGTTTACATTCTATAGGCATCTCCACAGTCTTAATGACACATTTCAGCTAAGCAAAAGCACTCAAAGACAGTGTGGCCTGCAAGGGAGTCGAGGGCCACGTAGAGACTTATGGAGGGCCACAATTCATACATGGGTCTGAGGTTTCCCATGCTTGTTTTCAGCCCTGGCAAACAGCACAACCCTGAGGGCTCCCCCACTATCAAAAGCTGGAACTGACAACTTTTATTGTTTTTTTGCAGCTAGGCACTGAAATACTAATCGGGAATTTATTCTGTGTGTGGATCCTTAAATAGCCCAATTAATGATTTCTTCATTTATCTATTATTTGTTCCAGGTGTGAATAGCTTCTCATGAGTCATCCTAAAACAGTTTACAATATATACAAAAGAGTTAACAGATATGAAAAACAGTTCAAACAATTACATATACCAAAGCAGTTTTTATAACACACACACACACACACACACAATTTTAATATAAAAATGATTTAAAGCAGGGCACACATTCAAATCCAAGACAGATAACAGATTTTATAGTTTGTTGAAACAGCAGACACCGAAAAGACAACAGTGAAGGCACCTGTCTGATAATGCAATTATATGTTGCTGCTGTTAGTGTTCTAATACTATTGGGTTTTTATACTGAGCTCTTTGGATGAAGGGTGGTATATAAATTAAATAAATAATATTTTTAATGTATTATATTAATTTCCCAGTGTACTTACTTCTTTATATCCCTCCCTTCATCTGGAAGGAGGCCAGAGCGGTATAAAGTGATATCAGCAGCCTTAGGTTTTTTGCAAGATTTACTGAAATGCAGTTTTTTAAAAAAAGGAAAAACCCTTATGGGAGAGTCTAAAACACACACATCCTGGGGGTGGGGGGGCAATAAATCAGCCCAATGAAGACTGAACCTGCTCAGGTGCAGAATGATGCTGACTGGCAGCTGGGAAGGGAGAACAGAAAACGAGGATGGTGCACCCGGGAAAAAGGGATACTCAGTATAAGGCAAGGTAAGCCTGTTTAAGACCCCAGTTTGGTGGTGGTGAGGAACTGGGTTCACAGCTCAGTGAGAGCATTTGAACAGGTCCCACATTTAATTCTCAGTGGCATTTCCAGGATGTTTCTTGTCAAACTCTGGAGACCTGCTGCCGGCCTGTGTCGACACCACTGAGCTAGTTTCACCCAAGCTTTCTGACTTGGCACCAATCAGCTCCAAATGTTTTTCCTGGGGAGGGACCGAAGCTCAATGGCTGAGAGCCTTCCTTCCCTTCAACCCATGGCTCAGCTGCTGCCAGCCAGAGTCGGGCAGCACTGCGTTGGGTGGTGGATCCTCCCCCAAAGGAGACCCCGAGCAGCTGCGCTGGAGGAGGAGAAGCTTTGCAGGGAGCCATTTGCGGAAATATTCGGAAGAGGCTGGATCCGAGGTGGATCCCTCGGAGAATGCATATACCAGGCATCCTCTCCCGGCTGCCTTATGCGCCGCCAGCGGAGCGAGCTCTTCCCCCCCCCCTCCCCTCTCAAGGGGTTAAACGCACAGAGCTCTCCTTGCCTAGAGAGGTCCAGGGATCTGGCGGCGGGTGCGGGGAGGGTGTCGTGGGTGGGAAGGGTAAGTCCCCTTCCTGTCCTGCAGCCTTTCTTTTCCCGGGGAGAAACTGCCTTTTGTACGCCTGCTCCGCATCGAGAGGAGGCGGGCGGCACGTCGGTTCCCGGGAGAAAGTTGCGCCTTCGAGAGAGGCTTTGCGGGGGAGGAGGTGAGTGGGAGGCGGCCGGGGGAGGGGGAGGGTCCGGAGAAAGTGGGGGGAGGGGGGAAAGGGTCAGTATTGAATGGGGGGGGGCTTGTGGGGGCTTCAGGAAACGACCCCCCACGCCGTCCTCTTTTGGAGGCTTTCCGGCGCAATCCTTGCAATGCAAGCGCGCTTTTTCCCTGGAGCAGATCCTGCGGAACTCCCCGCAGCTTTACTTCCGAGGAGGCAGGTGCCCAGTCACCTAGAGTGGGGGAAGTGGAGAGACGAAAGGATTTTTGCTTCTCTCTCTCCACCCCCCCTCCAAAATAATAATAATAATAATGGTCTGCGACGGATTTATGTATCCATTGTCGGGTCCCATTTATAATTCTTTTGTCATCCTGCTTTTCCGCGGAGCGCAAGGAAACTTCTCCGCCCTCACAACGACAACGACAACCCTGCGAGGGAGGCCAGGCTAAACAGGCGGCGTCTGGCCCCAAGGTCGTTCAGTGGGGATCTGAAGCCTAAGGCTGTTCCGGGTCCTGAGTCTGAGACTCTGAAGCCGCTGCGGTCAAATCCTCGGACTCTCACCGAAAACGAATCAATAGGGACAGTGGTTTAATTCAGAATAGGAGCAGAAAAATAAAGGATCACCCCAGTAAACGGTTTCACAATGTAAATCCAAGCACAAAAGAAGATAGATCTGGCACTGCTGGTGGATGTTGGGGTGATCTGCAGTAGAGGAGCAAATATTTCTGATTCCCAACAATAGCGACAGCAAAACTCATCTCCCAGTCCTAAAGTATAAAACTGAGATGAATAAACTTTGGGATAAACAGGAGTTTGTTTTTGTGGAGAGCTCTGTTGGGTCATTTCTGGTATTCCGTGCAAATTATTGGGGCTTAAAAGCCTTTGATTCCAATGGCTAACAAAAAGTTCTGTTCAGAGTTGACGGAAATTCATAGACTTAAGTTAGGAATGTCTGCTAATTTCAGTGGGTCTAATCTGAGTAAGACAAGTACTGGATGTAATCTTTTGCACCAGGATCCAGGTGAGGGATCTTAGGGTTTTACTGAAGACAAAGTTGATCCCACAAGCCCACACTTGCTGGGCGCTTCTGGTCAGAAGTGAGTCCGCTTATGGCCAGTGGTTTTAATGCAGCATAATTAGTGGGTGTAAGATTGCAGCTAGCTTGCCAAGAATATTAAAATAGGTCAAAACAAGATAAAGCAAATAAACATTCAGTATAACCAGGGGTGACTAGTGATCCCTGGACCTAGTGAGGCTGTTTTAGGGCCATAGAAGTCATGTAGGCAGGACATCCCTTGCACAGAAATAGTGGATATTTAAGCACAGCAATTGCACAAATAATTCTATTTTTTTAAGGGGGGGCAACAATATAATTTGGAGCAGTTAAGTTAGGATCCCATGGCATTCAAATTCTAATGCAATAAAATACAGTGTAAGAACTACAAGAAGCAAGTAAAACAACAACTAAAAAACAATTTACATATTTCATGCAGTGGAATATTTCAATCACAAATCCACAGACCACCTAAATGGTCTATGGACCATTGTTTCAGAACCTCTGATTTAGAGGTAACTTACTTTGCTATCCTATACATATTTGCCTGGGAGCAAGTCCTGCTGAACTTACTGGGGCTTACCTTCTGAGTAGGATTGTGCTGTCAGAGACATATAACTTGAAACAGAAAATGCAGGTATCGAAAGTAATCCACCAAAATGAATTTTACCCCCTCTCCTGCAATTGGGAATATAGACACAATTTCTCTGTGTGTTACATGCCCAGAGAGGTAGAACTTAATCTGAAATTTTAGACATTTATCTGTTTGACAATTCTGAGTAGGCATGTATAGGATTTCTCTCCACAGGCATGTATTTACAGCATTTCGGAGACTGCACTTCAGTCTGTTAAAGCTACAGTAACTGCAACAAGCACGTTTATCGTGACATAATTTCATGCGGGCAGGAGTGGGTTTATGCCACAATAACTATACACACCTACCCATTAAATTCAGTGGGGCTTACTCCCAGGTAAGTGAGGATAGGATTTGAGCCTGATTAGCATGTATAGGATTGCAGCTTAGGTAGGTTAACAAAAAATATTATCATTATTATTAATCAATTAAATTTGTACACTGCCATTCATCCGAAGACCACAAGGCGGTTCACAGCATAAAAGGACAAAATGTGAACACAAAATATATAATACATAATAGAACAAAAACAAACCAATAACCCCCCTCTCTCACACACATTTAAAAGGCCATAGAAAGCTAGTCAGTCAAAGTTAGTCAGTTGAAGAAAAGCATTTTCACCTGGTGCCTAAAGGATGAAGGAGCCAGGCTTCATTAAAACATGTTATTTTATTAAAACATAGCATCAAAACCCGGTAGAATGGATATAAACAACCTGAGGAGGCCTTTTTGGTGGCTGCTCCTAGACTTTGGAGCTCCCTAGAGAAGCTAAACTTGCTCTGTCCTTGACTTGTCTTCTTGCAGGCAAGTGAAGACCTTCTTATTCCAACAGGCTCTCAGAGACTGGCTGGTTTTTTCCCCGCAGGAAAGGGTTTTAAAATACTGCTGTGCTGTTTTACTCTCTGTATTTTAATAAATTTGTTTGTATATTGGTTTAATTCTCTTACAGCTTAGTTGCTTTTCAGCTATTATTTTTTATGTTTGTGTTATAATTTGTGTACAGTGGAACCTCGGGTTATGTACCGCCCTCGTTGTGTATTCTTCAGGATACGCACGCGGTGAACCCGGATGTAATGGGAAGGCTTTCGGCGGTTGCGCCTACGCAGAAGTGGGCTACCGCCGGCTGCATGCGCAGAGGTGGGCTACCGCCGCACACACCTGTGTAGAACAGGCACCTCTGGATACGAATGTTTCGGGGTGTGCACAGACCCTCGGAACGAATTAAATTTGTATCCAAAGGTACCATTGTAAGTTGCCTTGGGTTTCAGTCGGGGGGGGGGGGAGGCAGGATATAAATAATGATAATAATACTAATACTTTATGTTTCCCATTCATGGCCTAAAGCAGGTGTGATGTTGCTGAACTACAACTCCCAACAGCCCCAGCTAGTATGGCCAGGGATGTTGGGAGCTGCGGTTGAGCAACATCTGGAGCCAGGGGTTCCTTGGCTTAGAGAGTGGTTCTGAAGTGAGAAAAATACCACAGCACTCTTACGTTATTTTAAATTTATGAAGAGAGACAATAGTGGGTAGAGAAGCTTCTGCACCCTATTGCATTTTAAATGTTTTGTTATTGTGTTTTTAATATTTTATAATAATAATAATAATAAATTGCACCTGTTCTGCTGCACAAGCCAAAATCCTTGCACACATGAGACGTTTGCTTGGTGCTCATTGGAGGCAGCCCAATAATAACCGTATCAATCATGAATTTATGCTCCTGCTCAGGTGGCACACAGCCAGGAAGAAGCGATGGCAGACTGTAACTTGCTAGGACTGGGACCAAGAGGAAAGCAGGCTGAAAGAGACCCTTGTGACTCCCAAGGGCCCCCCGCCAAGGAGATTTTGACTGGGGCAGCTTCCCCACAGTCTGAGGGGCTGCGACAGCATCAGGAGACTCAGGAACAGCAAAAGGGCTCCAAGTCAGCACCGTCTCCTTACTCCGTGTGGAGGCCGTCGCGGTTATTCAAACCCGTGTCCACGGAGGAGAGGAAGGAATTTAAGGCCACCTACCTAACAAGGAAAGACGGCGGCCAGCTGCCCAGAGGAGAGTCCGCCATTGCGATGCAGACCTTGCCCGTTCTTGGCCGGGGAGCGCGAGAAGAGGCCTACGAAGGCTCGGAAGTTTCCAGGGCGCTGAAAGGACCGATTCCAGATGAGGACGATGCTGACTGCTTGGAGATCCACCGCCAGCACTTCCGCCATTTCTGCTATCAGGAGATCGAGGGGCCCCGGAGGGTCCTGAGCCAGCTCCGTGAACTCTGCCGCCAGTGGCTCATGCCGGAGAGGCACACCAAAGAGCAGATCGTGGACCTGGTGATTCTGGAGCAGTTCCTGACCATCCTGCCCTTGGAGATGCAGATCTGGGTCTGCAAAGGCGGCCCGGCCACCTGCACCCAGGCGCTGGCCCTGGCCGAAAGCTTCCTCTTGAAGCTGCAAGAGGCTGAGAGTCACGAACAAAAGGTAGGAGGGGGAGCTTTGCTTGAAGGTGCAGTTGGGGCAGGGCCAGAGTAATGGAGAACCCAGTGTCAGGAACAGATGCCAGGAGTGGGTCAGCAATAAATCACACAGGGAAAGGGAAGTTTATTAAGAGAAACAAGCTTGGCTCAGGAGTGCCAGGCCTAATGAGCACGACGACTCTTCTTGGTAGTTCTTGTTCCTGTGAGGCAGTTGTGGAGATTAAGGGTCCCTGCCTTCCAATAATAATAATAATAATAATTCATTATTTATACCCCGCCCATCTGACTGGGTTTCTCCAGCCACTCTGGGCGGCTCCCAACAGAATATTAAAAACACGATAAAACATCAAACGTTAAAAACTTCCCTAAACAGGGCTGCCTTCAGATGTCTTCTAAAAGTCAGATAATTGTTTATTTCCTTGACTTCTGATGGGAGGTTGTTCCACAGGGCTGGCACCACTACTGAGAAGGCCCTCTGCCTGGTTCCCACAGCTGCCTAAGACTAAGTCTCCTCCTCCACCTGGCCCTTCCCAAGCAATCTGAGGCTATGCCAATGTGCCTGTCTCTGCTCCTTCCTTTTTTCATGCCTCTTCTGGTTCTGGGAGACCAGGGGGAAGGGGACATTGTTGCAGCAGGAGGGCGAGACCCCCATGGTTCCTTCACCAGTCTGTCCCCCCTTTCCCGCTCTCCTGCTTCCACTTCTGGGCTTCTCTCTGCCACAGACTCTCCCAGATTACTAAACCCTGTTACCTCTTCAACTTCCAACACCTCCACTTTCCAGTCTTTTCCCTCTTCTCCCTCTGACCGCTCATCATTGTCCCACCACTACTCCCCAGACTCTGAGCCTTCTTCCCCAGGGGGCTACCTTGCTAGTTCCTCCCACCATTCCTCTGCATCCAGCCAATCTGTGACACCCAGAGGCGAAGAATCTGTGGTCCATGGGCCTAATTAGCCCCACCAGTCTTCTTCGTGTTTCAGCAAAGCTGAACCCACCTGATGTCAGGTGAAATCACGGCTGTGCCCGAAAAAGGGGGTTTGCACGTCTGCGGCCCCTGCAAATTTCTCTGTAAGGTGCTTTGAAACCCCAGCTATCAGCTGAGTGTTGGGACGTCAGAGCACAGCACAGGACTCTCTGTAAGCATCTACTGAGTGTTGGGGATTGAAGAGAGCCCTGCATAACTGAAGCCTGGAGAATCAGCTGGGACCAGTGGCATTAGGGATCTTTCTTTTGGGATCAGAAATTACAGCGGATCCTTTGTCGACTGGTGGTCTTTGGGGGGGGGCAGAGTGGGAGAGAACAGGCTTTGGCCCACTGACCACTCTCAGTTCCCCACCCTCTTGAGATAATAACCCGATTGGTTAATGTCATGGCACTGAAATGAGGGCTCCTCATCGTCTGTCGTCAGCCTTGCGGAAGGGTAAGAGAAGTTGCTCAGACTGGGAAGAGATGTAACGGTCAGATCCGGGTCGAGAGGCACCTGCCTGGCCACTGTCCCAGACAGGATAGGGTGGCCCGGCAACAATCTTCTTATGTTCTTAGACTGGCAGCGTGCCCCAAGGTCAGGCTGCGCCAGGCTTTCATATCTCTCCCTCTCGCTTGCAGGCGGAGGTGCTGAGAGGAAGGGAGCCAAACCGGGCCACTGAGATACAAGAGGGATTTCTAAGAGGACAGAGCCCCCAAATGTGCAAACTTCAAAACAGACATGCACTAAAGGAACAAGAGACACCCACCCCAGCAAATTATTTGTCAAAATTACAAATACCTAAATACAGACAGTCATTTACCCTCGCTAGATTCAATGTGCTGCCATCTGCCTTATTGCAGGGCAGATTTGAGGGTAAATCATACGCGAAACGAGTCTGCCCCTGCGGCTTGATGGAGGTAGAAACTGTCTCTCATGCCTTGTTACACTGCGTCTCTATGGGGTTATAAGCTTGGTATTTATTACCCCTGCTATGCAAAAATCTCCAAATGAATCCGAACTTCAGTGTCTAAAATCCCTGGTAGAGGACAAGGATCCTGAGATCACGTTAAGGGTAGCCAAATTCTGTGCAATTGCCATAAAACTTAGGGAACAAGCTGTGCTATCATAATGATTAAGGTTTTAAATGATAATTTTAGGCTTTATGTTAGTGACTAGGTTTTAATTTATATATTTTTAACTGTTGCTATATCTGTATTGTCCCTGTTATACCTAATTGCAAATTCAAATGTATCCCTATCGTGTTTTATGACTTCCTTGATATTGTATCTGGGCTGGAACTGGTCTGTAACCGAAATAATAAAATTTATTCACCCACTCCTCCCAGCGCCGGTGAAAACTAAGCATGTTCAGGAATCCGAGACTGTTTGATAGCTCAGACCTAGGGTAGCTGAGTCCGCAGAGCACAAGACTCTTAATCACTGGGTTGTGGGTTCGAGCCCCATGTTGGGTTAAATACCGTATTTTTCGCTCTATAGGACGCACCTAGTTTTTAGAGGAGGAGATCAAGAAAAAAATATTATTTCCCCCCCCCCCCCCCAGCCCCAAAGAGCAGCCTTTCCACTTCTCCCAGAGCTTCTCGGGGCTGCGGGGGAAGCCCGGGTTTCTCCCCCCCCCCCCCAGCCCCAAAGAGCAAAGAAGCCAAGACAGCGAGCGGGATCCATCCTGCTGGTTGTCTTGGCTTCTGCAACCTCTCCAGCCGGGAGCTAAACCTCTCCAGCGTGGCTAAAGAAGCGGGGCTAAAGAAGCCAAGGCAGCGAGCGCAATCCATCCCGCTCGCTGCCTTGGCTTCCTCTTTAGCCTTGCGCAGCCTCTCCAGCCGGGGTGGAGACACTCCTTCCCCAGTGCTAACTGGAGTTGTCGGGAATTGAACCCGCGACCTGCTGCACACAAAGCACATGCTCTACCTGCTAAGCTGTAGCCTTCCATCCGGCTCTTGAGTAACAGGGATGCTTGTATTTCAGGTGTCCGGTCTAGTGGAAGAGGCGTTTGTTAATTCACCAACATCAGAGCAGGATCCGTTGGAGACTGTGGAGATGCAGCTCTCTACAGAGAACGAAGAGGAGGACGAGGATGATGATGATGATGATGAAGAGGAAGAGGAAGAGGAGGAGGCCGTTCTGCTGGGTAAGGTTGTGGTTCAGAGTTCTGGGTTCAAGTATTAATGCAAAACTAGGCTCCAAAGGGAGATCTGTTTCACATGTCACATAGTTTTGCATCAAAATCTGCCACCCCATGATGGGGTGATGAGCACTAGCAAAGATGGCTGCTGACAGCAGTTTGGTGCGGCTGAGTTGCTGCAGCAGACTGGGACAGAGAGATGGAGGAGAGTCAGGATGGTAGCAAGTTTGGCACAGTGCAAACACGCCGGTGGAGGGGATCTGGAGCTCCTATTGGTGCTTTCAACCTCCTCTGGCTCCCGGTACATTTCTGAGCACAATTCAAAGTGTTGGTGCTGACCTTTAAAGCCCTAAATGGCCTCGGCCCAGTATACCTGAAGGAGCATCTCCACCCCCATCGTTCAGCCCAGACACTGAGGTCCAGCTCTGAGGGCCTTCTGGCGGTTCCCTCCCTGCGAGAAGTGAGGCTACAGGGAACCAGGCAGAGGGCCTTCTTGGTAGTGGCACCCGCTCTGTGGAATGCCCTCCCATCAGATGTCAAGGAAATAAACAATAAACTATGTGACTTTTAGAAGACATGTGAAGGCAGCCCTGTTTAGGGAAGTTTTTAATGTTTGATGTTTTATCGCTTTATTATTATTATTATTATTATTATTATTATTCTGTTGGGAGCTGGGGTATTATTATTATTATTATTATTATTATTATTATTATTATCATCATCATCCCAGCATGCTGCAGCAACTCAACTGGACGGAGATGAGGTGAAGCCCAGAGTTGGTTTATTTATTTATGAAATCATTTACAGGCTGCCTTTTGGGATGCAATCTGCTCCAGGAAGCTTACATATCACAGAAGCACACAACACAGCCACCCAATTCAGAGTGCAACCTTTGGCATGTTAACTCAGAAATAAGTTCTGCCATGTTCAATGGGTCACCCTCCCACAGTCCTATGTATTTGTACTGTCCTCATCCTTCAAATGTGGGTCCTTGCATCTGCACACAAGCGGTCGTTATCAGAAAGAGTAGCTTGCAGTGGTTAAGGCAATTCGGTGTGGACATAAGCAACTTTGAGAGCTTGTCGGCTGACAGGCGGGCTGGAAGTTAAGCGAACAAACCACCGACTGTTGTGCATAACCGTTGTCATGATTATTTGCTTCTTTCAGAACACGAAGAGCATGGGCAGGAGAACCTGGAGAAGGAGGAGTTGCTTCTTGAGAAACCCAGGCTGACCGAGTGGGGGCTGGCGCTGGACCGAGGCGGTAAAGGGTCCTACCTCCAAGGTCCTGACATGGAAGCAATTCTCGGGAACGGCCGGGAAAACGTCCCCGGGAAGGCTTCAAAGCAAGCCGAGAGCGACAAAGGCTTGCGGGAGAGGAGCCTCCAAGAGGAAGTTCTCCGGCAGAAGAGGACGAAGGCAGGCTCCGAAAACGGCCTGCGCCTCAGCTTCCTGAAGAACCAGAAGACACAAACGGTGGACAAGCCGCGCCGATGCCCGTCCTGCGGGGAGCGCTCTCACAAGAGGACGTGCGTGGCCATGCGCGAGAGAGCCCCCGGTGGGGAGCAAGCCCGCAAGTGCCCGCAGCGTGGCAGGGAGCAGCCCCACAAGTGCCTCTCCACGCTGCGGCGCGACGAAGGCCTCCGCGAGAGCCAGGAGGGGATCTGCCGGTGGAAGACCAAGAAGCGAGGGGGCGCAGGCGGCGACTGGCGGCAACAGTTCCATCACCTGAGCGCCGACAGCTGGCGGGCGCAGAAGGGAGAGAAGGCAGCAAAAGGCTCTGCGTGCAGCGTCGAGAGGGTCCCCTGGCGCGCGGCCTTCCCAAACCGCGAGCGGGCCGAGCAAGTGGGGAAGCCGCACCAGTGCTTTGAGTGCGGCAAGAGCTTCAGCCAGAAGGGGAACCTCAACATCCACAAGAAGACGCACACGGGCGAGAAGCCATACCCCTGCTCCGAGTGCGGGAAGTGCTTTGTGACGAACTCTCGGCTGCTCACGCACAAACGGGTGCACACGGGCGAGAAGCCGTACAACTGCTCGTACTGCGGCAACAACTTCAGCCAGCTGGCGCACCTCGTGCAACACCAGCGCAGGCACACAGGGGAGAAGCCCTACAGCTGCCCCTACTGCGGCAAAAGCTTCAGCGTCAAGGCCAACCTCATCACCCACCAGCGCACCCACACGGGGGAGAAGCCCTACGAGTGCTCCGAGTGCCCCAAAAGCTTCGTTTCGAGCTCCGACCTTAAGAAACATAAACGGGTACACACGGGCCAGCTCTATACGTGAGGATTGCGCAAAGGTTCATTGCAAACCCCACCCCATATAATAAACTGTAGATAACGGGCACCTTCCTAGGTCTTGAAGGAAGCCCTGGTCCACTGTGAGAGAGAAATAAAGGCTCGTTTTTAGAATACCTGTATTATTTATATTACGCTGCTGTCCTTTCGTCCCTTCACAAAACAGCATTGTGAAGTAGGTTAGACTGAGTTGAGAATGAGTAGCTCAAGGTCGCACAGGGAGTTCTGTGGCAGAGGAGGAATTGTGATCCCCAATGCCTCCAGTCCTAGTCTTGACACTATACCAAAGCACTTGGCCAGAGCAGAGTCTCCCAGCTGCTTCTCTGTATGATTCCGGGGTCTGGGATTGGCTGCTTTGAGGAAATGAAGGCGGTGTTTATAAGACTGTTCTCAGCAGTTCCTCTGAGGAAACTATTGGAAGCACGTTGGGCCTCTAATAAACAGATTCCTGTCTTTCCTTCGAGGTCTCTTGTCTGTGTTTCCTGCGCTGGAGCCCTTCACTTCCTCTTGACTCCCTCCAACCGTTGTCAGCTGTGAGCAGCTTGTTCCAATGTGGGTTAGGTGCGATCATTCAGAGCAAGGCATTTGGCACCAGATTGGCCACAGGAGTTGCCGGAAGGAGGCATACAAGGCCTTAGGGGCTCCACTCTGGATTTGTGTAGAGTTTACTCCTTAGCCTTTTTATCTCCCAAAAATATCCTGCAAGGCGATGGGTATGGATTGCTCCTCAGGGTTTACTCCAAAAGCCCTTCTTATTAATGGGTATAGCGGTAAATCAGTGGAGTTTACCTTCTCCTCGATGGGCTCCTTCCCCAGGTTGACGAGCCCCGCCTGCCCCTCACTTCCCTGTACAGCACATGCAGAAATCGCTTTCTTGACCATTGGATCCTCTCTTGGTCTGGTCTGCCCAGTCCACCAGAGCTTGTCTTCACATGCAGGGGAAGCCCCTTACTCTCCGAGGGTTTGAGACCCATTGGCTCCCCTCACCTGGTTTAGCTGGGTAGTTGAAGCTGTTCCCCAGGGTGTGGCCACTGTCACATGTTGACCACTTCTAGGAGCCACAAGAGAGAGCTGAGTGCAGGGTGGGGACCAAAGGTGGACAAGCTACCTCAGGAGGAGCATGATGTGTCCCCCGCCAGAGGTATTGCCCTTCCCCTAACACCCCATACACCCCAGAGTGAATTATAGAGCCCAGGATTTTGAGGAAGCCATGTGGTTTAAATGCTGGAGTACATGCAGTCCAAGTTAGATAAGTATCAGATAATGAGAAATAAAACAGTTTTGTTTCTTCCTTGCCTGAATTGGGGATGGTGAGGGGTGTGCAAGTGTGTGTAGAAAGCAGCCTACCGTACAAAGGGGGGAAATTACATTCTTTGCTGCATTTGGTTGTCGCCTCCACTCATCACTGGGATATGGCCCTCGGAGGGTTGCGCAGAACAGAATGCGGCCCTTCGGGGCTGGGGAAAAGTTCCTAGTCCTGGCCTCTGCACTAAACAGTCCTAAAAAGAGAGGTTTCCAAACTTCGTTGCAAGGGTTACCTGTGGTGACAAGACAATGCCTCAAAGCAATGAATGGCAAACTGCCATACAGTATGTCTCATTCGCACCTCTTGAGTGAATCACTGCTACGGGCTTGTCTGTTTTCAGTCACAAGATTAAGCCTTTTGAACATAATTAGAAAGTAGGTACTCTGGCTATGAAAAGTTTGGGAAACACATATTTATTGTAAGCTAAAAGGATCAGGAACATTTCACCCAAGAAAACCTGATAAAAACTACCAGAGATCCTGCACAATTAAGCATTGAGCTGATTACAGTATTTTTAAGATTTTGGGGAAAGAGCCAGATTCAGCTGACCCTGAACAATAGCAGAAGGCAGTGCAATAAGAGTTCCCACAAGCTCATTGAGGTCCCCTCCCCAAAACGGTTGGAGGAGCAGAACTCCCAGAACAGTCGGGTGGGGTGGGGGGGTCGTTCAGTGTGGCAAAGCAGAAATCCATAGAATTGTAGAATTGGAAGGGACCCCAAGGATCATGCAGTCCAACCCCTTGCGATGCTGGAATAGCAACTAAAGCATCCCTCACAGGTGGTCATCAAACCTCTGCTTAAAAACCTTCAAGAAAGGAGAGTCCACAACCTCCAAACGGAGACCGTTCCATTGTAAGCATTTCTTACTGAACTAGCTGGGACCTTGTGGTCTGATTCTGCAAGGCTGCTCTTTATGTTTTTGCATATTTTCCAGGCAGGTTAGCCATCTCTCTCCAACTTAAATAAAATATTGGCGGGGGGAGGTAAGCTTACCCCACATAATCACAAAACGTTTGAATGGCAATGCCTATCAACTTGGGGGGGGGGGGGCAGCCCTGTCAAATATTTTATTGGTGAATGGACTTCGGTCCCTAGGAGTTGGCTCCTCTTTCTCTCTCTCTCTCTCTCTCTCTCTCTCTCTCTCTCTCTCTCTCTCTAAGAGGGACTCATGGGGTTAAACGCACAGAGCCCTGGCGCTTAGAGCGTCCACAGAAGCTGAGGAAGGGGGAGGTGTGGCAAGAGAAGCCACCTTCCTGCCCCCGCCCCTTTCTCTGAGAAACGTGGAGGAGTTTGGGAGGCTGCAGCAGAGGGGCTCAGGGTGCCTTGCAAGGGCTGCTGGGAGCAGGTGAGTCGAAGCCGAATGGATGCCTGGGTGCAGGAGCAGCAGGGGGGAGGGGATAGAGCCATAGCTGGGGGGGGGGGAGCCCAAAATCCATGGCTGCAGAGAGAGAGAGAGAGGCACTTTCAAGATCAAAAGGGTGCAAATGTTGCTGTGCATATAGATGAGGCCCATTTATTGCTCCTTCCCTCACCCAAAACCAGGGGTCAGCAACCTTTTTCAGCAGGGTACCGGTCCACTGTCCATCAGACCATGTGGGGGGCCGGACTATATTTTTGGGGGGGAAATGAACGAATTCCTATGCCCCACAAATAACCCAGAGATGCATTTTAAATAAAAGGACACATTCTACTCATGTAAAAAAACGCTGATTCCCGGACCATCCGCGGGCCGGATTGAGAAGTCGATTGGGCCACATCTGGCCCCCGGGCCTTAGGTTGCCTACCCCTGCTCTAAACAGCCCAATCAAGGGCCTGGGCAAACCTGTTTCTAGGTTAATGTCAAGGTGCTGGTTCTTTCCTTCAAAGCCCCACATGCCCTATCTGGTTTCCTCCAGATGTTCCATTGGCTGGAGCCCACCCACATCTGGAATATGCGCCAGGTCCACCAAGGCTGGTGTCACCAATTGTAGAGTTGGAAGGGACCCTCAAGGGTCATGCAATCCAACCCCCTACCAAGACCCCATCGCATATTTCTTCTGAGGGAAGCTGACTCCGCTTCCAGCAAATAGATTGCCCTTGGTGAAATCAGGCACAGAACGCTCTGTGGAGCCACCCAGAACCTGTGGGATTCATTGCCACATGACAATCTGTTGGAGCAAGAACAGCAGGACGTCATGTGGCACCTTAAAAGGTGGCCAAATTTACTGCAGGCATTTGTTGATTTGTTTAAGGTGCAGTGAGCTGCTTTGCTGTGCTTGACAACATGAGAGTTGCCCTGCTGGATCTGACCAAACATAAAAGGCCCATCTACTGCATCCTGTTCTTCATGTGGTCAACTGGGAAGCTTGTTAGGGGTTGTCTCCTCCCTGCCTCCGATACTGAGTAACGCTTACAATGTTTGGGGCTGTTTAGTTTAGAAAAAAGGCAAGTAATGGGTGTGAGGGATGGTAGAGGTTTGTAAGATTGTTCATGGTGTAGAGAAAGCAAACAGGCATATGTTTTTCTCCCTCTCTCATAATAGTAGAATTTGGAGCCTTCCAATGTAGCTGAATGTTGGAAGATTCAGGACAGGCAAACCCCGCTTAGAGCTCCACTCTCGGCATTTCACAAAAGCTCTAATTGTTATATTGTCCTTTTAATTATCCACTCATTATTTATTGCTGCACTGTGCAAATATTTGTTGACTGTAAGAACCTGTCCTAATATTATATTTTGCATGCAACTTTTATACCTTTATGATAGATTTAGATCACTATCGCATTGCATATAAATATCAGTGTTTGTAGAGAATAAAATAATTTAAAAATTGCACTGTGCTCTCATTAAAGCTCCTTTTTTCTTTTTGCATCTTGTTATCACTGAAGAAGCAGTATCAAAGTGCAATATCAGTAAGAGAAGATGCACACACAATAAAAACAGACTGTAAGAATGGCAAACAAATTCCAAAAATAATTGTTCATGTTACTGACTTACAGACCCCAACAAAAGTACATAGCTTTGCATTTTCCTGTATTTTATTGCACCTAATACTTTATAAATATACATTTCCCCATAAAACAAAGATAATGTTGCTTTCCTTCCAACAAGCTCTGTCAATTTTACCGTATATGCTATTTCTCATGTTTTGGTTATCTCATTTCCCACTCTCAGGGTATCCCCCCTCCCAATTGTGGCAGATTGTTGTAAACAAGCCTCAATTTATTTTTTAGTCCTGGAAGCACAGCTAGGAATAAAGATGGAGGAAGAGAAACCTTCTGCAGCTGAACCAGAAGACAGCTCAGTGGCAGAAGACGGAGACATCCATGTTGTCCAGGGTGGGACTGTCTGTGAGTTTCTGACTGGGGAAAGTCCTCCACGAGTTAAGCAGGAGCCCGAGGAGGGACTGCAGCAACGCTGGGAGAGCCAATGGCAGGATTTCCTAAAGACAGTAGAGTCACCCCCACAAGAGAGGAGCAGCTCCCAGCAGCCTGATCCATGGCCAGAGGATGACACAATGGAATGTCAGGTCTCCTTGAAGAGAGTCGCTGACGTCACGCAGGGGCCAGGAGGAGAGGGTATGGCTCAAACCCATCTTGATGTGTGTGGAGAGGCCCATGAAAACCTGGACTCTTGTGTGAAAGTGAAGGAAGAGATACTGGAGGAGGAAGCTGACATGGAGGACCAACGCCAGCACTTCCATCAGTTTTGTTACCAGGATGCTGATGGGCTGCAAGAGGTATTCAGATGACTTCAGAAACTTAGGGAAGGGGGATAGCTCACTAGAGGAGCATCTGCCTTGCATTCAGAAGGTCCCAGGTTCAATCTCTGGCATCTCCAGGCAGGGCTAGGAAAGAAACTCACCTGAAACCCTGGAGAGCCAGTCAGTGTAGACATTAGTGAGCTAGATGGACCAATGATCTGGCTCAGTACAAGGCAGCTTCCTCTGGGCTATCTGTAGATGTGGAGAAGAGTAGATGCCAAGGGGAAGATCTCAAGAGCTGCTGATTCTAGAGCAGGTGCCAATGGGTGATGTCAGGGCAGCCAGGTGCTTGGGTCTGGTGGCTATCAGCTAGATGGGTGGTGGTGGTGGTGGAGAGAAGCAGTGTGGTCTGCTGTGCTTTCAAGAGCCAAGAGCGATTTGCTCTGTGGAAATCGGCAGCTGCAGCTTCCTTGGTTTCATGGCATGGAAATGAACCTTCTGCTAATTGCTGCAGATAAACTGCTGCGTAAAGGCACAGGGGCTGTTTGAACCTTGACAGAGCCCCAAACTGGCAAATACCTGGGTCAGACAGGCAGGTTGTCTATCTGGAGAGCTGTGATGCATCCCTGACCACTGGCCATCCTGTTGCCCTAGGAAAGATAGACCTGCACACAACCTGGAGATACCTACGACATTTCCTGCCTTCGCAACTTTAGACGGGTTGGGGGAATTGAGCCTCTTTATCTTTTCTTCTGTTGAGCTGGCTAGCTTGGCAAGGGGGAGCTAAATGTAGAGGGAGTGGAAAGCAGACCAAAGCATTAATCCTTGCAAGCATTTTGTTGTGCCTTAACCATGTCTCCATTTTCTGTTTCAGGCGCCAGGGCCCCTTGATGTTGTGACTGTAAAATCCCCGAAATCGGAGGAAGATCCATTGGACATTGTAAAGTTGCAGCTCCCCCTGGAGGTCAAGCAAGAATATGACTGGGAGGCAAGCTCAGCGGGTAAGGATTTGAAGCAGGGGTAGCTCAACCAGCCTAAATACCTCTCTGAGATCTTCTTGAAGCCTCTGTAGATAGTGCAAGATGTTATATGCCAGCAGCGGTTTGCAAACAATAATGACGATGATCTCAATTCTCCAACAATAAAAATAGTCTTCTCTGGCGATCACTCATAGCTGAGAGAGATTGTCTTCCATGAACACGGTCTTAACAGTGAGTCCATAAGTGACTGTGGAGGCCAATTCTGGATCCACACGTCCTTTCTGGGTGGGAGTTGATCACGGTGAGGGTTTGCCAAATGTTCCTTCATCTTAACACGTTTCTCAGCAGTAATCATAATATAATTGATAATCTCAGTTCTTCAGGTACTGATTATTTAGGTAGCCAAAATGGCACCATCCACACACAAGGGGAAAGTGTCTGTGAACTTGGGCCTGACCCTGAAGATTTGAAGAACTATTGGGGGAGGGAATCTAAATGTGAAGATAGCTCAGTTTGTTAGACCATGATGCTGATAATGCCAAGGTTGCCAGTTCAATCCCCATTTGGGAGAGTGGCATATTCCTGTATTGCAGGGGGTTGGACTAGATGATCCATAGGGTCCCTTCCAACTCTACAATTTGATGATATTATGTGTGTGGGGTGTGTGGAATTCCCAAACCGCCTAATGAGGACTGAGCCATGGTCATGGAAAGTTTATTGATCGTGCGGGGTGGAAGGGGGGTGGATTGGGGTGACTAGAATCCTGAAAGGGAGTACTCTGAGTTGCTACATTATGTTGCATGATTTATGAGTTCTTACGATACTTTAAATAAATAAGTGGGTCTCTTTCGTTTCAGAATATGATGGTCAGGTACTGAAGAACGAGGAAGAGACCTTTGAGCCGGAAAAACCTGGGGACATGGATGCCTGTGGCACACCGTTGGAAAGAGCTGAAGGAATGTTTTTCTGGGGGCCTGGGATGGAAGAAAAGTCTGGAAGTCAACAGGGGGTAGACTGGCACTTGGGGAAGAGCATAAAGCAAGGCTTCCTGTATGGGGAAGGGGGCCAAAACTTTTATGAAACGACCTTCCCATTTAGGAAAAAGACGAGTTCCAACAGTGGACAGCAATGTCACCTGGACATTGATCTGCCTGAGGGTCAGCAAATACGAGCAAAAGATAAACTGCATAAATACACGCACTGCGGAAAAATCTCTAATAGCAGCAAAGCATCTCTGCTTCCCCACGAGAGGATCCCCGCCGGAGGGAAAGCATACATCTGCTCTGAGTGCGGGAAAAGCTTCAGCTGGAGAACAAACCTTGTTAAACACAAGAGAATCCACACGGGGGAGAAGCCGTACAAGTGCCCGAGTTGTGGCAAAAGCTTCAATGCAAAATCCACCCTGATCAAACACGAGCGTTCACACACAGGGGAGAAGCCGTACGAGTGTACAGAGTGCGGAAAAGCCTTTGGCGAAAAGGGGATACTTGTTAAGCACCTGAGAATCCACACGGGAGAAAAGCCCCACAAATGTTCAGACTGCGGCAAGAGCTTTATCGAGAGGGGCGCCCTCATTAAACACGAGAGAACCCACACGGGAGAGAAGCCCTACGAATGTCCTGACTGCGGGAAAACCTTCAGGATCAGCTGCCACCTTAAACTCCACAAGAGGACGCACACCGGCGAGAAGCCGCACAAGTGCTCCGATTGCGGCAAAGGCTTCAGCGAGAGAGCCTCTCTGGTGAAACACGAGAGGACCCACACGGGAGAGAAGCCGTACGAGTGCTCCGAGTGCGGGAAAAGCTTCCGGATCAGCTTCCAGCTCGTGATTCACAAAAGGACCCACACGGGTGAGAAACCGCATGAGTGCTCCGACTGTGGCAACAGCTTCAGGGAAATCGCCTCCCTTATCAAACACAAGAGAACGCACACGGGAGAGAAGCCTTACGAGTGCACCGAGTGCGGGAAGAGCTTCAGGACCAGCTTCCAGCTGAAGACCCATAGAAGGACGCACACTGGAGAGAAGCCGTATCACTGCCTGGACTGCGGGCAAAGCTTCAGCCAGAGATCACGCCTCGTCATACACGAGAGGACCCACACCGGGGAGAGACCGTACGGCTGCTCCGAGTGCGGGAAAAGCTTCGTCTCCAGCTCTCACCTTCGGAAACACACCATCGTGCACACGGGAGAGAAGCCCCACCGATGCTCGTACTGTGAAAAAAGCTTCAGTAAGAAATCCAACCTTGTTGTGCACGAGAGGATCCACACGGGAGAAAAGCCGTACGAGTGCTTGGTGTGCGAGAAAAGGTTTTGTAGCTCCTCTGTTTTTCATAGGCACATGAAAATCCACCCGGAAGAGGCATCCTAGGGATATTCACGTCCTAAGGAAGAGTTTGGCATAAGACCCAGAGAACTGAGGGGAACATAATGTAATGTCACTGGAATAGGGTAATAATGGAAAGGGAAACGTGTTTCAGGAACTGTCTGAATAGCCACCCATGGATTTTTTGTTGTTGTTGTTCTCTGTCTGTCTTGGAACAGTGGCCATAGCTCAGTGGTAGAGTATGTCTTGCATGCAGAGGAACCAAGGTTCATTCTCTGGTATTTCCAGGTAGTTCTGGAAATCTGTCTGAATCCCTGGAAAGCTGCTGCCAGTCAATGTGGACAATACTAAGTTAGATGGGCCAATGGTGAGTGATTAGTGCAATAATACAGCTTCTTGTACATGATGCATTCTCTTTTCCCCCCTGCTATGGAATAAATGTATGTTTTGAGGATGGCACATGAACAGCCAACATTGCCTTACACAGAGTCTCAGTGTTTGCAGTTGCTCATTGTGGGCCAGTGTGGTGTAGTGGTTAAGAGTGGTGTACTTGTAATCTGGTGAACCGGGTTCGCTTCCCCACTCCTCCACATGCACCTGCTGGATGACCTTGGGCTAGTCACACTTCTCTGAAGTCTCTCAGCCCCACTCACCTCACAGAGTGTTTGTTGTGGGGGAGGAAGGGAAAGGAGAATGTGAGCCGCTTTGAGGCTCCTTCTGGTAGTGATAAAGCGGGATATCAAATCCAAACTCTTCTTCTCATTGGCTCTGGGTCTGTAGTCTAACAGGTGTAGAGTGATTTAGATGGGAGAGGAGAACATTTCGAATTTCTGCAGTGGTATCCTTGAAGACCTACAGCCGTTCTGAACTCCCTACATAATACCAGTCACTCCTCCCAGTCTGTGGTCAACAGCTATTTTAAACCTTTACCTGTTCAGATGTAACCACTGGGGTTTTTCATGATGGCTGGGGGTAATGGTGTAGAATTGGAAATTACAGTACAGAAAACATCCTTGGAACTCCAAACTGCACTGGAGCCTTCATAAAGTTGGCGCCATCCAGCTGCGCTGACTGGGGCTGATGAGTTGTAACCCAAAACATCTGACACCAGGTTGAAAAAGGCTGTTCTGGATACAGTGGTACCTCGGAAGTCAAACGGAATCCGTTCCGGGAGTCCGTTCAACTTCCAAAACATTTGGAAACCATCCATCAGAAGCCGTGGAAGCCACGTCGGATATTCGGGTTCCAAAGAATGTTCGCAAACCGGAACACTCACTTCTGGATTTGCGGCATTTGGGAGCCAAAACATTCAAGTCACAAGGCGTTCATCAACCAAGGTACGGCTGTATTAGGGAAAACGTATAGAAAGAGGACCTTTGAAAGAACACCTTCAGAAGTCTTTGTTTGATGGGAGAAGTTGAGCTCCATATACAACATACAGTGGTACCTCAGGTTACCTACGCTACAGGTTACATACTCCGCTAACCCAGAAATAGTACCTTGGGTTAAGAACTTTGCTTCAGGATGAGAACAGAAATTGTGCTTCGGTGGCACGGCGGCAGCGGGAGGCCCCATTAGCTAAAGTGGTGCTTCAGGTTAAGAACAGTTTCAGGTTAAGAACGGATCTCCGGAATGAATTAAGTACTTAACCCAAGGTACCACTGTATATTTAAAGCACATAATTCCCGCCAAATATTCCAGCTTAACCTCAATAGAGCTACAGTTCCCAGCACCCTTGACAAACTATAGTTCCCAGGATTCTTTTGGGGGAGTCATGTTCTTTAAATGTATGGTTGCGTATGCAGTCTTTAAGTAAACAGTTCCTGCATCTGTGACTCTGCATCCTCCTCACAAAGATGGCTTTTGTCTTTAAGGCATCTCCCATGACCCTCTGTTGGTCTTCATATATGTAAATCTACCTCTTCTGTAGGACTGGTGACCAAAGCTTTGGAACTGGCTTCAAAATGAGCACCAGTCATCTTAAAAACATTTTTCAATCCTGTCCGTGAGCTTATATAGTCACTGGAATAATTCCATTCCAACGTAGAGGGAAATAAGGTATTTTTGTTAGAGTTTGGGATTATATTGCTGCAGAACGCAGAAACAAATACTTGGGTAATGCTGTTGGTTGAAAGAACAAAGAAACATAAGATTTAATACTCCTTGCAAACAAAGCCATTCTAAGTACAAGATTACAGGTGTCCATCATGGTTATCGAAAGGAAGATCAAACACTAACTGATTGAAGAAGAATGAAAGAAAGCCTGGGAAAATAACACTCTACAGGGAGTGACCTAAGGAAGAATCAGTGAGGGAAGAACAGGCTGCCTCTCTACCACCTCAGTGGTTCAGATAACTTATTGCAAGTGCCATTGCTTTACTCTCAACCATCTAAAAATGTTACATTAATACAAAATTACTAATCTATATATAAAAATCAATATTCAATCATTTTCCTTCTGACACCCTGCGTCTCGGCCTCTAGGTCCTCACCCAGAGTCCAAAGAAATTCTATACTATTTGCATATTTTAGGCTGCTTTTATCCATGTTTTTAGTGTTCAGATTTTGGAAGGTTCTTTTGAGTTTCATTTTTTGAAAAAAGGAACAAATTAATAATAATAATAATAATAATAATAATAATAATAATAATAATGGAGCTCAGTGGTGTCTGCTCTTAACTGGCAGCAGTTCTCCAGGGTTCCAGACTCCTAGCCTTACCTGGAGATAATCATTATCTTCATTTATTCGTATGCTGCCTTTCCATTTTTAAGCCATGCTCAAGGTGGCCTGCATCACCAAAGAATTTACATAAAAACGAAAACATAATAAACTTTTATGTAGTCATAAGTGAAGGAAAACATCTCAATAAGTGTGGCGTTCAGAGCTCACAGCCTATTAACCCAAACACCACTAATCCGCTGCCACCAACCAGGTCCTCCCCGGTAAATCACTTAGTCTCAGTCAGGTTCTTAAGTTAACAAAGAAGAGTGTAGTTTAGTGCAAACACAAATAAACTTTAACTGCATTCAAAATGTTGTTACTCTACCTTCTTAGTCTTATTTTATCCTGTCTCTCTTCTGCCTCCCCTCACACAAGAACCAACTGCACTAACTGTCTCTCTATTTCCAACTGTCTGTCAACTGCCTTTCCCAACCAACCAACCAACTCAAACCTCTGGCTAAGCCCTTTTATAAACAGGTAGGCTCAGCCTCTGGCTTTTCTATTGGTCTACCTGTTAACTCTTTCTCTCCCCCTGTACAGACATTTTAAAAAGAGTGGGCAAACGCCACAATAAGCATCAGGGCTGGCCTAAGACATTTTGGCACTTGAGTCAAACCCCAAAATGGGGCACCCCCCTTCCCCACCAGGGTGGGTGAAGATCGATATCAGGGACAAAGGGGGGTGGGGAGAAAGATCGACATTGGGATCTGCTGATTATATTACATATTATTTCGTATTGTTTTAATATGTATTCATGATGGGGCTTCTGCCTTTCTACAAAACCTTTTTTCCAATCAGAAGGTGGGATAAAAATATGTAAATAAACAAATAATTATGAAAGGTCATGGTGGTTTGATCTAAGGTTTCATTTCTATTCCAAATTCCCTTCAAATTTTATTTATGCATTAAATTTGCATGGTGTCCTTTATCTCAGGGTGGTTCACAGCATAAAAATACAATATAAGAACACAAAATGCAAAATAAAAAGAAGGACCAAACAAATGGATAACCCTCCTCGACCCCACTCCAAAGAACTTGAGGTGGTGGGTGCAATTCAGTGTACAGCTACAGAGATTGCTCTGTCAGTGTAAGAATTTCTGCCCCCCCCCCCGCGGAACAATATCCCTTCTCTCCCCCCACCAAATGCTGATCTGGGGGTTCTCTTAACACTCCAGGGTGTATTTGGGGGAGATGTGATAGGGCGGTTTTCCAGTAGCACAGAGCTTTCCAAACTTTTCATGTTGGCAACACTCTTTTTAGACACGCATCATTTCACGACACAGCAGCAATTCAGTTTTACAGTGCTACCTCAGGTTACCGTATTTTTCGTCCCATAGGACGCACCTAATTTTTTTGGGGGGGGGAATAAAGGAAAAAATTTCCCCCTTTATTTCCCCCCCAAAACCAGGTCGGGGAACAGCGGGATGGCGGCGCTGTGCCTCCTCGCTGTCCCCCGAGCTTGTGGGGCTGGCCGATGTCTGCCCGGCGCAAGGGGCGCTCTGCTTCAGGGCATCTTGCGCGCCGGGCGGCAGGCTGCTATCCGCAGCGTGGGGAGCCCTGCGGGAACTCACGCAGGGCTCCCCACACTGCAGATGTCTGCCCGGCGCGCGGGGCGCTCTGCTTCAGGGCACCCCGCGCGCCGGGCGGCAGGCTGCTCTCCACAGCCTAGGGAGCCCTGCGGGAACTCCTGCGGGCCCCCCAGGCTTGCTGATAGCTTCCTGAAGCCTGGAGAGCGAGAGGGGTCGGTGTGCACCGACCCCTCTTGCTCTCCAAGCTTCAGCGAAAGCCTGTATTCGCCCCATAGGACGCACACAGATTTCCCCTTCATTTTTGGAGGGGGAAAAGTGTGTCCTATAGGGCGAAAAATACGGTACATACACTTCAGGTTACATACACTTCAGGTTACAGACTCTGCTAACCCAGAAATATTACCTCGGGTTAAGAACTTTGCTTCAGGATGAGAACAGAAATCATGCAGCAGTGGCACAGCGGCAGCAGGAGGCCCCCATTAGCTAAAGTGGTGCTTCAGGTTAAGAACAGTTTCATGTTAAGAACAGACCTCCAGAACGAATTAAGTTCTTAACCCGAGGTACCACTGTACTAGCAAACCGGAGGTTAAACTAACCCCTTTCCAGCTGACACAGTTTGGAAAGCTCTGCACTAGCAGAATGGGATCATTAAATTCAGCCCAGTGTATATGTTTTGGTTTGCCTCTTTCCCCTGCACTTCATCATTTTATCCTCACAACTTGTGTGAGTTGGGTTAGCTGAGAGGGAGTATTAGTGGCCCAAGTCAAGCTGTGAACTTCCTGACCAAGTGGGGGTGAGGACCCTGGCCTCTGACAGGTCCTTGTCTGGCTCCCTCTGTTATGACTAAAGTCTGAGGGCAGAAACTGGAAAGTGCTGGAAGATTCTAGAAGATTCATTTCTTATGCAAATATTGTTTTGAGTATCTCAAGGTCACGCTGTTCCGGACAGTAAAACAAGGGACTATGACATCCCTGTCACGATCCCCTCCTCCGTTACACCTGTGTAACGTGTTTCAAAATGCTAAGAGTTGTATTGATTGAAGCGCCATTGGCATTCTGCTGCAACAGTACTTCCATTTCCTCTCCCCCAATCTGTTCCGGAAGGCCCCACCCTCAGGTAGGACAGGGTCTTAGGGCAGCCCTGGTCCCAACATCATCATGAGACACCCTTGCCATGCGCCCGCCCTCTGTCAGTGGCAGCAGGGACACCCATGGGTTTTCCAATGGGGTGCAAAGTTAGAAGTTTCAAAGGAAGGCGCAAGCGAGTTTCTCTTACACCAAAATTGATAAAAATGGAACCCATTGCTTTGACTTCATGTCTCAGCTTGTACAAATGCAACTGACTCTTTTTAAAAAAATGAAAGTGGGAATCTGGGGGTTATAGTTCATCCAGGGGAGCAACGATTCTCCTCCCCGCTTCAGCGATATTTTATTGCTGTTTTGCAGTATTTTAATTTTTTCCCCTTGCATTAGTGCTATTTGCCGCTGTGAGCACGATTCTGGGGGAAAATATCCTACAAAAATAACAGGTATGTTTCTGCCCGGTTTCAAACCGGGGACCTTTCGCGTGTGAGGCGAACGTGATAACCACTACACTACAGAAACTGTGCCCTGCTCTGTGTCTTTGCTTCTTCCCCCAGCTGAAAACACGCCTTTATTGTGCAATTCCCCCAAGCTTGAGCGTAAGATCCCACCTCAGTAAGATCTTCACCTCCCTGGAGATGGATAGGGAGCAAAAAAACTTCACTTGCTAGGCCAGGCAGGAAACTCTGTGGAGGCCCAGGCTCTGTAAATGCCTTTTCAACATAAACAACAACTCCTGTCTGGCAAACGGATTCCCTTACAGAGAATTGATTTAAGGGACTAAGGAAAAACTTGGCTATTTTAAAAGCCGTTTGGTTAAATATATTTCCTAGTCTGAGGTCCACACCACTTGTGCTGTGTCTAGAAAGCACAGGTCTGAGTAGTTTCCCCTTTGCCCCACTCCATTCCAAGGGCAATAGCTTGGAACAAATGTCAATCTGAGGAAAACCGGAGTTGCCGTTCCCTCCGACTGAGTTCTAAAGAGTGGGTTTTCCTTGGGGGGGGGGGGGGGAGCTGAGGCACAAAAGGAAGTGTGGATAATCCCTCAATTGAAAATGTTGTGGTTCTTGACTGAAGCCCTTATGTTTTGTTTTTATTGTATTGCTGTGGTAATATGGTAGAAATATGGTCAAAGGAAGAAAGGGACATATTCCTCCTAGTTTCTGACTGCAGACCTTGCACATGTGAGGCGAATGTCTCTCTTACGAAGAAATGCGGATTGAAATGGAATAAACACATAAATAAAAAGCAGGGGAAGGATTGCACCAGCTGGGACTCGAACCCAGGTCACAAGGTTGAGAACCTTGTATGATGCCTCTACACCACTGATGCAGCTAGCAAAGATTTACTTTCTACTCAGAGAAGGAGGCCTGCAGGAAAGTGTCAGGCAGTTCCCCAGATCTTCTCACACGCAATATAAACGTGTAAATTTTGCCCTCAGATTCTTGCTGTGCATCCCTTCTTGCCTGCTTGCATTTCTTTTGCCAAAGTTTGTTTCCCTTTTGGTCCCCTTCAACTGGTCCAGGCTTCCGTTTTCTGTAAGAAGCCTCCTTGACCCTAAGAGCTTCCTTGACTGCTCATCAACCACACTGGCATCCCCTAGGACTTGGCAGCACCTTTCCTGATCTGGGGTGCACATTCCAGCCGAGTTTTTTTATTATTGCCATTTTGAATAGCCCCCAAGGATTTTGGAGCAATGTGTCCCTCTCAACCTTCCCTTTACAAATACTTTCATTTCTGAGAAGCTGAAATGGAGTAATGAAATTTGGAGTCTCACATGGTGGCATGAAGAAAACCCTGGTGGTCTACTTTTCAGGACTTGGCGCTCTAACAGGGTTGATTTCTGGCCAAGGAAAGGGCTTGCTCTCTCCTGGAAGTGAAGCTCTTGCAGCAGCACTGCCTTGTAGCCATGCTTGGGCTGGGTTTCTACAGAAAATGTGCCCAGGCATATTTCTATGTAGCCTTCTTAGCGCAGTAGGCAGCGCGTCAGTCTCATAATCTGAAGGTCCTGAGTTCGAGCCTCAGAGAAGGCAGCTTGCAGTTCTCTTTGTTTTGTTTTTTTTGTATTTTGCAAAGGGTGTGTAGTCCTCTGCTCTCTGAGCAAAAGGTTCAGCGGGAGGCTCTGGGTGTCACTCTTGTGAATGTAGGGACAGGATTGTTGCTTCAGGTGTGAGAGGGTATGAGTGAAGGCCGAGGTAAGCCCCTGTGCTTGAGCAGAGCAAATTACACTTTGAAAAAAGAATAAGGCTCATCAGGTGAAGGAAGGGAGGGATGAGAAGCACCTTCACCATCTGTCCCTGATGGTCTAGTGGTCAGGATTTGGCGCTTTCACCGCCACGGCCCGGGTTCAATTCCCGGTCAGGGAATCTTTTTGCCAGGGAGAAGGAGCAATGGCTTTGCTGTGGTTCGTGTTGTATAGGTCACATTGAGGGATTCAGAAATAAATTTGGTTAAAGGAGGCCTCTATCTTGCCATTCTTCCTGGTGGAATAGTGGTTAGGATTTGGTGCCCTCACTGCCAAGACCAGGGCTTGATTCTCATTCAGAGGATGCTTTATTTTCTCTATTTTGAGGCTTTTTTATTAGTTGTTTTACACAGAGAAATAACGCCGATCAACATCCCCCCTCCATTACCTCCCTCACATACCTTCCACAATCAATTATCGGTTGCAAATGGACCCCTGTTCCATCACAAGAATTAATACAACCATCTCAGCAATTCTCACCAATCTTCTGCTGTAAAAGGTTAAAGGTGTGCCTATTTAGTATATATTGAGGCTCTAATTATCACTGACTGCAACATTTCTCTGATGAAAATAGGGGCATCCTAAGGAAATGCGGAACATTCTGGGATAGAGGAGATAGATCTTTCCACCCAAAAAAGTGTGGGTTTTTAAAAAAAAAATTATTTTTATTTTTATTGAAACTTCTTACAATGGTCCTGCGTGTTTCAATAAAATACACAGGAACAATAATAAAAGAGGGCAGGAGGTTAAAAAATAAATGAGAATGAATAGATGTCCATGATCAGCCTCAGACAGCGTGGCCAATGCATCAGGAACGATGGTAGTTTGAGCCCAAAAACATCTGGAGGGCCACAGGCCTCCTTCCCCTGGTATAGAAGCTAAAGAAAAAGTAAATTAGGGGCACAGAGTAAATATTGTCCTTTACCTTTCTGACTCATCTCAAAAACGTAAAACCAGTAAGCGCTGGGTTCCATCTTGGGTTAATACCATTAGTGGAACACTCATTAAAATCTCCAGTACAGTGGTACCTCGGGTTAAGTACTTAATTCGTTCCAGAGGTCCGTTCTTAACCTGAAACTGTTCTTAACCTGAAGCACCGCTTTAGCTAATGGGGCCTCCTGCTGCCGCCGGAGCATGATTTCTGTTCTCATCCTGTAGCAAAGGTCTTAACCCAAGGTACTAACCTGAAGCGTCTGTAACCTGAAGCGTATGTAACCCGAGGTACCACTGTATAATTAGACTCCTTAGGATGTGACCTCAGATAGTAATGCAGATTTTAATGCTATAGACCTTTTTTTTGGATGGGTATTTTTGCATAATTCCAGGAGTGGAGGAACCTGTAGTCCAGTGTTGTTGGACTCCAACTCCCATCAGCCGGAACCAGTATGATGGTCAGGCATGGTGGGACTAGCACTAAAATAAAATAAAAAATATAGAGGGCCACAGGTTCCTGGTATCTGAGGAATTTTGGATCAATTGTTAAACCACTCTGTGTAGCTCTCAGCAAACAAGCTACAGGTCCCATAATTCTTTGAGGGAAGAGATGATTGTTTCAAGTGGTATCATAGTACTTTGACTGTATGGTATGTTTGTAACCTCTGACTCTGTGACAAGGATGGGGAGCCTGTAGCTTTCCAGGTGTTGCTGGACTACAAATGACATCATCCCTGGCCAATGGCCATACTGGCTGAGCCAAATGAGATTTGGGAGGGTGCCAACAACATATGTGGGGCTCAGGAGCCCAGTTATGTCACCCCTTGTCTGCAGAGCTGGCAGCCTCTCACCCTTTTTTGAACACTGTCCCTTGTGGATTGTTCCCTCAGCCTCCTCTCCTCTCCCTGGAAGCCCTCTGGGAAGCTGCTGCTGCTGTCCCTGGTCGCTGAGCTTCTCCCCTGCCCCAAAGAGAGGTGCCTCTCAGAGACACCATTCCCTTGTGGAACTTATGGAACTTGTGGAGCTGGCCCGTGAATCCACTGGATGACACTGCGGAAGAATGTTGCCTCAGGGGAGTGAGGAAAATTCTCAGGGATGATTCACACCCTGGCCGGCACTTTCTTGATCTCCTGCCCTTGGGCAGAAGATATAGAAGCATGATTAGTCGCACCAACAGGGTAAAGAACAGCTTCTATCTGTGGGCTGTTAGGCTGCTGAATGAAAAGATAACAACAGGTCAACTGACTTTCGGGTTTGGTGGGTGGGTGGGTGTCAGTAAACGAGGGGAATTAAGACTAAGAGATTACATGGGGGGTTGCTCATGTAATCTTACTGTATACAAGTTGTACAAGTGACAATAAAATATTTCAATTTCAATTATAGCCAGGGCTGTTGGAATAAACAGCTGTGCAAGCCTTTGGGAAGCAGAGACAAGAGAGCGCATCATAGGAGGGAGGGAAAGAAGAGAGGGACAGAGGCCAGTGTTGCCTGTGGCACCCCTGACCATCATTCAAGGCACCCCAGGTGCCACAGCACCCTGGTTGAAAACCACTGGCCTACAGCACAAAGGTAAGAATTACATCCATTGCTTCTGACCCTGCCCACCATGGACATGCGGCCCTTGGAAGGTTGTGCACAATGGAATGCGGCCCTCGGGATGAAGACGCTTCCCCGCCCTCGCAAGGAACCTTTTATAATGTGAAGTTTCAGGTTTCGTACATCAACCATTTCCAACATCCCGTTAAAGATGACCACACCTTCGTTGCTAATTTTTACATGACAGTTCTATGGTTTTCTTTATTTTTAAGGGAAACATTCTTTTAAAAAATTAAATTCTGCATTTGTACTTTGAGGGAATCACATTGCCTTTCGGCAGCTGAATGCCTCATCCTCTCTGACAACTCTTAACATCCAGGGGGAGTGGCTCCCACGTGGATTTTCTCATGTCTACGCAGATCACTTCGATTAAGAAACCTCTGCTCACACGACGAACATTGATAGGGTCTCTCTCCTGTGTGGATTCTCCTGTGTATCAGAAGGTACCCTTTCTGAATGAAGCTTTTCCCGCAATCCGTGCACGTGTTTGGTTTCTCTCCCGTGTGGATCCTCTCGTGTGTCAGGAGGGACGAGCGCCGAGTAAAGCACTTCCCACACTGGGCGCACCTATAGGGGGTCTCGCCTGTGTGGGTCCTCCGGTGGATGACGAGCTGCAGTCTCCGGCTGAAGCTCTGCCCGCAGTCGGAGCAGTTGTACGGCTTTTCGCCCGTGTGGATTCTCTCGTGATTGATGAGGTTGCACCGGATGCTGAAGCGCCTCCCGCACTGTGCGCACTCGTAGGGCTTCTCTCCCGTGTGCATTCTCTTGTGCCTCACCAGCGTGGACTTCCGGTTGAAGCTCTTGCCGCAGTCCAGGCACGTGTACGGCTTTTCTCCAGTGTGGGTCCTCTCGTGCACGACCAGGTTGGCCTTGCAGTTAGAAGTCTTCCCGCAATACAAGCATTTGTATGGCTTCTCGGCCATTTGCACGGCCTGGCTGAAGCTCCTGTCCTCAGACGGCTCTTTCTTTATCTTCAACTTGACGATCTCCACCTGGAAGGGACTTTCATCTAAGCCGGCACCCACTTCATCGTAATGATAAGCCTGTTTGGCTGCCTTCCCAGGATGGTTTTCCCAAGGACCTCCCTGTGCCGGGGGACTTCCTGGCATCACCTCCATATCAAGCCCCTGGAAGAAATCCCCTTTGGCTCTTTCCAGGGATATTCCACAGAGGTCTGTCTGCTCAGGTCTTTCCAGCTGGAATGTCTCCTCTTCATTCTCCTGTTCTTGCCCATCACCTTCAAGGGGGGGGGGGAGAGGAAAATCATGGCACAATAAGTACAGTCATACCTCGGGTTGAATTTGCTTCAGGTTGAGCGCTTTCGGGTTGCGCTCCGCGGTAACCTGGAAGTAACGGAACGCGTTACTTCCGGGTTTCGCCACTCGCACATGCACAGATGGTCAAAATGATGTCACGTCCTTGCGTGGAAGCAGTGAATCGTGATCTGCGCACACACAGACGCGGGTTGCGTTCGCTTTAGGATGCGAACGGGACTCCAGAACGGATCCCATTCGTATCCAGAGGTACCACTGTAGAGGCTTGTAGAAATTCTCCATCCCTGTTCCATTACTTTCTGTCCCTCAGTTTTTAGAGGCACCCCCCCCCCCAAGAATCCTGGGGAACATAGTTTGTTAAGGGTGCTCGGAACTGTAGCCTCTTTTGTGCAGAGGAGGGCAACCAAGATGATCAAGAGTCTGGAAACAAACATTAAACGGGACAGTTAAAGAAGCTGGGTATTTTTAGACTGGAGAAGAGGAGGCTGAGAGGAGATAAGATAGCCATCTTCAGATATCTCAAGGGCTGTCATATGGAAGAGGGAGGAGGCTTGTTTCCTTCTGCTCTGGAGGGAAGGACCAGAACCAATGGCTTCAAGTCACAGGAAAGGAGATTCTGACTAAACACCGGGAAGAACTTTCTGAGAGTAAGAGCTGTTCAACAATGGAAGAGGGTGGACTCACCTTTGTTTGAGGTTTTAAAACAGAGGTTTAAAATGATTCCTGCATTGCAGGGGATTCAACCATATTTGTTTATTCATTTCATATTTATTTCATAAAATTTATACACCGCTTGACCTGTGGTTGAACTGTTTAATTATTATTTGCTGAAGTTTAATTTTACTGTTTGCTACAGCGGTACCTCCGGTTATGAACTGAATCCATTCCGGAGGTCCGTTCATAACCCAAAACCATTCTTAACCTGAGACACGCTTTCACTAATGGTGCTTCCTGCTGCACACACGCCTCTGGCGCACGATTTCCGCTCACATCCCAGGGCAAAGGGCGCAACCAGGAGAACTACGTCCGGGTTAGCGGAGCTCATAACCCAACGCATAACCCAGAAGCGTTCATAATCAGAGGTACCACTATATTAGATTCTGATGGATTGTTGAATGTTGGTTTGTTTGATATAAGTTGCTTGTTTTAAAGGTATTGTGACTTTTATATTGGATCAGATTTTTACAATTAATGTTTGATGTTTTATTTCGTTTTTATGTCTTGGAAGCTGCCAAGTGCAGCTTGGGCAACCCAGCCAGATGGGTGGGGTATAGATGTTGTATTATTATTATTATTATTATTATTATTATTATATTTATTACTATTATTGACTGCAAAAAAGCACCTCTCAAAGATGACCCTTCGAGCCCCTTCCAACCCTACAATTCTATGATTCTGTGATGGTTTTGTTCTAACCCCATTGTAGGACACAGCATTTTTATTTGTGTTTTAACAACTAGCAATTAAAAGTCTTGTGAATTCTTACCGAAGAAATGGGATTCTCCATCACCCTCCTGCTTGGCTTCCATGGAGAGCTGTATCTTCCCGGGGGCCCAGGAGTCCTGTTCTGAATTAGGGCTGCTGACAAATGAGCTTATTGACAACCCTGACTCCTGAAAAAAAAAGTGGACGATAACAAATGATAATGAGGTTAACAGTATCGGTGCAGATGGCTTAATGACAAGGATGTTGATAGGACATTGTGGTGCAGAAAAGTAAAAGAATGATAATTTACAGTGACAGATTTTGCAATGTTATTAAGGTTGTTTCAGGCTTCTATGTATATTCTCTCGCACATGTACAGGGACAATGGCAGCTGTAGTTCATCCACATCTGGAGGGCCGAAGGTTCCTCACACTGGACGTAAGCAAACACATGTGACCATCCCATCTATCTTGGGGCCAAACTAGATTATTTTATTTTTTAAAAACCCAGAGCTTGAAGAATTGCTGCATCCATTTCTCTGCCCCTCACGCCAATAGACGGCATCCCTGCCATTTTTTTCTGGGTTCTCTCAGGGTTTCCCAAACGCTAAGACACTCACCTTCCCTTCCCACCCTTCCGACTTCAGGAGGAAATCTTCTGCCAGGACGACTGCCTCGCTGCAGGTCTCCGGGCCTTGTTCGCCGACCCAGCTCTGCATTTCCAGAGGCAAGATGCTCAGGAACTGCTCCAGAATCAGCACTTCCAGGATCTGGTCCTTAGAGCGTTTCTCTGGCTTCAGCCATTGGTGGCAAAGCTTCCACAGCTGCTTGCAAACATCCCGGGGCCCCTCAGCCTCCTCATAGCAGAAGCGCCGGAAGCATTGGCGTTGCGTCTCTGAGTTGGCAGCGTCTTTGCTCGCTGTCTCGTCCTTCCCTTTCCCTGAAGAATCCAGCCCTCTGCTCGGTTTCTGAGCTCCCCGGAGGCCCAGCACGGTTGCAGTTGCCCAGTCTGCTTTCGGCCACTGGCTGGCCCCAGTTATTTCCTTGAAGGAGGCCTGGAACTCCTTCGTGTCTGCCTCAGAGATGGGCTCAGGTAACCTGAGGTGCTTCCATCCTGAGCAAGGGGATTCCACCGTCTTCAGGAACTCCTGCTGCTGGTTTTCCCAACGCTGCTGCAAACCTTCGTCTGGCTCCTGCTTCACTTGTGCTGGGCCTTCGCCGGTCAGGAATTCCTTGATGGTCCCAACTTGGACAACCTGAGGCTCCCTTTCGCCTGCCTCCAGCTTCTCCCAGGATCCCGGTTCTGTTGGGTCCTGCTGCTCCATTTTTATTTCTGGCTGGAGTTCCTGGGCTGAAAAGGAAATTCAGTTCTTGATCAAGGACAAAGCATTAAGAACATAAGAAGAGTTGGCTGGATCCGGCCAGTGGCCCATCTAGTCCAGCATCCTGTTCCCACACTGGCCAACCAGATGTCTGTGGAAAACCTGCAAGCAGAATTTGAGCCGAAGAGCCTTCTGCCATTCTGCAGTTTCCAGCAACTGGGATTCAGTAGCCATCGAGAGCCCTCTTCTCAGGGAATTTGCCTAATCCTCTTTTTTTTATTGATTTTTCCACACGGCAAAAATTATACATTCCAAATAAAACACAAAAGAAACAACAAATTTCCAAATAAATCAATATATACAAATCCTTAAATTCCTAAAAGACACTTCTATTGTTTAAGTTTTTTTCTTAATTCACAAATTCTTAATTTCTCCATATGACTTCCAGCCTCCTCATTGTGGATCCATCCTTTTTTTTCTTCTTCTTATCACTGCTTCAGTATTCCTTATCTCCATTTCTTTCTTTTGTTTGATCTCATGTATTCTTAGTCTAATTTGCAGCTTGGGGAGTTTAGTCAAAACATGTCCAGGTTTTCACTTGTGGACGATGTTTAATTAAATATTCTTTATAAATGCCCCATTCATTTTTATACCTTTGGGTTGGCTCTCTTCTAATTATCTCCATTAATTTAGCTAATTCAAGATTATTTTCTAATCGTCCTTTAATGCCATCTAGGTGGGTGCCCATCACTGCCTCCTGTGGGAGCAAGTGCCATAGTTTAATTAAGCACTGCAGGAAAAAAGTGCTTTCCTCCATCCTGAATCTTCCAGGGAAGAAGGTTACAACCACCGCACACAATCCTTCACATCTCCCTACGATCTGCAGGGGAGACTTTGGTGGAGGTGCCACCACTGGGGTCTGCCTGGTTGGCGGTGACTCAGGTGACAGGGCCTTCTTGGCGGTGGCTTCCCGTTTGTGGAATGTCCTTCCTACTGAGGTGCACCATTCTCCTTCATTATTAACTTTTAGGTGAAAAGAGTTCCTCTTTCCCAGTCATTTGATGGCTGAAAATATTGGCAATTGCTTTCAGTTCTTAACTTTTTTTAAAGGCTGCTTTTTAACCATTTCAAGAAGTTTTGATTGTATTGTTTTGGTACTGACGTGTTTTCCACCCTGGGCACTTTAGCAGGAAGCTGTGGGATATAACTAATAAATAGAGAAATTGAAGTTCTGTTCAGAAGTAAGCCTCATTTAGGCTCCTGATACCTGTAAGGCTGTCTCGCTCGTAAAGATTCACTTCTTTACTCTGACAGTCTAGGGCAGTTGTGTCCAAACTTTTTTTCAAAGAGGGCCAGATTTGATTAAGTGAAGGGCCGTGAGGGCCAACCAAAGTTGCTGACTTTTTAAAGGACTGAGCTTTTTTTAGGATTGAAGTTGCTGAGGTTTTTTTAGGATTTTACTCCAGGAAATAAACTGCCATGGGGGCCGGATTAAACCAACCGGCGGGCCAGATTAGGTCCCCAAAATGGACTTTGGACATGCCTGGTCTAGTGGAAAGGGTTATGGAATCACAAGTAGAGATGGAAGGGACCACAAGGGTCATGTGAGGGTCATGCAATGCAGGGATCTTTCACCCAACATGGGGCTCAAACCCACGACTCTGAGATTGAGAGTCTCATGCTCTACCGAGGTCGTGGCTCAGTGGTAAAGGTTCTTCATTCCTGCATTGCAGGGGGTTGGACTAGATGATCCTCAAGGTCCCTTCCTACTCTATGATTCTTTTTAATACCATGCAATAACCACAGCAGAGTTGCCAACGCAAGACAGTCAGCAACCCCAGAACTGACGCTGGTGTTTCCTCACAATCCTGTCCCATTCATGTGTGAAGTGGGAATGCAGTGGAGAACCTTACACCCAAAATGGGTGTGTGTGAAACAGCCATCTTCCAAGCTGCAAGGATCGTCGAGGTAACGTGTGCGTGAAGCACTTTGTGCGCTCAAAACATGCTATCACAATGTGCAGTTACTGCTACGTTTAAGGTTGCCAACTTTCCAGGCACCTCCGCTCCTGTGCTTTTAAATGGCAGGCAATGACGCTCGCCTGCGCCTCCATGCTGTTTTGATTTCTGCCACGCTACATTGCTGTCAAAGGCAGAGGAGCAGGCCTGACTTGGTTCCCCTCTGGATAAGTTGGCAACCCTGGCTGCCAACTGACCTGTGGGAAACCAGCTTGGCCTGCTCCTGTGCCTTTAACAGCACCCTGCCATTCAAGAATCAGCTTTCTGCAGCAAGGGAGATAAATGCAGTTGCAAGCTGACTCCTGCATACCGAGCCCCTGGCAGAAGGCATGCTGGCAACGGTAAAAGGCAAATCTGGGAACATCGCCCTCTGCAGCTTTCCCCCACGGCTCCTGATTTCTCTGGTATCTCCCTCTTAATTGTTTTTTCTCCTTCTTTCTGTCCAACGCCTCTGGGGGGGTTAACTCACCCACTCCTTGCACCTTTGGCATTGTTGCAACCTCTGGGAAGAGATCTGCAGCCCCCAATGGCTCCATCCAAGAGGCAAAAACCCCTGGAGGGAAGAAGGAAGGTGGTGGATCAGGAAGGTGCCTCAGCATAGGTCACAAGTTTGCATGCTCCTCTAGCCGGCACAACTCTCTGTGTTTAACTCCTTCAGGGCAAAGAGACAAAAAACAGTCAGACATCCTAAAACATGAATGGGAGCAGAAGTTGCACGTGAGTCCCTGGGTGGCCCCTCCCCGCTCTGGCAATTTTATCTGTTTTGTCCTGTTGCAGGCTGCGTACTTAAAATGTCCACGTGGAATTGCTAGAATTGCGAGGTTTAGCCCTTTCTCTGGGACTTTAATAGTTACCGGGTACTGTAAATCTCAGGGAGAAGGGAAATGGTTCATTCTTGTCTCTCTTAACAGCGCATTCATGCTCATGCATGCACAATAAGGCCCCGGCTGCTTTTCCACGGGCTGCAGCTGCTGAGACAGATTTGGAACTATTGACCTCACAGTGGCAGGGAAATGGACATTTCCCAGCAGTTCTGAGTTCTGTAACCTCAAAGTGGAGGGGGCGAAAAACCGCTGGACTTTTAAATCTGCCAAGGTGGTCTGATTCATATGTAATGCAAAACCATGGTTCGCAAGACATCCTTTATAATTTGCTTAATGTGATCATTTGGACCTGGCACAACTGCTTAACAATGTTTTTATTAACATGACTGGGATAGCTCGGTAGAGCATGAGACTCTTAATCTCAGGGTTGCGGGTTCAAGCCCCACATTGGACAAAAGGATTCCTGTATTTTAGGGGGTTGGACTAGATGACCCTTTGGTGTCCCTTCCAACTTTACAATTCCATTATTTGCAGGTGCAAACAGTATTGAAGGCAGGATGATGCATTACCACCATCAGCCCAAGGCTGTGTATATATCGTGTATTTATTTTGTTATTTTATTTCTGGTAAAATTTATTTATCACTTCATTGAAAAGCACCCGGCACTGAGAATCCATACATTTAAAGCACCCCCCCCCGCCCCAAATCCTGGGAACTGCCGTTAGAACCTCACAGAACTACAACTCCCAGCATCCTTAATAAACTACAGTTCCCAGGATTCCGGCGGCGGGGGAGGGGGCGTGGAACGCGCTTGAAATGTTTGTTCACAGCGTAAAAATGAACGCACAATAAAAAGGACACCCGGAAGCCCTGCTGGTTACTTTCCCTACATCAGGCTTAATGGGTTAAAAGCACCGAGCTCTCCTGCCTAGAGAAGGCGCAGCCAAAGCGGAGACATTATTAATATTATTGTTGTTATTATTGTTTTTTTAAAAGTTCCATAGCATTCCTCTTCCTGTCCCGCCCCCTTGGTTGAGTACCCTTTTGGGTCGTTCCGAAGTTTGGAATTATTATTATTTTTTTGCAATTTTGCAGCGGCTGCAAAAGGAGTCAGCGCCTTTTGGGAGCGGTAAGTTAAGTCGGGGATTTGGGAGAAGGGGGCGATCGGAGGCGAAGCGGCGGATGGAGGGGAATCCGAAGCAAGGAGTAAACAAGATGCACACCGCTCTCCCCGCCTTCCTTTCCCACGCCTGCCAAATCAAAAGGGAGAGCTTGTTAGCTGGTCTTCGCTGGGCCACATACCCCACCGCGTGCTCTTGCGGAAAACAGAACCTCCACCTACAGGTGCAGTGTACCCCTGTAGGCCAGACGCTGTGCGGAACGGGGAGGAAAGAACAGCAACAACCAAAAAAAAATCAGGGTAGGGTTGTTGCTTTAATCTTTCGCTTGCAGGCTTCAGAACATAAGCAGAGATGAGCTGGAACACCGCTGGGAAGTTTTTAGTTGTTGTGTGTGTTGTGTTTTCTTTTTTAAAAAAACCACCTTTATTGAAATTTCAAATAGTACATAATTATACGTGCACTAAACATGGTGAGACGTAAATAAAGAAGAGAAAAGGAGAAAGAGAAACAACCTATGTAGAAGGGAAAATAAAGGGGGGAGGGGAAAACCCAAAACTATATATTTTTGCAAGGTTGTTATTGTTCTTCACCAGATCTTAACCTATTACAGTATATGTAAGAACGGATTTCAAATACAGTGGTACCCCTGGTTAAGTACTTAATTCGTTCCGGAGGTCTGTACTTAACCTGAAACTGTTCTTAACCTGAAGCACCACTTTAGCTAATGGGGCCTGCTGCTGCCGCTGCGCTGCCAGAGCATGATTTCTGTTCTCACCCTGAAGCAAAGTTCTTAACCTGAAGCACTATTTCTGGGTTAGCGGAGGCTGTAACCTGAAGCGTATGTAACCCGAGGTACCACTGTATCATTGAATTTGTTCATGGCAAGTCTGTGTTTATATGCAAGTTGTTGTTATGTTGTGAGTTTGTGTGTAAGTCTTCAGTCCAATTGTAGAAGGGAGCTGCATTTTTATTTTTTCAATTCATCAGTACAGTCATATCTCGTGTTGTGTCCGCTTCATGTTGCATCTTTTCGCGTTACGTCCCGCGGCAACCCGGAAGCACCGGAATGGGTTACTTTCGGGTTTCGCCGCTCACACATGCGCAGAAGCGCTAAATCACGCTATGCGCATAAGCACCAAATCACGCCGTGCGCCTGTGCAGACGCAGCACTTTGAGCTGAGGGCATTTCATGTTACAGACGGGCCTCCAGAATGGATCCTGTCCGTGACACAAGGTACCACTGTATCAGTCTTTTTGCTGTGGTAAGGGCACGGAGAGTCCACTCCTATTGTCCTTTTGTAAGGTTCCATGTCCTGGGTATATAATTCAAGAGGATATTTTGCTCTGTAAATGTAAGGTTGTTCCGTACAGTTCTGTTGATGGTTTCAGTTACCTCCTGCCAAAATTATTTCAATATAGGACAATGAAAAAACATGTTTTAAAGAAGCATTATCCCTATTGCATCTCCAGCAGAACGTAAGCAGAGACTAGCTGGAACACCGCTGGGAAGTTTTTAAAATAAAAAAATCCTTCCAGTAGCACCTTTAAGACCAACTAAGTTAGTTCTTGGTATGAGCTTTCGTGTGCAAGCACACTTCTTCAGATACACTGAAACAGAAGTTGCCAGATCCTTCTATATAGTGAGAAGGTGGGGAGGGGTATTACTCAGAAGGGTGGTGGGAATTGGAGATTGGCAGATAGCTGAGATGAGCCTGCTGACGACTCTTAACGACTGTAATAGGTCTTACAGGAAAAGGCAAGGGGTGAGAAGGTGAGAAATGGCTTAGTCATGTATAATGGGATAAGAATCCAATGTCTTTGTTCAAACCAGGTTTCTCCATGGTTTTAAGTTTGGTAATGAGTTGCAATTCAGCAGCTTCTCTTTCCAGTCTATTTCTGAAAGTTTTTAGTTTAGTTTTTAGTTTAGAGAACTAAAGTTTTTAGTTTAGAGAAAAAGTTTTTAGTTTAGAGAAAAAGGAAAGGGAGGTGCAGGATGGAGGTGTATAAAGTTATGCAGAGAGAATATTTTCTCCCTCTCAGTTCTAGAACTCCGGAACATCCAACGAAGCTGAATGCTGGAAGGTTCAGGCAGATGAAAGTACTTTTTCACCCAGTGCAGAGTTTAACTACAGAATTCGCTCCCTTGAGCTGCTGTGGATGATCACCAACCTGTACTGGTGTAAACGATTAGATAAATTCATGGGGGATAAGGCTTTCTACTTTCCATAGCCGCTGGCCTGCCACAGCATGGGCCTAGCAGGGAGGGGGTCAGCTGCTCCTCCAGTAAATAAATAAAAATACTTAACAAACTGGCCAATCGCATCACAGCTTGGTTCTGCCCCCCCAAAAAAGTCCTGTCCCCCAAACATAAATTATGGCTACGCCCATGAGTCACGATGGTTATGCTTTACCTCTGCTGTTGAAGGCAATATATACCAGGTGATGGAGACCACAGAAAAGGAGGTTTCCATCTCGAACTGTCGGCTTCCCTTTGATGCATCTGTTTGGCAACTGTGAGAACAGGATACTGGCCTAGATGGGCCATGGGCCTCCTCCAGCAATGCTCTTTCTATGTTCTTGGACTGAGGCTCCGTCCCGAAACTGCATCTGAAAGAAATGGGCGTTGCTGTTCTTTTGCAAGGGGGGAGTGATAAATTTTATTCTTTCAGCTTTACAAAATATGACATTTAGAGCACTGCAAACACTATTTGAATGTTCATATATGATTGACCATTCACAAAATGCTACTCATTTAAGATATCCACCTCCTGGCTTAATAGGACAGTTAAAGCATCACAAAACCCACTTTCAATGCTTTCTCCTTCAAACTTCTCAGCCAAATATTTGACTCCCAGAACCTATGGCTTTGCTGCTGCTTCCGTTGTTGTGGGTTTCTCGTTAAAGCCAGCAGGTTTGGCTGGCACCAGCTGTTCCCAAATCTGCTTTAAGAATTCATATTTGCTTGTCTTTGAGCTTCTGTTCCTCATCCTCTCTCTCTTTCTCATTACATACCGTACATTTCATTTATGTTTGCACCCCAACATATGCACACAAATCTCTTTGTGCTCTGGGTGTAATTTGGGCTCCAGGAGGAAGTTTATGGAGGTTCTTGATGGAGAGAAAATAGGGGAAATGTTGGGAATGCGATATCAGAATGCAACCATGCAGCTGACATGATCAAAGGGACAGTGCATCTTCCCTGCATGGAGGGGGTGGGGAATTATTATTTTTTGGCCTCTGGCTTGGATAGCTCTGTCCTTAAAGCAGGAGACCTATCTCAGAGTTGTGGGTTCAAGCCCCACGTTGGGCAAAAAGATACCTGCATTGCAGGGGGTTGGACTAGATGGCCCTTGTAGGTCCTCCAAACTCTACAATTTTGTGATTCTGTGTGACCGTTCCTTCCCCAGAAGGGATTGCAGCCCTCAGATCGAAAAAGTTCACCCACCTCTTCTGGACGGTGAACAGCCTTTCTGATGTGCTTGCCTTTGCCACGAGTAGCCACGTGAGGAGGCGACGCTGTTTATAGGTTTTGAATTTGGTTTTCAATGTTTTATCTACGTTCTTCTCTCATTTTTTAATTGTATTGCTTTATCACTGATGGTTTTGCCGCCTTTGGGAGGAAGATCTGGAAATACATTCCAATTAAACAATCGATGGGCAGCATTTAACCAAGTCCCATTGCAATTAATGAGACTGAGCTGGTTTGGCATGTCAATTTCCCTGGGTCTGCTTTCAGTTGGATGAGCAATAAATAAAACCCAATAAGAATTCCCTGCGAAGATGTTCAGAACTTGTCTTCCAGATTCCCAGACTAGAGGCGCTCTTCTGCAGCTCTTTGAGGGTTAAATCCACCGAGCTGCAATTGCTAGAGAGGGAGGAGGCTTGGGAGGGAAGGGAGGGAAGAATGGGATTGCATTCATGAATGCCACTTCCTGTCTGCTGCCTTTGCCAACTGGGATTTTGAATTATCTTTGCAAGCGGCTGGAGAAAGATGTCTCAGAGCAGTGAATTGAAGGTACCCGGGATGATGGGTGGAGAGGAGGAGGAGGAGGAGAAAAAAACAATGGGGAGGAAAAGGCAGATTGGGGGCAGGGGCAGGAAAAGCGGATTTGGGCAGGCAAGTCGAAAAGTGCTGTGGAAAAATCCCATAATAACTAAAGAGGCAGGAAATCGCTCCCTGGCACGGTCTGGTAACAAGAAAGAGGGAAATAAACACAATCAGTGCCTCTTGGGCTCAGAAGCTGAGAGAAGGGATGCCTGAACTAATATATATGCATTTCAAGAGAGATCCTTTCCCCCTGGGGATTGGGACTAAGCTGGGAACAACCTCTGTCGAATTGGCCCTGCAGCATCTTACGTGGGTGTTCTAGATGTGGGATGTTTGTGAATTCTTTCCATGTTGCTCTTTAATCTTTTATTACTTGTGCGGTAGGAGAGAGCTGAATTCAGCAGGAGTGGCACATCTCACTGCCGTGAAAATTAAGAACTACCTTAACTACCACAGACTAGTGGTCTGTGTGGGCCAGAATATTCTACATCGGCAATGGCTCATCCCAGGGGCATTTCTGGGTACCTTAAAAACTTGGGGAAGGGATGTAGCTCAGTGGTGGAGCATTTCCCTTGCATGCAGATGTTTCCAGGCATGTCTAGGTAGCACTGGGAGAGAGTTGTGGCCTGGATTCTGGTCTGACTGTAACAGATTACAGAACTGGGTCCAAACTAACAAAATGAATTTCCATAGGGACAAAGTTCTGCACTTGGGCAGGAAGAACCAGAGGCACAAATATAAATATGGAGGACACTTGGCTTAACAGTAGTCCATGTGAAAAGGATCGAGGGGTTCTGAGTAGACCACCAGCTTAACATGAGTCCACATTGTGATGCAGCAGCAAAATAAGCTAACGCTATTTCAGGCTACATCTGTAGAAGTATAGCGTCCCGATCAAGGGAAGTCATAGTACCGTTCTATTCTACCTTGGTCAGACATTTGGAGTACTGTTTCCAGTTCTGGGCACCATAATTTAAGAAGAATACTGACAGGTTGGAACATGTGCAGAGGAGGGTGATCAAGGGTCTGGAAACCAAGCCTTATGAGGAACAGTTGAGGAAGTTGGGTATGTTTAGTCTGGGAAAAACGAGACGGATAGCCATCTTCAAATACCTATAAAGGGCTGTCACGTGGGAAATGGAGCAATCTTGTTTTCTCTTGCTCAGGAGGTAGGATTCAAACCATTGGCTTCAAGTTACAAGAAAGGTGATTCCAACTAACCATCAAGAAGAACTTTCTGATGTTGAGAGCTGTTCATCCGTGGAACAGACTCCCTCTGGAGGTTGTGAACTCTGCTTTCTTGGAGGTTTTTAAGCAGAGGTTGGATGGGAATCTATCATGGATGTTTTAGTTGAGATTCCTGCATGTCAGAGCATTGGACTAGATCACCCTCAGGGTCCCTTCAGACTCTACCATTTTATGTTTCTGAAACAATTTTTCACTTTCCGAAAGAATGCATGAACTGAAATACACGGCTGTTGTTTGAAACCCACACTTTGCTGAATTTTGCAGAGCAAAAGTAGTTGTCAAGTAGTGTGTGCAGAAATGCATGCACTGGGATAAAGCGTTCATATACATGCATATGCTGGCAAAAATGATGCACACAACTGCATTATGCCAGGGGAAATAGCTTTGGTATATTTAGCAAACTTGCACACAAAAAAGGTGTATGTTAGGAGACATTTGCACTAAAATGCTGTTGAATTTTCATGCTTTAAAAGAAAATTGCAAACTGGCAAAGAGAACTTAAGATTGGACAATGAAAGACTTAAAGAAAAAATTGCCCATCTCCAGTGCCCCCATATGGTTAAATAATAAAGGAGACAAGGAACAGGAGATTCGGCCCCCAGTGTAAAATACCTGGGGCTCACTGCCCCTTGGGCTGTGCCCTAATAAGACCCCTGGCTATTCCTATCACCTGCTACTTGTTCTTCGCTTTAGCTGACTCCCAGCAAAACAATACAGCCTTGTAGCAATTTAGGGACTAACACATTATTATCACTATTATCACTGCTTTTTTTCTGGGAGGACACAGGGGTATGCCTAAACATTTTGTGAATCTTTGCACTTTTGTCCATTTACTGCATTTATTTTTCTCAGTTTGAACTATAAAATGGTGATTTTCTTGAGTCAAAATGAGAGTACCCCTAAACATTTTTTTAGGAAAAAAACACTGAGTATTATTGGTGGTAGTAGTACTAGTAGTATTAATTACTTAGTTGCTTGTTACCAAAAAGTTAATACTACTAGTACTACTACCACCAATAATACACATAACAGCATAAATACATTATGCTGTTAACAGAGTTCATATAAGACAGCTGCATAATTATGCATATTATAATTTTTTGTAGGATATTATCCACTTAATCAGATGCATGAAGTATTTATCCTGAGTTGCAGGTGTATGTGGGCATGTGTGATACATAAAACACACCCTCGCACAGGCACACATGGTAGTGGGATGTGCAAGATGGGGATTGTAAATAGTGAGGTCAGAAGGAACAGAAATGCAGAAGAGTATGGGCGATGTTTAACCATGGCCATTCACAGAAAAATAATAATGGTTTGTTCATTTATATATCTATTCTGCTCAGGGCATCAGACAGCAACAAGAGAAAAACAGTACGATACAAAGGAAAATAGATTTAAATAAAGGTTTAAACATTTTTTTTAATCTAATTTTTTTTGGGAACATTTGGAACACCTAAAACAATTAAATTTGATATCACTGGCATCCTGGCATTGGAAAGGCAATTGACACATGAGGTATGATGAAAGAAAACAAGGAATTCTAAGACTTTGTTCAAATCTAATCCATAAACTGAACCTCTTGAGGAACTGTAATTTGGAAGTTTTACATGGCAGTTGCCATTTCAAGTTCCTTTGTTCCAGGATTATTGCTTTAATGGTGGTTACAGAGTGTCCTGGAAGATGAAAATGTCCTCCCCACACCAGGGTTTTGGATATTGCCAATTTTGTTGTCAGATTTTTGTCCACTTGTTCTTTTCTGTAGACCAGGGATGGTAAACCTGGGGTGCTCCATATCTTGTTGAACTCTCAACTTCTGTCAGTCCCAGCCAGCTTTTAGCACATACTGATGGGATAAGGGATTTTGGGGAGTTGTGGTCCAGCAACACCCCAATGTTTCCACCCCTGGTGTAGACTCCACACTGTAGAGCCCTATGTTATATATCCTCTGTAGAATGCAGAACAGTGCCATTGGCAGATGGTGGGGCCTTGTGCACTGCCGCTGAATAGCAGTAATAATAATATCACCTTCCACACGTGTCTCAAAGCGCTGTACAGTATACTAAAATGGCTGAAAACAACACAGAAAACAACAGCAGATAAATTTAAAAACAATACCAGCTAAGCGAGGTCTGTTTATCCAGCTAGGAAAGTTTGCTGGAACAGAAAAGTTTCAGTTTGTTTCCAGAAAGTGTAGATTGCGGATGCCTGTTGTATCTCGAGAATAATACTATTACATGGGACAGCAGAAGACACACTAAAATCCTGTGGAGCAGGATTCTGCTATAACAATAACAATATATTTATACCCTGCCCATCTGGCTGGGTTTCCCCAGCCACTCTGAGTGGCTCCCAACAAAATATTAAAAACACGGTAAAACATCAAAGATTAGAAACTTCCCTAAACAGGGTCTATTTTTGGAACTTGCAGGCAGGGCTGCCTCAGGCAGCAGAATCCAAGGGGCGCCTCCCTGGCATGCCCCCACTGCCAAATATTTGGGGGCAGTTCTTTTTTCTGGGTGTATTCAAGGGTGTGCAGTACCGGCACCTTTCTCCCACAAATGTTAAAAGTGTAACTTACTGTAACAAGTTCACGGTGAGTACTGGAATCTTTTTTCCTTAAAAAAAAGATCTTTGGGGGGCACGTAGGCTTCACCCCACATAATCAATTGCAAGACGCAGTACACAAACAACATTTGAATAGCAATTACCATCAACATGAGGGGCGGCCCCCTCAAATATTTTATTGGGGGGGGGGACAGGACCTTGGCCCCTAAGAGTTTGCTCCTATGATGCTAGAGAAGTGAGGAGAAGCTGATCTAGTGGCTTCTGGGTTTTAGGGAGAACTTGCAAGAGTCCTGCAAGATCACACGGGGAGGCTCCTGCAGTGCTTTCTCATGATCTCGCCAGAACGCAGAAGCTGCAGCCGTGTAAGTGGGGCTTTGGTGAGGGCGGCAAGCGGGGTCCATGGCATGAATGCAAAGCGGCACCTTCCCATTTTGCCTCAGGCGGCGAAACAGGACAAGCTGCCTCTGCTTGCAGGAGAAGCTCTCCTGCCATTGCTGTTACCTCTCAGGTGCCTCTCAGGTAGCCTCATCTCTGAGCTTACCTGTTATGTGTTAGTACCAACACCTTGAACTCAGCAGGTATCAGATTGGCAGCCACTGCAAATACTGCAGACAAGGTGTTACATACTGGCAACCTGCTGTGGCCTCTTTTCTTCCTCAGAAGTAGCCAGTGGAGAAATTGAGGAGGGGCAGGAATAAGCCAGAGTTGCAGCACAGTCATAAGGGTGGGTCTGTGAATCAGTGACTGCCAGCCCCCAATAATTATTTGCAAGGATATTTGGGGAAGGGCTGTAGGTAGCTCAGTGGTAGAGCACATGCGTCCCATGGAAAAGGTCCCAGGTTCGATCCCCCACATCTCCAGGTATTTATTGTTGTTTCTTAGATTGATTTACCGCCTTTCATCATAAGATCTCAGGGTGGTTTACAAAATAAAATACAGGATAAAAACACAAGTAAACAATTAAAACAAAACAGCAAAACAATAGTGCCCCCCCTTCCTGCAGATACAGTGGTACCTCGGGTTACATACGCTTCAGGTTACAGGCTCTGCTAACCCAGAAATAGTGCTTCAGGTTAAGAACTTTGCTTCAGGATGAGAACAGAAATCATGCTCCGGCGGCACAGCAGCAACGGAGGCCCCATTAGCTAAAGTGGTGCTTCAGGTTAAGAACAGTTTCAGGTTAAGTACGGACCTCCGGAACGAATTAAGTACTTAACCCAAGGTACCACTGTACATTTAAAAGGCTGTAGAATATTAATCAGCAAAAGGCCTGGTTGAAAAGGAACGTTTTTGCCTGGCACCTAAAAATATACAGTAGTACCTCAGGTTAAGTACATAATTCGTTCTGGAGGTATGTTCTTAACCTGAAACTGTTCTTAACCTGAAGCACCACTTTAGCTAATGGGGCCTCCTGCTGCCGCCGCGCCGCCAGAGCACAGTTTCTGTTCTCATCCTGAAGCATCTTAACCTGAGGTACCGTATTTTTCGCACCATAGGACGCACCGGACAATAGGACGCACTTTGTTTTAGAGGGGGGAGAACAAGAAAAAAAAAATTCTCCCCCTCTCTGCCCAGCGCCCCTTCAGCGAAGCGGCAGGAGGCGCTGCACAGAGAGGGGGAGAACTTTCCCCCTCTTGTTTTCCCGCTCTAAAACAAGGTGCCGTTTAAGGTGCGTTCAGGCGGCTACCTTGGAAGCCTGGAGAGCGAGAGGGGTCGGGAGCAGCGGAAAGGCTCCTGCGTCACCTCTCCAGCTGGGAGAGGGTCGCGGGGGGCTTCTTTAGCCAGGCAACCCTGTTGCACAGAGGTTTTGCTTTTGAGGCACCTGCTTGGACACCATGAGGACAGGGCTCTTGTTAAGACCTCACGAACTACATGGACCAGAGGTCCAGCTCTGAAGAGTGTAGCTTCCGACTTCCCTCTCCTTCATTTGTTGCCTGGTATTCAAAAGTACAAAAAATAATAATCAAAAAAATTAGGATGCGGGTGGTGCTGTGGGTTAAACCGCAGAGCCTAGGACTTGCAGATCAGAAGGTCGGTGGTTTGAATCCCCACAATGGGGTGAGCTCCTGTTGCTCAGTCCCTGCTCCTGTCAACCTAGCAGTTCGAAAGAACGTCAAAGTGCAAGTAGATAAATAGGTACCGCTCCGGCGGGAAGGTAAACGGCATTTCCGTGCGCTGCTTTGGTTCATGCTGGCCACATGACCCGGAAGCTGTACGCCGGCTCCCTCGGCCAATAAAGCGAGATGAGCGCCGCAACCGTAGAATCAGTCATGACTGGACCTAACGGTCAGGGGTCCCTTTACCTTTACCTTTATTCAAAAGTACATTGTCTCTGACTCCACAGGTTTCATCTTGCAGCTGTGGCTAATGGCTGCCGAGGCTGGATGTGGTTCTGGGGGAAGGTGGGGTGGCCAGAGAGAGAGACTGCCTTTTTCCCGTTGCTGCTTTTTGACCCATAAAAGCTGCTGTTTGTTGGGATGACGAGCAATGGGTGGGGGAGCACTCTGCATATTAGAAGTGCTCTGTCAAATCCTTTTATTAGATTAATAAAAAGCAAGGCAGTCTCTGGCTCTAGGCTAAGCGCACCAATGAAGAAGCAGCAGGCCCCAGATGCATCAGAGTGCATGCCTCCCTTTTAACCCCCACCCAAAATAAAACAGGATAGGATACACTGCGCTCCCCGCCCCTTGCATCCCTATTCTGGATGGCGAAGGGCCTCTTCTCGGACCAGCTATGTAGACTCCCCACCACACCCTGAGACATACACCTCTTTCAGCAAGATCTGTGCCTATTTTATTTTTATTTTTTTAAAATCCCAGCCTGCATTTTATGACCCGAATAGCAGGGTACAAATTATAACAGCAGTAAAGTGCTGGTGGAGGAAAGCTGGATTTACCACTGCAGCAGCCAATGTGGCAAGGCAGAGCTCTCAAAATAATTACACAAGCAGAGAGAGAGAGAGGGAGGGAAGGAAGGGTAACTTAGCTCAGAGTATCTGCTGGGTGTGCAGGAGGTCCCCAGGTTCAATCCCTGGCAGTTCCAGGTAGGGCTGGGAAAGACTCCCTGCGCACATTCTCCCTATACAGTTAAAGGACTTGGATGCCACTTTAAGCAGTCTTTACCTTTAAGGTAAAGGTAAAGGTACCCCTGCCCGTACGAGCCAGTCGTGTCCGACTCTAGGGTTGTGCGCCCATCTCACTTAAGAGGCCGGGGGCCAGCGCTGTCCGGAGACACTTCCGGGTCACGTGGCCAGCGTGACAAGCTGCATCTGGCGAGCCAGCGCAGCACACGGAAACGCCATTTACCTTCCCGCTATAAAGCGGTCCCTATTTATCTACTTGCACCCGGGGGTGCTTTCGAACTGCTAGGTTGGCAGGCGCTGGGACCGAGCAACGGGAGCGCACCCCGCCGCGAGGATTCGAACTGCCGACCTGATGATCGGCAAGTCCTAGGCGCTGAGGTTTTACCCCCAGCGCCACCCGCGTCCCGTTAAGCAGTCATGGCTTCCCCCAAAGAATTCTGGGAGGTGTCATTTGTTAAGGGTGCTGGGAGTTCTAAGGAGATACCCTATTCCGCTCCCAGAGCTACAATTCCCAGAGTTCCCTGGGAAGAGGGATTGATTGCAAAACCACTCTGGGAATGGTAGCTCTGTGAATATTGGAGTATGTGAAAAATTGCATTGAAAACGAGCTTTTTCATTAGGATTTCCACCCCCCACAAAATTTGGCAGATTTCTACGGAAATGTGAAGAATTGGAGGTGAGAAAAACGAGAAGCATAGAACTGAAATGAACAGATTTTGTCTATCTCTATCCATCTCTATGTTTTCGGGTTCAAGTTTCTAATGCTTTTACTTAAAGGTTCAAACCATACATTTAAATTACTATGATACTGCTGTCAACAGTGCTGGCTTCTCCCAAATAATTCTGGGAGCTGTGGTTTGTGAAGGGTGCTGGGAATTACACTTCTCAGAGTTCCCTGATGGTTATACCAATGTGATGGGAAAAGGGAGGCTCCTAACAACTCGAAGCGCCCAGAATTCTGAAGCCATGGCTGTTTAAAATGGTATCATATAGTGCATGAGACATATGAAGTGAATGTGGCCTCCATGACCCAACTGTATTGCTGTGGAAGCAAGCTTTGTGCTTCCACAGGGCTCTTCCTGGGCCACCACCTCCAATCGCTAAAGCAGGGTGGGGAGCCTGGGGCCCCCCAGATGTACGACTCCCACTCCCAGCAGCCCCAGCCACCGTGGCCAATGATCAGAATAATGGGAGTTGCAATCCAGCAACATCTGGAGGGCCACAGATTCCCCATTCTTGTGCTAAAGTTTGTGTAATATATCTGGTTTCGGTAGAGAGCCTGATCATAGTCATCACACGTGTGCACAGACTTTTCACTGAGTCGCGGATGTTGCCCTCTGCATTTCACTCTTCATCCAAAGCACAGGAGAGCGATGAAGCACACTGTAGTTCACAAAAGCTTGTGCCATAATAACAGTATTAAGTCTTCGAGGTGCCACAAGGCTCTTTGTTCTTTTTTGCAGAATAAAGTGTGGCAAATGTCAGTGTAGAACCACAGAAGTGTATCACAGCAGCCACAAAATTAAGCTAGGAATTGGGAATGTGCCCTAGTAAATATCCGCTTAGATGCAAGCTCATTAGGAGGCCTTAAGCAAGCCTCCCCTACTCTTTTTCTTTTTTCTTTTTTTTTAAAATAAGCTTAAAAGAATTGTATCAGGTTTGCTTCTTTTCTTCCTGGCAGAGGTTCTGTGTCTGACTTTTTAAGAGGTGCGCATAACTGGCAGGGACTCTTAAGATTATTATTTATTTATCTCATTTAATGGTTTGGCGCCCTGCTTTTCTTGTAAAATAAAACCAAAGCAGCCCGCACCAGGGAATCAACAGATTAAAGCCATTCATCATTAAAAACAATAAAAGCAGCAGAACTGAAGCAGATCGCAAAAGTAACAAAGAGGCCAGCAAAATAAAATCGGTCTGTAAAATGGTAACAAAATTGCGGGGGTGGGGTGGGGTGAGGAGGTGGCAGCATTGCAAAGCTACTCGGAGCTGCTGCCAAAAGCTTTTAATTGGTGAGGAATAATAAACCAGGGCTACTCTCCTTGGTGTGAGGCTTCAGAAAGTAGGTGATCATGGAGCAGGACCTCCATTGCTGAGAAGAGAGTACGCGGCGTGTAAAGTGCCAGCTGGAGCCACCAACCTTTTGGGGCTGGTGGGCACACTGGGAATTTTGAGAAATCACCATGGGCACCAGTCACAAAATGGCTGTCATGGATGCATGACATAACACAAGATGGCTGCCATGGGAACGTGGCGTGAGACAAAATGGCTGCCACAGCTGAAAGAGAAGGAAGAGAGACAGGAACACAAAATGGAGCGGATATGTGCCCCATCCTCAAATCTGGCACCCCGTCAAATGAGGAAAGGGGTCTAAACCAACCACCGCTGTGGTCGCTCACTGAGCAAAGCTCTTTGCACCTCTCTTCTGTTCAGAATAGGAGGGAGAGAAGGGGTTCAGTTCTGGCGTTCGGTAAAAATGTGGGCATGGGAATGTGTGTGCTCAGTGTAGGGGATGCTGAGCCAAAGTAAACAGTCCCTCATGCATCGTGTACTCAGCAGGATATTTGCTGAGACCTTTTGTGCATGCCTTAGGGAGGTACGTGTGGCTGGGCCGTCAAGTGCAGTGGAGGACCTCCAGGTCACATCCACACCATACAATTTGAGCACTCTTAAGCCCACTTTCAATAGTCATGGCTTCCCCCAAAGAATCTTGGGAACTATGTCCAGGGTCCTGACGGTTGTTAGGAGAACCCCCTCACAGAGCTACAGTCCATAACAGGCTTAACAAACTACAGTTTTCACATTTGGCGGGGGTGGGTGGGTGGGAGGGAGGACACACAATGACTGTTAAAACTAGTGTTATAAACATGTGGTGTGACCCCCAGTCATATCCACTTGTAGTTGCATTAAATGAGGAAAGGCGCCATATTGTCCTTCCGCCTCAGGCAGGGAAAGGCCTCAAGCCAGCCTTGTAGGTGATAGAGGCAATTTTGCTGTGCCTCGCCATATTCATGAACATCAGCTTTATGCTTGTAGCGTTGGAGAACGCTTGCTATTATTTATTTAAATTCCATTTAATAATTGCTTCCCAGAAAATGCCTCGAAGCAATTTCACAATGAAAACCAGCAGCAATAAAAGCAATTGCACAGTGACCTATATATTAAAATGAAAAACAACAACGCAAGGGAGAACAACAACAACTAGAAACGCTTTCATATGTAAAAGCAATTAAAAACCACTTTTGTATGTAAAATCAATTTCAAATCCGACGCCGATAGAAAATGGGATAAATATCTCCACTTAAAAGGCTCTTTGAAAAAGGAAGGTCTTCGATAGGCAATGGAGACTTTGCTTGTCTGATCTGTAATGGGGAAGGGGCTTCTGAGGGCAGGTACCAACATGCTAAAGGCCCGATTCCTATATCGTGATGTGGTAATAACTACAGAAGGTCCTCTCCTGCAGAGTACAGGGATCAGAGATCTCAAGCCCTTACTAAAATAACATGAAGAATCAGAAAATGAATGGAAATTAAGCTTTCTGTTGCAAGGAAGGCAGCCTCTCTTGCACTAAAGTTATTTGGAATCCATTGCAGAACAACTGTGGTGGAGATCCTGGGTTTTACTGAGTAGACCCACTGAAATTAATGGACCTTCGTTAGTTGTGTCTGCTCTGGGCATGACTAACACTGGATATGCATGAGGGCGCATATCCGATGGGCTTGCCGAGCAGAAGGTCAGCGGTTCGAATCCCTGCGACGTGGTGAGCTCCTGTTCTGGTTAAGCTTCTGCCAACCTATCAGTTCGAAAGCACACCAGTGCAAGTAGATAAATAGGTACTGCTGCGGCAGGAAAGTAAGCAGCATTTCCTTGTGCTCTGGCTTCCATCAGGGTGTCCCGTTGTGCCAGAAGCAGTTTAGTCATGCTGACCCGGAAAGCTGTCTGTGGACAAACGCCTGCTCCCTTGGCCTGAAAGCAAGATGAGCTGCGCCACACAACAGTCACTTAACCATCCAGGAGTCCTTTACCTTTTACTTTTTTTTTTTTTAATTAATATTTATTGCATTTTAAAGGATTACAAAAAGAAAAAGTTAAAAAACAGCATAATTAAGAAATACAAAACATCACATCACGATAATATAAAAAAAAAGAAGAAACAAGAAGAAAAAAAGAAAAAAGAAAAAATACAATACATCTTCCCATAACTTATCTTTCATTTGCTTATTTCCTTGATCTCCTCACACCTCCCTTTTTTGTATTCTAGTTCAATTAGCTATTTCAGCAAATCCTTTCCATCTTTTCCAGTTTTTGTCCTCTATTTCTATCTTAATATAATGTAACTTTACTTTCCCTCCTTCACCATTTAGCAATCTATTTTTCCTTAATCCTTTATAGCATTTCTGCTAAAACCACATTATTTCATTCCAACATCCTTCTAACATTCCTTAATTTTACAATGTTTCTGTAAATAAGCTTTAAATTTCTTCCAATCTTCTTCCAACCAACTCTTCTCCCTGGTCTCGGATTCTGCCAGTCATTTCCGCCAGTTCCATGTAGTCCATCACCTTCATCTGCCATTCTTCCCGGGTGGGTAGATCTTGTGTCTTACCTTTTACTTTTTTACCTCATGCATGACGGTATACATGCATTTTGACATGTCTCTTTTTTATTTTAATGTCGTTTTAGTAAAGCTATGATACAAATTTCTGATTGATGTGTACATTGCTAAAACTATGGAACTTGCTCTCTCAGCTTGGATTCATTTTAAAAGAGGATTAGACAAATATTGCAGAGGAGAAAGCTCTTAATAGCTACTAGACATGATGGCTATATCCTTGACTATCAGAGGCGATCTATGCCTCTGAATGCCAATTGCTGGAAATCACAAGTGGAGAAGGCAGTGCTGTTCCCCTCAGGTCCTGCTTGTAGGTTTCCCTCAGGCACCTGGTCAGCCATTGTAAGAACAGGATACTGGACTAGATTGGGCCATTGGTCTGATGCAGCAGGACTCTTCTTAGGCTCTTAAATTTTATGTATAGAAAGCATACATGCCTTCTATACTATTAATATTAATTCGGCTGATTAATATTCTACAGCCTCTTAAATGTGTTTGTGGGTGGGTGGAGGGGTTATTGTTTTGTTGTTTTTGTTTTAAATATTTATTTTAGCTTTCATCGCGTATTTTTAATTTTGTGAACTACACTGAGATTTTTTGATGAAGGAGGTATATAAATTTAATAATAAAAAATAAGTATCTGTTGCTCCTCCCACTTTTGCGTCTGGCCCCGCCCACCATTGGTATGTGCACCTTGTAATAATGTCAATTTCCTGTATTCCTAACAAATCTGTTTGCTTGGGCCACCAAGACACTTTGTTTCATGAAACTGACTAATCAGTGTTTCCTCTCAGAGATTTGCTGCTTGGACGTAATTATGCAGTATATGTTTGCAGTGTTTCTCCTTGTACCAGTCTGGGTATGTAATCAGGGAAGGGGAGGTCTTTGATTCAGTTCACATTTAAATATTAAGCTACCTAGTTCACACTGACACAATACGAAAATGGAAACACAGCTGTCCTTTGAAATTTGTACTCTGAAATTTGTACTTCTCTTAATTTTGAAGCACAGTTCTCTAGCCAAGTGACTTCTACAAAAATTCATACTTACTGAACTAAAGTGCGCAGTAAAATGCATATATCAGTTAAAATAGTATACAAAAAAGGCATTGTATTGCGGGGGGGGGATTGCTATATAAAAATGTGTGTATTAGGAAAATCACCATACCAAGATACATATATTAGGGGAAGTAAAAATGCTGATGACTATACACACACACCACAAACATATGTGAAAATGTGGAGAACGGAATATAAGTCTGGGAAATTAGAAAATGAGAAAAGCTGATTTTGCCAGAATCTCCCATCCCTAAGATGTAATACCCCACCCCCAAACAACACTTCATGGATTGGCAATAGATTTGTGGGTTTCTCCAATATCAGGGATTGGGAACCTATGACCCTTCAACTCCCATAATCCCTGGCCATTGGATGATAGGAGATTTAGCCCAGGAACATCTGGAGGGTACCACTTCCCAGTCCTATATGAACCTCCCTATAAATTAGGATAATCTTCCAAGTCCCTCTTGCATGTCACAGTTTGGAAAAAAAAAACATGAGCAAGGACTTTTCTGCAGTAACACCCTGGTCCTCACCATGTCCCCGGTGGTGTTCAGGCAGGCAAGGAAGACATTCCACATAGCTTTTAATGTAGGGCTGGTATTTTATTGTGGGTGTATTCTACACCATGCTCTTGACCCAGAGGTCACTTCTGCACCATATATTTGGAGGCGAGGGAAAGGGGGTGTTATTGTTTTGTTCTGTTTTTCTTCCTGTTTGTATTATGTATTTTGTGTTTTTATCTTTTATTTTGATGCTGTGAGCCGCCCTGAGATCTTCGGATGAAGGGCAGTATAAAGGTAAAGGGACCCTGACCATTAGGTCCAGTCGTGACCGTCTCTGGGGTTGCGGCGCTCATCTCGCTTTATTGGCCAAGGGAGCTGACTGCACAGGTCATGTGGCCAGCATGACTAAGCCGTTTCTGGCGAACCAGAGCAGCGCACGGAACGCCGTTTACCTTCCTGCCGGAGTGGTACCTATTTATCTACTTGCACTTTGACGTGCTTTCGAACTGCTAGGTTGGCAGGAGCAGGGACCGAGCAACGGGAGCTCACCCCTTTGCGGGGATTCGAACCGCCAACCTTCTGATCAGCAAGTCCTAGGGCAGTATACAAAGTTAATAAATAATAATGAAATAAAATAATAATATATTTAAAGCATTCTTATACCATTTTAAACAGTCCTGGCTTCCCATCAAAGAATCCTGAAAACTGTAGCTTTTAAAGAGCTTGGAATTGTAGCTCTGAGTTGGGTAAACTACACTTCCCAGGATTCAGTGGTGTAAATGTGTGTTAAATCTATTGTGCAGATGTGACTGATCAGGGTGTATCAGCTATGATTTTTTTCTGCTTTATTTGTTGCTGGTGGATTTATTCTACTTTATTAGTTGTTGTTATTCATTATGCACGCTTCACTGTAAGGCCCATGGGCAGGTTACAGCACTTTGAAATACAACATTTGTTAAATAATGTTTCTCCAATGCTACCACATTATTGCTGTCCTAAGGGGCTATAGCGCATCCAGAGTGGGACAAAAATAATAATAATACTCCAGAACATTGGTGGTATGAAAAGTTAAAGGATTTCAGCAGTAAGCCACAAGACTTGCAGTGACTAGAAATAAAGCAGTGTTTTTGCCTCCAAACCTTTGAAGATGTAAACAGTATTGAAAGTGGAATAGTGTGTGGACACCCCAATAGCATCATGGGCACGAAACATTAGCCATGCACAATAAAAAGGACTTTTGGAGGAGTGCAAACTCTGTTCCCTTTTTATTTTTAAGGCTTTAGTTTTAATTTTCGTTCCTTGATGTTTACATGGGGGGGGGAACCATTTGAGAGGGGCTTCGCTAGGGCTAGAAAAGCAACATTATATATGTGTGTGTGTGTGTGTGTGTGTGTGTGTGTGTGTGTGGCATTTTGTAGTCCAAGAAAAGCTCCAGTCACTGTTCACTTTCTGGCCTTTAAAAGACTGCAAGTCAAGTCCTCTTGACTGCAACAGATTAACATGGCCACTATCCCTCTGCAATTGTTCTCCTCTGTTGATGTTGTTGTTTTTCCTACTTGGAGTGGTTCAGAGGGTTAAACCTATGAAGCTCTGGTTCCTAGAAAGGCCTGTGGAAATTTGAGATGAGAGCTGCAGAGAGAGAGAGAGAGAGAGAGAGAGAGGAAGGGGGGGGGGAGGAAGGCTCCCTTTCCTTTCCCTTCTCGTCCCGCCTCCTGCCTCCTGTCTGACATGAGAAACGGCCTCTTGCATCTCGCTTCCCAACCTGGGAGCAATCGAAGGGCTGCGGCAGACACAAAGGCTGCAAGGCGCGGGTGAGTTCAAGGAAGGAAGGAAGGAAGGGGGGGGACACCCGGATGCAAGGTACAAAGTAGAGGCAGAGGGAGGGGGGCTGAGTGGGAGAGACGAGAGAGATGGGGAACTAATGCCGGAGGGAAGGAGCAGGGGGTCCTCGGAGAAACTTAAAAGTGTGCAAAATTCGACTCGGAGCACTTGTGTGTCCAGATGCCATGTGGTTTGACATGGGTGCTGTAATGCAGTCTGGATTTGCACGGTTACCAGGAACTGTTATTGCAGAAGAACTGAGAGAGAGGCAGGCTGTCACCCCGAGAGGCAGGGCCTAAATTGGAGGCTTTCCAAACTGTGCCCCGGGGAATCCTGGAGTCCCTCTGAAGCTGAGCTCCGCGAGAGGATCAGTAATGGCGGACCAGCTTCCTGGGGCAGCGGGCTGGGGGGAGGTGGGGGGGACCAGCTTCCTGTTGCCACTGATCTTCCCCCCAGGCAGGTGGTGCAGTGTGTCTCAGGTGCAATCAAAGAGGACGGGATGGCGAGGCCCAAGCCCGCCTGGCCAGCACAGTGCATGAGCTGAACAGAGCATCCCACTCCTCGAATCCTCTTGTGGGGAGTTCCATGGCCAACATAGCCAGCTAGATGAGATGAAAAGTGCTAGTCTGTGTTGGTCACTGGCCCTTTGGAAGTTGTTGGGGGACGCATATTCCCCTTACAAGTCCCAGAGTTCCCTGGGAAAGGGAACTGAGAGTTAAACCACTCCAGGAATTATAGCTCTGTGAGTTGAATAGGAGTCTCCTAACAATTCTTAGCACCCTGAACAAACTACAGTTCCCAGGATTCTGTGGGGGAAGCCATGACTGTTTAAAGTTATATAATACTGCTTTAAATACATAGTGCAGATGGGGCCTGGGAGAGGAAAGGAGAAAGTTAGGGGGAAGGGGGTCAGTCTCACAACGCCAAAGTGAGCCAGCAAGTTATTTAATACACATTTATTTCATCTTTTAAGATGGACCTTGGCATCAGTTATCGGTGTCCTGGTTACTTCCTGGCTGGATTACAGCAATGCTATTCATGTGAAGCTGCTTTAAAAAACAGACAAAACCAATGCCTCATAAACTTCCAATTGATGCAAAATGTTGCTGACAGGCTTGAGATCTGGTGCCTAAAATTTGGAGTTTTGTGGCTCCATCTGCGATGGTTGTCTGCTTTTGTTTTGGAGCTTTATTTCATGAATGGCTGCTATTAGTTGTTAAGGACCTGGAATGGCTTGGGGCCAGGTTACCTCAGTAATTGCTTGCACCCATGTGAACCAGTGGGCACTGAGGATCAGCTTCGGAGGTCCTGTGCTCTGCCCTTTTCCATGTGTGAAATTAGATGGGCCATGATGACAGAAGCGGCCTTTGGTGGTGGTGGCCCCACAATTGTGGAATGCCCTTCCCACGAAAAATTCACTTGGCTTTTCTTTCTGCCTTTCGGTTGGTGCTAAGGCTGTATACACTCCATACGTTTAAAGCACATCACATGCCCCCCAAAACCCTGGGAACAGTCTGTAAGGGTGCTGGGAATCGCAGCTGTGTGAGAGATAAACTACAGTTCCCATTATTCTTTGGGAGGGAGTAATGGATGTGTTTTAAATGCATTGTGTGTGTGCAGCCTAAGGTTCTTTATTTTTTATTAATTTTCTTGAAAACAAAAACACACAAACTAGCAACTTGATGTTCTTAGATCTTTGCTGAAGTTCTGTTAGCAGTCCCTCCAATTGTCTTACACACTGTTGCTTTGTTATTTAAGGGTCGACAACGTGGCACCCAAGAGTGCACAGGTTTCTGCAGAGGCCTAAATTGGTGCTTTCTAGATCGTCCTCCCCCTACTTAAATTAGGCATGGAAGATGCATTTTGTTGTAACCAATAAAAGAGGTTGTGGTGTGTGCTCATGAGTCCCAGATTCAGTCCCCAGCATCTCCAGGCAGGGTTGGGAGAGACTCTCCCACCTGGAACCCTGGAGAGCTGCTGCCAGTCAGTGTAGACAATATTGAGCTAAATCATGGGTAGGCAAACTAAGGCCCAGGGGCTGGATCCGGCCCAATTGCCTTCTCAATCCGGCCCGCGGACGGTCCGGGAATCAGCGTGTTTTTACATGAGTAGAATGTGTCCTTTTATTTAAAATGCATCTCTGGGTTATTTGTGGGGCCTGCCTGGTGTTTTTACATGAGCAGAATGTGTCCTTTTATTTAAAATACATCTCTGGATTATTTGTGGGGCATAGGAATTCATTCATTTCTCCCCCCAAAATATAGTCCGGCCCCCCACAAGGTCTGAGGGACAGTGGACCGGCCCACAGCTAAAAAAGGTTGCTGACCCCTGAGCTAAATGGACCAGTGATCTGATTCATTATAAGGCAACTCCTATGTTCTGTGTCCCTGAATAGACTAGGACCAGACCAGACTGTGGCCCGTGGACTTCAATCCGGTGGTCTGCGGTGTGTGTGTAGAACAGCGGGTGCAGCAACTGTGAACAGTGGGTGCAGTGCATTAAATATTCATCTTGAGTTCTAATTGTATTTTTATTGCTGCTTTTGTATTGTATTTTTTAATGTATTATTGTACCTTCTATTGTAGTCGATGTAAAAAATTAAAATACAATTTAAATAATGAAAGAAGCAATAAAAATACAGTTAAAAATCCTGCAGCATCTAGCACAGTGCATTACAATTGCTACAACGGACAGAAAAAACCCATTAACTGGTCTGCCAAGACTCTCAGCAGTTTTCAAGTGGTTGGGGTGGCGTGGGGGGAAGAATCATAGAATCATAGAATTTTAGAGTTGGAAGAGACCACAAGGATCATCTAGTCCAACCCCCTGCACTGCAGGGGGAACTGCTGAAGGAGGCTATGTTTTTATACAGATCAGTTTATTGTAGTCTTGGAGCTGCTGGTACATAACATGACGTCGTTGTTATCAAAACGCTGTGCCACATTTTGCTTGTCCACTCTCACCATTTAATCTGGATTTACTGTTTCTGTGTTTTTTTACTTAGTGGATTTTCGACAGAGACAGTAAAACCAGATTAAATGTGGAAATAATTTGAGCTGGCATCTTGATGTGTGCGGATGCTGCACAAAACTCGCACGCATTCGCAGCACTGAGCTCGCACTGAACTGCTGTGTGGAAATGCCTTTGAACTGCATTGATGGAGCAACATTGCCAGCATTGGAAGAAACTTGAATGACTATGTTCTACTTCTGCGGTGGGAGGAAGCAATGCTTCTGAATAGCAGTTGCTGGAAACCACAGAAGGGGAGAGGGCTCGAGGGCTCGGGTTCTGCTTCCAGGCTTCCCATAGGCATGTGGTTGGTTATCATGAGAACTTTTAACTTGCTTTTTATAATTATTTTACTGTATGGTTTTATGGCTTTCTATACCCCTGTGATACAATGGTATATAATTTTTTTTTTAAAAAAATAAATAAACAAGAAAGAAAGAAATAGGACTAAGATGGGCCAATGGCTTGATCTAGCAGGGCTCTTAAGCACATCTGGTAGTGCAGCAATAAAGCTGCTAGCACATTCACAAAGCTAAGCAGGGTCTGCTATGGTTTCAGATTGGATGGGGGACCATGTGTTGAGATTCCTGGGTTGGACCAGAAGTCTGTTGGGGCCCCTTCCAACTCTACAATTCTAATATATTTTTTAATGTTCTTATGGGTTATCAATCCATTCCCAATGGCAGTTCAAAGATCTGCAGGGTAAAGAGTGGCTTGCCCCCCATAGGTACATGGGGATCCATTGTCCAAATGGAACCAGTGATATAGGGAGAGGTGGGTTGTTCATCGTAGGACATCTTAAAGCAGAGTTTGGATGTGAAATTCCTACCCTCCTACCCCAACTTAAGTCTGAAATGGGACAGAGCTAGGAACATAGGAAGTGGCCTTATCTTGGCCCATCCAGCTTACTATTGGCCACATTGACCAGCAGAGGCTCTTTAGGGGTCTTTCTCTTAGCTCTACCTGGATATACCCGGTATTGAACCCAGGACTTTTGGCCTGGAAAGCAGATGCTTGACCACTGAGCTAGGAATATAGGGAGCTGCTGCTTGAAATTGGTGTTTCTCCTTGTTGCAGCAGTCGTAATGCGCTGAAATATATGGAATTAGAGCTGTGATGTAATGAAACCCAAGAATATATAAGAAATAAAAGAAGCAACTGACCTGCAATTAAAAATCAATGAATATTTAATGAGATGGATGGGCTATCTCTTGTCTTCAACCACAAATCCACATACACACTGCAGGCCACTGACATGAAGCTCAAGGTCCTCCTCCTGAGGTCCCATATTCTCATCCCCCAGCTTGCTCCAGCTCCCAAATCTTCTTCCATTCCTGCTCATCACCCTCTCCAAGACATCTCCATGGGGTTTGAGACACAAGGTTGTTCTTCTGCTCTTAATTCAGCATAAGCTCTCATTGGTCGCCCCCCGCCCCATTTTTGGGATACATAACAAAATTTACTTTTCCCTCTTTCCCATTCAGGAGCTGGATTCGGAAACCAAAATGGAGGAACAGGAACCTGCAGGACCCGAACCACGGGAGACTTTGGAGGGGGGAGCCCGAGACCTTCATGTTGTTCAGGTCGGGGCCACCGGGGAGTTGATGGAAGGGGCCACGCCTCAGCAGTTTAAACGGGAGCCGGAGGACCATTGTTGGGAGTCCCAGTTGCAGGACTTCTTGAAGGCGATGCAGCCCTCCCGTTCGGGATGGAGGAACCCGCAACCACCTCAGTACTCACTAGGAGAAGACACCAAGTATTTCCAGACCTCCTTCAAGGGAGGGGCTGAAGGTGGCCGGTGGCCTAAGGTCGAGTGCATGGACCAGAGCCCCCCGGGCCTCAGTGGAGACAGCAGCAAGGCCTACGAGAGCAGCCGAGAGTCACCGGTGAAAGTGAAGGAGGAGGTTCTGGACGAGGATCTGGTCAACGTCGAGATGAGGCGGCAGCGCTTCCGCCTCTTCTGCTACGAGGAGGCCGAGGGGCCCCGAGAGGTTTGCAACAAGCTCTGGGAACTTTGCCACCAGTGGCTGCGGCCGGAGACTCACAGCAAGGAGCAGATCCTGGAATTCCTGATCTTGGAGCAGTTTCTGACTGTCCTGCCTCCGGAAATGCAGAGCTGGGTCAGGGACCAGGGCCCCGAGACTTGCACCCGAGCCGTAGCCCTGGCAGAGCGGTACCTGCAAGAGTCCGAGGAACCCGAACATAAGGCAATTGTTTTGGATTAAGGGTTTGGGGTTAGTGGTAACTACCTGCAGCATTCATGTTTTTTATACTTGTCTGACTATTCTGCATCTCTCTCTCTCTTTTAAAAAAATTAGCTGTCAGGCTCCTTGGAGAAGCCATTTAACTCTCCCATGTCAGATCATTCGCCAGCTGCTGTCCTGAAGATGCAGCTCCCCTTGGAGGAAAAGCAGGAGGATGACTGGGAGGCCACCTTATCTGGTAAGTATTCCTGCAACCCCAGGGGCGAGGGACTCTCACCAACCCCAGCCAATATGTCCAATGCTCAGGTATGATCAGACTTGAAGTCCCCTGCTGTCTCCTTGATCACTCTTTCTCAGTCTAAACCACCTCACAGGCTTGCAAGTGTAGCAGAGTTGTTAGAGTGCCAGACTAGAACCTGGGGGACCACGATTCAAATCCCCATTCAGCCATGCAGCTCACTGGGTGACCTTGGGCCAGTTAACTGCCTCTCAGCCTAGCCTACCTTGCAGGGTTGTTGTGGAGATTAACTGAGGAGGGGGAGAAACATGTACACCACCTTGAACTCCTTGGAGAAACGCCACCTTGAGCTCATTTTTGAGTAAGGGTGGGGATCGCTGGAATAAATAAAATACAGTGGTACCTCGCAAGACGAATGCCTCTCAAGACGAAAAACTCGCAAGACGAAAGTGTTTTTCGTTTTTTGAGTTGCTTCGCGAGACGAATTTCCCTATGGGCTTGCTTCGCAAGATGGAAACGTCTTGCAAGTTTGTTTCCTTTTTCGTAAAACCGTTAATACCCAGGGTGCATTGCTTGAAGAGGTGCAGTTGCGACTTGACTTTGGGGAGCAACTCATAGCACGCGGTGTGGTAGCCTTTTTTGAGGTTTTTGAAGATTTTTTTGAAAAAATTGAAACCGTGCTTCGCAAGACGAAAAAACTCGCAAGACGAAAAAACTCGCAGAACGAATTAATTTCGTCTTGCGAGGCACCACTGTAACGCAGTATTCCGTTGTGGAATTAGCTTGTCGGTGTTAGCTAAATGGAATCTCATGGTTTGTTGGGAGGTCAAAGAGGAAAGAAGGCTGTTGCCCACACATCCTGTTTGTGGGCTTGCTAGAGGGGTACCCGGTTGGCTACTGTGGGAAAGAGGAAGCTGGCCTCTGGGGTGATGCAGCAGGGCCCTTCACTACGATTCTTATATAGTGGTACCTCGGGTTAAGAACTTAATTCGTTCTGGAGGTCCGTTCTTAACCTGAAACTGTTCTTAACCTGAAGCACCACTTTAGCTAATGGGGCCTCCTGCTGCCGCCGCGCCGCCGAAGCCCAATATCTGTTCTCATCCTGAAGTAAAGTTCTTAACCCGAGGTGCTATTTCCAGGTTAGCGGAGTCTGTAACCTGAGGCGTATGTAACCTGAAGCGTATGTAACCCAAGGTACCACTGTATTTGTGTTCCAACAGGCAATGAGCAAGTGCAAGATGACGACGACGAGGAGTCATCCTTTCAGGCCGACCGGCCTGATCAAGTGGGTATTGGTGGGGCATCGCTGGAAAGAGCCAAAGGGAAAGGTTTCCAGGGCCTTGAGATGGACGGGAAGACTGAAAGTCGCCAGGGGCCTGAAGGTCACCTGGAAAGCCCTCCTGGGAAGGCTGCCAAGCTTTCTGAGGAAGGTGAGAGGGGCTTACGCGAAGGTTCCTCCCAGGAGGGAACCCACAGGCACGCTGACTCGGGGGAAAGCTCCTGCCAGAGCTTTGGCCATCAGGAAATGCAGCCGATTGAAAAGCCCCACAAATGCTCCTTTTGCGGGGCAAGCTTCTACGAGAGAACCCACCTGGTGATCCACGAGAGGATCCACACTGGGGAGAAGCCCTACAAGTGCTCTGTGTGCGAGACCTGGTTCTCGCACCCCTCTGAGCTCATGAGGCACGAGGAGACCCACATGCCCGAGAAGCCTCACAAGTGCGCGGTCTGCGGGAAGAGCTTCAACCAGAAAGCCTCCCTGATCACCCACGAGAGGACCCACACGGGCGAGAAGCCATACGAGTGCTCCGAGTGCGGGAAGAGCTTCAGCACCAGCTCCCAGCTCATCACGCACAAGAGGGTCCACACCGGAGAGAAGCCCTACAGCTGCTCGTACTGCGGCAAGAACTTTAACCAGAAAGCCTCCCTCATCACCCACAAGCGGACCCACACGGGAGAGAAGCCCTACGAGTGCACGCTGTGCGGGAAGAGCTTCAGCGCCTGCTCGCAGATCATCAACCACATCCGGGTGCACACCGGAGAGAAGCCCTACGAGTGCTTGGAGTGCGGGAAGCGCTTCGGGAGCAGCTCCCACCTCACCGACCACAAGAGGACCCACACGGGCGAGAAGCCGTACAAGTGCCCCGACTGCGGCAAGAACTTCAGCCGGAGCTCCAACCTGACGGCGCACAGCCGGATCCACACGGGAGAGAAGCCATATATATGCTCAGGGTGCGGCAAGAGCTTCCGGCAGAAAGCCTCCCTCATCACACACAAGAGAACCCACACGGGAGAGAAGCCTTTTGAGTGCTCCGAGTGCGGCAAGAGCTTCATCTCGAGCTCTCGCCTCGTCAGCCATAAGCGGGTACACACGGGGGAGAAGCCCTACGAGTGCTTGGAGTGCGGGAAGTGCTTCATTTCCAGCTCCCACCTCCTAAGTCACAAGAGGGTCCACACGGGAGAGGAGCCATATAAATGCGCGTAAGAGCGGGGAGAGGCTTTGGTCACTAGGCTGGCCCTCCTGATGGGGCCACTTCACCCATCGCCCCGGCCAGGAATCTTGTAAATCAGGGATGGCCTTAGCTTCTGTAATCTCGAGGGCCGTTTTTATTCTCTAACATTAAGGCGCGGAATCTCTCTTACAATTTAGAAAGAAGACACGTATATTTTTTCTCTCCATAGGTATAAGTTTCCTCCAAAGGCTGGTCATTCATCCTGGCTGTTAAGGCTTGCTGGTGTGATGGGCACCAACATGGCTAGGCCTGTGGTTTGTGCAGATCTCCCAGCCTCCAGCCCATGAAGAGTGCGCAAGTGTGGCACATGTGCATGCTGCATTCCCCACCTCCATCCCCCATACATAAGGGGAGATGCACACATTCGGCTAGAAGGACCCGTGGTCTGACTTGGCGCAAAGCCAGCTTTGTTCTTATGGTGCCTGCCACCTGCCTGTGAGTCCCAGCTAGCAAACTCTGTAGACCATCCCTGAGGTCAAGGGAAGGGCCGTGGCTCACTGGCAGTACACAAGCTATGCAGTTCCAGACTCAGTCCCCACAGCCTCCAGCTAGGGCTGGGAGAATCCTGTGCCTGGAACCATAGAGAGCAGCTCACGGTCAGTGTAGAAAGTTCTGAGCCAGAGGGACCTGCGGATTGACCGTATAAGGGAACTTCCTGTGTTCTGGTGACACTCTTTGGGTCAGGGATGGGGCCCTTTGCCTGGTGTTGAACTGCAACTCCCATCACCCTTCTCTGCTGGCCATGTCAGCCAGGGCCATTGGGAGTCAACAACATCTGGAAGTTCCCTATCCCTGCCACAGAGAATAGCCAAGGTGGAGGGTGGGCAGGACTCGGCATGGAGATGAACAATTCAGCTCTTCCAAGGCAGTGTCTCTCAAGGCAGCTTTCCAGAGCATCTCGTCCACTGAAGCAGCCCTGAACGGTCGCCGCCACAAAATGGGAGTGTGTTGCAGAGGATTCTGGGAAATTTATTATGACATACACCCACCCACACATAGTTTGCATGGAAACACCTGCCTGGGCCTCTTGGGCCTCTAAACTTGTCACCGCCTTGAAGCCCGACGGTGTCTTTCAGCACACCCAACACACTCTTATAGATGAGCATTTCATTGGTTTTGAGAATATTCGTTGCATTGTGGTGGCCTCGCTTTCCTTTCAGAGGACAGCTTGTCCTCCATTTCCTTTCTTCTCTTCTGAGAAATTGCCAAACATTCCCATTCGCACCCCAGGATGTAGTTTGAAAACACTTCTGATAACTCTGTCCTCCTTCCCTTTTCATTGGAAAGCTGGCAGGGTATGGATTTGTAGAAGCAAAAGTATTTTATGGGATGGCAGGAGACCTGTATAACTGTTATTCTCCTCTGCCACCCAACCACTGCGCCACAAGTTTCTTGCAGGCAAATGATCCTCTGCTGCACCTGGCTGTGAACAAATTCATCCAGTCCCACTGTGTTTTACCACCCCTAGCCTGTGACGTGTGGCCCTATTTTTGTCCCCCCGTCCTGAGTGAATCTAGGGCAAGCTCACCTCTGCCCTTCATTTTTCTGCCTGAGTGGATGGGGGATATTTGCATGCATGCTGTACTGACCTCCTCTGAGGGCCTGACCGAATAGTCAAGGCCATGAGCTAAGCACGCGTTGCAGGTAGAGCACCGCAAATGGTCCCCTCCCCGCCCAGAAATATGATGTAAAGCGCTAGATGTATCATCCTTTAACTGCTTTCAAGTTCACAGCAGAGGTGCCTGCCCCCAGTCTTAACATAGAATCATGGAATTGTAGAGTTGGAAGGGATCCCAAGGGTCATCTAGTCCAACCCCCTGCAATGCAGGAATGTTGAGCTCTTGCTGCTCACTTGCTTGGCCCGAGTAATTCAAGCCTCTTTCCAGACCCGTTGTATTAATCAGCCAAGGGAATATATAGTTTTGCAGAGCGATGGTGGGGAACCTCAGCCCCTGGGGTCCAGAATGCGGCCCTCCAGACCCCTTTGCCACTAGTTTGAAGTTCCTGGGAGGCCGCCCACGAGGGACTGTGCCCTCTGGCTGGGAAAGTTTCCTATAGAGGCAGAAGGTAGATTGGGATTGTGGTGATAGTTGCAGCAGGTTGACAAATAGATTCTGACTCCTGGTTGTTTTACAGGAGCTAAGCACACCCAACTCCCAAGAAACCTCCTGGGCTGCCAAAATGGGAAAAACTAAGTAGTGATGGATTGTAGTATAGAAGGACTGTAAGCTCAGTTCAGTTCTGGTACTGGAAACAAGCTAGGCTTAGCATGTGTTTAGGAGCACCCTGTTGTGTTAAAGAATTGATTTTTTTGGGGGGGAGGGGTTAACATGACTCTGCAGACGGTCCTGGACTCTGACTCCCAGCAGCATCAGCTAGCATGGCCAGTGAACAGGCATCATGGGAGTTTAAGTCTCAGCAACCTCTAGAGGGCTGCAGGTTCCCCATCTCTGATACATAGCAAATGTGGAAGCAGGGCTGAGAAACCATTCGAGTCCTGAAAACCATAGTTTGTCAAGGCTGCTGTTGTCCTCATGGAACAGTTCCCACACCCTTAACAAACTACGGTCCCCAGGATTCTCTAGGACTGCTAAAGTGGTGTAAGAGTGCCCTGAATGCACTGGGTGGGTTAGGGATGAGGGAGATGTTGGATTCAATTTGCATTTAAAGGCGAGCTTGCCTAATTTGCGTCTTCTGAAACAATGCGCGATCCAAAACACAGCCATCCTTTGAACTTTGCACTTCTCTGAATTTTGCCATGCGGTCGTGCAGGCAAACAGTGTGTACAAAATGCATATACTAGGGTAAGGTGTGCATATAAATGCACATGTTAGCAAAAATACCATTAAAATGAATTATATTAGAGGAAATTGCTTTGGGGAAATGTGCGTTTTAGGCAAAATTACATGCAAAAAATGTATATATTAGGAAAAATTCACACTAAGATGCTGATGAATTTTCATGAGGACTTTTTTTTTTAGAGGAGAAAATTGCAAACTGATGTGGAAAAGCAGAGAAATGAATTTAAGATTGGGGGAAAATGAGAAACTGTACTTGACATATTTGTCCATGCCTAGTGTGGATATGACCTTAGTATGGGGGTACTGGAAGAGGAGGAGGACTAAGGAGTGGAGAGCAAATTGCATAAAGTGCGTGTGAGTGAGAAAATTATAAAAGCAGGTTAGGTGCATGTGCATTTTTTTCTTGGAGAAAGGGTGATTCTCTGGCCCGGTTCAGACGTGCATGTACTGTACACTAGCAACTAAACACGTCTCTCTTGCAAAGGTCCAGTTTGAGGTGAATGTGAGGAGAAGTGCAAACTCTTTGCTGTCTTCTTGATTCGACCACATGTCACATCACTTGAAGCCTGCCTACAGCTGTCCATCAATGAGCAGACATGTTGGCCTGCCCCAAAGCGGACAGTTGGCATGTCCTGGATAAAGTGGTGCTCCCAGGAATAACTGGGATGCGGAGGGAAGGAAGGAGACTGCTTAACTGTCCCCCTCCAGGATGAAGAGAACGGCGCTTTATGGGGAAATTACATAATGCTGTGGTGGGAAACCGTGGCCCTCCAGGTAAAATTGGACTACAACTCCCATCATGCCTGACTATTGGCTATGCTGACTGGAGCTGATGGGTCTTGGAGTCCGCCAACATCTGGAAGACTACAGATTCTCCCGCCCAGCTTTTAGTGTTCACTGTGGTATACAGTGTTGTTTTTCCAGAAAAAGAGGTGCTGGAACTCACCGTGAACACCTCTTGTACAGTCAAACCTCGGTTGTCAAACGTAATCCATTCTGGAAGCCTGTTTAGCTTCTGAAACGTTTGACAACCAAGGCGTGGCTTCCGATTGGTTGCACAAGCTTCCTGCACTCAAGCGGAAGCTACGTTGGATGTTCAGCTTCCAAAAAACATTCGAAAACTGGAACATTTCCTTCCAGATTTTTGGCGTTCGGGAGCTGAGTCATTCGAAAGCGGGGCTGTTCAGGAGCCGAAGTTTGACTGTAATGGCAATGGCGGCCGCCTGAGGGGTGCCAAAACTGAGTTCTGGAGAGTTCTGGCTGAAAAAAAGCCCTGGGTGTATACAAGATGAAGAAAAGCGAGTTCGTGTAGGAGAGTCAGAACAGGGCAGCATGCTGGGAGCAGACGAGAAATTAATTTAGATCTCACCCACCCAAAAGGTGGACATGTCTTCTTGCAAAGGCAGAAAGGGAAGGTTTCATGGGTGCTGCCAGGTGAGCTGTTTGTTGAGCCTTCGTCCTGCTTTGCTTGCTTGATTAGAACGGCATTCTGGTTTGTTCGCGAGGAGGCTAGATGGCGTAACATTGAGGCAAGTGTTTTCCCACACTTTCCTGAGCATTTCCCCTCCCCTTTGCTTATTGTAAGGAAGTAGGTTTGTTGTGCAAGAGCTCCAAATGAACTATCAACTATCTTTGCACAACCCTGATTTTGCTCACATTGTGATCCTCCTTGCAAATAATGACAACCTGGAAGTTCAGCACTTGGGATCTAGAAAGGAGTAAAGGAAGGGATTTTTAAATAAATAAATACAAATAATCAATATTTTGAAAGATAGAGAGATAACGGTAGTCTTTTTGCTCCCCTCTCCCCCCCCCTTCCACTAGTAGGGCTGTTTTAGCTTGATCTGTTTTTCCCCCTCTTCATATATCTAGGATTGGCCAGTTATGGCAGGCTGTTCCCCAGGTGGTGTTAAACTACAACTCCCATTAGCTATGCTGGCTGGGGCAGGTGGGAGTTGTAGCACAACAGCACCTGGAGGGCACCTGGTTGGTGAAGGGTGCTATGGGCACTCAGTATAAATTGGGAACAACATGATAAGGAATCCTTGCACACTTAAGGCAGAGCTTGGGAGCCTGCAGCCCTCTCGGTGTTGCTGTGCTCTCCACTCCCATCAACTTCAGCTAGCGTAGTCAATAGGGATGATGGGAATTGTAGTCCAACCACATCTGGTGGGCCAGTGGTTCTCTCCCCCTGTGCTAAGGTAACAACGGCAGCATCTGCCCCATAATTTGCAACTTTTTCAATGAGCTCAGGGCCAAATACAAATGGAAAAGGGGGCAGGCAGGAGTGGAAATCCTTTTTTGTCCTAACGATAACCCTGTGAGGGAGACAAGGCTGGAGAGGAGGGACTTCCCATATGACGCTCAGTAAGAGTGAAACTAGATGTGGGGTGGGAGAAGTTAATTGTATAGTTTATTCAATCCTGATTTCTTTTTTTTTAAGCAGGGGAATAAAGATTGTGATGGTAGAGGGAGGGGTTGTTCATCCCACGACGTGGAGTGTGTTTGGAGGGTGTGGGGGGACGAACCTTGAACCCTCCCCAGCTCCCCTTTCCTTGCTCATTGTCTTGAAGCAGTTTCCTCACTGGCAGTGAGCTGGAGAGAAAAATGCTTGAAATACAATGACAAGGAAGGAGGCAGCATTTTGCTCCTCTCCCTTGCAAACACCCTTTTTTGTGGAAAATTAGCCTCCAACCTTTCTGAACCCAAGACACTCACTATCAGCTCAGACACTTAATGGGGGTCCTCTCCCTCCCCCCCCCCCATTTCTATACACAAACAGTTAAAGAGATAAACAAACATGACGCTCCATCACAATTAGTTTCTCTTTCATGGATGAGGGGACATTTGAACCTGGCTCCCCTGGCTTTGCTGTACCGTGACAACAGGGAACACAGTGCCTGGAAGGGCATGGGGACGGTATCATCCTCTCTAGGACTTCAGAACAAGGTCTTGCCCAAGCCTCCACAAGAAGAACATGGCCACACTTCCATCTTCCTACAAGAAGTAAGAGGGGTCAGAAAATGGACGCCTTTCTCAAAGATGGGGCATCATGAAATGGATGCCTTTCTTGGAATCTGCCTGTACTGCTGGGAGAAATTGAGCTGCACCGTCTCTCTTGAAATTATCAGCCCACCGCCCTCCTCCAGCTTCCCTTGACCTCACTTATTCTTAAATCCACCTTTCACGTCCGTTTATATCCCTCGACGTGTCTGCATGTTTGCTGTTCACATGAAGAGGCACAGGGAGAGGTGAACACTGCTTCCTTCCTATGAATGTTTGTGAATCTGTAGTTGTAAAAATGCATTAAAAAAAACCTTAAATTCAATTTATTAGGGATATGCATTACTTGTAGATTTTACATTAAATTCTCCCCCTCCTTTTTTGCCATTAATTTTTTATATCTCAAGGTGACTTGTTCCATATTGAGAAGAAGCTCCAGTTTCAAGTTGTAAGGTAAATTATGGGTTTTATTTTCTGTTTCTCTTTTGGCTGCCTCTGAAATTCTGCCTAGGACCATTCTTTTCTCTAGCATTCTTGTTCTGTGAAATGGCTGGAGGTTGATCCTTAAAAAAAAGTGTAACAAAACACAGTTGTTAAACATGAATTTGCAGACTTAGATGGCAGAATGAAGTGGCAGAATTGGTACCATCCGCAGGCTTCACTAAAACCTGTGTTGGGATTGTCTTCCACAATGCAGGGTCAGAATCTCCTTTCTTGTAACTTGAAGCCACTGGTTTGGGTCCTACCCTCCAGAGCAGGAGAAAACAAACTTGCTCCATCTCCCATGTGATGATAACCTTTTAGATATTTGAAGATGGCTATTCTATCGCCTTTCAGTCTCCTCTTTACCAGGTTAAACATATCCAACCCCCTGAACCATTCTTCATAAGACTTGATTCCCAGACCCTTGATTATCTTAGTTACCCACACCTGTACATGTTCCAGCTTGTCAATATCCTTAAATCGTGATGCTCAGAACTGGACACAGGACTCCAGGTGGGGTCTGACCAAGGCATAATACTGCCTAGAATGGCAGTCGCTTTTTTTGCTGCTATATCACACTGTTGACATGTTAAGTTTGTGGTCTACCAAGACCCCTAGATCCTTTTCATTTGTACTTCTGGCAAGCCAGGTGCCCCCCCATCTTATATTTGTGCAGCTGGTTCTTCCTGCCTAAGTACATTTCAGCACCCAGGTAGTGGCCAGCTTGATGCCTCTGGGAGGCTGACAAGCAGGCCCCAACTGCAAGAACACCCATCCTCTCTTACCACTTCCAGCAGCTGCACTGAACTTGAGGAAAGGTGAGCTGTGGAATGCCTTGCCACAAGGAAAATAGTGCAGCATAGAATTCAACCATTTTCAAAGATGGATTAGATTTCAGTAAAAAGAAGAAGATAAAAAGACAGTAATTGCCAAATTATTATGTCAGATGTTGCCTCCATTTTGTGACTGGTGGGCCTCAATAATTTCCAGCAATCTGAAGCCGGGGGGGGGGGGGGTTGGAGAAAAATTGTCCTGTATTTAAAAAAAACCCTTAACCTTTCCTCATAAGGAAGTTGCTCTAGTTGTTTGATAATTTTGATTGCCCTTTTCCATGTCCTTTCCAGCTCAGCAACATCTTTTGTTAATCACCGTGCAGAGGCTGCCATTTCAGAGACTGCAGCTGCTGAGAAATATTTCTTTTTTACTATTGATTACATATTGCAGACCATTATACTTTCCTAGTAGGTCTGAAGCCCAAAGGAGGAGGGGGGGGGGAAACCCTCTCGGCTTTTAAATCTCTGGGGGAGAAGCTGTTGCGGCAGAAATGACTACAGCAGACCGAGCAGAGAGGCTTTTATTGATTTTATTTATTTAGGAGCGAAATGCATATCCCGCCCTTCCCCCGCAAAACACAGGGCTCAGAGCCGGCTCACAGCATATAAAACAATGCAATAAAAACAAACATAAACACAGGCGGTGGTGCAGCGGGTTTAAAAAAAACCACACAAAATCAAGATGAAACAATAGTGTCAGCCAGAAGAACGTCTGGGCTAATGAAATGCTTGCATAAAATAACACTGTTGTAACCAGGCAGTTTTAAGTTAAAAATGTGAGGGGCTAAATCAAGGGCACTTCGAGACAGCCTGTTTATTGAGCATTCATCCTGATTTGTTTGTGGGAGATTGGATAATGGGCACATCAGCACCACACATTTAAAGCATCCCATGTGCTTTTCATAGAACTGTAGAGTTGGAAAGGGACCCTGAGGGTCATCTAGTCCAACCACGTGTGGTGCAGGAATCTTAACTAAAGCACATTACTTCCCCAAAAGAATCCCAGGAACCATAGTTGGTTAAGGGTGCCAGAAATTGCACATCTGTGAGTGGAAACTACCATTCCAAATATTTTCTTGAGGGAAGTCATGAGCTTTGGCTGTGCTTTAAATGTGTGATGTGGATTGGCTCCTCAGTGCTGCATCACAGCAAGTGTTATCCCACACTTTCCAGTGCATTTCCCTGTCACTTTCCTTACTGCAAAAAGTCTGGTCTTTTGTGGGGGGAAGCGTGTTTGTTGCAGAATACCAACTCCCTGTGTAATTGAATCCCATTCAAACAGTGACAGTCTGAAAATGCCCCGAGCTGCAGCCTTTATGAAGCTGTGTCCCCAACGCCCAGGGCAGGGAAACCTGTGGCACTCTAGGTCTGTGACTCCCGCCACCTCTGACCGTTGGGCATGCTGACTGGAGCTGAGGAGAGCTGGGAATCCAACAGCACCTGGAAAGCCACAGGTTCCCCATCTCTGCCTTTCTCTGAAGCTTGCAGTGTTCAAGTTGCTCAAATGAGCAGCACCCTACTTAGGTACAAACTGAGTTCATGGATGTCTGCAGTAGGAGACATGGGGCAGAAGTGAGGGTCTCACCTTTCCTCTGTAGTTATAAATTTACCTACCTATTTTTTTTTTTTTAAAGTCCAGAAGTCAGCAGCAGAGCTAAAGTGATCTCTGAAACTGTTTCAGAGTGAGAATAGCAGAGCATGCTGATAGGCCTGAATCCCATTAAACTCAGGACAGTTTGCTTTGGAGTAAAAATGCTTACAGCTGCACCACACAATTTTATTTTTATTTCTAAATGGTTAAAATAAAACTGAATGCAAGCAGGTTAAACCCAGTTTATTAAACATATAATTCAGAACACCAAAAGACACTTGAAGAAAAAAAAAAGTAAAATTCATAAATCTACTTACTGGTACATAACAATTTCCATTAATAATAAGAGCTGGAGACATATCTGCTATAAACTTCATGAAGTATTCATAACTGTACACTTAAGAACAAAGAAATTAAATTTTAATAATTAAACTAAGTTTGTAAAAATGAAGGTTAATTCCAAGCTTTTCCATTCTGAAGCCTGAATCAGCAGGCTTCAACCACATACATCAGCTCAAATCCAACTCATATTGAGATGCATCCAATTGAAATTAGTGGGGCAATTTAGCTGTGATTAATTCAAATCCCATTATTTCCAACAAGACTGAATAATTGTATGCAAATAAAGAACCAAGTTGCTACCTTCTCAAATTAGGAACATTTCCTCTCTGTCTCCCTAAAAAAACAAATCTGAATGTGTCCTTTTCCTCTCATGCAAAGAAACGTTTTGCCCAGTTCACTGCCACACTTTTCTTCCCAACAGTTCTAGCCCCTTTGCTGCCTCTAAACAAAAAAACATTCAATAAATGTTATGGCTTGTATATCCAGCATAGTATCTCATTACATTAGTGGAAGGATTTATATTAGAGCAACAGAATGTGCCCTTCTCCCTCCGTGTACTTCCCTAAACCTGTCCTATGTTTACCCCACATACCCTTTGGGGCAGATTTTGGGAGTTTGTGGGGCTCAGTATGCCTCTGAATACGAGTTCCCTATGAACACACAGGTAGAGAGAACAGTACTATTGTTACTGAGTTTCTTGCTTTGTGGGCTTCCCATAGGCATCTTGTTGACCACTGTTGGAAGACAGGATTTTTTTATATTATTATTATTATTATGACTTATGAGTCGCTTTTCAAAACAAAACGGCAAACTCACAACGAAAATTAAAACCAACAATAACGCTGAAACAAACAAAAGCGAAAAACAATGATATGCATTAATAAACAGGCAAAATAAAGCTGATTGCCAAAGGCTCCTCCACCTTTAGTAACTGTGCAGAAAAGTTACAGATGGGTAGCCGTGTTGGTCTGCCATAGTCGAAATAAAAAAATTCCTTCCTGTAGCACCTTAAAGACCAACTAAGTTAGTTCTTGGTATAAGCTTTCGTGTGCATGCACACTTCTTCAGATACACTGTGCAGAAAAGAAAATTGCAATAGGGGCAGCTTGTCTTCCATGCCACACTTGCTAAAATGCCCACTTCTTAAACTGAGGGAGCTTTCCCCACTCGGCCACCACAAGGTCCTCCAGTGTCGTATAAAAGCATCCACCTCTCCCCTCACCCCGCCCAGCTCCGACTCCTCCTGACCTGGAAACACAACAGCACGTGACATAAAAACAAGCCGCTCTAGGCCATGGCATCTCTCTGGTGAAGCCGCCCCTCCCTTACACTTTGCATCGGAGGAGCAGAAAGCCGGAAGTATCTATAATAACCACCCATAAAGATAGAACGAGGGTAGAGCGGCTCACCATGGCAACCCTGATGGGGACGTCGCTCTACCCAGAGCAGCCTCTATGGTGGGCTCTGCTTTAGCAGGTGGGCGGTTTATGGCCGGAAGCGTGGACGAGAGCCGGTCTCTTCCTTCCGGTTTGCAGCGGAGCTGGGATTGTGAATCCCACCTCCCACCCCCCGGGCAGAGAATGACGTCTGGCTGATGGAGATGGTGAGCCAAAGGCAGGTCAGGAAAATGGGCTGCTCGGGAAGCTCCCCGGAGGCTTAGCAGGAGGAGCAGGGGTCTCCGGGTTGGGCTGCAGGCTGGGCGCGCATTGTTTGGCTCTTGCTCCTTGCCGCCCTGCGAGGTTGGTGAGGGTTGCGGGGTTGAGGTTGGTCCTGCTTCTCTCGCGCTGTTAATTCTTCTTTCCTCCGAGGAGTGGGAGATCCTCATCCCGCTTCCCCTTTGTCCCCCCACCCAAATCGCCCTAAGTTGAAGGCAGCCCTGCATCGCGAAGTTCTCTGTTCTATGCTGGGTTTTTATAGCCTGTTAGAAGCCTCCCAGAGTGGCCGGGGCAATGCAGTTAGATGGGCGGGGGTGTTGTTGGCATCTGCCTGTCATGAAAGAGACAACGGAGTGTGCCTCCGGCGGTGAATTCGAAACTACCGGGTTAGCAGCACCAAAGTAGCTCCCGGCTGCTCTCTTTCTTGTTGTGACATCTCCAGAGTGCAAGTGTCGGTCATGTGTGTGGAGGCCTTGGCTGCCCATAGGACAAGACTCCGTTCTCAACCTTGCTGGTTTGGTCCGAGGGAAAGCAGAACAATATGTTTGGCACTAGCTTGGCTGCAGGAGTTGCCCGGAAGGAGGCATAAAAGGTGCCATGCAACCTCCTTAGAGACTCCACTCTGGATTTGTGTAGGATTTTCTCTTTAGCCTTTTCTTCTGAAGATAACCCACAAGGCAGTGGAGGTTTAGGACCAGAGTTTTCCTTCTCCTACATGGGCTCCCTTCCCAGGTTGACAAGCCCCATCTCCCTCTCACTTCCCTCTACAGCACGTATGGAAACCACCCTCTTGACCGTTGGACTCACTATTGGTCTCATCCGTTCAACCCGTCAGAGCCTGTCTTTGCATGCAGGGGAAGTCCCTAACTTACCAAGGGTTTGAGACCCATTGGCTACCCTCACCTGGATTAGCTGACCAGTTAAGCCATTCCCAGGGAGTAGGGACTGTCTTGTGCTGACAGCTTCTAGGAGTCATGTTTGAGAACTAGGTACAGGGAGCACAATGTATCCCCCACCAGAGGTGCTACCCTTTCCCTAGCACCCCATACCCCCCTGGGTACTGCCCAGGATTTTTTGTGCTATGAGAGAGGGAGGGAAACTTTTTTTCTCTCCGTACCATGTATAATTTCACTCATGTCATTGATGTGATAGAAGGCGGCTTCAGAGGAATGAGAATCTCCCTCCATGCCCTTCTTCTTAACAGGGGCTTATGATTTTCAAAGAGGTGGCCGTGCGTTTCACCGAGGAGGAATGGGTTCTGCTAGATCCAGGCCAAAGGGCTCTCTACTGGGAAGTCATGGCAGAGAACTATGGGATGGTAGCCTCCCTGGGTAAGTATCTGTCAAGGTGTGCTAACCCTAATGTTCCTATTGCTTAAGACCCCCTCTAGCTGGTTCCCATTCCTAGGATCTCCAGCTTCCTTCCATGTCACATCCTACGTACACACCTCAAACCAATACTTCTTTACACAAACTGTGGAGCTTGCAAGAGGCAGTAATAGCCATGAACTTGGATGACTTTAAAAGAGGATGAGATCAGTTCCTGGAGGATAAGACTACATTGTCTTACTTCTGTATTCCAGCTGCTGGAAACTGCAGGAGGGAAGAGTGCAGCTACACTTAGGTCCTGCTTGCAGGCTTCCCATGGGCATCTGTTGGCCACTGTGAGAACAGGATGCTAGACTAGATGGGCCACTCTGTACTTTTGCATCTCAGCCAGGAACTCAAGGATGTCAACAAGGCCAGGTTGAGCTTGTGGTTTTCCATATCAAGTGTCAAGATAACACTCAGCCTTAGCATTCTCCAGCCATTCTCGTTATATTGATTCTCGTCACTAGTTCATCAGAATGGCTTTTCTTGGGCGGTTCTTGGAGACTTTAATTCTCTCTTCAATGGCCAAATGCAAGGTGGGCATCTGTCGCACCTGACCAAAGAAGCCTGATAGATCTGATTAGTGGACTACCCTCTCAGCCCTCAAGCTTTCCCTCCTAACCTGAGTAAGATAAATGAAAATGTATGCATCTGTGCTAGGGTGGGGGAATCTTTTTCCTATGAAAGTTTGTTCACCATAGGAAAAGCCAGTGTGGGGCACAGCCAACGGTGGGCAGAGTTGCAGGACTGCAGAAGGCTCTGTGCCATCCCTTCTGTCTGGCCCCATATGCACTATACAGTACAGTATCCTGCCACTTGAAACAGCCATGGCTTCCCCCACAGAGTTCCCAAGAAATGTGATTTTGAAGGGTTCTGAGAGTTGTTAGGAGACACCTGTTCCTTTCACAGCTGCAATTCTGAGAGTTCCCTGGGAAGAAGAATTGACTGTAAAACCACACTGGGAAAATGGAAAAAACCAGAGTGGTCAGACATGATCCATAGAGAGTGAGAGACGGGGATATATTGGGCTAAGAGTGTGTAGATATGTGTGTGTGTGTGTATAGTTGTACCTTGGAAATCGAACACCTTGACTCCTGAACAAATCGGCTCCCGAACTATTGAAACCCAGAAGTGATTGTTTTGGTTTTCGAACATTCTTTTGGAAGCCAAACATCCAATGTGGCTTCTGCAGCTTCCGATTGGCTGCAGGAGCTTCCTGCAGCCAATCAGAAGCCGCGCTTTGGTTTCCGAACACTTTGGAAGTCGAATGGACTTCCGGAACGTATTTCATTCGACTTCCAAGGTACGACTGTACTAGCCCTCAAGAGTCTGGGCTCACTTTCCTCAGTGAAGTTATTCTATGATGGGTGGGGAGGGTAGTATTGCCCAAATTAGTGAACCATCCAATGGAAGCCAAATGTTGGAAGGTTCAGGAGAGGCAAAAGGAGCACAAAAGGAGCTTAGATTTCTTTAAAAGTTGGTTAGACAAAGTCATGTAAGACAAGGCTATCAATATCTGCCAGCTAGGCTGGCTACGTTCCACCTCTACTGGAAAGGTGGATTTAGGGGCGCTGCAGCTATGATGTAGAATGGAAGGCTAGGGGGCCACCGATTTTGGGTGTTGCACAGGGCTCCACTGAAATTTGAGACCCCAGTGTCTGCCACGGTTAGAGGCAGGATGCCTCTGAATGCCAGTTGCTGGCAGTCATAAGTGAGGACAGCAATATTGCACTCAGAAGGTTGTTGTGAGAACAGAATGTTGGAACTAGATGGACCATTGGCCTGATCCAGATGCCAGGCTCTTACGCTCTCTTTTTTCCCCAGTCCAGGAGCTGCAGCCAGGAATGAATGTGGAAGCATGGGAGTTGGCAGCAGCCCATGAACCCAGGGAGAAAATGGAAAGAGGAGAAAATGAGACTCCTGCAGTCCAACTTGGGACTGAGAGACAGTTTCTGTATGGGGCAAGTCTGCTGCAGGCCAAACAGACTCCCGCTTCTAGGTCCCAGCTGGAATGGGAAGACCAGTTCCTGAATTTCCTGAAGACAGCAGCATCCTCTCCCTCTGGGCTTCCCTGCCCCCAGTCCTCGTTGGTGTCTGATATAAGGGAATCCCAGGCTTCTTTGAAGGGGGTCGTGAACCACAGCCATGGGCATAGTGGAGAAGGCGTTGATCACACCCTGCCAGGCCTTGGCTGTGAAACTCCAGGAAGCCCGAAGTATTTTGTGAAAGTGAAAGAAGAGGTTTTGTCTGAGGAGGAGAGTACTGGTGTGGAGATGCAAGGGAGGCCGGAAGAAAAAGTGAGATGATCTCTAAACTCCTGTTTTGTCTGAGCAGAGATGAGGAGAATCTGTGGTCCTCCAGATATTGCTGAACTACATTTCTAATCATCCTTTACTCTTCCACTCTGTTTGTATATTAAAGAAGGATGGAGAGAGAACCCAATCCCGGGTCCTCCTGCTTCCACTGGTGGTGCGATCATGTGGAGGGCAGTCGAGGGCTTTGTTTGGATTGGGGTGGGCGATGGCAGAGAACAGGGCTTCCCTTGTCTTGTGGCACACACCACATGAAATTACTAATATAATTATTTCATTCTCTATCCCACGCTTCGTCTTGAAGACACCCAGAGTGGAAAACACATCAATTATAACGGGGAGAAAAAGGATTCTAAAAGCAATTTAAAACATTCTAAAAACATAGATCTCATTGTGTGCCATTTCAGCCACCGAAGGCATGGGTAAATATCTTTTTTTTTTTTTAATGATATTTATTCCAGATTTAAAGTTACAAAAAAGAAAAAGAAAAACCATACAAAATACAAAAAAAAAAAAACTTTAGCCATAACAAAGCAAGAAAAAAAACAAGTAAAGAAGAACAATAAGATAGAATAAAAAAGAAAACTTGACAAAAAATATAAAAATACATTGAGTTAAAGTAAAACAAAAACAGATTAAACCTTTACATAGCCTTTTCCCTTTACTTATTTCCATGACCTCCTCTCACCTCCCAGTTTTGTATTCTAGTTCAGATCGTGTTTCCAGCAAATCCTTCTAACCTTATTTTCATTTACGTATTTTAAAATTAAAATTATATGATTAAACCTCCTCTAATTCATCAATTTCATCAACTCATTTTTGCTTAGTCCATTATGTCATATCTGCCAGAACGACCTAATATTCTTTTTCCAACTTCCTTCTAGCAGGCATGGGTAAATATCAGTGTTTTAAAAGAAAATTCCTGAAAGTCAATAACGAGGGAGACAAATGCACCTCGCTAGGTCCACAAATAGGGAACCACCACTATAAAGGCTCCATCATGGCTCAGCGCCAACCAGTGGTGTTTGGTGACACCCCCACCAAGGCTTCACCTGCCACTCATAGTGTCAGAGATGATTGATGTTGGAGAAGACCCTCTTTTGGGTACTATGCTTCGTACTGAGTTGCACTCCTCTTTCTCTTTTAGGCATTGAGGCCTACAGGAGACGATAATCCCTCCTTGCTGGAGCAGGATCTGACAGACTCGGTGAAGATGCGAGAGGACGATCTCTTGGGTAAGGGTTGTCGGGGCGACTCCAGGGATGCTACCAGGCTGTTATTTGAAGTAGTTCCTTTCTTTAAAAAAACCACATAGCTTTATGTTACGTTTTAAGAGTATCGGAAAAGCCCTGCTGGATCAAAGCCTTATCTAAGCCTGGCATCCTGTTTCCTGGAATGGCCAAGCAGAGGCCTGTCTGGAAGCACCAGGTCCATAGTCCTTCCCTGTTGTTGCTCCCCCACCTGCTGCTACACTGTCCCTGAACATGGAGGCTCCATATAGCGGTTTTTGGTAACCATCCTTCCCTCCATTAATTTATCTGATGGCCTTTATAGTCATTAAACCGATTGCTATTGCCACATCTTCTGACAGCAAATTCCACAAATTGGTTGCTAGAATGCTATTCTATAAATATTAATAAATGTTTTCCAAATAAGAGTCCACGCATAGCCAGAAGAACAATACCCTGCCATCTGTGGAGAGGATATGTAGCAAGCGCACCCTCTTCCTAACTGGCAGTCAAGGAATTGTTACGAGGAGGAAATGATAAAATAAATTTAAAAATTGTCCATTAGCACCTTAGAGACCAACTAAGTTTGTTCTGGGTATAAGCTTTCGTGTGCATGTACACTTCTTCAGATACCATAAATATCATAATAGATATTTATTGTAATGCCCAGAATAACTAATATGTACTCTGGTAGGGGTTTTTTAGGGGACGCGAATGGCGCTGTGGGTAAAACCTCAGTGCCTAGGACTTGCCGATCGTAAGGTCGGCGGTTCGAATCCCCGCGGCGGGGTGAGCTCCCGTCGTTCGGTCCCAGCTCCTGTCAACCTAGCAGTTTGAAAGCACCCCTAAGTGCAAGTAGATAAATAGGGACCGCTTTATAGCGGGAAGGTAAACGGCGTTTCCGTGTGCTGCGCTGGTGCCGGCTCGCCAGATGCAGCTTCGTCACGCTGGCCACGTGACCCGGAAGTGTCTTCAGACAGCGCCGGCTCCCGGCCTCTTGAGCGAGATGAGCACGCAACCCTAGAGTCGGTCACGACTGGCCTTCGGGCAGGGGTACCTTTACCTTTACCTTTAGGGGTTTTTTAAATTGTTATTGTTGTTTTGTGTAAATAGTTTTTCTCCTATGTTACTGAAACTTAATACAAACCACTTTGGGGAAGAGCCATTGTAACTCAGTGGGAGACGAGAAGGAGGCCAAGCGAGCATCTGTTGGCTCTGCCTGTCATTGGCTCTGGTTTCGCCTACCATTGTGGGGCAGGAGAGAAGAAGAGGGGAGGCAATACCCACTCCAGGGAATTGTGGGAAAATTAAGAGGCCAGGGATCTCTTCCTTTGCTGGGACTTCTGCTTCTTTCCATTTCGAGGCGAGTAACATTCTTGCCACTGTAGTAGCATACATGAATAAGTTTCTATACAATTTAGGTAGTTCTGTCCCTATAATTCCCAAAAGAAAAGCTTCTGGTTGTTTGTTTTTTTACAAACATTATTTTAAACATCCTTTTCAATTCATTATATATCATTTCCCAGTAAGCTTTTTAACCTTACCACAAGGACCACAGTTTCCTTACCCCTGATCTTACCAACTGAACAGCTGAACACTATTTTAAATTATTATTATTTTTCAAAAATTGAAGGCTCCTTCCCATTCTCTCCTTCTCATGTCATTTCTCTTGTTTGTTTCAGGAAACGGCAATGGAGTGCTCAAGTCTGAGAAGACCTTTTGGCAAGGAACACCTAAGCGAATGAGTCGCAGTAGGACATCCCTGGAAATCGCCATGGGGGAATGTTTTTGGGGTCCCAAAGTAGAGGAGACTCCTGAGACTGGGCAGCATGTTGACAGCTTCCAAGAGATCAAGCCTAACCTAGCTCTGCTTTGTGGGGAAGATGCTAAAAATGCACCCAGGAGGACCTTCCCTGAGAACCTCCTGAGCACTGAGGGGAGGAAGGGAGGCCAAGAGAATGGGACCAGCCTCCATCGGAACGCTCCCCTTCCGGAAGACCAGACAATGCCACCGGAAGCAGAGAAAGTGTATAAGTGCTCCTATTGTGGGAAGTCTTTCGGCGATAGTTTGGACTTGGTTGCCCACGAGCGGACCCACATTGGCGAGAAGATCTACAAGTGTCCGCAATGCGAGAAACGGTTCTCTCACCGGATCGACCTCCTGACGCACAAGAAGAACCACAAGGGAGAGAACCCGCACCGGTGTGATTTGGACTGCGTGAAGTGCTTCGAGCAGCGAGCTTTCCTGATGGGGCACCAGATTGCCCACTCCGGGGAGAAAGCCTGCCGGTGCTCCGTGTGCGGGGAGAGCTTCAGCTGGAAGTCCAACCTCATCAGGCATCGGAGGACCCACACGGGAGAGAAGCCCTATCACTGCGCTGAGTGCGGGAAAAGCTACACGCGTAATACCGCCCTGAATAGACACAAGAAGGTTCATGGTGGGGAGAGACCCTGTGACAGCAGTGCTCCGAGCATAGGGCCAGCTTCAGTGTGGGTTCTCCTGGTGTAAGAGTTGGCAGAAGAGGTGACCCAACTTTGGTTTGCCCTTAGCCAGCCCCTACCTCACCTGCCCTCAACTGGCCACCAATCTGGGGAGTGGCCCAGCCGGTAGGCTGCCTCCATCGTCTTAGGATGTCCCTTGTAGAGTTCAGCAGGAAGGAAGAGGGGAGAACTAGCATTCTAGTTGGATCTGCCTGTCATTGACTCTCTGGCACCACCTACTGTTGGGCTCCCCGCCTTCCGCCCCATTATTGCCAGTGGAATCAAGCCACCGCCGATAGAGAGAGAAAACACGGAAGTGGTTCACAACTGTGGCAAGCGTCCTCTGGATTCCACATGGGTTGACGAATCGCTGAACATTTTTCGTGGATGGGAGAGTTTTCTGGGCAGCGTTTTTAAAAACCACATACCAGCAGAGGAGCAGTGGTAAGTGGTCCTGAGCGCATAGCCTGCCTTATGCCCGTGGCTGGGTGTGATGAGAGACCAGCCTGCACCTTTTCAAACTGAAGATGCAGGACCTGCCATTTTTAATTTCCCAGATTCATTTTAATTTTTTTTAAATGAGAACACTCTGGGCAAGTAAAAATCTAGCACTTCAGGAAGAATGGTTCTAGCCCAGCTTGCTCCCTGATGCACTAGGTTTCTATGTGCAGGGCCTTTTTAACATGGAGGAACATTTTGAAAAATGTTATTTTCTTGCTACAGTCGGCAGCAGTACAATGCACTCTATGCTGCCTATAGACTCTGCCACCTTATATTGTAGCCTTATAGGAGTTCATCAATTGGGTCTGCGTTGCTCTGGGACAGGAGGAAGGAAGTCAAATGACACCGAGGTTGGTTCAAAGAAAGAGTTTATTCTGCTCTCCGGATAGCAGAAGGCACTTGCGTGATCAAGTCCACAGCAAGTCCAAAGAAAGTTTCATGCAGTATATATATCCTCCAGGCACCCTCTCCCTCCTTCCCATATGAATCCAACCACGTCAGCCTATGTACACAGGTTGACATCACATATGTTCTTGCTCTGGTATTCTTAACCATAAAAGGAAATTCCTTCCTGTACTTCTGACCATAAAAGGATCTTCCTCTTCCTACTCTTACCGGGGAGGAAGAGGTTGTCATCTCTGAGAACACGCTTTGGGCTTGTTCCGGACTTAGGTCTGTGCGTCTTTTGTGGTCAGCACATAAGATAAGGTACAAATGTGTCTTTTCTGTTCTACTGATGCAGTCAGGGTCATCCCTGCCGTCACAAGCTGATAATGGAGAGGGCTCTGAGCACGGCCGGGTTTCTGTTTATACATTGACTCAGAGCTCAAGTTAATGGATTTTAGCTAAGGAAAAATAGGGATTTTGGTGCAGTTTCAAACTGCCTTCACAGTCAGTTTTGGGTTTGGGAAACCCATTCCTTCAATATGATTGTATACAAGCAACTCTCCGTTTGTGTGGGAGTTGCGTTCCTGGTCCCCATGTGCATCAGTGGGATGTGTGTAAGTCTGCTCTGCCCCCATTCCATCCCCTTTTCAGTGCTGAAAACTGCTTGTATGTCAGTGGTCACACATGTGCCGATCACACGCAAATGGGGAGTTGCCTATATATAAGGCCAGGTACCCAAACTAAAGTTTCAGAGTTTAGGCTTATGAAAATGGCTTTCCCTCTTCTGCACCACTTTTGGTTCACATCCAAAAAGCCACACTTGGAATAATATTGTAGGGATGCTCTCCTTTCTAGAAGGCTTCAGGGAGTGCAGTGTGTTGAGCGAAGGGAGGAAAACACTACTATTATTTCATTTTTAAAGAAGTGGCAAGATCTTGGAGACTAGAGTGCGGATTATGAACAGGGCAGGCATCTCAACAAAAGTTGTGTTGCAGCCCCTCCCACGATCATAGCTTCTATCAGAAGTATTGGAGCAGGGATTGGGAACCTCTTTGCCTTCTGGATACAGTCAGACGACCAGCTCCTATCATCCTTGACCATTAGTTATCCTGGCTGGCTGGGGCTAATGGGAGTTGGAGGGGCCACACATTCCGTACCCCTGCTGCTCTTATGAGACAGTGTGAATGTGGATAGGCCTTCCAAGACTCCTCTAGCACACTAGTTCCCCAGAGAATCTGGTGCAGTTTTCCATAAGGGTTGTTACTTGGCTCAAGGCTTTTTCACCTTTATAAACTTTGCACTAGGAAGATAGTGCCACGTGGGCTTTTGTTTTGGGGTGATGTGTGAAATTTGAAAAGAAAACAGCTCTTTCATAAGGGTAGATGCTCAAGAATTTGTTCTCCTTTAGAACAATGCTGCCAATGTACCTTGGTTTTCAAACGCCTTGGGAGTCGAACGTTTTGGCTCCCGATGATTGAAAACTGGAAGTGATTGTTCCGGTTTTTGAACGTTCTTTGGAACCCGAACGTCCAATGCGGCTTCCGCAGATTCCGCCTGCAGCCAATCAGAAGCTGTGCCTTGGTTCCCGAACATTTTGGAAGTCGAATGGACTTCCGGGACGTATTCCATTCGACTTCCAAGGTACCACTGTATGAGAATTCGAAAAACTCCTCTCCATTAATTAAGTTTTCATTAGGTTTTCCATTAATACATATGGCAGGGAAGGAAAGCTCATTTCTTCGTTTGGGTATCCCATTGTGTGTAGCTCTTTGGTTAGGCAGGAGAGAGAAGTCTGTGGCCCTCAAGATGTTGCTGGACTTCAACTCCCATCACCCCCAGCCACGATGGCTAATGGTCAGGGATGATGGGAGTTGTAGTTCAGCAGCACCTGGAGAACCACAGGTTCTGTATCCTTCCTTTAGCAAGATCTCCATTATTTTCCAAGAAGGAAAAGTGCTTCTCCTGTACTTAAAAAAATTTTTTTTTGAATATGCTGCATAAAAAACATGTACAGTGGTATCTCCGGTTGTGAACGGGATCTGTTCCAGGGGTCTGGCTGCATCCCAAGGAATTCGCAACCAGAAGATTGCTTCTGTGCATGCGCACGGCATGTAGAGTGATTTTGCGCATGCATGCGCAGCGGAACCCGGAAAAATACTTCTGGGTTTGCTCGGTTCGCATCCCAAAGTTTATGTATCCAGAGGGATACGTAAGCAGAAGTACGACTGTACAGTATAAAGTTTTTGGGTGGCATGGCTACCTGGGTCACGATAAAATAAAAGCACATAGAGGATTCACTAATCATTTGGTGAGAAAGGCCCTATTCGAAGTCTGGGAAAGAAATAAAACAATAGTAACAGCCAAAACTCCCTGGTGTCTATCACCTATAGAGTCATCAGCCTTGCATAGAAGCAATATGAAAGATAGCTGGCAAACATATAGGGAATTCGTAGAAGAGATAAAAGATTGGCCAACAGTAAAGAAATTTGAAGAATTAAAAGAGAGGGGGTGAATTGGTTAGAATATTTCCAATTAAAAACAATATTTGAGAAGGCTAGTAAGCTTAAGGGGTTTGATAAAAAAATCTCGGTATGGGAAAAAGAAATTTTATATAACAACCAACAGACTCTTTCAAAAATATATAAACTGTTACAAAATGGGAAAGTAGAAAAGGAGGAAAAAGGAGATGCTATTAAAAAATGGGAACAAGATCTGGGACACCCAATTGAATATAATGAATGGGAAAGACTATGGACAAAAAATATAAATTTTACAGCATGTTACCTAATAAGAGAGAACTATATGAAAATGTATCACAGGTGGTACCTGGCACCAGAAAGGCTTGCAAAAATGAATAAAACATACAATAATAAGTGCTGGAGATGCAAGATACAAAAAGGAACCTTCTACCATATGTGGTGGACATGCCCCGAAATTGGGAAATTTTGGAGCATGATCCACGAAGAAATAAAGAAAATGTTAAGAATATCATATAGTAAAAGGCCAGAGGCATTCCTTTTAGGAATTTTAAATGATGATATTCCAAAAGACAAAACTATTTTTTTCTTATACGCAACGTCTGCAGCAAGAATCCTGGTGGCTAAGTATTGGAAAGGGAATCATTTACCCACTAGGGGAGAGTGGCTATGTAAGCTCTCAGAATACCTAGAATTAGCTAAATTGACAGATATAATAAGACAAAAACCAAAAAGTGAAGTAAAAAAAGAATGGGAGTGCCTAAATGAATACCTCAAAAGTCAAGGTTCGAGGGCAGAAATCTGGCTGAGTCTGGAATAACCTTGTGAAGTGAAAGGATATGAAAGAAGGATTTATATCTAGATGTTAGGATAGAGAGAATAAAGAAAACAGGAAGACAGGAAGACACAATGAGAGATAAAGGAGGTGCTGTGGGATTGGTGGAAGTCAATGTCTTGTTGTTATTTTAGTGTTTATAATATTAACTTGTATGGATTTGTTTGTTTTTGTTGTTTTCGAATGTTGATTTTTATGTGTTGTGTATTGTTATTTTTTGATATCTTTCGTGTTGTTGTTGTGTGGAAAATACTAATAAAATTCATTTATTTTTTTAAACTTACTAAGAGCTGATGGGTGAAATTAGCTGGGAGTGTGAATGAGTAATAAATTTTGTATATAATGCATGCTTGCGATTTCTTGGCTTTTTCTTCTTCTCTCACTCAGTGTTTCAAGATGTGTACCATCCACATGGTTCTTGTCAATTCCACACACGCAGAACTGGACCATCCACTGTCAGGGCTGTTGGCCTATTTTGCCCTCATCCCAACATTGTCCTCGGGACCATCTGTTCCTCCTCAGAAATGAGTAGCAGCCTGTGAGGAACTGCAAGTCTGACTTAAAAATGAGCCCTAAAGCTTCTTTCCAAGACATAAAACTCCCATTTCGCCCCAACCTCAAGCGGTGTTTTGGAGTACGGAGTGTATGAGTGAGTTCCAGACAAACAACCTCCACTTTCCTTTCTTTTGTCCTGTTAGGTCAAGGATGGGAAATTGGTGGCATTCCAGACATTGCTGGACTCCATCACCCCCAGTGGTCAGGGATAGTGAGAGATGTGATCCAATTGTAGCCTTTCACCTACAACCAGTACATAGCCTGCTTTCTTTACTTTGACTGTCAAACCAGAGGTTAGGTTAGGGTATTAAGTACTGACACTATTTCTATGCAAGCCCTGCTCCCCACATCCTGCCATCCTCAAATCTAGTTCCCTTTCTCGGTCGTGTGCCTGAGTGAAGGCGACAGTTCGGCTTCCGGCTCTATGTGGTTTTCTTTACTAGGGCTCTCTGGGCCAGAGGTCTAGTGGCACAAGAGGGGATCTGGTTGTTGGTGCAACACTCATAATTTCTTATCAGTCCAAGGCAGAAGTTGCAGAGCTTTCTGTGTCAGGAATATTAGAGCAGAGTGTCTGCTTTTGTTCCATTCTTATTCTTATTCTTATTAATTATTATTATTTGAATTTATATACTACCCTATACCCAGAGGTCTCAGGGCGGTTCACAGAAAAGACATGGGAGCCCCTACATATGGCAATGAACCATTAACATTGGTGAAGAATCGCAGAATAACCCCTAAAGCAGAATGATATGTGGATTGTCCCATATAAACACAGCACTAATGCACTATTATTGCGTCAATGACATCTTGCTGAATACTCCTGCAAAACAGCAGCAATCGAGGGAGTTGCAAAACAGCAGCAATTGGCAGCCTGGGAGGGAGTTTTGGAGCTTTTATTTCACTTCATTTTTATTTTTATTTCACTTCATTCCTATACCTCCTAATTAACCACATGATCTGGTCAGTTCACAGATTTAAAAACAAATGCAATTCATTAAAAGCAATCAGCATAAAATCTGTATCGGCACAAAAAACATAAAAATCAGCATAAGATCTTGAACCATAAATGCAGCACTAAAAATGGCAACAGTGGAAACAAAATAGTTCTAAGAATTAAACAGCACTGAATGATAGCCTTTAAAAGCCTCGGCGAAAACGAAGATCTACCTGCTAGTGAAAAGGCCCTCTTTGGGGGAACATGCCATAACCAGGGTGGGGCTTGGGATCAGAGGGAAAGCTCAGTGGGAATTATATAGGGCAGACAGAGCCAAGCTGGTTCCTTCCAAAAGTCACTGGACTACAACTCCCACCATCTCTGACTAGTTGGCCTTGCTGGACGGGGCTGATGGGAGCCCAACACCATCCAGAGGACGTTGTGTTGGCTGCCTCTGATATACAGAATCCAACATTTATAGAAGATTAATGCAGCAACTGTAAATAAATTTAATTGTCCGGAAGCCCCACTGAATCCAGCGAGATTAATCTCTGAGGAACAGGGGACATGGTGAGGCTGTATTTGCAGACGAGGCTTGAAGTTGGTGCTGCACAGACGTTATTTGTGTTTTCTTCCGGTCTGAGGTCTACACAGCAAGGAGCTTTCCCTCCTGAGGTGGGTAAAAGAGTTAATTTCTAGTAATCCATGAATGTTTGTCTTTTAACAGCTGCTGGGGGTCTTGTGGGGAAAGGAAGGTGGCAAAATGAAACCCGATGATGGAGGCTGAGCCCTTTTGAGGAACTCATTATATATTGGGAGTGTTAAAAGTGTTACCGTCTCTTTAAGAAATAATCTGCAGAGAGAATTCTGGAAAGGGGAAATAAAAAGCAGGGAAAGGCAACCATTTTTGTCTGTTTTGTTATTTCTGCTGATTGTAGAGTAATCTTCTCACACGACCCCTAAAAAGCTGCCCAAAGTGCAACTGAGGTAAATGTTGGGTTTTATCTCAGCCCTTCTTTTCTGGAGAGAAACTCCTGCTGGGCCTGAGAGGCAGATTTAGTCTCCTCAGGAGATACTGAGGTGGGTTTTATTTCCCCACAGACGAAAGGAAGGGAGGAGGGTCTCTCCAGAGAACGAGGCTCCTGAGAACGTGTAGAGTTCGGCTCCTGTGTCAGCGTCATAAAAAGACACACGTCCCCCTTCATAGTCCAGAGTCACCCGGATCCTCCTGGGCTTCTCCCTCAGGGACAGAGGAGTGTTATGAGGGGGGTTCCAGGCCCAGTACCCATTTCCCATCTTTTCCAGAGCCCAGAGCACTCCCTCAGGACTGAAGGGAAAACGGCCCTTTCTCCCTATAGACTTCCTGGCGACCCCCACAGCCCATTCTCCCTCACTTCCCACATTGACCTCCCAGAAATGTCTGCCTGCTGTGAATTCCTCACGTCCCAGCACACAATGCCACTTGTTGAATCTCTCAAGATTATTGGGCACATCTTGCTTTCTGTCTGCCAATCTCACGCTTTTCCCATTCTTGGACAAGATGAGGCAGGAATGGGCTGTGTCTGGATCCAGAGTGACATTTGCTATTGGGAAAGATGAAGAAAAGAGCGGCAAAATCAGCTGAGAGACAGAAACTGACATGTAATGGGGCAGGTTTATGTGTATTTTAACCTGGAACACGACGCCTGAAGAAACGGGGATTTGACAATACATATGAAGAACATAAATGCCATTTTAAGGCTAATAACTTACAGTGGTACCTCAGGTTAAGTACTTAATTCGTTCCGGAGGTCCATACTTAACCTGAAACTGTTCTTAACCTGAAGCACCACTTTAGCTAATGGGGCCTCCCGCTGCTGCCGTGCCGCCGGAGCACGATTTCTGTTCTCATCCTGAAGCAAAGTTCTTAACCTGAAGCACTATTTCTGGGTTAGTGGAGTCTGTAACCTGAAGCGTATGTAACCTGAAGCATATGTAACCCGAGGTACCACTGTATTAAGGGTTCCAAAGTCTTCAGAAAAGATTGTACAACCCCAATGAAATGCCAGTCCCCATCCCTCCTGTGAATTTGGGTCACCATTGGAAATTTACCTTTCTGAAACTGTTGTCTGAATAACATAGCATCTGAGAAAGAAAAAAGATAACAAGTTTAAGCACTAAGCTGCTCTACCTGAAATTAATTTTGTTAGAAAAATATCACTTAGTAACACAGCACCTGTTCTATCTTTATTTCAAGTAAAAGATTAATCAGTAGAACAAATGATTAAGAACTTAGGGGGAAAAACAGTTAAAGAAAACTAAAACTCAGCAATGGTAAACAAGACTTTTAAAAAGCAGAATAAAAATATTCAACATTAAATCGGATGGATGCAACCTTAACATCTGCACCAAATAAAGTGGTGGGGAAAATAATTAAAGCCAGAATGGTTAAACAAAATGAGAAACTAAGCTTGCTGAAGAAGGATTCCAGAGCTGTCATGCAAAGGGAATTGTAAACAGATGCACATTATTTTATTATTTATTTCTTGGGTTTATATATTGCTCTTCATAAGATCTCAGGGTGGTACACAGAGTAAGATACAGGATAAAAACATGAAAATAAGTAAAACAAAACAGCAAAACAATACCCCCCCCTGAATAATATTGGAGGAAAAAAACAGACTTTATGATAGAGTCTGGTGTAGACTTTCTTTATTTGTGGCAGCCACCATTTCTAATGCTGCAGCATGCCAATGTACATGGGACATTCAGGGGGGAATCAGTTGACGGCTGGACCACCAAGGGGGGGGAAGGTATGATGGTGCCACTCCTGTCTGCAGCAAGAGCAAAATACAGTAAGAGCCTAACATGTTCTGTGTTAGACTAATGTAATGCCCAGCATAAAATCCTTGCAGCCTTTCGTCATTACCTTTGAATTCCTTCATGACTTCCTCCAGACGGAGATTCATATCGCAGAATCTGGAGGCCTCCTCCTTCAGCTCTGGAGGAAAAGCCAGTTGATTCTCCGATCTCTCTGTTCTCTCACACCTGAGGAGGAAAAATGTTAACCTTTCAAATCACTAATTCCTAGTAAAGGAAAAGGAACAAAAGTAAAATCATCCTTGGAAGGAGAATAGGGGTGCCACAAGTTCAAAAGGAAGGTCCCAATCTTTGTGGGTGAAGTTACAGAGTGTGGAGTCCTAAAGTCTTTCCATCAGGAGCTTGGAGGGCCAGGTTTTAAGTACTGATGCTAATGGAAATAAGCTGGATCCACTCACCTCTGCAAGGTGCTTCCCACATCCTAGAGGGAAAAAGAGAATGGAATTCAATGCACAACACAGACCACAGTAAGAAGCCCCTTCAGACCCTGAAATGGAGGGACTCTGGCTGTCTGGTGTCAGTTTGCCCAACACGCACAAATATTCTTGGTAGGGAGGGCCTAGCCAGGCAATTTTTGAATCTTTCAGGTTTTTTATTTTCCCCTCTTCAGCTCTCCACATTTCCACATCAGTCTGCAATTTTTTTAAAGTCCTCCTGAAAATTCACCAGCCTTTTAGTGTGGCTTTCTCCTAATATAGATATTTTTATATCCAATTTTGCCTGAAACACACATTTTGCAAAGCAATTTTCTGTAATATAATGATTTTTTATGTTAGTTTCACTTTATGAGCTTATATGAATTTTTTGTAAGCATTATTGGAGAACTGTTTGAAAATTTCAGAGAAGTGCAAATGTTGACAGATGTCTGTGATTCTGTTTGCATATTGATTTATAAAGTGCCCATTTGGTGGATTCACCTTTAAGTGCAAAGTTAAGGAATTTTTCCACCATTGATAGTTTTGGGCCATAACTTCTTAAATTTCATCCAATTTGCTGCACAATTTTTTTTTGTGGTATCCCACCCCTTCCCGGTGCACTTGTCATTGTGCACGTAAGTTGAACTATTGGGTAGTTTTTCTAGGATATTTTCATACATACTCACCCCTAACACAGGCCCAAGTACAGTGGTACCTTGGGTTAAGAACATAATTCGTTCCGGAGGTCCGTTCTTAACCTGAAACTGTTCTTAACCTGAAGCATCACTTTAGCTAATGGGGCCTCCCGCTGCTGCCACGCCACCAGAGTACGATTTCTGTTCTCATCCTGAAGCAAAGTTCTTAACCCGAGGTACTATTTCTGGGTTAGTGGAGTCTGTAACCTGAAGCATCTGTATAAGCCAGTAACCATTTATCATTTTCCTTCTCACACAACTTGCACTTCAGATTTCAAGGCAGCATCTTCCTGGAGTGGAGCCTTGGGCTATTCCTGCCACCATCTTACCTGCAGGAGTTCACTTGCTGGCTGCTGACTCTTTTCCTCCATCTCCTGGATGATCCTTTCAAGAGAGGAGAGTTTCCTGGAGAGTCTAGCCCGGTGCTCATCCCTTCTCCCTGCAATCTCTTTCTCCACCTCTTTGATCTGATTCAGCAGAAATTGGTGCAGTTCTCTGAACTTCTCCTCTGCCTTCTGCATCTCAGTTGCTGTACATTTCTGCAAGCAGTAGATAGAAAGAGGAAACGAGGAGACCGGAGTCTGGAGTGTGGTCAGTCTTTACAACACCAGGAGGAGAGTTGTGGAAATTGCACAGGAAATTTGGGTTTTCTCTGGATTGACATTGGTTCTGACTGAGAACTAAACAGTGGGTTTTCCCTGGGAAAGGAGCGGGGCAAAGGGAAACTGCTTTGACCCATGATTTCTAGGCTCAGAACAAGTGGAGGTGTGGACAAGCCCTCAGTGGCTAAGGAAGACCCTCTTCTTCAGAATTTAAAGTAAACATGGCAGGGAGGCAGCAGGCATGAACACAGTGGCTCTGCCTTCTCTGTTGCCATTTCTCCTGCCTTCCGTAGCTAGTGTTATTTTTCTAGAAAAAGAGGTGCCGGAACTCACCATGAATACATCCCTTGTTCTAATTACTATTACTGTTATTACTATTACTATTACAACGGCAATGGCACCTGCCTGAGAGGTGCTGGAACTGAGATCTGGCAAGTTCCAGCTGCAAAAAAATAGCTCTGTTTCCATCTTGTGGAAGGTGGCAACCTAAAGCCAGGAGATTTTTTTTCTATCCATGGAGGTTCCCTGTACATTTTTGAACCCAGCATAATTTAGTTTCTAAGATGTTCAGAAAGCCTCCATGGACATAAAAGAGTCCTCACCTCACCCTTCCATGAGTAGGAAATCAACAGAAACAGAGAAGCAGGGCAGAGCTGGCCTGCTCATCTCCAACAGTCCTCTGTTTACTTTAATACACTGAGTCAACTTGAATTTCCTATAGATATAAAATAGTGCACATTTAGAGAGATATTTCTTCAACAGTCTGTATAGCAATCAGAATGTTGCAACTATCTTATCTTCTGTGCATCTGAGCTGCCACATGGGAAGAAGATTCAGTTCAGTTTGGATTCAAAGGCAAAACTGGGAGAAATGACTTTAAGATGGAAATGTATGAAACTGAGATGAACAGAAATCGACAGATTTCCCCATTTCTATTCAGTCCTGATGTGATTCATCAAGCACTTGTTCCCTTCCAGTGAACACTAGTGACACTTACAAGGAGGTCTTGGCTTTCCTTTTCCAGTTCTGCTTCATAGGCCAGAATTTTCTTTCTTTCTTTCCTAAGGTTCTCCAGGTAGCTATTGATCTTTTCCTAAAGAGAATATAAAAGTTCAGATAGTGATTGAGACAGACATAGAAAGGGAGAATTTGGTTGGCTGTTATGCTCCCTTCTACTTCCTGGTGCCTCGCTGCTCTTAAGTGTTTTACCTGATAATTCCTAGTTTTTGAAATCTGCTCTATGAATTTCTAGGCTTTTAGCTCAAAATTTTAAAATCAAGGCTTTAATGAAGAGTTTCATTTCATTATTATTTATTTTACTTTTCATTATTATTAAATTGCATAGGAGCTTCTTTGTGCTAATTTTTGTTTTTTAAAAAGAAATTTAGAAGCATTAAAAAAAATTATCTGGAAGCTGAATCAGGATTTTACTTTAATCATAATAGCACAGAGGAGAGGAGAGTCAGTTCTTAGTTCTCTTTTAAAAGTGTGTACCTCCACTCTAGCCTCTGGGGGGAGATCACCTGGGCCACCACCCTGCCACCTTATTGTGCAAGCCCCCACCCCACAACCAGACCATGTGTGTTTTTCCCACTGCCTGCTGCCTTATTGTATGGGGGGGGGTGGACCCACACACCCCCTGTAGTCAGATCAGACCCTGGTTGCTAGTTCTACCAGCTGAGCCCAGAAATGTGCAAATGTGATTCAAAACAACTTCACTGTGTTTTACGCCACAAATGTGTGCATAGCCTTTTGCCTACCTGTATGTTATGAATTTGGTTCGCACATTTTTTCACTTAAGAAATATAGCCCTTTTTCTGCCACCACTTTGCCTCATGAGCCTTCATTGCAAGTATGCGGGAGAAATGTTTGCTGTCTGGCACAGAGCCCCCTCTCTTTTGCTTTCTTAAATCTCCATCACTTTCCCTTTGTTTTCTTAATGACTGATCACCCCAGGTTCTTAACACATCAGAATCCAGGAATTTAGGGGAATCTGGCACCCATAAACTCATAGCAATATTGATATATTGATTGATTGATTGATTGATTGATTGAACAGGATCTGGGGGCTGCATCTTTTCATTGAGTTTTCCTTTAATTTTACTGTTCTTTTGGTGGACCCACATAAAATGCAGACTCTGAATGACTATATCGGGGTGGGGTGATGAACAGCTTTGATCCCAAATGTGTCACTGGTGCCCGACCCAATGGAACTTTGTAAATTCCAGTGCTAGTTAGTAAAAAATGTAATCCTTTCATTTTTGTTTTGGCTTCATGGCTGCTCTTATCACATTGACAAGATCTCCATGAGCAATGTGAACAAAAGTCCAAGGAGCTTCTATTGACATGTCATAGTGTAATCCACTTTGATCCATCATGGCTGCTCTACTGTGCACATAAAAACTATCCAAACTTCTGGGTGTGGTCTGTATGGGGCCAAGATTAACAATACGGAGGGCAGAAGCGTATTGTCTCTCCCTCTTGCAGTGACATGTTTAACACAGCATGATAGATACAAGGTAAATACAGGATATCTTGCCAAAGCAGCAGTGGAGGCGTCTGTACACAGCCAAGCCCAAAGTAGACATGAGGTTGTTTACGTGGAATTAATGTGTATAGTATTTTTTATTATTTACACAGCAGCCTTCCTTATCAACCAGGGAAAATAGCCCATCCAGGAGAAGGAAAACTCTGATCCTAAACCTCCACTGCTTTGCAGCTATACTCATTTGTGAGAAAGCCTTTGGGGGTAGACCCTGAGCAAAAATCCGTACCCGCCACCTTGCGGGATGTATTCAGGAAAAGAAAAGGCTAAGGCGTAAACCCTAAATAAAATCCGGAGTTGTTAAGTTGTGGGTGAACATATCAGACGACACAGCGATTCTTCAAACAGCTCTTGTTTATTCACAGGCCAGAACAGAACTGAACTGAAGGGTTCAGGCAGCCTGCTTATATAGAGCTCCACTAGAACGCAACAGTAACCATTTTCTGTAACTATCCAATCACTGAACGTCACTTTCGATCCCTTATTTGCATATGTGGACCTGAACTATCTACAGTATCCCCCTGCTGGCCCAGGGTGAGAAGTTCAGTACATAACAGGAGTCCCTTAAGGCAATTAGATGGCGCCTTCTACACCCTCTTTCCAGCAATTCCTGCAGCCCAGCTGGTGCCAAAAGTATTGTACTGCTTTCCTTTGGACCACATCCATGAGGCCGAGGGGTGGGGTCTTGTTATCTGGGTAGCCCAGGACCTCCACACAAACAAGACCCATACTTGTGTTCTGGAGAGGTCACTTCAGTGCTGCTAACACAGCAAAAACAACAGGCAGCAGTTACAAGTTACAGCTTTCTGCAGCCACAGGAGGCACTGTGGCTCTCTGGCAGTATGACTTTGTCCCGGAGGCCAACAATTACAGCAGCCTTGAGGGGTGGGGAGAAGATCCCCAAGGATTACCGTTAACCCATTATTTCTGTGTCATGGTCCCAATGGGTTGGGGCTAATGTCACGTGTGCACAGCTTCCCAAACCAATGGTGGAAGCACACTGGGTGCTGAGTAAACAAGAGTCTGTACACAGCCTAAGCCCAAACAAGACAGGAAAGAAGAAGTCCCAGTAAAAAAGGAATGGATACAAAAATTTATGGGACATGCAGAAATGGCATAACTTACTGGAAAAATAAGAAATCAAGATAACAAACTTTTTACAGACTGGAAATGGTTTGTTGAATATTTACAAATAAACTGTAAACAGATAAGAGCATTGGCATGATTATTGTAATAACCTGCAGCTTTATAAGAGTATATATTTAAAGTAGATGAATGAATGAGCAAATTAAGTTACTTTGGATATATAGAAAATATTTAAAAATAAATTTAAAGAAACGCAGAAAAAGGGGGAAGTCAAGTATAGAAATGTTAAAATGATTGTAAAATTATTGAAATGTATAAAATTGAAAATCATTTAAAAAAAAACTAGACAGGAGATTGTGTAAGTGAAATTAACATTTTTATTATGTACATAGCTTGGAGACCACGGGTCCCCAAGATTTAATAATTTCTTTTGCTGTCATGGTCCCAACAGTTACTGAACCTGCTGCTTGCATTTCAAGGGAAGCCCCTTTGGCATTCTGGCAGAGAGAGAAATAATTAGACTCATGCCACCCACCTCCCAAAAAACCTCAGGCTTCTCCTTGGCTATTTAAATTGCATTCTGGCAATTAATGCCATGCCTAGTTTGAACCTAAGAATTACAGAAAACCTCCCAAGAAGAATTAAGAAGACTTCCCTGCTCCCCATCAAGGGCCAGAATGATTTCCTACCTTGTAGTCCTCAGAAGCCTCATCCACAGGAATCACCTCATGACCTCTGTGCTTCCTGGATTTGTCACACACCAGGCAGACTACAGTTTCATCCTCCATACAGAAGAGTTTTAGGGACTCCTGGTGCTTCTCACAATATCTCCCCATTCCTCCTCCCTCCCTGCTTTGGAGACGGATTTTCTTGTTTATGGGACCCCTAGAAGCAGCCATGGCTCCCTCACACCAAAGACACAGTCAATTTCACTTTCTTTGTTTATATATCCTGGGTGTGTCTCATCCTGCAAATGGTTAAGGATCTCAGTGCTGAAATGAATATCTTTTATGCTGACACGCCTATCTTGTTTGCCTTGTACTTGGCCCTGAAAAATCAATGTGCAAATACTGTTATAAACAAATAAAATGTTGACATTGTGGAGGAACAACCCTTCTTGAAGAAAACCTTCCTCCCTGGAGTAAGAGCTTCCCTGTTCTCCTGATCTGGGCACAGGGTTACCACCTTTGTTCTGGCAAAATACAGGATAGGATGGAGGGTGGGATTGGGGACTGAAATTGTTTTTTGCCCGGTGCTGAAATGAGTTCAAAGCAATCAATTACAATGACATACATGGTTTACAAGGCTTTCTTCGATTAAAAAAATAACAAAAGCACTATAATTTACAAGTGCAAGAAAAATATTGCACATCACATTATAGCTTGGCTTTGTAATGTGATAACATTGTAACTACGATAACATGGTGTCTATCCCAATCAGATGGTAACTACTGGTAACTGCAAACATTCCAACAATACCAAAAGAAAATAATAATATCACATCATAGCTTGGCTTTGTAATGCCAAACATTATGATAACATGGTGTCTATCCCAATCAGATGGTAACTACTGGTAACTGCAAACATTCCAACAATACTGAAAGGAAATAATAATAATAATAATAATAATAATAATAATAATAATAATAATAATAATAGAAATCTTTGTTTCTGTTGAAAGCTTCAGCAAGTCACTCTGTGTTGAGCCAACAATATTTCTCTCTCTCTACTCAACCTTCTCACGAGTACTTTTCTGTCACTCCTTGTGGCTTGTCCTTCAAAATAATTGAGTGGAAGTCAGCACAGGACAGGTGACAGTCAAGTGAAATCAGGAGCTCACTTATAATCAGTTTCACAGAACACTGGTTCCAGACATTGGTCCATTTGCTTTCCATTGTGGAGAAGATGCTCTCCACGTACTCTGTTGAGGCTGGAAAGCTCACAGTGTAGGAGATGACTATCAGCTTATTTGGTAGATCAGATGCTGTAAATTCAGCCACCCACCCTTCAGCTTCCATTGATCATCTTTCTGAAGATGCTTCAATAGGGTGTTGGCTGTACGGTAGTGTTCTCATCATACAGCTCATCCATGTTCAGTCTGCTTGTGAAATTGAGCTTTTTGCAGACCTTCTCGAGGTCACTGAAGGTGATATTGCCATCTTGGAGGGAGAGGGGCTGAAGACAGTAAAACCATTTGTCTTCTGGAAAAAAATAGATAATCTGCAAAGACATCTACCAAACATTTCAGATTCTTATCAAAGACAAATTACGAATGGCCCTATAACTCAGGGGTCAGCAAGGTTTACCGGCCATGGGCTGGATCACTGCCACGGAGATTGTCCGTGGGCTGGACTGCTGCAGCATGATGCCAGAAATTGCATCTGCGCATGTCCGCGGCGCTGGAAATCGTTTCTGCCCAGACTCTGAAAATTGTGCCTTCGCAGAAGTGATTTTCGGCGTTTGGACATGCGCAGACATGATTTCCGGTATCTGTGCGTGCACAGACGCGATTTCTGGCGCCGCTTGGCAAGTCCCCGTGCCACGCTGCGCTGGTTTAGTGCAGCGCGTGGGGGACTCACCAAGCGGGCGGTTTGGTTCGGTTCAGAGACAGCTTGGGGGCCGGTAAAACGGTCCTCGTGGGCCGCATCTGGCCCATGGGCCGAACGTTGCCGACCCCTGCTATAACTATTTGAGAGGTATGTGAAGTTATAAAAATTTTTTTAAAAGGAAAAGTATTGCGGCCAATTGGGCAATCAGCTGTTTATTCATCCTGTAAATAGAGTAGCTATTTCAGTTTTATCTGCTGAAAAAAACCACCTGGCATTTACAGGAATCATTAATGCTGTTCATAGAACATCCATGTGATTAAAGTCCCTTCCAAGCAGGACCTAGCAATAAATCTAAAGTTTTTATCTCTCAACCCTTGTAACGCCAGAGGCAGATTGTTATGCAAGCCTAACAGTTGTGATTATTGACACCTATTGCAGAGAGTTGTTCAGAAGAAGCAACGAAGAACAAGTTGCCAGTCCATTAATTCCTCTGACCACGAGAGGATTTTAATCTAGGAGTCCTTGTCTTATTCCTACCACCAACACCATTTGCCCCGTTTTGGATGCTGCATGTGAAGAGGAAAATAGGAGTTGCTTCCATTCCCTCCAACATCCCTCAGATGAAAATGTCCCTATTTACATGGTCACAGCAGATAGGGATTAATCAAGGGTCAGCCAACCTGGTGCCCTCCAGGTGTTGCTAGAGTGCAATTCCTATCAGCTCAAGATATCATGACCGGTGGTCATAAATGATTAGAATTGTAGCCCTATAGCTTTTATGGAGACACGATAGGTGTGCAAAGAGATTAGCTCACACCGCCATGTGGCTTTTCTGATAATGCCCTGAACTCCCCCCCCCCCCAATAAATGGTGACCTTTGCCTCATTCCTCTTCAGGTAATACAGATGGATGGGCAGACATTTGTTTTAAGAGAAACTCTGACATCTGCTGGTCAGCTGGGGAAAAAATGCATCCAATTTGGTCTTGGTATAATGAAAGCGAGTGGCTACATAGGAAGTGATGTGCAGATTTCCCTCCTTCACTGTGAAATTGTGATTGTAGAAATGATTCCTGTAGCAGGGAAATAAGAGAGGTGCTTGTTGGGATGCTGGACGGGCAGAGATGTGGAGGGTTCAACATCACAGGAAGAAGAGTCCTCCATTATCCTGATGGTTTCATTCTGTCTGTCTCTAGCAGGAGACTGTGACTTGCGTCAAGTCTTACAAAGTCACATCCAACTGAAAGAACCACAAACAAAGTGCTGAAAGTTTTTTTGCTGCTGGATATGGATATGAGTCTTTTGTATCTTTATTTTCAGGTCTTATTATGAACTATGTGAAAACTGTTCAAATTTTATTGTGCTTTTTGATGTGTCTTATCTATTGTTTATAATTACAGTTCTTGTGTTTGTAATAATGTAAATGTTTTCATCCTGTAAGCCACCTTGAGCACGGTTTCAGCTATGGAAAGGTGGCATATAAATAAAGATGAGGATGAGCCAATCTACAAATGCTCCCATTGTGAGAAACGGTTCTGTCATCCGATCGAGCTTGGGAAAGAAGTAAGACAGTTCTCAGCTAGGAGAGACCCAGTGAGAGCAACACTCTTGAGAGTAGGGCCAGCTTCAGGGTGGGTTCTCCTTGTGCAAGGATGGCAAAGGTGGTGGAAGAAGGGGACAGAACCTACCCAATGCTCAGGCTGCAGGAAAACCTCCAGCCACAGAACCCCCATTTTGTTTAGCATTGAAAGTATAGTCGTACCTTGCTTCTCAAACGCCTTGGTACTGATAGGTTTTGGCTCCCGAACACCAAAACCCCCAAAGTGTTCTGGTTTTTGAACTTTCTTTGGAAACCAAACGTCTGGTGCATCTTCCAATTGAATGCAGGAAGCTCCTGCAGCGATTCAGAAGCTGTGCCTTGGTTTTCGAACGGTTCCAGGAGTCGAACGGACTCCCAGAACAGATTAAGTTCAACAACCAAGGTACCACTGTATATGAACACTGACTGTTGGGGAGCTGGTTCCCATCACTGCTCTTTCCTTCTTGCTCCATCAGGAAATCCATGCAGACTGCACTGGGGCTGGTCCGTTAGGGAGACTGGTGCTCTGCCCCACTAATCTCAGCCCTGTTTAGAGAAGTTTTTAATGTTTGGTGTTTTATTGTGTTTTTAATATTCTGTTGGGAGCCGCCCAGAGTGCTGGGGAAACCCAGCCAGATGGACAGGGGATAAATAATAAAGTTGTTGTTGTTGTTAGGCATCGGCTCCCTCCCATTTGCCTGCCCTCTGCTTGCTTACATTCCACAGAGTGGCCCAGCCTTTTCTTTGCCACAACTTGGTGGAAATGGCATTGGTTAGGGTAGTTGGATTTAAATGAGGAACTCCTTAAGAGGCCTTGACTTGACTTGTCCCCCCACGCATCAGAGATGCACCCACTATGAAGCTGGTCTCTGTGGCTTCAGAGGATGACTGAAATGAGCCTTGGAGAAGACCAACATCCCATGTAAGGTCTTGGTCTCCTATTTGCTTCCAAAGATCTGAATTTCTATTTCTCTCTCTAGATTATATACATTCAATTTATACAAATTATTTATAGCGTGTTTTCCAAGCTTGTTTTAAAAATATTTATTGCATAGTCAAATAGCCCCGTGGATAAACAGTGACTCCCTGGAGATCGGAACCTGCTGCGATGGGTTGCAACAGCTGCCCATCCTGTGACTGGGTAAGCAGCCATTAGATAGCAGGAAAGACGCAGGTGTACCAAACTTTAATTCGTGCAATGATATGCAAAACATGTTTTGAATCTGCTACGGTGCCCTATAGCCTTAGTTCACATTCACCTAAGGTGAGACGACCCAATGCTCACCCCTCCACCCCAACACAAAATGCAACGCCCCTAACATTTATATATAACTTTTTCTGTGTGTGTATTTTTGATGAATATTGGTCATGATGTTGTTGGGGTGGTCAAACACAATTCCAGTTTTTTTGCATTTATTTTGTGTCTATTTTGCTATTTGTGTCTGCAAACTTCTGCAGTGGCTTCGTTGGTTATCAGTCCATAGAATCCTAGAATATAAGAGTTGGAAGGGATCCAAGGCTCATCTAGTCCAGCTAAAGCATCCATGTACTGATTCTTCCTGCTGAAATTGCAGAGCTCTCCATGCCAGAAATATTTGTTCCATTATAGGATATGGGAGCCCCCCCCCCCGATGGCAACAATGCATTATTATTGGGGAAGCATTGCAGAATAACCCCCAAAGCAGAATGGTCCCTTATAAATCTGCTACTAATGCAATATTAGGGGTGTGGGTGGCACTGTGGTGTAAACCACTGAGCCTCTTGGGCTTGCCAGTTGGAAGGTCGGCAGTTCATATCCCCGCGACGGGGTGAGCTCCCGTTGCTCTGTCCCAGCTCCTGCCAACCTAGCAGTTTGAAAGCACGTCAAAGTGCAAGTAGATAAATAGGTACCGCTCCGGCAGGAAGGTAAATGGCATTTCTGTGCGCTGCTCTGGTTTCGCCAGAAGCGGCTTAGTCATGCTGGCCACATGACCCGGAAAAACTATCTGCGGACAAACGTCGGCTCCCTCGGCCAGTAAAACATGATGAGCGCCCCAACCCCAGAGTCGTTCGTGCCTGGACTTAACTGTCAAGGGTCCTTTACCTTTTTTAATGAGGTATTATTGCGTTGATGGCAAAACAGCAGCAGTCCAGAAGGGGGCCCTTGACAGCCTGAGAAGGAGTTATAGAGCTTTTATTTTACTTTATTTTTTGGCATTTCTATGCCTCCCAATTAGCCACATACTCTGATCAGTTCACAAATTAAAATACAAATGCAATTCATTAAAAGCAAATCAGCAGGAAATCTGTATCGGCACAAAAAAATTAGTGTAACCCCGGCACTGAACCCTAAAAGGCAGCGTAATATCATGACCAATAAATGCAGCACTAAAAACAAGCAAGAGTAGAAACAAAATAGTTATAAGAATTAAACTGCATTAAATGATAGCTATTAAAAGCCTGTGAGAAAAGTAACATCCACCTGGTAGTGAAAGGACCCTCTTTTGGGGAGCATCCTATAAACAGGATGGGGTTTGGGATCAGAGGGAAATCTGAATGGGAATTATATAGGGCAGGCAGAGCCAAGCGGGTGCCTTTCAAAAGTTGCTGGACTACAACTCCCATCATCTCTGACTTGTTGGCCTTGTTGGATGGGAGTTATAGTTCGACATCGTCCAAAGGACATTTCATTGGCTGTCCCAACATTTATATAGAAAAGATTAATGCAGCAACCCTAAACATATTGAATTGTCCAAAAGCCCCACTGAATTCAGTGAGATTCATCTCTGATAAAGTGTGGAGATGGAGAGGCTGCATTTGCAGATGGGGCTGGAAGTTATTGCCTCACACACATTATTAACGTTTTCTTCCTCCTGAGGTCTACACAACAAGGTGCTTTCCATCCAGATGTGGGTAAAGGGGTTAATTTCTAGCCATCTATTAATGTTTGTATTTTAACAGCTGCTGGATTTCTCGTGGGGATAAAGAGGGTAGAAAATTAAACCAGGATTGACGGTGATGGAAGCTATCCTTTTGAGGAAAAGATTATTTATTGAGACTGTTGAAAGTGTTTCTGTCTCTTTCAGCTGCAGAGGGGATCCTGGGAAATGGAGGTTTTTGTCAGTTTTGTTATTTCTGCTGCCAAAACTACTCTTGAGAGGTAAATGCTTATTTTTATATCAGTCAGTCCAGTCTGGAGACAAACTCCAACTGGGCCTGTGAGGCAGATTTAGTCTCCTCAGGAGATCCTGAGGTGGGTTTTATTATCCAACAGACAAAAGAGAGGGAGGAGGGTCTCTCCATAGAACAAGGCTCCTGAGAACGTGTAGAGTTTGGCTCCTGAGTCGGCATCATAAAAAGACACCTCCCTCCCTTCATAGTCCAGAGTCACTATGATCCTCCTGGGCTTCTCACTCAGGGACAGAGGAGAGGAATCAGGGGAGGTACGGGCCCAGTAATCGCCCCCCCCAATTCTCCACTGCCCAGATCCCTCCCTCAGGGCTTAAGGAGAAGCAACCCTTTCGCCTCACAGACTTCCTGGCGACCCCGACATCCCACCACCCACCACTCTCCACAGTGACTTCCCAGAAATGTTTGCCTTCTGTGAATCCCTCATGTCCCAACACAGATTGAAAGGTGTTGAATCTCTCAGGATTGTCAGGAAGCTTTTGCTTTTTGCCTCCCAATCTCACATTTTTCTGATCCTTGGACAGGATGAGGCTGGGATGGGCTGTGTCTGGATCCAGAGTGACATTTGCTGTTGGGGGAAAGATGTAGAATCAGCGATGGACATCCTAATCCAAGAAATACCCAGAACCACCAGATTCCCTCTCAAATAAATGGGATTCCTTGTCTTGCATTTAGGTTTGGAACACTGCTCTCATTCTTCCAGACTTTCCCTGCAGTGAATACCTTCCTTGTTGGTTTTTAAATCAGTTATTTTCTCCTTTTTATACACACCTGCATTTGTATATTCACAAGCTGTGCCTAAACTGGATCTGCCAGTTTATAGCTTATTTAGTGAAACCTGGCTGTGGTGGGTGCCTATTGGCTAGTGCCAATACCATCACACTCATATCCTCCTCCTCCCATCCCCAGAGCAGTTTGAAAACTATTCTCCAGCCCTCCTGTGAATATGGGTCTCCATCAAAAATTTACCTTTCTGAAACTGTAGTTTGAAGAACATCGCATCTGAGGAAGATAAAAGATAAAATGTTTAAGCACAAGATTGCTGTACCTCAAATAAACATTGTTAGAATAATATCATTTATTAACATGGCATCTGTTGTATCCTTATTTCAGGTAAAAGATGAGATTGTGTAACAAATTATTAAAAATGTAAGATGAACCGATTAAAGAAAACTAAAACTCCACATTGGTAAATGGGACTTAAAAATAGCAGAATAAAAATATTCAACATTGAATCTGAATGTTCTGCCTGAAACTTCCGGAGGCGGCGCGAAACGGCAATGGCGGTCCTCTTCAGCTGCTGAAGAGGGGCTCCGCGGAAAAGGGTCGTACGCTGCGGCATAGCGACGACCCATTCAGAAAAACCACGGGTAGAGTGAGCCCGTGGCCGTAGGATTCGGCGGGCACCAGGAGCAACCTCGGAAACGAAGAAGGGACCCCGTAAGGGGCCCCGGAACGTGGAGGGGGTAGCGGTGCTGTGAATCCATCGCTCTTTCCGCGGAAGTGAAGCCGCGCGGCTGCTGCCGATGAGCGCTGACCTTTCTTCTTTCAACATTTGATTTGAAACAACTTACTCGTGAGTAAGAAATCTGACTCTATTTGAACTTAAATTTGTGAATTTCGGCTGAAAGCGGGAGACGCTAAAAAGGAAGTCAGTCTTCCGGCTCTGTTTAAAGTATTAAGCAAAGTCTTACTAAAACGGAAGCGCTGAAAGGAGCCTAAAAGAAGTTGGAATATACCCTGCAAATTCGGACTTGATTGACTAAAAGCTAAAAAAAAAAGTTAAAATCATATTATAAGTGGACAGAGACTGTGATTTTTCTCTCTACCTTTTGTGGATTACAAAGTTACGAACTCAGCTCTCGGGCTGTCTGGATACAAAGTAACATCAGACTGCGGTAACTGTGTATAGAGGTATAAAGTTACATTGGGCTACTTTCGAAATAAAAAAATTCCTTCCTGTAGCACCTTAAAGACCAACTAAGTTAGTTCTTGGTATAAGCTTTCGTGTGCATGCACACTTCTTCAGATACACTGAAACAGAAGTTGCCAGATCCTTCTTCTGTTTCAGTGTATCTGAAGAAGTGTGCATGCACACGAAAGCTTATACCAAGAACTAACTTAGTTGGTCTTTAAGGTGCTACAGGAAGGAATTTTTTTATTTCGACTATGGCAGACCAACACGGCTACCCATCTGTAATTGGGCTACTTTGTAAGTTATAAGAAAGGAACTGTTGTGTGCACCTTTGTAAAGAACCTTTATTCTCTGCAGTTTAAAGTGAATCCAGAGGGTTCTCCCCCCTGTTTTGGATTTTACTTAACTTTTCATTTGGGAACTTAATGGTGGAAAATTTCTATCCTTCTCCCTAATTTCTGGGGAGCTCCCCCTGCTGGATTGTGGAACTATTTGTCTCTGAGAACTGCTGGTTGTCTTGGAATTTTTTGCGCCCGGATGTTTACTTTTTGGATTGCTTTTCCCATGGGATTTACAATTTGACCTTGAAACTTGGACAGCTGTGGAATGAGTGGCGCAGCAAAAACAAGGGCTGCCAAGAAAGCAAAACAAACTGAACTGTTGCAATCAACTCTGCCTGTGCAGCCACGTAGATCATCTGTTCCAATTGTGACAGGTCTGCAAGAAGGTCAATCTAAACAGCCAGCTTTTGGGGATATGGCTGCAGGAGGGCTAGACCCTGTTTCTAAAGAAATATTGGACCAGCTGGCGGCATTAAACAAGAAAGCGGATGAACAAGCGACCAAATTCGACCAGGTGACAGCTACAATTAATAGACTGACAGACCAAGTCGCCCAAAATACACAGGCAATAGGAAATTTTGAAAAGAGTATAACAGAAAATCGAAAATTAGCCGAGGAAGCAAGTACAAAAGCAGACCTAAATAAAAAAAGGATAGAGGAACTTAGAGGGGAAGTAAGACCACTGAGTAGACAGGTTACTGAACAGCAAGCGTACCTGTCCATGGCAGAACTGAAAAACAGGGAAAGCAATCTCAGGCTTAGAAATATCCCAGAATTAGAAAAAGAAGACCTGATTGGCTATTTGACAGCAGAAATATCCAAGTTCTGGGGCTTGGCAGAAGAGAAGGACTTCAAAATTGTCACCGCTTTTAGACTGGGAAGAGTGGCCAAGAAGGACAAACCAAGAGACTGCTTGATCATCTTGAGATCTAAGCAAGAAAAAGATAACATACTCGGCCTACACTTTAAGAATTCATTGGTGATACAGGGAAAGACAGCAGAAATCTTTAGAGATATACCAAAACAGTTGTTGGATTTAAGAACTACATATAAAGATCTGGCAAGCTTGCTGAGAAACAACTCAATCCCCTACAGGTGGGAATTTCCTCAAGGACTATCTTTTAGTGTGAAAGGGAAGAAGGTAAAAATTAGAACAGCAGAGGAGCAAGAAAAGTTCCTAAACGATTACGGGGAGGACCTTCGGAAAGGAACAGCAGGTACTTGTCCACCCCCCATGCCTGGTGCAAAACCAGATCCACCTCTAAAGGACACAGACGACAAGGGAGACAACCCCATCGGTTGACAAATTGATCCAGGATGTCTTTGCAGCTTTTTAGTTGGAATATTAATGGCGCAAATTCCCCCGAGAAAAGGAAAAGAATTTTTCATATATTGAGGAAAGAACAATTAGACGTCATTTGCCTTCAAGAAACTCATGTGACTAGGCTCCACAGAAGAGTACTAACCAACAAGAGACTAGGCCAAGAATTTACATCATTAGATAAAGTTAAAAAAAGAGGAGTAGTGATATATGCAAAGGAGAGCCTAGCACCAAAATTTGTGTTTAAAGACGAACAAGGAAGAATTTTGGCGATTGAAATACAATCACAAGGAGAAAAATTTCTGATAGTAGGAATTTATGCACCAAACGAGGGGAAATCGGAATTTTACAAGAAGCTGCATGGGATAATGCTGGACTATATTGACTATACTAACATCATTCTGATGGGAGATATGAATGGGGTTGTCTCCACGCACATGGATAAGTCACAAAATCAAAACTTGACTAAAGATGGCAGACTACCAAAGACTTTTTTTGAACTTACAGACAATATGGACTTGATTGATATTTGGAGGATAAAGAACCCTCTAGGTAAAGAGGGAACATTCTTTTCTGAGGCCCACCTATCCTGGACAAGAATCGACCAAATCTGGATATCTAGAGGACTGGCACCTAAGACTAAAAAAATAGAGATCTGCCCCAAAACTTGCTCCGACCATAACGCTTTGAAAATAGACTTGAGACTTACACCAGCTGGATCCTTCAGATGGAGAATGAATGACTCCTTGTTTAGAGATCAGGAGATTGTGAAGAAGGCCCAAAAAACGATGAAAGATTACTTTGAAATAAATTTGAACACTTCGGTGGAAAAGAAAACAATCTGGGACGCGAGTAAAGCTGTTATGAGAGGGTTCCTGATACAACAGAATACTATTAAGAAAAAACTCTGGAATGGTAAAAAGGACAAGATTTTGGAGAAGATAAGAGACGGAGAGAAAAAGTTGAGACTTAATCCAAAATCAAAAGAGGTTTTAAGAGAAATAAAATTCCATCAAGCACAATATGCGAAACTGATAAATCAAGAAGTTGAATGGAAAATTAAACAGATGAAACAAAGATCATTCGAATCGGCAAATAAATGTGGGAAGCTGCTGGCATGGCAGCTGAAAAAGAGACAAAAATTGAACTTTGTTACCAATCTAGAGGTTGAAGGAGAATGTATTCAGAAACCAGAAGAAATTAGAAAGTGCTTCCAGAGATACTTTAAAAAATTGTTTACTCAAGGACCCCAAGTGGAGACTGAGATAAATAAATTCTTAAAAAGTCATGGCCTGCAAAAACTAACACAAGATAAACAAACAGCCCTGAATTACAAAATATCACAACAGGAAATTGAAAGTGCCATTCAGAACATGCAATTAGGCAAATCCCCAGGCCCAGATGGACTTACCTCCAAATATTATAAGACATTGAAGGAATATTTGGCTCAACCACTAATGGAGGTATGTAACCAAATTATGGAAGGGAAGGGGGCACCAGAATCGTGGAAAGAGGCATTCATCACTTTGATACCAAAATTGGAATCTGAAAAGACTCAACTTAAGAACTACCGTCCCATCTCACTCCTAAACGTGGATTATAAAATTTTTGCTGATATCTTGGCAAATAGACTGAAAAAAGTTTTAAACGAAGTAATTCATAAAGACCAAGCAGGCTTTCTCCCTGGCAGGCATCTGTCTGACAACACCAGGAATATTGTTGATGTTTTGGAGTTATTGCAGACAAATTTGAACACAAAAGCAGCTTTGATTTTTATAGACGCGGAGAAGGCCTTTGATAATATATCTTGGAAATTTATGAAGAAAAATTTGGAAGGGATGGGAGTGGGAAGGGCGTTTCAAAATGGTATTGAAGCAATTTATTCAGAGCAAAAAGCTAAATTGATAGTAAACAATGTGGTGACAGAGGAGTTCAAAATTGAAAAAGGAACACGACAGGGGTGCCCCTTATCACCCTTGCTATTTATTTCTGTCCTGGAGGTGTTGCTTAACTTGATTAGGAAGGACCAGCGGGTGGAAGGAATACAGGTCGGAGGAAAACAATATAAACTGAAGGCTTTTGCAGATGATTTGGTTTTGACATTACAGGAGCCAGAACCCAGCACAAAAAGAGCTTTAGAACTAATTTCTGAGTTTGGTCGGGTGGCGGGATTTAGGTTAAACAAACAAAAAACTAAGGTCTTGGCAAAAAATTTGACACCTTCAGAAATAGATGGGTTCCAAAAGGAAACAGAATTAAATGTGGTTAAAAAAGTGAAATACCTGGGGGTCAACTTGACCGGGAAAAATTTGAATCTATTTAAAGACAATTATGAAAAATGCTGGTCTGAAATCAAAAAGGATTTAGAAATTTGGTCAAGATTGAAACTTTCCTTGCTGGGAAGAATTGCTGCAGTTAAGATGAATGTATTGCCAAGAATATTGTTTCTGTTTCAGGCCCTACAGATCGTGGACAGAGTGGAGTGTTTTGGAAAGTGGCAGAGGGACATTATGAAGTTTGTCTGGCAGGGCAAAAAGCCCCGAATAAAATTTAAAATACTAACAGATGCAAAGGAAAGAGGGGGATTTGCCCTGCCGGACTTAAGGTTGTATTATGAAGCTGCATCCTTCTGCTGGATGAAAGATTGGTTTTTGTTAGAAAACACTGATGTCCTAGATCTGGAAGGGTTTGACAATGCTTTTGGGTGGCATGCATATTTGTGGTACGACAAGGTAAAGTTTCATAAGTTGTTTAAAAACCATATTGTCAGGAAATCTTTGTTTATCGTCTGGACTAAATACAAGGACTTACTTGAAAACAAGACTCCGAGGTGGTTATCACCGATGGAGGCTAAGGCCACAAAAATACTTAATATGGGGGGTGGCTGGGCAAAATACTGTGAAATAATAGAAAGAGAGGGTGACACTTGGAGGTTGTAGAGTTTTGAAAAATTGAAAGGAAAGGTGCGAGACTGGTTTCATTATGCCCAAATTTTAGAGATCTTTAAAAAGGACAAAAAAATTGGTTTCCAGGTGGAAAAATCAAAATTAGAGTTGGAACTACTTGAACCTAAGACGAAAGTGCTTTCAAGAATGTATAACTTGTTGCTAAAATGGAATACTCAAGATGAGATGGTTAAATCAGCCATGATAAAATGGGCACAAGATATTGGGTACAACATTATGTTTGAAGACTGGGAAAGGTTATGGACCACCGGTATGAAATTTACGGCATGTAGTGCCTTAAAAGAAAACATTATGAAAATGATGTACAGGTGGTACATGACCCCAGTCAAACTCGCAAAGATATACCATTTGTCAGACAATAAATGTTGGAAATGTAAGGAGGCTGAAGGAACATTCTTTCACCTCTGGTGGACATGCCCGAGGGTGAAGGCCTTTTGGGAAATGATTTATAACGAGTTGAAAAAGGTATTTAGGTATACCTTTCATAAGAAACCAGAGGCCTTCCTCCTGGGCATTGTAGGCCAGAGAGTGTCAAAGAAAGACAGAACTTTCTTTTTATATGCAACTACAGCAGCAAGAATTCTTATAGCCAAATATTGGAAGGCACAGGAGCTACCCACGCTGGAAGAGTGGCATACGCAACTGATGGACTATATGGAATTAGCTGAAATGACTGGCAGAATCCGAGACCTGGGAGAAGAGGCAGTGGAAGAGGATTGGAAAAAATTTAAGGACTATCTACAAAAACATTATAAGTTATATGAAAGTTGAGAATTTGCTAAGTTTTGGGAAAAACATGCTTCGGTATTGAGATTTGAAAATGATTGAAATTAAGTTATGACTGTGAAAAGTTTAAATTTAGAGTATATAATTGGATGAAAGTACAAAAACACATGAAACAAGGTATTAATTTGCTGTATAATTTTCTTTTATTGTAAAGAATGCAGGGATGGAAGATGTGGGGAAGTCCAGTTGACTATGAAAAAAGATTTGGAAAAGTGAATTTTCTTTTATTTAATTTTTTCTTTTTCTTTGTAAAATCGCTTTTGTTGTGTAATTGACGATGTATCCTGACCTTGGAAAAAAAAGCAATAAAAAAAAATATTATTAAAAAAAAAATGAATGTTCTGCCTGAAACTGGGGTCCATAATGGAGGCACAGAGGGTAGCCAAAGGAATAGCAATCATGGAACAGGATGCAGGGGGGAGATGGACCCAGCATTAACATCTGCCCCAAGTAAAATGGTGTGGGAAATAATTAAAGTCAGAATGGTTAAACATAATCAGAAACTAAGCTTGCTGAGGAAGGCAGTCATCTCATGCAAAGGTAATTGTAAACAGATGCACATAGGGAAAAAAACCCTGACTTTACTGTACAGTCTGGTGTAGGCTTTCTTTCCCCTTCATGGATCACTGCCTTGCCGTGGCGAAGGGGCTTGAAGAACTCAGAGAAGCTATGAACTATGCTGAGCAGGGCACCCAAGATGAACAGGTCATAGTGGAGAGTTTTGACCAAATGTGATCCACCTGGAGGGGGAACCGGCAAGCCACTCCAGTATCCCTGCCAAGAAAACTCCATGGACAAAGACAACAGGCATATAAAAGTTATGACGCTGGAAGATGAGCCCCTCAGGTCGGAAGGCGTCCAACATGCTACTGGGGAAGAGTGGAGGACAAGTACAAGTAGATCCAGAGCTGATGAAGCGGCTGGGCTAAAGCCGAAAGGACGCTCAGTTGCGGATATGCCTGGAAGCGAAAGGAAGCGAAAGGAAAATCCAATGCTGTAAAGAAAAATATTGCATAGGAACCTGGAATGTAAGAACCATGAACGTGGGTAAGTTGGATGCGGTCAAAAATGAGATGGCAAGAATAAATATTGACATCCTGGGCATCAGTGAACTAAAATGGACGGGAATGGGCGAATTCAGTTCAGATGACCATCATATCTACTACTGTGGGCAAGAAACCCGCAAAAGAAATGGAGTGGCCCTCATAGTCAACAAAAGAGTGGCGAAAGCTGTACTGGGATGCAATCTCAAAAATGATAGAATGATCTCGATACGAATCCAAGGCAGACCTTTTAACATAACAGTAATCCAAGTTTATGCACCAACTACTGGTGCTGAAGAAACTGAAATTGACCACTTCTATGAAGACTTACAACACCTTATAGAAGTGACACCAAAGAAGGATGTTCTTCTCATTATAGGGGATTGGAATGCTAAAGTAGGGAATCAAGAGATAAAAGGAACAACTGGCAAGTTTGGCCTTGGAGAGCAAAATGAAGCAGGGCAAAGGCTAATAGAGTTCTGTCAAGAGAACAAGCTGGTCATCACAAACACGCTTTTCCAACAACGCAAGAGACGACTCTACACGTGGACATCACCAGATGGGCAGCATCAAAATCAGATTGATTATATTCTCTGCAGCCAAAGATGGAGAAGCTCTATACAGTCAGCAAAAACAAGACCTGGAGCTGACTGTGGCTCAGATCATCAGCTTCTTATAGCAAAATTCAAGCTTAAACTGAAGAAAGTAGGAAAAACCACTGGGCCGGTAAGATACAATCTAAATCAAATCCCTTATGAATACACAGTGGAAGTGAGGAACAGGTTTAAGGATTTAGATTTGCTGGACAGAGTGCCTGAAGAACTATGGATGGAGGCTCATAACATTATACAGGAGGCAGCAATGAAAACCATCCCAATGAAAAGGAAATGCAAGAAAGCAAAGTGGCTGCCCAATGAGGCCTTACAAATAGCGGGGGAGAGAAGGCAAGCAAAATGCGAGAGAGATGGAGAAAGATACAGGAAATTGAATGCAGATTTCCAAAGAATAGCAAGGAGAGACAAGAAGGCCTTCTTAAATGAGCAATGCAAAGAAATAGAGGAAAACAACAGAATGGGAAGAACTAGAGATCTGTTCAAGAAAATTGGAGATATGAAAGGAACATTTCGTTCAAAGATTACCATAATAAAGAACAAAAGTGGTAAGGACCTAACAGAAGCAGAAGATATCAAGAAGAGGTGGCAAGAATACACGGAGGAATTATACCAGAAAGATATGGATGTCTCGTACACCCCAGGTAGTGTGGTTGCTGACCTTGAGCCAGACATCCTGGAGAGTGAAGTCAAATGGCCTTAGAAAGCACTGCAAATAGCAAGGCCAGTGGAAGTGATGGTATTCCAACTGAACTATTTAAAATTTTAAAAGATGATGCTGTTAATTTGCTACACTCAATATGCCAGCAAGTTTGGAAAACTCAGCAGTGGCCAGAGGATTGGAGAAGATCAGTCTACATCCCAATCCCAAAGAAGGGTAGTGCTAAAGAATGCTCCAACTACCGCACAATTGCACTCATTTCACATGCTAGCAAGGTTATGCTTAAAATTCTACAAGGAAGGCTAAAGCAGTATGTGGACCGAGAACTCCCAGAAGTGCAAGCTGGATTTAGAAGAGGCAGAGGAACCAGAGACCAAATTGCAAACATGCGCTGGATTATGGAGAAAGCTAGAGAGTTCCAGAAAGACATGTACTTCTGCTTCATTGACTATGCAAAAGCCTTTGACTGTGTCGACCACAGCAAACTATGGCAAGTTCTTAAAGAAATGGGAGTGCCTGATCACCTCATCTGTGTCCTGAGAAATTTCTATGTGGGACAAGAGGCTACAGTTAGAACTGGATATGGAACAACTGATTGGTTCAAAATTGGGAAAGGAGTATGACAAGGCTGTATTTTGTCTCCCTGCTTATTTAACTTATATGCAGAATTCATCATGCGAAAGGCTGGGCTGGATGAATCCCTAGCCGGAATTAAGATTGCTGGAAGAAATATCAACAACCTCAGATATGCAGATGACACAACCTTGATGGCAGAAAGTGAGGAGGAATTAAAGAACCTTTTATTGAGGGTGAAAGAGGAGAGCGCAAAATATGGTCTGAAGCTCAACATCAAAAAAACGAAGATCATGGCCACTGGTCCCATCACCTCCTGGCAAATAGAAGGGGAAGAAATGGAGGCAGTGAGAGATTTTACTTTCTTGGGCTCCATGATCACTGCACATGGTGACAGCAGCCATGAAATTAAGAGACGCCTGCTTCTTGGGAGGAAAGCAATGACAAACCTAGACAGCATCTTAAAAAGTAGAGACATCACCTTGCCAACAAAGGTCCGTATAGTAAAAGCTATGGTTTTCCCAGCAGTGATGTATGGAAGTGAGAGCTGGACCATAAAGAAGGCTGATCGCCGAAGAATTGATGCTTTTGAATTATGGTGCTGGAGGAGACTCTTGAGAGTCCCATGGACTGCAAGAAGATCAAACGTATCCATTCTTAAGGAAATCAGCCCTGAGTGCTCACTGGAAGGACAGATCCTGAAGCTGAGGCTACAAAACCTCATGAGAAGAGAAGACTCCCTGGAAAAGACTCTGATGTTGGGAAAGATTGAGGGCACAAGAAGAAGGGGACAACAGAGGACGAGATGGTTGGATAGTGTCTTTGAAGCTTCCAGCATGAGTTTGACCAAACTGCGGGAGGCAGTGGAAGACAGAAGTGCCTGGCATGCTCTGGTCCATGGGGTCACAAAGAGTCGGACACGACTAAACAACAAGGCTTTCTTTACAAGTGGCAGACACAATTTCTCATGCCCCAGGGTGCCAATGCATATGAGGCATTTTGGAGAAAATACAATGATGGCTGGAGCACCAAGAGAGAAGTTATGATCATGCCAACCCATGTCCACAGCAAAAGCAAAATACAATGCCTAAGAGCCTGGCATGCTCTGTGTTGGACTAATATAATGCCCAGCACAAAATCCTTGCCGCCATTCTTCATTACCTTTGAATTCCTTCATGATGTCCTCCAGAAGGAGATTTGTATCACAGAATCTGCAGGTCTTCCATTTTAGCTTTAGAGGGAAGGAAAGTGCATTCGCCAGTCTCTCTCTTCTCTCATACCTGATGGGGAAAAGAATGTTAACCTCCCAAATCCATAATTTCTAGTACAGTAAAGCAAAATTTTAAAAGTAAGAGAGAGAAAATGGTAGAAGTCTAGACTCTAGAGAGACAGGCAGGCACAGAGGCAGAGATTTCCCCTCAGTATAGACTTCACAGCCAGACACCCGAGGACCAGAAAGGCAACTGCAGATCCCTGAGTCTCCCCACTTATTTCTATTCAAATAAGAAACATTATGTATGTTAAGTTGTGGGTGAACATATCAGATGACACAGCGATTCTTCAGACAACTCTTGTTTATTCACAGGCCAGAACAGAACTGAACTGAAGGGTTCGGCCAGCCTGCTTATATAGAGCTCCACTACAACTCAACAGTAACCATTTTCTGTAACTATCCAATCACTGAACATCACTTTTAATCTCTTATTTGCATATGTGGACATGTGTGAAAACTATCTACAGTATCCCCCTGCTGGCCCAGGGTGAAAACTTCAGTACATAACAATGTACTATCGTAACGCTCAAGAGTTTCTCTCCTCCAACTTCACTTCATTGCCTTCCACAGGTGAGGGCCACGAATTATCCTGAGTGCAATGATAGCACAACACACATTTCCCTTCTCTAGATGTCTCCAGAGAAGGTGTAGAGAAAAACAAGATGGTTGCTGCTGTAACTTCTAATCTGAACCTGAGTGGTACATTAGCATTTGCTGCTGACTGGCAGTTCTTGATGGGATCAACTAAGGCACTGGTTGCGTGGAATTATTGCAACTTTCCCTTAGCAACACTTGAGTAAGGTCATAATATCTGCTGGTATCCTGCTTGGACAATTTAGATAACCTCTGCTGTAGAACCACATGCTCTCAGAGAAAGAGGCAGATCTTTTACAGTGCAAGGGACAACAGAGAAGAAACTGATCCTCCAGGACCCTCACCCACATAGACCCCTGGTGTGTCTCCAAGCCTTGTTCTATCTCCTCCACAATAGTCTTCAGCAAAATATAGTATAGCAGGTGTAAAAGCCCTCATGAGAAAAGGCTTCCTGCCATCTCAAGCAGATGCTGCCATGCTGAGACGGTGGTAGTCCGGGTCTGTCATGGGAGAAGAGCAGTGCATGGGCCCTCACCATGCCTGGTGTAGTCAAGGGTGTGGGCCTGAGGTGCCTGCTTCTCTGCCTGCTCCCTCAGTCAGGGCCCTTTCCCAGTCCTTGGCTGTGACGCATTGTAGATGACGAGAAGGTGACTATGTGAGATGAACAGGTAGCCCAGGCCAATAAGAGTTAAGCCCTCCTGCTGCTGAGGTGCTGTCTCAGGAAAATGGGAACCACCCACTGCAGCACTTGCTGCCTGAGGCGACAGACACACTCTGCCCATTGGTAGGGCCATGCCTGCCCTCTCTGTTCCATCACTCAGTAGAAATTCCAGCCTTGCCTTTATTATGGCTTTTTAATCATTTGTTTGAAATGTTTCCAGAGTCAATGAACAGAACTTCAGGCAGGCAGAGAAGAACCTCCAGCCATGTGTGATGAGGGGAGGGAGTGTTTTGGGCCTGATCCTTGGGTTGAGAATAGGGGTGCTACAAGTTCAAAAGAGAGGCCCCTATCTGTGCCAGTGAAATGATGGAGTGTGTCCAACGGTCTCTCCATCAGGAGCTTGGAGGGCCAGGTTTTATGTACTGTCCTTCTGGCTTTTTCCCAACCTTACAGAGTGATGCTAATGGAAATGAGCAGGATCCACTCACCTCTGCAAGGTGCTTCTCACATCCTAGAGGGGAAAAGAGAAAGGAATTCACTGCACACCACAGGCCACACTAGGAAGACCTCCACAGACCCTGGCCCTTGGATGTCAGTCTGCCCAGTACACACCAATTTTTTAGATAGGAATAGTTCAATCAGCCAATGTTGTTATCTCTCAGTTTGAAATTGATAAAAGTCCCTTCTGAAAAGTTATTGGCACTTTAGTGTTAAGTTCTCTTAGTACATATACATATTTTTATGTGCGGTTTTGCATTAAACACACATTTTGCAAAGCAATTTTCTGCAATTTAATTTTTCCCCCTACGTTATTTTCATTTTACGATACTGTATGAATTTTTGTAACTATTTATTACCCATTTGGTGGTTTCACCTTTAAGTGCAAAGCCAATGGAATTTCTTTGCCATTGCTAGTTTTGGGTTTTAACTTCTGAACATTCATCTGATTTTATTCACCAAAAAATTGTGGCATCCCACCCTTTTCCGTATAATTTTCATTGTACAGTAGACACATAAGCCAACATGGTGTAGTCTTTCTGGGATATTGTCATAAATACTCACCCCTACAGCAACCTCAAATCTCAGCCAGTTACTGCTTACCATTTTGATTCTGGAAACATTAAAAAAAAAAAAAACCAAGGAGACTGAGAGGAGATATGGTAGCCATCTTCAAATATTTAAAGGGCTATGCCATGGAAGATAGAGCAAGCTTGTTTTCCTCTGCTCAGGAGGGCAGAACTCAAACCAATAGCTTCAAGTTAGAAGAAAGGAGATTCAGACTAAACATCAAGAAAAACTTTCTTACAGTAAGAGCAGTTCGACAGTGGAATGGACTCCCTCTGACAGTGGTGGACTCTCCTTCATTGGAGGTTTTTAAGCAGAAGTTTGGATGGTTTAGTTGAGATTTCTGCATTGCAGGGGGTTGGCTAGATGACCCTTGGGATCCCTTCCAACTCTACAATTCTATGGGGGGGAAACCCGTAGCATGAAAACTTACAGGAGGAATGTGAATATGCCTGTTTACCCAGGCATCTGATAGCTGAAGAACACTGCTCCTGGCAACCTCGACATCATGAGAGGGAAGTCAGTTTTAAAATTGTAATTGCTTTTAGAATGCTTTTAACTGCAGTTGTTCTCAATGCTTTTAATTGAAATGGTTTTTAAAATGCTTTTTACTTTGTTTTCGATTTTGTATTGTAATCTGCTGCCAGAGGCCCCTTGGGGCAGGGGCGTGGGAAGGGGGCGGGGGGCGGGTCACCCCAGGTGCCATCATGAAGGGGGGTGACAAATTATCAAGAAACAATTACTGCCCTACTAGGGCGGTTCATAAAAAACTTTTTTTTTAAAATGCTTGCTCCAAAGGTCTTATCTTACTACACTAGGGATTATATAGCTATATATTAAATTTCATGCATATCAGTTAATATCTTGACCCTCCTCCACGAAAATAGCTGTTTACTTGGCCATTTTCCTATGTTGGGAAGGCTGAAAATTCAATTCAGTGGAGCAGTGGGGGGGGGGTGACAAAGGGGGGGGTGACAAGAAATTTTCCGCACCAGGTACCACCTGATGTTCCTACGCCTCTGTCTTGGGGAGGAAGGGTAGGATATCAATTCAATAAATAATAATATATTATATAATAAATAAATTAATTAATCAGCACTGAACAAGAATCTCCAGTGAATAAACCATCCTTGTTCTCTGGGATGCTCCTGTACAGAACAGACCTAGCTAGAGGCTCAATAAACAGCCTCTCTACTACTTGAGACGCATAAAAGTATGCAGGCACCCTTTTCCAGCCTTGTGCTGTTCCTGCCGCCACCATCCTACCTGCAGGAGTTCACTCGCTGGCTGCTGACTCTTCTCCTCCATTTCCTGGATGATACTTTCAAGAGAGGAGAGATTTCCGGAGAGTGTGGCCAGGTGCTCATTCCATCTCGTTGCAATTTCCTCCTCCATCTGTTCTATCTCATTCAGCAGACATTTTTCTTGTTTTTCCAGAATTTGGCGCAGTTGTCTGAATTCCTCCACTGTCTTCTGCCTCTGAGTTTCTGTTAATTTCTGCAAGAAGCAGATAGAAAGAAGAAAAGAGGAGGCCAGGTAATGCCTACAAAATGCAGATACTAAGGTTAAAGTGTGCATGAAAATGTATTTATTAAGGTAATGGCCTAGAAAAAGGAATTAGGGGATAGTGCTTTGCAAAATATGTGTATACTGGGCAAAACCTCATGTAAAAATATGTATATTAGCAGAAAATGGTACTAAAATACTGATGGATTTTCATTAGGACTTAAAAAAATAATAAGTGAAGTGGAGATGTGGAGAAGTGAATTTAAGACAGAAATATATGAAACTGAGAGAAACAAAAGTAGATTTCCCCATCCCTCCTCAGACCCTACTTGATTCGCCAAGTAGTTGTTCCCTTCCTACTAACAATAGTGACACTTACAAGGAGGTCTTGGCTTTCCTTCTCCAGGTCTGCGTCATATTTCAGAATTGTTTCTTTCTCTTTCCTCAGAATTTCCAGGCAGTTACCTATTATTCCCTAAAGAGAAAACAAAATCTCAGATTGTGACTAAGACCAATAAAGAGAGATAAAGAGAAGTCAAGCACTATGCTCCATTCTATTGCCCAGTGGCTCTGCTCTTAGCTTTTTAACTGATAATCTCTCTGGTACATTTTAGTTTCTGACACTTGCTCTGGGAGATTCATAGAATCATAGAACTGTAGTTGGAAGAGACCACAAGGATTAAGAAGTACTGTTTTGGGGGGACAGGTGGGTGTGGGGTAACAGTGCCCCTGAAGGGCCAGGTGCACAGCCTGGGAGTCATTTTGGACTCACTGCTGTCCATGGAGACACAGGTCAATTCTGTGTCCAGGGCAGCTGTCTACCAGCTCCATGTGGTACGCCAGCTGAGACCCTACCTGCCTGTGCACTGTCTTGCCAGAGTGGTGCATACCCTGGTTATCTCCCGCTTAGACTGCTGCAATGCACACTACTTGGGGCTACCTTTGAAGGTGACTCGAAAACTACAACTAATCCAGCTAGACTGATGACTGGGAGTGGCTGCCAAGACCATGTAAGATCCTAAAGGATCTTCAGTGGCTCCCAGTACGTTTCCAAGCACAATTCAGTGTTGTTGCTGACCTTTAAAGCCCTAAATGGCCTCAGCCCAGTACACCTGAAAGAGCATCTCCAACCCCATCATTCAGCCCAGACTGAGGTCCTCCTCAGAGGGTCTTCTCCTGGTTCCACTCTCCCAATGGAACACCCTCCCGTCAGATGTCAAGGAGATAAAGAACTACATAACTTAAAAGACATCTGAGGACAGCCCTGTATCGGGAAGTTTTTAAAGTTTGATGTTTTACTATGCTTTTATATAGGGACTCAGGTGGCGCTGTGGTCTAAACTACTGAGCCTAGGACTTATCAATCGGAAGGTCGGCGGTTCGAATCCCTGCGACAGGGTGAGCTCCCATTGCTCGGTCCTAGCTTCTCACAACCTAGGAGTTCGAAAGCACGTCAAAGTGCAAGTAGATAAATAGGTACCGCTCCGGCGGGAAGGTAAATGGCGTTTCTGTGCGCTGCTCTGGTTCGCCAGAAGCAGCTTAGTCATGCTGGCCACATGACCCGGAAAAACTGTCTGCGGACCAACGTCGGCTCCCTCCACCAATAAAGCGAGATGAGCGCCACAACCCCAGAGTCATTCGCGACTGGACTTAACTGTCAGGGGTCCTTTACCTTTACCTTTAATCCACCCAGAGTGTGTGGGGAAACCCAGCCAGATGGGCAGGGTGTAAATCATCATCAACATCATTATCATCATCATTATTTAGCCCAATCCCCTGAAAAGCAGGAATCTTTTGCCAAACATGGGGCTTGAGCCCACGACCCTGAAATTAAGAGTCTTAAGGTTTAGCTGCTCCCCCCTCCCCAAAACTGTGTTTTCTCCTCAGGTTTCTAGATAGACATTTTTAAAAGCAAGGCTGTTATGAGAAGTTTCATTTCATTATTATTACTTTTACTTTGAATTGTTATTATTACATTGCACATGGGACGCCGGTGGCGCTGTGGGTAAAAGCCTCAGCGCCTAGGGGAAAGGTCGGCGGTTCGAATCCCCGCGACGGGGTGCGCTCCCGTTGCTCGGTCCCAGCGCCTGCCAACCTAGCAGTTCGAAAGCACCCCCGGGTGCAAGTAGATAAATAGGGACTGCTTACTGGCGGGAAAGTAAACGGCGTTTCCGTGTGCTGCGCTGGCTCGCCAGATGTGGCTTTGTCACGCTGGCCACGTGACCCGGAAGTGTCTCCGGACAGCGCTGGCCCCCGGCCTCTTGAGTGAGATGGGTGCACAACCCTAGAGTCTGTCAAGACTGGCCCGTACGGGCAGAGGTACCTTTACCTTTACCTTTATTACATTGCACAAGAGCATATTTGCGCTAGTGTAGAAAAACAAGTGTAGTGGGTTTTTTTTTTTAAAGAAAGTAAAAGGCCTTTTAAAAAGATGCTCCTGAAACAAAATCAGAATTTTGTTTTTATTCATAATAGCACAGAGAAGGGTTCTCATTAAAAAGTGTACTTCTTCCCTCTCTAGCCTGCTGCGCCCAGGCAGTCAGGTCCTACTCTGGTTACTAATTCCACCAGCTGAGCCTACCAAGGTGCAAATGTGATTTGAAGTGACATCACTGCATTTTAAACCACAAATGTGTGCGTAGTTTTAGGCCTGCCTGCAAATTCTAAATTTGGTTTGCAAATTTTTGACTTGTTAAGAAATATAAACCTTTTTCTACCATCACTTTGCCTCAGGAGTCTTCATTGCAAGTGTGGGGGCAGTCAGACAAAACTTCACAAGACTTGGGGCAGCTTTTGTAATAGTGGATGGCATCAGGGACAGACTGTGGTAATCTTTGGTATTTTGGCACCCTCATATGGATTTCAAGTGAAGCCCCCTTTGGCACACAGAGAAAAAAATTACACTTGTGCCACCCACCTCCCATGAGACCTCAAGCTTCTCAATGGCTATTTAAACAAGATCTCAGGAAATTTTTGCATACCCTCCAGTAGGAATGCCATATTTCAAAAACCAGGACACCCCAAACGTTGTTGAGCGTTTTTCTTTCTCACTTGCCTAAGATCCAGGACAAAGCAGGAAAATCCATTTTCTGATGAAAATAGGGATGTCATAAGGAAAAAAGGACACTTCAGGATCAAATCAGATACTGGGATGGCTTCTGTAAATCCGGGACTGTCCCTAGAAAATAGGGACACTTGGAGGGTGTGTTAATGTCACGTGTAGTTGAACCTAAGAATTACAGAAAACCTCCCAAGAAAACCCACAGCTCTTTACCCCATCAAGATCCCGAGTGATTTCCTACCTTGTACTCTTGAGAAGCCTCCTCCAGAGGGATCACCTCATGATGTCTGTGCTCCTTGGACCTGTCACACACCACGCAGATGGGGGTTTCTTCCTCCTTACAAAAAAGCTTCAGGGGCTCCTGGTGCTTCTGACAAACTCTCCCCTTTCCTTGTTCCTCCTCCCCGCTTTGGAGACTCAACTTCTTGGTTATTTCCACAAAGTTAGCCAGTTGCCGGTTGGGGATGAGATTATTTTGCTGGACTGCTCTTCTGCACTGAGGGCAGGAAGCCTCTCCCTCCGATTCCACCCAGCATTGGATCAGGCAGCCTCGGCAGAAGTTGTGCCCACACTCTGGGATGGTCACTGGATCCTTGAAATACTCCAGGCAGATGGAGCAAGTGGATTCATCACAGAGATCCTTTACGGGTCTCTCAGCAGCAGCCATGGCTCCCTCAGGCCAAAGAACAGAGCTAAGTTTCACTTTCTTAGTTTTCAGTCACTGGGTGTTTCCCTACCTAGAAATGACTCAGGAATTTTTCTTAATGCTGGTAGTACTATAAATACTGTGATAAACAAATAAAATACTGTCATTGTGGAGGAACACACCCAGTTTAAAGGAAACGCACCTCCCTGAAGGAAGAGCTGTGTAAAAGGGGCTTCCCCTGTCCTCCTGGCCAGGATGTCTAGTCTCTTACTCTGCTCAAGGGTCTGTTGGAGTGGGCTGAAGTAAAACGTATAATGTGACCAATGTAACTAATAGTAGTTGTAAATGAATATAGACAGACAACAATAATAATTGTATATCTAGAAGGATTTATTTGTTTACAGACACTTTATGGACAAATGTGGAAGAAGAACAATATACAAAATGGATAAAGACAATGCGAAAAATTTAGAGGCGATATAAAAAAGCCAAAAGAAGGAAGGAGGGAAGTCAGCTCCTAGGAACATGTATAAATGTAAAATGTAATACAATATGTGGATGTGTAGTATGTAACAGAAAAACCAATAAAGATTATCCTGAAAAAGAAAGAAAGATTTCAAAAATTGGTCCAGGTTGAAGTTATCATGGATGGGAAGGATGCCCTCAGTGAAAAGACTCAAACTGCCAAACTTACAGTTGGCAAGCCCAAGACGTTCAGTGGTTTAGACCACAGCGCTACCCGCGTCCTGGGCAAACTGAAGGTAGGGCATGCCCTTTTTGATTCTCTCAATGCAAGTAAAAATCTAGCACATCAGGAAGAATGATTCTGGCCAAGCTTGCTCTCTATTGTACTAGGTTTCTATGTGCAGGGCCTTTTTTAACATAAAGGAATGTTTCAAAAAACGGATTTTCCTTGCTGCAGTCTTAAGCGGTAAAGTGCACTAGGTGCCTAAGCTAAAGTTTCCAAGGTCAAACCTATGAAAATAGATTTCCCTCTTCTGCATTCCTTTTGGTAAGCATCCAAAAACAAAAAAACCCACTCTAGGAATCACATCCTAGGGATGCTCTCCTTTCTAGAAAGGTTCATGAAGCAGTGTGTTTAGTGAAGAAAGAAAAACACTATGATTATTTTGTTTTATTTTTTAAGAGATAGCAAAGCCTTGGAGGCTGGAGCTCAGATCATGAACAGGGCAGGCATCTCAACAAAAGCCATGGTGCCCCCCCCCCCCCCGAACGTAGCTGCTTTTTCATTTCAGGGTTGCTACTTGGGTTCAAGGCTTCCACATTTCTAAATTATGCACTAGGAAGATGTGGGCTTTTTCTTTGGGGTGAAGTGAGAAATTTGAAAAAAGTACCTCAGTGATAAGGGCAAGCGCTCAATAATTTGTTGTTATCATTAAATAAAATGCTGCTGGTGTGTGAGTATTTTTTTTGGGGGGGGGACCAATTAAATAAGTTCTCATTAGGTTTTCCATTCATACATACAGTGGGGAAAGAAAGGTCGTTTCTTTGTTCAGGTATCTCACTTTGGTTAGAGAGGGGAGAGAGGTCTGTGGCTCTTGAGATGATGCTGGACTTCAACTCCTATCATCCCCAACTTCAACTGGGCCTGTGAGGCAGATTTAGTTTCTTCAGGAGATCCTGAGGTGGGTTTTATTTCCCCACAGATAAAAGAAAGGGAGGAGGGTTTCTCCGGAAAAAGAGCCTCCTGAAAATGTGTAGAGTTCAGCTCCTGAGGCAGCGTCAAAAAAAGACACACGTTCCCCTTCATAGTCCAGAGTTACCCGGATCCTCCTGGGCTCCTCACTCAGGGAAAGATGGGAAACAGGGGAGGTGCAGGCCAAGTACTTCCCTCCCCACTTCTCCACAGCCCAGATCCCTCCCTCAGGACAAAAGGCAAAGTTGTCCTTTCTCCTCACAGACTCCCTAGCGATCCCCACAACCCATTCTCCCTCACTTCCCACAGTGACTTCCCAGAAATGTCTGCCTGCTGTGAATCCCTCACGTCCCAACACACAAGGCCCGTTGCTGAACCTCTCAGGATTGTTAGGCAGGCGTGGCTTTTTGTCTCTCCTTCTCACGCTTTTCCCATCCTCGGACAGGATGAGCCTGGCATGGGCTGTGTCTGGATCCAGAGTGACATTTGCTGTTGAGGGAAGATAAGGAAAAGAGAAGAGAGGCAGAATCAGCCGAGAGTCAGAGATGGGCATCCTGATCTAATAAACCCCTCTCAAAGAAATGGGACCTCTTTGCATCACATGCAGGATTGAGACCCTCCCCCCTTCTTCCAGACTCTTATCAGAATAAATATACAGTAGTACCTCAGGTTAAGTACTTAATTCGTTCCAGAGGTCCGTTCTTAATCTGAAACTGTTCTTAACCTGAAGCACCACTTTAGCTAATGGGACCTCCTGCTGCCGCCGTGCCGCCAGAGGACAATTTCTGTTCTCATCCTGAAGCAAAGTTCTTAACCCGAGGTACTATTTCTGGGTTAGCAGAGTCTGTAACCTGAAGCGTATGTAACCTGAAGCGTATGTAACCCAAGTTGGCTTTTAAATCAGGATTGGGCCCCTGCTGTCAATCCAGGCATCTTCCAAGAAGTAAAATAACCCAGTAAACCTTTATTCAGCTCTAAGTGAAGGAGAAGGAGAAAGGGATTGGAAGGGGCAGGGGAGGAAGGAATTTGCCCTCATCTGACACTCTCTGTGAGAAATGGTCATTTCAGGGATGTGAGGGATGAGAGCCCCCCCCCCCCCCCCAGTTCAGGTAAGGAGAGAACAACCACAAAATCTTTACTGCCCTCACTAAGGTTACAGTTGGGGAGTGTGTCAGGGCAAACCCATTACAGTGGTACTTTGGTTCTCGAACTTAATCCATTCTGGGAGTCCATTCGACTCTCAAAACCATTTGAAAAACCAAGGCTCAGCTTCCGACTGACTGCAGGAGCTTCCTGCACTCAAGCAGAAGCCGCGTCAGATGTCCAGCTTCCAAAAAATGTTCGCAAACTGGAACACTTACTTCCGAGTTTGTAGTTTTCGGGAGCCAATTTGTTCAGCAACTAAGCCATTCAAGAACCAAGGTACCACAGTACCTATTTCTGCTTCAGCTGGAAGTAGGACTAATTCTGGCTCAAGGGTCACATTTCAATCTGGGAAAGAAGCAAAATTAAGCAACCAAGAAGATTTTCTTGCCTTGTGAACTTCTGAACTTTCCTTCCATGTTGTTTTCTTACAAACATAATACCAGTATGTGCACATTTGCTATCCTGAAGCCTGCCAAAGTCTCCCTGGGTTTGACAGTTGTTGTTTTAAAGCTCAGATATTGTACTGAAAGCACACTTGCATTTGTATTTCCGCATGCCTTGAAACAAGATGTGCCTAAACTGGATCTGCCAGTTTGTAGCTTATCTAGTGAAACTTGGCTGTGGTGGGTGCCTATTGGCTAGTGCCAGTATCATCACACACATATCCTCCTCCTCCTCCTCCCATCCCCAGAGCAGTTTGAAAACTATTCTTCAATATTTGCATAAATAATAATCATAATTGGTAAACCGTGAACATATATGTATAAAAGCAAATGGATGATTTTGCTGTCAGTGCATAGCATATTTGCATACAGGGTAGAGGTGGAGCACCCAGCAAAATGTCATCCTGAATGAAACTGTGCACAGGGACAGAATGCAAAGTTGTGACTGCAAAGAGATTACAAAAAGGAGCTCAAGACATTTTATTATGATGATTGTAATTTTAGATGCTGCTGCTCCCTGATTTTAGTTATGATGACTGTATTGAACCAAAAAAGAGACACTGAAGAGCTCCAGAAACTGAGTGAATGGGCGGTAAAATGGCAAATGAAATTCAGTGAAAGTGATGCATGAAACCTTGGGCTCATAGTAAGATAGCTTGATGAAGATGTTGACCCAGTGTGCAGAAAAAGGCCATTTCCACGCTAGGTTTCAGACGGTTTTTTGTTTTACAATCAAGCAGTGTATAAATTTTATGAAGTGAAATGAAATGAAATAAATAAAATAAAATAAACCCATCCTCTGGTCATTCAATGTACATATGAAGAACTCAAATGCTGCTATAAGGCTATTAACCTATTGATGGTTCCAAAGTCTAAAGAAAAGATGATCTAACCCCCAAAGAAATACCAGTGCCCCTCCCCCCTGTGCAATGGGGGGTCGCCATTGGAAATTTACCTTTCTGAAACTGTAGTTTGAATAACACAGCATCTGAAGAAGAAGAAATATATCAAGTTTAAACACTGCACTGCTATACCTCAATAAAGTATTGATAGAAAAGCAACACAGAATCTGTCGTATCCTTATTTCAAGTGGTAGAACAAAGAATTAACAACTTAAGAAGAAAACTGTAAAACTCAGCAATGGTAAACGAGACTTCAAAACAGGAGAATAAAAAAATCCCACATTAAATCTGATTGTCTATGAATGTTCTCCCTGAAATTGGGGTCCATAGCAGAGGGTAGCCCAAGCAATAGCAATCCTATAACAGGATGCAGGGGGGAGATGGAGGCAGCCTTAGTGGTAGGGGAAATTATTAAAGCCAGAATTGTTAAACACCATGAGAAACTAAGCTTGCTGAGGAAGGACTGGCAGAGCTCTCATTCCAAAGGAATTGTAAACAGATGCACAATAGAAGGGGGAAATCCTGCCTTAATATACAGCCTAGTGTGGGTTTTCTTTATTTGTGGCAGTCACAATTTCTTATACCCCATAATTTTTTTCTGAGGAAAATCCAATGATGGCTGGACCACCAAGAGCAGGCACCCCCAAACTTGGCCCTTCAGATGTTTTGGGACTACAACTCCCATCATCCCTAGCTAACAGGACCAGTGGTCAGGGATGATTGGAGTTGTAGTCCCAAAACATCTGGAGGGCCGAGTTTGGGGATGCCTGACCACGAGTATGATGGTCCTACCCTTGTCTACAGCAAGAGCAAAATACAATACAATAAGCGCCTGGCAAGCTCTATGTTGGTCTAATATAATGCTGAGCATAAACTCCTTGCAACCATTCATCAATACCTTTGAATTGCTTTATCACGTCCTCCAGATGGAGATTCACATCACAAAATCTGGAGGCCTTCCATTTTAGCTTTAGAGGGAAAGCCAGTAGATTCTGCAGTCTCTCTCTTCTCTCATATCTGATGAAAAAGAATGTTAAACTTTCAAAGCCATAATTCCTACTAAAGGAAAAGAAAAAAGAGGAGGAAGAAAATGGTAGAAAGCCTAGAGGGGCAGGCAGGCACAGAGGAAGAGATTTCCGGTCACTACAGACTTCATAGCCAAACACTGGAGGGCCGGAATAGCTACCCCAGGCCACATACATCTATTCAACACCATCAGGTAATATTGTAATACTCAGTTTCTCTGCCCCAACTTCACTTCATTGATTTCTACAAGAAAGCGGAACGAAATATCCTGGGTGCGATGACATCACAATCAACATTTCCTTTCTCTAGATGTCACCAGTGAAGGTGTGGAGAAGAAAAAGATGGCTGCTGCGACCTTTAATCTGAACTTGAGTGGTACATGGGGGTTTGCTGGAGTGTGACTGAACTGGTATATCTTGAGGGGAACAACTAAAACATTGGTTGCTCCAAAGAATGTAACTTTCTCCTGTTGTGTGGAAGTATAGAGTAGCCACTTTCTTAGCAAGACTTGAGCAAGGTTAAAATATTTGTTTCTTGAGGTTGCTGGTATCATGGTTGGACAACTTAGATTACTTTTGCTCTAGCACCAGATGGTCTCAGAGGTTGAGGTAGTTCTTCCACAGATGTACAACAAAATCAAATTTTCCAGTAGGGAAGGAATTCCAAGGAGCTCTGTGCAAGGGGTAACAGAGGAGAAACTGAGGGGCATCCTCCAGGACCCTCGCCCACAGAGACCCTGGTGTGTCTGCAAGCCTTGTTCTATCTCTCCCACAAGAGTCTTCAGTGAAAGAGTTTTAAGTATAGCAGGTGAAAAGGCCCTCATGAGAAACGGCTTCCTGCCCTCTCAGGCAAATGCTGCCACGCTGAGGCACTGGTAGTCAGGGTCTGTCACGGAAGCAGAGCAGTTCATGGGCCCTCTCCATGCCTGGTGTGGTCAAGGGTATGCCTCTGAGGTGCCTATTCCTTCAGTCAGTGGCCGTTCCCAGTGTCCTTGGTTATGACACATTGCAGGTGGGGAGAAGGTGACGACGTGAGACAGGCAGGCAGCCCAGGCCAACCAGAATTAACCCTTCCCACTGCTGAGGTGCTGGCTCAGGAAGATGGGAACCACTCACTCCAGCACCTGCTGCCTGAGGCCTTTGTTCCATTGCTCAAAACAAAATCCAACTTTGCCTTCCTTATGGCTTTTGAAGAGCAAGGCAATGAATACAACATCCAACAGGAGCCTCCAGCAATGTGTGGTTGGGGGAGGGAGGAAGCAGTGTTTTGGTCCTTATTCTTGGGTTGAGAATAGGAGTGCTACAAGTTCAAAAGAGAGGCCCCTATCATAGAATCATAGAGTTGGAAGAGACCACAAGGGCCATTGAGTCCAACCCCCTGCCAAGCAGGAAACACCATCAGAGCACTCCTGACATATGGTTGTCAAGCCTCTGCTTAAAGACCTCCAAAGAAGGAGACTCCACCACACTCCTTGGCAGCAAATTCCACTGTCAAACAGCTCTTACTGTCAGGAAGTTCTTCCTAATGTTTAGGTGGAATCTTCTTTCTTGTAGTTTGGATCCATTGCTCCGTGTCCGCTTCTCTGGAGCAGCAGAAAACAAGCTTTCTTCCTCCTCTATGTGACATCCTTTTATATATTTGAACATGGCTATCATATCACCCCTTAACCTCCTCTTCTCCAGGCTAAACATGCCCAGCTCCCTTAGCCGTTCCTCATAAGGCATCGTTTCCAGGCCTTTGACCATTTTGGTTGCCCTCCAAAATGGAGACTATGTGCTCCGAGACTATGTGCGCCAGTGAAATGATACAGAGGGTGGAGTCCTACTGTCTCTTTGTTGGGAGCCCGGAGGGCCAAGTTTTTTGTCCTTCTGGACTTTCCCAGGCCTTACGGAGTGATGCTAACATAAATGAGCAGGATCCACTCACCTCTGCAAGGTGCTTCTCACATCCTAGAGGGGGAAAGAGAAAGGAATTCACTGCACACCACAGGCCACATTATGAGACCCCTTCAGCCCTGGGATGGATGGACTCTGGCCCTCTGGTATCAGTCTGCCTAGCACACACAAATGTTTGTGGTTGGGGAGGGGGTGAGTGAGCCCCTTTGACCCTTACAATGTAAAGGAGGTGCAGAAGCCCTTTCATGCCGAAGCTGGTGGCTGACAGGGGTGGAAATCGTTGTTTGGTGGCCAACGAGGCAGGGCTCTGGGCTCCGAGACTCCATCAATGAGACAGCCTTGATCTACAACTGCTTAACGCCGCAGATTCCCCTTAAGTTCGGATAATCGGATCTAAGTGAAGGGGCACCCCTGTTGACAAGATGTCAACAAAGCTGCAGGTGATTGATTGAATGTGGCATGAAGGTCAAAAAGATGTATTAACTTTGTTGCATGCACTTGCAAAGTTGTTTGATTAAAGGGAAAGGAAAGAGCTATGTTATTGCAAAGGTTCCCCAGGGACTACTCTGTTCTCACCCCAGACCTGTGGATAAGACTCTAGAATAGAGAATATGGGTTACAACTGGATATGAGAAAGCATCTGCGTGGAATGAGAATGTTACTTCTGTTAATTAAAGCTGTTGATGTACTTTGCAAAGCAAAATGAGCCTGAGCCTGGCAACACATAGGACAGAAAGTGATGTGTATGATTCTGGCTGAATGGGGGGGGGGGGCGAGGAATGTATTACAAAATGTTAAAGCTTCATGGGTATAAGTTTCATTTCCCCCTTAGTACTTGGCATGCTCCGTTGGCACTGCCCTGTGACAGGGTCTTTTTAGTGCTGGTTCCCTAGTTGTGGAAGGCCCTCCCTAGGGAGGTGCATCTGCCTCCATCAGCTGAGTCCCTTTACTACTTGTATAGATGCAAGAGGGACATAAAGGTTTGGAGAAAGCCTCGTCCCCAAGTTGAGCCTTGTGCTGTTCATGCCACCATCTTACCTGCAGGAGTTCACTTGCTGCCTGCTGACTCTTGTCCTCCATCTCCTGGATGAGCTTTTTAAGAGAGGAGAGTTCCCTGGAGAGTCTGGCCAGGTGCTCATCTCTTCTCCCTTCAATCTCCTTCTCCACTTCTTCAATCTGATTCAGCAGGTGTACTTCTTGTTCTTCAAGAAACCGGTACAGTTTTCTGAACTTCTCCACTATCTTCTGCCTCTCAGTTTCTGTTAATTTCTGCAAGAAGCAGGAAGAAAGACAACAAGAGTCTGGAATATGGTCTCAGTCTTTACAACATCAGGAGGAGAGTTATGAAAATTCCACTGGGAGGACACTTGCTTTTTTTCAAAGACATGAAACCAATGCTAAGGGCTTATCCACATTTCCTCTAAAATTTGGGTTTTCTCTGGACATTCACTTGAATTTAGAAGCAAGCAGCAGTTTTCACTGGGAAAGGTGTGGGGCAAGGGGGAAACTGCTTGGACTTGTGCTTTCTAGGCTCAGGACAAGTGGAAGTGTGAACGAGCTCTCAGTTGCTAAGGAAGCCTTCTTCAGGTTTTAAAGTAAAAATGGTGGGGAGGCAGCAGGGTTGAACACACTGGCTCTGCCCTATCCCTTGCCATTTCTGTTGCCGTCCACCTTAGGAAAGCAATGAGCTTTTTTCTATTTATGGAGGTTCCTGGTACAGTTCTGAACTTGGCATAATTTGCTTTCTACATTGTTCAGAGAGTTTCCATGAACATAAAACAGTCCTCACTTCACACTGGCTACTGAGCCTCTTGGGATTGCCAATCAGAAGTTCTGTGCAACAGGGTGAGCTCCCGTTGCTCTGTCCTAGCACCTGCCAACCTAGCAGTTCGAAAGCACACCAGTGCAAGTAGATAAATAGGTACCACTGTGGCAGGAAGGTAAACGGCATTTTCGTGTGCTCTGGTTTCCGTCACGGTGTCCCATTGCACCAGAAGCGGTTTAGTCATGCTGGCCACATGACCCGGAAAACTGTCTGTGGACAAACGTCGGCTCTCTCGGCCTGAAAGTGAGATGAGTGCCGAAACCCCATAGTCGCCTTTGACTGGACTTAACCATCCAGGGGTCCTTTACCTTTACCTTTCTTTCATGACTAGTAAATTACTAGAAACAGAGGAGAAGCGGGACAGATCTAGCCTGCACATCCCCAGCACTGCTCTGCTTACTTTAAAGTCTTGAGTCGACTTGAGCTTCCTAAAGATTAAAGATAGCGCACATTTAGAAAGACATTTCTTTTAGAATCTATGAGGCAAATCAGAAGGTTGCAACTAGTTTATGTTCTATGGATCTGAGCTGCCACATGGGGAAGAGTTTCAGTTCAGCTTGGCTTCAAATGCAAAATTACTGTATTTTTTGCTCTATAAGACTCACTTTTTCCCTCCTAAAAAGTAAGGGGAAATGTGTGTGCGTCTTATGGAGCGAATGCAGGCTGCGCAGCTATCCCAGAAGCCAGAAGAGCAAGAGGGATTGCTGCTTCACTGCGCAGTGATCCCTCTTGCTGTTCTGGCTTCTGAGATTAAGAATATTTTTTTTATTGTTTTCCTCCTCCAAAAACTAGGTGTGTCTTGTGGTCCGGTGCGTCTTATAGAGCAAAAAATACGGTACCTCATTAGCAGTTTCTGGGGGGAAAACATGCAGAGAGAAATTCAGCAATCTTCTGAAATTCACATTTCTTTGAATTTTGAAATGCAGTTCTTTAGCCAAGTAATAACTACAGAAATGCACATACTATGGTAAAGTGTGCATTAAAATGCATTTATTAAGGCATAGAAAAAGGAATATTAGGGGAAATTGCTTTGCAAAAAATGTGTATACTAGGCAAAATTGCATACTACTACTACTACTTCTATTTTCTTATACCCCACCCATCTGACTGACACTCTGTGTGGCTTCCAGCAAAAATACGGGGGGCGGGGGGAGACCACATCAAACATGAAAAGCTGCCTTCAGATGTCTACAAAAAGTTATATAATTATATAACTCTTTATAAAGCTATATATAGTTGTTTAAAACATGTTAGAAATTGCACTAAGATGCTGATTGATTTTCATGAGGACTTTAAAAAAATAATAACTACTTCTAGTGACACTTACAAGGAGATCTTGGCTTTCTTTTTCCGTGTCTGCTTGATAGGCCAGAATTGTTTCTCTCTCTTTTCTCAGAATCTCCAGATGGCTGCAGAGCAGTCCCTAAAGAGGAAACGAAAGCTCATATTGTGATTGCGACTGAGAGTAGCATCTGCAAAGGCTCTTGTTGTTGTTTAGTTGTTTAGTTGTGTCCGACTCTTCGTGACCCCATGGACCAGAGCACGCCAGGCACTCCTGTCTTCCACTGCCTCCCACAGTTTGGTTAAACTCATGCTGGCAGCTTCGAGAACACTGTCCAACCATCTCGTCCTCTGTCGTCCCCTTCTCCTTCTCTTTCCCAACATCAGGGTCTTTTCCAGGGAGTCTTCTCTTCTCATGAGGTGGCCAAAGTATTGGAGCCTCAGCTTCACGATCTGTCCTTCCAGTGAGCACTCAGGGCTGATTTCCTTAAGAATGGAGAGGTTTGATCTTCTTGCATTCCATGGGACTCTCAAGAGTCTCCTCCAGCAACATAAAAGCACACTTTTTAATGAGAACTAAGAACTGTGTCTCCTCACCCTGATCTAACCCCTGATCCCCAGTTGCTGCTATGTTGTGGAGAAAAGGTTTTCATTTGAAGGGTCAGAAGTAAATACAGCAGTGACTCTCCAGTGTGGTAGAGTATTTGCTTCTGAATACTGGAAACCTCAGGAGGGGGCAGTGCTGTTGTGCTCAGGTCCCACCTAATGGCTTCCCAGAAGGGTTACCTGGCTGTCTGACCACTGTGATAAGAGGATGCTGGTCTAGATGGGCCTTTGACCTGACCCAGCCTGGCTCTCCTTATATTATGGTGCTTGATCTGGAAGGATATGAAACTTGAGGTTTCGGAGCAGTGGCGTAGCGTGGGTTGTCAGCACCCGGGGCAAGGCAAGTAATTTGCGCCCCCTAACCCGTGGATTTGCGCCCTCTAACCCGTGGATTTGCGCCCCCTAACCCATGGATTTGCGCCCCCTAACCCGAACCCCCAGATGTTGCGCCCGGTGCGGCCGGCCCCCCCTGCACCCCCCACGCTACGCCACTGTTTCGGAGGTTTCATCCAGCATGTGTTAGCTTTTGGAAAGTCCTGGATTAAATGCCAATGGCCTCACTGCTAATCATAATGAGATTGTTTACTAACATATCTGCATCCAGCATATAGTTTTGTATTTTTAAGAAATTTGAGTGCTGTCTTTTCTCCGCGCCAGCTGGTGGCTGGTATCTGACTATTTAGGAGCATATTTTTCTTTCTTTCTTTTTTAAAAACATTGTCACCTAGTGTAGGGATGATCGCGGAGTGGGGAGTGGGGTCCGGAGGGAGCACACGCCCCACCCGCAAGCAGCCTCAGCCTGCCTGCACGTGTGACCTTGGGGTGTGGAGCACACCCCCCCCCTCACAGATAAAGCCACGGCTGTCTGAACATCGTTGCCTCTGTCTAACCTTTTGTGGTCTCAGTAGTCTGCGGTGTCCTGTCTGTAACGTTTGTCTCTGAGACCTTTTGTCTCCTTCATCATACACTGTGCAAGGGGAAAATGACGCGGTGGAAACAGGTGCCAAAATAACTTTGTACCACCCCATGATCTCAGGACCGGAAGATGTGTAAAGGTCACAGCCCAAAATGTATCTGCCTGGTTTGCATATTTGTCTCAATAAAAGGAGGCTCCACAGGGCTGGCCAGCAGCTTGCATGCAGCTCACCTGTGCACAGCTCATCTGCTTTATCAACTCCTGCCTCATGTCCATCACTTCAACCTAGCTCAGGATTAAGGATTTTAATATTTTACAGCATTTTATATTTTATTGGTGGTGGGGTTCTCCTTAAAACCTACAGTTGTTCTGTGCGTTTCCAGGCTGTTTAACCGTACACAATAACATATCTAATTGCCACGGGAATTGCTTTCCAGCCACATTGCAATATTTCACAAAAAATTGAAAGGATTGCATTACTAAGTGTCAAGATAACTTCCTACCTTGTATTCCTGGGCAGCCTCTTCCTCAAGTACCACAGTGTGCGATTTGTGTTCTGGGGATCGTTCACAAGCCACACAAACCAATTTTTCATCTTCTTTGCAGAACAGTTCAAGGTACTTCTTGTGTTTCACACACATATCCTTTCCCCCTTTATTTAACTGCAGGAGTTTAATTTTTTCTACTATACTTGCCAGCTGCCAATTGGGGCGGAAACTCCCTCTCTGCATTTGGGCTCTGCAGATGGGACACTCCAAGTGCCCCATAGCCTGTTCTTCCCGTATCTTGCAATAATTGGTGACGCAGCCCTGACAATAGTTGTGTCCACAGTCCAACGTCACTGGATCTGTGAGGTAGTCCTTGCAGATGGGACACAAGGCGTCCTGGTCCATGTCCACGGATGGTGGTGCTGAGGCCATAGTGGGTGAAGAGTTTGCGGCTTTGTTGATAGAAAGGGAAGCTGTAATATGACAAAGTAAAGAGAAGCAGCTTGAGCATGGCAGAAACCTGCAAAAACCACTGGGCAATAAAGATTTCCAAATCTCTCTTGTGGGAGTGAGTGTGGCTCACTGGGACTGAAATAAGAATATTGAGAGGTCCCTTCAAGGGGTTCAGCTTCTAAAGGAAGACTGGACCTTCGGAGAGAGCGTACCTTTAAGGCTCAAACTGGCTGGAAAATGAACAGAGACCAGACCAAGATATACAAAAGCAAAACGTCTATAAGCCTGATCTTTATTAAAGCTGTTGCAACAAGGTGCTCCCCCACACGCAGGAGAGAGGAGGAGGACCCAGGACAAAGGTGTGCAAGCCCTTATGTAGACTTTGAAATTGCCTACCCTGTAGCTCAAGACCACCCCCAGAAAGATCATACATACATCACAGAAGGGGTGTAGCCCAAGACCACTACCCCAATACATCATACATACATCACAGAAGGGGTGTAGCCCAAGACCACCCTTTGCCTAACACTCAAATGGTGCTAATATATGTCGGATTTGTTTGTTTTCTGAAAACGTCCCTATACAGTCTCAAGCAAAGTGCACGATGCTGGCACTCTAAACTCACTGTGAAAGCAGAGAGCAACTGAAAAACCAAGGAACAGGAAACCAGTAACGTCACATCCGTCTCCTGTCTTCCGTGAGACTTCCAACAGCCTGGGATCTCTGGAATACAAAACAAGTCTTGTGACTCCAAAGCACTGCACAGTGGCACAAACAGAAACTAACAATATAGGCACCAGTCAAGCCTCTCAGAAAACTGCCAGGGGGCTGGGAGCATCTGTGGAGGAAGTGATTTTCATCAAGACTGCTGGAGAAGGAAAGGAAAGGGTTGGTCCCAGCGAACATTGTACCAACCCTGACCAGTATTTCCTAGCATGAGACATTTTTAGCATCCTGTCTAGCCTGGCCCTTTGCTTCAAACAGAGACTGGGGTCCAATTGTAAAATGCTCACCCCTCAACTAGCCGTCTCTTGTGAACACGGATCTGGGTTGATGAACAAGAGGTTCTGAAGTTTTTGCTTCCTCCTGGTCACTCCTTCCTGTTCCCACGCACTTTATTTCTGAGGGGACACAGGTTATTTTATGTTACAGATGTAACCACTGTTACCGGAAAAATCCGAGGGCTCCCTTGGACAAAAACAAAGACACCAACCAGGATAACTTGGAGCAAAACAGCAGCCTGTAGGCTTGGCCTTTATTGAACTGTTGCAACAGGGTGTTCCCCTCACTTGCAGGAGAGAGGAAAGATCCAGAAAGATGGTGTGCAAGACCTTACAAAAACTTTTGAAATTCCCATCCTCTAGGTCAAGCCCACCCCCAGAAACATCATGCATACATTACAGAAAGGAGGGGTTGACATCATGCATACATTACAGAAAGGAGGGGTTGACATCATGCATACATTACAGAAAGGAGGGGTTGAGGGAGGAGTTGTGGTGGTAACCTGAGTGTCCTGTCACCTGGCTGGTTCCTCCTTTCCCCCGGCCCATGAGTCACTTCCAGGAGACAAAGGGGAGTTGGCAGTTTCCTGCCCCCAGAGGGAAGATCTGATCATTGTCCTTTGTTTCAGTCCATGCTGAATCCACTCCCATATGCAAGTTCTTTGTGATCTTGATGGTCTTCTGTCTAGGACCATCAGGGTTGGCATAACAACTGGGCAGGGCTCCGGTGGATGTGCTGGGATGGTGAAGGGATTATGGCTGACCAGAACCAAGCCACCCCCCTTTGATAGTCCTTGTCATATGGAGTAAAATAAAAATGGAACAGTGCAAATCCAATGTATGGTTGATTTTTCTATGAATTTATAACAGAAGTGTGGCATATGTAGTGTGTGAGTGTGAGTGTGTGAAGTTTGTACAAACTGAACGATTGGGGTGGGGGGGTTCCTGCTACACCACAACTAGAGTTTACACTCTGCTCCTGGATGAGCTTGATTTCCGTCACTGTCGGGGCCATTCATTTTCAGAAAACTGTCTTCCTGAGTTTCTTCATGCAAGAAGTGTGCATGCACACGAAAGCTTATACCAAGAACTAACTTAGTTGGTCTTTAAGGTGCTACAGGAAGGAATTTTTTTACTTCATGCAAGATGACACTCTGGCTGGGAAGCTGGATTGTTCACACAGGTGTAAAGATCAGACAGCAAAGTCATGGACGTTCACAGTGTTTTATGTGAGTGCGAGTAAGAGAGAGTTTTGGTTTTGATCTGCTGAGAGGATGCAAGCGGATCTTCCGCTGTGGGGATCCACAGCAGTCTCTGTAAATAGCAACCATTAAGCAAAATGACAGGCAATAAAGCAATCTGCTTAGACAACTGTGTGTTGCTCATCAATCCAGACTCAGGTCCGATTGTCTCACGCTTAGCTGCAAACTGTATTTCACCTCTGCTCAAAATCTGGTCGGAAGTGTGCCAGAAAAATCTGTTTATGGCAGACTTCACGCCATAAACACCAACAGTCACCCTGCAGGATGGTGCGTCCTGCAAGTGTAACACCCATTTCCTCTCTGCCCTTTCAGCTGCATGTCTGACAGGGTGGGTGAGAATGCAAACACACTTCATGCTTCCCTTTTTCTCTTTTTCAAAGCACATCGTCAAATTTTACAAAGCCCAGCTTTGGTGAAAGCTTCTCTTTGTCAGTAAGGAGAAATGAGACAGAAAGTCTCTGTTAATAGATCTATATTAGGTGGCAGGATCCACGGGGCAGCAAATCTGGCCTCCAAGGAATGCATGATTGCGGTACATCCTTGGAGGTCGGATCTGGTACCTCCTCGGCAGCCCCCCCATCCCAGTGCCTCCTCTGCAGCGGCCTCTCAGTGAACAGAAGAGGCTGCTGATCTCCTCCCAACCCAAGGCAGGAAATGAGGAGGGGTTTCCTGGGGTCTGGTCCTAGCTGGTGTGATTCAGAGCAGGCCCACTCCCAACATGTTAAGTTGGATGCAGCCATTTCCCACAATTTAATCTAGAAATGTACTGACCTTGGACTGCAGAGCAACGGCATCCACCATGAATTCGTTGCAAATGAGAGGAAGTGATGCTTCCCCTTTTCTGTGTTTTTTTTGCAAAATAGTTTCGATTTTGAACACTGTTTCTCTCCTCCCCCATTTCCTTTCCACTGCTCCCAAGGTTGCCTTTGATGCTTGAGTTGGGCTGGCTCTCCTTGTGTCACTCACTATGAGATCTGAGGGAAAGCACCATGGATCTCTGCCTGGTCTAGAAGAGAAAACCTGTGGGCTTCAGAGAGATGCCCTGCTGGCTGAGAGAGGTTCCTGGACTGTGGAAATGTAAAGAGAAATAAATTTCTTTTTATCATATGTGGTGGTCTTGTAGTAAGGATAAAGCTTACTGGGAAATGATATATAATGAATTGAAAAAGATGTTTAAAATACCTGCGGGGGGGAACCAGAAGCTTTTCTCTTGGGAATTACAGGGTAAAAACTGTTACGATATAGAAGCAATGCAGCTGCGAGCTGCTAGCTTGAAAACATCACATGATGTTGGGTTACCTAACATCAGTACAAACTACCTAAACAGTACATAAACTTATTAATGTATGCTACTACATCAGCAAGAATGTTACTTGCCCAAAAATGGAAGTAGTCCCAGCGAAAGAAGAATGGATACAAAAACTTATGGAATATGCAGAAATGGCAAAACTTACCAGGAGAATAAAAAATCAAGGCAACAAGCTTTTTATAAAAGAATGGAAATGGTTTGTGGAGTATGTACAAATAAAATTGTAAACAGTTAAAAACACTGGCAGGTTGATTGCAATGGCCTGCAGTTTTATAAGAGTATATATTTAAAGTAGATATTTTTAAAAGGAGTAAATTAAGTGAATTTGGATATGCAGAAGATATTATGGAACCGCAGAAAGAGGGGGAAGGAAGTCAAATTGGGAAATGTTAATTAAAATGATTGTAAAATTAATGTAGAAATTTGAAAAGCATAAATAAAAATTAAAAAAGATAGAGATTCCTGACTGGCTGGACTGACTGCTACACAGCTCTACCCTCGGGGAAGTAGATTGCCTTGAAGCAGAGGCTGTTTCTCCACAATGACAAGGATTTAGTTTAAATAAGAAAAATCCTTCCAGTAGCACCTTTAAGACCAACTAAGTTAGTTCTTGGTATGAGCTTTCGTGTGCAAGCACACTTCTTCAGATACACTGAAACAGAGGATTTAGTTTAGTTATTTATAAAAGCATTTATTATTTCAGGACAATGCGCAACGATATGTTTAAATCTATGTGTCTATATAGTTCTAATGAAGGAGGGGAGGGAGAGAGAAGCAATCACGGCAATGATGAAGCAATCAAGGCTATTTGAGAAAACGTTAAGCAGCTGTAGAGGCGGGTCTGCTTCTTCTTTTAAAAAAAGTCCCATCAGCACCGAGATCCTGCAGGAAGGGAAACGCCCATTGGCTGAAAACCGAGAAAGTGGAAGTTTGCTTCGTTTTTGGCGCGAGGGAGCCATGGCTGCTGCTGCTGCTGGGGGTCCCGTGCAGAGTCTTTGCGATGAAGCCACTTGCTCGATCTGCCTGGACTATTTCAAGGATCCGGTGATGATCCCAGAATGTGGGCACAACTTCTGCCGGTCCTGCTTGATCCAGTCCTGGGGGGAATCGGAGGCAGAGGCTTTCTGCCCTCACTGCAGAGAAACGGTTCAGGAAAGGCGCCTCATCCCAAACTGGCCGTTGCAAAACGTGGTGGAAATAGCCAAGAAGCTCAGTCTTCAAGAGGGGAAGGAGGAAGGAGGAAAAGAAAAGGTTTGTGAGAAGCACCAGGAGCCCCTGAAGCTCTTCTGCAAGGAGGACGGAGCCCCCATTTGTCTTGTGTGCGACAGATCCAAAGAGCACGTGTGTCACGAGACGATTCCTCTGAAAGAGGCTTCCAAGGAGTACAAGGTAAGAAATCATTCTCGATTTTGGGGTTTTTGGATTCTTCTTGGGAGCTTTTCTGTAACTCTTAGGTTACACGGGATGGAGGGACTTCAATTTTGTGTCAAATTCAGATATACAAAACTCTTCCGCCCCCCCCCCCCCCCCGCCACCAAATTGCAAAATTTGGCTTTCAATATGTGTTTTGCTGCTTTTATTTTTCTACATCACCTTCTCTCAGCTTAGTTGGAAAATACAACTTGCACACTGCTCCTATCTTTTGTAACGTTGATTATTATTTTTGCTTATAAAAACACGGGGCTGCCCATCCCCCTGAATAAATACTGATTTTATGCAAGTTTCTACACCATTTCTGTAATAATATATCAAAAATAAATTTAAAAAATCATTAACCACTGCTTATTCTCAATAAAATGAATTAAATTCAAAAAAATTCTAGAATGTTCCAGAGCACTCTATGTGATAAAGAGCTAATAGCAAGGCCATCAAGAGGTCAGCTTAACTGTGTGGTGTAATGGTTAGAGTGTTACACTAGAGCCTGGGACAGGCATAGGCAAATTCGGCCCTCCAGATGTTTTTGGGACTACAACTCCCATGATCCCTAGCTAACAGGGCCAGTGGTCAGGGATGATGTGAATTGTAGTCCCCAAACATCTGGAGGGCCGAGTTTGCCTACGCCTGGCCTGGGAGGACAGGGTTCAAATCCCCACTCAGCCATGGATCTTGCTGGGTGACCTTGGGCCAGTCACCATCTCTTAGCCACAACAGGGTTGTTATGTGGATGAAATGGGGAGGAAGAGAACCATGGATACCACCTTGAGATTCTTGGAAGATAATGGTATATCAGTGTGATAAATAAAATAAATAAACAATCAACACTTCTGCTTCTCTGATTCAAACCTGAGCTTTTGGGTTTGTTCGTTTTTAGGGACTGATGTGTAGACGCCTGGAGATTCTGAGGAGAGAGAGAGAAAGAATTCTGGCCTATCAAGAAGACGTGAAAAAGGAATGTGAGGACCTCCTTGTAAGTGTCACTGTTGTTACTAGTGATGTAAAAATTGGGGTTTGGCTTTTGATCGGTCAGAGAATGGATGGAGGCAGGATCCAATGGAAAGCAAGGCATTTATTTTATTTATTTTTTGCAAGAGAGTTCCCTCCCCTCCTTCCATGGACGGAGAGACCCTGAACAAAAGTGTGCAGGAACCTTTAAAGACTTTTGACATTGCCCAACCTTATAAGCGAAAGGACAATGGGAAGGCTTTCTCCATTTGCCTCCCTTAGGGCAGAGGAATATTTGAGGTCATTGGGAGAGTCAAAATGGCTTCCGGACTGCTCTCCTGTACTATTTCAGACACATGGTTTATATATTTAGATATGTATGCATTTATGAATATTCTATATTTGAGACATTAGAATTCTTATAACTTTTGTTTAGAACTTAATGCTATTTTTTATTTTAGAATATACAGAATATAAAGTATGAAATATTACAATCAATTATAAGTTTCCATTTTTAACAGTACGTTCTATGTTATATCTATTTCATTACTAAGCATGTGTATACATATCTACTTTCCTTGTTTCTACTATTGTGACTTCCCTCCACCACAGCTCGACATCCTTTGTTCTTTTCTTATAACTTAACACTGTGTTATATATATTAGTTACTTTAACCCTATGAACAATCATACGATGTTTATTCTTAACTTTATGAGCTTAATCAATGCATATCAATAAATTTATTTTGGAATGATAAATTCATCTGTATTCATACTTCACCCTTATTCTTGTAAGTGTTACCTGGCTGGGGTAACCTGGCTAAATTTGGAGACGTGTGAATTTCAGAAGATTGCTGTATTTCACTGCATATTTTTTTCAGGAAGATATATTTGGCAAATTCACTGGTACAGGAGAAGCTGGGCACTTTCCAGACCTGTATTGGCATTTTCTGCCTCCTGAAGTTACCTCTCTACCACCTGTCCTGCTACTTTTGAGCTGGCAGCTGACCTAACCCTCTGACCCGGTACAAAAATGGATATATTACTATTTTTTAGGAAACTCAAGCCATCTTGGAGCTTTAAAGTAAATGGGGAATGCTGGGGAGGAAAATGCCACCTCTGCCCTCCTCCTGTTCCTACTTGTTTAAGGTGCCAGTCTAAGGCACCATGTTTCCTTTAATGCCTGAAGGGAGCTTCTTCACCAGCAGGAAGTTGATTTTGTGTCCATGAAAAGTCAGAAGTGGAAATCTCACGTCTTGTTTTCGTGAGATCCCATATTCTGGACTCAGGGCTCCGCTTTTCTTCTCTCTTCCCGCACCTTGCAGAAATTAACAGAAGCTGAGAGGCAGAAGACAGCAGAGAAGTTCAGACAACTGCACCAGTTTATCGAAGAACAAGAAAAATGTCTGCTGAATGAGATAGAAAAGGTGGAGAAGGAGATTGCAAGGAAAAGGGAAGAGCACCTGGCCAGGCTCTCCAGGGAACTCTCCTATGTGAAAAGGCTCATCCAGGAGATGCAGGAGAAGCGCCAGCAGCCAGAGAGTGAATTCCTGCAGGTAAGACACTGGCAGGAAGAGCACAAAGCTCCACGTCAGGAAAAGGATGGCTGCAGACCAGCAACCTTTTTCCGCAGGGGTCCAGTCCACTGTCCCTCAGACATTATGGGGGGCCAGACTATATTTTGAAAAAAAAAATATGAACAAATTTCTATGCCCCGCAAATAATCCAGAGATGCATTTTAAATAAAAGCATACATTCTACTCATGTAAAAACACGCTGGCTGTCCACGGGCCATATTGAGAAGGCGATTGGGCTGGATCCGGCCCCCGGGCCTTAGTTTGCCTACCCATGAAGTAGGCACATAAAGGGGCTCAATTGGTGGCGCCTCAAGCCAGGTCTCTTGTGCATCCAATAGACGTGGGATGGATCATTCCTCATTTGCACTTTATAAATCGATATGCAAACTGAATCACAAACACCCGTCAGCGTTTGCAGTTCTCTGGACTTTCTAAGGCAGTTCTCCAGCCAAGCAAAGTGTACAATTTACCCAACTGCTGAAAATTGGACGATTCAGCCATCCCTACCCAAAACTTTGGTGTGTGTGCTATGAGACTGACATCAAAGGGCAGGAGTGTTCCGCCATTCCAAGGTCTGAGGGGTCTTCATAGCGTGGCCTGTGGTGTGTAGTGATTTCCCTTCTCTTTTTCCCTCTAGGATGTGAGGAGCACCTTGCAGAGGTAAGTGGATCCTGCTCATTTCTGTTAGCATGCCGGGAGGGATTAAAGAGGAGAGTACGTAAGATTTGCCTCCTGTGGGAGAGACTGTAGACCTACAGCATTTCACAAGTAAAACCAGGGCCCTCTTTTTTGACCTTGTTGTGCCCCAATTCTCCCTCCAAGAATCAGGTTTAGAGCAGCACCTAACTCCCCACTATCAAACAGGTCTGGAGGCTCTTCCACGCCTCCTGCACATCCTACTCACTGACTCTGCAATAGTTTCAAACATCTGAAAGAGAATTTCTATGGGGGACATATTTCAGGGCCATGGGAGCATTCCAGGGTTGTATCTTGTCCCCATTGCTTTTTAACATCTACATGGAGCCACTGAGCACTTCCCTTAATAATAACAATAACGTTCTGATGGCAGGCCGAAAGGTTTTCATATTTCCAGGCTTTGAAATTACCTTTTCAATACTTTCATATATACCTTTACAACAGAGGTAGTTATATATTGGAAAGCGTAATGCTGGTGGTCAACAAAAGAGTGTGTGTGTGCGCGCGCACACACACACACACACACAAGGCAAATACGGATTTTGTACTAAGCTATGGAACAAAGAGGGTGTTGGTTGCCTCAGGCAGCAGGGGCCAGAATAGGTGGCTACCATCTTCCTGAACAAACACCTCAGCAGTGGCAAGGCTTCTTCCTTCTTGAGTTAGGCTACCTCTCTGTCTGGCCAGGTCACCTTCTGGAGGCTTGGGGTTTGGCTGTTTTGGACCCCATAGCGAGGAAGTATCTCTCCCCTCTGTGTCTGCCTGTCCCTCTAGGCTCTCTACCATTCTCTTCCTCCTCTCAGCTTTCTTTCCTTTACCAGGAATTGTGGAATTGACCAGACTAATATTTTGTTTCCTTTCACCAGGTATGACAAAAGACAGAAATTGGAGAATCCGCCAACTTTCCCTCCAAAGCTGAAGAGAAAGACCTCCAGATTCTGTGATATAGACCAACTTCTGGATTCTGCCATGAAGAAATTCCAAGGTAATAAAATAATGACTACAATGATTTTATTCTGGGCATTATGTAAGTCAAAAAGTGAGCACACCAGGCTCATATTGTATTGTACACACAGGTCCCGTTATCTGTCTGCTTGTTACATGAACACTCAGTTAGACAAACACAAAGAATTATAGTCAAATCTCGCTACACACACACCTGATTTAGATGTCTGAACAGCTGAAGTTTGCCCACTTCTTTACTCGTTTGTGCTTTGGTGCCATTTTCGGGCAGAGGCCATGGAGGGAGGGTGAGGGGAGAGAGATCAGGACAATCTGTCTCTTTTTAGCTGGTTGGCTGCACCCGTTTTAGGAAGAAACCATGGCAGAGAAAAGATCACGGGATAGATAGATGCTGCAGTATAAAGTGTTATTTGGCAAGAACACATATCTGAAATGAAAGAATGTGGTACTTACACTTCTTATCTTTTTTTCTTCCCTAGACTCCCTTTCATTCAGAGAACAGCTTCAGCAAGGTAATTTCCAATGAGGAACCCCAATTCACAGGAGGGGTGGGGGACAGGTACTTCTTTGTGGTTAAACAGTCAGTTCTGCAGACTTTGGAAGCACATTCAATAGCTTAGCTCTGGGTCTATAGTGGCATTTAGTTTCTTTATATGTACAATGAATGACCAGAGGGTGGGTTTGAAGATGCAGGTGTGGGGTAGATTTTTGTGGGGGTGCTGGCATCCCTGTGAAGAACCTGCATGCCATTCTGGGACCAATGACTTAGGAGTTTGGTTCCTACCTATAAACTATTTCATTGACTTTTCCCCTTACGAAATCCCACTGGGTCAGCCCTAACATCCAGTTTTCATTTACATGGAACCTTCCTTACGTTTTGTTTCCCATGTACACAATCTGGAGGTCCTTTTGGAGGTTCCCAGTCTTTCCTTGGGTTTCAATGTCCTGAAGGTCATTAAAAAGGGCATCAGCAAGCACCCAGTGTCTGTTGATTCTCCTCATATGGGGGAGGATGTTGGGATATGAGTGCTCACCAGCTGCGAACCAGCAGCTCATTGTTTACATCATGTGATTCTTATGTGACTGAGCGTGAGACAGGATATTCAACGCTATTCTCAGGGCTGTGTACCAAGTGTAACTTGAGACCTTCCTGTTGTTGCTGCAAAGGAGGAGTGAGTGAGTTGTACGGAGGTTTGTGAGAGAGCAGACATGTTTTGTACTAGCTCGTCTACAGTGTACAGTCCGGGAATAAAGTAGAATGAGTCAGACTACTTTCAGACTGTCGTCTTTCTTCTGCTGAGATGCAAGGGGAAAGGGAGTGTGCATCTCTCGAGAGGGAGGTGTCGCTTATTATTGATCTCCCTGGACTGACCGAAGACCAGCCAGGGGCAGATCACTGGCAGCAGGCCCCAATGCTTGGGAAGAGGAGTCGGCCTTTCCCGAGTGGGCCAATAGCCAACAGTGTCTTGCCCAGGCTGGTCCAGCAGTGGAACAAAGGCCTGAGCCGTCTCCTCAGACATCCACCCACAGCTGCCGTGCATAGTGCTTCAATCATCACACAATCCCGCAATTCTTATTAGATCAGCCCCACATGGGAAGCTAAGGACACTTTTCCAGAAAGCCTCTGCCAAAAATTTTGTTAACATTCTGAAAGAATTTTAGAAGTTTAATGAGGCAGGACTTCCTGTTGCACGAGACCCTTGGAATTAGATTTCAAATCTCTGCCAATTCTTCCTCTGCAAATTTGCTCTGTCAGTATTTTTAACAATTCTGGTTTCAATAGCTTTCCCCCACCTGTTTACTTGGGGCAGCTTTGAACCTGCCTCCAGCTCTCCTCTGGATCCTTTAAAAATACTGTTAACCACAGTGCCGGCCCTCCCATCCTCTGCTATGGATCCCCATTTCATTGATGGATTTGGAATGACTTTATTCTGTTGTTGTCTAGTATGGTTTACAATGTCTGATTTTTACCTGTTACTTTAATTTCATCTGACTACAACTTTCTTGTTTCCAGTTACTTGTTCTTTGATGTGAAATGAGGAAACAACATATGCTTTTTTATGAAGTGATTATTTGTAACTACAATTTTGTGAGATATAGCCCTTAAACTTTATATCTTTTTCTTCTTCAGATAATTGGTCATTCGGACAACAGTTTCAGAAAGGTAAATTTCCAATGGAGGCCCACGTTCACGGGAGGGGTCTGGTGTTTCATTGGAATTAAGGAGTCTGTTCTGCAGAGTTGGGAACCATCAATAGCTTTAGTCTTGCTGTTTGGGTTCCTCATATGTAAAACAGAGGGTGGTGAGCTTGAGAGTGCAGAACTGGGTGTTTGGAGAGTGCCTCCACTTACAAAGGAACTGCCCACAAGTGTGAGAGTAATGATGGAGGAATTCTGTTCCTGCCTAGAGCTTGTCTGAGAGAGACTGTTGAGAAGCAAAGCAGCTAGTAAGCCTGATCTTTATTGAACTGTTGCAACACGCAGGAGAAGGAGGAGGACCCAGAACTAAGGTGTGCCTGCCCTTATATAGATATTTTAAATTGCCCGCCCTACAGTCCAAGACCACCCCCAGAAACATGTTACAGTGCTACCTCAGGTTAAGTACTTAATTTGTTCTGGAGGTCCGTACTTAACCTGAAACTGTTCTTAACAGTTAGCGGAGTCTGTAACCTGAAGCATATGTAACCCGAAGTACCACTGTACTTACATCACAGAAGGGGTGTAGCCCAAGACCACCACCCCAGATACATCATACCTACATCACAGAAAAGGTGGTCTACAACAGAAATCTGAGTGCGTTGTTTATCTCCTGTCTGGCAGGTTACCTGTTGATGGTCACTTGATTGGATTACCTGGGGAGCCTGGCCAGTCTTTTGTAATGATAAATACTTAGTTCCTGAGCCAGGTCACAGGCTCACCCTATTCATACACAGACATACCCTTCAGACAGGATTTGTGAGGTCAATTTGGGAGGGACAAAATGGTTTCAGGACTTTTTCTGTGGGATTTCAGACATGTGGTTTATATATCTATGTACGTGCTTGGTTGGTACATTTATGAACATTTATTTTATATATAAAAATATATATGCCTTAAAAAAAATTATTTCACCTGGAATAACTGGAGGAGCACAATATAAATACATTGAATATAAAAACAACAGAAACCTGGTTCACTTGGGGCAAGTCTGGAAGAAGCGGAGGAGGGTCCCAATCCAGAATGCAATGCAAAGAACTCCCAATTATTTGAGAGAGGATCTAGTCTGGGCACTTGTTGGATCAGGATATTCATCTCCAACTCTCGGCTGACTCTGCCTCTCTTCTCTTCCCCCCAACAGCAAATGTCACTCTGGATCCAGACACAGCCGAAACCAGCTACATCCTGTCTGAGGATCGGAAAAGTGTGAGACTGGGAGAAAAACGTCGTGACACATATGGCAGCCACTATCGTCCTGTGTTAGGACGTGAGGGATTCACAGCAGGCCGACATTTCTGGGAAGTCAATGTGGAAAATGGAGAAGGATGGGTTGTAGGGGTTGCTGTGAAGTCTGTGAGCAAGAATGGATTTCCCCTAAGTCCTGAGGGAGGGATCTGGGCTGTACAATTGACAGCCAGTCTGTACAAGGTCTGTATTTCCCCTAATCCCCTTCTTCTGTCCCTGAATGGGAAGCTCAAGAGGATCCGGGTGACTCTGGACTATGAAGGCGGATGTGTGTCTTTTTATAATGCTGACTCGGGAACCAAACTCTACACTTTCTCAGGAGCCTGGTTCTATGGAGAGACCCTTCTCCCTTTCTTTCGGGTGGATACAGTTTCTACCCACCTTGAGATCTGCTGAGGAGACTAAATCTGCCTCACCAGAATGACACACACAACACACATGTGTAATTGAATTTATATATCGCCCTATACTTGGGGTCTCAGGGTGGTTCGCGCGCGCGCGCACACACACACACACACACACACACCCCTCTCAAGAGCCCTTTGGGCAGCTTTTGAGGGGTCCTTTGGGAGGATTCATTCCAGTCACAATCAGCATAAATAATAAAACAAAAATAAGACTTTGTATTGTTTTTCTTCCCTTTCCCAGAATTCCCCCTGCAGCTTATTTTTTAAAGAGACAGTAACACTTTAACTTTCCCATTAAATAACATATTCCTCAAAAGGGTTCAGCTTCCATCACCTTCAATCCTACTTTCATTCTTCCACCTTCCCAGCAGCTGAGGATTTGGCCTGCCAAAGGAAAGCCTGCAAAACAGATGCGCCTCACCATCCCTGGGGGGGTTGGTTCTCTCAGTGGGGAGAAGAGGTGCTGAAGTCCTGTTATGCTAGTGAGACTCATGGCACTGCCTCTCTTCCAGTACCTAGGGTTGCCATATGTCTGGGTTTTCCAGGACATGTCCTCTGTTGCGGGGCCAGCATGCCCCTCTGGGCAGATTTTTGCAGTTTACATGAAGTGTCTGGGTTTGGGTTTATTTTACTTTTATTATTATTATTATTGGCCGCACTAGGTCTGGTGGCATTTCCACTGGCCACCAGGCCTTGCACAGGCTTCTGGCCTCCCATTGTCCAGAGACGCAGCATCTCGTGAGCAGGAGGCCAAGGACAGCAAAGGGAGGGGAGGGGAGGGAAGGAGGGGGCGAACAGGAAGGGGGTGAACAATGGAGATGCGGGATGGGGGAGGTGCCCCAAATGTGTCCCGGATTTTGCGCTTTGGAATATGGCAACCCTACCAGTATCCTACTTCGTGGAATCCAGCCCCAATAAAACATACAGTAAAGCGAAACACACACGGGGGAAAGGGAATTGTCTATATGATTCATTTGATTTTACAAGATTTATGTACTGCTTGATTGATTATAGCAAAACTAATCCGTTTACACACACCCACACCCCAAATATAAACATTAAAATACTAAAGAAATTATTTATGAAAGCAGGAATTCAAAAACATTCAAATGATAATTAAATCCAGTGATAGCCTAATTTCAATTTCTGCGTGTCAGGTTAGAATTGCCTAAACAAAAACAAAAAAAAGAGGGTACTACCTGATATCAACAGGAAGGGAGTTCCAAAGTTCAGATGTTCATTGCTTCCAAGTGCAGAAGTTCTGTTATTTGGCACTCGTAACAGTGACAGTTTCACGGATCAAAGCATTTTATAAAGCACTTTATTTCCGCAAACAATTATGATCTTTACACTTAAAAGTCCCAATGAGTGAAAAACACGTGGAAGAGAATGAACTTGATGGCAAACTAGAAATCATTCAAGACAAAATTAATTCACCCTCAGTTATGGGGGCTACTTTCAGGTGCAGTTCAGAGATCATGGCCTTACCCACACTGCCTGTTATCCTGCTGGTTTCTCCTGGGAAATCTGCTCTTTAGCTCTCAATCGGAGCAAATGGCAATGTGGGTTTTCTCCAGATTGACATTTGCTCCTATTTAAAAATAAGGAGCAGGTTTTCCAGAAACTATTTGGATGTGTGGATAGAAACTGCAGGTCAAGCAGAAAACCAATTAGACAAGCGGAAGTGTGGACGAGACCAGGATTTGAACAAATTCATTAAAATTTATTCAAACTAGTTGATGCCAAGTGCTGGATAAAATGCAGCCCTCCCCTGAAGGCCCAGCACCACCAGACCATTCCCTGGAATTGAGCAGCTGACAAAGATGACCAAGCAGGGAGCCCAGGGCAGCTCCAACTGCTACAAAGCTCTACCCTTGGATTTTTTTTGAAGCAAAGACTGCACCGCCACAATGCCAAGGATTTAGCTGTGTTCAGGAAGCCTTCTCAGTGCAATGTACAGTGGTACCTCGGGTTAAGGACTTAATTCGTTCTGGAGGTCCGTACTTAACCTGAAACTGTTCTTAACCTGAAGCACCACTTTGGCTAATGGGGCCTCCCGCTGCTGCTGCACTGCTGGAGAACGATTTCTGTTCTCATCCTGAAGCAAAGTTCTTAACCTGAAGCACTATTTCTGGGTTAGCGGAGTCTGTAACCTGAAGCGTATGTAACCCGAGGTACCACTGCACAACAACAAACACACAATTAAAAAGCAATCCAAAGCAATGAAAGGACAACCAAGGCTTCTCAACAAAATGTTAAGCAATTGCAGAGGCCTGTCTGTCTTTTTAAAAAGAAGGCCCCATCAGCCTTGAGTTCATGAATCATTTACAGCAAGGGGAACAGCCAGTGACTGAAAACTGAGAAAGTAAAACTTAACTGGGACTTTGGCAGGTATGGCTGTTTCTGGTGGTCCCGTCCAGAGTCTGTGCGATGAAGCTACTTGCTCCATCTGCCTGGAATATTTCAAGGATCCAGTGACCATCCCAGAGTGTGGGCACAACTTCTGCCGATCTTGCTTGGTCCAGTGCTGGGGGAAACTGGAGGCAGAGGCTTTCTGCCCACAGTGCAGAATAACTGTCCAGCCAAGGAGCCTCATCTCCAACTGGCAACTGGCCAACGTGGTAGAAATAGCCAAGAAGCTCAGCCTTCCCCTTCAGGAAGGGAAGGTCTGTGAGAAGCACCAGGAGACCCTGAAACTCTTCTGCAAAGTCCATGAAGCCCCCATCTGTGTGGTTTGTGACAGATCCAAGGAACATGAAAACCACAAGGTGATTCCTCTGGAGGAGGCCTCTGAAGAGTACAAGGTAGGAAATCACTGTGGATCTTAATGAGGGGAAGAGTGGTGGATTCTTCCTGGGCCGTTTTCCGTAGCACTTAAGTCCAAACTGCATTAAATCAATTGCCCAAACATCAATTGTTTATTATGTAAAAGGCAGCAAAGGAGAAACCTGAGCAGTGTAGGGGTAGGTTCCAAAGGGAGCTTGCATACCCTCCAACATTTCTATGATGAAAATAGGGTCGTCCTATTCCATCATAATAATAATGATATTTATGCCCCACCCAGCTTTCAATACACATAAAAACATAATAAAACATTTAACATAATCCCCACCCCAATACAGGGTTGCTTTCAGATGCCTTCTAAATTGGACTCCTCTCTCTCTCTCTCTCTCTCCCTCTCTCCCTCTCCCTCTCCCTCTCCCTCTCCCTCCCCCTCCTTCCCTCCCTTCCTCCCGCTCTTTTTCTTGGTCTTAATCAAACCTGGGATTTTGTTTCCTCTTTAGAGACTGATTTGCAGCCGCCTGGAGACTGTGAGGAGAGAGAGAGAGAAAATGCTGGCCTATCGAGAAGACCTGGAAAAGCAAAGTCAAGACCTCCTTGTAGGTGTCCCTGTTGTTACTAGGATGGGAACAAGCATTTGAATACACTGGTACCTCGGGTTAAGTACTTAATTCATTCCGGAGGTCCGTTCTTAACCTGAAACTGTTCTTAACCTGAAGCACCACTTTAGCTAATGGGGCCTCCCGCTGCTGCTGCGCCGCTAGAGCACGATTTCTGTTCTCATCCTGAAGCAAAATTCTTAACCCGAGGTGCTATTTCTGGGTTAGTAGAGTCTGTAACCTGAAGCGTCTGTAACCTGAAGCATATGTAACCCGAGGTACCACTGTAATCAAGTCAGGACTTAAAAAGCACTGGCAAATCTGTCCCATACCAGCTTCTCCCCGTTTTTCCACATCAGCATGCGATTTTGAATTTTAGAAAGTCCTTTCTGTGTTATTTGCATTCATAAACAATTTTAATGCCTACTTTACCCTCAAATGTGCATTTTTGTGCACATTATCTGACCAGAGTAACATTCAGAGGAGTGTTAATTTGAAATGAATGCTGTTTTTCCGTCTGCGTATTTTTTTGGAGAGTGACTATCAGCTAAGTTCACCTTTGAATGCAAACTGGATTGAATTTGTTCCCCCGAGGCAGCCCAGCCCTATTGAATATAAAGTACTTGGGATATCCTGAAGGACCATACAAGTGGTTAATGAAAGGTCTTTTGAAATGTGCACTCTGTTGTTAATCTTTAGCAAAGTCAGGCCATCCTGAAGCCTTAATGTAAACAGCGGTGCTCTGGGGATGAACAGGCTAGCTATGCCCTCTTCCTCTGTTTCTGTTGCCTTCCTATTTATGGAAGTGTTCAGTCTAAAGTGAGCAGCATTTAATGTCCGTGGAGGCTCCCTGAATATTTTAGAACTGTGATTATGCCAGGTCCAAATATGTGCAAGGAACCTCCATGGCTAGAAAAAAAAAAGCTCATTGCTTTAGGCAAACTGGAAGGCAGCAAGCAGGAATAGCCGTGGAGAGGGCAGAGCAAGTGTGTTCCTGAGTCAGGGCTCCATGTTTCTTACTTCTACCTGCTTCTTGCAGAAATTAACAAAAACTGAGAAGCAGGGGACAGAGGAGAAGTTTAGACAACTGCGCCAGTTTCTGGAAGCGAAAGAAAAACATCTGCTGCAGGAGATAGAAGAGGTGGAGCTGGAGGTTGCAAGAAGAAGGGATGAGCAGCTGGCCAGACTCTCCAGGGAACTCTCCTCTCTTGAGAGGATCATTCAGGAGATGGAAGAGAAACGACAGAAGCCAGCAAGTGAACTCCTGCAGGTAAGATGGCAGGAGGAACAGCACAAGGCTCCACTCCAGGAGAAGGGCTTTCTCCAAATCTTTTTGTGCCTCTATACAAGCAGTAAAGAAACTCAGCTTTTTCACAGGAGCTGCCAAGAAAACTGGTGTGGTTTTGAAGCCTTATTTACCTAGGGATCCATCAGCCACGCCATCCCCGGACCTTGGAGGGAACAAAAGTACCAGGAAAGCAAAATCTTCTTTGGAGAAAAAGTTTATTGAAATCTGTGCACAGAGACAATATCTGTACACAGAGACAACCAGCTGGATAGCTCCTGAAAATATACTGGCTGTAAAGCAAGACACTTCAGCAAACTTTCTTATACTCTCTGAGCACTCTCCTCCCTCCCATACCTTCTCAAATTATTCCCTTACATGGCACATCTATATTGCTTGCTAAACACATTTTATTGCTTGCTAAACATTCCTGTCTTTCTATTTTGCTTGCTAAACACATTTTATTGCTTGCTAAACATTCCCTCCCCTCTCCTTCGTACACGTGTCTTTTCTCATCTTTGCATTAGTAAGCATAAGACAGGAAAGGGGGCCTCTTTAGCAGGCCTGGTTAAATCTGCACTTTTGACCCGCCAGCCAAATTTAGTAGGTCTGGTTAGTTATTGCTAACAGCAGCGGTTTCTTGCTAGCTGGCTAGGCAGGAAACGAACTTTTGACCTGTCAGCCAAATTTTGCAAGCAGTCACTGGCGGTGTGCTAACTGTCTGGCCAAAATTTGCAGAAGTAAGATTAGCACAGGATTAGCACAGGAATTTACTGCAGATAGTATTTGAGAGCAACCTTTCTTAGGTACAGAGTTCTAAGCACAGAAAATATTGAGAGAAACCTTTTCCATCTCCCTTTACTCCCTCCTCTTCTTTTGAACAATCTATTACTTAGATTCGTTCTGGGGTAGGGGTCTATATTCTCTCATTACAGCAATCACGCGAGGTCCCATCATGCGAGACATCATCTTTCCCATCATATTCTGCAAGCATTGCATCAAGCAGGGAATACAAAAGCAAAAAAGCAATAGAAGCATTATTGGGCCTATCACCATAGTAAATATCCTCCCCATCCATCCACCATCGGGCAACCAAGAATATAACCAATTCCATGGATCACCTTCTGTAGTTTTTAGCGGGTTTTCAGCTATCATTGTTTCCATGTGGTCAATTGTGGCCGAAATGCTGACATTATTATCTGGGATAAACATACAGCAATGAAAATGAACTAGCACACAAACTCCTCTCTATGTTGAAGATGTTACCAATGGGAATTCCATGTAGCATCAAACCTGGCCATTTAGCATAAGGTGGCATGTGCATACACAGCCAATAATTGGAAAGATTTAGCATTGTGGTGAACTTCCTCAAGGGTGAGAGCCTACCGGCGAGCTGATGCTCCCACTATGTGGGTCAACTTTTCTACTAACCCTGTTGGGTGGATTGAACTCTCGTGCTGCCTCCCTACTGACCAGAGCATATGGAAGCTGAAATCCTGGGGTGGCAATTCTTACTGGCACTTGTTTAGCAATTTCAATGCACACCTGGTTAAGGCTCCCACCCCTGCAATACTTGCATTAAGATAGGTTCCGTCCCATCTAACGCCTGGATTAAGATTAGAACCTGGTCCATCAGATGAGGTTGGTACAGTAACCTCATCAAACCCCTGTTTCCAGTAGTCAATGAGCACGCCATCTCTTACCACCGGCAAGACGAACCAGTCGTAGCAGAGGCCAGCAGGCCAGTAAGGGCGGTATGGCTCGGTAGGGTCAGGGCTGTGGGGCATAGAGCAAATCAATACAGAATATAACAGAAAAAAAGGAAAAGAGAAAGTCCTTATGAAAGTATTAAATGTCCTGGTGGACTTCCTGGATCAGTCCCGGCACGGGTTTTCACGTTGGGGACGCTGCCCGCGGGCGTCCCTCCCATCCATTTCTTCAGCTGTGCGTTGAGATATCAGCTTCCGGTGTGATATCAGCAGAGCGGTCATCAGCGGAGGGTCTGGAGATGGTCAGCCGAAGGGGTTAATCAGGATTTAACTGCACAGTTCAATCTATAGTGGTCACTCTGGTGTGGTGGACCCAAGGGGTGATGCCGGCGAATTTCACGGCGGTGGGTGTGGAGAGCAGGACGGTATAAGGTTCCAGCACGGTTGTAGCTGCGTCCGTGCCCAATCGTTTACCCACACTTCATCACCTGGCTCGAACTGATGCAGCCAACACACAGGGGTTGCGAGCCTGGGTCCACCTGTCGAGACAAAAGAAAACTCGGAAGAATATCTGGACTTAATTATTCAATTGCATATCCTGACCAGCATGTGGGGACAACATTCTGACATATGGGACCGGTCTCCCAAGCACAATTTCAAAGGGTGACAGGTGGGTTCGCTTTGACGGGAGACTGCGGACCCTGAGTAATGCCAAGGGCAACATGGTCACCCAATTAGACCCGGTTTCCTGTGTCAGCTTGGACAGCTGATTCTTTGGAGTCCTGTTCATTCTCTCTACCTTTCCAGAACTCTGGGGTCTATAAGCAGTATGCAGCTTCCAGTTGATCTGGAGCGCTTTTGCCAGTCCCTGTAGGACTGCATGAACAAATGCTGGTCCATTGTCAGATCCTATGGACCTTGGCAATCCATAGCGAGGGATGATTTCCCTAAGCAGGCACCTGGTTACTTCAAATGCCTTTTCAGTCTTTGTTGGCCATGTTTCGGCCCATCCGGTGTAGGTGCACACTGCCACCAGCAGGTAGCGGTGTAGTCCACAACGGGGTAATTCAGTAAAGTCCACAACAAGATCTTCCATAGGTGCAGTTCCACTATGCTGAATTCCTGGGGGAGCTAGTGGTCCGGTTCTGGGATTATTCTTTTGACACAGCAGGCATTTCCTGGAAATCTGGGCTGCCAGTTGGTAGAGGTGGGCTATATAGAAGCATTTCTCCAGCTGCTTGGTTGTAGCATCTGGTCCTATGTGGGTTGAATCATGGTATCTCTGAGTAACCTGCCGAGAAAGGGACTCTGGAATCCATATCCTGTCATCAGGGGTAAGGTACCATCCTTCTTTGGACAATGTCAGCTCCTGAGCGTCTGCAGTGTCCCTTTCCTGCTTCGTATAAGCTGGCTTGTCAGTGGTGCTTAAAATCTCTTCTGGGACCAGTGCTCCAATAACCGAGGCGGGGGCCAGTTCTTGGGCTGCTTCCTTGGCCACTCTGTCTGCCAATCGGTTTCCTCTGGCCACTTCTCCTGGTCCAGTCTTGTGTCCATAACAATGGATAACTGCCACTGCCTCGGGCTCCCATACAGCATCCAGAAGGTTCAACAAGGCTTGTGGGTGGGCCACCTGGCTTCCTCTGGAGGTAAGCAAACCTCTTTCTTTCCATAAGGCTCCATGGGCATGTAAAGTCAGGAATGCATACTTAGAATCTGTATAAAAGTTTATCTTCTGTCCCTTTGCCAGGCTCAGGGCTCTGGTAAGCGCAGTTAGCTCTGCCAGCTGGGCCGATGTTCCAGGCGGGAGTGACTTTGCTTCGATCACCTGGTCTTCCAGGGCTACCACTGCATAACCTGCCTTCCAGTGTCCAGCCTCAATGAAGCTGCTTCCATCCATAAACCATGATGGCCACTGGGGGTCTGCTTCATCTTTAAGGTCAGGCCTGCTAGAATACACCTCATCCATTACTTCAATGCAATCATGCGTGGGCTCCTCACCTACTCCTACCGGTAATAGGGCAGCTGGGTTGAGGGTTGTGGTGACTTGGAATTTCTAACGCGGATGTAGTAGCATCTGACATTTCCTCATTTTAGCCTGGGAGAGGAAATAGGTGCCTTTCGGCAGATGGCACGCTGACTCTTTCCTAAGCGGCCTCGCCCTCCTCTTCTTCTTCTAACGGTGGACCTCCCGTCTTCAGGGCCATCAACTTCTTTGCCTGGTACTTCTCCTTTTTTCTTCTGGGCCTCTTCCTCTCTCTGATTATAAGTGGTTTGGGCTATTTTCTAACATCCATTTCAGGGTGTGGCCCATCTGGATTTTTCGGCAAATATCGGGCGCTGCTTGGGCTACAAAGGCAGTTTTTATGATAGGGGCATGGATATACTGGCGGTAGGCTTCCTTCAGCTTCTTTAAGTAGGCTCCAGGGGCCTCCTCTGTTCCTTGCACTATTTCTCTGGCCTCCACAAAGTTGGTGAGTTTTCTGGCTGCCCTCCTCATGCCATTTAAGACATTCTGGCGATAAGTGGTGAGGGTATTTTGCCCTTCAATGGTCTGATAATCCCAATTCAGTGTAGTTTCAGGATATCCTGTTGCAACAGCTTGATCTCCTGCCCCCTGCGCTCTCATGTGTGCCCGGGCTTCAGCATGAATTCGCCTATCCTCCTCTGTAGCTAGCAGGGCATCCATCAAATATTGCACATCATAAAAAGTGGGGTTGTATGTTTTAAAAAAAATTCCCTCAAACAGCTTAATGATTTTGGCAGGGTTTTCTTCAAATGAAGGGTTTTGGTTCTTCCAATTACAAACATCTGCACTAGAGGAGGGGACATGTTGAACTGTATAAGTTCTATTGGGCACCACCCCGTTAGGTCCCGTGGGGGCTGGAGGGTCATACACTCTATGGAGAGGCATCACTCTGGCCGCGCCCTCCTCCTGTGTTTTATGTGCCCTATGGAGGGTCACTCTTTTCACTGCCTTCCCCACTCTTTCTGCCACTTTCTTCTCTGTTCCCCTACACATCCCACTGTTTTTAACATATGGGGACTGACGTCCACTTCTCCTGCATAAGGTTCCACATACTTTCTCAAACGTTCTGCCTGTTCTTATTATCACCTATCAACTTAACTAATCTTTTTACAAATTCCTCATCCTCACCATCCTCTTCTCGTTCCTCCCTTTCTCCATCCTCGCCCAGGTCTACCAATGCATTGTCCACGGGATTGGGGGCTGGGCCATCTGTTCCCTGTGGCGGGGGTGGTGCCAGGGCTGTTGCCGGGGCATGAGGCGGTGGGGCATCAAAACTTTTATCTTCTTCCCTCTCTGAATCCTGGAGGACTGGGGGGTTGTCCTCCTGTCTTCCTGACTGAGCAGATACGGCTGCCTGAGACTTTTTGGCAGCATGACTTCAGCCAGGGGGGGGGGGTTCTGTTCCACATTGGTCTTCCATGTGGAAATGTAGGGGATTTGATCAGGGTGGACATTCAAAATGTTCTGATATAATGGATTAATGAGTTGCAAATCAAGGGTCCTGATGGACGGCCAATTTGTTATTTTGGGGTGGGCCAATCTAATTTACACAATGTCCTCATCCTCCCCTCTCATCAGCTTGAATCCCCAAAAGCATTTCAAAGGGGTACTTTTACTTTGGCCAGAACCCATTTCTTCCAGATACTTCACACACAACAGACCTACAATCGCTCGGCCAAGGGGACACTAAGCCCTGGCCCACACTTGACAATTCAGCCACTAGAGTATCTTGACATGCAACATACAACATACAAAACACACCAATATAATTTCAACATGTAACACACTAAACACACCAAAATAATTTCAGCATGCAATACACAAAACACACCAAAATAATTTTCCCTCCTTCTTCTGTTCCAAATTTTTGCTGGTGGCACTCTCCTGCACAACCAATCCCCTTATTCCTGGTGGCTGGCACTCTACTGCGCAACCAATCCCCTTATTCCTGGTGGCTGGCACTCTACTGCCCAACCAGGTGAGGCTGATCAGACCTCGCCCCCCTTTTCCTTGGGGGCCCACGCCCTTTCCCTTGGGCTTACCTTTTTCCGCTGCGGACCTGTCCCCTCGGCGCCGTCCTCTTTGTTTTTCTCCCTCAACAAGATGTCTCCACTGCAGGACAGTGTGGCTGGCTCCCCCCACGAAACAGGTGGGGTGCGCACGGGAGCCTGCAAACGCTGCTGAGCTGTTCACCTTGGTTGAGCCTGGCCCTCCGGTCCGTATTGGGGAGAGGGCTTATCCCGGACGAGCCCCCAAAGAAATGAAGCCTTATTTACCTAGGGATCCATCAGCCACGCCATCCCCGGACCTTGGAGGGAACAAAAGTACCAGGAAAGCAAAATCTTCTTTGGAGAAAAAGTTTATTGAAATCTGTGCACAGAGACAATATCTGTACACAGAGACAACCAGCTGGATAGCTCCTGAAAATATACTGGCTGTAAAGCAAGACACTTCAGCAAACTTTCTTATACTCTCTGAGCACTCTCCTCCCTCCCATACCTTCTCAAATTATTCCCTTACATGGCACATCTATATTGCTTGCTAAACACATTTTATTGCTTGCTAAACATTCCTGTCTTTCTATTTTGCTTGCTAAACACATTTTATTGCTTGCTAAACATTCCCTCCCCTCTCCTTCGTACACGTGTCTTTTCTCATCTTTGCATTAGTAAGCATAAGACAGGAAAAGGGGGCCTCTTTAGCAGGCCTGGTTAAATCTGCACTTTTGACCCGCCAGCCAAATTTAGTAGGTCTGGTTAGTTATTGCTAACAGCAGCGGTTTCTTGCTAGCTGGCTAGGCAGGAAACGAACTTTTGACCTGTCAGCCAAATTTTGCAAGCAGTCACTGGCGGTGTGCTAACTGTCTGGCCAAAATTTGCAGAAGTAAGATTAGCACAGGATTAGCACAGGAATTTACTGCAGATAGTATTTGAGAGCAACCTTTCTTAGGTACAGAGTTCTAAGCACAGAAAATATTGAGAGAAACCTTTTCCATCTCCCTTTAGTTTACTATTCCCCTTAATGCAGACTGGAGATGCTTACTCAGTGTTAATAGAATGTGGTGTTCTGTGCTTAGCCAAAGATTTTCTCCTAATGCATTCTATTTTTGCAGTGCTGCCTTCATGTCCTGTTGTGGGCTTCCCAGAGGCTGCTCTGGCTGCCTTAGAGCTAAGCAAAATTAAAATTAAGCAAAGGAGAAGTGAGCCTTAACATTGAGCACAATCACATTTTTTAATCCAAATTGACACTCCCACCTTTCTGCATTCAGATTTTCAATTTCTGCCCTCCAGACAGACATTGAGGCCAACTTCAGTCATGATAAATGTTATGAAAGTGTCATCAAAAAATGCAATAGCTTTACAACTCGGCACAAATGTAAATGGTCTGTGGTGGTTGGGGTGTTTATGTAAGCCCACTGAGAAACCTGTCATTGGTTTGAGAAATATCGCCCATCATTATATGGTCTCTACCAACCACCTCACAATTCCTTGACCTTTTCCTGAACATTTTTCTGTGAAAGAAACAATGAGGGGTTGTAATGCCCCAATTCACTGACATTTGCTGGGGTAAGAAACTCAGCTGGACACAAAAATTCATTGCATCATATACTGCAGGTGGTTTCAGCTGGCTGGCTGAAATTTGGCGATGTTCTACAAATGGCTTTGGGGGGAAATGTTCTAGAAGGACTAAACTGTAGGCCTCCTGATGTCTAAATTGCACAATGAGAAGTGTGTTGGGAGGGATTTTTTTGCACACAAAATTAAACGCAGGTTGATAAGTTAAAACTGCCTCAGACCTGTTTTGTTTGCCGTTTATGCAATATGCAAACTGAATCATAGCCATCCACCAGCATTTGCAATTCTCTAGATTTTCTAGTGAAATTCTCAAGCCAAGTAATCTGAACTTGCATACAAAATTGGCTACAAAGGTGTGTTTGGGGAGAAATTCGCACTAAAATGTTGATGTGGAATTGTGGAGAACTGAACTTCAGATTGTAAAATTAAAAACTGACTGAAACCAATATTGGCTGATTTAGCCATTCTTGCTCAAATCTTTGATGTGTGCCAGGCAGACTGAGATTAGAGGACCAGGCTGCATCCATTCCAGGGTCTGAAGTGCCTTCAAAGTGTGGCCTTTTATAGGCAGTGATTGCTGTTATCTTTTCCCCTCTAGGATGTGAGAAGCACCTTGCAGAAGTAAGTGGATCCTGCTCATTTCCATTAGCATCTCTCTGAGGTCAGGAAAGGTCCAGGACCCCAACACATAAAACCTGGTACAGAAGGGGCTCCTGGGGGAGAGGCGGTAGGACTCCACACTCTACAGCAGGGATCAGCAAACTTTTTCAGCAGGGGGCCAGTCCACAGTCCCTCAGGCCTTGTGGGGGGCCAGACTATATTTTGGAAGGGAAACAAAGAATGAATTCCTGTGCCCCACAAATAACCCAGAGATGCATTTTAAATAAAAGGACATATTCTACCCATGTAAAAACATGCTGATTCCAGGACTGTCTGTGGGCCAGATTTAGAAGGCGATTGGGCTGGATCCGGCCCCTGGGCCTTAGTTTGCCTATCCATGCCCTACAGCATCTCACACGTAAAAATAGGGCCCTCTCCTTTGCTATTGTAGCAATCTAATTCTTCTTCCAAGGATCAAGGCCAGAGCACGGCCTCCTCCTTCCCCGTCACATAGGGCTGGAGACTCTTCTCTGCCTCTTGCACGTTGCATTCACTGACTCTGCAATACATAGTGTCAAGCATATAAAAGAAAGTGGCTCAAAGATGCTTGTGAATAGCTCAGTACCTACGAACATGTTTCAATGTCCAACTAGTTTTTCCTCAAAGTATGGTGAGCAACAGAAAGGTGCCCACCTCTGTTAACTCTCTCTCTCTTAGGTATTTTTGGAGGGGAGGTTAGTGAATCTGGAATAAGCTGATTGTTTTTTTTCCTCAGAGGTGGGATTGTTGTGATTTTGCATCAGCGGGCAAACTCAGAGGCCTGGGGTTGCTGCTTTGGCCCTCAGATATCTGACTGTGGAGCCTGTAGTGAGGAAGAATTGAGCCCCTCTGTGCCTGCCTGACCCTATAGGCTTTTTTCAACTCTCTTTCTCATTTCCTTTCTTTTACTGTGCTAGGAATTGTGGTTTTGAATGGGCTAACATTATTTTTCTTCTCACCAGGTATGAGAAAAGAGAGAGATTGGAGGCTCCATGTGCTTTCCCTCCACAGCTGAATGAGAGGCTCTCCAAACTCTGTGATATAAATAGTATGCTCGAGGATGTGATGAAGCAATTCAAAAGTAATGAGAAATGGCTGCGAGGATTTTATTCTGGGCATTTTATTGGTCCAAAACTGGGTATGCCAGTCTCTTAATGTATTGCATTGTCTTGTATTTTGTTTTTGCTGCAGACAGGGATGTTCCCATAATACCTTCCTTCTTGGTGGTCCAGCCATCATCTTATTTTCCTCAGAATGCCCTATATACATTGTCACTCTGGTGCATGGGGGGTTAGAGGAAAGAAATGGTGGCTGCCACAAAGAGAAAGACCCTGAACCAGAGTGCAGAGAAAAGTCAAGATTTCCCCCCTCAATGTACATCTGGGCTGGCCCTTTTGGAGGTTCTCAAACTCTGAAGGGCAGTGTGAAAGGGCATTTTGTACCACCCTGTTCCCCTCTTTGCCTCCTCCTGCTTAGCCGTGTCTCCCAGCAGTGAAGCAAAGCCCTGATCTGTGTCCTCAGACACCCACCCACAGCTGCCCTATCTAGGGCTGCCACAAACACAATCTCCTGAGAGTTCACAAATTAATTATGAAATCAAGTGCACATGAGCCCCAAAGGGCACAATTATGTTTCTTAATAGCATGGAAGATTTTTAAAAGGTTTGAGGGGAGGAATTCCTTTTGCACGAGAGCTCTGCCATTCCTTCCTCTACAAGCTGAGTTTCTCATAAGATTTAATGATTCTGGCTTAAACAAAATCCCTCACCACTTTACTTTGGGGAGTTATCAAGGCTGCCTCTATCTCCCCTCTGCATCCTTTTACAGGATTGCTGTTACGCTGCCTCCCCTCCAGTCCTCCACTATAGACCCCAAATTTAGTGACAGCATTCATAGACCAAAAAATTAAAGAATTGTCCAGTAGCACTTTAGAGACCAACTAAGTTTGTTCTGGGTATAAGTTTCGTGTGCATGCACACTTCTTCAGATACACGCGCATGAAAGCTTATACTCAGAACAAACTTAGTTGGTCTCTAAGGTGCTACTGGACAATTTTTTATTTATTTTATTTATTTCGACTGCGTCAGACCAACATGGCTACCTACCTGAATCTACATTCATAGACCATCGCTTTTTTTGCTGAATATTTTTATTCTGCTGCTTTTAAGTCTAGTTTATCACTGCTGAGTTTTAAAATTCTAGTTATTTTCATTGGTTCTTTCTATTATTTCCTTGTTTTAAAATATTTGTTCTACTACCTAATATTTTACTTGATTTAAGGAAACTATAGCTACTATAGGGACGCGGGTGGCGCTGTGGGTTAAACCACAGAGCCTAGGACTTACCTATCAGAAGGTCGGTGGTTCGAATCCCTGCAACGGGGTGAGCTCCCGTTGTTCGGTCCCTGCTCCTGCCAACCTAGCAGTTCAAAAGCACGTCAAAGTGCAAGTAGATATATAGGTACTGCTCTGGTGGGAAGGTAAACGGTGTTTCTGTGCGCTGCTCTGGTTCACCAGAAGTGGCTTAGTCATGCTGGCCACATGACCCGGAAGCTGTACGTCGGCTCCCTCGGCCAGTAAAGCAAGATGAGCGCCGCAACCCCAGAATCGGTCACGACTGGACCTAATGGTCAGGGGTCCCTTTACCTTTACCTTTATAGCTACATTATGAAGTGTAATTTTTGTACAAATATTTATTGTAATGTTTTATGTTTTTATATATGTTGGAAGCCACCCAGAATGGGTGGGGCAACCCAGTCAGATGGGCAGGGTACAAATATAATTACTATTATTATTATTGCTGTTATTATTATTATTGGAGGTACAAGAGTATAACGCTTAAACTCCATATCGTTTTGCTTCCTCAGACTCTCTTTTATTCAGACAACAGCTTCAGAAAGGTAAATTTCTGACTGAGGCCCAAATTCATCTGCGGGATGGGGACTGGATGATGCTCTCCGCTCCTGGCAGGGGTGAAACTAGGCTTTCTGTCACCCAGGTCAAAGACCAAGTTGGGCACCCTGCCACACACATTTATGTACACACACAGTAAATGGCCAACAGGCTGTGACCCTCACTGGTGCCCTCTGGGAGCTTCACCCGGGGCAAAAGTACTGGCTACACACACCCCAGCTATGGCTCTGCCTCCTGGCCTGGACATCTTGGTTGGCTGCTTAGCTCCGGAGTCCTATCTAGCCGAGGTGGGTGTAGGTCCCAATCACTGACAGTGAATTAATTTTGTCTTGAATGATTTCTAGTTCATCTTCAAATTCATTCTCTTCCATGTGTTTTTCACTCTTTGAGTCTCTAATAATAATAATAACAATAATAAATTTTATTTATATCCCGCCCTCCCCAGCCGAAGCCGGGCTCAGGGCGGCTAACAACAATAAAACAGTATAAAAGTATAACATAAACAACACTCTAAAATCATTCATTGTAAAATTAATTAATTCAGGCCACTGGCAACCATTGGGCCAGAGCTCCGCGAAGATTGCCAAGGGAGGGAGTCAGGCTGTGCCCTGGCCAAAGGCCTGGTGGAACAGCTCTGTCTTGCAGGCCCTGCGGAAAGATGTCAAGTCCCGCAGGGCCCTGGTCTCTTGTGACAGAGTGTTCTACCAGATCGGAGCCACAGCCGAAAAGCCCTGGCTCTAGTTGAGGCCAGCCTAACTTCTCTGTGGCCTGGGACCTTCAAGATGTTTTTATTTGAAGACCGTAAGTTTCTCTGTGGGGCATACCAGGAGAGGCGGTCCCGTAGGTACGAGGGTCCTAGGCCGTATAGGGCTTTAAAGGTTAAAACCATCACCTTAAATCTGATCCTGTACTCCACCGGGAGCCAGTGCAGCTGGTGTAGCACCGGGTGAATGTGATCTCGCAGCGAAGACCTCGTAAGGAGTCTCGCTGCAGCATTCTGCACCCGCTGGAGTTTCTGGGTCAGTCTCAAGGGCAGCCCCACGTAGAGCGAGTTACAATAATCCAATCTGGAGGTGACCGTCGCATGGATCACAGTGGCTAGGTCCATGGGCGCATGGGCGTAGCCAGGAATTTTTTTTTGGGGGGGCAGGCTTTCAGTAGGGGGTTTGTCAGGATTGGCACTGTCCATAATAAATCCAGTTGCAGCAGACGTAACTTAAACTTGCAATAACTTATAATAAGTCTAAACCGTAACAGTATATACAGAACACCACACCAGAAGGAAGGAGATAAGAAGCGAAACCCAGGCTCCTTCTGGCCTTATTATTGATTATAAACAGCATGACCTTGACAGAAAGAGAGAACAGAACCAGTTTAACCAGCTTATTTTCAAGCTGATTTGTTGAGCAACTGCAGGTTTAAAAAAGCAGTCAGCACTGAGTTTCTTCCTGAATCAGTTACAGAAAGGGAAACACCCAGTTACTGAAAACTGAGAAAGTGAAACTTAACTCCTTCTCTGGAGTGAGGAAGCCACTCTTTGTGCTGAAGCCACTTGCTCCATCTGCCTGGAGTATTCCAAGGATCCAGTGATCATCCCAGAGTGTGGGCACAACTTCTGCAAGCCTGCTTGATCTAGGATTGCCATATTTCAAAAAGTAAAATTCAACCTGACAACCACAAAGGTCTGAGTAACCACTGTTATATTCTTCAGTGGGGTCGTTCCATGACAGATCACCACAATTTTTCAAATTATTATTAGCTACTACATCTCAGATTTTGCTTAAAATTGCTGTACTGGATTATCTCAGGTCAGTGTCAAAAGTGAATAAATATTTCCTATGTCTTATAGTTTTCAAGTTGGGGGGGGGATGAAAATTAGAGAAACGTTATATACATGCATGAATCAAGTCGCTTCTGGGGACTTTATGGGGTTTTGGGCCCTGGAGCTTAAGCTTCCTTAGTTTATAGCAGATCCACTTCTGGGTAGAATAGGTTGATGGGTCTCTGCACTGACACTCTCCCCAACTCTAAGCATAATGAGGGCATCTAAGAGTGAATGCCTGTTCTCTGCTTATCTGAACTGGGGGGCCCTCATCACCCACCCACTGAGAGCCCCAAATGGCCATATCATACAGAGATGCCTAAGGAGGGCAAGTCCCCTTCTCTCCTACTCCCCCCTCCCATTCACAAACACAGAAGAGCTGAGTAAAGGTTCACTAGGTGGTTTTGTTTCATTGTAAATACTGGTACATTGAATGCAGAAAGAAGAAACCAACTGATTAAAAACCAACAAGGGCTGCAATCTGAAAACGGTAATGGCCTTTGAGTAATGTCTGTAGATAACCAATATTAAAATGAAGATAGATAGAAATAATAGTACTTCAAAGAAAAAGAAAATAGATAAATACAGGCAACAAGTTTATTATAATAAAATGGAAGAGATGGGAAGTCATTTATTTATGAAGAATATTATGATTTGAATTACATCTCTTTTCTTTTTTGTGTACATGTAATGTTTGATGATCTAAAATGGACAACAACAATAATCACAAACATTTTTTGGATAGATATTTTTATGATGTAAAGTTATGATGTAAAGATATCATTATGAGCAATAAAAAAAAAAGATTTAAAACCAACAAGGAAAGTATTTATTGTGGGGAAAGTATGGAAGCAAGAGAGAAGTATCCCAGTTCTGTATGCAATACAAAGAAATCCCATTTCTTTGAGAGGGAATCTGGTTCCTGGAGTGTTTCTTGGATCAGGGTGTCCATCTCTGACTCTCAGCTGATTCTGCCTCTCTTCTTTTTCCAACAGAAAATGTCACTCTGGATCCAGACACAGCCCATCCCAGGCTCATCCTGTCCGAGGATCGGAAAAGCGTGAGATGGGGAGACAAAAAGCAAGCCCTGCCTGACAATCCTGAGAGATTCAGTGACTGGCCTTCTGTGTTGGGACGTGAGGGATTCAAAGCAGGCAGACATTTCTGGGATGTCACTGTGGGAAGTGAGGGAGAATGGGCTGTAGGGGTTGCCAGGAAGTCTCTGAGGAGAAAGGATGACTTTCTCATGAGAATAATTAATACCTTCTGTGAGTTAAGTTATGAGGAAGGGATCTGGGCTGTGGGGAAATTGAGAGGTAAGTACAGGGCCTGCACCTCCCCTGATTCCTCTCCTTTGTCCCTAAGCGAGGAGCCCAGGAGGATCCGGGTGACTCTGGACTGTGAAGCAGGGGAGATGTCTTTTTCTGGTGCTGACTCAGGAGCTGAACTCTACACGTTCTCAGGAGCCTCGTTCTCTGGAGAGACCTTCCTCCCTTTCTTTTATCTGAGGGGAGATAAAATCCACCTCAGGATCTCCTAAGGAGGCTAAATCTGCCTCACAGGAACATTTGGAGTTTCTCTCCAAATGAAAATGACAGATATAAAACCAAACACCTCAAGAGCTCTTTTGACAGCTTTGCACAGGCCTTTTGAGATGACTCACTCTAGTCACAATCAGCAGAAGCAAGAAAACAGAGAAAAAATGGGGCTAGTTTTTTAAATTTTGTTTTATTTTGTTTTATTTGCTTTTTCCTTCCCTTTCCCGGAATTCCCTCTGCAGGTTATTTCTTAGAGACAATATCACTTTAACAGTCCCAGTAAATATTATGTTCCTGAATAGGAATGCACTGACTTCAGTGGGGCTTTTGGCTGTTTAGATGTGTTTAGCATTACAGCCAATGTGGTGTCCTTTGGATGAGGCTGGACTCCAATTCCCATCTGCCTTGTCCAGCATCTGATCAGAGATGATGGGATTGTAGTCCAGCAACTTCCAGAGGGCATCACATTTGCTGGCTGCTTCAGACCTTTTGCGTGTGAGGTGATCGCAGTAACCACCAGAGTAGAGAAACTGTGCCCTGGCCTCTGGACTTGTTTCCATCCCTCAGATGAAAATGCGCCTCTCCACCTGTGTGTGAGGAGAAGAGCATACACCTGAAATGAGGTGAAGGCCCAAGACAGGTGTTGATCATCATGTGAGCTGCGCACAGGTGGTCTGAAGCGAGCTACCACCATTCCTGTGGAGCCTCTTTTTATTGAGACAAACATGCAAGCTAGGCAAATACATCTTTGGGCTGTGACCTTTACACATCTTCCGTCCCGAAATCGTGGGGTGGTACAAAGCTATTTTGGCACCTGTTTCCACAGCGTCATTTTCTCCTTGCACAGTGTATGACGTAGGAGACAAAAGGTCTCAGGGAAAAACTTACAGACAGGACACCGCTGACTTCTGAGACCGCAATAGGTCAGACATAGGTGGAACGATGTACCAGACAGCTGTGGCTTGTCTGGGGGGGGGGGTTGCCCTGCACCCCAAGGTCACGCGTGCAGGCAGACGTGGCTGCTTGCCGGTGGGGAAGTGTGCTCCCTCCGGACCCCACTCTCCACTCCGCGATATCCCTACATGAAAGACCTTCTGTTCCTGGAAGGGGGAGAGGGAGCAAAAAAGAAAGAAAACCCAGCTAGGAATCTGACCTCAGCACCAATTGTGGCACAGAATCCTGACCACTAAACCATGGTTGAGAAAAGCCTGGTTGAACTCCCTAGTCCAGCGAAAGGATTCCCTGACAGGAAATAGATTGAGAAGACTGGTAAAAAATGTGGGAATGTTCAGGGATGCAGGAGAGGATATATTGTTTGATGATATCCTTCCTAACTTGCGTTAGCAAGTTCTATATCTTATCAGAGTAGCATTCCCCTTTAAATGCACAGAGGTATGCTTGTTGCAGGCTCATCTGAGCCTCTCAGTATAAGATTCCTGGTAAGATCCCTTGTCCCTCTTAAAAATAATAGACACAACAGTCTTATTAAAATCTATATAAAAGTAGTTTACTCACAATCATTCAGTTCACAGTGTGAAAGAAATTTTTTACTCATAACTTAGTTTTGTTTCTATTTAATTTAGATCCTGCCACTTCCCCAAATTTTTGAATTTTTTCTATAACTCTAGGGAGAGAATTTTTTGGATCTTCCACTGTAATTACTAAATCATCAGCACATGCTTTCAATTTAAACTCACTTTCCCCAGTTTTTATCCCAGTGATCTCTTTGTCTGCTCTTATGTTTCTAGCAAATACTTCCAGGACCAGAATGAACAACAGCGGCGATAATGGGCATCCCTGTCTAGTTCCTTTTTGTATCTTACAGTTGTCCGTTATCACCTGATTTACAATTAATTTAGCTTTTTGTTCTGAATATATTGCTTGTATTCCCTTTAAAAATTTGAATCCACAATAATTTATTCAAGTACTTTTGTCATGAAATTCCAAGAAACATTGTCAAAGGCTTTTTCCGCGTCTATAAACATCATTGCTGCTTTCTTTTCATTTTTGACCTCCAGATATTCTATCACATTTAATATATTTCTTATATTTTCTTTCATTTGTCTACCTGGAAGAAATCCTGCCTGATCTTGATGTATATACTCATTTAATATTTTTTTCATTCTATTAGCTAAAATGTTTGCAAATAATTTATAATCATTGTTTAACAATGAGATAGGCCTTTAATTTTTAATTTGCAGCAAATCTGAATCTTGTTTTGGAATTACTGTAATGTAAGCCTCTTTCCATGTTTCTGGGATTTCACCTGTATTTAATATCTCATTCATGACATCTTTCAATGGGTTTACCAATTGTTCACTTAATTTTTTATAATACTTTGCCATTCATCCATCTGGACCCGGGGACTTGCCATTTTTTTGTCCACTTTATTGCCTCTAACACTTCTTGAGCAGTTATTTGTGTGTTTAAGCTCACCATTTGTTCCTCTTTTATTTTTGGCAGATTACTACCTTTAATATATTCCTCTATTTTAAAAGCTTTTTCCTTCCCTTTCCTATACAATTCTGAGAAATATTTTACAAATGCTGCTCTTATTTCCTTCATCTTATCTGTGATCTTTCCATTTATATTAATTTTGTTTATGGAGTTTCTTTGTTCACTTATCTTCAACTGCCACGCTAGCAGTTTTCCTGATTTGTTAACAAATCTGGCTCTGCCTCTTGTGAACAGAACTTCCATGAGCTGCCATACTCACATCCTCAATAGGGAGGAGATGCTACTCTGCCCCCTTCTTAGCGTATGAAGCAGCCAGTCAGTTTCATAATCTGAAGGTCCTGAGTTGGAGCCTCTGAGAAGGCAACTTCCTCCTCTCGCTTCCTTTTTGCCAAGGGGTGTGTTCAGCTGCGCTCTCCAAGAAGGGAAAAGGGAAGACTGTGGGCGTCATGGGTGGTGAGTTGGGAGTCTTGATTGCTGTTATCTATCTATATTAAGCATTTGCAAGTAATAAGTAAATAAAGAGAAAAACATATTCCTTGACCAGGAATTGAATGCAGACTGCATCAATGAGAGAAACAAATTTTTAGAACCACAAGTAGATTTTAATCGGTAATATTTTTCAATGTTAAACTAAGAAGAATGTTTAAATTAAAAAAGAACGAATCCTCTGCTCAGAAATGATGTGGGCTTCAGGGTGAAAATGTAGTGACCAAGTTTGCTCAGACATTAAATTGTTCGGCCTCTCGGACCATCAGTCTGTTTGTCATCTATTCAGCTCCAGCAACAAAACCTCAGCCCAAAGGCTATGGGGGGAAACCATTCAGCTCTCTGTGGCTCCGTTGGTTAGTGTGTCTGGTTGTTAACCAGAAGAATGGTGGTTCGAGTCCATCCAGGTACAGGTTTGGGTCCCCTACCCTCATGATCACAAGGTGAAGGTGATGACTGGCTCATCCATTGCTTCTCATGCATGTGGGTTTGAATCTCACCTTCGTCAACACTTTAGCCCAAACTGAATTATGGAAGCTGGGCATAAGAACTCAAGGAGAGCCTACTGGATTAGGCCAATGGCCCATGCAGTTCTCACCGTGGCCAACCAGAAGCCTGTGGGAAGACGCCCACAAGCAGTAGCATTAATTTGGCCCTAACATTCTTTCCCCTGACTTGCTAGATTTCTATATGCAGGGACTGCTTTTGTACAGTGGAGGTTTCATTCAAGTGAGTCTCCTCCTTTCTTGCTCTGTCTTTTCCTTTCTTTTATTTTATGGGTTGTTGTGAATTGTAAACTGAGCCATGGAGGGTTGGCAGTGAAATGTTCAGTGTTGTGCACTTACATATAAAAACGGGTGGGAAGGAGAAAAGGGAATCACTTTTATTTAAAAACAAACAAAAAAAGAAAGGAGGCAATCACATGGCTACTGGGTTCTTCAAGTGCTGGCCCAAAGGTAGCCAAAATGGCAACATCCATGCACAAAGTATCAGCAGGCATAGAGGAACCCCAGCAACTTTAGAAAACCTTCCGAAAACAGGCCAAAGAGGAACACACATTTCTAGTGGCCTTGAAAAGCTGATTCTCTGATGAGACAGGAAAAGTGTGGGGTGTGTGTGTGTGTGTGTGAGTGAGAGAGAGAGAGAGAGAGAAGTATCCTAGAAGACAGCAAGATAGCCATGAGCACCCTACAGACTGCTGCGTTTCATTACAAATCTAATTTGTAGTAGAATTATCTTTTTAGTGTTCAGTGTTTCGCGTTAATTTCCCCAACAATCCTTGACAACTCCACAGTAGGCAGGCGAAAGTGATCAATTCCCAAGTGCAAATACGGGATAACTATGAAGAAGGAGCAGTTGACCCACTCCATTATGAAACTGAGGCAGTAGGACTCTGTTAAATGAAATACCAGGAAGAGGCGGTTATGAACCTGCCCTTCTCTTAAACCATTTCCTACCATTTGAGGCCCTCTGCAGAGCAAATTCCAACACCAGAGCTAAAATATACACATACAACATATCATTTTAAGAACCCCCAAGAGCAGCAAACACAAAGTATTTTAAGTAATCCCCCCCCAATGCCTTTTCTTTTTAAAACTCGTGAGAGATGTATTAAAGCTTGAGTGCTGCTGAGTAATGTTACTACTTCTAACTGTTCCTAGCTGGTTTCACAGTCCTGTATTTCTCCAGCCACAATAACTAGGGTTTCATCTTTTTAGGGGCAGGGTTTGTGGTGCATAAGAACAAGACAAGCCTGGTAGATCGATAGCTATGTGTTGAGGATGATCAATATTAGTGGGCAAACCATCTTTCAGGGAAGCATGTTTGCCTCTATTGATCTTTGCACTGAGAGATCCCTTAGTAAGGTTTTGAGGAACTACCAGGGCTCTCCCAAGCCAAAAAACTAAATCAGGTACTTCCACCTGAGGCTGAAAAATATCAAGCCCTCACTTCCTGCATGCAAGATGTCCTTTTCTCTCTTGAATGGGTTTTCTCATGTGATGTGAGGCTGCCCTTCTGACTGAATCTCCTCCCGCAATCCAGACACTGGTACGGCTTCTCTCCTGTGTGGATCCGCACGTGCGTCATGAGGTTGCCCTTCTGACGGAAGCGTTTCCCACAGTGCAGACATGGATATGGATTCTCATCTGTATGGATCCTCTCATGTATGACAAGGTTGGACTTCTGAGAGAAGCTTTTCCCGCAGTGCGGACACTTGTATGGGTCCTCTTCCGTGTGGATTCTCTTGTGTGCGATGAGGTCACATTTTCGACTGAAGTTTCTCCCGCAATCGGAGCATTTAAAGGGTCTCTCTCCTGTGTGGGTCTTCCCGTGGATAATTAGATTGCACCTCTGAGAGAAACTTTTCCCACAGTCTGAGCACTTGAATGGTTTCTCACCTGTATGGATTCTCATGTGTTTCCTAAAAACTGAGCCACGAGTGAAGACCTTCTCACAGTGTGGGCACCTGTGTACATTCTCCCCTGTGTGGATTCTCTCATGCGCTGTAAGGCTCGAGCTGTGATAGAAGGTCTGGCCACAGTCTGTGCATGCATACGGCTTTTCTCTTGTGTGTATTTTTTCATGTGCCCTAAGATTTGAACTGTGGGTGAAGCTTCTCCCACAGTTGGAGCACTCGTATGGTTTCTCTCCAGTGTGGGTTCTTTCATGTACAAGAAGGTTGGTGCTCCGGCTGAAGGTTTTCCCACATTCTGAACACTTATATTTATCCTCTCCTGTATGCATTATTTGGTGTTTATGATTTCAGCTCTGTTGGAAGCTGCCTTTGACATCAGCACATGGCTTTAGGGCACCATAATCACGATCTTTCACTTTCTTCACATCCAAACAATCCTCTGGGAGCAGCTTCACTCAAATCTTTCCCAGATCCACTTGTTCCTGAAGCTTCTTCCGTCATATTCTCACGCACCCGTCCATAACCTGCCTAGGACGAAAGGGAGAATCATAATATGAGTCACATCCTGCTCTGGATGCTTATTTCTTATGAATAAATATTACCCCACACGTCAGGCTTTTAAAATGGCTCACCACACTATGAGAACAGCAAAAAGGCAGTAGTGACACAGAAGATGAAAGGCTAGGATCTAAAAAGCCTGATTGGGCAAAGAGAAGGACTTGTCTGACTGCAGAAAGACAAGCAGCTCAGCACCAGGTGAGCAATAAGACAATGCCCTAAGGCTGGGGTAAGGAACCTCAGGCTCAGGAACAAAAGTGACCCTTCAAATCTCTCTGTTTGGCCCTCAGGCCCACTAAGTCACAACCCCTCGCAGAGGCCTTTCCTTCCTTGAGTGCTTTTGCCTGACTTGAATTGTTATAAAGCCTTTCATTGCATGAAAGGAAAAGAGAGAGAGGTGTTTCTGTATGGCTGGATAGATGCATTTTTTTGTCCTTTCCTCTTTTGCAGCATTTGAAAACAGCACTTTTGCCTAGAGGCACAAAGAGCACAACTATTCTGAGATTTGAAACCTCTCTTTAGGGCTATTTGCATGATATTCATATCATGTGGGCCAGAGGGAAGGCTGCTTCATTTTATTCTAAGACAGTAATGTGAACACAGCACAAGTCTCAGCTGGGTGAAGATATATAGCATCCCAGCTTTTTTTAAAATAAAGTTTCAAAGTCTTTAAGGGATTGCAGGACTTGGAACTCTAAGGGTTTTGAGTTCTGCTTGCGCTGCCTGAGAATCCTTTAGTTTTCAACATGTTTTTTCCACGTTGCTTAATGCTATGCTGCATTTCTATGCTTAAGGATACATTTGTATGCTTAGAGAGCCAGTGTGGTGTAGTGGTTAAGAGCGGTAGTCTCGTAATCTGGGGAACCGGGTTCGCGTCTCTACTCCTCCACATGCAGCTGCTGGGTGACCTTGGACCAGTCACACTTATTTGAAGTCTCTCAACCCCACTCACCTCACAGAGTGTTTGTTGTGGGGGAGGAAGGGAATGGAGAATGTTAGCCGCTTTGAGACTCCTGAAGGGGAGTGAAAGGCGGGATATCAAATCCAAGGTTAGGACTGCCTTTGAACCTCTTTATCGTAGGCTGCCAGAGAACTCCCTGGGAACGGCATATAAATGGTGCCATAAATAAATATTAAAATCGTCACCTGGGATTCTGCTCTCAGACACCTGCCCTAGGAAATGAGGCGGATGGTGAGTGGGCAGAGGGATGTCTCAGTGGCGGCACCCCTTTGCAGCAGAGATGGGGCACTTTTTCAGCCTGAGGGCCACAACAACAACCAAAAAGAGCCCTGCTATTTCAGGCCAGTGTCCCCTCTAGTTCAGCATTCTGTTCTCTGTGTGGCCAACCAGGAAGCAGCTGGTACCACAAGCTGTTAGGAAGCTGGGATAGTAAATAATGATATGAGTAATAACTATATTGTATACTGCTGGATTGCACCCAAAACCTCTAAAGTGTTTGCAAATAATGATGATGATAACTGTCAACAACAACAAAAACAGATTTAAAAAATTCAAGCTGTTTATTAAAATAAGTGTAGTTAAAGGCCGACTAAAGCATTCTAGGCATCTTGGATAGGCTTGCATGAGCAGAAACGCTTTGACCAGAAATGTAGCGGTATTACTATTTTACAATCATAATGATAAAGGCACTCCTTCCCAACACACACACACACACACACGGATTTACCAGGGTGAAATGCCAGATAATCGACGAAACCAGAGTATCTGAACAGACAACGGATCTTTTTTCTTCCTCTTCCTTCACTCTCTCTCCCTTCTTGCGCAACCAGCTCTTGGGCTGCTGCTGTCCCTTCTCTGGAATTTACTAGGCTCCCCTTTAAAACCCCTTCCTTTCCCTCCACGTTCGCCTCTCCTTGCAGCCTTTTGCAATGCAAACCCTGCTAACTGCAGCTGGCGGTGGGGAGATCTGTTGAAAGGCTCCAACCCGAACCCCCTTTTCTGCAAAGGTCGTAGAACAAACCAACTCCGCCACCCACCTCCAGGGGGCGCGATGGGAAAAGGTCTGGCAAGGAAGTAGTTTTCCTATTCCATCGTCATCTTTCTTCCTCCTCCACTCTCTCTGGCCTTTCTAGGAACTGGAGCTAAACTCGGTGGATTTAACCATTTGAGTAATGAATACCCTTGCAGACACTCTTCTCTGGTCGATAATCCGACTTGTTTCCTGGCGCTTTTTCTTATTGCAGTGAAGTCTGATGGCGAAGCAAGTTGGTTGTGCAAGATAAATTGTGACTGGGGAACCTGAATGTGTTGATGTGCTTATATGCACACACACACACAAAAGATCCTGCATGGTAAAGTGCTTAAAGGCTGGACTAGGACTTGGGAGCCCAGGGTTCAAATTCCCCACTCTGCCACCTACAGGGTGAGATTGGAATAGTCAGCCTGAGCCTAATATACCTCACAGGGTTGTTGTGAAGATAAAATGGAGAGGTGGGGGGGGGGACCATGCGTGCAAGCTTAGGGTAGCTCAAGGTGGAGTAGAAATGTAAAAATAAACTTTTCCAGCTCTGCAGTATCCTTCTGTGAAGCGAGATGATCAGAGCTGTACATATACGGTATTCCAAATGCAGTCTCATCATAGTGTTATAGGAATTCTAAGGTCATATATATAGAATAAATGTTCATAAATGTACAGGGCAAATACACATGCATAAGTATAGCGTCTGAAACAGTAAAGGTAAAGGGACCCCTGACCATTAGGTCCAGCCGTGGCCGACTCTGGAGTCGCGGCGCTCATCTCGCTTTATTGGCCAGAGGGCAATTCTGAAGCCATTTTGACTCTCCCAAATTGACCTCAAATATTTCTCTGCAAGGAGGAAGAAAATGGGAAAAGCTTTCCAATTGTCTTTGGACTGTAGGGGCTTACACCTCCCTGTAAATACGGTCTGGCAAGTATCTGTTAAGCTGAGCACACTATCAATATGCGTAAGAGATTCAGGAACTAAGTATTTACCATCTCAAAGGAATGACCAGGCTACCCAGAAAAGGCAATCAGATATCAGGTAGAAGCAACACACTCAAATTTCTGCTGGGGACCACCTCTTTCTGTGATGTATGTGTGATGTTTTGGGGGGTGGTCTTGAGGTACAGGGTAGGCAGTTTCAAATGTCTATATAACAGCTTGCACACCAATGTTCTGGGTTCCTCTCCTCCCCTGCATGTTGCAACAGTTTAATAAAGATCAGGCTTACTAGCTGCTTTGCTTCTCAATACTCTGTTTTGCCTCAGTTATTTTCTCCTACTGATAGAGAACCTACATAAGGACTTCATACAGGCTCTTTCATAAGTGAAAGGGAGTAGTATTTTTCTTACCACAATAGATTTGTAGAACAGCATTATATCAGCAGTTTTATTTTCAATTCCTTTCTTAACAATTCCCAGGGTGGAATTTGCCTTTTTCACAGCTGTGGCATATACTGGGTAGATAGATGTCTTCATCAAAACTATCCACCACAACCTCAAGGTCTTGTCGCTGGCTAGTTACTGGCATTGCTAACTCTGTTAGTGTTGGGGTTTGTTTGGCCCAAAGTGCAAAGACCTTGCTTTTAAAACATGAAAAATAAAATGATCAGTTTCTATAATACAAATTGGAACAGCAACTCACTAAAAATAAATACATATAAAATTTTATCTATGACAGCAATTCAAAGAAGGCTGAGTGCTCTGCCTCTACATTCATATTTGCAGGTGGGGTTGGAGTTCTTGTGTCCGATTTCTTCAGGGGCAAATAAATAAAAAGCATCCATACAATGTAAAAAATTGTCAAAAGAGATACAATTCCAGCTATGGTCTGGTTCACCTCAAGGGGGTAAATCTGCCTCTGGCAAGTACCATTTCAGATTGCAGGGGGAGGACTCATGTTCCTGAATGCATAAAAACAACAACCCTGCATATAGAAAACTAGTGTGCCTGGGCTTAAATGATTCTCATTGGCACACTAGCTTTCTAGATGCAGGGTGTTTGCTTCTTTTTAATAGTGAAGTATTTGAACATATTGAGCTCCCAGCTACCGTCAGAAATGGTACAGCTCAAGACACCAGTTTACTGCTGAAATAAGAGCTACGAGGTTTTATCTGGGAGAATCAGGGGGGTAAATCCGGTTCAACAAAGCTTTTTGTGTTCTCCACAACTGCCAGATCTCAGTCCTCACCCATCACCTACTGATATCTGAAAGACTCCTTTGCCTTAACAACACAAATTTGTAGCTCCAGAGAGACACCGCATTAGCACATTTAACGCTCAGCCATGATTTGCTTTAACCATGGTTTGTCCATTTGTTCCACCGCAGTCAGAGCTTCTCCGTGGTTCTCCCTCCCAAGTGAATTCTCCGATGCACACGAAGGCCTGAGCTGTGCCCAAAGTTCTTCCCGCAATCGGAGCAGCTGTACGACTTCTCTCCTTTGTGGCTTATCTCGTGGGCCAGAAGGCAGGACTTCTGGATGAAGCTCCTCCCGCAGTCCGAACACTTATAGGGCCTCTCCCCTGTGTGGATTCTCTCATGGGTCAGGAGGCCCGACCTGGTCGTGAACCTTTTCCCGCAGGTGGAGCACATGTACGGCTTCTCCCCGGTGTGAGTCCTCACGTGAGCCCGGAGCGTGGAACCCTTGCCGAAGCTCCTCCCACAGTCCAAACACTTGTGGGGCCTTTCTCCCGTGTGGGTCCGCTCGTGGGCTTTCAGGTTGCAGCGGTACTTGAAGCTCCTTCCGCAATGGCAGTGGTGGAGCCTCTGGTGACCGTTGCCCTCTTCCCACCCCAAGTCGCCTCCTTTACTGGGAAGAGCTCCATCCACGTTCCTCTCTGGCCTGATCCCCTGCTGACCCGCAGGCCTCACTCCCTCTTTGCCATGACGCGAAACCTTGCCTCTTCTCAACTGTCTTAGCTCCAGTTGTTCTGAGCTTTCCTGCTGAAGGCGATGTCCCGCGGTTTCAAGTGCTCCTGGATGTGTATATATAAAAAAAGAACCTTGATGTGAAATCCTTCCTCTGGCTAAGAGTTTCCAACAGCTGCAAATCTCTGTCCTGTTCCTCGAATTTAAACATGGAATCACAGAATTGTAGAATTGGAAGGAACCCCACAGGTCATCTAGTCCAACCCCAACTAAAGCAAAAATGTTCTCTGTCCCAAAGAAGGAAAAATCTGTATCTTCACCCGTTTTCCACATTATTTTAATTATTAGTTTGTATCTAGTTCTAGTCCTATCCTGAGGTAGCCATCAAGACAAGAAGACATTGTGTTGCATCCAATACTAGTCCCACCGAGAGGAGACCCATTAAATTTGCATGCTGCTTTTCCACAGAAATGTGTCCAAAGGGTCTCACAAGACAAGAAAAGCAACAACAGAGCAAGTAAAGAATCATCGTGACCTATGTGTGCCCCCTCCTCAGGAGGTCTGGAGGGTAGCAACATGAGAATGGGCCTTTTCGGTGGTGGCTCCCCACTTGTGGAATGCTCTCCCTGGGGAGGCTTGCCTGGCACCATCATTACATAGCTCTGGGCACCAGGCAAACCCATGTCTTTTTTGCCAGGCCTTTGGTTCTTAATTATCTGTGGCCAACTTGACCTGGTGGAATGTTTTAATCCTGTCTTATAAAAACAGGATTGTCTTTTAGATTGTCTTTGTTTTGTTTTTTATTTCAATGTACGTGTTTGCATTTTTATATATTGTAATTCACTTTGAGTTACCTAGGTTAACAAAGCAACCAATATATTTAAATAACAATTAAAAAATAGCAGCCATGGATGTATACCAAGATTGCAATCACCTGTTCCATCTGCATGCTGAGGACGAGCATGAATGACTCTGGAATGAGAAAAACTACATTTTTGCGTTGCAAATGGGTCAGTGTGAACCCAGACATTGCTAAGCAACTTTATATCAAGTGAGACTAACAGTTTACCTTAGCCGTGTATTGAATATTCCTGTGGCAGTGCAGTTAAGGATGGGTTTCAGGGACAGGAAAAAACCCCAGATCCTTTTATCTGGATCTGCCAGGGATGGCAATGGGGACTTCCTTCAATTCAGCCCCCAATCTGCTCAGACACCCATGGAGTTCTCCTGCCCAGCGAATGCAGCTTATAGCCTGACACGCACCCATTTTCTCACCTGTGTGGATTCTCTCGTGTGCTGCAAGACTTGCACTATGACAGAAGCTCCTCCCATAGTAGGTGCACTTATGCGTCTTCTCTCCCTGGGGGCTTCTCTCACTTGCCAAAAGGGTTGAGCTTTCACCAAAGGTTTCCACTCGGTACTGCAATTGCCCTGGTTTCTCAACCAGGTGGATTATGCGAATGTCTGAGCTCCACCTGGAGTCTCCTCTGAGGTCACTCTGGGCCTTTTCTCCCTTGCCATGCAGGGGGTTATTCTGGGCTATGGCCACTTGCCTCCGAGAGCCCCCTTCCAAACAAGAAAGGGTTTCGGCAAAACTCTTTGTCGCATCCTTTCCCTGCTCCCTTTCCGACTCTCGCAGAATCTGAAGACTTGCGGCCTCGTCGTGATACTGGAATATGTCGCCTCTTCCTAAGGAGCGCTTTTCTGGTGCCACCTGCACAGAACATCCATGATGAGGCTCCTTCATCTTGTTCTTGCGCATTTGCCCATCAGCTACAAGAATAAGCAGAATGTGGTGCCCGTCACATTTAAAATTAAAGCAAAACTGGGTCCCCCCATTTTTCTATCCCTCCCCCAGGCCTTCTCATCTCTAGAGAGCAGATGAAGTCCCATGGCACAGGTGGAAGTCCTTGCGCCAACAGTATGACTTCCTTAGATACAACATTCAATCAAATTTCCATCATTCTGATGCAACCTGAGTCTTACCCCTTGTGTCCTTACCTCCTTTTCTCGCCTGTTCAGTAGCCTGGCAAACCTGCCTCTGCCAGGTGTCCAAGGGCAAGACCTGGCTGGCCTCAGAGGAATCCACAGCCGTTATGATCCCCTGAGGTCGAGACATCTGAAGCTGCAATTAAAGAAAAATCAAGGCATTAGTGCTCCAAGAGAGGCAAATATTTGGTTTCTCCTCAAAAAATCCACTCAGTATGGGGTTCCCTTGCACTTGGTCGAGAGACTACAGGTAATGCAGAATGTTGTTAGGAGACGCCCTGTTTCCTTCACAGAATTAATCCATTCCCAGAGGGTTTAACTAACAGTCCCTCTTCCCAGGGAACTCTGGGAATTGTAGAGGAATAAGGTCTCCTAACAACTTTCAGCATCCTTAACAAACTACACTTCCCAGGATTCTGGGGGGGGAGGGGAGCCATGGCTGTTTAAAGTGGTATATAACGTGCAGGAGGGTCATCTCTACAGCTGCTGCCAGTCACTTGTCAGCAGTACTGAGCCTGACTTGGTATATTCTTGTATTCCTGTTTCCATAGAGGAACTTTATCCCAGCTGACTCCACCATAACCCCAGAAAGCTAGCTGCAAAAATCTGATCTAAAATGCTAGTGGCAACAGTATCTCTTCAACTCCAATGCCATTTATCTAACCATCTGAGCTGTAACTGGATTGGCACCAATAAAGTAATGCAAAAATCGGGGCAGCCACTCTCTTCTGAATCCACCTTCCAGGACCACCAGAATGACCAGCATTGAACACCCCTCACCTCTCCTTCCTGTTTCACCGTGTTCTGCTTCTGCAACAGGAAATTCTCTGCCAAGGCCACTGCCTGGCCGCAGGTTTCAGGCCTGCCTTCCCTCACCCAGCTCTCCATATCCTGGGGCAGGACGGTCAGGAACTGCTCCAGGATCAGCAGCTCCAAGATCTCCTCCTTGGTGTGTCTCTCCGCTCTCAGCCACTGGCGGCAAAGTTCCCTCAGCCGGCCGTAAACGCCTCTGGGCCCCTCCACTTCCTGGTAGCAGAACTGCCTGAAGTGCTGGCGCTGCTTCTCCCTCAAGGTGGACTCCCCTTGCAAGATGGCTGCCTTCACCTTCCAATAGTCTCCCCTGTCCTGGGCACTGAGGCTGCTGAAGGCCTGCTGGGCCTCTCCGCTGAGGGCTGGCAAGAGCAGAGTCACCCACTTGTCCAGAGGCCACCGGCAGGCTGAGGCTACTTGCTCAAAGGAGGCCAGGAAGGCCGTAGCATCCTCCCATGGGGAGGGCCCCTCTGATACCTGATGATTCCCCCATCCTGAGTGAGGGGCCTGCAACGTCTTGAGGAACTCCTGCCACTGGGCTTCCCAGCGTTCCTGAAGCTCCTCTTCTGGTTCATGTTTCACCTGCCATGGATAGACCGTAACTTGTGATTCTCCAATCCCCTTGATGCATACAAGGTGTGGGGCTTTTGTTCCCCCCAGATCTGTCCACAATTTGACGTTGGGGGTGTTGTGCTCTCCCTTCTGCAATCCTGGGGCCTTTGCTGCCCCTTCATCCACAGACATGTTCACCTCCACTCTCAAGGTCTCCATTGAACTGTTCAGATGTAAGGAGGAGTTCCCAGCCTCTGGTGGGCTTTCTCTAAATCACTCCTCACAGTCCATGAATCTCTTGCTATATTACAGTCTTCTAGGAAACTATAAGTTGCAGGGTGTTGCAGGCTTCTCCTGAAAGGGAACAAGATTTATGGGAACCACAGGCAAAGCAACTGATATTCCTGCCCTCACAAAGTGTCTGGACCTTCCTGATAAACTACGGTAGCTCTCTGGGTGCAAGGAGCTTAGAACAGACTAAACACTACTGTCCTAAGAGACAGCTCCTTTCTTTTAATGTTATTTACCCATCATTTTCAAATGCTTTATTACTATTGCAAGGTGCGTCGAGCTCAACACTATTGTTGGAAAAGTGTGTTCCACACATCTGAAATCAAATCGAGATTGACAGAATTTCAAGATGATTCTTATCCATTATTTCAGGATTATTTCTCTGCAACTGTCCAGAAAGACAGGCCAATATAAATAGCCCCAGAACTGATGGAGAAGAATGAAGGATGGGCAAATAAATCAATGGAACTGTGGCACACTTTCCATTATATGTTATGGTATGAGCAACTTGCAGAGGTTAAATATAAATTTGAGGTATGACTGTGTTTCAGAGGAAATAAACTCTAACATGGATTATTTATTCTTAAACAATGCAAAATAAACTCATCACTGGTAACGATATTAACTGCAGATAACACAATTCAATTCCCTGACAGAGTTCCCTGACAATTCCCAGAGTTTCCCAAGAAAAGGGGCTGTTTATACTAATATGGAACTGTAGCTCTGTGAGATGAATAAGGGGCAACTCTCAGCACCCTTTAGAAACTACAGTTTCCAGGATTCTTTGACAGAAAAAAATGATAGTTTAAAGTGATACAATCCTATTTTAAAATGTATGATGTGAATGGAGCCACAGAGACGGAAGGGATCTTCCTCTCATCTAGTCTAACTCCCTGATTAGTGAAAGCCATAAAATGCAACTACAGCACAGTTTCCACAACAGGCGGTTGCTATTAAATACCTCCCGTTAAGGGGAACACACCACCTCTCAAGGAAGAAACAGGCATTCCCTCAAATAATAGATTTCTCTTTCAGTGCAAAACTTCACTCTAATGTCTATCTAAGGTTGGCGGCAAGCAGAGGAGCCCAATCAGGAAAGCTGAAGAAAAGGTGGCAACTCAGGCTTGCCAACTGACCAGTGGGAGAAAAAACAACAACCTGCTCCTGTGTAGTTTAAGTGGTGTGGTACTGCCGTGCGCTAACAGTTGAGGCTGAAGCTGCTGTTCCTAGACACAGCAACAAAATCTGTGCAACGCCTAGCAACCTTACGTAGCTTCTAGAAAGATGCTGGTTTGAGCCCACCCAGGGACAACTGTGGACAGAATTACTGCATTGCAGGGGGTCGGACTAGATGACCCTTGGGATCCCTTCCAGCTCAAGAATTCTGTGATTCTAAGATTTAGTGTGTACACTTGTGACATCTTTCCACTTCTGCACTAGCATGCACTTTGCAGCAGGGATTTGGGGGCGGGAAACCCCTGGGGCCAGCCAAATGCTATTAGGACTCCAACTCCCATCAGCCCCAGCCAGCACAACCTATAGTCAGGAATGATGGGAGTTGTAGTCCAACAACATCTGGAGGACCACAGGTTCCCCCACATCGCTCTTTAGCAGGCTGTTTGGAATTGGTTTGATTTGGGAAGCTTTTAATGTTTAACAGACCACTGTATTTTAATACTTTGTTGGAAGCCGCCCAGAGTGGCTGGGGAAACACAGCCAGATGGGCAGGGTATAAATAAATTATTATTATTATTATTATTATTATTATTATTATTATTAGGAGAGAGGTTGAATCTTCTTGCTGCTGTCCCATTGTTCTCCCAGGATCTGGGATTGCAGCAGTAGTTTCATTGTTTTCCCTGCAATTTTGCATTCTCTATCCAACTGCAGCTTCCTCCTGCCCCCTCCCCTTTTAAGGTCCCCCCCCCCCCCCATTTTCACTCACCTCTCCCTCGCAGCCTTGGCACTTCCGCACACTTCTCTCCCGGCTTGGCAGCCTGTTCTCTGCAGCAAGAAGATATTCAAAAGCCAGTTTCCCTCCAGAGGGGAGCAAGAGGGGAGGGAGCAGGAAGTGGATGCCCTTTGTTTACCACAAAGAGATAGGTGCTTGAAAGGAAACAAGCCTTTAAAAAAAACAAAACCCCAAAGCAAGAGCCTTCATTTCCGGTTCTCCTTGGACTTCTTCATCTGAGGAAAAGTGCAGGGCATCCTTGGCTGCAGTTCTTGTTCTTATTTCAAAATAAATCAGGCAGGAAGGGTGAAAAAGTCTCTTTCGGGACAGGCTAAAGAAACAGCCTCATTGCACAGCACAGTGGCATTCGCACCCACGCCATGTGGTCACAGCCACTAACTTGGACAGCTCCAAAAGGGAAGATAGAAACACGGAGTTGGAAGGGGTTCCCTAGGGGTCATCTAGTCCAACCCCCCTGCAATGCAGGGATCTCCACTAAAGCAAATAGAATCACAGAGCGCTGAGACAACTTCAAAGGTTTCAGCTTTTAAATGCGTTGCTGAAAATTTTTCTACTCTGCCAGGCCTGTGCAGGCAAATAAGAATGCATCTTTGCACAATGATTACAGTGGTACCTCGGGTTACATACGCTTCAGGTTACAGATGCTTCAGGTTACAGACTCTGCTAACCCAGAAATATTACCTCGGGTTAAGAACTTTGCTTCAGGATGAGAACAGAAATCGTGCAGTGGCGGTGCGGCGGCAGCGGGAGGCCCCATTAGCTAAAGTGGTGCTTCAGGTTAAGAACAGTTTCAGGTTCAGAACAGACCTCCAGAACGAATTAAGTACTTAACCCGAGGTACCACTGTAATTGATTACTGCTTTCATTTTTTCATGGTTCTCACTGTATGGTTTTGTGTGTCTTGCAAACCACCTCATTATCTTTTTAAAAAATGAAATAGCGATATCAGAGAGCCAGTGTTGCGCAGTGGCTAGAGCATCAGACTAGGACCTTCAGAGACCAGGGTTCAAATCCCCACTCAACTATGAAGCTGACTGAGAGACCTTAGGCCAGCCACAGCCTTCTCTCAGCCGAACCTACCTCAGTGGGTCGTTGTGAGGATCAAATGAGGAGGGGGAGAACCGTGTGGTGCCCCTTCTCCTTGAGCTCCTTGGAGAAAAAGGTGGGATATCATCAATGCGGTAAATATAAAAAATAAACAAAATCCATTGGGGATAATGGTCTCGGTCTGCCAGTCCTCACCTGCCTGCCTTCTTAATTCATAACCAGTCCAGGGGTTGGTCCTGCCGTTCAGTCTCAGTGTCAGTGTTGCACTTGTGCAACTCTCCAGAGGGCCAGGGACAAAACTAGAATTAGTTGCCTCTGCCTGTCAGTGGCTTAGGCTGCTGTTTTGGCTCCCTGCCTTCTTCCCCAGGGAGCACCAGCCACTATTGCAATGGCTACTAGCTTGGGAAGGCTCTGTTCTGCCTCTGAATATCAGTTGCTGTAAATCACAGGGAGGGGAGAGTTTGGTTGTTGGGCTCATGTCCAGGCTTCCCAGTGCAACATCTATCTGGCCACCGTAAGAACAGGGTGCTGGACTATGGTGGCCTACGTCCTGCTGATCCAACCAGGATTTTTCTCACGCATCCACCAAATTATTTTTACCCCCCTGGTTCCTGTTGAGCATAGGAAGAACGAGCAGAAAATGTCTTCTTTTTTTTTAATAAAAATTTTATTCAAAAGAAAAATGAATAAGAAAATGTCAAATCTGACAGAGCTTTTCCCTACGGGGGTTTCTTGTATAACTCTTCGCTCCAAATAATATGCCAGAAATAAGAGACGTTTGGAGGGTAGAATCAGCCTTGCCAAGTTTGTGTTGTACTTTTTTCTTTCCTCTGCTCATTTCAAACTGTTTGTTAGACCTTTATAGAAAAGAACACCTTAATTCCTAGGCAATTTCCTCCTGCTTTTCTGCCAACTGCAACTGTGAGTCAGAAATGTTGCTGGAGAACCATAAAAACTGCAGCCCTTTGGGGTTTGCAGTGCATCAGATTTCTCAGGTTTCCAGGCCTTGCTAGGAATCCGAGTGGAATTCTAAGGATTTAACCCTTCAGCTGCTTTCTGGGTGGAGAGGCTGGGCTGAATGTATCTTGTTTTTTGGAAGCCTCCCCCATCCCTATCGGTTGTTTCAAAAAGCACATGTTGCAGCTGCATCTTAGCTATGTGAACTTGGAACAACTGGTTTTTGTTTTTGGATTGCTGCTGTGAATGGCCTAACAATGTGTGTGTGTGTGTGTGTGTGTGTGTGTGTGTGTGTGTGTGCACGTTTCTCAGTTGAATATATATATATAATCAGTGTTGATAAGAATTTAGCCAGGCAACAGGCACATTTCGCACCTGGCTATTTGCCTGACATCTGCATCATCTAGAGATCATTGGATCCTCAGTGTTTTCACACACTAATACCACATCCTGTAGAATTCTATCAGATATATTCTATCTGAACAATAAGAATGATTTCCCCCCCTGTGCAGCCTGCACAGGAGCAGTAAACAATATTATAGTTAATTGTTGTAGCTTGTCTTCATTTACCCCACCCCACTGCCCTGCCCACAGTTGTGAAGAATATTCTCATGTTATGAATGGTCCGTGTCACCATTAAGAAAAAGAGGTAGGAATAGGCAAATATATACGTGGACTGTCCCTGGATCAAGTAACTTTTCTTCTTTAAATTCTCAGTGTTCTTAACCTAGCTCAAAGTTGTCATCTGAACTAGTCAGATGTTTATCTGAGAATCAACCAGTGTCGGTCCATCATTTGAAAAAATGGCAAGCAGACATTCTGTTCTGGTGACTGTAACCTTGGTTTAAGGAGTCATCTGGCACCTAGCTTATATATCTGAGTTTCTGACAATGGTTGTCAAATATATGGCATATATGCTCCCTTTCGCCCTGCTGTGGGAATCGCTTGCAGAAGACTGCAGTGCCTGGAGACAGGCAGTAAAGTTGTATATCCATAGTAGTGATCAGGGGAGAAATGACCGCTGGGAGGAGTGCAAAGAAATACTATGGGTGCATCTACAACAGCACAACTGGACGTCTTCATCTTCCCCAGCTGCAACAAAACATGTCTCTCCCATATCATCTCTAGAGCCACAACAGGAGCTGCGACCTTCCAACAGCTTGACCTCACCCTCAAAGGAGCACTCCATCGGCTCCCAAGATGGATGGATGCCTCTTCTGAGCCTTCAGTGTGGCAGGCCTTGCCCTGTGGAATTCCCTGCTAAGTAGAGGTTCAGCAGGAATCATTTTGTCTTCTCTTAGACATCTCCTAGAAGCAGTGTTATTGAGACAAAGCATTGCAATTTTCACCAACCAGTATTTATTGATGTTTTCATAGCTCTTATTGTAATTTCATATGACTTACAAATAATTTTAGGAATGTGTGGTGTGCAGGTGTAGGTGTGGGTATAAACCCAAAACACTATCCAATGGTCTTTTGATGAAGGGTAGTATAGAAATTTCAAAAATAAACGAAGTGACACAGGTTTGCCCTGTAAGAACTAGCCCTGAGAGACACTTTGTTTGCCTCTGTCAGGTTGTCCTTAAAAATCAGAGGCAACAAGAGTGCTTCAGTAAATTTTCTAGAAAAGAAAATTCAGCTTGAGAATGGGCCATATTTATTTTTTAAAGTTTTAAACACAAGGAATAACACACATCATTTCCATATACAGCATACGGAATGCACCATTGTTGTCAGAAATTCAGGGCTGGGTAAGGGTTGAATGGGTTAAGAACATAAGAAGAGCCTTTGCTAGCTCAATATAGCCCAACATTCTATTTCCCACAGTGGCCAATCAGGCGCTTCTCACTCTTGTTCCCTCGGCAACAGGTATTCATGACATATTCTACCTCAGATTCTATAGAGGTACCAAATAATAATAATAATAATAATAATAATAATAATAATAATAAATTTTATTTATATCCCGCCCTCCCCAGCCGAAGCTGGGCTCAGGGCGGCTAACAACAATCAAAATAATCCAACATTCTAAAAACATTCATTATAAAATTAATTAAAATCAAATTAAAATCAAATTGATGGCAACCATTAAGCAAAATTCTGTGCAGATTGCCAGAGGAGGGGGTCAGGCTGCGCCCTGACCAAAGGCCTGGTGGAACAGCTCTGTCTTGCAGGCCCTGCGGAAAGATGTCAGGTCCCGCAGGGCCCTAGTCTCTTGTGACAGAGCTTTCCACCAGATTGGAGCTGCGGCTGAGAAAGCCCTGGCTCTAGTTGAGGCCAGCCTAACCTCTCTGTGGCCTGGGATCTTCAGGATGTTTTTATTTGCAGACCGTAAATTTCTCTGTGGGACATACCAGGAGAGGCGGTCCCGTAGGTACGAGGGCCCTAGGCCGTATAGGGCTTTAAAGGTTAAAACCAGCACCTTAAATCTGATCCTGTACTCCACCGGGAGCCAGTGCAGCTGGTATAGTACTGGATGAATATGATCTCGCAGCGAAGACCCCATAAGGAGTCTCGCCGCAGCATTCTGCACCCGCTGGAGTTTCTGGGTCAGTCTCAAGGGCAGCCCCACGTAGAGCGAGTTACAATAGTCAAGCCTGGAGGTGACCGTCGCGTGGATCACAATGGCTAGGTCAGGGCAAGAGAGATAAGGAGCCAACTGCTTAGCTTGGCGGAGATGAAAAAATGCCGCCTTTGTTATAGCTGTAATCTGCGCCTCCATAGAGAGGGAGGTATCGAAGATTACACCCAAACTCTTAACGGACGATGCTGGCACTAATTGCACCCCGCAAGAGATGGGAGTTGCCCCCTCAATCCCATATCGCCCCGTCCCAGCCAGAGGACCTCTGTCTTCGAGGGATTTAACTTCAACCGGCTCCCACGTAACCATCCAGCCACAGCTTCCAGACATCTGGTCAGTGTGTCTGGGGCCGAGTCAGGATGGCCATCCATCAACAGATAGAGTTGGGTGTCATCGGCATACTGATGGCAACCCAGCCCAAAACTCCGGACAAGCTGGGCGAGGGGGCGCATAAAGATGTTAAAAAGCATCGGGGAGAGAATGGCACCCTGAGGCACTCCACACACCAAGGAGTGGCACGATGACAATTCCCTCCCAAGCGCCACCCTCTGTCCCCGACCAGAGAGAAACGAGCGCAGCCATTGAAGGACTGTGTCCTGGATCCCCACGTCGGCAAGGCGGTGGTCCAGGAGTTCGTGATCGACCATGTCGAAGGCTGCTGACAGGTCTAGAAGAATCAGCAGCCCCGACCCGCCTCGATCCAGCTGCCTGCGGAGATCATCTGTTAGGGCGACCAGAGCCGTCTCGGTCCCATGACCAGCGCGGAAGCTGGACTGGAATGGATCGAGAGCCGATGTTTCATCCAGAAACCTACCAAGCTGTTCAGCAACCACTCTCTCAATCACCTCACCCAGGAATGGAAGATTCGAAACCGGGCGGTAATTGGATAGATCTAAGGGATCTAATGATGTTTTCTTTAAGAGCGGGCGCACCACTGCCTCCTTCAATTCCCCTGGAAATATCCCGGTGCCAAGGGACAAATTGATGATATCCCCCAGGGGGGCCTGCACCTCGTCTGGGCACGCTCTAATCAGTCAAGACGGGCACGGGTCAAGAGGACAGGTGGTGGGCTTTCCAGCTTGGAGGAGTCTGTCCACATCGGCTGGGGATATCCGGTCAAAGTGGTCCAATACTGCACCCGAGGACAGTCGAGGGGCCTCCAGTTCCTTTATTGTATCCTTTATTGCATCATGACTGGCTAAGCCACCGACAGGCTTATCCTCCATGAATTCAACCTACCTTTTTAAAGGAGTCCAAGTTGGTGAAGAACTTAACCCTTTTGCTACTCCTGAATCTTCCAACATTCAGCTTCTTTGGATGACTACGAGTTCTCATATTATGAGAGAGGGAGATAACTTCTCTCTATCCACAATGTGCATAATTTTATATACCTCTACTGCGCTCCCCCCAGGGCCTTTTTTTTCTAAACGAAAAAGACCCAAACATCATAACCTATCCTCATAAGGGACTTGCTCCACCCCCTTGATCACTTTGGTTTTGCTTTTCTGAACCTTTTCCATCACAGATTTGTATAACAACATTGGCAGTTTTATTTCCAATTCCTTTCCTAATGATTCCTAGCATAGCATTTGCCTTTTTTCCACTCTAGGTTGGCATTTTCGTTGCACTTTCCACCACGACCTCAAGGTCCCATTCCTTGCCAGTCATCGACAGCTCAGATCCCATCAGTGTAAATTCATCCCAGTTTGGATCAATAATTTTCAAGCTCTTCACAGTCCCTTTCTGTTTTTAATCACCTGTAAACAATTTGGTAGGGACACGGGTGGCGCTGTGGGTTAAACCACAGAGCCTAGGACTTGCCAATGGGGTGAGCTCCCATTGCTCAGTCCCTGCTCCTGCCAACCTAGCAGTTCGAAAGCACGTCAAAGTGCAAGTAGATAAATAGGTACCGCTCCGGCAGGAAGGTAAACGGCGTTTCCGTGCACTGCTCTGGTTCACCAGAAGCGGCTTAGTCATGCTGGCCACATGACCCGGAAGCTGTACGCCGGCTCCCTCGGCCAATAAAACAAGATGAGCGCCGCAACCCGAGTCGGCCACGACTGGACCTAATGGTCAGGGGTCCCTTTACCTTTACCTTTTAAACAATTTGGTGTCATCAGTGAAATTTGCCACCTCCGTGCTCACCCCTAAATCCTAATAGGTTATGAAAAAAAGTTTATAAATACTCGTTGGTAGTGGCTGGCATTCATTGGGACTGGTGGGGCAGGAAGCAGGGAGCCCAACACTAGGTGCACCAGAGACAATGACTGGCCCAGCCAATTAATTCTAGCTTTGCTTTGTCCTCCTCCTTGCTGAGTTCTATATTCACAACACGGAAACTAAGGAGGAGGGAGCTGACAGCCAGGGCTATCCACTGGACGGGCTGTAATAAGGAAGGTGGGTTGGTGATGGCTGGTTGAGGGCAAACTGAGGCTGGTGGGCCCCATTTGCCTTAACTGGCCAGGCTCCATGGGTACCGTTCCCAATTCAGGTCCAGTCTGTGGCAGGGTGGATGTAAGTGCTCTCTGGCTCCTACCACTTGCATGGGCTCCTAGTGGAAGGGATCCTTTCCCACCCACCCGAAGCCAAGACAGCCATAAGGAAGTTAATTGCACACAATTCCCTATTGAGACAATAATACATGAATTGGAAACTTGAAAATGTTAGTCACAGTCAACACTTCTTCCCAGTCCTACCAAAAGTACATTGTCCTATCACTAGCATGCAAGCTTCTCACTGAACTTTAGTCACTTTTTTTAATATAAAAGTTCCTCTCTTGTGTAAACATTCAGAAAATTCTGTAGTCTGACTAAAGCAGACCCACTCTGTGTGGGTTTAAGGGCTCCAATCTTTGGGGATTTACTGTGAGTTTTATGAAGATCAGATACTCATCTTCAGGCTTCCTCAGCATCAGCTGTCCATTGGGAGCTTCTTCCAAAGTCAGAGCACTGATGCAACTTATCTCATAGCCAAGCTCCAAATACTTGTGGCAGGAAGGCGTTAACCTGTGGGCTCTCCAGGCCACCTCTATTGGCTGGGGCAGAGGGAAGTCTGTAGTCTAACACCATCTAAAAGGCCACAAGTTTCCCAACCCTGCCTTACTGGCCAGGCTTCCACAGCCTGGTGCCCTCTGGAAGTTCTTGGGTCACAACTCCCATCATCCCCAACTCTTGCCCATGGTTGCTGGGGCTGAATGGAGTTTAATCTACAGAGTGCTGGGTTGGGAAGGCTGTCCTAACCCTTTAACAAAGCCTTAACATAGTAGTGAGGAACCTGTGGTCCTTTGGATGTTGCAGGACTCCAACGCCACACCCAGTTGGCATGGATGATGGGATTTGTAGTTCAGCAGTATCTGCAGGGCCAAAGGCTCCCCACCACGGTCTCGACACAAATGGCTTCCCTGCGTTCTGGATTCTCTCTAGTGTCAGAAGGACGATGCTCCATCCGAACTCTTTTCCAATAGCCCATACGGCTGTTCTCTGATGTTTGGCTCTTCTCTTCTCACATGCCCTATGTCACTGAAGCCCTCCCCACAATCAGCACTCATATGCAATTTGTCTCCGGGATTCGTTTCCTGACACGAACTTCCACTTGCGCCACCGGCCAAACCCTTCCGACAAGCCGGGCGCTTGTAAGGGAGGACCCCGGTGTGAACTCGTTCGTGTGTCATAAGGCCTGACTTCTGGCAGAAGCTCTTCCCACAGCGCCCACACCGATATGGTTTCACTCCTGTGTGGATTCGCTCGTGGGTAATGAGGTTTGAGCCGTCGGTGAAACTTTTTTGGCACACGGCACACTGATATGGTTTCACTCCAGTGTGAATCCTTTCATGGACCCTCAGGTCCGCAGAGGTCCGGAAGTTCTTCCCGCACTCGGAGCACTTATATGGCTTCTGTCCCAGGTGGATCTTTTCGTGCGTCGTCAACGTGCCCTTCTGACGGAAATTCTTCCCGCAGATCGAGCATTTGAAAGGTTTCTCTCCGATGTGGATTTTCTCGTGTGTCGTGAGGGTGCCTTTCTGGCGGAAACTTTTCCCGCAGTGCGTACACCTGTACGGTTTCTCTCCAGTGTGAATCCTCTCGTGGGCAACGAGGTTTGAGCCACTTGTAAAACTCTTCTGGCACATGGAACACCGGAAGGGCACCTCCCCAGTGTGGATTCCCTCGTGGGCCTTGAGCTGTGCAGATTTACGGAAACTCATCCCACATTCGGCACATTTATACGGCTTCTCTCCAGTGTGGATTCTCTCGTGGACCCTGAAATTTGAGCTCCAACGGAAACTTTTTCCACAATGACAGCGGTGGATTTTGGGGTGGGCTCCGGTTTCCTCCTGATCTAAGTTACCTTCATGGACAGGAACGGCTTCATCTGAGCACTTCTCAGGTTTGGTTCTCCACTTGCTCTCCAGTCCCTCCTGACTCCCAAGGCTTTTTCCCTCTTTGCAATAACGGAAGATGTCATCTCCTTGCAGTGATGCATCTGCTGGTTCCTCAGAATCACCCTGCTGAAGATTATCAAGTTGGTTCTCATACACCTGCCCGTCACCTGCAGGAATAAACAGAGCCACATGTCTTGTATAAGTAATTGTTTATTGCATTTTAATAATGACTCCCTGACTGTGGAATGCTCTCTCCAGAAAGGCTCACCTGGCAACAACATTATTTGTCTTTAGGCACCAGGAAAAACCATTCATCTTTACCCAGGCATCTGGCCTTTAAATAATCTGCGGCCTGTTAAACCAGGGAGAGGGGGGCCTGCTATTATGTTTCTTTTAGTATTATACTGTCTGTTGTTATGCTTTTTATTGAGTTTTAATAATGCTTTTATTATTGATGTTCTGTAAAATGTGTTCTTAATGTTGTACACCGTCCTAGGATCTTTTGATAATGGACCCACCCAGGAAGAATGGCAGATGAAGCTGATGGACTGCATGGAACTGGCGGAAATGACTGGCAGAATCCGAGACCAGGGAGAAGAGTCGGTGGAAGAAGATTGGAAAAACAAGACTTACCCACTCTGGAAGAATGGCAGATGAAAGTGATGGACTATATGACACTGGCTGAGATGACTGGCAGAATCTGCGACCAGGGGAAGGAGACGGCGGAAGAAGAATGGAAGAAATTTAAAATCTATCTTAAGGACTATTATAAACTTGATGAATGTTAGAATGTCGAGGTTTTGAGAAAGAAAGGGTTACAGCGATATAAGATTAGACTGAAGGAAAGATCAAGAAGACATATGTTTGACAGAACTATTTAGAAGTTGCTGGAAAATTTTGGACATTGGGATGCAGAAAGGGGAGGTATGGGGGAGTCCGAGAAAGAAGGTTTATGAAAAAAAGGTCATGAAACTATACGTGTTTGTATGTCTTTTTATATGTTTGTATTGTTTTAAAAATTTTGTAAAACCAATAAAAATTTATATATATAAAAAAAAGGAAGAAGATTGGAAAAAATTTAAAGACTATTTACAGAAACACTGTAAAATTAATGAATGTTAGAAGGATGCTGGAATGAAGTTATATGGCTTTAGCAGAAATGTTATAAAGAATTAAGTAAAAATAGACTGTTAATGGGCTAAAGGGGGAAAATAAGGTTAGATTGTGTTAAGATAAATTATAGGACAAAAACTGAGAAAGATGGAAAGGATTTGCTGAAATAGCTAACTGAACTAGAATACAAAAAAGGGAGGTGTGAGGAGGTCGTTGAAACAAGTAAATGAAAGACAAGATATGGAAATATTGGATGTGTTTTTAATTGATTTTGTTTTTGTTCTTGTTTTTGTTTTGTTAAGATAAGCAGTGTTTTTTTGTTTTTTAGGTATTGTATTGTATTGTTTTGCTTTGTTTAACTCTTTTTTTTTTAACTTTTAAACTCCTAATAAATATTACTTTTAAAAAAAATGATCTTTTGATAATGGGGAGTATATAAATCGAAGTAATAATCACAACAACAGGTTACAGGGGAATAAATGGAATAAAAATTGATTTAAAAATCACAATTGCCAGTAAAGAAGTGTGTGATTTACTGAGTCAATAACAAAACATACTAAGAAGGGAAGGATGTATGGACTATTATTACAAAGGGTTCTACAGTGGACGCTCGGGTTGCGAATGTAATCCATGTGGGAGACACGTTCGCAACCCGCAGTGTTCGCAACCCACAGCGCCGCATCTGTGCATGCGCAGGTTGCGATTCAGCGCTTCTGCGCATGCGCAAAGAGCAATTTAGCACTTCTGCGCATGTGTGAGCGCCAAAACCCAGAAGTAACCTGTTCCAGTACTTCCGGGTTCGGCGCGGTGTGCAACCTGAAAACGTGCAACCTGAAGCGTCTGTAACCCAAGGTATGACTGTATAGTCTAAATTGAATCAATTTTTATTTCAGAAAAGACCTTAATCTGAACAAAATCCAAACACTTGCATAGCTAGCTTGTGGTATGTAGCAATGCTGGGAACTGAACCTGAGAACTTCTGATGTACAGCAGAAATTCTGCCACTGAGTCATGGCCCAGATCAACAAAGCCATCAAATTCTGGTCAGTCGTTAAAAAGCTCCCCTTTTATGCTCATCAGGTAGCTCTAGAATGCTGGAGACAGGGACTCTGCTACAGAAATAGGAATGAGTCTTCACCCCCAGCGTGTTAACATTCAGCAATTAGATTACAATGAATCCTTACCAAACAAGCTTGCCTCTTCATCTTGCTCCTGCTTGAGCTCCTTGAATGACTGCCTTTCCCAGGCCTCTGGTGGTGGAGCCAAGCCTGCCTCGGAGTGATTCACAGCCAGTTCCACACCCAAGGGCCACAGCCCCTGAAACAGCAATCAGAAAAACCATTCAGGACAGAAGATGCTCCCAGACATGCTAGTACTTCCCATCTCCTCCTCAGCTCTAGATTTCTGGACCCCAGGCAGGAGACATGGACACCCCTGCAGGGGCACAGCCAGGTGGGCTGGCCTGGGATGCATTCCTCTCCTAGGTGGGACACTGTGGCACAAAGCAGAAGAAGCTAGTGCTGCTCTTATCTCTTGTCACAATAATCTATCTCCTGCCCTCTCTTGCTAAGCCATTAAAATCAGAGAGGATGGGTGTCTTTTCTGGGACAGTGACACACTTCAGACAACAGGGAACCACAGAATTGTTGACTGTCAAAAAATACAAATGCTAAAGCATCAGCTCTCTCCTGAATCCACATTCCAGGACCAGCAGTATGACCCTCATCGAACTCCCCTCACCTCTCCTTCCTGTTTCACCGTGTTCTGCTGTAGCAGGAAATTCTCTGCCAGAACCACCGCCTGGGTGCAGGACTCTGGGCCCTTTTCCCTCACCCAGCTCTCCATATCCTGGGGCAGGATGGTCAGGAACTGCTCCAGGATCAGCAGCTCCAAGATCTCCTCCTTGGTGTGTCTCTCCGCTCTCAGCCACTGGCGGCAAAGTTCCCTCAGCCGGCCGTAAACGCCTCTGGGCCCCTCCACTTCCTGGTAGCAGAACTGCCTGAAGTGCTGGCGCTGCTTCTCCCTCAAAGTGGACTCTCCTTGCAAGATGGCCGCCTTCACCTTCCCGTAGTCTCCCCTGTCCTGGGCACTGAGGCTGCTGAAGGCCTGCTGGGCCTCTCCGCTGAGGGCCGGCAAGAGCAGGGTCACCCACTTGTCCAGAGGCCACCGGCAGGCTGAGGCTACTTGCTCAAAGGAGGCCAGGAAGGCCTTAGCATCCTCCCATGGGGAGGGCCCCTCTGATACCTGATGATTCCCCCATCCTGAGTGAGGGGCCTGCAACGTCTTAAGGAACTCCTGCCACTGGGCTTCCCAGCGTTCCTGAAGCTCCTCTTCTGGTTCATGTTTCACCTGCTGTGGATAGACCGTAGCTTGTGATTCTCCAATCCCCTTGATGCATACAAGCTGTGGGGCTTTTGTTTCCCCCAGATCTGTCCACAATTTGATGGTAGGAGTGTTTTGCTCTCCCTTCTGCAGTCCTGGGGCCTTTGCTGCCCCTTCATCCACAGACATGTTCACCTCCACTCTCAAGGTCTCCATTGAACTGTTCAAATGTCACGAAGATCATCCAGCCTCTGAAGAGCTTTCTTCATCTAAAGTCACTCCTCAAGGTCCATGAATCTCTCTGTAAATGAGTCCTCCAAGAAAGCATAGAAGACCGATGGTGTTGCAGACTGGTATTTCTGCTAAAAGGAATTTTGAGGGAGGTGGGAGGAAGAGAGAAATAGATGCACAAGAGAATATCCTTTTTGCAAGTTGCCTTGCAGTCACCCTTCTGAGAACAGAGACTAATTGTTAATTATAGTAATGTTCAGAAATGAGCTTTCCACCTCACTCAGAACAATCAATTTTAATGCAGCCACAGTCCAGACATTCCTGGTCTCTAGAATTGCAAATTCCAGGGAATTGCCGGCAGTGAGTCTTTTCGTGTGGTGATGGATAGGCTCAGAATTCTTTTTCACACTTGGCTCCAGTGAGTGGGTCTTGGGGAATCTAGTGGGGGGAAACAAAGTAGGTCACATAAGCCTCAAGCTAATCCACCTCTGCTCTATAGCAACCTCCCAAAGTATATAACTGTGTCACCTCTCAACTTTTCCGCAATCACTCCTTTGGGTATGTTTGCTTTATTATTTGTTTTAAGATTTGGAAGAGAGGATAAACTGGGAAGTGCAGGGCAGCTCAGTGGTATATGCAGAAGGTCCCAGGTTCCGTCCCCAGGTACTGCTGGGAGATGTCTCTTGTCCGAAACCCTGGAGAGCTGCTGCCAGTCAGTGTGGACAATACTGTGATAGAAGGGGTAATTTTCTGACTCTGTAAAAGGCAGAGCCCTGTGTTCTTCAGCTCGGTGGTGTGGGGCTCAGCTTACATGCATAAGGTCCCAAGTACAACCTCTGACATCCCCAGGTAGAGCTGCCTGAGGGCCTGGAGAGCTGCTGCCAGTCAGTGTGGACAACACAAAGGTAGATGGACCAACGTTTCTAAGAAGCAGGCTGTAGCTCAACGGTAGAGCATCTGCTTTTCATGCAATCCCAGGTTCAATCCCGGGAGTCTCCAGACAGGGCAGGGAAAGCTGCTGTCTGAACCTCTGGAGACCAGCTGGAGAGTAGACAATATTGGGTTTCCTCAGCCCTGCTTCGGTCCACCCTGCCCCTCCTGAAGTTTTATTCCCTCCCTGATCTTGCTGCCACTGCCTCGCTCCTTCTTAACCACAATTTCCCCCTTTAAATTCACCTTTCCCTGCAGACTTGACAGCTGCACTTATCCTCCTGGCTGAAGAAATCTGCTCCTTGCAGCTCCCCTGTGTCTTCCTCCAAGCTTTAAAAAGAGAAGTAATTCAAAAGGCAGTTTGCCACCAGAGGTGAAGCGGGGGGGGGGTGTCAAGTGGGGGGTGAGTGATGTGGGTGTTTGGGCAGGAAGTGAATTCTCAGATACTGTAATCTATTCACTGCAAAAAAAATGCACTGGGGAAAAACCCAAGAGTTCCACCCAACCTTCATTTCAGGTTCCCAAGCAGAGCCCTCAATTTGAAGGTGGCTAAAAAGGGTTGAATTTCTGCCTGTCATTCGCCGTCGGGTCAACGCGTTATCCCCACACATCCTAGTATGTTTTGCACTCAATTTCCTTATTGTAAAAATATCTGCCGGGGGGTGAGTAGGATTGTTGCTGAACAGCGCCAAATCCAAATTTAATTGTGCATCCTGAATTTGCAGGTGTGTAATTGAATTTCCCCCTCCACACACTGCAAAATATTCGCAGTCTGGAAACAGCTTCGGGTGAAGAAGCAGTGAGTGCTCAAGGGGCATCTGCAGGGATTTTGGAGGGTGGAGGCAGTACTGAAAAGGGGAAGCCGGCCAATTTCTCATCCCACAAAATGAGAACAGTGCCCGTACATGTTGCCTCGTATCTCAGGTTCCACAATTGCTAGAAACTTGATTTTATTTTGCGTGTGTTTAGGGAGCGAGATGATTTCAAAGCCAAAGCGCCACAGAGACACGCTCTTCGCACGGGTTCCTATGCAATCGGAATTGCCACTTGAACAACATGAAAACTGTAGCCCTTGGTGTTTTAAACTACATTCCCGCGACTCTGTATCGTGGTCTCTCCAGGAATCGGAAAGGAACTCGGTGGTTTTAACCTTTACGTACGCGTGTCTGTGTTTGTGTATCCCTAAAATGGAAGGGTGGTGGGATCTAAACTCAATAAAATAAGCCAATACTTTGAGGTGGGGCTCTTCCACCATCTTCAATCCCTCCTGGGGTTGATGTGATTCCTCTCCCACTTTCTGGGATATCCGCCTTCACAGCCCATAGGGACTCTTTGCAGAAGGCGCCCCCTAGTGGAACCTAGGTGAATGGCATCCCAATACGCACACGCACGCGCACAGGCACCTGCCATGGAGACGCGCTTTCCCCTTGAATCGTGGGCACCGCCTAGCCGGAGAGGAGAGCTCTGTCGCTTTAACCCTTCAGGCTCTCGATAGCCTTTAGCGCTAGACATTGGCAACCGGGGGAGAAGGGGAAGGACGCCCAGAGAAAGAAGCGGGAGGGAGGCTCCCGGGAAGGGGGGGAGCGAAGAGGACGAGCTTCGCTGCAGCCTCGCGATCTTCTGATTTTAAAGAAATGCTTGGATTGCACCCCGCTTTATTTATATTCTTTTTTCCCCTTGGAGAAAAATCAGTTTGCAACGTTGGTTTCCACGATCTACGGCGAGGGCTGACATCGCGCTGCAGCCGAAACCTCCGGCCTTTCCATTGCTGCTTTTCCGCCTTGGAAGTTTGACTTTTCGAATTGCAAAATGCCAAAAATTCTAGAATTCGGCATGGATTGACTTCGCCGCGGCATTTTACGACCCTTTTCTTCTTCTTCGAGTTCTCTCTCTTTTTTTAGTCGTGTTTTTAAATCTACTCGTAGGCCGCTTTCAGCCATTCCGGCAGGGTGCAAAACAACCCGCTTATTCTTATATTAACATTTCTGCAGGCTTTCTGCCTGCCCCTGCCCGCGATGCTTGCTTCGAAGCGCTTTGGGCCATTTTGAACCGTTTTGGAGAAGCTTGCGCAAGTCGTCCCTAAAGACGGGAAGGGGAATCACTGAATTGTAATTCTGGAAGGGACCTCCTAGGGTCATCCAGTCCAACCCCTGGCAATGCAGGCATCTTTTGCCCACCGTGGGGCTTGAACCCACAACCCTGAGATCAAGAGCGTCCTGCTCTGCTGACCGAGCTACCCAGCGCAGCTGCCCTCGATTCCGTCATCACCATCCAAATAAACGATCGCGCGACTTCTCGTGCGTATGGAGAACCTGGAGGCCATCGTGCTGGTGATCCTGGCCACGCACAACCTGGTGCGCCTGCACCTGCACCGGGGCGGCGTGGCTGCCCGCGCCCGGCGGACGATGCGCCGCGTGATGGCCAACCACGTCTCGCTGCTGCACCAGCTGCTGCCCGACGCGTGTCCGGACAGCGAGGCGCGCCTGGTGGCCGAGGAGCTCCACGCCGGGCCGCACCGCTTCTGGTCGCGCCAGGTGAGCCAGGACTGGTGGGAGCGCGTGGTGCTGGAGACGTGGCAGCCCAGCCAGTGGCTGCAGGGCTTCCGCATGACCAAGGACACCTTCCTGGCGCTGTGCGAGGAGCTGCGGCCGGAGCTGCAGCGCCAGACCACCACCATGCGGGCGCCGCTGAGCGTGGAGAAGCGCGTGGGCATCGCCCTCTGGAAGCTGGCCACCACCGAGTGCTACCGCTCCGTGGCCGCGCACTTCGGGGTGGGGCGCTCCACCGTCGGGGAGGTCTTCATCGAGGTGTGCCTGGCCATCGAGAAGCTGCTCTTCAGGAAGGTGGTGGCCCTCGAGGACCCCAAAGAGGTGATGGTAGTTTTATTTTTATTTATGTACTTGAATTTCCCCCTCCCTTTGTTACTACTACTACTACTTTGTTTGTTTATTGTGTGTGTGAATTTTTTATTAAATTTTCTGTTTTACAATTTAAAATACTCATGTTACACCCTTAAGATATTCAATGACTTCCTTTCTTCTCTTTCCATGGTTCACTTTAGATATCATAAACCCCTGCATGTTTTACAAAAACTATACCATTCAGTATTCCATTACTGCACCTATCAAAACTTATTTACTGTTGAATATATCTTAATGCTGCCAGCCTTTTTAGCTGCACACAATTATTTCCCATCTATTCAATAAATGCTTTCCAGTCTTCTTTAAACATTCTTTAAACTTAGAACATCTTGTTCTATTTGTTTATTTATTGTTGTGTTGACATTTCTTTCTCTCTCTCTCTCTCTCTCTCTCTCTTTCTACTATTCCTTTTCTTTTCTGTTTTATAAAGATTTTTATTAGTTTTACATAAAGTTATACACAACAACGATAACCATTCCAAAACAAAAATATTCAAAGGTTCTTTCGAATCTTCCAACCTCCTTCCCTCCTTCCATGGGTTCCATTCTAAAGATTTTTTTCTTTTTCTTTTTTCCTGCATCTTTTACCAATATCTATCTATTATATAATCACAGTAACCAAAGTTCATTTCACTTTACAAGTATCATTGTATTCCTGCCAATGATTTCAACTGTCTACAGTTGTCTTTCAAGTATATTAAAAAGTTACTCCAATCTTTTAAGAATACTTGGTCTTCCTGGTTTCTGATCTTTCCCGCCAGTCTTGCCATTTCTGCATATTCCATCGGCTTGGTCCGCACTCTTCTCTGGTCGGTACTTCTTTCTTTCCATCTCTGGGCTAGAAGCATTCTTGCTGCTGTCGTTGCATACATAAATAGTCTTTTATTTTATTTTGGTAGTTCCTCACCTACCATACATTAGAGAAAAGCGTCTGGTTTTTTAACAAAACTTTTGTTAAACATTTTCTTTAACTCATTATACTGTATTTTTCGCCCTATAGGACGCACTTTTTCCCCTCCAAAAATGAAGCGGAAATGTGTGTGCGTCCTATGGGGCGAATGCAGGCTTTCCCGGGCTTCCTGCAGCTCCGCGCCACCCCCTGGATCCCGGCGCGAAGCTGTGCGGGGCTCTGGAGGGTGGCGTGGAGCTGCCTACGCTCCAGGGCTTCCTGCAGCTCTGCGCCACCCTCTGGATCCTGGCGCGAAGCCGCGCGGGGCTCCGGAAGGTGGCGCAGAGCTGCCTGCGCTCCAGGGCTTCCTGCAGCTCTGCGCCACCCTCTGGATCCTGGCGCGAAGCCACGCGGGGCTCCGGAGGGTAGCGCAGAGCTGCCTGCATTCCGGAGCCTGGTGCGCGCTGAAGAGCGCCCCCGGGCTTCGCGCACCTCTCCGTGAGGGAGACCGGCACAGCTCCCTAGGCTTGCAGATAGCAGGCTGTTCTGGGGGCTGGGGTCGGGGGAAGCTTGGGCTTCCCCTGCGCCTGCCCCTGTGCCTGGGGAGGGGATAATTTTTTTTCTTTATTCCCCCCCCCCAAAAAAATTAGGTGCGTCCTATGGGGTGGTGCGTCCTATGGGGTGAAAAATATGGTATATCATTTCCTAGAAAGCTTTTACCACCCCACAGGACCACCACTGAGCTGTATAGAACCAGCTCAAATCTGTGCTGAAAATGTAAAAGGAAAGAGGGTACCTTTTATCTACTACGTATTCCTTTTCTGGGACTGATTGATTGATTATATTTCTATGCCAGTTTTCATCCAGACGACTCCCAAAGCAACCTGATGCCCACTAGATGTTTAAGACTCCAAGTCCCATCATTCCAAGTTCTGACCGGGGCTGATGTAGTACAAAACACCTGGCTAGCACCTGTTTCAGGAAGCCTGGCCTGGATGATGATGATGGGTCGATCGGCTTTCTAATTCTTCCATCTTTTTGTTTTGAAAGGTCATGGCAGGATTTGAGGAAATGGGGTTTCCCAGCTGTGTGGGGGTCATGGACAGGACCCACATCCCCATCATCTGCACTGTCCGAAAGGGGACCAACATCAGCCAAAAGGGGTTCTTCCCTATGTCAATGCAAGGCACGGTGGACCACAAGGGCCGCTTCATTGACATCGAACTCAGCTGGTGCGGTAAAGATAAGGACGCCTCCTTCTTCCGAAACCTAGCCCTGTGTGAGGCGATGGACCAAGGGTCGTTCGTACCAGGGACTCATTCAATGACCATTGGCAACGTGGAGATCCCCCCGCTCATCTTGGCCGACGCGTCCTACCCCTTGAAGAAGTGGCTCATGAAGCCCTTCACTGGTAACCTCAGCCCCCGCCAAGAACATTTCAACTCCCGCCTAAGTGACTGCAAGAAGGTGGCCGAAGAGGCCTTTGGGCGGCTGAAGGGACGGTGGAGGTGCCTGGCCACCCGCTTGGAGGTGGCCGAAGAGAACATTATCCCCGTGGTGGTGGGGTCCGTCGTGCTCCACAATATTTGCGAGAATCGTGGACATGCTTTGGTGGACGGGCCTTGGGCCCAAGACGGCGTGTGGGACCAGGCCCCTGAGGGACACTTGAGGCTCCCAACGTCCCCAGAGGATGCACGGGATGGGAGCCTGGTGAGGGAAGCTCTGGCAAGCTACTTCATGAGCAATTCCTAACTCCTCATGGAGCCCTTGGATGAAAGAAAAACAGAAAAGTTTCGAAATGCACACTTCAGTTTAATTCAAAACAATCTTTGTTCCGAGAAGCTGGGGATCTACCACAGAAAGCTCCAGTAAACCGTCTTCCGAAGCCTTGTTGTGAGGTGACTTTTGCCCCTACACCGTGTGATGTTTCTGATCAGGTGCTGAGGTAAAATTACCTCATAACATAGCCTATATATATGGTGACGTGGCACTCCATGTCTGTGGTCACCACAACAAACAGTTTTGCGAATCCACTTTTTGTGTCTCAGTTGGCAAAGCTATGAATTTTATGCAAGCCACTACTCTTGCCCGTTTTTGTTTTTATTGCTGTCATTTTTATGATCGTTACCTGCTGTGAAACTTTGGGGAATGGCAGTTTATAAGTATTTTTAAAAATAAACAGTAAGAACATTTTTTTAAGGATTTCCAGCTCCATTATTTGCCAGTGTGTAATGAAGCAGTGGGGGAGAGGGCTATTTGTACGGGAGAAGTAGCGGTTAAAAAGCAGGGGTGCTTAATCCCTTTCCCTACCACCACCACCACCACTTTTCTAAGGGACCATTTCCTGTTTCCCCCCACTTTACCAGCAAGCCCACCTAGCAACACCCTGGGTGAGGTGGTGTTTGAGCAGGTGTGGGGAACCTTTCGCCCTCTGGATGTTGCTGAACTACAGTTGCCATTGTCCTTGGCCATTGGCTGCACTTGCCAGGGCTGATGGGAGTTGTAGTTCAACAACACCTGGAAGGCCAAAGGTTCCCCACACCTGATTGGACAGTGTTGTGGAGGGAAAGAGGCAGATGGGGTTGGCAGCCCTGTTTTTGCTGCTGAACATGTAGTTCCTGAATTTGGAGATGGGGCAGAAAGGAGGTTGCTAAATCTGAGAACTGGATTTCCTCAGATGTTCCTCGTATCTAGGTAATGTTACCAAGGCAGAACACACTCTGAGGTGATAGAATGTGTACATGCCACTCCCCCACAAAACATATATATTTAAAATATACATAGAAGCCTGAAGCAATCTTAACAACATTCCAAAGTTTTCTACCATCATAAAAACACACACAAATATATTGCAACCACTTTTTTGTTGTTGTTGTTCACGTTAACAGCATGATTCTCTGCAGGTTTACTCAGAAGTCCCAGTGTTCCCTAAGTAATTATACATGGGATCGCAACCTAAGTTTCTCCTAAGGATTTTCCCCAGGAGTGAATACAAGATGTGGAGCGGCTCACTTCCATTTCTCGTCCTCCCAGCTGCAGCTAGGGCTCTGATTCCTTGGTCAGCTCCAGAGAAAAGGTGGGGCTTAGCATCCCCAAATACAGAAATTTATTAGCGTTCTGTAATGCTAACCACTTTGAATAGATGGTTATCTGAGGACAAAGCAGGAGAGGAAAGCTGTGCAGAAGGAAAGGAGCTCCACACAACCAAAGCTTTGGGCAAAGAGGTGTGTCTGGACCAGTCAAAAATTATGCTGTGATGGTGGTGTAGCTCCCCTGTAATAAAACATAAAGAAACACTTTACCCCCTCCTTCATTTTCTTGCTGTCTCTCCTATAAAGCGTATGATGTTTTGTGTTTTTCTTTTCTTTTATTTACTTCCATATCTCAGGCTATGGACTCGTGGAAATAATAGTAAGCTGGTTACCTGAAAACACAAAATCTGTAGAATATACAGAAAAATCTTAAGGTTGCTTCCACACCATATATTTAAAGCACATTTTACACACATGGTTCTCCCCTCTCCCCTCAAAAAATCCTAGGAGCTGTAGATTACCCATCACAGAACTATACTTCCCAGCACCCTTAACAAACTACAGACCCCAGGATTCTTCAGGGCACTGAAACCTCAGGGGCATCTGGTCCTGCCATGTGAGTAGCAGAGAAGCTGCTGTGTTGCCTTCTAGCTGTGGTTGGTCTGCATTTCCCATCAGCCTCAGCTAGCCCAATGGACATGGATGTTGGGAAGTGAAGTCCTGCAACCCTGAGGGCCCCAGGTCCCCAGATTTCAACTCAGGGTGTTTGTGTCTCAGCAAGAGAACAGCTTGCCTGTATTGCATTGCAGTGGATGCAACTTGAACCCAGTGCGGTGTAATAGTTAGAGCCCTAACATGGAGTTCTCACACACACCTGCTTCCTACCAAAGCCTCCTGCCCCTCTGCGCTTTGGTGTTTTGCTGTAAAAAGTAATCAGTAATACACAGGGTTGGCGGGGGGAGGCTGCTTGGTTTGGGAGGGAGTTGCCTGTTATTTCAGGGAGTGAATAGTGCCTGTTGTTTTTTTCTTAACAAACAATACAACACTGATTAACACCCTGGAAACTTTTGAAAATGTACAAAAATGTGCCAAGTAATTGCTGGAGATACAGAGATAATTCAGGAACTTTCTACCACATATAGTGGTTATGTAAGAAAATACAGGTATTCTGGGGGAGTATTCACTCAGAACTGCAAAAAATGCTAAAGATCTCTTTTAATAAAAAAACCAAAGGCCTATCTCCTGGGAGTTACAGATTTCGATATTCCGCAAAAAATGAAGGGTATCTTTTTATACGCCACAGCGGCAGTAAGAGTTCTTATCGTAGCAAAATGGAAGAGTGTTGAAATTCCCTCTATACATGAATGGATCCAAAAGCTGACAGAATATGCCGAATTAGACAGTCTGTCAGAAAAAATAAAGAATAAATCAAAACAGGAATTTGTCTCAAAATGGGAGGTTTTCAAAGAATATTTGAAATATAAATACGGTAGTTTAAACTCTGTTGCAGCATTCGAGGAACTTCAGTAATAGCTGCAAGTTAGACATAAGAGTTAAGATATATTAAGAAAAAGTTAAATGACGATAAAAGCGTGTATTGGCAATAACTAATATGAATTTGAAATAAGGAATAGACAGGAGGTCGTGCCTGTTTTTTTTTTTTAATGTGTTTTATTTGTGTCGAGTGTGCTGGTGTTCTGCCTGTTGTATTATTTGTTTACAGCATTTATTCTGGCAACACAAAGGCTCTTCAAGAGCCGCTTGCAAAAATCAGTACTTGCCATCTGAAAAGGCACAGCACACAAGAAGAAGAACCGGGAGGGAGAAGGGAGGAAACAAGCTCAAAGTGGGTTTGGCTGTATTGCCTTTGCACCTGCATTGCAGAGGGGAGATCATTGCAAAGAGCAGGTGCCAGTCTTGAAGAAGGCCTGTTACCACATTGCCACAAGATGGAATTCTTCAGGTCACAACACATCTATCGGGGAGTAACCTCAAAGAGCTTACTTGACTAATGAGTTCTGTGTGGGGCTGCCCCTTAGTCTTCTTCAAAAGTGGCAGTTAGGTGGTAAAGGGGGGTGTTCTGGCAGGCACATACAATGCCTAATCTGAAATAACTGTACAAGCTACCAGCCTGTGAGCTACCGGTGAGCCAGTGTGGTGTAGTGGTTAGGAGCGGTAGTCTTGTAATCTGGGGAACCGGGTTCGCGTCTCCGCTCCTCCACATGCAGCTGCTGGGTGACCTTGGGCCAGTCACACTTCTTTGAAGTCTCTCAGCCCCACTCACCTCACAGAGTGTTTGTTGTGGGGGAGGAAGGGAAAGGAGAATGTTAGCCGCTTTGAGACTCCTGAAGGGGAGTGAAAAGCGGGATATCAAATCCAAACTCTTCTTCTTCTTCTTGTGACTGAGCCAGGTTAAAGGTTATGTTCTTTGTGTATATGGAGCCCTAAACAACCTGGGACCAAGTTACAGTATGTGGAGATGGGCTGCAGCTCAGTGGCTTTGCATGTAGGACATCCCAGGTTCAAGGACTGAGGGAGATCCCAAAACTTGGGGAGCTGCTGCCAGACAATACTAAGCTAGATGGACCAATGGACAGACTTGGAATAGTATAACAGCTTCCTATGTATGTGAGAAACCTGCCTGCATGAATCTGGCAAGCAGAAAGTGGATAGAGAAAAGTTTTCCTCCCTCTCTCCTAATACTAGAACGTGAAGGTTATCCAGGGAAGAAAATACTTCAAACAGGGCTATTGTCCCTATTTTCAAAAAGGGGAAAAGAGAGGACCCAAATAATTACCGCCCAGTCAGCCTGACATCAATACCAGGGAAGATTCTGGAGCAGATCATTAAGCAAACAGTCTGTGAGCACCTAGAAAGGAATGCTGTGATCACCAATAGTCAGCATGGATTTCTGAAAAATAAGTCATGTCAGACTAACCTGATCTCGTTTTTGACAGAATTACAAGCCTGGTAGATGAAGGGAACGCAGTGGATGTAGCCTACCTTGATTTCAGCAAGGCATTTGACAAGGTGCCCCATGATATTCTTGTAAAGAAGCTGGTAAAATGCGGTCTTGACTATGCTACCACTCAGTGGATTTGTAACTGGCTGACTGACCGAACCCAAAGGGTGCTCATCAATGGTTCCTCTTCATCCTGGAGAAGAGTGACTAGTGGGGTGCCACAGGGTTCTGTCTTGGGCCCGGTCTTATTCAACATCTTTATCAACGACTTGGATGATGGACTCAAGGGCATCCTGATCAAATTTGCAGATGACACCAAACTGGGAGGGTGGCTAACACCACAGAGGACAGGATCACACTTCAAAACGACATTGACAGATTAGAGAACTGGGCCAAAATAAACAAGATGAATTTTAACAGGGAGAAATGTAAAGTATTGCACTTGGGCATAAAAAATGAGAGGCACAAATACAAGACGGGTGACACCTGGCTTGAGAGCAGTACATGTGAAAAGGATCTAGGAGTCTTGGTTGACCACAAACTTGACATGAGCCAACAGTGTGACGCGGCAGCTAAAAAAGCCAATGCAATTCTGGGCTGCATCAATAGGAGTATAGCATCTAGATCAAGGGAAGTAATAGTGCCACTGTATTCTGCTCTGGTCAGACCTCACCTGGAGTACTGTGTCCAGTTCTGGGCACCACAGTTCAAGAAGGACACTGACAAACTGGAACGTGTCCAGAGGAGGGCAACCAAAATGGTCAAAGGCCCGGAAACGATGCCTTATGAGGAACGGCTAAGGGAGCTGGGCATGTTTAGCCTGGAGAAGAGGAGGTTAAGGGGTGATATGATAGCCATGTTCAAATATATAAAAGGATGTCACATAGAGGAGGGAGAAAGGTTGTTTTCTGCTGCTCCAGAGAAGCGGACACGGAGCAATGGATCCAAACTACAAGAAAGAAGATTCCACTTAAACATTAGGAAGAACTTCCTGACAGTAAGAGCTGTTCGACAGTGGAATTTGCTGCCAAGGAGTGTGGTGGAGTCTCCTTCTTTGGAGGTCTTTAAGCAGAGGCTTGACAACCATATGTCAGGAGTGCTCTGATGGTGTTTCCTGCTTGGCAGGGGGTTGGACTCGATGGCCCTTGTGGTCTCTTCCAACTCTATGATTCTATGATTCTGTGATTCTAAGCAGCACCTGTGGAACTCCCTGCCACAGGAGGCCATGACAACCACCAACTGGGATGGCTTGAAAAGAGGATTAGACAAATTCACAGAGGGCAAGGCTGGCTACTAGTCATGATGGCTATGCACAGTCCGAGGCAGTAAATGTTTCTGAATATCAGTTGCTAAGAACCATAGGAGGGGAGAAGGCTCTTGTACTGCGATCCTGCTGGGGGGGGGGGGTTCCACAGAGATCTGGATCATGGGTGTAGCCAAGCCTTTTGTTAGGGGGGCAGAACCTCAGTTTGCTATGTATTTTCATTGGTTTTTATTCCCCTGATGTCCTTCTGCTTTTAATCTGTCCACTTTTATATATAACACGCAAGTTGCCATTTCCAAAAACCAACAACAAAATGAAATACAAGGAAAGGGTTAAATGAACCGAGTTCTCCTTGGCAGAGAGGCTCATGAATTTGAGACGGGCAGATGTGAAGAAGGCAGCCACTTTGTGTCCCTTCTCCTCCTTGCTTGGGAGACTGGCTTTTGGGGTGCACGCGCGCACACCCCGCTTTATGAAGATCTGGGAAGCCCCCAAGACATCAGCAGCAGCTGTGATGCAAAGACCCCCAGGAGAGGGTGAGTTTCAGGCAAGGCCCAGATCCAGAGGAAGAGCAGGAGAACCAGAAATAGCTGGAGAGAGGGAAGCAGCCGTGTTGCAAGCAGGAAAACCGAGAGTCTGCGCTGGGGTTGGCAACTTACAGCCTCTCGCCTGTGCCTTTTTGACCGCAGCCTTTGAGTGGTAGACCTGAGCTGCTGATAGCACTGTGCCATGGCTTGCATCACTTGCATCCCTGCTTAGGAATCATTTTTGGATTCTGTTCCATTGAAAATTATGTGCAGCGTCTGAAGCAATGGGTCTCTGAATACCACTTTATGGGGAATCAGAAGTGGGGACAGCACTGATGTGCTCGGATCCTGCTTGTAGGTTTTGCATTGGGGGATCCAGTTCACCACTGCAAGAGATGCTGGACCAGAGGACCAGACCCAAGAGGGCTTTTCTGATGTTCCTAAAAAACTCTGCAAATACAGTCGTACCTCAGGTTACAGATGCTTCAGGTTGCGTTTTTTCAGGTTGTGGACCGCCGAAACCAAGAAATACCGGAACGGGTTACTTCCGGGTTTCGGCTTTTGCACATGTGCAGAAGCGCCAAATCACGCTTTGCGCATGCGCAGAAGCGCCGAATCGCAACTTGCGCCTGCACAGACGTGCAGACACGGGTTGCGAACGCTGCGGGTTGCGAATGTGCATCCTGCACGGATCACATTCACAACCCAAGCATCCCCTGTACTAATAACTGGTGTCATTTTTTAAGCAAATCAATCCTGCAAATCTCCAGTAGCTGCTTAGAAGGATAGTGTGTTTATCTATCTTATAACAGCAAGGGGTGTATATTGTCCATTTGGTGATGGTCCCTAAAGACTGAACAGTAAAAGCAACTGATCTTCTTTTGGTCTCACATTTCTCTGCCTATTTGTATTCAAATGACCATTTGGAAGAAAGAAGCCAGTGTGTTTCCTGGTTATTTGGAAACGCAGAATATTCCTATGGGTCATTTGGAATAAACCAATGATTTTATACCCCCAAACAGTTTTGCCCTTGTAGCTAGCTATATATAAAAAATGTTTATTTGAACTATTTATAAGCCAGGGATGATGGGAGTTGTAGTTCAGCAGCATCTGAAGGTCACAGATTTCTCATCTCTTAGTCAGATCTAGGGGTGGGGTGGGGAATCAGTTCTGTTCACATTTAAAGGGGAATCTACTTAATTAGCAAAAGAAATAAAGAACCGAAAAACATCCCCCACCCCCCAAAAAATCACATTTATCCTAAATTTTCAGTGCTGTTCTCCAGCCAGATAATGTGTACAAAATTGCATGTATTTGGGGCAAACTGGTCAGAGTAATGCATATTTTTGTGATTGCTTTGCAAAAATGTTGGGAGAAATTGTGGTGGTGAGGATATGCATATAAAGAGGAATTTGCAGAAATCAAAGAACAAATCATGTGGAAAAACAAATTTAAGATTGGGGAAATTAGAATCTAAAACCGAGAAACCGGGTTAGACCTGGTTTGCGTTTGTTTTTTAATAAATTGCACACTTACTGACATTGCTCTGGATATTTTCCAGTTTCGTGTGCAAAGCAAGGAAGCATGCCTGGAATAAAAACAGAAAAGGAGGATCCAGCAGAGTTCGGACCAGGGGAGTCCCTGCAGAGGGACCTTCACATCATCCAGGTGGAGACCAATGGAGAGCTTTCTGGGGAAGCAGCCGCACACAGAATTAAGCAGGAGCCAGATGGAGGGCTGCAACAGTGCTGGGAAGCTCTGCGGGGTAAGTTCCCAAAGGATGTGGTCGCTGCTTGGCCAGGATGGGAAAATCCGCTGCCACCACGGCCTCACCTGGGGAAGATCCCTACGGATTTTAAATATTCCATAAAGGGATTTGCAGACGCCAAATGGTGGACTCGTGAAGAGTGGAGGGTTCAAACGTTGCCGGGTGTTAATGGAGGATCCCATGAGGTTGACCGGAGCCAGGATCTTTCTGGGCACCTAGCAGAGGAGGGCATTACAGCTGGCTTGGAGGCCCAGCGCTTGCGTTTCCGGCGGTTCTCCTATTGGGAGGCTGAGGGGCCCCAAGAGGCACTTGGACATCTCCGGGAACTTTGCTGTCAGTGGCTGGAGCCGGAGACACACACCAAGGAACAGATCCTGGAGATGGTGATCCTGGAGCAGTTCCTGATGATCCTCCCAGAAGAAATGCAGAGCTGGGTCAAGGAACGCGGGCCAGAGACCGGCAAGCAAGCGGTGGCTCTTGCAGAGGATTTCCTCCTGAGGTTGAAGTGGTCTGAGAACCACAAAGAGCAGGTGAGCAAACTGTTTCATCCTGAGGGTCACTACTTTCTCAGAAATAAAAAAGGTAAAGGTACCCCTGCCCGTACGGGCCAGTCGTGTCCGACTCTAGGGTTGTGCGCTCATCTCACTTAAGAGGCCGGGAGCCAGCGCTGTCCGGAGACACTTCCGGGTCACGTGGCCAGCGTGACGAAGCTGCTCTGGCGAGCCAGCACCAGCGCAGCACACGGAAACGCCATTTACCTTCCTGCTATAAAGCGGTACCTATTTATCTACTTGCACTTAGGGGTGCTTTTGAACTGCTAGGTGGGCAGGAGCTGGGACCGAAAGACGGGAGCTCACCCAGCTGCGGGGATTTGAACCGCCGACCATACGATCGGCAAGTCCTAGGCACTGCACAAATCTGCATTTGTGTCTGTGTAAAAATCAGTCTTTTAGTGTGGTGGCACCTACACATTGGAACTATTGCTATCCAGCAGACACCTTTGTTTTATTATGTTCTGCACCTACTAGAAACATTTTTGTTTAGACAAGCTTTCCCATATATCTAGGAAAGCATATGTGTTTCAAGTTTATTGCTGGTTTTTCATTTTTGGAACATTTTAATTGTTTTTACTAATAATTTTATTGTTCCTTTTTGTTTTTGGTAAACTGCTTTGAGGTTTTTTGCTTAAAGAGAGAGACAAAATCAAGCAGCGTATGAAATAAGTAAATAAAAAAATGAAAATATATTATTCACTGGCCTTCATTTCAGACACCATGTGGGCAGCATCTGTCAGAGACTGTCATGTTGAAGCTTTCCATGGAGGCTGTAGAAGAAGGCGATGGAGAGACCGTGGTCCCAGGCAAGTATTTACTGAGCGTCCAAGGTGTTTGCGGTGTAGCAGGGGCTCCACATTCCTCCTAGTGTGAGAGCCAGTGTGGTGTAGTGGTTAAGAGCAGTAGACTTGTAATCTGGTGAACCAGGTTCGTGTCTCCACTCCTCCACATGCAGCTGCTGGGTGACCTTGGGCCAGTCACACTTCTCTGAAGTCTCTCAGCCCCACTCACCTCACAGAGTGTTTATTTTGGGGAGGAAGGGAAAGGAGGTTGTTAGCTGCTTTGAGACTCCTTCGGGTAGTGATAAAGCGGGATATCAAATCCAAACTCTTCTTCTCTTCTTCTTCCTATGTGAAGTTCAGAGTGCACCTAAAATCCACACTCCTGCTTTGGAAACCGACATAGGGTATGATGTCAAGATTCCCGCCTCCCCCTTAAAAAATATGTTTTCCTCGGTTGGACCTGAATGAGGCAGTAGAAGGGCTATACCACTTCAGAGTTGTTGATGTGGAATCCTGTTTTTAAACACTTTTCTTCCTAACAAAGTCTTAAAACAGCTATACTGCTTCCCAGTTATTTTCCAGGCCCCCTTCAAGGTGTCAGCTTTGGCATTTAAAGCCCTAAATCAGGCTTCCTCAACTTCGGCCCTCCGGATGTTTTTGGCCTACATCTCCCATGATCCCTAGCTAGCAGGACCAGTGGTCAGGGATGATAGGAACTGTAGTCTCAAAACATCAGAAGGGCCGAGGTTGAGGAAGCCTGCCCTAAATGTTTTGGGATCCAAATATTTGCAGAAGGCTTTCTTCCATATTGACCTCCCTATATGTATTGTAGTCAGGGCTTTTTTCAGTTGGAACTCAGTTCTGACACCTCCTCAGTTGGGTGCCGTTGCCATTATAAGAGAACAAGGAGACATTAATGATGAGTTCCGGCACCTCTTTTTCTAGAAAAATAGCACTGATCATAGTGAATACCACTCATATTTGTCTGCACAATTTTTGTCCCTGGCCTCGGATGAATATCCAGATTACAGGAACTTCCACTCCCTTTTCCATTTTTGATGGAATTATCTGACACCCCTGATGAAATGTATAGGGTTGTTTGTGATTTTAGTCGACATCTATGTTCTTGTTTAAATGAGTGGTCAACTTGTCCTCTTAATTATGATGCATAGATCAGTTCTTACTCCACTTTGTGTCCTTCGTGTGACCGATTTAACAGGTGTCTTGTTTTCTTCCAGCTGTTGACTGGCAAGTGAAGGTGAAAGAGGAGCCCAAGGATGAAGAGACTCTTCTGCCAGAAGGACCCAAGAAAGGAGATGTCCCCACAGGATCATGGGAAAACACCAAAGGGAAAAGTCCTCAGGATCCTGAAATGGAACTGATGCCCAGAGGTTTGCAGGTTCAAGAAAATCACATAGAAAACCAACCATGGAAGACAGCAGAGCTTTCCTTTCTCCATGAGGGTGCTCGCACAGGCTCACACAAGAGGGCCTTCCAGGACGGACTGCTCCGGCGTAAAAGAAAGAAGGCGGGTGTGGATGGCGGGAAGAACTCGTTCCCGAGCTCTGATGTCCTCAAGAAGCAGAGACTGCCGACGGCAGAAAAGGCATACAAATCCTCAGAATGGGGCAAGAGCCTCAAGTTGAGGCTGCACCTCAATATGCCTGAGAGGAAACGCATGGGAGGGAAACCCTCCATCTGGTCGGACTTTGGGAAAAGGTTCCCTCAGCCTTACGATGCTCCTCAGCCCCGGGAAATCCAGACAAGAGCAAACCAACACGTATGTTCGGAGTGCGGGAGGACCTTCAGCAGGCAATCCCACCTCCTCATACACCAGCGCATGCACACAGGAGAGAAACCGTATACGTGTTCGGAGTGTGGGAAGAGCTTCAGCTACAGCTCGGTCCTTACAGAACACGAGAGAATCCACACAGGGGAGAAGCCCTACGAGTGCTCGGACTGTGGGCAGACCTTCAGCCGCAGGTCGTACCTCATTCAGCACGAGAGAACCCACACGGGGGTGAAGCCCTACGAATGCTCCGAGTGTCAGAAATGTTTCACGCGGCGCAGCGGCCTTCTTCGACATCAGAAGCTGCACGTGGAAAGGAAGCCAAGCTGAAGCCGTGTCTTTTTAAGAATCTTTCATTTCCTTTAACTATGCATTAAAGATAATATTGTTGAGTGTTCTAGGTGGCCACAGGAGAATTGGATGAATAAATATTAACTGTAGGTTGTACAAGGTTGTTGTTTTTCTTGTTGGGGGGGAAAGATGTCTTCTGTAAGAATGTAAGAATCATCTTGCTAGATCATACCAAGGTTTAGTTTGTTTATTTTCAGTGCTTCCCACAAAGAGTGCAAAGCAGCCACAGTCCGTTTCGGGGGCCTAATCCTGCCCACCTGTCGGTTGAATCCAGCCCCTGTGGCAGTTTATTTCCTCGGGTAAAATCCTTAAAAAACCTCAACAACGTCAACCCTAAAAAGAGCTCAACAACATCAATCCTAAAACTTCAATCACAGCCCTTCACTTCATCAAATCTGGCCCTCTTTGAAAAAAGTTTGGACAGCACTGCCCTAAATAGATACTTTTTGTAGAATACAACTAGCAGAGTATTCCAGCAATTCAACAAAGGAAGAAAACAATTGAATATGTGCACAGGTAAGATAAAGAGACAAAAGATATAACGAAAAATAATGAAAGAAACTTGTGCAAAAGAGGCAATACGACAATATTCCAAGATAATACATTAGCAGATCAAAAACTCATATACTGTAATCAAAAACATTTCATCCTCACAACAGTCCTGTGAGGAATGTTAGACTGGCCGAGTGTAACCCAGTCAATTTCATGACTTGAGTGGGAATTTGAATCCTGGTCATCCTGGTCCTAGCCCACACACTCACCACTATACCACACCATCTTTGAAAGTAGATATTTCCCCCAAACACAGCCTATTCCCTGGCCTTCCCTCTCAATTTTCTGGAAAAAATATATTGTACATTGAGCCAGCCCTTCCCTTGGGGATGATACTGATCAGTTTCCCATAGAAGAAAATGGAGAAATTCAGGATTTTAGCAGAAGTGTGCAATGGGTAAAAACACATGAAAGGTGTGGACAGGACAAGAGTTCATGCTCCTAATTCTTAATTTTGTGTAACATTTTAATGCTATCATTGTTGAATTTTTAACTTTTAAAAGCACAGCTGGTCTGCATGATAGTCACTGGAGCCCACAGCCAACTGGGCATGGCTGAGGCTGTGCAATTCATGCATTCTCAACTAAGTATGTGGCATGTCACCCCTTTGAGAGAGGCACTGATGACCCAGGAGGCCATTTCTTGGTGAGATAACACGGGATGTCTGATCCATCAACCTTCGTATTATGGTGTGACTCATTAGCCTGTTTTTCACCCAGCAAGATCTGTTCTTCAAAACCTGAACTTTACGTCCATACAAAGGTGGGATCTAACACCAGAACAAATTAAGTTCTTAACCTGAGGTACCACTGTAAATAACAGCAATCAAGATCTCAAACTCATCACCTACGATACCCAGAGTCTTCCCTTTTCCCTTCTTAGAGAGCGCAGCTGAACACACCCCTTGGCAAAAAGGAAGAGAGAGCAGAAAGTTGCCTTCTCAGAGGCTTAAACTCAGGACCTTCAGATTATGAAACTGACCGGCTGCTTCATGTGCTAAGAAGCAGGCAGGCAGTGGCATCTCCTCCCCATTGGGGATGTGGGTAGGGCAGCTCATGGCAGGTCTGGTCGCAAGAGGCAGGGCCAGGTGGTTATAGGAGGTGGAGACAATGTTGTTTTTCTCTCACTCCGTCCACCTTCCTTGCAAAGATGCACAACTCACAATTCATTGTTCACATAGTGACAATGTATCACACCTGGTGAGAACCTTCAGAAATCCAACCTTCAGGAACAGTTAATAGCGGCAGCCCAATCCAAAGCAAGTTTAATAAGGAATGTTAATGCAGGAAATCCAAACACATTTAACTGGGCTGAAGCCACACTGAATTCAGTGAGATTTATCTATGAGAACGGAACAGAACTGAATTCAGTGAGATTTATTTCTCCCCTCGCTTCTCCTTTCTACCTGTGACTTCGCAGGTGGGATAGAGAAGAGCAGAGAGGGTTTAAGGAACAGAGCAGGGTAGGTAGGCAAGGCTCCCCACAAATAGACTTCGGGTTAGATGAGGAGCCTGGCAAGTTCCCCACACCTGAGCCTCTAGCCAGTGTGGGGAAGGCCACTGATGGCAGGATTTGAAATATAAAAGCTTTCCAATCAAACCAAAAAGGATATGCCACCAAAGGCCTTTTCAAGTAGCAAGTTGTGGTTTTTTTAACCAGTTTTCTCAGTCCATTTCCTGTCAGGGAATCCTTTTGCTGTGTCATCGGGGCAGGTCCTGGCCAGAGAGCCGAGTTGCTGCTCTGTGCAGAGAAGTAAAGATTTTTTAATCACTGGCTCAGTTTTTTGTAAATATACACCTGAGCAGCGGAAGACAATACAGGCGGGGACCTGAGGGAGCTATTTATGTAGAACAGGGCGATTAGGCCAACTTTTCTGAGCTGGTTGTCCTATTTGGAATTTGGAGAAAGTATTGTGGGCGCCAGTTGCAAGATGGTTGCTGCGGCAACAGGGCACAACACAAAATGGCTGCCCCATCTAAAAGAGCAGAAAAAGAGACAGAACCACAAAATGGTGGCATGGTGACCAGCCCCACTCCCACCAGCCAGTGATGTAGAAGCCCAATACATTTCAGCGCTTGAGGCAAACCACAAAATGGTGCCTCCGCTGCCAGAAAAGGAGGCGGGGAGGTGAGTGAGGATCTATATCAGAAACAAGCGGGGAATAAAGATCTACATCAGGAACAAAGTGGGAATCTTTACCCAACAGCTGAAGAGGGAATCAAAGGCTGGCACTGGGAGTGGGGGGTGGGGTGTTACTCTCAATCATGCTGGGAAGGTGCAGAGTCCAGGAGACCCCATAGGACAGCCCCTGCTATTTCCTCCCTAGGGTGAGAGGAGACCAGCAGCACCAAGAAGTGGGCTGAAGCCATCACTGCTACTGTGGCAGCGGCAGCAGCAGCAGTAGCAGGCAGGGGTTTTCTGAGGCAGGGGCAGAGGGGCAGTCCACCCTGGGTGCCATTCCAAAGGAGGGGTGGAAAAAAAGGCTGACCCCCGATCGGCGGCACCTTCCAGGGTGCTCGCCACACTCCCCGGGATGCACGCCACACCCCCTCAGACGCGTGCCGCTCCAGGTACTGGAGCAGGTTGCTTCGCCTCTGGCAGCAGGCAATGCATTCCTTGGAGGATGTATTTGGTTTGAGTCCAGGCTGGCAGATGTCTTCCTCTGCCTTTTGCCTCCCAAGTAGCAAAGACAGCATAGCTAGCCAAAAGTCGATGCTGCAGATCCTCCATCCAGTGGGGCGAGATTCAAATTCACATATGCAAGGAACCATGGATTAGCCACTCATCGCCTTCGCCATGCAAACCCCTGACCTGGGTAGGCTCAGACCACCTTATTTCTGGTTAAGAGCCAGACATGCTAACTGATTGTGCCACAGAGAGCTGAGTGGTTCACCACCACCGCCACCAGCCTCCCTTGACCTGAAGTTTATCTGCCAGAGCTGAATAGATGAAAAGCACCAGGCCATTTTCCTGCCATCCAGCAGAGTGGCGCAGCGGGAGCTTGCTGGGCCCATAACCCAGAGGTCGATGGATCGAAACCATCCTCTGTTAGGTGCCGATGGCATTTTGCATTTCCGTTAGACCAGGGGTAGGCAACCTAAGGCCCGTGGGCCGGATGCGGCCCAATCACCTTCTCAATTTGGCCCATGGATGGTCCGGAAATCAGCATGTTTTTACATAAGTAGAATGTGTTTATTTAAAATCATCTCTGGGTTATTTGTGGTGCCTGCCTGGTGTTTTTACATGAGTAGAATATGTGCTTTTATTTAAAATGCATTTCTGGGTTATTTGTGGGGTATAGGAATTTGTTCATCCCCCCCCCCCCCCGAAATATAGTCTGGCCCACCACATGGTCTGAGGGACAGTGGACCGGCCCACAGCTGAAAAAGGTTGCTGACCCCTGCATTAGACAGCACGCAAAAGAAAACGGAGAGAGGCATTTGCTTCCTGCTACTGGCTGGAATGCTTTGTGTTAAACAATTCCAGATTCTTCAGTTCTCTTCCAGCAACAGACTTAGAGCTAACTGCCTTCTCTCCAGACAGTGATGGTTCTGTGGAAGGCGGCCAGCAGAGAAGTCTTTTCCTTCAAGAGGCCAAGTCCTCAGTCTCTGCCATGCCTCACTGGAGCAACTCCATGCAGTATCTTTGCGACAGAATGAAAAGACCCCCATTTAGTGTGCCAATGGTATAGAGGCATTTTGTGAGGTTGCCAATCTTGTAGAACCTGTCTTCAAGTTCTACACTTTATTCTGACTCTTACCTTTTCCAGGAGTCAAGACAGCAGAACTAAGTAAAAGTTTCCATCCTGAAATCCTGCATCCCAAGGGGAAAAGGGCCGACGAGGGTGGGATTCGAACCCACGTGTGCAGAGCACAATGGATTAGCAGTCCATCGCCTTCACCACTCGGCCACCTCGTCTATGAATCCTGCCCGCAGCCGTCCCTGGGTGGGCTCGAACCACCATCCTTCTGGTTAACAGCCAGACGTGCTAACCCATTGCGCCACAGAGACCTGGGCAGCTTTCCTCCTTTCATCTGAGGTTTTGTGGATGGAGGTGTTCATAAGACAGGCGAGCAGAGCTGGGAAATGACACTGAGCCATCTGAAATAGCCTCCCACCACCAGCAGGTGCTTTTAACTTGTCAGTGAGAAATGATGAGCCAGTACTGCTTCATAACATCCATCTCTTCCCTATTTTCCAGGGATGTCCCTGATTTAGAGAATGTCCTGGTTTTCCTTGGGATGTTCCTATTTTCACTGGAGAAATGTTGGAGGGTATGGAGTTATCCAACCCCAGAACCATCTAAAGGCAATCCTGTATAGAGAAGTTAAAAAGTTTTATGTTTTATTATGTTTTTATTTTTGTTGGAAGCTGCCCAGACTGGCTGGGGCAACTCAGTCACATCTGTGGGGTATAAATAGTAAAATAGTCCTCTATCGTCCCCATCTCCTTGTGCCCTCCATCTTTCCCAACATCAGGGTCTTTTCCAGGGAGTCTTCTCTTCTCATGAGCTGGCCAAAGTATTGGAGCCTCAGCTTCAGGATCTGTCCTTCCAGTGGGCACTCAGGGCTGATTTCCTTAAGAATGGATAGGTTTGATCTCCTTGCAGTCCATGGGACTCTCAAGAGTCTCCTCCAGCACCATATTTCAAAAGCATCAATTCTTCGGTGATCAGCCTTCTTTATGGTCCAGCTCTCACTTCCATACATCACTACTGGGAAAACCATGGCTTTCACTATACAGACCTTTGTTGGCAAGGTGATGTCTCTGCTTTTTAAGATGCTGTCTAGCTTTGTCACTGCTTTTCTCCCAAGAAGCAGGCGTCTTTTAATTTCGTGGCTGCTGTCACCATGTGCAGTGATCATGGAGCCCAAGAAAGTAAAATCTCTCACTGCCTCCATTTCTTCCCCTTCTATTTGCCAGGAGGTGATGGGCCCAGTAGCCATGATCTTGGTTTTTTTGATGTTGCGCTTCAGACCATATTTTGCGCTCTCCTCTTTCACCCTCATTAAAAGGTTATTTAATTCCTCCTCACTTTCTGCCATCAAGGTTGTGTCATCTGCCTATCTGAGGTTGTTGATATTTCTTCCGCAATCTTAATTCCGTCTTGGGATTTATCCAGCCCAGCCTTTTGCATGATGAATTCTGCATATAAGTTAAATAAGCAGGGAGACAATATACAGCCTTGTCGTACTCCTTTCCCAATTTTGAACCAATCAGTTGTTCCATATCCAGTTCTAACTGTAGCTTCTTGTCCCACATAGAGATTTCTCAGGAGACAGATGAGGTGATCAGGCACTCCCATTTCTTTAAGAACTTGCCATAGTTTGCTGTGGTCGACACAGTCAAAGGCTTTTGCATAGTCAATGAAGCAGAAGCAGATGTTTTTCTGCAACTCTCTAGCTTTCTCCATAATCCAGCGCATGTTTGCAATTTTGTCTCTGGTTCCTTTGCCTGCACCCAACTTGGATTCCCCGGTACAAGGTTTAAAAATGATTCAGAATGCTGATAAACAGGAAAGGTGATTTGTGGAAAGTGAGCATGGGTTGGGGATTTTAGTTAGTGCTATTTCTCTGTTTTTAATAACTGAAAAAGTATTTAAACTAAAAAAAAAAAAAGGATCCTCCCACTGGGACTCAAACCCAGTTTGGGGTGATGATGAGGGTGCCAAATCCTAACCACTAAACCACCAGGTAGTACGACAGGATCTGTCTGCAGACAGGTTTCTTTCTTAGCACATCACTCAGTGTGACCCAATGTGCATTGCAGGGGGTTGGACTAGATGACCCTTGGGGTACCTTCCAACTCTACAGTTCTATGATTCTGTGACCCATTGAAAAGGAGCCAAAGTCAGGCTAGTGCTCCTTCTTCCTGGCAAAAGGATTCCCTGACCGGGAATTGAACCCGGGCCGTGGCGGTGAAAGCGCCAAATCCTGACCACTAGACCATCAGGGACAGCTGAAAGTAGCACCACCTTCCTGACTTTTCATTCCTTCACTCAATGGGCTTTGTTTGTTTGTTTGTTTGTTTGTTTGTTTTAAAGACAGTTTTGCTCTGTCCAGGCACATGGGCTTATCTGAGACACCAACACACATCCTCTCCCACCCAAAGCACCACTCCTGTCCTTGAATTCACAAGATAAAACACTCGGAGCTCTTGCTCAGAAACATAGCCATCAACTTTTCCCTTTTCTTGCAAGGAATCCTATTCGGAATAAGGGAATTTCCCTTAAAAAAAGGGAAACGTTGACAGCTATGCTCAGAAAACAGAGGGGGCACACACCCTTTGCAAAAACAAAGAGATCTGCAAGCTGCCTTCTCTGAGGCTTGAACTCAGGACCTTCAGATTATGAGACTGACGCGCTGCCTACTGCGCTAAGAAGGCTGCACAGAAATACGCCTGAGCACATTTTCAACAGAAACCCATGTCAGGTGTGGCCACAAGACAAAACCTCTGCAAGAGCATTACCTCCATAAGGGGAGAGGAAACACTTTCCCTTGCAGCATTTGGGGACTTTACAACGCACAGAAGAGGCTGGTCAGAGAGGTGGCATGCTAGATTATAAAATTATGCATGGCATGGAGAAAGTGGAGGGAGAAAAGTTCTCTCATAACCCCAGAACTCGTGAGCATGCAGTGAAGCTGAAATTTGAAAGATTCAGGGCAAGAAAAAAAAGTATTTCTTCACGCACCACATTTAAAACAATGGAACTCATTCCCGCAGGAAGCAGTGATAGCCACTGAACTGGATAGCTTTAAAGAAGGATTACAATAATTCAGGGTGGACTATCGAAGGCTAGTAGACCATTGTGAGAAGAGGATGCTAGACTAGGTGGGTCATTGGCCTGATCCCGGAGGGTTCTCCTTATGTTTTTATGCTCCCTGTTTGGAAATCTATCCCCTGCCAGTGTGGTGAGACTTGCCAAATCACTTGACCAGCCAGGTCTGGACCAGGGTGTTGCCATTCCACTTCTTGATGGGCCTGTTATCTAAATTCAAGGGCTCATCTAGGCTTCCATTGGCGCCCGGCGAGACAGCAGCACACATTAATGACAACTAACAGTTCTGTGTCCAGCAAACAATGTAGTACTTCTTTGGAAAGAAAATCACCTCCTCACTAGCTGGGCGAGTAGTGATGGGGTATCATATGAAGTCGCCAGTCCTGTGACCTGGGTTCGTGCATGCCTTCCTCTCTTTTTCGCCCCTTGAAGAGGTGGGGGCAGCACAGCTATCCAAAGGTTTTGATGCCAGGACGCCTGGCCACTGAGGAAAAGGTCCAGCCACCTCATCTTGCAACTTGGGAGTCTTGTTTCTGGGAGAAACTAGAATGGTGCTTGCTTTTACCCTGGGCAGCCAAAGTAGCTCAGCTGGGAGAGCGTTAGACTGAAGATCTAAAGGTCCCTGGTTCAACCCCGGGCTTTGGCAAAGCTTTACGGGCCGCGTTCCTTTTGCATAGTCCGTTCACTCCCTTTGGTGGGCATTACCCCAAAGGACGCTCCTCTTGCTATGTGGAAAACTGCGGGAAAAGGGAGCTCTCCTTTGAGCCTGGGATGGTGGCATGCTGATCTGTTGTGCTTTGTTCACATGGGCCATTCTATACAAGATCTCAAAGTAGCTGTCTTATTACAAAAGAATTTCAGAAATAGACTAGAAAGAGAAGTTGCTGAATTGCAACTTATTACCAAACTTAAAACCATGGAGAGATCTGGTCTGAGTAGAGACATTGGATTCTTATCTCATTATACATGATAAAGCTATTTTTAGCCATCTCACCCCTTGCTTTTTCCTGTAAGACCAATTGCAGTTGTTAACAGTCGTCAACAGGTTTACCACACCCATTCCCACCACCCTTCTGAGTAATACCCCTCCCCCCCTCACTATATATAAGGGTCTGGTGACTTCTGTTTCAGTGTATCTGAAGAAGTCTGCATGCACACGAAAGCTCATACCAATAACAAACTTAGTTGGTCTCTAAGGTGCTACTGAACCCTGAGTGCTCACTGGAAGGACAGATCCTGAAGCTGAGACTCCAATACTTTGGCCACCTCATGAGAAGAGAAGACTCCCTGGAAAAGACCCTGATGCTGGGAAAGATGGAGGGCACAAGGAGAAGGAGACGACAGAGGATGAGATGGTTGGATAGTGTTCTCGAAGCTACCAGCATGAGTCTGACCAAACTGTGGGAGGCAGTGGAAGACAGGAGTGCCTGGCGTGCTCTGGTCCATGGGGTCACGAAGAGTCTGACATGACTAAATGACTAAACAACAACAACAAGGTGCTACTGGAATGAATTTTTTTGTTTTTCCACTCAATCAAGATCCACAACTCACCACCCGTGTCATCCAGAGTCTTCCCTTTCCCACTCTCAGAAAACACAGCTGAATACAGTGGTACCTTGGTTCTCAAACTTAATCTGTTCTAGAAGTCCATTCCAAAACTAAGGCGCACTTTCCCATAGAAAGTAATGCAAAATGGATTAATCCGTTCCCGACTTTTAAAAACAACCCCTAAAACAGCAATTTAACATGAATTTTACTATCTAACGAGACCACTGATCCACAAAATGAAAGCAATAAACAATGTACTGCAGTCACACAATCAATCAGTAGCTGAACTGGGTTCCACACAGTCAGAAAAACAAAACAAAAAAACCTGCAAAAACAAAAACGCAAAATAAATAGCAAAAACAGACAAACCTCAGCGTAACACTCAAAACAGAAGTGTTACATTCAAAACAGAGCATGTTCAGCTTCTGAAAAAAGTTCGCAAACCGGAACATTTACTTCCAGGTTTGCAGTGTTCGAGTTCAAAGTTGTTACCAAGGTATTTGAGAACCAAGGTACCACTGTACACTCTTGGCAAAAGTGAGAGAGCTGCAAGTTGCCTTCTCTGTGGCTCAAGGAGGGGGCAGACATTGGTGTCTCCTTCCCATTGCGGATAGGGGGCAGTGGGTAGGGCAGCTCATGACAGGTCTGGTCAGAGGAGGAACAGCGAACACATTTTGGTTTTGACTCTGCCCTCCTTTCTTGCAAAGATACACACCACACTATGGTCACTGATCTTTGCACTGTGGCAAGACATTCTCCTTGGGAGAACACAGAAAATGCAGTCTTCAGGAACAGTTCATTCATCTTAGAAAGCCCAATGCAATGCAAGTTTACTTGCAGGTAAGCCCTGGAGATTTAACCACTGTCATTTTCTTGTGGATCAGGGTACAGTGGTATCTCAGGTTACATACGCTTCAGGTTACAGACGCCACTAACCCAGAAATAGTGCTTCAGATTAAGAACTTTGCCTCAGGATGAGAACAGAAATCATGCAGCGGCGGTGCAGCGGCAGCAGGAGGCCCCATTAGCTAAAGTGGTGCTTCAGGTTAAGAACAGTTTCAGGTTAAGTACGGACCTCCAGAACTTAACCTGAGGCACCACTGTACTGGCATCCCCTCTTGCCCCTTCTGAGCCTCGTTTCACAGATGGTCGGGTTGCACTTGTTCCCCCCAAGAAGCTGAATTATGTCAGCTGGGAGAACATTAGACTGAAGATCTCAAGGTCCCTGGTTCAGTCCTGGGCTTGGGCAAGACCTGCGAGTCAAGATCCTTTTGCCAAGTTGCCTCTCTTTGGCTGGCAATACCAAAAAGGACATTTCCCTTGCTGCAAGGACCCCTGGACCCATGAAGTCCCAGCAAAAAAAGGAACCCACTTTAAAGCTGGCGTTGGATGCCTTGCACTGCACCTGACAGATTTCCATTATCCCAGTGGAATTATCGAAGGGCATCATGTTTCTGGCACTGACCCTCTCAGCTTCAGGAACAGAAAATAGTTGTGAGAATTAAAATGATAGGTATTAGCAGCCTGGGAGAAAAAATAAACCCACCTGATGCTGAAAAGACCCTATTTGGCGGATCATAATGTATTTGGGGTGGGGCTGAGGAATACAAAGTCCCATGCGAAATATATAGGGCAGTCACAGCCTTCCGGAAACTGCTGGACTGCAACTCTCATCAACTCTGATCCCTGGCCATGCTGGATGGGGCAGATGGGAGTTGGAGTCCGGCATCATCCAGAGGACGCCATGTTTGCTACCCCAACAGACAGAGCCCGACTTGTTAAATAAGGAATGTTAATGCAGCAACCCTAAACACATTTAACTGGGCAAAAGCCCCACTGAATTAAACAAGTAAGTGTCAAGATAGAAAAGCTGTATTTGCAGAGGGGGGTTTGAAGTTTGTGCCCTATTCAAGTTATTTGTGTTTTCTTCCTGTCTGAGTTCTCCAGAGCAAGGAGCTTTCCTGCCTGACGTGGGTGAAGGGGTTGATTTCTAGAAATCTATTAATTCAGTAATGTGCACATTTGAATAGCTGCGGAAGGTGTTGTGAGGAGAGGAAGGTGGAGAAATGAAACCAGGATTGAAGGTGATGGAGGCTGAACCTTTTTGAGGAAAAGTTTATTTATTCAGAATGGTCAAGTGTTACTGTTTCCTTAAGAACTCACCTGCAGAATAAATTCTGGAAAGGGAAAGGGAAAAGAAAAACACAACAAACAACAACAACAATTTATTGACTATTTTGTTATTTCTGCTTATTTCAACTGGAATGAATCCTCAAGTGCCCTTGAGAGGCAAATACTGTTGTTGTTTTAATGAGTCATTCTGGTCCAGAGAGAAACTCTTGCTGGGCCTGTGAGGCGGATTCCATCTCCTCAGGAGATCCTGAAGTGGGTTTTATCTCCTGACAGGTGAAAGAAAGGAAGGATGGTATCTCCAGAGAATAAGGCTCCTGAGAACGTGTAGAGTTCGGTTCCTGAGTCAGCGTCAGAAAAAGACACCTCCTCCCCTTCATAGTCCAGAGTCACTCGGATCCTCTTGGGCTCCCAAAAGAGGGACAGAGGAAGGTAATCAGGGGGGTCAAACGCCATGTACTCACCTCCCGACTTCCCCACAGCCCAGATCCCTCCCTCAGAACTTAAGGCAAAGTCACCCTTCCTCTCTGCAGACTTCCTAGTGACCCCCACAGTCCAATAGACCCACTTTCCCTCACTTTCCACAGTGACTTCCCAGAAATGGCAGCCTGCTGTGAATCCTTCATGTCCCAACACAGAAGTACGGTTGTTGAATCTCTCTGGATTATCGGGCAGGTCTTGCTCTTTGTCTCCGTATCTCACGCTTTTCCGATCCTCGGACAGGATGAGCCTGGGATGGGCTGTGTCTGGATCCAGAGTGACATTTGCTGTTGTGGGGGGAGGATGAGGGAAAGAGAAGAGAGGCAGAATCAGCCGAGAGTCAGAGACAGACATCCTGATCCGAAAAACACCCCAGGAACCAGATTCCCTCTAAAAAAAGGGAGTTCTTTGCCTCACATCTAAGATTAGGAGTCTTCCAGAATAAATACATTCCTTTTGGATTTTGAATCAGTTTTGTTCCTCTTTTTATAGTCAACGCATTTATATTGTTCCCCTCTTTTCAATCCATCTATCTTCCAAGAAGCAAAATCACCCAGGAAACATTATCCTATGCCAGGCTTCCACAGCCTCGGCCTTCCATGTTTTTTGGCCTACAACTCCCATGATCCCTAGCTAGCAGGACCAGTGGTCAGGGAAGATGGGAATTGTAGTCTGAAAACATCTGGAGAGCCGAGGTTGAGGAAGCCTGTCCTATGCCCTTTTAAAAATGTTTTTGTTTTTGAGGGGGGGCTATTGGGTTGTTGTTTTTATTATTATTATGTATTTTGTGGTTTTATATCTTTATTTTATTCTGTGAACTGCCCTGAGACCCTTGGGTGTAGGGCAGTATATAAATTCAATAAATAATAAGAATAAGAATATTCAGCTCTTCTATATTAGTGAAGGGGATAGTGGCCAGTAGATGGAAACTATCCTCCTTTGACACTCTCTGGGTGAATTAGCCATTTGGAGCTCCCATGGGGTGTTGAATGAGGGCACCCCAGTTCAGATCAGCAGAGGACAGCTATTGACCCCTTAATAACCTCATTTATAGTTGGGAAGAGTGTCAGTGCAGACTAATCAGCCAATTTTAGCTCAGCTGGAGGTAAGACTAATGCTGCTTCAGGGGTAACATTTCATTGAGGAAAACAAAGTTGGGCAACCTAGCAGATACCCTTGAATTGCAAAACTTTTCGTAGAAGCGTTGTACCACTAACATGCAAATTTGCCTTCCTAGTGCATGCTAAAAGCACTTTAAATAATGTATTGTCTTTTGCACTTTTCATTGTAAAACTGGTTCATTGTCCTGAAAACACACCTGCTTTTGTATATTTAAATCAGGACATTGGGGAAAAGTTGGCTACGGTGGGATACCTATTGAACTAGAGCTAATACCATCCCACTCACAAGCCCCACGGCTGGAATATTTTTTTCTTTAAAAAAATATGAGGCAAAAAAATGAAAGAGAGCACTGTCCCTCCACAGTGAAGCATCTCTTCCCAAAGTTGCTCTGGAAGCAGAAGGATGCTTAGGGTGGGCTGTTTCTTTCTGGCCCCTTCCCACTAAGACCAACTCCTCCTCCCTGACCTGACCTTGCTGAGCCATTTCAGACCACAGATTTCTCCCTCCCAAATCAGCCATTAGCATCTGTCTTCTTGGAACTGCTTTTTAAGCTTCCAGAAGATGAAGCCCCTCTTGGTCTCTTAACAAGGCCGGGGGTGCGGACAGTGCTGGGTCTGGTCAGCAAAACAGATCTCCCTGTGGGCTAAATTTGCTAGGTGGGGGCTATTGACAAGGCTGCCTCCGATTCTCAGGTGATGGAAGCCAGAAACTGGAGAGAGCCACTGCCTTCCTGTCCTGCTTAGGGGCTTCCTGGTGGCATCGGTTTGGCTCCTGCTGGAAAGAGGATTTTGGATGAGATGGACTCTTGGTCTGACACAGCTGTGAAGTGCTTTGGTCACATAAAGCAAACAAACTATCTCTAGGCAGGAAGAGAACTTAGTCATATACATCTGGGCAGTTTCTTTGGAGGGGAAGCCCTCTCCCCATCCTGTCTACACCTTCAATCCCAGCCTCTCTGCCTTTGTTGTACATAGGGAAAACCCAAACAGCAGGGCCAGAGTCAAACTATGAATGGTTCTTAACTCTGCAGCACAGACCCCATGAAAGACCAGCGCCAACCCCTTCTGTGAATTTAGGCCTCCATGTGAAACTTACCTCTCTGAAGATTTCTGAGTAATGGATCATCTGAGGAAGCAAAAAGATATGATGTTTAATCTTGTTACGAAAGGATTACATCATATCCTAGCACCTGTTGTTTTCTTATTTCAAGCAGAAGATTAAATCAGAGAACAAATAACTGCAAACAAGAAACGGTATGACTAAGAAATTAAAGACACTAACATGATGAGCTAGATGACCCTTAGAAACCTTTAAAACTCTAATATTCTATGCTTCTATGTGAAAACCAGAAATGGTACTTCATACTAGAAAATCGCAAAATAAAATCAATTTGAATTCATGAATGAAATAGAGATCTATACTGGAAGACTGGAAGGCCAGAAGTGCCATTTCCATCTTTTAAAAAGATCCAAAAGAAAGCTGAAGGAAGGTTAAGATCTGACCCAAGTATAAACAGGTGGGAAATAGCTACTGAAGCTGGCATTTTCAAGCATGATGACAAACCAAATTCCACAGGAAGAATTGGCAGTGCTTAAAAATGTAATTCCAAGGGTCTTATGCAATGGGAAGCCCTCCTTCATAGAATGGGGTCGATCTCATAAGAAGTGTGAGTCCTTTAAGACTCTTGAAAGGTATTGTAAGTCTCTGAAGTCCCCCCCCCCCATCAAGTGATATGTAAATTTTATGAAATAGATAAAAATAAAAGTAAAAAATCTAGTGGAAAACCAGTGAAATGACAGGCAGGAATGGGACTCTTCCATTATAGTCCCAGACTGATGTGCAGGTTCTTCACAGGGACAAGCTCTGCCCCCAATCCAAGCCTTCAACCTCCCTCCCAGTTCATTCATGAGACATAAAAAGAACCCAAACACCACTAGAGGACTGTTACCCAGAGTTACGCCATTGGGGGTCCCAAAGTCTGCAGAACAGACGGTTCAACAGCCATAAAATATCAGTCCCCATCCCTCCTGTGAAACTGTTTTCCCCATGAAATTTACCTTCCTGAAGCTGTTCTTTGAGCAACAGAGCATCTGAGGAAGCAAAAAGATATAGTGTAAGGGCAACACTCTTCCACCTGAAATAAATCTCCATACAAAAGTAACGCTTCATAACGCAGCATCTTCAAATTCAAGAAAAAGATAAAGAAGTAGAAAAAATAATTATAAACAAGAAAATCATAGGAAGAATCTATGAAAACCACGAAAGCTTTAAAACTCCATAATCGTAAAGCAAGCTTACAAATATCAGAATAAAAATATTCAGCATAAATCCTGATATTCTCTGAGTTTTGTCACTATAATTGGTGTCTAGTAGAGGGTTGGAGAGGAGGCAACACAATAGGAATCCTGTAAAAGGATGCAGAGGGGAGATGGAGGCAGCCTTAACATCTTCCCCAAGTAAAGTGGTGGGGGAAATTATTAAAACTAAAATTGTGAAACGTAAGGAGAAGCAAAGGCCGATGAGGAAGGATTGGCAGAGATCTCAGGCAAAAGGAAACCCTTCCTCACAAACCCTCTACAAATCTTTAAGGTTGTTGACTTCCGGGTTGGTGCCTCCGGCAATGGCGGAATTCCTCTGATCGGGAGGAATTTGCCCTGTGGGAATTTGGGTCTGTACCGCCACGGCGAAGGTGGAGACCCGTAAAAATCACAGGCGGGAGAAGCCTGTGAACATGGGATTCGGCGGGCACCTTTTGCGCCTCCCCTACTCGCGGGGAAACCCGGTTTCGGGGATCCGGAGCTATGTGGGGTGAGTGGCGCGGTGCTTCGAATCGTCTGCTTCTTCCACGGAGCGAAGCCGCACAGCTGTTGTCGGAGATCACTGACTTTTTCCTGTGGACAATTTGATTCTAAAGTAATTACCCGTGAGTAGAACTGAATCGGAAAGAATTGGATCTTTAAATGTTTAATCTGGCATCGAAACGGGGAGGTTCAATACAGGAAGTCCGCCTCCCTCTTTTGTAGATTAACTGAAGCAAGGAGACTGCAAGCTAAAGTCTTGGAAAGCCTTCTGTAAAGGACTAAAGTTCCATCGGTAAAGTACTAATCCCCCCTTTTTTGGAGGCAGGGGAAGAGGGGGGGAAGTGGTGGACTGAATATGCCTGCAGGAGAGAGTTAAGAGAGTTAAAATACCGCCGCTCTGATCCTGGAAACGGGCTGCTAGCAGGATTGATGTTTTTTGGAACGTCCATTGACAGCGTTTAGAACGTTTACTGACAGGTAGCTAATCAAGAGAATACATTGTTTCTACTGTCTCCGGTTGTTTTTAGAAAAGGAGGAAAGTAACTGAAAATTGAAACTAACTTTGGATTATTGAAACTGTGTTTAAAAGAGGACATACTGACCGATACAAATACAAACTGTTTTCCCCTAGTGGAAGCTTTTGAAATTGGTAACTTTGTAGGAGCTGGGCTAGGGGAATTTCCAGCTGCAAGATAAAAAAAGTGTGAGACTTTGGAATTGACCTTGAATTTCTTAAGTGTTATGGCAAACGGAAAGGAAAAAACAGACGGGATGTCGACAGAGGAGGCCTTAGTGGCTGCATTATTGAAAATAAACGACTCGCTGGAACAACTCCACAAGAAAACAGATGCGATAAATGTGAAATTGGATGCTGCAAATACTGAAATTGATTTAAGTGTAGAAAGTTTAAATAACTTGGGACAAAAGGTGAATATCAATTCAGAAACCACCCAGAAACTGACACAGGAATCTACTCTGATACGGCAAACTGCAGATGAAGTAAGGCAAAAAACCCTTGCTGCTGAATCCAAAGTAATACAACTGGAGAGGAGAGTCCCATCCATACAAAGACAACTTGACGAGCATAAGTTGACATTCGTTATGATTGAACTTAAAGAAGAACGGATGAATTTGAGGACCAGAGCCCTATCTGAATTGGAAAAGGAAAGCTTGACAGAGTTTCAGGAGGTGACAGGACTAACACTGGTTGAGAAAGAGAGGTATTTGGGGGTTAGTATGACTGCCAAAAATGTGAATCTGATTAAGGATAACTGTGAAGGATGTTGGATTGAAGAGAAGGGGGATTTGGAAATATGGACAAATCAGAAGTTGTTACTGTTGGGCCGAGCTATTGTGGGGGGGATGAGGGCTGTTGTGCTGCTGGGGATGTTGCTTTTGTTTCAAACATTGCAAGCTTTGGATGGGACGGAGGGTTTTAGGAGGTGGAAGAGGGATGCTCCTAGAGTTGTTTGGCAGGGCAGGAAGCCTTGAGTAAAACTTAAGATATTGATGGATGCCAAAGAAGGAGGTGGACCTGCCCTGCCAGACCTTTAAACTTCGTTGTGAACTATCTGCTTTTTGCTGGTTGAGAGAATGGTTGCTTTTTGAAAACACTCAAGTGTTGGTCAATGGCAGATGAAGTTGATGGACTATATGGAATTGACGGAAATGACTGGCAAGATCCGGGACCAGGGTGAAGAGTCGGTGGAAGAAGATTGGAAAAAGTTTAAAGACTATTTATAGAAATATTGTAAAATGAAGGAATTTTAGAAAAATGTTGGAATGAAATTACATGGCTTTAGTTGAAATGTTATAAAGATTTAAGTATAAATAGATTAATAGAAAATTAAAGGAAAAGTATGGTAAGAATGTGTTAAGATAATTATAGAACAGAAAACAGAGTAAGATGGAAAGGAATTGCTGAAACAAATATTAGAAATGGAATACAAAAAGGGAGGGGTGAGGAGGTCGCTGGAAATAAGTGAGTGAAATATAAGATATTGAAAATGTTTGAGGTATTTTTAAATTGTTTTTGTTTGTTTTGTTAGTCCATGTAGCGTTTTTGTATTGTATTTGTACTGTTTTTTCTCTCTTTTCTTTTTTTCTTTTTTCTTTCCCTTTTCTTTTTTTGTTTGTAGTGTTGTGTTGAAAATGCTGAAAAACTAATAAATATCATTAAAAAAAAAAATACAAATCTTTAAGGTTCTTCACAAGCATAATTGTGCCCTTTGGGGCTCATGTGCTCTTGCTTCCTCTCTCAATGGGGGAACTCTCAGGAGATCTTGAAGGCCGAAGCCCTAGATATGGCAGCTGCAGGGGGACATCTGAGGAGGAGACGGCTCAGGCCTTGGCTCCACGGCTGAGAAACAAGCCTGAGCAGGAGGCAGAGGGGGAACTGGGGGCTTCTTAATGCCCTTTGACTCCATTCAGAGCAGGAGAACCTCCAAAAGGACAAACTCAGATTGTGTAGATGGGGAACCAAAAGGAAAAAAGGAGGGTCCATATAACTGTAAACAGAGGCACACTGCAGGAAAAAACCCTGACTTTGCTCTATTTTTCAGGCTTTCTTTACAGGATCCAGAGTGATAATATACACGGGGGAAAGGAAATGATGGCTGGAGCACCAAGAAGGAAACTATCCTGGTGGTACCCTGTCTGCAGCAGGAATGAAATTCAACGCAACAAGAGCCTGGCATGTTCAGTTCTGAACTAATATAACGCCCAGTATAAAATCCTTGCAGGCAGTTTTCATTACCTTCAAATTGTTCCATGACATCCTCCACAAGGATATTTATATCACAAAATTCCGAGATCCTCTTCTTCAGCTCTGGAAAGAAAGCCAGTGGATTCTCTTGACTCTCCCTTTCCCCATACCTGGTGAAAAGAAAAACACTGTTAGCCTGTTCAAATCCACAATTCCTAGTACATGAAAAAGATGGAATGGAGGAAGAGAATTGCAGAAAGCTCAGAGGGACAGGAAGGCACAGAGGGGAAAGATTATTCCTCACTATAAACTCCACAGCCAGACATCACAGGGCCAGAACAGCACCCCAGGCCTCTGAGTCTCCCCACTGATGTCTATTCAAAGAACAAGAAATGAATATAATGTGCAGGAGGCAGAGAAGAGCCTCCAGACCTGCGTGAGGTGATGGGGGGGGGGGGGAGAAGGCATAACTCTGATTCTTACAATGAGAATTGGGGGGCTACAAGTTCCGAAGAGGGGGCCCTGCTTTTACCTGTGAGATGCTGCATGGAGTGAGTCCTACAATCTCCCCCCTTCAGCCCCTGGAGGGCCATGTCTGAGGTTCTGGCATCCCAGCCTCATGGAGTGATACTAATGGAAATGAGCCAGATAGACTTACCTCTCCAAGGTGCCTCTCATATCCTAGAGGGGAAAAGAGAAGGGAATTCACTGAACACCACAGGCCACACTAGGAAGACCCCCTCAGACCCTGGAGTGGAGGAACAGCCTGGCCCTTGGATGTCAGTCTGCCTGGCACATGACAAAATTTTGAGTAGAGATCAGCCAATTTTGCTTTCTCTCAGTTTTCATTTTTCCAATGTTAAGTTCTTAAGTTACCCAGTCTTAAGTTCTTGAGGACAGAAATTGTTTTTTTTTTCCTCCCGGAGGAAATAGAAATAAATAGACATGATGACAAGGCCTTAGTTGAGTCAAGACAACATACCAGTGTGAAGGCGCTGCAAGATTTATTACTTCATATGAGGACAGTGGTACCTCGGGTTAAGAACTTAATTTGTTCCGGAGGTCCGTTCTTAACCTGAAACTGTTCTTAACCTGAGGTACCACTTTAGCCAATGGGGCATCCTGCTGCTGGAGCACGATTTCTGTTCTCATCCTGAAGCAAAGTTCTTAAGCCAAGGTAATATTTCTGGGTTAGCGGAATCTGTAACCTGAAGCGTCTGGGTGGCCTTTGCGAGCATCTCTGTACTCTAGGCATCTCACATGAGTCCCTAAAACAATGGCGGTTGTCGCTTGTCTGCCTCTAGGTGAGAGAGGGTGGGGCGAGAGGAAAGGACAATCTCAATGCCTAAAACCTGGGGTGTCAAATAAAGAAACTGCACTTAATGCTAAAGCTCACTTCTCGTTTGCTCAATTTTATTTTTTCCTTTGATCCAAGGCAGCCAAAGCAGCCTCTGGGAAGCCCAACACAGGCCATGAAGGCAGCAGGGCCATGCTAGAAGGCATTAGGAGACCATTATTTTCTGCAAAGAGCAGAAAACCACATCCAGTTCCATCCACCACAGAAGAATCTCTAGTCTGCATTCAGGTGAGAAAATCATCCCAGCTCTCCATATACTGAGCCCCATACTATTTGTATAGATGAATGAGGCACATAAAAGTTTGCCAGCACCCTTTTCCAGGCGTGAAGCCTTGTGCTGCTCCTGCCACCATCTTACCTGCAGGAGTTCATTCGCTGGCTTCTGGCGCTTCTCCTCCAACTCCTGGATGCTCCTTTCAAGAGAGGAGAGTTCGCTGGAGAATCGGGCCAGCTGCTCATCCCTTTCCCTTGCAATCTGCTCCTCTACGTCTTCTATCTCATTCAACAGGTGTTTTTCTTGTTCCTCCAGGAACTGGCGCAGTTGCCTGAGCTTCTCCACTGTCTTCTGCCTCTCCGTTTCTGTCAATTTCTGCAAGAAGCAGGAAGAAATAGGAAAAGAGGAGTCTGGAGTCTGGAATGCGTATTTACAACATCAGAAGGAGAGACAAGAGAATTCCACAGGGAGGCCATGTTTGATTTTTCATAGACATAAAACCAACCCCTAGCAGCTAAAGAAGGCCTCTTCTTCAGACATTAAAGTAAAAATTGGAGGGTGGCAGGAGGTTGAAGGGATGAACACACGCTCTCTACCCTCTCCACTGCCATTTCTATTGCCTTCCATTTTGTTTATGGCCACAGCATAAAGCAAGAGCCTTGTCATGATGTGGAAAAATGAGAAACAGGGAGAGGATGAAATGGGCAGATTTCCCATCCCTCCTCAGTCCTGACTTGATTCTTCAAGTAGTTGTTCCCTCCCTAATAATCACAGTGATACTTACAAGGAGGGCTTGGCTTTCCTTTTCCAGGTCCACTTGATAGGCCAGAATTTTCTCTCTCTCTTTCCTCAGGATCTGCAGGCGGCTGCTGATCAGTCCCTAAAGAGGAAAGAAAAAACTCAGGCTAGACAGGGAGAGATGGAGCGATAAATTGACTATTACCCTGACTTCTAGTATGCAGTGGCCCCGCTCTTAATAGTTTCTCTCCCTCTTCTGTTTCATTAATACTTTTAATTAAGCAGATTTAATATGCAACAGTTAATGCTTGTATTTTTTATGCTTTAATTAAATGATTATAGACAAACTGCAAAAGTTTAGAGAAAAACCATAAAAGATTTATTGAGGTGCGGACATTTTTAGCAGGCTTTGCCAATCTCGCTACCCTCCAGAAGTTTTGTTAAGGGAACTTTTTAATGTTCGATGTTTTAATGTGCTAATAATAATAATAATAATAATAATAATAATAATTTATATCCTGCCCTCCCCAGCCGAAGCCAGGCTCAGAGCGGCTAACAACAGTAAAATAATACAGCATTCTAAAATCAATTCATTATAAAATCAGTTCAAATCAAATTAATGGCAACCATTGGGCTAGAGTTCTCTGAGGATTACCAAAGGAGGGGGTCAGGCTGTGCCTTGGCCAAAGGCCTGGTGGAAGAGCTGTATCTTGCAGGCCCTGCGGAAAGATGTCAAGTCCTGCAGGGCCCTAGTCTCTTGTGACAGAGCGTTCCACCAGATCGGAGGCACAGCTGGCTCTGGTCAAGGCCAGCCTAACCTCCCTGTGGCCCAGGACCTCCAAGATGTTTTTGTCTGAAGACTGTTGGGAGTCACCCAGAGTGGCTGGGGAAATAAGAATAACAAATTATTACTATTTTGTTAATTTATATTAGCGTAAAATAAAAAATACAAACGATCAAAAATATTCAAAGTCACAAAACATAGTGGTTATATCTTCTGCATAAACAATAGACTATGTAGAAAAATGAAAGCTGCCAGGGCTGTCCCAATACATTTCATTGCCTGAGGGTAACCATTAAAAATAGTACCCCTCACCATGTTTCACTCATACAAAAAGCAAGTGCTGTATTTGCCTAGCTGGGATGTAGAGAGGCCTTTTTTGAGCCCTTTGAAGCCTGGGAGGTTTTGGCAGACAGAGATGCCGAGTGCCATCCACAAACGTGGCTACTTTATGGCTCCCCTCCAACTTCCCAGGGTGTCTGAGTGAGGGGAACTGTGTTGTCCCTCTCCCTGCAAAAAAACAATAATGGGGGAGGCTGGGTGACCAGACATCAAAAGTGTTCCACCTCGATGCAAACCTGTCACCTTCTGCCAGCTCCCCCCACCCCACAGGCCCCTAGTGGAGATGCAGCCCTGGGAGTTGGAAAGGACCCAAAGGTCATCTAGTCCTAGCCTGCAATGCAAGAAGCACAGGTAAGATTTGTAGATTTACCGCAGCATGCAATTTTTGGCTACTATGTGATGCAACCATCCTCATAGACAAGTCTTATCAGCATCATCATTGCTATCATTTTATTATCCCAAAGGGGTAGCAGTGTTGCACTAGTTTTAATGTTTAATAGGTTATTGTATTTTAGTGTTCTGTTGGAAGCCGCCCAGAGTGGCTGGGGAATAAATTATAAATTATTATTATCATTATTATTATTAGGCAGAAAACAACAATGAGAAAGTCCCAGGACTTCAAAAGCTTACTATAGGTGCTGCAATGTGTGTTGATAAAATTTCAAACCCTTAAAAGGAAGGGAATCAATTTATGTGTTTAAGGGTACTAGTCCATCCTTACTCAGGAGCAAGCTCCACTGAACAACCAGCAAGCAAATTGCATCCAGACAATTCATGTCATGCCTTGTTCAGACGTGTGAGCCACAGAAAACCACATAGAAGTATCCACAGCTATTTCCTCCCCCGCTCAAGATCCCGCGTGGTTTCCTACCTTGCACTCCTCGTAAGCCTCCTCCAGAGGAATCACCTTGTGATTTTCATGTGCCTTGGATTTGCCACACACCACACAGATGGGGGCTTCGTCCTCCTTGCAGAAGAGCTTCAGAGGCTTCCGGTGCTCCTTGCAGACTTTCCCTTTCCCTCCTTCCTCCTTTCCCTCTTGGAGGCTGAGCTTCTTGATTAATTCCACAAAGTTTACCAGCTGCCGGTTGGGGATGAGATTATTTCGCGGGACTGTTTTTCTGCATTGAGGGCAGGAAGCCTCTGCCTCCGATTCCCCCCAGCACTGAGCCAAGCAAGACCGGCAGAAGTTGTGCCCACACTCTGGGATGGTCACTGGATCCTTGAAGTAATCCCGGCAGATGGAGCAAGTGGCTTCATCACGGAGATCCTGGACGGGGCTTCCTGCCGCAGCAGCAGCAGCAGCAGCCATAGCTCCCTCGCGCCAATTTAAGAGTTAAAGGCCACTTCCTCCGATCTCACTTCCTGGGTTTTTCTGCAAATGACTCCGGAGTTTATTGCCCACGTGATTTATTCTCGCTCGTTTCCTCCTCGCTTTGCATTTCTTATGCAGTATATGCATGGCGGTGCATTGTCCTGAGAAGGCATTGTGTACGTACTTTTATAAATAAATGAAATAAAGGAAATCCTTGGCATCGTGCAGCAACAGCAGCCTCCGCTTCAAGAAAATCCACCTTCCGGAGGGCAGGGCTTTGTAGCAGCCCGAGATCCCTCCCCCACCTCCTGGATTGGACATCTTGATCCCCTGCTCAGCTCTGGGATCTGGTGGGGTTGGGCAGAGATTTTTCAGGGGCGGGGCTGCCCTTTCTCCCCTGCTTGGAATCAACTAGTTTGGGTGAACAAAGTTCCTTGAAATATTTCCAACAGCGTCTGTGAACTGCACCAGAAAGTACCTCCCATAAACGCTGGTGGAACTAGAGGTGAATTAAATTTGTTTTGGGTAAAATGCTTAGAGATTTTATTACCATCAGTCAAGCAGTACACAAATGTTGTTAAATAAAATAAGTAAATCAAGGACAGCCTGGACATATCAGTTGGCTAGACGGTGGTGCTGATTACGCCAAGGTTGCAGGTTCGATTCCCCTATGTGGGACAGCTGTGTGTTCCTGCATTGCAGGTGGTTGGGCATAGATCAGTGGTGTCCAGACTTTTTTCAAAGAGGGCCAGATTTGATGAAGTTAAATGAATAGGATCAAGAAGATCATGAGCATTACTTCAAAAATGCAGAAGAGCTGCAGCTCAGGGGAACAGCGTCTGCTTGGCATGGAAAAGTTTCCAGGTTCAATCCCTTGCATCTCCCATTTCGGACTGGGAAAGGTGTCAGTCTGAAATTCAGGAGAGCCACAGCCACTCAGTGTAGACACTGCAGAGCAAGATGTCCCTGCATCTAAAGCAGCAAGCCAGCACTATGACTCACACACACACACACAGACCAGTGCATGGCATCTCCAAGACTGACTTTCTGTTCCCCCAGTTCAGGGAGGCTGGAGCTGAGAGATGTGCTGTGTTTGAGAGGCCTGCCGCTTCCCAAATTGTTTTCCTGCTGCCTCAAAAAACCAGTTATTGTTGTTAATTCAAGAAAGTTCTCTGTCGAGGCTTCCTGTCCCAGGAGGGGACAAACAATCTGCCCACCCCCTGCTCTGGTGCCCATGATGGAGGCAGGCGGGCAGAGGCACATTATCTCCACAGATAATTCTCATAGCACTAGAACTCGTAGCCCCCAAACAAAGCTGAATGTTGGGAGATCCAGGACAGATCAAAGCATTGCATTGTGCAGCACATAATTAAACTATGGAACTCTCTGCCACTGGAGGCAGAGATGGCAACCAACGTAAAATCATGAAATTGCAAAGTTGGAAGGGACCACAAGGGTCACCTAGTCCAGATCTCTGCAATGGAGGAATCTTTTGCCCAACGTGGTGCTCAAGCCGGTGACCCTTAGATTAAGACGACTGTGTTCCACCCACCGAGCTGGGGAGAAGACAAGGGGACAAATTCACGGAGCACTAGGCTGTTAATGGCTCTTAAGCACAATGGCTCTGCTCTGCCTCCCCAGTCCAGAGGCAGCAGGCTTCTAAATCTCAGTGGCTGGAAGCTTCAATGGGGGGGGGAGGCTGGTTTTGCTCTCTGGTCCTCCTTGCAGGTTTTCCACAAGCGTCTGGGTGGCCCCTCTTGGGTGCTGGACCAAGTGGGCCACTTTTGTGTCCTTCCACGGGGTGAGTGGAGGCTCACAGGGAAACGTATGATGACACACAAACGTAGCCAACATCATATAGGAGATGGACCAAGGGGAGGTGGCCCTCATGCAGGTGGGGAAAGGTGTATTTCAGGAAAAGGAGAGCAGGCTGCAGCGGTCAGTAGTAAGCGGTGCTGATAGTGGAGCCAGAGTGAGTCCTGCCTGATATTTGAGAGTGGTCAATTCGATAGGCAGTTGTTGTTCTAGTTATTAGTATCCCAGGAGAAAAATCAGATGCACCTGGTGCTGAAAAGACGCTCCTTGGGGGAGCACTGTGTAATTGGGGTGGGGCTGAGAAACACAGGGAAGGTGCCCTGTGAAATGTATGGGGCAGCACAGCCCATGGGGCCCCTTCCGGAAGCTGCTGGACTGCAATTCCCATCCTCTCTGACCCCTGGCCATGCTGGATGGGTCAGAGGGGAGTTGGAGTCCAGCACTATCCAGAGGACACCCCATTTGATGCCCCCAATATACAGAATCTAACCTGTAAATAAGGAACGTTAATGCATCAACCCTAAACACATATAACTGGGCAGAAGCCCCACTCAGTGCATTGAGGTTTATTTCTGACACAGTGTGAAGATGGTGAGTGTTATGTATTGAAGTTCTCACCCTGGCCACCAGGAGTATTGTGTTTGTAGTCTTCACTCAGGTCCACGTCAGTTATTTTAGGCGGGAAACCCTGGGTTGTTGTTGCTACTATGTTGACAGCCGGCTACCTATAAAAGCAGGCCGGCTGAGCTGTTTGCTGTTCAGTTCTGTTTCCAGCTTACAAATAAAGAGCTGCTTTGGAAGAATCGATGTGTCGTCTGATATGTTCGCCCACAACTTAACACTGGCGACGAGGATGGGATCGATGGACAACAGAGCACAGCCAGATGCGGCCACCCTCTGAGATGAGCTGAATCATGGAGCTGAAACACTGAGCGAAATCACGGAGCAGAACCAATTCAGAGCTGACTGTTCTGGCTAGAGCACAGTGTTCCATCCGTCGCCTCCACGTCGGCATCGGAACCATGGCTTCACTCGTGCCTCTACCGCCGTTTGCCCCAGCCTCTGAATCATGGGACTGCTACCTCGCTCGGTTTGACTGCTACCTCCAAGCAAATGAGCTGACAAAAGGGTCTGTAGAGCAGATGCGGGGCCTCTTCCTCAGCCTTTGTGGCCCCGAAGTGTTCACGACGGCCCGAGCATTGGTTGTGCCTCTAGCAGTCCAGGCAGCACCTTGGGACACGATTCAAGAGAAGCTCCGCAACCACTACGCCCCAAAGCCGTCCAAGATTGCTGCCCGCCATACGTTCTACCACCGGAACCAGGCAGAGGGGGAGTCAATCAACAACTACACCACCGCCCTCCGACAGGCTGCAATGCACTGCGAGTTCCGAGACTTAGATGATGCCCTGATGGATCAAATCGTCTGCGGGGTCCGGGACATCCGTCTGCAATGGCATCTCCTCGCCAAGCCAGACCTCACGCTGCAGAAAGCCACTGAGGAGGCCGTGGCCTCAGAAGCTGTTGAACTCTCCGCCCAGGAAATCCACAAGGCCAATAGACCATATTTAAAGGACTATGTTGTTGGACATGTAACAGTGTTGGTCTAACGGAAGTATGTGAAATGTACCCGATATGCTTTGTGCCTAATTGAACCATTATGTGTAGTGCTGTATATAAGGAAACCATTACAATTGTAACTAACGCCTTATCTTGGTGGGGAGGGGTGTTATGTATTGAAGTTCTCACCCTGGCCACCAGGAGTATTGTGTTTGTAGTCTTCACTCAGGTCCACGTCAGTTATTTTAGGCGGGAAACCCTGGGTTGTTGTTGCTACTATGTTGACAGCCGGCTACCTATAAAAGCAGGCCGGCTGAGCTGTTTGCTGTTCAGTTCTGTTTCCAGCTTACAAATAAAGAGCTGCTTTGGAAGAATCGCTGTGTCGTCTGATATGTTCGCCCACAACTTAACAGTGAGGCTGTATTTGCAGACAATATTTGAAGCTGACGCCCTGTTCAATTTCAATTTCATTTTCTTCCCTTCTGAGGTCTCCAGAGCAAGCAGCTATCCTGCCTGATGTAGGTGAAGGGGTTCATTTTTTTCATCATCTATTAATCCAATAATGTAGGCATTTTCACAGCTGCATAAGGTCTTGTGGGGAGAGGAAGGTTTCCTAGAAATGCAGAGTTGCGAGAGGCCCTGAGGGTCATCTAGTCCCACCCCCTGCAGTGCAGGAAACATTTCCCCCATGTGGGGTTCAGACCCACAACCCTGGGATTAAGAGTCTCGTGCTCTGCCAAATCAGACATCTCAAAAGGAAAACAAGATTGAAGGTGAGGGAGCTCATTTGAGGAAAATATTGTTTATTGGGACTGTTAAATGTGTGACTATCTCTTGAAGAAACTGCAGATGGAATTCTGGAAAAAGGAAAATGCAAAGCAACAACACCCCCCCCCCCCCCCGTTATGTCTGCTGATTTTGACTGGAAAAACTGCCGAAAGTGCTCTTGGCAGGTAAATGTTTTTATATCAGTCATTTTGGTCTGGAGAGAAACTCCTGCTTGGCCTGAGAGGCAGATTTAGTCTCCTCAGGAGATACTGAGGTACGTTTGGTATCCCCACAGAAAAAAGATAGGGAGGAGGGTCTCTCCAGAGAACGAGGCTGCTGAGAACGTGTAGAGTTTGGCTCCTGAGTCAGCGTCAGAAAAAGACACACGTCCCCCTTCATAGTCCAGAGACACTCGGATCCTCCTGGGCTTCTCCCTCAGGGACAGAGGAGAGTAATCAGGAGAGGTGAAGGCCCAGTACTCGCTTTCCCAATTCTCCAAAGCCCAGATCCCTCCCCCAGGACTGAAGGAGAATAGGCCCTTTCTCCTCAGAGACTTTCTAGTGACCCCCAAAGCCCACTCTTCCTCACTTCCCACATTGACTTCCCAGCAATGTCTGCCTGCTGTGAATCCCTCACGTCCCAACACACAAGGCCAGCTGCTGAATCTCTCAGGATTGTCAGGCAGGTCTTGCTCTTTGTCTCCCCATCTTACGCTTTTCTGATCTTCAGACAGGATGAGGCTGGGATGGGCTGTGTCTGGATCCAGAGTGACATTTGCTATTGAGGAGAAATGACAGAAAGAGAAGATTAGGCAGAGTCAGCTGAGAGACAGAAATGGACATCCTGATAATAATAATAAGAAAACCCCCAAAAAACCATATTCCCTTTCAGGTCAATGGGATTTCTTTCCATCGCATGCATGACTAAGACTCCTCCTTGCAGACTCTCATCAGAATATCTTACTTGTTGGTTTTTAAATCAGTCTTCTCCACTTTCTTATATTCAATGTGTATTGTGCCTGCCCTCCTCTCAACCCAGGCATTTTCTAAGAGAAAAAACCAACTAGTAAAACCAACTCATCTTATCTGTGCTAGTGAAGGGGAAAGAGAGAATTGGAGGAGGCAGGAGAGGAGAGAAGCTGCTTTCCTCTGACCATCTCTGTGGGAATTGGCCTTTAGGTTGGGATGGGAGATGAGGGCTCCTCCATCATCATCATCATCATCATCATCAATTACATTTGCATACTGCCTGTCACCCATAGGTCACAGGGTGGTTCACAGCATAAAAATACAACATAAAAACATATACAGGCGTCCCCTCACTTTCGCGGGGGTCACGTTCTGGGCCCTCGTGCCCACAAGTGAAAATCGCAAACTAGCTTAGCCGGGTGCCTTAGATGTGAGTCTAATGCATGAGAAAAAATTTCATGGGTTACTGTAAACCAAAAAACCAAACAAAAAAACTTGAGACATTTTGCCAAATTTTAAAGATCTGCCAGGGGAGAAATTTTTATCATGAAATAGACGACCTGTCTGAGAAAAAGAGGACATGTGGCAACCAAGCCTGAAAAAGGTCACATGGAAAAGCAACCCAACTCTCTCTAGGCAGGAATGAAACTTTTCCCTCCTCTGTCTGATCCTTCTGGGCAGTTTCTCCCCCCCCCCCTTCTGCACCTTCAAGTCCACCCTCTCTGCCTTTGTGGTACAAACATCAGGGCTAGAGTCAAGCTGTACAGAAGAGTCTCTTGACCCCCATGAAACACTAGTCCCCCCTCCTGTGATTTGGGGTCTGCATGTGAAATTTACCTCTCTGAAGATTTCTGAATGACTGAAGATCTGAGGAAGCAAAAAGACAGGCTTAATGGGCTACACCGCAACAGCTCCCAAAAAAATCTTTTTACAAAACATCACCATAACATAGCATCTGTTGCTTCCTTATTTCACACAAAAGATTAAATGACAGAACAAATAATTGCAAAGACAACAACTGTAGGCCTAAGGAATTAAAACAACTAGCATGTTTAGCTGTGATTCCTGCATTGCAGGGGGTTGGAGTAGAAACTAGATGGTCCTTGGAATCCTTTCAAACTACTATTCCATGATTCCATGGGAAAATCAGAAATGCTAAACCATACTAGAAAATGGCAGAATACAATCATTCAAAATCTACAAATAAAATGAGGATCTGTACTGGAGGGCTGGAGGAAGGTTAACATCTGCCCCAACTAAACTGGTGGGGAAAAGCTGCATTTCCAAGCATGCTGACAAACCAAATTGCAGAGGTAGAATCAGCAGAGCTTTACCATGTAATTCCAAGGGTCTCGTGCAATGGGAAGTCTTCCCTCCTGGAATGGGGCTGATCTCATAAGAAGTGTGGGAACTCTGAGGAGATGGGGATGGCTGAAGCACAAGAAATGGCTGGTGAGGTTGAAACTCTGAGGAAGAGGCGGCTCAGGCCTTGCTCTGCTGCTGGGAGACCAGCCTGGGCAGGAGGTGGAGGAGGGACTGGGTGCTTGCGGGTGCCGTTTTTAACACACTTCACGAGGGAGAAATCCAAGCAAATCTCAAGAAGCCCCAAACAACCTCTCCAGATTGTGTGGAGGGAAACAAGTGAGGTTCCATGTGAATCGGGACATTGATAGAATTCCCAGTGTGAAATCCTGGCAGCCATTATTCATTACCTTTCCATTGTTTCATTACATCTTCCACAAAGTGATTTACATCACAGGATTCCAAGATCCTGTTCCTCAGTTCTGGAGGGAAAACCAATGGCTCTCCTTCTCTTTTCTCTCTTCTCTCATACCTGGTGAAAAGAAAAACAATATCAGCCCATTCAAACCCACAATTTCTGGTAAAGAAAAAGAAAGGAATTGAGAGGAGGAAGCCAGCTGGAGGAACCCAGAGGGACAGGCAGGCAGTGAGTGGGGAGATTCTTCCTCACTACGGACTCCTCAGATGATTGAAATTACCACAAAGTCCATGAATAGAAAGTGCAAGAAATAAAAGAGCCCCCATCCCTTTGTGAAGTGATGTGGGGAGGGAGGAGGCAGTGCTCTGGCCTTGATCCTTGGTGGGAGAACTGGGGGGCTACGAGTCCAAAATAGGGTCCCCTGCTTTTACCTGCGAGGTGCTGCAGGCAGTGAGGCCTACAATCTCCCCCCTGCAGGGCCATGTCTGAGGTTCTTGCATCCCAGCCTCATGGAGTGATGCTAATGGAAATGAGCCAGATCCACTTACTTCTCCAAGGTGCTTCTCATATCCTAGAGGGGAAAAGAGAAGGGAATTCACTGCACACCACAGGCCACACTAGGAAGACCCTGGAGTGGAGGAACACTCTGGCCCTTGGATGTCAGTCTGCCTGGCACATGGCAAGCTTTTGGGTAAGGATGGCAGAATCAGCCAGTTTGGGTTTCTCTCAGTTTTTATTGTTCCAATCTGAAATTATGAATTTTGCCGATATCAAGTTCTCCACATTTCTACATCAGTTTGCAATTAATTTTTTGAATCCTTTTGAAAATCCACCAACATTTTATGGAAATTTCACGTTTGTGGGTTCAAGAGATTATATCCCATCTCTTGTCTTAGATTATAATTTATTAATTTAATCCAGTTTGCATTGTGCAATTCAGACATAAGTAAGCCTAAAGGATAATCCTACCAGGGCACTGTCCCAAATTGTCTTCCATAGAAGTCTCCAAATTTCAAATTCTATTTTCCATCTGGAAATTTTAAAATGCCTCCAAAGGGGGAATAAAACAGCTCAGTGTTTCTTTGGGCTCATCGACTCTTCTGCTTTTCCTGTGCCCAGAAAACACACGTGCAAGTGGTTTTGTCTTTGCCCTGCCGCTTTCCCTCAGGAAAAACCTGCTCCTTAGTGCAACATCAAAGCAAACGTCAATCTGGAGAAAACCTGGCTGAGGTTTGCTCTAATTCAGCAGTAAACAGTGGGTTTTCCTGGAGGAAAGGGGTGGGACAAGCAGCAGTCTGGATGAGTCCCTCTGTCTTGCTCTTTGCTCACTGTGACTGAGCACCATTTTGGGCCAATCTGTATCCATGGGGAAGGGGATCAACCCAGAAGTTGTGGAGGAAGCGGGAAGAGAAGCTTGGTCAAGAGACTGGCTCATGTCGGAAGGAGGCCTGAACGCATCCTAGACGAAGCCCCCCACAGCTGAAAGGCATTCGGAGACAAAGCATCAGCAAAGAGCAGAAGATCAGCTCCCGTTCCATCAAGAACACAGACGAATCCCTAGTCTGCATTCTGGTTAGTTAAGCATCCCAGTTCTCTTGGGTCTTCCTGTCCATTACAAACCTGACTAGAGGCTCCATCACCTCAGCCCCTGAACTCCTTGCATACATGAAAGGGGCAGCCTTTTCCTGGATCCTCTGGCTGCTCCTGCCACCGTCTTACCTGCAGGAGTTCACTCGCTGGCTGCTGACGCTTCTCCTCCATCTCCTGGATGATCCTCTCAAGAGAGGAGAGTTTCCTGGTGAGTCTGGCCAGCTGCTCATCCCTTCTCCCTGCAATCTCCTTCTCCACCTCTTCCACATCATTCAGCAGACGTTTTTCTTGTTCTTCCAGAAAATGGTGCAGTTCCCTGAACTTCTCCACAATCTTCAGCCTCTCCGTTTCTGTTAATTTCTGCAATAAAAGAGGAGGTCTGAGTGTGGAAGATGGTCAGTTTTAAAAACATCAGGAAGAGAATTATGAGAATTCCACAGGGAGGACACTTCTGATTTTTCGGAGACATGAAACCTCCAGTTACTAAAGAAGTAAACCTTTATTTTGAGGGGAGGCCCTCTCCATTGCTGTTTCTGTTGACTTCTGTTTTGCAGAGGGATACAGCCTAAAGGAAGGAACATTTTTTCTAGCCACGGAAGTAGGGTAAAGTATGTATTAAAATATTTATACAAGGAGGTAGCTACCCTAACATCTGATTCCTTTTCAGAATAATAAATGAATAAGCAGACAAAATGGAAAAATGAGAAATGCAGAGAAGCTGAAATGGGAAAATTTCCCCATCCCTCCTCCGTCCTGACTCGACTCTTCAAGTGATTGTTCCCTCCCTAGTAACAATAGAGACACTTACAAGGAGGTCTTTGCTTTCCTTGTCCAGGGCTGCTTGATAGGCCAGAATTTCCTCTCTCTCTTTCCTCAGAATCTCCACGTGGCGACAAATCTCTCCCTAAAGAGAAAATGAAAAACTCAGGTTTGATAGAGACACACAGAGAGTTGATGAATGTTATACTGGCTTCTTGCGCCCAGTGGCCTTGTGAAGTATTATACTGAAGGAAATAAAAGTCCATAGGTTTTCAACCTTTCTGGACCAACTAACATCTTTTCTGCGGCACCCCTGTGGGGCTCAGGGCCCCAATTAAGTCACCCCTTGCTTGCAGAGCTGACATTATTTGCATTGCATGGCACAGGAGCATTTTTGAACTACAGTAGTAGAACAAGTCATTTTTTAATAGGAATTAAAAGGCATTGTATACATATATATATAATAGCACAGGTCCATTTCGAGTTGCCATGAAAAAGTCATCTTTTCCCCTTGTCTTTGCAGATGCTACTCTGAACCATTGAGTCCTTTGCCATTTGGAGTGGGAGGAGATCCTCAGCCCCCCCCCCCCGGCTGAAACCTCATTGCACATGCCCCACAGAACCCCCAGAATAAGCATGCTCCCCACCAGTAGGTTCTTCCACCACCCCCTCCTAAATCTGCTTCCAACAGATACTTGGGGGGGGGGGATCCTGCACCATCTGGTCAATTCCTGGCCCTCAGCCCCCCTCCCCCCAGCTGACCCCTTGCTGCTCTCTGCTTTGCAGGGCATTGAGGAAGCATCCTGATAGCTAAAGGAGACATGTACTTAGTTGTGTATGTGCAATTTACATTTGTAGTGTTCTTAATAAGTACAAAGCAACCTTGCTGGGGGATGTGGATGAGGTTAACCCTTTCTCTCCCCACCATGGTACCAGTTCAAATTTTTGAAGTTGCTGTGATTATTTCAAGGAAAGGTCCCTTTGTCACACCCAGCAGAGAAAGACTTCAAGTTCCTCCTCCCAGCCATCCCAGGAGCCCTCAGGCTTCCCCTTGGCTGCTTTTACATAACAAACAACCACCACTTAATGCCATGCCTAATTTGGATCTGAGAATTAAAAAGAAGAATCCAAAGCTATTTCTTCCCCTCAAGATCCAGGGATCTCCTACCTTGTATTCCTCCAAAGCCTCCTTCAGAGGAATCACCTTGTGATTTTCATGTATCCTGGATCTGTCACACACCACACAGATGGGGGCTTCATGGACTTTACAGAAGAGCTTGAGGGGTTCCTGATGCTCCTCACAGACTCCTCCTTTTCTTTCTTCTTCTTTCCTTCCTTGAACGCTGAGATTCTTAATTAATTGTAAGAGGTTTGCCAGTTGCCGGTTGGGGATGAGATTATTTTGCTGGACTGTTTCTCTGCACTGAGGGCAGGAAACCTCTACCTCCGATTCCCCCCAGCACTGGACCAAACAGGACCGGCAGAAGTTGTGCCCACATTCTGGGATGATCATTGGATCCTTAAAATATTCCATGCAGATGGAGCAAGTGGCTACATCAGAAAGATTCTGGTCGGAATACCCAGCAGCAGCCATAGCTCCCTCGCGCCAAAGACTCGAGTTAAGTTTCACTTTCTCTGTTTTCAGCCCCCGGGAGCTTCCTTTCCTGGAAATGACTCAGTGACCACGTGAACTTTTTTTTCCTTTTTCTTTAAATGTCCCCAGGTCGTTGCAGCTGCTGAATGTTTTCTCAAGAAGCCATGAATGCTTCTTGATTGCTTCCCATGCTTTTGATTACACACAAACTCACAGGTACCTACTAGGTTGGGGTATTCACACTGTAACATTTTCATTGGTAGGCTTCCTTGTCATTTTTGAATTGGATAAATTTTGCTGCTGCCCTAAATGGACGGGAGTTCTGATTTAGCAAGTGGGACTTGATTCCGTGATGAAAACTCCTAAAAGTCTGGTTGCTAATTTTAACTTAATCCGTTCTTAGCAAGCTGGCAAAGATCTTCAGATTGAAACAGACGCTTTCAGCATTGCCAACCTGGTGCCCTCTCTTTGCTGAAGACTACAACTCCCATCATCCCTGGCCAGGACATCTCCAGGTATGGTTGGGAAGGCCCCCTGACTGAAGACCCTGCAGAGCTGCTGCCAGTCAGTGGAGGCAGTACTGACCTCAATGGAGCAATGGGCTGGCCTTTCAGAAGGTACCATCTGCATGGTGGCCCCCCAGTTATGGAGCTCCTTCTCTAGATATGAATGCCTGTTATGACTTGGCTATTATTATTAATCCATATTACTACATAGTGTGAAGTCTCCCTATATTCCTAATGAAGTGTGGTCCCTTGCAATGGCTGAAAAACCTGGAGGGCTTTAAAAGAGGATTAGAAAAAATTCACGGAGACTTTGGATGGTTATAAAGTGGTACCTTGATTTTCGAATAGCTTAGTTCCCAAACAACTCAGAACTCGAACACTGCAAACCTGGAAGTACCGTAGGTGTTCCGGTTTTCGAACTTTGCCTGAGAAGCCAAATGTGCTCCTGAGTTTCCATTTCACCCTTGTGCAGCTAATTTAAGTTCCCCCCATCGTAATTAAGGCTTTTTCCCCTCCCGTTTTGACCCTTGCACAGCTAATTTAAGTCGTCCCCCGCCCCCCATCGTAATCAAAGTCTTCCGTTTCTGATTGCAGTGTTCTGAGGTGATATTTGGTGCTTTTGCTATTTTTTTTCACATTTTTGTTTGTGTTGCTTCATTTTTGTGACTGTGGCTTGTTTTTCGTTTTATGATTGATTGATTGATTGTGTGACTGCGGAAATGGATAAAAGCCCCCCATCCAAACAATGACTATCATTAGTGCAGGTAAGGAAAACAATCATTTTAATTTTTATCATCTACAATACTGTGAGGTTTGGAAAAGTAATGCAAAAGTGTCTTTTTAATTTTCTTTAAAATGCTATATTTTCTTCTTAATTAATGCTTGCGAAATGTTTCTGAAATAGCTGTGTATTAAGAATATTGTAGTACCTGCCTTATATCATGTAAAGGAATGTAAACTGCTTGTAATCCAGTTAAGTGCTGCCTGTGAATTTACTGCTCTGCCTGCCTGCTAAGAGATTAATGGCCCTGGCTAAGGTCTTGCATAGCGGACGCGGGTGGCGCTGTGGGTTAAACTACACAGCCTAGGACTTGCCGATCAGAAGGTCAGCAGTTCAAATCCCCGTGACAGGGTGAGCTCCCGTTGCTCTGTCCCTGCTCCTGCCAACCTAGCAGTTCGAAAGCACGTCAAAGTGCAAGTAGATAAATAGGTACCGCTCCAGCGGGAAGGTAATTAGCGTTTCTGTGTGCTCCTCTGGTTCGCCAGAAGCTGCTTGGTCATGCTGGCCCCATGACCCGGAAGCTGTATGCCAGCTCCCTCAGCCAATAAAGCGAGATGAGCGCTGCAACCCCAAAAGTCAGCCACGACTGGACTTAATAGTCAGGGGTTCCTTTACCTTTACCTAACCATATTCCCCAGCAGGTAAATGCGTAACTTTTCAGCCTGCCCTTGTTGACTTTGGGCAGCAGAGACGGGGGAGACAACCAGATGCCTAGAAACTTGGGCTTGGGGAGAGTTGGGTTCAAGTCCCTTTTTAGCTTTAGGAATTCAGAATCCCCTGGACCTGTTGCTGTTCCTGATACCAGTCAGCCTCACAGAGCTGTTTTGGGGATAAAAAGCAGTGTGAGGGGGGAATAAATGATTTAACCAGCACTAGGTCCCCATGTTGCTAGCACCTGCTCACAACACCTTGCCATAATTTCAGCTGCATTTCTGACAGTCATAGCAGTTTGTTTCTCTGCTCCACCCATCACTATGGTTTGAAAACTTGCTGGTTGCAGCAATGCTTGATTTAGTGTGAATGTGCTTCTCAAACCACTTTGTTTGAACATAAGCATGTGTTTGCGGTGCCACCGATACAACTTGTTTCCAGTGTGGCAAACCAGGATCACCGATACCCCAGTGTGGGTAGAACAGTGGCCTCTACCAAAAGAAAAATCCGCAGCAGCGGCACCAGCTTGTTTCTGAACAGCTTATTTCTGAACAATTGACTTTTGGCCACATTGAACCATCTTCATCCCACTGGCTCCAGCAGACAGGGAACGGTTTGCTTTTACATTGCCAGTATATAACAAGTCGCAGCCCACCCAGCGATATCAGTGGGTTGTCCTGCCTCAAGGCATGCGGAACTCCCCTACACTTTGTCAACATTTTGTGGGTGAAGCATTGAAACCTTTCCGCATGCGCCACCTAGAGGTGCTGCACACGAGCTGCATCTGGCAGTGTTTGCCTTCCTCACCATCTGCCTTGCCATCCTTTGCTGCACCGTTATACAAGGAAGAGAAGCAGACGACCCAGTCCAGTTGAAACCACCATATTTCACCTTATCAGCTGGCAAGCTGCTGTTGTCAGCTTCCTACTCTGGCTGGCAGTATCCACGGCTCAGCCACTTTCGAACTAGAAGAACAGCGTTGTTGAATAAGACTTTTAGGGGAGAAAATTATCATAAGATATGGAGGGATAATATTTTTGTACAAGATATGATTATGTTTGCCAGTTTATTGCATGCTTCTAAATGTTGGGTGTGTATGCCAGTCATTCAGGCATAATGCTTCATGGTGTGCCTGTCAATGGATCTTTTCAATTTACTAATATTATATCCCCTAAGCAAACTTTTTGGCCTCCAGTACAACTGACCCTCCATGAGCCTGCCCCCATTTGTTTTCAAATTAAAGAGGGAAAAGAATCATGGGGCATATATCCAAACTGTCAATATACATTGAATTTCACTTTTAATAGCTCTTGTTCTCTTACAGGAACATACAGTGACCAATCTCAGTGCTATAGGAGTGACACCAGTGCATGGCTAATAAACTAGAAAGGAAGCCTACCATGCAGCTGGGAATCAGAATTCTTATATTCTTGGCTTCCGGATGGAAGTTGGCTTCGACATTTATTGATTTTAGTGATCCTTATAGTAGTTATTTGCGTTATTTTGTGTTGCTGTAGCCAATGTATTCCTTTTTTAATCTCTATATGTACTGCATGGTTCTCCCGTCAGCGGCCTGCTTCCGGCCTCACAAGAGTTGCTTATCGTGCTCGATATAACCATATTGGTACTGACATATATGACTCTGATTAATAAAATAAAGAAAGAGGGCATGTGGGAGCCATGAAGTCATGGCAAAGGCTTGTAGCGCCACCTGGTGCCTCGCTGACCTCGGTGACCTGCATGTCCGTGCCTTGCAGTGTATTAAGTGCATAACCTTATATGGAGTTATGTTCCCCCTCTGGGCAGTAATTACCTTATATGGCGATGGGTGGGTAAAAGCCATGACCGGATGAGGTAACGTTAGACATTGGCAAACGGCCATGTGACAGGAGAGAACAAAGGAGAATAAAATCGGAGGAGAGTGGTCGAAGGAGCTGCTCATACCATCCTAAAAATATTGCTGACTCTCTGTGTCTTTTTTCAAATGCTATACAGCGCCATTTGTGACGGCTGGCTTCCGTCAGTCAGCCAGCAGTGGGGGTGGGCATTGGGCCAGACCCCCAGCTCAGGGTGCCCGGGGAAAGGGGTGCGTGCCACCGCCAAGGAGCAGGGGAAGGTGCTGGAGGTGACCGAGGGCGAGTGATAAAACCAAGCCAAAGTGGAGGGGATTAGGGCTTATCTGCTCCCCCCTCCAATAATATTTTTATTCAAGTTGGCGCCCATGCTTGTAAATATTGGTTGCTGGAGGCTGCGGGGGGGGGGGGGGCAAAGCTGCTTTTGCTCTCTAGTCATCCTTGCAGGTTTCCCACAGGTGTCTGGGTGGCCCCTCTTGGACGCTGGACCAAATGGGACACTTTTGTGTCCTTCCTTCCACAGGGTGAGTGGAGGCTCACAGGGAAACATATGATGACACACAAATGAGGCCGACATCATATAGGGGATGGAGCAAGGGGAGGTGGCGCTCAGGCAGGTGGGGGAGGGAAGTGTCTTTATTCCATCATGTGCCACCACAGGGAAACGCAGGGAAAGGAGAGCAGGCTGCACTGGTCAGTAGTCAGTGGCCCTGATAGTGGAGCCAGAGTGAGTCCTGCCTGATCTTTGAGAGGGGTCAATTCCACAGGCATGTATTGTTCCAGCTGTTAGTATCTAAGGAGAGAAATCAGATGTACCTGCTGCCGAAATGACGCTCCTTGGGGGAGCACTGTGTATTGGGGTGGGGCTCAGGAACACAGGGAAGGTGCCCTGCGTAATGTATAGGGCAGTACAGCCCATGGGGCCTCTTCCGGAAGCTGCCAGACTGCAGCTCCCACCCTCTCTGCCCCCTGGCCATGCTGGATGGGTCAAAGGGGAGTTGGAGTCCAACATTATCCAGAGGACACCCCATTTGATGCCCCCAATATACAGAATCCAGCCTGTAAATATGGAACGTTAATGCATCCACTCAAAACACATTTAACTGAGCAGAAGCCCCACTCAATGCAAGGTTTACTTCTGACGTGTGGAGATGGCGAGGCTGTATTTGCAGAGGCCATTTGAAGATGATGCCCTGTTCAATTTCTTTTTCTTTCTCTTCCCGTCTGAGGTCTCCAGAGCAAGGAGCTATCCTGCCTGACGTGGGTGAAGGGGTTCGTTTTTTAGTCATCTATTAATCCAATGATGCATGCATTTTCACAGCTGCATAAGGTCTTGTGGGGAGAGGAAGGTTTCCTAGAATTGCGAAATTGCGAGGGGTCCTGAGGGTCATCTAGTCTCACCCTCTGCAGTGCAGGAAACGTTTGCCCAACGTGGGGCTCAGACCCACAACCCTGAGATTAAGAGTCTCGTCCTCTGCCAAATCAGACATCTCAAATGGAAAACAAGATTGAAGGTGAGAAAATTTATTAGGACTCCTCAAAGTGTGACTGTCTCTCTAAGAAGTGAGCTGCAGAGGGAATTCCGGGAAAAGGAAGGAAAATGCAAAGCAAAAGCAACCCATTTTTGTTTTGTTATTTCTGCTGATTTTGACTGGAATGAATCCTCTCAAAGGGCTCTTGGAAAACTGCCCAACGTGCTCTTGGCGGGTAAATGTTTTTTATATCAGTCTCTCTGGTCTGGAGAGAAACTTCTGCTGGGCCTGAGAGGCAGATTTAGTCTCCTCAGGAGATACTGAGGTGGGTTTTATAATTTCCACACAGATGAAAGAAAGGGAGGAGGGTTTCTCCAGAGAACGAGGCTCCTGAGAACGTGTAGAGTTTGGCTCCTGAGTCAGCGTCAGAAAAAGACACACGTCCCCCTTCATAGTCCAGAGTCACCCGGATCCTCCTGGGCTCCTCACTGAGGGACAGAAGAGAAGGAAAATGGGATGTCCAGGCCCAGTACTTCTCTCTCAACTTCTCCACAGCCCAGATCCCTTCCTCAGGACTGAAGTTAAAGACGCCCTTTCTCCTCACAGACTTCCTGGCAACCCCCAAAACCCACAATTCCCCAATTCCCACAGTGACTTCCCAGAAATGTCTGCCTGCTGTGAATCTCTCACGTCCCAACACACAAAGCCAGTCACTGAATCTCTCAGGATTATCAGGCAGGGCTTGAGGTTTCTCTCCCCTTCTCACGCTTTTCTGATCCTCGGACAGGATGAGGCAGGGATGGGCTGTTTCTGGATCCAGAGTGACATTTGCTGTTGGGGAGAGGATGAGGGAAAGAGAAGATTAGGCAGAGTCAGCTGAGAGACAGAAACGGACATCTTGATAATAATAATAAACCCCAAAAAACCCAGATTCCATTTCAGATGAATGGGATTTATTTGGATCACATGCAAGACTGAGACTCCTTGCAGACTTTCATCAGAATAAATATCTTCCTTGTTGGTTTTTAAATCAGTTTCCTTCACTTTCTTATATTCGATGTGTATTGTGCCTGCCCTCCTCTCAACCCAGGCATTTTCTAAGGGGAAAAACCACCCAGTAAACCTTTTACTCAGCTCTTCTGTGTTATCTAAGAAGAAAGAGAGGAGAATTGGAGGAGGCAGGAGAGGAGAGAAGCTGCTTTCCTCTGATAATATCTGTGGGAAATGGCCTTTGGGGACCTCTGGGTCAGGGTGGGGGATGAGGACCCCCCTGTTCTAATCATCATCATCATCATCATCATCATCATCACATTTACCTACTGCCCTTCATCCATCGGTCTCGGGGTTGTTCCCAGAATAAAAATACAACACAAAACCACATACTGTATAGGGGGTTACGTTCTGGGCCCTCGTGCCCACAAGTGAATATCGGATTAAGTGGGGAGCCTGTTTATTCCTGCTCTCCATCTCTCTCACCCACTTGGTCTCTCCTTGCCTTCCTCCCCACCATCTTGGAAGTTTGGGGCTTGCCGCCAGGGAAGAGGAGTCAGGTGGCAGGGCAATTTTACAAAGGACTTATTAATCCATGCTTCTCTTTTGGAATTAATATATACCATAAGACTAGTTCCCTGGGGGAAGGGAGAATAATTCAAAAGGTTACCAATCAGGGGCTGAGACAGTCATGATAGGCAAGTGTAGAGTTGCCATATTTTGAAGAGCAAAAAAGAGGACACATTTGCCAACTTCTACTCTTAACCATGTATCGCTATGACGACACTCATTTTAAATACCCCTACTCTATGTAGGCTTTCGAAGCTGTGATATACTGCTAGTAGCAATGTTCTTAACTTTCAACAACAACAACAACAACAACAACAACAACAACAATACATATTGCTCCCTTGCTTGCCACATGAAAGTATTTGGGCTCATGTTCACATCTTTGTGAACGCAAGTGTGCACAGAACAATTTATTAAACTGTTAAACATGTACATATGGACTCTCCTTAAGGGCAGGGGGGTGTTAACTCTTGCCCTCCCAGACTCCTCCTCCAAGATCTTGTAGCTGAGCCAGCGTCCTTTTAGTTCAGCCACAAGAGAAGGGTTTTATACAGGATGTGGCTAGCTGAAGATGCTGCTCTGTTGCGATTCTTTGCTCTAGGCTAGCTTAGCTGGGTGCCTTAGATCTGAGTCTAATGCATGAGAAAAAAATTTCATGGGTTACTGTAAACCAAACCAAACAACCTGAAACATTTTGCCAAATATAAAAATTTTAAAAATCCACCCAGGGGAGAATTTTAATCATGAAAGTAGAGGACCTGTCTGAGAAAAAGAGGACATGTGGCAACCAGTCCTGAAAAAGGTCACATGGAAAAGCAACCCAACTCTCTCTAGGCAGGAATGAAACTCTTCCCTCTTTTATCTGATCCTTCTGGGCAGTTTCTCTCCCTCCCCTTCTGCACCTTCAAATCCACCCTCTCTTCCTTTGTGGTACAAACCGCAGGGGCCAGAGTCAAGCTGTACAAAAGAGACTCTTGTGAATTGGGGTCTCCATGTGAAATTTACCTCTCTGAAGATTTCTGAATGACTGAACATCTGAGGAAGCAAAAAGACAAGCTTAACTGGCTACAATGCAATAGCTAAATAAATTAAATCTTTTTTACAAAACATCACCATAACATAGCATCTGTTGTTTCCTTATTTCAAGCAAAAGATTAAATCTTAGAACAAATAATTGCAAAGACAACAGCTGTAGGTCTAAGTAGTGATGTTAAATATTCTCCAAAAGATTATTCTTGAGAATGTAATATCACTAAGCCTAAGGAATTAAAACAATTAATGTGTTTAGTTGCAATTCCCGCATTGCAGGGGACTGGACTAGATGATCCTTGGGATCCTTTCAAACTCTGCTTGTGATGTGTATGGGTTGCTCGTGCGTAAGTTGCCGCCTCTCCAGGCTTTGATGCCTTGCTAAACCTTTCAGTCTGGGCAGCCCTTTACTTCGTGGCTGCCTCAATCGCTAGCAGAATCCGTCAGTGGGCGTTTCTTAAATCTTTTCCAACATAAAAGTTGTTTGACACCCAGTATCCTCCTACTCTCTCTGCACGGAAGTCTTCTGCGCAGGGTGGGCGTGGGTAGCGGGGGACCCGTGCTCTCCCCGCTGGTGTCCGGTGAAGAGTCCTGGAGCCCTCTCGCCGATTCCCCCATCAGCCCCTCCTTATCCCTGGTGTAGCGCTGATTTGCTTCCCCATCTGCAGAGCTGCCTCTCTCCCTGCTGGGCCCTTCTCCAGCATCATTTGAGAGCCTTCCCTCCGCCTCTAGCTCTGATGTCAGTTCCCTGACACTGCTATTCCATGATTTCATGGGAAAATCAGAAATGGTAAACCACACTAGAAAATGGCAGAATACAATCATTCAAAATCCACAAATGAAATGGGGATCTGAACTGGATGGATGAAGAAAGGTTTAACATCTGCCCCAAATAAACTGGTGGGGGAAAGCTGTTGAAACTGGAATTTCCAAGTATGCTGACAAACCAAATTGCAGAGGGAAAATTGGCAGAGCTTTGCACTGTACTTCCAAGAGTCTCGTGCAATGGGAAGTCTATCCTCATGGAATGGGGCATATCTCATAAGAAGTGTGGGAACTCTGAGGAGATGGGGATGGCTGAAGCACGAGAAATGGCTGGTGAGGTTGAAACTCTGAGGAAGAGGCGGCTCAGGCCTTGCTCTGCTGCTGGGAGACCAGCCTGGCAGGAGATGGAGGAGGGACTGGGTGCTTGCGGGTGCCCCTTTTAACACACTTCACGAGGGGAAAATCCAAGCAAATCTCAAGAAGCCCCAAAAGAACCTCTCCAGATTGTGTGGAGGGAAAACAAAATGCAAGGGAGATTCCTTATACATGAGAACTTGACAAAATGGACATTGGACTGACCCTGTAGGATCTTCCTTAAGGGCTTTTGTAAGATATTGTAAGGCTCTGAGGCTTTTCCCCACAATCAAGCAGTATATAAATTTTATGAAAGAAAGCAAAATCTATAAAATTAACCAGGAAACCAGATTAATAGTCTATAGGCAAGAAAGGAACCCAGACTGGTGTGCAGGTTCTTCTCAGGGACAAGCTCTGCCCCCAATCCAAGCCTTCAAACTCCCTCCCAGTTCATTCACGGGACAGACAAAGAACCCAAACACCACTAGAGGACTGTTTCCCAGAGTTACACCATTGATGGGGGTCCCAAAGTCTGCAGGACAGATGGTTCAACACCCATGAAATATCAGTCCCCATCCCTCCTGTCAAATTGTTCCTCCCCTGGAAATTTACCTTTCTGAATCTGTTCACTGAATAGCAGAGCATCTGAGGAAGCAAAAAGATATAAAGTGTAAGGGCAACACTCTTCCACCAGAAATAAATCTCCATACAAAAGTAACACTTCATAACGTGGCATCCTTAAATTCAAGTACAATTATTAAATATTAATTAAATTGTACAAAAAATAATTAAAAACAAGAAAATCATAGGAAGAATCTACGAAAATAACTAAAGCTTTAAAACTCAGCAATCATAAAGCAAGCTTACAAATAAGAGAATAAAAATATTCAGCATGAATCCTGCTGGTCTCTGAACTTTGTCCCTGAAATTGGGCTCTATATTGGAGGACTGGAGGGGAGGCAGAGCAATAGGAATCCCGTAAAAGGAGGCAGAGGGGAGATGGAGGCAGCCTTAACATCTTCCCCAAGTAAAGTGGGGGGGGGGGGGGGCAAAATTGTGAAACACGTGTAGAAGCAAAGGTTGCTGTAGAAGGACTGGCAGAGCTCTCGTGCAAAAGGAAACCCTTCCTCACAAACCTTCTACAAATCTTTAAGGTTCTTAACAAGCATAATTGTGCCCTTTGGGGCTCATGTACTCTTGCTTCCATCCTCAGTGGGGGAACTCTCAGGAGATCTTGAAGGCTGAAGCCCTAGATATGGCAGCTGCAGGGGGACGTCTGAGGAGGAGACGGCTCAGGCCTTGGCTCCACGGCTGAGAAACAAGCCTGAGCAGGAGGCAGAGGGGGAACTGGGGGCTTCTTAATGCCCTTTGACTCCATTCAGAGCAGGAGAACCCCAGATTGTGCAGACAGGGAACCACAAGGAAAAGGAGGTTTCATATAACTGTAAACAAAAGCACATAGGAGGAAAAAATCCTGACTTTGCTCTACACTCTGGTTCAGGCTTTCTTTACAGGATCCAGCGTCACAATATACATGGGCCATTTGGGGGGACAGGAAATGAAGGCTGGAGCACCAAGAAGGAAGGTATCCTGGGATTGCTCAATTCCATGCAGTAAGAGCCTGGCATTTTCAGTTCTGAAGAAGTTACAGAATTCCCAGGGTGAAATCCTGGCAGCCATTTTTCATTACCTTTAAATTGTTTCATTCTATGCTCCACAAGGTTATTTAGATCACAGGATTCCAAGATCCTGTTCCTCAGTTCTGGAGGGAAAGCCAGTGGCTTCTCTGGACTCTCTCTTTCCTCATACCTGGTGAAAAGAAAAACAATGAATGGCCCCATTGTGGCCCCATCTCCCTAATTCTTGCAGGACATCTCAGTAACGTGAACAAAGTTGAAGTTCATTTCCCAACAGGTAATTTTCAGGATTCAGCTTCATCTCTTGACACCCACCTCCAAGACCTGGTCAGTGGCTTCATAAGGATGCTAAACAGCACAAGGGACAAGATGTAACCCCAAGCGACACCACCGGAGGGCTCCCATGGCTTCAAAGAATGCTGCCCCCTAACAGCTTTCTGGGAAGGTCCCAGGACTTAAGAACCAGACCCCTGAGGTGGAATGCCTGCAACCCCTCCCTCCCTGAGCTTCTCCAGAGGATGTGAGTGATGTCCAAAGCTGCCAAGAGTTGGGTGGCTGCTACTTGGACAAGATGCTACTTGGACATTGAAATCTGTTGGTACATCCTAAGCTCTTCCCAAGCATCTTTGGCACTTTCTCTTCTAGATGTTTGAAATTACCAAAAAGTCCATGGACAGAAAGTGCAAGAGAAAGAAAAGAGCCCCCATCCCTGTGTGAAGTGATGTGGGGAGGGAGGGAGGAGGCAGCTGACCTTGAACCTTGGAGGGAGAGTTGGGGGGCTACAAGTTCAGAAGAGGGGGCTCTACTTTCACCTGTGAGGTGCTGCAGGGAGTGAGTCCTACAGTCTCCCCCCTGCAGCCCCTGGAGGGCCTTGTCTGAGGTTCTTGCATCTCAGCTTCAAAGAGTGATGCTAATGGAAATGAGCCAGATCCACTTACCTCTGCAAGGTCCTTCTCACATCCTAGAGGGGAAAAGAGAAGGGAATTCACTGCACACTACAGGCCACACTAGGAAGACCCCCTCAGACCCTGGAGTGGAGGAACAGCCTGGCCCTCAGATGTCAGTCTGCCTGGCACATGCCAAGGTTTTGGGTAGGGATGGTGGAATCAGCCAGTTTGGGTTTCTCACAGCTTTTATTTTTCCAATCTGAAATTATTAATTGTTCCGATTTCAAGTTCTCCACATATCCATAATTTAATAACTTTAATGCAGTTTGCATTGTGTGATTCAGACATACATAAGCCTACGGGATAATCCTGCCAGGGCACTGTCCCAGTCCCCAAATTTCAAATTCTATTTTCCATCTGGAAGTAAAGAAAAGCACCTGCAGCATAAAATGCCTCCAGAGGGGTAATAAAACAGCTCAGTGTTTCTTTGGGCTCATCCACACTTCTGCTTTTCCTGTGCCCAGAAAACACGAGTCCAAGTGGTTTTGTCTTTGCCCTGCCGCTTTCCCTCAGGAAAAACCTGCTCCTTAGTGCAACATCAAAGCAAACGTCAATCCAGAGAAAACCTGGCTGAGGTTTGCTCTAATTCAGCAGTAAACAGTGGGTTTTCCTGGAGGAAAGGGCTGGGACAAGCAGCAGTCTGGATGAGTCCCTCTGTCTTGCTCTTTGCTCACTGTGACTGAGCACCATTTTGGGCCAATCTGTATCCATGGGGAAGGTGATCAACCCAGAAGTTGTGGAGGGAACTGGAAGAGAAGCTTGGTCAAGAGACTGGCTCATGTCGGAAGGAGACCTGAACGCATCCGCAGCGAAGCCCCCCTCAGCTGAAAGGCATTCAGAGACAAAGCATCAGCAAAGAGCAGAAGATCAACTCCTGTTCCATCAAGAACACAGAAGAATCTCTAGTCTGCATTCTGGTTAGTTAAGCATCCCAGTTCTCTTGGGTCTTCCTGTCCATTACAAACCTGACCAGAGGCTCCATCATCTGAGCCCCTGCACTCCTTGCATACATGAAAGGGGCACAGACAGGATTGGAGGCAGCCTTTTCCTGGAGCAGAGCCTTGGGCTGTTCCTGCCTCCGTCTTACCTGCAGGAGTTCACTCGCTGGCTGCTGACTCTTTTCCTCCATCTCCTGGATGATCTTCTCAAGAGAGGAGAGTTTCCTGGAGAGTCTGGCCTGCTGCTCATCCCTTCTCCCTGCAATCTCCTTCTCCACCTCTTCCACATGAGTCAGCAGATGTTTTTCGTGTTCTTCCAGAAACTGGCGCAGTTGTCTGAACTTCTCCACAATCTTCAGCCTCTCCAATTCTGTTAATTTCTGCAAGAAAAGAGGAGGTCTGAGTGTGGAAGATGGTCAGTTTTCAAAACATCAGGAAGAGAATAGTGAGAATTCCATAGGGAGGACACTTCTGATTTTTCAGAGACATGAAACCAACCTCCAGTGGCTAAAGAAGTAAACATCTATTTTGAGGGGAGGCCCTCTCCATTGCTATTTCTGTTGACTTCTGTTTTGCAGAGGGCTACATCCTAAAGCAAGAAGCATTTTTTCTAGCCATGGATGTTCCCTCCATGTTTTTGGGTATGGCATAACCAGAGTTCATAGTTGTTCAGAGAACATCCAGGGATATAAAACACCTCTCAGTTTAGACTGGTGCTGTAGCACCCTGCTTGTGGTTAACGCTTAGCTGGAATGAAATATTCAACGCAGCAATAGAGAAATTAAAATAATAATTTATTTGTCAGACAAATAAATGAGAGACACAGTGGTATATGGATACCAAAGCTCTGCCCTTCCAGCCCTGATGGCCAGCACTTATATTCCCTCAGCCCAGCCCCCTTGCTCCTCCTTTGGCTGCCTCTGTCCAATCAGCCTGGTTGAAATTCCTAGTGGCTATTTGCTAGAACCAATCATAAAAGATACACCCATTTCCTATTACCTTTTATGGGAGACAAAGAGCTATATTTCCTTCTATCCATAAATGGCAAACAAGTAGCCATATATCTTACATTTGCCTCGACCAGGCACCTTAATTATCAGATAACCTTTTTGCCCTATTGCCCTATTGCCCTATTCACTCCAGAACAGATGGCTAATGGTTTTAATTTTTATCTTAAACAGAGATCTTGGGTTCACCTTCTCACACACCATCAATGAAATAAGAATCTAACATAAGAATCTAACATTTCTTACTTTCTAAATCCTTTGCATAATTACATTTAAGCCAATATATTTCATACATAACATAGATAGATTTTTAGAAGGAAAGGCCTTTTCAAAGTAAAAGGAAATAGCTTCAAAAGCAACCTCTTCAATTTACAACTCCCTTTCAAGCCAGCTGCTGTTTCTAAAAGCTCTTGCCCTTTAACCTTATGAAAATATGGCTCGAGTCTTCTGTTAAACAATAAAACTTACTATTTACCAACTCTTAATTAGTGTTTTTTGCAGCTTGATTGTATTCTGTAATTTGTATGGTCAGTGTGACCTTTTGCTCCCAGCCTCTAATTTCCTTTTACAACCCTGAGGCACTGCTTATAGATCAGAGGGGCCCTGTTTAGGAAGATAAACATCTGCCAAAGCACCCAGCCAGCTGCTTTATGCCTGGCATGAGAGATACAAACATTTACAAATATATTTTTTAAGCTCTTTTTAAAATACAGGTCTTGATCAGATGCCTCAGTGCCATTTAGGTGTAGAAAGGCAACAGAAACAGAGGAGGAAAGACAATTTTTAAAGTAATATTTATAGTAAATCAGGATTTGAATTGAACTGCTTGCACCCTATCAGCTCACAAGTCCTCAGCCTCCTCCTTGACTGCTATTCACATAATAAATGAAAATGGGAAATAAACTCAATCTATCTGCATTAACTCAATATGCCAGCAAGTTTGGAAAACTCAGCAGTGGCCAGAGGATTGGAGAAGATCAGTGTACATCCCAATCCCAAAGAAGGGCAGTGCCAAAGAATGCTCCAACCAGCACACAATTGCATTCATTTCACATGCTAGCAAGGTTATGCTTAAAATTCTACAAGGCAGGCTTGAGCAGTATGTGGACCAAGAACTCCCAGAAGTGCAAGCTGGATTTCAAAGGGGCAGAGGAACCAGAGACTAAATTGCAAACATGCGCTGGATTATGGAGAAAGCTAGAGAGTTCCAGAAAAACATCTACTTCTGCTTCATTGACTATGCAAAAGCCTTTGACTGTGTCGACCACAGCAAACTATGGCAAGTTCTTAAAGAAATGGGAGTGCCTAATCACCTCATCTGTCTCCTGAGAAATCTCTATGTGGGACAAGAAGCTACAGTGAGAACTGGATATGGAACAACTGATTGGTTCAAAATTGGGAAAGGAGTACGACAAGGCTGTATATTGTCTCCCTGCTTATTTAACTTATATGCAGAATTCATCATGCGAAAGGCTGGATTGGATGAATCCCAAGCCGGAATTAAGATCGCCGGAAGAAATATCAACAACCTCAGATATGCAGATGACACAACCTTGATGGCAGAAAGTGAGGAGGAAATAAATAATCTCTTAATGAGGGTGAAAGAGGAGAGCACAAAATATGGTCTGAAGCTCAACGTCAAAAAAACTAACATCATGACCACTCGTCCCATCACCTCCTGGCAAATAGAAGGGGAAGAAATGGAGGCAGTGAGAGATAACTGCAGATGGTGACAGCAGTCACAAAATTAATAGACGTCTACTTCTTGGGAGGAAAGCAATGACAAACCTAGACAGCATCTTAAAAAGCAGAGACATCACCTTGCCGACAAAGGTCCGTATAATTAAAGCTATGGTTTTCCCAGTTGTGATGTATGGAAGTGAGAGCTGGACCATAAAGAAGGCTGATCGTTCAAGAATTAATGCTTTGGAATTTCGGTGCTGGAGGAGACTCTTGAGAGTCCCATGGACTGCAAGAAGATCAAACATGTCCATTCTTAAGGAAATCAGCCCTGAGTGCTCACTGGAAGGACAGATCCTGAAGCTGAGGCTCCAATACTTTGGCCAGCTCATGAGAAGAGAAGACTCCCTGGAAAAGACCCTGATGTTGGGAAAGATGGAGGGCAGAAGGAGAAGGGGACGACAGAGGACAAGATGGTTGGACAGTGTTCTCGAAGCTACCAGCATGAGTTTGACCAAACTGCGGGAGGCAGTGGAAGACAGGAGTGCCTGGCATGCTCTGGTCCATGGGGTCACAAAGAGTCAGACATGACTAAATGACTAAACAAGCTGCATTAAAAGGTGAACTTGCCTAATTTGCAATTGCTGAAAAAATATGGAGACCGAAACAGAGCAATCCTTAGAAATTCACACCTCTGAATTTTTCAAGGTTGACCCAGCCAAGTAATGTTCACACAAAAAATGTATTTATTAGGGTAAGGTACGTATTAAAATATTTATACAAGGAGGTAGCTACCCTAACATCTGATTCCTTTTCAGAATAATAAATGAATAAGCAGACAAAATGGAAAAATGAGAAATGCAGAGAAGCTGAAATGGGAAAATTTCCCCATCCCTCCTCAGTCCTGACTTGATTTTTCAAATGCTTGTTCCCTGTCTAGTAACAATAAAGACACTTACAAGGAGGTCTTTGCTTTCCTTGTCCAGGGCTGCTTGATAGGCCAGAACTTCCTCTCTCTCTTTCCTCAGAATTTCCACGTGGCGACAAATCTCTCCCTAAAGAGAAAATGAAAAACTCAGGTTTGATTGAGACAGACAGAGAGTTGATAGATATTATACTGGCTTCTTGCACCCAGTGGCCTTGCAAAGTAGTATACTGAAGGAAATAAAAGTCCATAGGTTTTCACCCTTTCTGGACCAACTACCTTCTTTTCTGCGGCACCCCTGTGGGGCTCAGGGACCCAATTAAATCACCCCTTGCTTGCAGAGCTGACATTATTCGCATTGCATGGCACAGGAGCATTTTTGAACCACTGTAGTAGAACAAGTGATTTTTTAAAAGGGATTAAAAGGCATTATATATATTTGTGTTTGCAGATGCTACTCTGAACCATTGAGTCCTTTGCCATTTGGGGTGGAAGGAGATCCTCAGCAGACCCCCCCCCCGCTGAAACCTCATTGCACAGGCCCCACAGCACCCCCAGAATAAGCCTGCTCCCCAGCATTAGGTGCTTCCGCCCCCACTCCTAAATCTGCTTCCAACAGATACTTGGGGGGGGTGGATCCTGCACTATCTGGTCAATTCCTGGCCCTCAGCCCCCCCTCCCCCCAGCTGACCCCTTACTGCTCTCTGGCACTGAGGATGGATCCTGCTAGCCAAAGGATACATGTACTTAGTTGTGTATGTGCAATTTACACTTGTAGTGTTCTTAATAAGTACAAAGCAACCTTGCTGGGGGATGTGGATGAGGTTAACCCTTTCTCTCCCCACCATGGTACCAGTTCAAATTTTTGAAGTTGCTGTGATTATTTCAAGGAAAGATCCCTTTGTCACACCCAGCAGAGAGAAAGACTTCAAGTTCCTCCTCCCAGCCATCCCAGGAGCCCTCAGGCTTCCCCTTGGCTGCTTTTTACATAACAAACAACCACCACTTAATGCCATGCCTAATTTGGATCTGAGAATTAAAAAGAAGAATCCAAAGCTATTTCTTCCCCTCAAGATCCAGGGATCTCCTACCTTGTATTCCTCCAAAGCCTCCTTCAGAGGAATCACCTTGTGATTTTCATGTATCCTGGATCTGTCACACACCACACAGATGGGGGCTTCATGGACTTTACAGAAGAGCTTGAGGGGTTCCTGATGCTCCTCACAGACTCCTCCTTTTCTTTCTTCTTCTTTCCTTCCTTGAACGCTGAGATTCTTAATTAATTGTAAGAGGTTTGCCAGTTGCCGGTTGGGGATGAGATTATTTTGCTGGACTGTTTCTCTGCACTGAGGGCAGGAAACCTCTACCTCCGATTCCCCCCAGCACTGGACCAAACAGGACCGGCAGAAGTTGTGCCCACATTCTGGGATGATCACTGGATCCTTAAAATATTCCATGCAGATGGAGCAAGTGGCTACATCAGAAAGATTCTGGTCGGAATACCCAGCAGCAGCCATAGCTCCCTCGCGCCAAAGACTCGAGTTAAGTTTCACTTTCTCTGTTTTCAGTCCCCGGGAGCTTCCTTTCCTGGAAATGACTCAGTGACCACGTGAACTTTTTTTTCCTTTTTCTTTAAATGTCCCCAGGTCGTTGCAGCTGCTGAATGTTTTCTCAAGAAGCCATGAATGCTTCTTGATTGCTTCCCATGCTTTTGATTACACACAAACTCACAGGTACCTACTAGGTTGGGGTATTCACACTGTAACATTTTCATTGGTAGGCTTCCTTGTCATTTTGGAATTAGAGAAAATCTGCTGCTGCTCTAAATGGATGGGAGTTCTGATTTAGCAAGCGGGATTTGATTCCATGAAGAAAACTCCTAAGTCTGGTTGCTAATTTTAACTTAATCTGTTTTTAGCATGCTGGCAAAGAACTTCAGATTGAAACAGACGCTTTCAGCATTGCCAACCTGGTGTCCTCTGTTTGCCTAAGACTACAACTCTCATCCAGATGACACAATGCAGATGACACAACATTGATAGCAGAAAGTGAGGAGGAATTAAAGAACCTTTTAATGAGGGTGAAAGAGGAGAGCGCAAAATATGGTTTGAAGCTCAACATCAAAAAAACAAAGATCAAGGCCGCTGGTCCCATCACCTCCTGGCAAATAGAAGGGGAAGAAATGGAGGCAGTGAGAGATTTTACTTTCTGGGGCTCCATGATCACTGCAGATGGTGACAGCAGCCACGAAATTAAAAGACACCTGCTTCTTGGGAGAAAAGCAGTGACAAAGCTAGACAGCATCTTAAAAATCAGAGACATCACCTTGCCAACAAAGGTCTGTATAGTTAAAGCTATGGTTTTCCCAGTAGTAATGTATGGAAGTGAGAGCTGGACCATAAAGATGGCTGATCGCCGAAGAATTTATGCTTTTGAAATATGGTGCTGGAGGAGACTCTTGAGAGTCCCATGGACTGCAAGAAGATCAAACCTATCCATTCTTAAGGAGATCAGCCCTGAGTTCTCACTGGAAGGACACATCCTGAAGCTGAGGCTCCAATACTTTGGCCACCTCATGAGAAGAGAAGACTCCCTGGAAAAGACCCTGATGTTGGGAAAGATGGAGGGCATAAAGAGAAGGGGACGACAGAAGACGAGATGGTTGGACAGTGTTCTCGAAGCTACCAACATGAGTTTGACCAAACTGCGGGAGGCAGTGGAAGACAGAAGTGCCTGGCGTGCTCTGGTCCATGGGGTCACGAAGAGTTGGACACAACTAAACGACTAAACAACAACAACAAATGACAGCTAGAAGCTACTGAGAGTCTTCTTTAGAAATCTGTCCAGTTCTCTTTTAAAGCCATCAATGGTGTTGGCCATCTCTCCTTCCCTTCTCCGGTGGGAGCAAATTCCCTAGTTCAATTCTGCTTTTTGTGAAGAAGGATTTTCTTTTGTCTTCCTTGAAACTTCCAGCACCCAGTTTTGTGAGATGCTTGCAAGTTCTAGTGCGTTGAGGGAGAAAAATACTTCTCTCATGTCACCTCTTGCTCACCTTTTCTCTAAGCTAAAAAGTCTTAAATTCTGCAACCTTTCTTCACAGGGGAGTTGCTCCCCAATTATGATAACACTCTGAAAGTTAAAACAGTGTTCCAATGAGCAGTCAAATCCTGTCTCATTATTTTGGATGCTTCTCCGACCTGCTTTCTTTTGAACCCATGCTTTCTGTATTTTTTGTCGATGTTTCTCCTTCAACACACACTATTAGTTTGTATACCCTATGGTGCATATAACAACAGCAGCAGTTTGTGATCCCTTCACTGTGAACTGCAGAGTTTTCTGCGTCTTCCCTGGGCTGGGCTCCCAAGGAAAATCGGAAAATCTTTTCAGGAAAGCAATGAAAGGAGGAATGGTTTCATCTGGATCAGATTTATTAGAATCATAGTAGAGTTGGAAAGACCCAGAGGATCATCTAGTCGAACCCCCAGCAATGAAGGAATAGGCAGCTGTCCCATACAGGGATTGAACCTGCAATCTTGGCATTATCAGCACCATGCTCTAGAGTCTAACCGACTGAGCCATTGGTGCTGTCAAGGTGAAGAAGTGCTTTCCCTTTCAGTCAGTGTTCTTTGGACTGTAGGCAACGTCAGTCCATTTGCCACTAACAAGGTGACATTAACCATAACTGCTTTGGGTAGAATTTAATACACTAGACGTAAAAATAGGGGTCAGGAACTTAGGGGTGCCAACCGAATGCCCACATCCAATCCAGAAGCTAGGGAGGTCTATATATCGTGTGGTTTGCAGATTCATTTTATCTGTCCAAACCAGGGTTTCCTAAACTTTGGTCTCCAGCTGTTTTTGGATTACAGTTCCCATCCTTCCATAATCACTGGTCCTGCTAGCAAGGGATGATGGAAGTTGTAGTCCAAAACCAGCTGGAGACCAAAGTTTAGGAAACCCCGGTCCAAACAAAATTCCTCCCACACTCAGGAGCATTCATAAGGTCTCTTTCCCATGGGTTTCTTGATGTCCAATCAATCTATCTGTCTTGTCAAGAAACGTTTCTCAGGCCATTTGAACGATCTCTCTCCAGGATGGGTACCCCAATTACTCCAGCTGAAACTTTCAGCACACCAAGAACATTTATATAGTCAATATGAACTCCCTCGTTTCTTCCACTCTCCTCTCTCACTGAAGTTATTAACCACAATGAGAATATCAGATCATCTCTCTCCACTGTGAATTCTTGGATATCTGTTCAAATTTACTTCGTCACAGAATTTTTTTTGCAAACCAAGAACGTTCATATGGTTTCTCATGCCTCTTCTCTCCGGTATGAGTTAGCTCTCACTGTCTTGTTGCAAATTAATTTTTATTGAGATAGTATAAAAACCAGATATGAAAAAGGTACCAAAATTGACAAAGTACATTAGAGTAATGCGTACAGCAATGTTGAGACATAGTATTTCAAAGCAGAACAACCTAAGTCTCTCGATAGCAGCCCTCTGTGACATGACTTGCCTCACTGGAGGCTGTAATTATTTCTCACCCTTATTTGCACAAAATATAAAGGGTCACCATATTATATCGAGCTTGTATTGGCAATTCTAACAATACAACTCTTGTAAACCAACTCTTTCTAACAATGCCACGCCTCTTGTTTTATCTAGCCAGCCTTTCATGCAGAATCCCGTTGTTTTCCAGTGACCCATTTGCGCCACAGATGCAAGCGGGAATCCAGGTCACAATGAATCAGTTGAGGCTTGTCTAAGAAGGACCTAACGTTCCAGGTCGCTCTGGAGGAGGCCCTGGCAACAGAAGCTGCCGAGAGGTCGACCCAAGAGGCACGGCCGAGCCTGCCATCCCAACCGAGGGTCCACCATGAAGACCTCACCGACGACTCAGGATCTGACAGGGAGGAGGTGCACCGAGTACAGCAGCGCACTCAAGCAGCGCACAGACCACAGCTGCCTCGACGAGAAGGAGGGAACTGCGCAAGCTGCGGGGAGAGTCACGAGAGGAGGACCTGCCGTTTCCGCAACGCAGAGTGCAGGCAGTGCAGAAAATCGGGACACATCGCCCGGGTGTGTCGGGCTCCGCCCACCCCACACCCGGCATCAGATGACCAATCCAAGAGCCCCAGGTCCCGGGGCCCAACGCACCAAGGCAACTCGACGGAGCTCACGGACTTCCAGGTATACCAGTTGCCCCACCCCAACGTAGAGAAAATTTATGTAGAGGTACAGATAGAGGGGCCCCATGCCGCATGGAGCTTGACACGGGTTCAACTCTATCCATAATCTCGGCAAGGACCTTAAGGAAACTGTGTCCCACTGGGGGTCCCAAACTCAGGCCGGCCCCATTCACCCTCCGGGACTTCCAGAAACGTAAGGTCCCCACAATGGGGGTGGGGACCTTCAGGGTGCAATACCGAGGGCGGACGCGGCAACTGGACTTGCTTGTGGTCAAGGGCCCCTACATTAGCTTACTGGGATTGGCATGGTTTGGACCACTGGGGCTAGCTGTCACCGGGGTGAACCACACTAGCTTACAAGTGGACGTGGACGCCATATGCAAGGAATTTCCAGGGGTTTTCGATGGGAAATTGGGACAGTATACGGGCCCCCCCATTGCGCTACAGCTTGACCCCGCAGTACGACCGGTCAGGCTCAAGGCCCGCCGGGTCCCGTTCGCCTTGAAACCCCGTATAGACGAGGAATTGGACCGACTCGTAGAGCAAGGAGTGCTGGAGCCGGTGCCTAATGCTCCCTGGGAAACCCCAATCGTCACACCCGTCAAGCCTAATGGTTCGGTCCGCATCTGCGCAGACTACAAATGTACCATAAACAAGGCCCTCACGGCCCACGCATACCCAGTGCCAGTGGTCAGCCATGTCCTTGCCACCCTGGCTGGGTCGAAAATTTTTGGCAAGCTGGACTTGGCCCAAGCATATCAACAGCTGCCAGTAGATGAGGCCACAGCAGAGGCACAGACGATTGTGACGCACAGAGGAGCGTTCAGGGTAAAGCGGCTGCAATTCGGTGTCAGCGTGGCACCAGGCATATTCCAGAATATAATGGACTCTCTCCTTAAAGGGATTCCTGGCGTCACCCCCTTCTTCGATGATGTGTTGATTGCCGGCCCCACACCAGAGGAGTTTGAGGACCGCCTCCGCACCGTTCTGCACCGTTTCCAGACGGCGGGTCTCAAGGTGAAGCGGGAAAAATGTCTACTAGGAGTGCCTCAGGTGGACTTTCTGGGATTTATGGTGGACGCAGAAGGGGTCCACCCGACTGGGGACAAGGTACGGGCCATTGGTGATGCCCCAGCGCCCAAGAGCAAGACTGAACTTCAGGCCTTCTTGGGACTATTGAACTTTTACCATTCCTTCCTTCCCCACAAGGCGGCGGTAGCGGAGCCCCTACACAGACTCCTGGACAAGCGGGCCCCTTGGGTGTGGGGCCAGCGCCAGGAGGCCGCATTCCAGGCAGTCAAGGACTTGCTTGTCTCAAACTCGGTCTTGGCACACTTCGACGAGAGGCTGCCGGTGGTGCTAGCATGCGACGCCTCACCCTATGGCATTGGAGCTGTCCTGGGGCACCAACTCCCGGATGGAAGAGAGGTACCGGTGGCGTACTTTTCCCAGACACTCAACACAACCGAGCGGAACTACTCGCAAATCGACAAGGAGGGTCTGGCAATCGTAAAGGGAGTAAAAATTCCATGATTTCTTGTACGGGCGGCCCTTCACCGTGGTGACTGACCACAAGCCGTTGCTTGGCTTGTTTGCCCCCGAAAGCAGACCCCCCAAGTGCTGTCTCCTCGCGTCCTCAGGTGGTCAATTTTCCTTGCCAGCTACCAGTATGCACTGATTCACCGACCTGGGAAGGCGATGGGCCATGCGGACGCCCTCAGCAGGCTACCACTACCGGAAACAGGCCCTGACCCAGCACCTGCACAAGAGGTTATGAGCCTGGAGCTGCTTCCCGACCGCCCCATTCAGGCACAAGAAGTTGCACACCATTCCAAGAAAGATAGGGTCATCTCCCGGGTCCTGGACTGGGTGTGGGGGGATGGCCCAGCAGCAGCCCCGGGCCAGAATTCGCCGGCTACACAACCCGCAAACATGAACTGTCGGCCCACAAGGGGTGCCTGTTATGGGGAAGCAGAGTCGTTGTTCCCCAGCCCCTCTGCAAAAGGGTCCTCACAGCCCTACACGAGACACATCCAGGGGTAGTAAGAATGAAGGCCCTTGCCAGGAGTTATGTGTGGTGGCCGGGGATCGATGGAGAGATAGAGGCCTGGGTCAAACACTGCCAGGCCTGCCAAGAATCCCGCCCAGATCCCCCAAGGGCCCCAGTCCAGTCCTGGGAGTCCGCCCGAGCACCATGGTCACGCCTGCATGTGGATTTCGCTGGCCCCTTTCAGGGGAAAACATTCTTCATAGTGGTGGACTCCTACACCAAATGGCTGGAAGTCGCACTGGTACCGTCCACTTCCACGTCCGCAGCCATCCGGGTACTACGCAGGCTGTTTGCAACCCACGGGCTCCCTGACACTCTCGTCTCAGACAACGGGACTGCATTTACGTCAGGAGAATTCCAAACCTTCACAGCGCAGAACGCCATCCGCCACATCCGTTCGGCGCCGTTCCACCCTGCCACCAATGGCCAAGCAGAACGCATGGTGCGGACCACCAAGGACACCCTTCGCCGCATGACGCAAGGGGACTGGGAGTACCGCCTTGCCACATTCCTTCTAGCACAGCACAGCACCCCCAGCTCAACGACTGGCCGGAGCCCCGCTGAACTACTAATGGGTCGGCGCCTTGCAATCAGATTGGACCGCCTTCACCCCGATAGAGCTCAGGATGAGGTAGTGGTGGGGGAAGGCAGGAACCCCCGGACCTTCGAGGCCCAGGACCCAGTGTACGCAAAGAATTTTGGGGCAGGCCCAGCATGGGTACCCGCCACAATCACCAGGGTCACTGGCCCCGTGTCGTACGAGGTGCTAACGGATGGGGGGCAATGCTGGCGCCGCCACTGCGACCAGATACGGCGACGATTCCCGGGAGAAAACCAGGAGGAGGACAGGTCAGAGGAGTCCCAAGGGAACAGCGGGGCAGTGAGGCCCATAGAGCAGGAGGGGCCAGCAGGAGAGGCAGAATCAGTAAATACAGAGAGGACCCGTGAGGCCGAAAGGACACCGGAACCAGAACCACGACTGAGCGAGCCGGTTGCACCAGACCAAACAGCCGCATCACAGCCAGCATCCTTGGAACACGAGCCAGAACCCGGAGCCCGGACCAGGGAACACCCCAGGCCACAACGCACACGTAGGCCGCCGGCATACCTTGAGGACTATGAATGCGACCTCCCGGGCAGGACTGGAACTTAGAGGGGAGGGGTGTTATGTACTGAGTTGAATAGGATCCAAACTGTAGCAGTCTGATTGGTCCTAGAACAATAGGATCCAAAAGGCAGCAGTCTGATTGGTCCTAGAACAATAGGATTCAGAACGCAGCAGTCTGATTGGTCCTAGAACAATGCAGCAGTATGATTGGTTGGCAGGAACCACCCAATCCTGCTCCAGATAGAAGTGAATCCACAACCTGATTGGCTTACAGTAGAATTCCAGAATTAGCCAATCATGTGCAGCCCATTGTGTAAATAATGTATATAAAGCAGATACTGTGAGGGGACATTTATTCATTCCTCCTCACCACTATGAGCTGAATAAAGAGCATGAAATCACTTTGCGACTCTGAGTATATTTCAAGGCTTATCAGGAGATTGGATTGTGAACAACAAAAAGATTCCCATAGAGCCATACTTGAAGCGGCGAGGAGGCTGCTACGACTCTCTCGGCTGCTCGGCTCCCTCCGAATGGCTGCAAAAAAAGGCTCCGTCCGGGAGGCTGGCGGGCGAGGGGACCCCGATCCCGGCGGAGAACGATGCCGCGCCGGCGGATCCCAGCCTCGCCTCCTCTCTGTCCCTCTTAAGGCGCGCTCCTCTTCCTCGCGTGCTTCGGGGCGGAGCTGGCGTGGGAGAGTTGCACGCATCCCGGCGTTCAGAAGGGGGCGATCGTGTGAATCCTCCGGGTTTTGCCTCTTGCGGCTCCGCCATTAAACCACCGAGCAAGAGGAGGAGGCGGAGGCGGCAGAGACCGCCTGCAGCCTCCGACGCCCCGCTTCCAGCCGGGGGCGGCGCCAGGGAACTGTAGTTCGCGGGCGCCGAAACGGAGCGAGCGGGGAGTAGCGCCGGTAGGAACCAGGATCGCCATCGATCGCGGTAGGAACCGGGATCGCTCCGGCTTTGTCGCTGTGGCAGCTTCTCTCGCAGCCCTGCAGCCCTGCGAGAGGGAAGTCCCGTCGGGAGCTGGAAGAGCCGCCTGCATTAGCGCTTGCCTGCAGCCCAATACTGTCTTGCACAGGCTGGCAGCGGCAACGGCTCGCCAGGGTGTCAGGCGGGGGAACGGACGGTCCCAGCCTCACCTGGATCGTACCTGCATGCAAAATGTTGTTTGTTTATATCTTACTGACATAGGAAGCTTATACCAAGCCAGACCAGTGGTTCATGCAGCCCAAGACTGTCTGCACTGGCCGGCAGCCCCAGCCTCACCTGGAGATGCCAGGCTTACCTTATATGGGAGGACAGGGTTCATGTCCCCACTTGGCTCGTGCCAGTCACTGCCTCTCCGCCTAACCTACCTTGCAAGGCTGTTGTGGCGATTAAATGAGGAAGTGGAGAGCCATGGGCTTCAGTTCCTTGGAAATGAAAGTGGGCTATAAATGTGTGCCTCTTCCATGTGAGGGTGGCAACATGAGAACAGGGCCTTTTCTGCGGTGGTTCCCCATTTGTGGAATGCTCTCCTCAGGGAGGTTAGCCTGGCACCTTCCTTGTATATCTTTAGGTGCCAGGCAAAAACATTCTTTTTCAACCAGGCCTTTGGCTGATTAATACTCTACAGCCTTTTAAATGTGTTTGTGCGTGTATTATGGCTTTGTTGTTTCTGTTTTAAGTATTTATTTGCAATTTTACCTTGTGTTTTTATCTTGTGTAACCACCCTGAGATTGTTTGATGAAAGGCAGTGTATAAATTCAATAAAGAAAATAATGCAATCAAGGAAATTAATGAATTAATGAAATACTTAAAGATGCTGAACTACTATTTTTATTTTATTGACTTAAGAAAATTATACAGACAGCAAAACGAAGAAGCGTAAATTAACATTGCCTTCTACCAATAAGAAATAATAATAACAAATCTTAACTTGTCATTCTGTCATTTGTGGTACTTTTTCTGTTTTCCAATATTTTGCGGCTGGGGTTATATAAAAAATATATTCCTTTTGTCCTTGGGGCTGTTGTTCGTTAATAAACTAATTCCATTGTTTCTCACTCAGGAAGACTATCGCCTAACCACTGAGCATCACTGCCAGGGAATGGTCAAGGGCAGGTGGTGTATATGACGGTTGAACCCCATCGACCACAATCCAGTCCTTTAAAGGACTAGAAGATCAACCAAGAAATTAGCTGTTCCTTCTTTTGTGTTTCTGGCCAGACTTTCAGGGATTGAGAGCAAAGATAGTTTTCCTGTCAATCAACCGGCTTCTAGATTGGCCCAGTGAACTTTGGAAGCGATGAAGAAGCAAAATTTTACAGGTCCGGAACTGGATCTCAGACCAGACCCAGCAGGAAAAGCAAGCAGGGTGCTTCTGCCTGGAATTACGATCGAGCGACCAGGATATGGAGCGTCTGAAGACGGCAAAGGGGGACCCGGCAAGGGGAGGCAAGAGCGATGGGAAGCCCAGTGGCAGCAGTTCCTGAAGACCCTGCAGCCCCTTCACCCAGAAGGGGGAGGCCCCCCAGAGATGCCTGAGTCTGCCCCCTGGGAAGACGCCCAGGCCTTCCTGGCCTCCTTTGAGAAAGTGGCCAAAGCCTGCCGCTGGCCCAGAGGAGAGTGGGCGGCCCGGCTCCTGCCCGCGCTGAGCGGAGAAGCAGACGAGGCCTTCCGGAGCCTGGAAGCCGGAGACAGAGAGGATTATGGGAAGGTGAAGGCGGCCATCTTGCGAGGGGTCGCCCTGAGGATGGAGGCCGAGCGCCAACACTTCCGGCAGTTCTGCTGCCAGCAGGTGGAGGACCCCCGGAGGATCCACCTGCAGCTGCAGGATCTCTGCCACCGGTGGCTGAAGCCGGAGAGACGCAGCAAGGAGCAGATCCTGGAGCTGCTGGTCCTGGAGCAGTTCCTGGCCAGCCTCCCGCCAGAGCTGCAGAGCTGGATCCGAGCAGGAGGACCGGAGTCGTGTTCGCAGGCGGTGGCCCTGGCGGAGGAGTTCCTGATGGCCAGCCAGCAGGTGGGCAGAACAGACAAATGGCAGGTGAGGTTTTCATCCCTCTCAAGCAACAGGCGGTGGCCTGGAATATTGGCGTCATCTGCAGTTGTTCAGTTAGCAATGGGTGGGATTTTTAGCAGGGAGCTGCGGTGAATTTTCTTCAGTTAACCACACTAAGATTGTTGAGCTAATCAATAGCCGTTATTGGTTATTAGCACTGAGGAAATTAAGAATTCCAAAGCATCAGGTTAACTTTTAGAAGTTACCGAGTTATGTATGCATGCATCTCTAGGTCATATGCAGCCGTAAAAATGGAAGCTTTTGGTTTCCCAGGCAACACTTTTTACCAGACACAGGAAAGTGACCTTTCTGGCTTCAGTGGGGTCATACAGGCCTCGTCAACAAATTCCTTCTCTCTTTTCTGCATTTCATTTCACTTTTAATTTGTATACCGTCTTTCTATTTTACAATACCCACGGCGGTTTACAAGCTGCAGAAACAAAGAATGTAGCCCTTATAAGCATCTACTCCAATACAAAAATGTGATTATTATTATTATTATTATTTATTATTTGTACCCCGCCCATCTGGCTGGGTTTCCCCAGCCACTCTGGGCGGCTTCCATAGAAACCAAAAATACAGTAAAATATCACAGATTAAAAACTTCCCTGAACAGGGCTGCCTTAAGAGGTCTTCTAAATGTCAGGTAGTTATTTATCTCTTTGACATCTGATGGGAGGGCGTTCCACAGGGCGGGCGCCACTACCGAGAAGGCCCTCTGCCTGGTTCCCTGTAGCTTTGCTTCTCACAATGAGGGAACCGCCAGAAGGCCCTCGGCGCTGGACCTCAGCGTCCGGGCAGAACGATGGGGGTGGAGACGCTCCTTCAGGTATACTGGGCCGAGGCCGTTTAGGGCTTTAAAGGTCAACACCAGCACTTTGAATTGTGCTTGGAAACGTACTGGGAGCCAATGTAGGTCTTTCAAGACCGGTGTTATGTGGTCTCGGCGGCCGGCCCCTGTCACCAGTCTAGCTGCCGCATTCTGGATTAGTTGTAGTTTCCGAGTCACCTTCAAAGGTAGCCCCACGTAGAGCGCATTGCAGTAGTCCAAGCGGGAGATAACTAGAGCATGCACCACTCTGGCGAGACAGTCCGCGGGCAGGTAGGGTCTCAGCCAGCGTACCAGGTGGAGTTAGTAGACAGCTGCCCTGGATACAGAATTGACCTGCGCCTCCATGGACAGCTGTGAGTCCAAAATGACTCCCAGGCTGCGCACCTGGTCCTTCAGGGGCACAGTTACCCTATTCAGGACCAGGGAGTCCTCCACACCAGCCCGCCCCCTGTTCCCCAAAAACAATACTGATAATAAATCATAACTTTAAAATAAGCAACTTATATCAAATAAACTAATATTCAACAATCCATTAGAACAGTATAGAATAATACTAAATATCAGCATATAAAAATTAAACAGATATCCACTCTTAACAGTGGCTGGGGAAACCCAACCAGATGGGCGGGGTATAAATAATTTTTATTATTATTATTATTATTAACAAGTATAATAAATATTTTCTAAACTATCATCAATAAAAACTACTTCGGCAAGTCACAATGCATAAAAGAATACAATAAAAATTGAAAAGCAGAGACTGGAGGGTGGGGCAAGGCAGGTGGAAGAAGGCCTCATAATTCAAAAGGCCTCTTAGCTTATTTTTACAAAATCCCTCCATCCCCAATAGCTTTTTGATGCATTAATTTTCTTCACATACATCTTAAATGTATACATTTGGATGTTTTCCCACAACATAGCTGAAGCTGAGAACACTCTTAGCTTAATACGATCAGCTGAACATTATCGGGCATCTCTGAATGCTTTTTGTAAGATGCTCATATGGTTCTTCCGTTGGCAAGAAGTTTCATACATGCAGCCATATGAAATGTTCACAACTGCTCCTTTACCATTATAAAATATTCCTATTAAACACCAAAAAGCATTGTGTTTAGATAATCAGTTGACATTTTTTGTTGACATTTTATGACTGGTATTATTGCTACTGGCACAGGGGATGGTTGAAATGAATGTCAAACTAAATGAAAAGGTAGATTAATTTCTTACAAATTGTAATAAGTTTTTTCAGTAGAAGAGAATACCTTTCATTGTGTTATTCCTTAGATCGTAGCAGCACAGAATTGTAGTATCATAGAATTGTAGAGTTGGAAGGGACCCTGAGGCCTCGGTCCAGTATACCTGAAGGAGCGTCTCCACCCCCATTATTCTGCCTGGACACTGGGTCCAGCACCAAGGGCCTTCTGGCGGTTCCCTCACTGCGAGAAGCCAAGTTACAGGGAACCAGGCAGAGGGCCTTCTCCGTAGTGGCACCCGCCCTGTGGAACGCCCTCCCACCAGATGTCACTCAGGTGAAATAATAAAACACCAATTACTGCTAAGAAATCCAAATTTCAAGTAGAATTCTGGTCTAACCTTGAATTGGCAGCCACCAGGACAAATTTTGCTCTTGGATCCTGCTTGCCCGATTCCTATAGGCATCTGGTTGGCCACTGTGGGAACAGGATGCTGGACTAGATGGGGCTTTGGTCTGATCCAGCAGGACTTTTGATAGGTAAGCTTTATTTGGTCCGAATAGCTCCTTGAATTAATACTCGAAGGGGAAGGAGGTTTAGGAGCGCAGAGCCCTTCTCATTCCTGTGCCTCTGTTCTGAGAGGGGTTTTCTCTGCCTGTTTCAGGGGCCGCTGCAAGAGGTGTGTTTGGCTTCCCTGGATGCAGTGGAGGAGCCCTCAGATGCCGCCGAGGGGCAGGTCTGCTACGAAGGGAAGCAGGAGAGCGATGGGGAGATCAGGTTGCTGGGTAAGAAGTCACCAAATTAGTGTTTCGCGTTGTTCTAGTTTCATTTTTTAAAAATAATAATATTTATTAATAATTTCAGAATTACAGAAAAAAATAAAAAACAAAAAACAACACTACAATACATAAAAAGAAGAAAAAACGCAAAACATAAAAACCAATACATCAATACAGTAATATGTATGTATATATATATATATATATATATATATAGGAAAAAAAGAAAGACACAAATCCCATATAACTTCCATTTGCTTGTTTCATTGACCTCCTCGCACCTCCCTTTTTGTATTCTAGTTTAGTTAGTTATTTCAGCAAATTCTTTCCATCTTTCTCAATTTTTATTAAATAATTTATCTTAACAATTTAACCTATTAATTAACTCAACAGATCCTTTCCATCTTTCCCCATATTCTGTTATTCAAATTACCTTAATTTATTTAACCTTATTTATTTAACCTTATCTAGTTTCATGGATTATGAGAGGGATGAGATTTGGGCTGCCTCAGTCTCTCAGAAGGAAGGAACTATGGTGTGTTCATCTTTTGTTTTGGGGAATCAGAATGGCTGCCCAGGTCTTCTAAGTCAAGCTTTTATTTCATAGAAATGAATAAATCCCACCCACATGTGAGGAGTTTAGAAACCTGATTCTTTCCTCTCTTTTTTCCCCTTTCAATTTCTTGCTGAATACTCGCAATTGGAAATTTTTAACGTTTGATGTTTTATTGTGTTTTTTATGTGTTGGAAGCCACCCAGAGTGTCTGGGGCAACCCAGCCAGATGGGCCAGATATAAACAAGAAAGTTATTATCATTATTCTTATTATCATTATCATTGTCATCATCATCATTATCATCCCAGTCTGTGCCTGTGTTGGATTTGAAATCCACTTCTATATATGTAAGGGTTTTTAATTGTTTTTGGATATGCAATTATTCATAGGCAGCAATCTTTTTAACTTTATAAATACGTGTGCATGAGAGAGCGATAGCCCAAGCACAATATATCTATATATATTTTTGTGCCGTATTGTGAAATGACTTCGAGATCCTTCATAGGGAGCCATCCATGAATAATAATACTAAATCTGGCTTCTTATTATTATTAATCTCTTAACAGCAGAAATCTTGCTCCAGGTGAGCAAAAGCAAGGCGCTGTCTGTGCAATTTTTTGGCAGCTGTACCAAAAGGGGAATTGGTGACTTGGGTCTCTTTCCCTGTCACTCCATGAAAACCTGCCCCTTCTCTCCTTTATGCAACTCTTAACAGAACAGGAAACTTACTCTGCCGTACCCAGACACCCTAAAGGTGATGGGAATAACTTGCTCCCCATTTCTAAATTTCCCCTCGCAGGCGGCGGAATCAAGTGCTCAGGTCACTCTAGTTCCTTGTCTCCTGCGGAAGGACAGAGGATGGCTGACTCAGGTCTGAATGAGGTATGAGAAGTCTGGATGGGTCAGCTTTTCTGTGTGGTGTGTTAAGACTATAGAGGAGCTAGGCTAACAGTGGATGCTGCGATGAGTCCTCTTTCCTGGTTTTCTAATACCTGTCCTGGTAAACTGTTGGTTCTTTTTTTTGCTCATTTAGAGGGGGGGAGCCTTTATTTAACAGACTTTGGGTACTGACAAATCATTTTTAAAAACCCTATAAGCGGTTCACATAAAATGTAAAATGTACGTTAAAGTATTTGATGAAGGTCAGAAGTTAAAAACAAGTTGGCCAAAAAGCGAAATCATTTTTCTAGTGCACATGTGCACTGGAGTTACTTCTGTTCCTAGTCCTCATTGTTTATACAGTCGTACCTTGGTTTTCGAATTTAATACATTCCGGGAGTCTGTTTGACTCCCGGAACAGCTCGGAAATCAAGGTGCGGCTTCTGGTTGGCTGCTGGAGCATCCTGCAGCCAGTTGGAAGCCACACCAGACATTCGGGTTTCAATCGTTCAGGAGCTGAAACTTTCGAGTTCAAAGGCATTTGGCTTCCGAGGTTGCACTGTAGTAGATTGGCCTGTAAGGCTGGAACCCTGCCCACATTTACCTGCATATTGGGCAGTGAGGCTTAAATAGCACAGTAAAGAGTGCAAGAAAAGTGGTTTTCCCCCTCCCTTATGCTTTACAAGTGGATCAAAGATGGTGGAATCCAACTAAGTTAACTGCGGCAGGGATCAACTTTCATGAGCGCAACAAGATGTCCTCCCCCTGCATGCCTCTCCCAATTTCCTCCAGGTCTCTGGAGCTGATTTGGAGGAGAAGGAGGTGAAGTTTCGTTGTGCTCATGGAAGTTATTCCATGTGCAATCAATGGCTCTGAATGCTATTTATTGTGCAACGAGACCTGACTGGGGAAATCAGTTGGTGGTTCCTTTCACGTTTTTCCAGGGGCTGGTAAACCTCAAGGAGGCAGGTGTCTCCTTGCACCTAGTGGAGCCGACTCTGATCCAGCCAGGCCAACAGACGATGTTCTGGCAAGTCTTGCAGGAGGAAGATGGGAGCACCGAATCCTTGGGTAAGGCTTTGTCATTCTCAGGCCCCAGGAGCTGCTGTGGATGCTGGCATAACCAATTGCCCTCTTTGGAATCTATAGGAGGGGGGCGGAATAATTGAATAACTAGATTGAGTATTTGACTCCTTTGAATAAATATTGCATACACAACTGACAGATGGAGTTCCTTTAATCCATTTCTTTCCATTTTCTCTCTCTTAACTATTATCTCTCTGGATAGTTTTTTATTATTCTTATATAATTACTCTCTCTCGTTGTACTTTGGTAAGAACTGTACACACATGAAGGGGAATGACAGTTTGAGGACCCTGTGTGAGAGATGGGCAAGGGGAGATATCACCAGCTTTGAGAAGAGAAACATGAGCCCAGGTGACAGCTGAGAGGGCACACCTTTCTCTGTTAAGCTTTATTGATGAGGGAGGATCTTGTAGTTTCTGTTTCTTTTCCTTCTTTCTTTGGTTTCTTTCTTTTCTAGATTAGTTGGCTCCTTTCATTGTATAGTCATACCTTGGAAGTCAAACGGAATCAGTTCCGGAAGTCCGTTCGACTTCTAAAACGTTCAGAAACCAAAATGCAGCTTTGTTCAGCTTAAAATGGATAGAATTGAAAGCACATAGCAAAAGGTGAAGCTTCTGAAGAAACTTAATTTTGTCTGATGCGTGCCTTTCCAAAAAAGAGCATTTCCACACTATTATTATTTAATTAACATGTATTCTTCTGTAATATAAAGTTGATGTGAGTTTTTTGTATATACAGTGGTACCTTGGTTCCCGAACTTAATCCGTTCCAGGAGTCGGTTCGACTCCCAAAACCGTTCGAAAACCAAGGCACAGCTTCTGATTGGCTGCAGGAGCTTTGAAAAGCATGTTTATTGGGTTTTGAACTGAGCTAGACATCATTCTCTCTCTGTTCCTCTTTTCCACTCAAGAGGGATTTTTGGCGCCCAAACCTGATTTCCCCTCCCACCCCAAAAAGGAGGACGAGATATTCCACCAGTTCTCGGTGCAATGTGAACGACCCTCGGACCAAGCTATGGGTAAGGGGTTGGCAGTGTTTGCCATTGGAGGAGGACACTGGGGTTGCCATGCAGAGCTGAAGGCCACTCTTTTTTCTTTCTTTTTTCCCTCTTCCCAAGGTCATTGTACACAGGTTCATCAGCATTTCTGATGACTAGTGGATGAACCAAAAAAATTATGCAGAACGGGACTGACTCCTCGTGCATTCTCTTTTTTCCTGAAAATGCAGAAAATTTCTGGAAATGTCAATGAGATCCTTTCCACTTAAGATTTAAATCTAGTTTAACTACGATGCATTGTGTCCAAAGAAGCCTACAAGGTCTTGCACTTTTGCAACAGAACCTCCCTTTTCTCTGTCCTCTCGCTCACGCCCACCCTCCCCCCAAAAAATGCCCCACAGGGTAAAGGGAACACCTAGAAAATATTTAGTGGGCCCTTAGACAGGCACGGTCTCTGTGGTATTTTTGGTACCTTTTTCTTCCCACAAACCTTTTAAGCTGAGATCATTCCCAGTCTTATTTCTGTGTTGGAATTGTTTTAAATATGTTTTTAGGTGCTTTCTTTTTTTTTTTTTCAAATGATATTTATTAAAATTTTCAAAAATACAGAAAGTAAGAATTCAAATACATTCAAAGCCTTATTTTCATACATCCACTTTCCGGGACTCCCCCCTTCCCCCACCCCTACCATATTCCTCTTTCACATTGTTGGCTCCACAAGCTCTCAATTCTAATTAAAACTTAATTATTTAGACCATTATCCGAATTTAAAATTTATACACTCCTCATCAATACTCTTAATAAAAGACAAAAATTCTTTCCCAGGGCCCACCCCATTTTCATTCCACAATTTCCCTTTTTTTAATAATAAGGACACCCCACACAATAGAAATATCAAAGATAAGAAATAAAAAGTATAGTAGATGAAAAAGAGCCAGTTCAAAAAAAAAAAAAGAAGTTAACAAGCCTTTGGATTTTAGTTCTCCCCCCCCTGTCCCCGGTTTAATTTCCCCCTGACCACCAAACCATGTTATCCGCCTGGAATTCTTAAAGTCCATAAATCACCTATTTCCCCCAACTCCTTGCTGGCTTTTTCTTTTTGTAGTTTTTTTTTTTTTTTTTTTTTTAAAAACACTTAACTTCAGATCTTTAATAAAACTCCCCCCATTGTTCTTTCCAAATTGTAGTCCAATTTCCTCTTGTTCCGCTGCTAAAACGTTCTAATTCTGTTTTTAGGTGCTTTCATTGCTTTATCATTTGTGGGTTTGAGAAACAGGGCAGGGTCATTCCACGCCAAAACACCTGGTGCTATGTGCTCTCATGTTTCAGATTTTGTTCAAAATTTTTGGCACTTAATACCGCTTTTATACCTTATTTCGAAAGAGACAAAAAATAGCTTTATTTTGATACCAAAATAAGCCCAATTGGTTGAAAAATAAGCGGAACAGGTTTTTTCTAAACTGACACAGAAATTGCATTAGCCTAAATCACGTGAAAATTTAAATTAAAAAAAAAATCTCCTGAGCCCAATTTTGGACCAAAAAATCTGAAAAAAATAATTTGAGGGTGTCTCATAGGTATGTACACACACAAAAATTGAACAAAATCTGAGACATGAAAGCACGGTCGAGGTGATTTGGTGTGGAATGACCCGGCAGGATATAAATTTTGAGGGTGATATGAGGCAGAAGCAATGAGGTGGCAGGAATCTGGAAAAAAGTCCCAAATGTCCTCTTTTTGTCTCTGTAGGTGATGGGAAGCGGAGTGAGCTCAAGGTGGAGAATTCGCAGTATGGAGGAAATGAGCCAGAGCCACAACCAGATATGGGCCAAGGGAATGGACCAATGGCAGCTGAGCTGTGTGAGAAAAGATGTGAGTCTGACAGGGAGCAGGGGAAAAAGGCTTTAGAAACTGAGACTGAATCCAACAAGTTCTCAGAAGGTCTTGTAGGTAGAGGAAATTGCTCTGTAGATACAAGGGAGGAGACGCTCTCGTTCTCAATGTATGGTAGACTGACCCGTTCTAAATCAAGACATGTTGCGAAATGTGCTGGAGAGGACCGTTCCGAACGTCCCGCGATGGTGGATCCCTCCCTGCAGAATCCAGACCATCAGCGAAGGCATGCGGGGGGCAAATTATATCAACACTCGGAGAGCAGGCAACGCTCTCATCCGAGAAAGGACCTTCTTGGACAACAGAGCAGCCGAGCAAGGGGAAAATCCCTCAGCTGCCCAGAGTGCGGGAGGAAGTTCTCTCGGGGGTCGCATCTGAAGCACCACCTGCGAACTCATACCGGAGAGAAGCCTCACAAATGCCTCGAGTGCGGGAGCTGCTTTCCTCAGGGGATAAACCTGACGAGACATCGGAGAATCCACACCGGAGAGAGACCGCACAGGTGCCCCTATTGCAAAAGCAGCTTCACTCGGAAGGATCAGCTGCTCCGGCATCAGAGGACTCTCAAATGTCAGAGCGCTTGACAGTGCACCCTGAGTGCGAGGAGGCCTGTGAGTCCCAAGGGACACTGACCGGCCAGCAGAGAACCCATGAAGGGCACCAGCGGAGCTAATTCTAGCCAGAGTTATGAGTGAACATGTTTCTAGTGGGCCTGCAGAAACTGCAAAGGAAGAGCTGTCTGGATCAGGCCAGTGGCCCATCCAGTCCAGTATCCTGTTATCACAGTGGCCAACCAGATGCTCTAGTGGGAAACCTGAAGGCAGGATTTGAGAACAAGAGCCATCTGCCCTCCCATGGTTTCCAGCAACTGTGGAAGCAAAGCACAGTCATTGTGGCAGGCAGGCGTTCAAAGCTTAATCCACTGTGAATTTGTCTGAACATAGTTTAAAGCCATCAAAGTTGGTGGCCATCACTGCCTCTTGTGGGAGGGAGTTCCGTAGTTTAACTGTGTGAAGAACGACTTCCTTAAATCCGTCCCAAATCTCCCAGCATTCAGCTTCCTTCGGTGTCCACGAGTTCTGGTGTTCTGAGAGACGGAGGAAAACTTTCCTGCGTCCCCTGTGTCTCCATGCCATTTTATAGACTTCTTACTCACCTTTTAAGTTTCTCTGAACAAGTTTTAAGCAACCATTCCCTCTCTGGTCTTCGCACCAGGTCATGTAGCCAAAATACAGTGGTACCTCAGGTTAAGAACTTAATTCATTCTGGAGGTCCGTCTTAACCTGAAACTGTTCTTCACCTGAGGTACCGCTTTAGCTAATGGGACTTCCTGCTGCCGCCGTGCCGCCGGAGCACAATTTCTGTTTTCATCCTGAAGCAAAGTTCTTAACCCGAGGTACTATTTCTGGGTTAGCAGAGTCTGTAACCTGAAGTGTCTGTATCCTGAAGCGCCTGTAACCTGAGGTATCACTGTACCTGCTCCAGGTGTGACGATGATGCTGTCGTAGAATCATAGAACGGGAAGAGACCACAAGAGTCATCTAGTCCAACCCTCTGCCAATGTCTGCACAGTTAAAGCACCAAAGAGCCAAAGGAATTAGTTTATGTACGCAACTCCTGCTGTGAAAGTTTGTGCCCAAAAATGGCATGAGGAGGCAGTACCCATGAAAGGGGGGTGGCAGTTGAATTTGATGGAATGTGCAGGATTAGCAAGTTGAACTGGTAAAATCAGAGATCAAAGTGGAACAGTTTTCAAGGAGGAATGGAAAACGTTTGCAGATTATTATTTTTAAAATGTTGTAAATATGCCAGCACGCTAGCAGGTGTGAAGTAAGTTCAGCAGTAAAAGTTATTTTGAGAATAAAGCTGAGAAAAGAAGATATAGGTTAGTTGCAATGTGCAGCATCAAAAGATAATAATGAGAAAGACATGGAGGGCTCAGAGGGAAGTCGACTTTTAAAGTGAATGTATACTGGAAAATGTTTGATTAATTGTATTTTATTTGTGAAAATTTATAAATATATATATATTTTTTAAAAATTAAATGTGTGGTGTGTACACTGGGGCAGTCCTCATTGAGCTGTTCCCCTTTCCTCTTTTATGTTTCTTCTAAAGGTTTGTCTCATGCTTCTTCAGATCTCAGGGCTCCCCTAAGGCTGCTGACAGGGATAGCTCAGTTGTTAGAGCGTGAGACTCTTTATCTCGGTCCAGTATACCCGAAGGAGCATCTCCACTCCCATCATTCTGCCCGGACACTGAGGTCCACGCTGAGGGCCTTCTGGCGGTTCCCTTGCTGCGAGAAGCCAAGTTACAGGGAACCAGGCAGAGGGCCTTCTCGGTAGTGGCACCCGCCCTGTGGAACGTCCTCCCACCAGATGTCAAAGAGAAAAACAACTACCAGACTTTTAGAAGACATCTGAAGGCAGCCCTGTTTAGAGAAGCTTTTAATGTTTGATGGATTACTATATTTTAATATTTTGTTGGAAGCCGCCCAGAGTGGCTGGGGAAACCCAGCCAGATGGGCAGGGTATAAATAATAAATTATTACTATTATTATTATTATTATTATTATTATTATTATCTCAGGGTTGTGGGTTCAAGCGCTATGTTGCGCTATGTTCTGCCACCACTGCCTGAGGCTGCATTCCTTCCAATGCCTGCTGCTGCTGCAAATCGCAAGTTGGGAGAGTCCTGTGCTGTTGTGCTCAGATCCTGCTTGTGGACTGTGAGAACAGGGTGCTGGACTGGATGGGCCACTGGCCGGATCTAGCAGGTTATTCTTACATTCTAGATACAATGGGTTGCGGGAGAAGAGATGTTTAACGGAGCCTGTTATGCCGTACAATGGAAGGAAGACCAGCAAAATTCCTCTCTCTTGTCTCTTCAGGTGACAGCAAGAGAAACTGGATCAAGATGGGGTGTTCTCACTATGGAGGAAATAAACTGGAGGAATCACCTAGGTCTCTTCCACAGATAGACCAAAGAAATGTGTCAGTGGCAGCCAAGGTCCACGAGGAAAGATCTGAGTTCAACAGTGGACTGGAGAAGAAGCCACTGACAGCTCAGAATGAATCCAGTAGCCTCTCAGAAGGTCTTGAGGAGTCTTGGAGTGAAAAACACACAGTGTGCACCAGGGAAGAAAGGCCTTTGCTCTCCAAGTGTGATAAAAGCTCCCGGCACAAACCAGGACTTGTTATGAAACATGCTGGGGAAGATTCATCTGACTGTCATATGCCGGTGGGTATCGTCTGGCAGCATCTAGGCGATCAGAGAAGGCAACGTACCAGTGAAATATTTTACAAGTGTCCCAGATGCGGGGAAATCTTCCATGAGAGAACTAAGTTCCTTAAACATCAGCAGTGCCACACAGCGAGGAAACCTTGCGTTTGTCAGGAGTGTGGGAGAAAATTCTTTTGGCGATCGGATTTGACAAGGCACCGGAAGACTCATACAGGAGAGAAACCTCACAATTGCCTCGTGTGTGGGAAAAGCTTTGTACGGAAGGAACATCTGAGGAGACATTTGAGAATCCACATGGGAGGGAAACATCACAAATGACTTCAGTGTGGGAGAATAGTTTCCCGGAAATCTGAGCTGATTAGACACTGGAGAACTCACAAACAGAGAAGCGTAGCAGGTCCCTGAACTTTGGGTTCAGACGCTCAGAGCTCCTCCATCAAAGAATCCATAGACTCTCTTTCACGGGAGGTTTTTAAGCAGAGGTTGGATGGATGCTTTAGTTGAGGTTCCCGCATTGCCCCTAGAGGACCCTCGGAGACCCTTCCAACTTTATGATTCTATCATTTTGTGACATGAACAAGAATTGATGATCTGAGAGAGCAAAGGCAGACTTTTTGTGAGAAACAGAAAAAATAAACCTTTGGCCTTATCATAGGTTTTCTCCAAGGGGTCAGAGGGAATTTGAGATATGGGACTGAGTTGTACAGAGTGAGGCCATTGGTTGTCTGGTCCACTACTGTGTACCAGACTGCCAGCAGTTAACCCCAAGTTTCAGTTGGAGAGCTACAGGAGATCCCAAACTCTGTGACTCGTGGGTTGCCAAGAATCTGCTAGCTTCATTCAGGTGGTCTGCAGCATGTCTGCAGTCAGTGTTCATATTTTCAGCTGTATTTTTATTCAGTCTTTTATTTCTTATGTTGTATCTTACAATGTTCCCATTTGAATTCTGTGGAATGTGAATTACCCTGTGCGATGAAAAAAAATGTGTAAGTAATAAAAGGAGCAATAGAAGCACATCTAAAAACCTTACGCTGCAGGCATGTCCAAAGACCGTTTCGGGGGCCGCCAGTTGATTTAATCCGGCCCCCATGGCAGTATATGTCCTGGGGTAAATCCTAAAAAAACTCAGCAACTTTGGTTGGCCCTCATGCATGTTCACTTCATCAAATCTGGCTCTCTTTGAAAAAAGTTTGGGCACCCCTGCCCTACAGCATCTAACACCGCACATTCCAATTGCTATGAGAGGCAGAAACAACATTAAGCCAAGTCCATCTGCAATTTTCAAGTCCATGAGGAACGGATGTTTGGGAACGACTATGTTAGAACCTCCATGTAGGGCAGTGGCAGGGCTGAAATCCCCCGATCAGGAACTGTGTCTGTTTGAGGGTATATTTGAGGTGGGTCCATTTATTGCTGACTCCTAGCATATTCTGCAAGAGTCCTATTCCACACAAAATTCCTCTGTCAAATGTCAGCTTGGGAGAGGGAAATAGGCCGGGATCCTGAACACACAGGAATGCAGCTGTTGCTGTGACACCTCAGGAACACATTTTCGGGAGGTTACTGGAATCTCTTGGATGCTCATTGACCTACCTCAGAAAATAAGTTCTGCTCAGAGTACACCTGTTGGAATTTATGGGCACATTCATTATTTTCAATGGGTCTACTATGAGTATGGCTAATGTTGGATGCCACCCATAATTCCCAGGGTTTGAGTCTCTGTGTTGTCCCCTTTCCGCTTGAACAGAGAAAACATGTAAAATACATAATAGCTTATTTTGCAAAATGAGGGGGAAATAAACCCATTTGCCTTGACTGGCTTAACTAATTTAACTGCTTAGGGAAGTTTTGAATGTTTGGTGTATTTATCGTATTTTTAATATTTAATTGGGAGCCGCCCAGAGTGGCTGGGGAAACCCAGCCAGATGGGCGGGGTATAAAATAACAACAACAACAACAACAACAACACAAGCGACAACATCCATCTTTCCCAAGAGCAGAATCTGGGAACGCTGACATTTATTATTTTACGGAGAGGGTGATCTTTGAGACGGGGGTGGGGGGCATGAGCTTAACAACGATGTGATGAATTAGAATGGGTTCCAAAAATGTGGCCAAGTTTCCTTCAAGCGGTTCATGGCATGTCTGCATTAAATGTCCAAATTGATTTTTAATTTTATTTCTATTGCTTTTTTATTTCTTCAGTTGGAAGCAAATTTATTCTGTTGTGCTGCAATTTGAATTCTATGGAAAGTAAATTGTCATGCTGCGAAGCACAAGAAAAGGAGGAGCAGTAGAAATACAATTAAAAATCGTACAGCATCTAGCACATTGCAGTGGCGACATTAAGTGGTCTGACAAGTCTGGCCTTTTTCAAGTGGTACGTGGGGTGAGGGGAGGAGAGTTTTGGGAACCACTGAATTAGAGTATGCAACAGGCAGGGAGAGCAGCGAGAAGGATTCTCTTGACAAGAGGTGACCAGAACATAGACAAAAACCCTCTCTTCTTCTCTCTTTAGGTGATGGGAAAAGACATTGGATCAAGATGGAGAAATCTCAGCTAGGAGAAACTTTGCTGGCAGAAGCACATAGGACGTTAGCAGAAACATCCCGATGGGATTTCCCTGGGGCATCTGAAATTTTTGAGGACCGATGGGAATCCAAAGACCATCAGGAGAAGCAGCTGCTGATGGAGAAAAAGAATGAATACACGGAGGTCGTGCAAATTCTCCCACCTGCTGTTAGCACTGTGCAGACACAGGGGGGAAAGCTCTCCTCCAAGCAGGTCAGAAAATCCCGCTACAAATCGGGACTTCTTATGATCCCTAATAGGGAGAACACCTATAAAAGTCCTACGCTGGAAGAAAACGTCCAGCTGAAATGTTTCTTGGATAACCATCCAGGAATCTCTGCAGGTGAGAGGCAACATGAGCAATCTGAGGGCAGAAAAAGCGTCCGCCGTGGGGACGGTTTGACCGGGTACCAGAACAGTCGCACGCAAGCGGATCCCTACGAATGTCCCGAGGATCGGAAAAGCTTCGGGAACAGAAAGGCGTTAAAGCGGGATCAAGGGATTCAGACAGAGGGGAGGCGATACCAATGTACGCAGTGCGGGAAGTTCTTCAGACACAGGCAGACGCTGACTAAGCACCAGAAAATTCACACAGGAGAGAAATTGCACGAGTGCCCCGCTTGTGGGAAAGGGTTCACTTCTCGGGAGCCGTTACTGAGACATCAGCGGATCCACACGGGAGAGAAGCCGTACGAATGCCCTCAGTGTGGAAAGTGCTTCAGGCAGAGGGTGCACCTGATGTGCCACCAGAAAACCCACACGGGAGAGAAGCCGTTCAAATGCCCCGAGTGCGGGAGGAACTTCTCTCGGAGGGATAAGCTGATCAGGCACCAGAGAATCCACAGAGGGCAGAGGCCTTATTCACACCTGGAGGGCGGGAAGAGTTTCGATCAGAGAGCAGCGCTGGCGAAACACCAGGGCCTCCAAGAAGGGTGCTGAGAGACTCTTCCGCTCAGTAGACGGCAACACATTTTCCACAGTCAGGAGGGAAGCAGGGGCTCGAGCTCCCGTCCCTGAAAGCAGGTTTTAAGCAGGTTGCATTGCCACAGAGAAATAAATACAGTGGTACCTCAGTTTTTGAACGTAATCTGTTCCGGAAGACCGAGTTCCGAAACATGTGAAAACCTAAAACTCAATACGGAAGCTGCGTGGCATGTTTGACTTCTGAGGTGTCTTCAAAAACCGAAGCATTTATTTCCAGGTTTACGGCGTGCGAAAACTGAAATGTTTCTCAACGGAGACATTCAAAAACCGAGGTACCGCTGTAAATAAAAGGAGAGGCCAAGCCTCCAGGTGGAAATTTCATCTGCGGCCTGTGCAGTACAAGAAAGCACATGCACCGCGTGGTGTTTTGTGAGCAGGCCTGTTTCTTCAGAATCCGTGTTTGCAAAGCTCTGAAGGAGTACAATAATAAAAGGAATTCTGACTGGGTGTCCTTTAATCGTGGCCGAGTCTCTTACTTGCCTCTGTGCTATGAACATTAAGGATTAAAACTCGTGTGGGAAGCCATGACGGCTTAAAGTGGCATAAGAAACCAGACAGAGGGCCTTCTCGGTAGTGGCGCCTGCCCTGTGGAACACCCTCCCATCAGATGTCAAGGAAATAAACAACTATCTGACTTTCAGAAGACATCTGAAGGCAGCCCTGTTTAGGGAAGTTTTTAATGTTTGATGTTTTATCATGTTTTTAATATTCTGTTGGGAGCCGCCCAGAGCGGCAGGGGAAACCCAGCCAGTTGGGCGGGGTATAAATTATTATTATTAGAGTGCTTTACATGTATGCTGCAGGCGGGGCCTTCGTCTCTGGTTGTTACTCGCTTGCATTAAATGATTATAATAGTTATAACAATGCAGAAGAGTGACAATGAGAGACAGAGGTTCCATCTGCCCCATACATTTAAAGCTGTATCATGTCACTTTAAACAGTCACAGCTTCACCCAAAGGATTACAGGAACTGTAGTCTGTTAACAGGCGCTGAGAGTTTTTAGGAGGCCCCTATTCCCCTCATAGTGCTACAGTTCTCAGACTGGTTTAAGAATCCCTTGTCCCAAGGAACTCTTGTGAATCATAGCTTCATGAGGGCAATAGGGGTTTCCTAGCAACTCTCAGCATCCTTAACGAACTACAGCTCCCAGGTTCCTTTGGGGGAAACCATGACTGCTTAAAGTGGTATAATACTGCTTTAAGTACTCAGTGCTTACGGGACCTAGCTAAAAGAAGTCATACATGTGAAAATAATTTAATATATAATTGAAGTGAAAGTTATGCACCTGTCCTAAAAAAAAGACCTTAGGAGATACTGGTGGTGGGCGGGGCCAGAGGTAAAAGTGGGTGGAGCAATTAATGTAAATTTTGTACAATAGCCTTTCTAGCCTCAAACCTCTGGAAAAGACACAGCAGAGTGGTGTCTTTAGGATAGATGGTTTATTTACACATATAGACAACCTGAGCCCATGATGGAGGGGCTCACAGCATTAACACTCTTAAGAAAGTCTTGCTTCCCCCTGTTAGGTCGTGGGTTGACATAGCAGCCGGCACAGCGATTTCTTCAAGTAGTTCTTTATTATGGTAAGCTGGAATAGAACTGACTGCGAACAGCTCAGCCGGCCTGTATTTATAGGCAGCCGGCTGTCAACATTGTAACCACAACAGCCCAGAGTTCCCGCCTAAAATAACAGACGCGGACCTGAGTGAAAACTATCTACAGACCTGAGTGAAAACTATATACAGTATCCCCCTGTTGGCCCAGGGTGAAACTACACTACATAACACCCCTCCCCACCGAGATAAGGCGTTAGTTACAATCGTAATGGTTTCCTTATATACAGCACTACGCGTAATGGTTCAATTAAGCACAAAAGCATATCGGTTACATTTCCCATACTTAGACCAACAGTGATACCTGTCCAACAACATAGTCCTTTAAATAAGTTGGGCGCTTGGAAACTCTGCCAGACCGCCGGGGACTGGTAGCCAAGTCCGGAGGGCCACACAGTTCTCGCTGAGGCTGTGGTGCGACCCTAGGTGGCGTTGGAACCAACTCCCCTGGATCCGCTGCTGTGGGTGGAGCCTCCGCAAGTGGAGTGGTCTGAGTCTGTTCTGAAACGGCTTGGTTCGGCTCCACGCTGGCAGCTTGCGAGGAAGGTGTAGGTGGGGCCTCGCCATCTGTACGTGTCTCTTCTGGAGCCGCAAGCGCAGTTGGGGGCACCTCGGTAGTGTCCAAGTCCCCAACCCTGCGCCTAAGCTGGTCTATGTGCCGTCGCCACAAGCGTCCGTCTTCGAGTGCCACCTGGTACGAGCGAGGTCCAGTGACTCCCACTACTGTGGCTGGCACCCAAGGGATGTCCCCCACATAGTTCCGGGCAAAGACCTGGTTTCCTGGGACAAATGACCGTGGTGCGTTGGCACAGCCTGGGGGTTCAGCCACGGCAAAGTCTGGGTGTAGCCGGTCGAGCGGTGACCTGAGGCGGCAGCCCATAAGCAGTTCAGCAGGACTCCTCCCTGTGGCCGCATGAGGGGTGATGTGTTGCACGAACAAGTATTCGGCGACCCGCTCATGCCAGTCTCCCCGGTCCAGGCGCGCCAGTGCCTCTTTTGTCGAGCGCACCATTCTTTCCGCTTGCCCGTTGCTGGATGGATGAAAGGGTGCCGTTAGGGCATGGCGGATGCCCAGTCCCAAAAGATACCGCTCAAACGTGCCTGACGTGAACTGCGGTCCGTTGTCAGAGACAAGGACATCAGGACACCCATGCGTTGCAAACAGGCCTCGCAGCACCCGGATGACAGCTTCGGTAGTGGTGGAGGGCATCAGGGCGACCTCCAGCCATTTGGAATAGGCGTCCACCACTACCATAAAGGTCCGGCCGTGAAAGGGGCCAGCCAGATCGATGTGCACCCTCGACCAGGGTGTCTTTGGCGTCTCCCAGGTGTGTCCCTTAGCTGCCGGTGGTGCAGGCCTCGACTCCTGGCACGCTTGACAGGCGGACACCCAGGCAGTGATGGCATCGTCCATATTAGGCCACCAGACGTAACACCGAGCCAACGCCTTCATTTTGACAATTCCCGGGTGGCCAACGTGCAGAGCCTCCAGGACGCGCTGACGGAGTCCCTGGGGAATCACGACGCGGTCTCCCCACAGCAGGCAGCCGCGATGAGCTGAGAGTTCATGTTGTCTGGTTGCGAAGGGCTGGAACTCCGATGCAACAGGCCCTTGTGGCCACCCCCTCCACACCCAGTTGAGCACCCGGCTGATGGTGCGATCCTGGGCAGATGCGGAGGCCACAGTGGCAGCCGATACAGGCGCTGCCGGAAGATCCTCAATCAGAAGGAGCGATGAAGCTGGAGCCGGGTCTTCCACAAATGCTGGAAGAGGGCAACGGCTGAGGGCGTCGGCATGGCCCATCGATTTCCCCGGGCGATGGATGAGCCGGTAGTGGTAGGCAGCCAGGAAAACAGTCCATCGCAGCATGCGTGGTGAGAGGACCGGTGGAGTTGGACGATCACCGGCGAGGAGGCCCAGGAGTGGCTTGTGGTCAGTGATGAGGTCAAAAGTCCTGCCATAGAGGTATTCATGGAACCTCTTCACTCCAGCCACAAGTGCTAATGCCTCCTTGTCGAGCTGGCTGTAATTCCGTTCCGTCGGAGATAGTGTCCTGGAAAAGTAGGCGAGCGGTGCTTCTCTTCCATCTGGAAAACGGTGACTAAGGACAGCACCGATGCCAAAAGGTGAGGCGTCGCAGGCAAGGACCAGCGGCCTGGATTCACTGTACTGTACCAGCACACTGTCTGAAGAAAGGAGAGCCTTGACCGCGTTGAAGGCCGCCGTCTCCCGATGACCCCAGGCCCAAGGCGTCTTAGTGCTAAGGAGTCGGTGAAGAGGCTCAGCCACTGTGGCTTTGTGGGGCAGGAACATGTTATAAAAGTTCAGCAGCCCCAGGAATGCCTGCAACTCCGTTTTGTTCTTTGGGGTGGGGGCCTGCTGGATAGCGCGGATCTTGGATGTGGTTGGATGAAGACCGGAGGCATCGATAAGATAGCCCAGGAACTCTACCTGTGGAACGGCGATCTGGCACTTGTCCCTCTTTACCTTGAGCCCGGCCTCCTGGAACCTGGTCAGCACGGCACGGAGGCGCTCGAACAGCTGCTGGTGTGAGTCTGCAGACACCAAGACGTCATCAAAATATGGTACCACGCCCGGAAGCCCTTGCAGGAGACGCTCCATAAGGCTTTGGAAGATGCCAGGAGCCACACTCACCCCGAACTGCAACCGGCGGCAACGGAAAGCCCCCCGGTGGGTGACGATCGTCTGGGCTTCAGCAGTGGCATCATCGACTGGCAGTTGTTGATAGGCTTGGGCAAGGTCCAGCTTAGCGAAGACCTTACCCTCACCCAGGGAATGCAGCAGGTGTTGGACAACAGGAACCGGGTAAGCGTGCTGCTGAAGTGCCTTGTTGATCGTGCACTTGTAGTCAGCGCAGATTCTCACCGACCCATCTGGCTTGACAGGCGTGACGATGGGGGTTTCCCACTTTGCGTGGTCAACCGGCTCCAAAACTCCTTGGGCGATCAGTTTGTCCAGTTGTTCGTCCACCTTAGCCTTGAGAGCAAAGGGAACCCGGCGTGGCTTTAGCTTGATGGGGGCGACTTGTGGATCAAGGCTAAAGGAGATGGGCGTACCTGTATATTGGCCCAAGGTGCCGTCAAAAACCTCGGCAAAGTCTTTGACCAGACCCTCAGTCTCTGCGTTAGAGATGCAGTTGATGCCGGTGACTTCCAGGCCGAGGGCATCAAACCAGTCTAGCCCTAGGAGGCTTGGCCGCTGACCTTCGACCACCACCAACCGGAGCAGGCCCGAAAAATCCTTGAAGGCGATCCGGAACCGGCCAACGCCTACCACGGGAATGTCGTTTCCCTGGTAGTCTCTCAGGTGTACGCGGTGAGAGTCGAGTTGCCTTTTGGACACTCTGGGTACCAGTCTTTTGATGGTGCTCCATGACACGATGGACAGGGCAGACCCGGTGTCGATCTCCATGTCACATGGAGCTCCTTCAATGAGCACCGTGACGTTCAGCTTGCGTCGCGTAGGCGAGTCGGTTTGGCCAATCGTGGTTCCAGACGGGCAGCGGCAGTTGGTGAGAGCGAAACAACTTTCCTTGGCAGACTGGAGTGAAGACTTGGACTTGCGAGTCGATGAAGGGGGTGTCAGACGGAGCCGATCGGCAGACCTTAGCGATGTGGCCCCTTCTGGAACACTTCCTACAGATGGCGTCTCTGAATCGACACTTGGCACGGGAATGGTTGCCTCCGCAGCCAGCACATTCCGGTTGGCCCTTGGACTTCTGTTGGAACTTCCTGCGCTCCCGCTTTGTCTGGTGCACGTCATCGTCTTCACTGGAGGATGCCTCCTCACTGCTGGCCTCTTCATGATGCACCGGAACTGGCTCCCTAGCAAGATGCGGGCTGCTGGACTTGCGGATCTCCTGGGCGGAGCGTTCAGCAGCTTCTGAGGCCACAGCCTCCTCAATGGCTTTCTGTAGCGTGAGGTCTGGCTTGGCTAGGAGGCGCCGTTGCAGATGGATGTCCCGGACCCCGCAGACGATTCGATCCATCAGGGCATCGTCTAAGTCTTGGAACTCACAGTGCATGGCAGCCTGTCGCAGGGCGGTGGTGTAGTTGTTGATTGACTCCCCCTCTGCCTGGTTCCGGTGGTAGAACACATGGCGGGCAGCAATCTTGGACGGCTTTGGTGCGTAGTGGTTGCGGAGCTTCTCTTGGATCGTGTCCCATGGTGTTGCCTGGACTGCTTCAGGCGCAACCAACGCTCGGGCCGTCTCAAACACCTCAGGCCCACAGAGGCTGAGGAATAGGCCCCGCTTCCGCTCCTGTGATACTTCTGTCAGCTCGTTGGCTTGGAGGTAGCAGTCGAACCGAGCGAGGTAGGAGTCCCATGATTCAGAGGCTGGCGCAAAAAGCGGTAGAGGCACAAGTGAAGCCATGATCCCGATGCCGGCGTGAAGGGCGATGGATGGAACACAGTGCTCTAGCCAGAACAGTCAGCTCTGAATTGGTTCTGCCCAGTGATTTCGCTCAGTGATTTCGCTCTGTGATTCAGCTCAGTGATTCAGCTCAGTTCAGAGGCTGGCCGCATCTGGCTGTGCTCTGATGTCCATCCATCCCATCCTCGTCGCCAGAGTTAGGTCGTGGGTTGACATAGCAGCCGGCACAGCGATTTCTTCAAGTAGTTCTTTATTATGGTAAGCTGGAATAGAACTGACTGCGAACAGCTCAGCCGGCCTGTATTTATAGGCAGCCGGCTGTCAACATTGTAACCACAACAGCCCAGAGTTCCCGCCTAAAATAACAGACGCGGACCTGAGTGAAAACTATCTACAGACCTGAGTGAAAACTATATACAGTATCCCCCTGTTGGCCCAGGGTGGAACTACACTACATAACACCCCCATAGCCTTGGATTCCAGCAGAAGTCAGGCATGGCCCTCTCTCCCCCTTCTACTTTCAGCCTGCTTCTAGAGCGTTGTCCCTCTCACACAGACACACAGGACTCAGCCCTGGATTTTGTCCTAACTACCAGCTGATGGACTCACCCATTTGCCCTGTCACAAAGCCACTTCCTTTGTTAATTTTGTTGTACACAGGTTGTGCATTGACAATAAAGTTGTTGGTGTTTTTGTTGTTGTAGTTACCTTAACGTCCCATACTTAGGGGGCCATTATCTCACCAAGAAGCTGGAGGAGTTTTCAATGAATTGAATCCTTGCTGAATTAGAAAAGGACTCAGGCAAAGAGCCTAGTGCGCGCACACACAACAATATAAAAGCTTGCAGGCTTTTATTAAATTTGTATACTGCCCTATACCCACAGGTCTCAGGACGGTTACAACATAAAATCACAATATAAAATAACAAAATACAAAACAAAAACTACCCAATTAACCCCATCCCGTCTTCCCATTTTAAAAGGGCATTGAATGTCAATCAGCCAAAGGCCTGGTTAAAGAAGAATGTTTTTACCTGGCGTCTAAAGGTGTATAATGAAGGTGCCAGCTGAACCTCCCTGGGGAGAACATTCCACAAACGGGAAGCCACCGCAGAGAAGGCCCGTTCTTGTATTGCCACCCTCCAGAGCTTTCATGGAGGAGGCACATGAAGGAGGGCCTCAGATGATGATTGCAGGCTCCAGGTAGGTTCATATGGAAAAGGGCGGTCCTTGAGGTATTGTGGTCCTGAGCCATTTAAGGCCTAAATGTTTTTAGCAGGAGCCGAAAAGTACAGTGAAGGCACCTGGATGATGTCAACAACAGGCAGGGAGTTTCTGTCGCTCTAAAAGATTGATTTCTTACAAATGCCGAACAAGTATTACGAGGAACCTGTAACACTGCCAGTTCCTTTACGTCTCCCTGTTAGCCTTTTGTTCACCCCAAGCTTTCCTTTTTTAAAAAATGTATTGTATTGATTTTCATGAGGAAATGGTGACACAGAAACAGGCAATTTCCCAGCCGGCCACCGACCCGCAAAACCACAAGCATCTTTGAGTGTATCGGACAGTTCACAGAGCAAAAGCAAGACCAACTTTAGTCTCCAGTTGAAGAGCCCCTTCCAAACATTCAGAAGGATTCAGAAGGATTTGGTATCTGAAGAAGTGTGCTTGCACACGAAAGCTCATACCAAGAACTAACTTAGTTGGTCTTAAAGGTGCTACTGGAAGGATTTTTTTTATTCAGAAGGAAGTTCTTGCTAAAATCAATCCTTCACAGCCAGCAGTCTTTACATTTGCAAATGTCTCAAGCCCTGCTAATACATAAACATCTTTGGTAGGAATGGGACCCATCCTTAGTCAATTGATTCAGTACCTGTCTATTCAGCATTTCAATAAGATGCTCTGGCAAGCCCAGGAAAACAATTAGTGGTTTTTTTTAAAAATAATTTTTATTAAAGTTTCAATCAAAAATTGAACAACAAAGGAAGAAAAGAAAAACATAAAAAAGATACACAAATACACAATACAAATCTCAAAAAGAAAATAAAAAAAACACAAAAAGCAAGAATCAACAATAAAAAGAAACATAACAATTAAAAACAATATCTCTTTTCCATTTCCGTTTTTAAATTTACTTATTTTCTGGACTTCCTCATACCTCCCTCTTTTGTATTCCAATCCAAATTGTTTGTCCAGCAATTTCTTTTCCACTTTTTTAATCCCACTTTTTTAATTTTAAAATCTTTAATTTTAATATAATATTAAAATATATAACTTCAACTTCTTTAAACCTAATCTTTAGTCTTAATGTAATATAACATTAAAATTTTACCTCTTAATTGTCAAATTTCCATTTCCTTAAACATCTTTAATCCTAATCTTTAATCTTAGTCTATCATTAACTTTAACCTGTACAGCTGGAAACCGCTTATTTTCAGTCCAACATCACTCTAACATTCTTTAATTTTGCAATGTTTCTGAAGATAGTCTTTGAATTTCTTCCAATCTTCCTCCACCGACTCTTCTCCCTGGTCATGGATTCTACCAGTCATTTCCGCCAGTTCCATATAGTCCATAAATTTCATCTGCCATTCCTCCAGCGTGGGAAGTTCTTGTGTCTTCCAATACTTTGCGATGAGTATTCTTGCTGCTGTTGTTGCATACATAAAGAAAGTTCAAACCAATTTTAACACCATTTGGCCGACTATGCCCAGGAGAAAGGCCTCTGGTTTTCTTAGGGAAGGTATACTTAAATACCTTTTTTAATTCATTATATATCATTTCCCAGAAAGCCTTAATCCTTGGGCACGTCCACCAAAGGTGAAAAAATGTACCTTCAGTTTCTTTACATTTCCAACATTTGTTATCGGGCAAGTGATAAATTTTTGCAAGCTTGACTGGGGTTATGTACCACCTGTATATCATTTTCATAATATTCCAGGAAAACAATTAGCTTGCATTGTTAAAATCTGAGTGATAGGCTTCTCTACAGAAACCTGAGTTCTGAACTTTGCCTGATTTACATTTCTGCATTTCTGTGAAGTTTGCATTATGATATTGGGTGTGAGGGGGTGTGTTGAAGCACATAGCCTCAGACTTTGCGAAGTTGTAGGCCCGACATGTTGCTGTGTTTATGGGGTCTGGTTTTGTGACCATTAGGTCCTGTTCTCTTTTTATTACTTTCTGAGGTTTTATTGAGAGAGTTGTTGTTTCTGTTGATAATATTCTATTGATAATATTTTTTTTGTACCTTTATGTTTGACATATTTTTGGATTTTTGTGGAAATTGTTATGACTTTTTCTGTTACGTTTGTAATTACGTACGCTTTTTTCCATATTGCAAGCCGCATACAAATAAAATTATGAATGAGTGAATGAATCCCCACCTAAGCTGGGGAGGGGGGGCGTTCTATCATAGTAGGGATCCCCAAGGGGCATCTAGTCCAAACCCCCCCCCCCCACATAGCAATATTTTCAGTGCTTAGGTCCTCTAAAGGTTAATGTGTCTTTACTCCTGGACTGCCAGATCCTGCTCAGGTTCACTCACTACAACCCTGGATTCAACAATACTTGCCTCCTAGTCCAAGGTGGTACAGTGGTCAGACCTGGGAGACCCGGGTTCAAATCCCAACGCAACCATGAAGCTCATTGGGTGGCATTGGGCCAACTACTCGTGTGTCTAACCTGCCTCACAGGGTTGTTGTTGGGGATTAAACGAAGCCGGGGTAAGAGACCCAAGAGCTCCACCTTGAGCTCCTGAAAAAGCTGGGAAATTATTATTTTTGTTGTCGTTGTTTATTAAATCCCTAACGACGCCCTTCATCCGAGGAGAACAGGGCGCTTTACAGTATAAATTGCAGCAATGCAACGAATAAGCAAATGTGCATATTTAGATGCAGGGAATAAGCAAATATGCATAGGGACATCCGTCTGTTTTTTCGTTTTTTAAAGAAAGTTTTCTGCTGTAGCCACCCAGTCCTTCAACAGGGGGCGGTCGGAGGAGCGTCTTTCTGCCTCTGCAGCTCCGCCATTAAAACACCGAGGAGGAGGAAGAAGAGGCGGAGGGAGCATTTAAGGTAGGGGTGGAGGAGGAGGAAAAGAGGGGCTGGCAGCGGGGAAGGAAGGTTTTGGGGTCTGGGGAAGCGTCATAGGCGCAACAGCAGCAGCAATGCGGATCGATTGGAGAAGTGAGTTGCAACAGACGCGCGCTCTCTCTCTGTCTCACATACACACGCGCGCGCGCGCACGCACACACACAAACACGTGTCTTCTTGCCGCTTCCGGCATTGTGCAAAGGTGCGCGTGCGAAGCCCCGCGGTGAATCGCAGAAGCCCCACGTGCCACGTAGCCTCTGGCTGCCCCCCTTTAAGTCGCCCCGCCTCAGTTCTCCGCGTATGTAGTATGGGAAGCAAAAATAACAAATAGGTCGCAGGGTTTCTTTGCTGCAGTCCCGCCTCACCTCTTCTCTCCCAGAAGCTCAAGGTGGCGCACGTCCCCCCCACCTCCTCGTTTGGCCCCCACAACAACAACAACAACAGCCCCAAGAGGTAGGTCATTATTAGTATTATTAGTATGCCTCCCTCCACCCGAGGATCACAGGGCGGTTTACCATATAAAAACACAGATTAGGCTGAGCGCAGGCAGTGATTGGCCCAAGGTCACTCAGTGAGCTTCATGGCCAAGTGGAGGGATTTGAACTCAGGTTTCCCATGTTGTTGCCAGTTACTCTCAGCCTGCCCTTGACCCGAGATTATGGGAGAAGCCTATAATTTAAAGCTGCTGTTGTTCAAATTAGCCACCCCCCCCCCATAAGCAATGGTGGGATATTAACGACAGATTTTTATTATCCTGTTCCTGCAAACTGCTCTCTGCTGCTGCTTTTCCTCTCAAAATGCAATGCACTCTATGTGGGGCTACCTTTGAAGGTGACCCGGAAACTACAACTAATCCAGAATGCGACAGCTAGACTGGTGACTGGGAGTGGCGGCTGGGACCATATAACACTGGTCCTGAAAGGCCTACATTGGTTCCCAGTACATTTCTAAACACAATTTGAAGTGTTGGTGCTGACCTAAATGGCTTTGGCCCTGCATACCTGAAGGAGCATCTCTACCCCTATTGTTCAGCCCGGACACTAAGATCCTCCTGAGGGTCTTCTGGCGGTTCCCTCACTATGAGAAGTGAAATAGAAAAATTCCTTCCTGTAGCACCTTAAAGACCAACTAAGTTAGTTCTTGGTATAAGCTTTCGTGTGCAAGCACACTTCTTCAGATACATACTGTGTATCTGAAGAAGTGTGCTTGCACACGAAAGCTTATACCAAGAACTAACTTAGTTGGTCTTTAAGGTGCTACAGGAAGGAATTTTTCTATTTCGACTATGGCAGACCAACACGGCTACCCATCTGTTATGAGAAGTGAAGTTATAGGGAACCGGACAGAGGGCCTTCTCGGTAGTGGCGCCCTCCCTGTGGAATGCCCTTCCATCAGATGTTAAAGAAATAAACAACTACAGTCATACCTTGGATCTCAAACGCCTTGTGGCTCGAATGTTTTGGCTTCCGAATGCTGCAAACCTGGAAGTGAGTGTTCCGGTTTGTGAACATTTTTTGGAACCCAAATGTCCAACTCTGCTTCTGACTGAGTGCAGGAAGCTCCTGCAGCCAATCAGAAGCTGCACCTTGGTTGTCGAACATTTTCAGAAGTCGAATGGACTTCCGGCACGGATTCCGTTCAACAACCAAGGTACCACTGTATCTGACTATTAGAAGACATCTGAAGGCAGCCATGTATTGGGACGTTTTTAATGTTTGATGTTTTATGTTCTGATATTTGCTGTGAGCTGCCCAGGGTGGCTAGGGAAACCCAAACATATGTGGGAATAATATTGCTGCATTACATAGCAGGGTTGTTCCTCAGCCGCCTCAAATTGCAATATGTCGATGAAATCCCCCAAATACATTAAAAGCCTGCTTAAGCTGCTAGTCTTCATTTTGGTCTGAAAAGTGGGCATAACCTTCCTCATAGATCTAGTGTGTTAGCCACACTGGCTGTTAATACTCCCATTAAGGAAGAACTTAAGAAGAGCTTGCAGGATCAGGCCAGCAACCTGTGCAATCCAGCATCCTGTTCTCACAGTGGCCAACCACTTCCCTTAAGGCAGCGTTTCCCAAAATTGGGCCTCCAGCTGTTTTTGGACCACAGATCCCATCATCCCTGACCATTGGTCTATGATTCTCTATTGATATGGGGGTTGATAGTCCACTTTTACTAGAGAATGTGCCCCTTGCTCGAAACTCCCATAGTTCTAGGTGCATTATACAACACGGAATTTCATTAGCGTGAGCAGTTTCTGAGCTCTGGGCGCAGTACTGTGCCTAAGATTTCAGATTAAAACTGCAGAGTGGGAGGAAAGGAGGACATTTTTCTGCCGTGCCACTTCCATCTACTCCCTGAAGAGACACTCTTAAGAATATTACGGTGGAGACGACGACAGGGGAAGGACTGGACAAGGTGAAAAATGAACATAATATTTTGCTGCAGTTCATTCATTTTCAGCTTTGTATTCTTGTTATTAAAAAGAAATGCCTAGACATTCCCTTGTTGCGCCCATAACCTAGGTTTAAGCTGCCATTTAGCTCCTAGCTTTCATATCTCAGTTTCTAACACTGAATGTGCCCCACCACCCTGATTGCTAACCACTTTTTGGCTTTTGTTTTCCTTGACTCCATTGTGTGTGTGTTTGTGTGTTTCTTTAGCTCAGGTAGAAACGCCCCTTTCAACTCAGGAAGACCCCAGGGTCTTCAGACTACTGGGGTCCTCAGCCAATTGCAGCTCTTTTGCCACCAAGCAAATTTCATCAGACCTGAACCTTCCTCTCTGAGATCTCCTTGGACTAACCATCTCTCTGTTTCCATCAATATCAAGAACTGGTAAGGATCTTCCTTCCCCCCGGAACCAACCAGCCAAAATCGCTAGCTTTTTAGCTCAAGAGTTGGCATGAAGATGATAGAGCAAAAATATGCAGGCACTGAACCTAAAGGGGGGTCAGAAGGAGCAACAAAGCCTATCAGAGCAGTTTATTCTGAATATACGACCAAGCAGTCAAGATGTGGAGCGTCTGAAGACTGCAAAGGGGGACCTGGCAAGGGGAGGCAAGAGCGATGGGAAGCCCAGTGGCAGCAGTTCCTGAAGACGCTGCAGCCCCTTCACCCAGAAGGGGGAAGCCCCCCAGAGACACCTGAGTCTGCCCCCTGGGAAGACACCAGTGCCTTCCTGGCCTCCTTTGAGCAAGTGGCGAAAGCCTGCCACTGGCCCAGAGGAGAGTGGGCAGCCCGGCTCCTGCCTGCGCTGAGCGGGGAAGCAGACGAGGCCTTCCAGAGCCTGGAAGCCGGAGACAGAGAGGATTATGGGAAGGTGAAGGCGGCCATCTTGCGAGGGGCGGCCTTGAGGACGGAGGCTGAGCGCCAACACTTCCGGCAGTTCTGCTGCCAGCAGGTGGAAGACCCCCGGAGGATCCACCTGCAGCTGCAGGATCTCTGCCACCGGTGGCTGAAGCCGGAGAGACGCAGCAAGGAGCAGATCCTGGAGCTGCTGGTCCTGGAGCAGTTCCTGGCCAGTCTCCCTCCAGAGCCGCAGAGCTGGATCCGAGCAGGAGGACCGGAGTCGTGTTCGCAGGCGGTGGCCCTGGCGGAGGAGTTCCTGATGGCCAGCCAGCAAGACTTGGCCAAGGCTGCAGAGTGGCAGGTGGGAGAATAATGCATTTAACTGTCTTAGGCACATGCAAAGTGTTTACATGTATCCCCTCTGAAAAAGTGCATTAACCTTTCACAACTTCAGCCAGGAAATTTGGGGAACATTCCTGTGGGATTTTGCCAAGACAGGCAGAGAAAAAAAGAATAGCATTTTTGTTTTGTAATTTATAATAATAATAATAATAATAATAATAATAATAATAATAATATCCGTTATTAGGCATAGCAAACCACACATTATCAAACAGACACAGTTTACAATTTGTATAAAATGAGAGCTCAACATAACAAGGTTTTACTAGTCAGATCTTTAACTCCAGAGAAAATCAATTTGCATAAATAATACAATATCACACTCCCGCATCACCGATCAGATAAGAACCACTAAATCTCTTTATAATGGCCCAGGCTTTCTACATGGACAGCACTCAAAAATTCAGCCACTATTAAAGTAATTTGATCATTCCTGTCTGAGAGCAGGTCCTGAACCTTCGTTTTGTAATTTTAAAAAGTGTTGGTTTGGGCTGTAAGCCCAAGTAAACCCCACAGAGTTCTAGTTTAGGATTGCAGTGTTAGCCTTACATTGACCCTGGAACGTAAATGCAAGGTTGCCACATTTTCTTTCTGGCTGGGCAACTGTGCCTTTAGCGGTTGCAACACAAGACAGAAAGGCCACATTTGCCGCTTTCCCCAGCATGGCAATACAGCATGGAGGTCTTCAACATCGTCCCCTTCTGATCTTTCCATCGGCTCAAGCATTTCAGCTTGCCAGGCGGAAGGATCTGCCCCATGTCTCCCTCCCCCCACGTGCTGTTCTGGGTTCCCCGCTCCAGAACCAATTGTGGAGGGGCACAGAGGGGGCCGGGGAAGCCCCGCTGCCCAAGCAGAAGTCCTTGCGCAGGCAGATCTCTCATGCGGGGTGGGAAACTCAGGCTTACTCAGAGCAGAGCCTCTGAAATAAGTGGACCTTAGTCATGTTCATTAATTTGAGTAGATCTTCTCTATGTTGAATGTGATTGAATTCCACCCAATGAAGTCAGCTGTGCTCATTAAGTTCAAGGTGTCTCCTCTGAGTAGGACTAGCGTTGGATGTGATCCCACACCTGTAGGAACGCTTCCTGTCACGTGATCTGACAGGTGCGTCTGTGGGTTGCATCCAAAGCTAATCCCAGCCCCTTTCCAGGGCCGCTTCAAGATTATTATTCTTCCTGTCATGTGGCTGTTAAAGGTCCAGAAGCACGTGTGTGTTTGCGTGTGCAGTTTTGCCAACCCTATGCAGTATTCACAATTACATAGCTTGCTCATGAGAGCCAATGAGCTTTATTTGCTCCCCCCAAACCACTGCTAGTTGAATTAAACCTGGAACGGAATAAGATTAAGGGGTGCAGAGTGCGTCTCTTTTACCTACCACTTGCTCTTTGTAGTTGTTTCGCTCTGTTCCGAGTATTACCACCCTCACTGATTCAGGAACCGTTGCAGGATGCGTGCGTGGATTCCGTGGATGCAGAGGAGGTACCATCAGACGTTGCTCAAGGACGGATCTACAAAGACAGAGATGGGGAGATCAGTTTGCTAGGTAAGGATTCACCAGAGCGACTAACATCGCAGTCCTAACCGTGTCTGCTCAGAAGTAAGTTGGGGCTTACTCCAAGGAAGAGATGGGGACCTAAGAGTTTTGCACCTTTTGTGTGAGCGGTATAATTTGGACAACTAGGTGTAACAGAAGTCTCTTGTGCCTTTAAGCTGTCTGGTGATGAGATTTTGGCAGGTGAGATTTGTCACGCAGGGAGGAGATGATGAAACACTGCACCCGTTGAATATCCCTATTCTACACAACAGCGCGAGGTCGCTTCAGAGGTGCCAAAACTAGCATCATGCCAAAATAATTTGTTGTATGCTCAGGCGAAGCAACCACAAAGTACCAAATAACTGCATATGCAAGTCTAGCCCAGATTTTCCAGATCTTCTAGTCAATTTTCCTTTGATTGTGACTTGATCTAGTACTAGAATTTGGAGGACAGATCCTCTGTAGGATGCTCTAGCTAGGCATGATGTGAACTGCTGGCATCCAGTTATAGAGTTGTACAGTTGGAAGGGACCCAGGGGTCATCTAGTCCAACCCCCCGCAATGCAGGAATCTCAACTAAAACATCCATGACGGGTGGCTATCCATCCTCTGCCTTAAAACCTCCAAGGGAAGGGGTGGCCAGGTTTCCCTTCTGAAATTGTCCTTTCCATCCTTTGCAGGTGGCAACATCAAAAGCTCAAGTAATTCCAGTTTGTTGCTTCCTCCTGAAGGACGGGAGATGGCTGAAGTTGTCCTGAGTGAGGTGAGCTTTGGAGACCACAGCAATGCTTCCCCAGGCCGGGGTCTCAGTGTGCAAGTAGAGGAGGTAAAAGTCTCGCTTTTACCCCAGTTTGCTGATTTCCCTCTTGTTCTGCCTCAGGTTATTTCCGCCCTAGTAGGGCTAATTTTAGAGCCCAGCTAAAGAAGCAGCAGCAACTGAGCAAACTGCCCACACAAAAAATAGTAACCTGCCTGTTGTTAGTTGTTTATAGCATGCTGGTTTCATTTTAAGAATCAAAAAATAAACTCCCAGTTTTTGACACTTCCTTGCCTTGTCCACCTGCAGATGGTGTTTGTTCTCCATAGGTTACTATGGCTATTTATGTTCCCAGAATGTATTCATCATCCTTTTCTGTGTTCTAAGTCACAGTGCAGAATTTTGTATTTTTACAACTGGATTGATCGGGACGCAGGTGGTGCTGTGGGTTAAACCACAGAGCCTAGGACTTGCCAATCAGAAGGTCGGCGGTTCGAATCCCCGCGATGGGGTGAGCTGAGCTCTCGTTGCTCGGTCCCAGCTCCTGCCAACCTAGCAGTTTCGAGAGCACGTCAAAGTGCAAGTAGATAAATAGGTACCACTCTGGCGGGAAGGTAAACGGCATTTCCATGTGCTGCTCTGGTTTGCCAGAAGTGACTTAATCATGCTGGCCACATGACCCAGAAGCTGTACGCCAGCTCCCTTGGCCAATAAAGCGAGATGAGCGCCGCAACCCCAGAGTTGGTCATGACTGGACCTAATGGTCAGGGGTCCCTTTACCTTTACAACTGGATTGAGAGCTGAAACTCTTATTTAACGGGTTGGTTTGTTTGTTTGTGGGGGGAAAGGACATTAGCATCATTCTGTGCATTTGCATTGTTTCTTATGCAAAAGCATCTGATGGTGGTGTTGGGGTGTTTTATGTTTCCAGGGACTGCCAAATTCCAAGGAGACAGGCGTGCCTTTGCCCATGTTTGAAAGGACTCCAACACAGCCAGGCCAACAGACTATGTTCTGGCAAGTCCTGCCAGAGGACAATGGAAATGTCCTGTCTTTTGGTAAGGGTCGCTCAAGTCCAGTAAACAACTTGCCATTTTTGGAATTCGAAAGAGGAAGAAAGAGCCTTTTCCCCAATTCTATGTACTGCAGTACAAGTCATAAATACAAAAACATTAGGAATAACAGTAAGAGCTGTTTGACAGTGGAGCAGTCTCCCTCGGGAGGTGGTGGGCTCAACTTGCAGCTTTTTTAAGCACAGACTGGATAATAATAATAATAATAATAATAATAATAATAATAATAAATTATTATTATTATTATTATTATTATTTGTACCCTGTCCATCTGGCTGGGTTTCTCCAGCCACTCTGGGCAGCTTCCAACAAAGATTAAAAATACATTAAAATGTCACACATTAAAAACTTCCCTGAACAGGGCTGCCTTCAGATGTCTTCTAAATGTCAGGTAGTTGTTTATCTCTTTGACATCTGATGGGAGGGCGTTCCACAGGGCGGGCGCCACTACCGAGAAGGCCCTCTGCCTGGTTCCTTGTAGCTTTGCTTCTCGCAATGAGGGAACCGCTGGAAGGCCCTCGGCGTTGGACCTCAGCATCAGGGCAGAACGATGGGGGTGAAGACGCTCCTTCAGGTATACTGGGCCAAGGCCATTTAGGGCTTTAAAGATCAACACCAACACTTTGAATTGTGCTCGGAAACGTACTGGGAGCCAATGTAGGTCTTTCCTTGAATGACTGAGAATTGCTTTTTCTGAGGGTGTTGAAAACTCTTGGGAAACCAGAGGCCTTGGTTTGCTTCAGATAGCACAATTTCCGGGACTTGAGTGTGAGATGTCCCTTTTGCCCCTTCAAAACAGGAGCCATTGTGTGAGACATGCCCGATAGCATTCAGTGCCCCATATTCCTTCCGTGCAGGATTAGCTGAAGCAGTTTCTGTACAAATAGAACAAAATAGCCATATTTATTCCCTTTATTTAGAGAGGCCACAAACCAGCCTGGGTTAAGTGAACAATCCGCACAGCCTGGGATGTAAGGAGAGGGGTTGATATCTGGCTGGAGGTAGGGAGGGAGAGAGAAATAAAGCTTGAGCTTAGCAGATATATTTCAGTGATGCGGAAGGGCAAACGGTGACGAGAGGAAGGAGGTTGCAGGCTTCTAGAAAAGACCAGAGCATGGACAAAACCCCTCTCTCTGCTCTCTTCAGGTGAACAAAAGAGATGCTGGATCAAGAGGGAAACATCTCAGCGGGGAGAGACTTTGCCAGAGGACATACACAGGGCATGCGCAGAAGTACCTCAGTGGGATTTTCCTCTGACGTCTGAAACTCACGAGCAGCCATGTGAGGGGAAAGGGCGACAGAAGAAGCCAGTGGAGAGAGAGGGAGAACGCAGCGAGCGCACAGAAGTTATTCCAGGTGTTGTTATCCTGACCTCCTCAGGGCCCATAGAGGGGGAGAAGCTTCCATTTTCTGGGTACGGGAGGAAACACAATGACAAGTCAGGGCTTGTTGTGAGTCACCCTGGGGAGGACCCCAGCGAACGTCCTCCGTGGGGCAAAGTAAGCCAGACAAAGCGTTGCTTCTGTAAACCTCAGGGGATGCTTACAGGAGGGAAACAACATGCACCTGCCGAGTGTGGAAGAAACTCTCTTGTTGGCCACCAGAATATTTGCACAGAAGAGGAACCCAAGGAAAGTCTTGAGGGTGGCCAAAGTTTCAGATGCAGGCTGCAGAATCATCAGGACGTTCCTTCAGGAAGGAAGAATCATGAATGTTCCACATGTAGGAAAAGCTTCACTTCCAGAGCAGGTTTAACAAGGCACCAGAGGATTCATACTGGAGAGAAACCCTACAGGTGCCTTGATTGTGGGAAAAGCTTCAGCCGGGGAGAAAACCTGTGCAGACACCGGAGGGTCCACACTAGAGAGAAACCGTACAAATGTTCTCACTGCAGGAAATGTTTCGGTCAGAGGGGGGACTTGAAGATTCATCAGAGGATCCATACCGGAGAGAAACCGTACAAATGTCCCGAGTGCGATAAGAGCTTCAGGCGGCGCCAGCACCTGATGGGCCATCAGAGGACCCATAGCAGAGAGTAACTGTTTCAGGTTCATCAGAGCACTCACAAGAGACCTTACAAATGCCACAAGGAAAAGCCAGGAAAGATTGGTTAAGCACCAGAGCACCTTTAATATTGTCTGCCATCAGATCCTATCACCACAGATTCCACTTTCTCTATACTCTCGATAGCAAGTGGGTGGCCACTATGAACTATTTGTGCCCACAGCTCCTCAGCGGCATGCTCTCCTAGTGAAGGAAGTTCCAGAAACCATTTTTTATCTTGTCAATACAGTGGTACCTCCGGTTACAGATGCTTCAGGTTACAGATGCTTCAGGTTACAGACTATGCTAACCCAGAAATAGGACCTCGGGTTAAGAACTTTGCTTCAGGATAAGAACAGAAATCGTGCAGCAGCGGGAGGCCCCATTAGCTAAAGTGGTGCTTCAGGTTAAGAACAGTTTCAGGTTAAGAACGGACCTCCAGAATGAATTAAGTTCTTAACCCGAGGTACCACTGTAGTGGCTGCAGTCTTAAAAACTGCATACTGGGACATAGTTAGTGGAATATCTCATGTGTCAAACTGCTTGGGATTAAACCATTCTGCTTGCCATTGCTTTTCCTCAAGGAGCACTGGGAACTGGAGTTTGGCAGCCCAGAGGCCTGTACTGACCTCTTGATGTACAATTCCCAGAGTCTGATTCTGAGTTGTCCCCTTCTCACTTCAACAGGGAAGCCATAATATGGAGACATGGCTGATAGTATGGAAAGGGGGCAGGTGATCAGGGTCTTCAGTGCCCCAAATATATCTTCTTTGTGATTAGTTGAAACTGGTTTTGTATTAGACGGAACACTTGGGAGTGGGGGTTAGTCCAAGTGTGGGGAACATTTGACCCTCCAGATGTTGCTGAACATAGCCAGGGATGATGGGAGTTGGAGTTCAGCAACATCTGGAGGGTCAAATGTTCCCCACAGCTGATTTAACTAGTCAAACTGCTGTTGCTGGCCCCTATGAACATAACCATTTATCCATAAAGTACTTTAGCTATTAGGGAGAAGTAGACAGGTTTAGACTGCAATCCTAAAAAAAAGTCTGCTACCTGGCATTGTGGACTTAATTAAAATTACAGGCTTTTGATACCAGCCTTTAGAACAAACTATAATACATTGTTGTTTTCCTCATTTACCCCCAATGTACCCCAGGAATTGCTTTTTCTGAGGGCGCTGAAACCTACTGAGGAACCAGAGGTATCATGTTTCCTTCAGAAAGCAAAACTCCTGGAATTTATGTTTTTGCCCCTTCATAAAGCCGTGATGGGGACATGGGTGGCGCTGTGGTCTAAACCACAGAGCCAAGGGCCTGCCAATCAGAAGGTCGGTGGTTCGAATCCCTGCGACGGGGTGAGCTTCCATTGCTCGGTCCCAGCTCCTGCCAACCTAGCAGTTCGAAAGCACGTCAAGTGCAAGTAGATAAGTTAGTACCACTCTGGCGGGAAGGTAAATGGCATTTCTGTGCACTGCTCTGCTTCGCCAGAAGTGGCTTAGTCATGCTGGCCACATGACCCAGAAGCTGTATGCCGGCTCCCTCGGCCAATAAAGCGAGATGAGTGCATAACCCCAGAGTCGTCCGTGACTGGACCTAATGGTCAGGGGTACCTTTACCTTTAAAGCCGTGATGAGAGATAATGGCTGACAGAATCATTGAGGACAGTCTCATTTACAGTGTGGAAGATGACTTTCCTCTGCAACAAACTGATTTAGTGCAAGCAGACCCAAATAGGCGCACTTGCTTTAACATCTTAATTTAGAGATGTCACAAAAGGCACCTCTCCCAGGAGCAGAACTGAGTGAAGAGGAGAACCTCACTTGTGGAGACAGTGGTGATGCATGGCTAGAAGTTGAGAGAAAAAGCTGAGTGTAGCGGAGAAGATTCAGAATTGCCTAGAAAGGGAGCTCTGGCAGGACAGAGAAAGCCAGGAGGGAGGAGGTTGCAAGAGTCTAGAAAAGAGGTGACCAGAGCTTGGACAAAATTCCTCTCTCTTTCTCTTCAGGTGAACAAAACAGGTGCTGGACGAAGATGGAGAAATCCCGGTTGGGAGAGAATTTGCCGAAAGAAATGCACAGGGCGTTAGCGGGAGAATTCCGTCGGGATATTTCAGCTGTGACACCTGGAATTCCTGAGGAGAAAAATAATTCCAAAGGGCAACAGGAGAAGCAGCCGGTGAAGAGAGAAACACAATGCCTCTCAGGAGTTATTGCAGTCTCTGTTAGCAAAGCCACAGATGGTGGAAAGCCCTGCAGGAGAAAATATAAGTCAGAGAACCCTTTTGAGTGCCCCGCATCAGCGAGAGACAGCCAGTCGGTATGTTGCCTTGAGAAACTACAGGGAATACTTAGGGGGGAGAAACAAAATGCCTTGCCTGCATGTGGTGAAAATTTATGTGGGAGAGAGGAATTCGTTGGACACCAGGAGAGCCACACAGAAGAGAGCTCCCACGAATGCCCCAAAGATGAGAAACGCTTCAGACATAGACATCGGAACAATAATTCAGGAAGGAAACCCCACGAATGTTCTGTGTGCGGGAAAAACTTCACCTTCAGAGCAGAGTTAGCAAGACATCATAGAATCCATACGGGAGAGAAACCATACGGATGTTCACAGTGTGGGAGAAGCTTCCGGCAGAGAACGCACTTAGTTAGGCACCAGAGCATCCATACTGGGGAATTGTTCCAATGCCCCGAATGTGGAAAGAGCTTTTCCCAGAGAGATACGTTGAAAAGACACCAGAGAACTCACAGGACGCTCCCGAGGCCTGCGTCCTCTGAGGGTGGGGAGAGTTCAAATCGGGGCAGCATGTTCGCTGTGCAGGCCCCTGCCATACCTGTACCAGTGGCCATATTCCCATTGGGAGTAGCCAGCATTAGGCCTCAAAATGGGATTGAGCTCAGAAAGCTCTCGGAAAGCCCGTAGAATAACTATGTCCACTTTCAGTTAGACTCCAAGTCTCAAATATGTTAGTCACAAGGCACCAGTTACTCATAAACGTATAATAATATCAACAATTTTATTATTTATACCCCGCCCATCAATATACATAATGCATGCTGAAACTAAAAGCTTACCCATGAAAATGCAGTGGTGAGGAAGCATGCATAAGCAGAATACTGTAGTTGTGGCTATAATCACAGAATTTGGGCTGCAATCCTCACCCCACTTTATCCTGGACATAAACCCCATTGAATTCAGCAAGACTGACGTGGTTAGGAACACACTGTTCTAGTCCTTATGGAATACCCTCTCCGTGGAGGCATTTCATCCCGACTTCATTTTATTTTTCTGTGCCTACTTAAAACACACCGATTTGGCACATTGGCTTGTTGCACATCAGAGAATCCAGAGGGAAAGAAATGCTTAGCAGGACTGAGAACATGTAATATCCCACTGCAGGAATATCTGCAGCTGCTGTTGAAAGCAGAACATCTAGCAGCAGGGAGGCAATAAGAGCTCTGCCGACACCGTAGGCCCCACAGCATGGGTCGAGGATCTTCCCTCCGTCACCAGTTTTCATCAGCCCACGGTCATGGCTTCACTTTAACCAGCTTACGCACATCCTCTTAAAGCCAGACATTGTGTCACAGGTGAACAGAAAGCTTATGGCCTCGGAAGGTTTGGCATTGAATGCTTAATTCTGCTCACTTGTGGAGTGTTTCCAGAGGCATAGCTGGGGGGGGTGCACACTGGCTGCCACACTGCAGGGGCAGCACTTAACTGCGGGACCCACAGTGCGCCTGAGCCCCGCAACTCTCCTGGGAGTGACATAGTGGCTTGGGCACCTGCAGGCTCTGCGCTGGCCAAAATGGCAGTGGGGGACTTGTGTCCGCCGCCCACCCCCCCAGCTGCCCTACAGGTGACTTGGCCTTCTCTCTCCCCTCTCCTTGGGAGTCCTCCAGGCAGCCGCTCCGCCCCAAAGAGAGGTGCCTCCTCACGCTGCCCCACAGGGGCCTGGGAAGCAGAGACATGAGAGGGCATCCGAGGAGGGAGGGAAGGAAAGAGGGACAGAGGCCAGTGTTGCCCATGGCACCCCTGATCATCAAGGCACCCCAGGGTGCCATGGCACGCTGGTTGAAAACCACTGGTTTAGGGATTGTGTGCTCAAATGAACAGCAGGGGAACATTGTGGTCCAAAAATTCTTGGATCCATTATCCTCCTGTGCATATTTGACACCCATTCATCCTATAGATGCCTCGAGAAGATCTTACGAGAAGGCCACCTCAAAGGCATGGAGTTGTTTACTGCGTTAAAACCATTTTGACTTGTTCTGGTTTGCACTTTTGTGACCTTTATTTCTCCTTTGACAAGCCTCCTATTTTCTTGGCGGGAAACACTCCCAAGTTACGTTTTGTTGCATTCGTTAAGGTTTTGAAAATGAATAAAAATTAATTAATTAATAATCTCTGAGTGTGGCACTGTCGTTTTGTAAAGGCTCACTGTGAGATTACAGAAAAATAAGACTCCAGTTCTGAAATGGAGGGAGGGGCATATTGTCTTACATTTTCTGGAGGCTGGACCAGTTGAATGTGGGGGACTTGTTTGTTCCCAAGCGTGCATCAGTTCACTTCACGGCATGCATGCGGCCGCCACAGAACTGGGGGGGGGGGGGGGGCCAGCCCCTTCATTTAATTTTTTTGAGGTGGCCCTCACGGCCCTGCATAGATGGTGCCCTTGTTCCTTTTTCCTTTCTAGAGAGGAGTGCTGGGGTGGCCATGACAGGAAGTTTCTCTTGCATAAAATGGCAGAGTGTTTAAGAAGCCAGCTATATCTTTAAAAAGATGACAATACTTTTTTTTTTTTAATCAATGAGAAGTCTTGACATTCCAAAACATAAGGGAGAGTTGTCCTTTTGGGCTTTCTGACTAAGTTGAACTGGGCACAAATATAAGCAAGGAGACACCTCACTTACTAGCAGTACATGTGAAAAGAATCTAGGGGTCTTGGTAGACCACAAGCTTAGCATGAGTCAACAGTGTGACGCAGCAGCGAAAAAAGCTAATGCTATTCTGAGCTACATCAACAGAGATACAGTGGTACCTCGGGTTACAGACGCTTCAGGTTACAGACACTTCAGGTTACAGACTCCGCTAACCCAGAAATAGTACCTCGGGTTAAGAACTTTGCTTCAGGATGAGAACAGAAATCGTGGGGTGGCAGTGGGAGGCCCCATTAGCTAAAGTGGTACCTCAGGTTAAGAACAGTTTCAGGTTAAGAACGGACCTCCAGAACGAATTAAGTTCTTAACCCGAGGTACCACTGTACAGTGTTCAGATCAGAATTCATAGTCCCACTCTATTCTGGGGTACTATGTCCAGTTCTGGGTACCAAAATTTAAGAAGGATGTTGACAAGCTGGAACGTGTGCAGAGGAGGGCAACCAAGATGATCAAGGGTCTGGAAACCAACCCTTATGAGGAGCGGTTGAGGGAGCTGGGGATGTTTAGCACGGAAAAGGAGACTGAAAGGAGATATGATAGCCATTTTCAAACATCTCAAGGGCTGGTGCTTGGATGATGGAACAAGCTTGTTTCTACAGCTCTGGAGTTTAGCATCTGAACCAAGGGCTTCAAGTTGCAAGAAAGGTGATTCCAACTAAACATCAGGAAGAACTTTCTGATGGTAAGAGCTGTTGGACAGTGGAACGGTCTCCCTCGGGAGGTGGCGGACTCTCCTTCCTTGTAGGTTTATAAGCAGAGGTTGGAGGGCCATCTGTTATGGATGCTTTAGCTAAGATTCCTGCAATGCGGGGGGTTGGGCTAGATGACCCTGCGAGTTGTTGGGTCCCTTTTCTTGCAGACTATAAAATACTGTAAAGTAAACCACCTGTGAACCTTGGATGAAGGGCGCTCTACAAATACAAACAAATAAGTAGGAAGGGACCCTAGGGTCATCTAGTCCAACCCCCTGCAATGCAGGAAACTCAATGAAAAGCAAAATGGCTATCCAACCTTTGCATTACCTAAGGCCCCAGAGCGTGTTACAACTACTAAGCAAAACAACTTTTACATATTCGTGTGCATGTTGTAGGTTGCTTTCATTCGTGTTTAATATCTATTTCTCAAATCTTTGCTTTTGCAAGCCGTTTTGAGTTCGATCCTTCGGGGCGAGGGGAGAGGGGCAATGTACGTAATCATAATTAAACAAGAACTAATTACTCAAATTATTTTGGGTGGGTGGAGGAGCTATGAGCAGCCTCTTCCAGTCGGGGGCAGCATTGCTCGCGAGCAGGAACCTCGGCTCCCTATCTGTCGCCATTAGAGGAGGAGGAGGAGGAGGAGGAGGAGGAAGAAACGAGACCGGCAACGAGAGCAGCCTCCATCGCTCCAGAAACCTCGCAGCCGCCCTCCTCTCCCCTTTCCCCGCCGGAAAATCCCGGGGAGCCGCACATCCCTTCCCCCTAAAAAGGTGAGTCTCACTTGCTGTCCGAACTCCCCTCCGCCTCCTTCCCTTTTATTGCATTTGATCATCATCATTTAATTGCATTCCATCATCAACTGCAGACCAACTTCGATCCCTCTTTTGCACACAGGGAACAAACAGAAACTGGGGAAGCCGTGGGTTCAAATGAGGACAAGGGGGCTTGGTTTTATGTACAATATTTGAATATATCGTTATAAAAACAACAACTGCTGCGCTTGCCAGTGCTCAACCTCGTCGCCTGCGGGTGCTTCAAAATGATGCTCTTTTAAAAAGCAACAATTCCGTGCTGTGAAAAGGCTTCCCCTGTTTCCCTGAAGGTGCAGCTGGAGTTAAAAGGTATTTTTGGTTGTAGGTAAGGAAGCTTGGAGAGGTAGTATCTCTTGTGCTTTTAAGAGGGAGGTCTGCTCACTCCTTTCCTGGGTATTGAATGGCTTTAAAATACGAAGTGCCTGGAGGATAAGGGCTATCAGGGGCTAAGAGCCCGGAGGGAGGTGTTTGTTTGTTTGTTTGTTTAGCCAAAGCCATTACAAAAGATAAAACACAGAATACAGAATAGAAATGGAATAAAATCTATTACGTGGTTAAAATGATTATTAAAAGCAGACACTTTGTGAGATGACAGTTTGCTCCCCTGAAGAACTTTTCTCCTCAAAATTGCCACTCAAAAGGCAAAACCGGCCACTTTTTCCAGAAGTGTAGGGGGACCTGCCACCTTATAAAAAGTTAATCAAATACCCAATTGATCTCCCAACTGGGAGATTTAAATCTTTGAACAAAGCTTCTCTTAATGTCTGTGTAGATTGGACAAACCAGGAAGCTGTGGGGCATAATAATAATAATAATAATAATAATAATAATAATAATACTTGCCTCCACATGGGCAGGTTGATCCCATGTATAAGGGATCTGGCGATAGCATCCTTCAATTGTGGCCAAGTGCACAGACTGGAGCCACAGAGCCATAAAGGCAATTCTCCATTTGCTGCTGGTGGTGCTGATCACATAAGTGAGGGCGAGGCATCTGAATGGGTAACTTGGCATACCAAGGGGCAAATTTTGGACAGACAAGCTTAGACGTGCGGCCAGCACAAAAATAATGCTTCAAAACGGCAGATTTCATGAGGCAAGATGCCACCTCAAAGTCTAAGGAACTCAGAATTGTCCAAAGAAAGGCCGTAATTCTCCGTAACTTGTAGCATTTCCTGATTCCAAGATGGCGTTGCTCCAGTGTTAAGATTCAGCACGTCCTTGAAATCTGAAAGTATTAAAACGGGCCCTAACCCCCTTTATAATTTTAGCCAGTACCTAAGGGCAAGGAAGGGACGCGGGTGGCGCTGTGGGTAAAAGCCTCAGTGCCTAGGGCTTGCCGATCGAAAGATCGGCGGTTCGAATCCCCGCGGCGGGGTGCGCTCCCGTTGCTCGGTCCCAGCGCCTGCCAACCTAGCAGTTCAAAAGCACCCCCGGGTGCAAGTAGATAAATAGGGACCGCTTACTAGCGGAAAGGTAAACGGCGTTTCCGTGTGCTGCGCTGGCTCGCCAGATGCAGCTTGTCACGCTGGCCACGTGACCCAGAAGTGTCTCCGGACAGCGCTGGCCCCCGGCCTCTTGAGTGAGATGGGCGCACAACCCTAGAGTCTGTCAAGACTGGCCCATACGGGCAGGGGTACCTTTACCTTTACCTTTTTAAGGGCAAGGATATGCACTTGTTGGAGGGAAGCACTTGTTTGAAAACCTGGAGTGAAGCCTCCAACAAAAGAGCATAGGCATCCTGGTCTTTGCCTCCAAGGCCTACCTGTGGATGCTGAGGGATTAAACCTGGGATCATCCTGGGTAGCTCAGTTAGAGCGTGGTGCTGATAATGCCAAGGTCACAGGTTCGATCCTTGTATGGGACAGCTGCATATTCCTGCATTGCAGGAGGTTGGACGATGATCCAACTCTATGATTTCTGTGATTTCTGCTTGCAAAGTGATTCCTCTAACACTGAGCGACGGCTGTTCCCCCGAGCAGAGGCCTCTTGACCAGAATTCTGCTCTTTCTCATCTTCTTTTAAAAGTTTTATTTATATTCAAAGGTGATGCAACACTCAAATCAATGTGTGTGTGGTTTTTTTAAATAAAAAAATGGGGAGAGGTTTGAACCCTGCGGTCCTTGGACCCATTTCATGAATCCAATAGTATCATCACCTTGGATGTTTGTAACAGCCATCATTTGTCAATGGTAAATATTTTCACCTTTCTTTCTTTTTTTTATAAATATATTTTATTAATTTTAACATATAAATTATAAATCATACCGCACAGTTTATTACAAATACAATCTTATTGGACTTCCATCAGCACCTCTGATGATCCTCCGTCTTAACCACTTCTTATGCATTTCTTAACTTTATATTGTCTTTACATCTCTTAACGTATCATTACCCCTTCTCCATTTTTACAATACTTCCAATAATACTCCTCACAGAACTTCTTGCAAACCTACAAACATCGTCTGGTCATCACAAATACTTTTCAAATAGATCGTAAATTTACTCCAGTCTTCGGTAAATTTCTGGTCCCACCGGTTTTGGATCCTTCCTGTTAATTTCTCTAATTCTGCATAGTCCATTAACTTCATTCTCCATTCTTCAATCAAAATATTTTCATCTTTCAGGTGCCACGTGGGGTCAGAAACCAACAAGCCATCAACAAGGCATAATTAAAGAAAACAACCACCAACAGACCTTTCTTAAGAAATCCCTATTTTTACTGCTGCTTATGGAGGATAATCTGTATCAGGTCGATTTCAAAACGAAATAAAATTTTGCCAGACAATGTGAAAAGGCACCAGCAATCTGCCTGCGACCCTTATTGGTCTCTCTTGGTGTGTCAATTTTTGCCGCAAATTCATTTTTTTACATCGGGTCTTTTGTTATACACTGTAAGGTCAGCCTCAAGCAATAACACCCACCAAAAGTTCAGGAAGTCTCTTGTGAGAAGAGAAATTTGAGTGTGGTGTGGAACGAGGCTTCTACTGGGATTAGTCTGCCAACAAGCCCACTCCTCCATCTCCTGACTCCAGATTCAGGGCTTCGCAGACTGGGTGGGAAAATGGAGCCTCAAATTGTGAGCCCAGAACAAGAAGGAGGGCTGGGAGGGGATAACAAGCCCTCCAGCGTGGCTCAGTCGGACTGTGTGAGAGAGCAGCCAGGATGGAAAGCATCTCTAGAGACCAAGCAGGAGCCCTGCAACGGGATGCAACAGCGCTGGGAGGCCCAGTGGCAGGAGTTCCTGACAACATTGCAGTCTCCTCACACAACAGAGAACCCATTGTCACTGGAGGCCCCCCCCATGGGACGATGCCAAGGCCTTTCTGGCCTCCTTCGAGCAAGTGGCCGGAGCTTGCCAGTGGCCTAGGGAAGAATGGGCAGCCCGGCTCCTGCCTGCGCTGAGCGGGGAAGCCAAACAGGCCTTCGTCTCCCTGGAAGCCAGAGACAGGAAGAACTATGGGAAGGTGAAGGCGGCCATCTTGCGAGGCGACACTATCAAGATGGAGGTGCAGCGCCAGCACTTCAGGAAGTTCCGCTACCAGCAGGTGGAAGACCCCCGGAGGATCCACCTGCAGCTGCAGGATCTCTGCCACCGGTGGCTGAAGCCGGAGAGACGCAGGAAGGAGCAGATCCTGGAGCTGCTGGTCCTGGAGCAGTTCCTGGCCAGCCTCCCAACAGAGCTGCAGAGCTGGATCCGAGCAGGAGGACCGGAGTCGTGTTCGCAGGCGGTGGCCCTGGCAGAGGAGTTCCTGATGGCCAGCCAGCAAGACTTGGCCAAGGCTGCAGAGTGGCAGGTGAGGGTTTGAGGTTTAATTTCCAGAATCTTGAAGAGGATAGCGCTACCTTTCCCAAGTACCGTATTTTTCGCTCCATAAGACACACTTTTTTTCCTCCTAAAAAGTAAGGGGAAATGTGAGTGCGTCTTATGGAGCGAATGGCACTGCGCAGAGGAGAACTGCACAGCGCCCCTTCAGCGATGCGCCTGTCCTGCGAAGCCGGAGGAGGAACAGAAGGGTCTCCTGTTCCTTCTCCAGCTTCGCTGAAGGGGCACTGCGCAGTTCTTCCTTCTCAAAGAGGGAGAACTGTGCAGCGCCCCTTCAGCGACGCGCCTGTCCTGGCTTCTGCCATAGCCGTGTGCAGCCTCTTGGGGCAGGGGGAGCCTTCATCCCGCTGCCCTGAAGAGGCTTAGCGTGGTTATCCCAGAAGCCAGAACAGCCACACGGTATCCCAGAAGCCAGATCCCTCTTGCTGTTCTGGCTTCTGGGATTCAGAATAATTTTTTCTTGTTTTCCTCCTCCCAAAACTAGGTGCACCTTATGGTCTGGTGCGTCTTATGGAGCGAAAAATACGGTAGTTTCCTTCCAGATGTTTCAAACTACAACTCACATGATCCCTGAGCATTGGCCATGTTCCCTGGGGCTGAGAGGTGTTTCTGTTTTCAGCCACCTGGAATGCAGCAGGTTGGGGAAGTCTAGGATATGGGAACAAAATATGGACAAGGTTGTTGCCATCATCCAGGGTGCTCAACGTTGATTGATTCAGTCTTAGGCCACATTCATGCCACCCATTTAAACACTGCGACACCACTTTCAACACTCATGGCTTTCCCCAAATAATTATGGGAGCTGTAGTTCATCAAGGGTGCTGAGAGTTGTTCCCCTCACTCCGCTACAGTTCTCAAAGTGGTTTCCCAGTCAGTTAACCCTGGGAATTGTAGATCTGAGGGGAATAGGGGCTTCCTTACAACTCTCAGCACACTTAACATACTACAGTTCCCAGAATTCTTTGGGAGAACCCATGACTGATTAAAGCAGTGTCACACCACTTTAATGTACAGTGGTACCTCAGGTTAAGTACTTAATTCGTTCTGGAGGTCTGTTCTTAACCTGAAACTGTTCTTAACCTGAAGCGCCACTTTAGCTAATGGGACCTCCTGCTGCTGCTGCGTTGCCGCTGCACGATTTCTGTTCTCATCCTGAAGCAAAGTTCTTAACCCGAGGTAATATTTCTGGGTTAGTGGAGTCTGTAACCTGAAGCATATGTAACCCGAGGTACCACTGTATAGTGTGAATGTGGCCGTAGAGCTGTTGTCTAATTCAAGGAGATAACTCTTAGTAAAATATTAGTAGCCCTATTGGGAACACACACACAGAGGGTGTCACCCCTTTAACTCCTCAAATGGAGCTCCCAAAAAAATACTGTTTCACTTAGAATTAGTATCTGGAGGCAAAGATACTGTTAGTAATATTTTACCAGCTCAGGCAGCTGCAGTTATTTGTTTTTCCCAAAAAGGAAAACGAAAGTTGAAGTTATCCTGTTCCTTTGTGACGTCACAATGGAGTCTAGACTTCCCCACCGAGTGGTCCGCTTCCAAAAAGAAAAGATCACTTTATTCCAGTCTATTTTCTAAAGAGACTAATTAAATAAAAAGTTTCTCTCCCCCCCTTCCCCCTGCTAGAAGGGGAATCTGAAGGTTCAACTTGAAAGTCTTTTAAAAGTCTTATTTTAAATCCCTGCTTCGGCTACGGTAGCTGCTTTCTCCTTTATTCAGCGGGAAGGGACCGACCTCCGTTTTTAAGTCCCTTTCCTATCAAATTTAATGTCCAGATTTATTTCCTTTTTACTCACAATTTTCCAATTAATTTTTGGACCGCTCCAAAATTTTGACCGCTCACGATTGCCGGACTCGGAGCTTCGTGCAGTGAAGAAAGCGAATCTGTTCCCAAGTGCCTCCATCTCCAACCCCACTCGCTCTCGGAGCTCTTTTTAAGAGCCTACCGGGGAGCAGGGGAGTCGTTCCAGGCACCCGCAGGAAACCAGGTCCTCAGAATGCTCAAACTGAGGTTTTTTCCGGGGTACCGCGATGCTCTAGCGGTCTCCCCAGCCTTCAATGCACCAGTGCTCTTTCATTCGAAAGAGCTCCCGTCCGCCATACTGGGCGACCAACCGGAAGTCGCGGCTGCACGATTTCTGTTCTCATCCTGAAGAACACAGAGGGTTGTCAGCTAACCAGCTCTGCCCTGCTTTTGTGCTTTTAGGCAGCTGCTTGAATGCAGGGATAGGTGTTAGGTACGAATTTACCACACAGCACCGAGGGAGAAAAGCAGCAATTGCCTACCAGTGTCAGTGAAATCAAACTGCTGCTAAGCCCAGGAACGAGGCTGATAGAAAAGCTGGCAGCCCTGCTTTTCAGAGGCTTGAAATGACTGCAAATGCCCAATGTTATCTTCTTTTTTAGTTGCCTTTTTGTTTTGCAAATGTAACAAAAAGGGAAAAAAAGAGAAACACAATCTGCCCACGTTAAGGGTTAAAGTAATCCACCAGTCCTGACTTAGACACATGAATTAATATAAGCAGTCCATATGCCGAAAGAGATACCCAAACAAAGTTGATGATTATAAGAGATAAGTTTAAATGCAAGAAGGGCAGCTTCTATGTCAGGGGTCAGCAAACCTTTTCAGCAGGGGGCTGGTCCACTGTCGCTCAGACCTTGTGTGGGGGCCGGACTATATTTTTTTGGGGGGGGGGGGAATGAACGAATCCCTATGTCCCATAAATAACCCAGAGATGCATTTTAAATAAAAGCACACATTCTACTCATATAAAAACAAGCTGATTCCTGGACCGTCCGTGGGCCGGATTTAGAAGACGATTGGGCCGGATCCAGCCCCCAGGTCTTAGTTTGCCTACCCATGTTCTACATTTACGAGCATCTTCAAGTCCTATGGATAAGGATATCTTTAAATTCTTCACCAATCGTATCGTCTTTTTTTCTCAGAAGCCACTGCCGGAGGGTTCTCTGGAGGCTGAGGAAACAGAGGAGCAAAGCAGTAGCAACTGTCTCTGTTTGCTGGGTAAGGCTTCCACTTTGGCATTAAGGCTATGATCATAGCTGTCAATGTTTCCCTTTTTTTAAGGGAAATTCCCTTATTCCAAATAGGATTCCTCGCAAGAAAAGGGAAAAGTTGACAGCTATGGCTATGATCCCCTTACACATGCTTCTTCAGAGTTTGCCCTACAGAAGCATATGCAGAAGGAGCTGCAAATTCAGAAAAGTGGGATGTGCCACCTGAGAGATGACAGAAGGAAGATTAAAATTTTGAAGGCCGTGTGTTTGAAAGAAGCAACGCCAGCACCTGATAACTGCCTTCTGCAGGAGGGTTTCCCCTTCAGTCCCCCAAAATGTCAGAAATCTGCTCAGAGCAGGGCTTGCAGTGTGGCTGCTGCTGTTCTATGGAACAGCATTCCTGTCGCTGTCTGCACTACTTGGAAGCAGCAGGAGGTGTTTTTGTTCCAACAAGCTGCCCCAGATGGGTAAATTTCCCTCTGCTATTAGCGTCCATTTTGCATCGTTCTTAAAGCCATCTTCAGTTTGTTTTCTGTTCTATTTTTTGGGCTGTCCTTCTGGTGTATTTGTAAATCCCATTGAAACATAAATGAAAGGCAATAAAATGATGATGATGATGATGATGATGATGATGAAATAATCTGCCTTCTGTCCTTCGCAGGCAGTGGAAGTCAAGGTCCAAGGGATCACAGCAACTTGCTTCCTCCTGAAAAACTGGAAATGGCCATGTCGGGTCAGGCTAAGGTATGTTCACTTTTAAGGAGCAAGACCTAGGTTGTCTATTTCTGTGTCATTTAAACTATTTAATTTATGTATACGCAGGTTACTTGCCAGAATGACTTCTAAGTGATTTATTAGTAAAACCATCCCTAAGAATATAGCCACACATCATTATGTTTTCCCTCTCTGTCAAATCCTAAATTGTGACGCACCTCTGGATAGGGAGCCCTCGCCAGGTCCGTGTATATTGATGTCGCCCTATAAGCAATCTTGTCCATCTCTCATTCTCAGGGGCTAATGAATCTCGAGGAAACTTCACACATGGACCAGACCACCCCAGCCCAGCCAGGCCAGAGGACCATGTTTTGGCAAGTCATGCAGGAAGACGATAGAGATACAGAATCTTTGGGTAAGTCTCTGCTCCATTAAAGCCCTGATATATCGATTCTTTGCATGACGGGTCCAAACATACAATTCAATACAAACCACAATATTTGTTGGTTTCTAAAAAGACTCGGGCAGCGCTTTTGTTAGACTGTTTTGAGTTCAAATTGCTTTTCTTATCAATAGTTCATTTTTGTTGTCAATTGTTTTTTTAAAAAGCCAAAAACTGCCAGGAAGAATCAATGCATGTTCTTTGTGACAGAAATAATAATAATAATTATTATTATTTTTCTGTCTGTCTCTCTCAAACTTAAGAGGGACTCTTGATTCCTAAACCTGACCCTGCCTCTCACCATGAAAAAGAAGAGGAGATCTTTGTCCAGTTTCCTGTGGAAAATGAAGGATTCCCAAGTCAAGATTCAGGTAAGGGGATAGAGAACCCAAAATGGCAATTCTTGTAACACACAAAAATTCCTGTGTTTTAATGTTGCCTTTCTGCCAAAGTGCTCTTGGTGGTGTAAATGGATTGTCGCCCACTCCTTTCTTAATCCACAAGGTAGGTTAGGGGTGAGGGATGCTGTTTGGGACAAGATCGCCCTTGCAAGTCTCATGGCTGAATTGGATTTGAACTTGGGTCTTCCTCAGTCTTAGTCAGATGCTCTAACTGCTACACCACATTGCCTCTGAAGAACTCTGGGGTTCCCCTTAGAGGACTGGAGAACATCCTTGCCTCTGTCTTCTCTCTCCCAAGATGGTTTCCCCAGAGATTTTTCTAATGTTCTCAGGCTTAGCAGAAGCAGCAGAAAGTATTTGGCTAAAAATCTGAAGAGGTCTTTTTTGTTTTTTGTTTCCATGCAGTTTTGCAAAAAGTGGTGTAGTTTTATTTTATTTTTAAATAGAAGTCTCTTATTTGTGAATGCAAAAATAAGCTGGAATGTATGGATGATGCTTGATGAAATCTCAGAACGTAGGACGTTGTCTGCCTTTATAAGAGCCACATGGTTCTTAATGGGCAGCAGGCCTCTCCTGGATCTGCTCTCTGAAAATGAACATGGGGTCCTCTGACTACAATGCACATGCTCCATTGCTGAGGTCTAAACTTCATTTTACAGTAGGAGTGGGGAAGTTCAGGTCTGGGGGTGGAAAATGGCCCTTGAGACCTTTCACTGAGGCCCTCAAGACTCTTCCCGGGCCATACCTTGCTTCACACCCTTCTTGAGCATTTTTGCGTAGCTGAAATGCATTATTGCTTCCTTGGCCAGAGGATGGGGAGTGTGTGTGCGCGCAAGTGTTTGTGTGGCCTGTGTGGTATTCCTTAGTGCCTATGGCAGGGGTGGGGAGCCCCTCAGTCATGCCTTTCTGTCCAGCTTTCCCCAAGCCATACATCCTAATGGCTCTGTTTGATGCCCTCCGCAAGTGGCGTTTGTCTGAGCTGGAATGTGACCTTGAACATTTGCTTCTTGCCCTGCCCACCGCTGGCATGCGGTCCCTGGAAAGTTGCCCAGAAGGGAGTGTGGCCCTCTAGCTGAAAAAAGATTTCCCACCCCTGTTTTACATTAAAGAGCTGTGTGTCTTTTGCCAAACACAGGTATAAATGTTTTCTTCATACGTGTTCTTACTATGCCTGTATTTCCCCTTAACATTTGTTCTACGGCTCGCTCCTGTTTATGCTCTGCCACTGTCTCTGAGTCCCGTTTTATGCCTCTGGCACCTGTATTGTTTGGGCGTCACAATTTATCCCACTGTGCTTCCCTGCACCACACCTCCCCTCCCGTCCTGCGTCGCTCTCATAAATCCTGGTTTCTGCATAATTGCGCCGTACTCAAATATGGTGGGTGGCACTGTGGTCTAAACCAATGACCCTCTTGGCCTTGCCGATTGGAAGGTTGGCGGTTCGAATCCCCACAACGGGGTGAGCTCCCATTCCTCTGTCCAGCTCCTGTCAACCTAGCATTTCGAAAGCACACTAGTGCAAGTAGATAAATAGGTACTGCTGCGGTGGGAAGGTAAACAGTGTTTCCATGCACTCTGGCTTCCATCACGGTGTTCTGTTGTGCCAGAAGCGGCTTAGTCATGCTGGCTACATGACCCGGAAAGTTGTCTGTTGTGGACAAATGCCGGCTTCCTCGGCCTGAAAGCGAGATGAGCACTATAACACCATAGTTGCCTTTGACTGGACTTAACCATTCGGGGGTCCTTTACCTTTACCTGTTGTTGTTCATGTTCACTGTTTCCCCAACTTAGGGATAGATGGAGAAATCTGTGCCTTTATTGAGAACTGGGGGTGACTCTTTTCAAACAACTGGACTGTCTCCCAGTTGCTATGGATCTCGGATGAGACAAGGACCCGTGACTACGAGAGGAATTGGCTACGGTGCTGGCGAGAAGCAGGGCATCTGTGGAAGGGCGACTAGGCCTTCCTGGAAGGGAACAGCCACCAGGGAGTAGCAGACGCGGCTCTTTTTCGAATGGCTGAGCCAGTTCCCGCACGTCAAGCAGGACCTGGCAGTGCCACGTTACCGACATCATTGACCACTGGCAGAAAAGGATGAGGAACACTGCCACCAGTCAGGCAACCAAACCTTCCCAGGTTCAGCTGAACAATTTGGGGCCGTCAGCTTCAAGAGCATCTGAGGGTGAATGTCTTCCTTTCTCCAGTGGAACAGCACTTTCAGGTTTGTGTTGGATCAGCGTCTCGCCCAGCTCATCCCAGTTAAGCATTCACATTTCTTTAGTTTGATTTTTGATTCATACAGAACCCATACAAAAATGCCACAAAGTTGGTCTCCGCACATTCAGATGTTTGGCCCTACCTTTCTCTCCAGGTGGGACAGGGTGAGGGGCTGTTGTGGTTCTCTCCCAACAACAGCACAGTTTATCCTCCTGTTTTAACAGACCTGTTCCACTCGTGTCCTTTAGTGCAATCTGACTTGCTTCACTCTGCCCTCTTTCTTTTTCTCCAGGCTTGGATGTTGAACCTTCTTCCACAAAAACCTATTTACTCAATAGTCCCAACCCTGCAAATTGTATGTCCACGCTCACAGGGTGCCATCTAACTATGGGATCGGAGGTTTCACAGGGCCTCTGTGGAGCCATCCAAGGACAAAGGTGGACCTTACACACTTTGCCAGCCCAGTTCTAATATTCCTTTTTTTGTACCACGAGCTGGGTTGTTTATATAATATTCCCTTCAGTTTTGTTGCATTTCACTTTTTCTTTTTTTTAACATTGCAATAGATTTCCTTGCAATTTTTGGAATTTGTTGCTGTGTACCTTTATACCAAGGGACGCGGGTGGCGCTGTGGGTTAAACCACTGAGCCTCTGGGGCTTGCCCATCAGAAGGTTGGCGGTTCGAATCCCTGCGACGGGGTGAGCTCCCGTTGCTTGGTCCCTGCTCCTACCAACCTAGCAGTTTGAAAGCACGCCAAAGTGCAAGCAGATAAATAGGTACCGCTCTAGCAGGAAGGTAAACGGTGTTTCTGTGCGCTGCTCTGGTTCACCATAAGCGGCTTAGTCATGCTGGCCACATGACCCGGAAGCTGTATGCTGGCTCCCTCAGCCAATAAAGCGAGATGAGCGGTGCAAACCCAGAGTCAGTCACGACTGGACCTAATGGTCAGGGGTCCCTTTACCTTGACCTTTACCTTGACCTTTATACCAAACCCGCCAATAGAAAAAGTGGAAAAGCTTTTTTAAAAAGGCTTAATAAATAATAAATCAAAACCTTTGCTTCATATTATTTTGCCTAGTTGTCTTGTGTTGTGATGAGGAGTGTGGGCAGGTTTCTTTGGCATCGATTGGCCTTGTTGCTTGAGGTGCCTTTTTTGTTGTTGTTGAGGGGAACTAGAACAGGGACAGAATTCTTCTCTCTTTTCTCTCCAGGAGACAGGAAGGGAAGAAACATCAAGAGCGAGGATTCTCAACAGACAGAAATGGGCTTAAAGAGAACACGTAGGACACCTGCAGAAGTATCCCAGAAGAACCTCAGTCTGAGAGCTGCAGTTTGTGGGCAAAGATGCAAGTCGAAATTTGTGAAGGACCAAAACGAATGCTGTGAACCTGTGGAAGGTCTTAGAGCTGCTGTTAACCAAACCTCTGTAGTGAAAACAAGGGGAAGAGCACCCTTGTCATCCAAGTATGCTAAAAAGCACCTCTGCAGATCAGGACGTCTCTTGAAACCTACCAGGGAAGACTCTCGTGAGAGTACTACGGGGAGGGGAAACTTCCTGCAAAAGTCCCGTCTTGATAAATATCGGAGAACCCAGACAGGAGAGAAATGGTATGAATGTCCTGAGTGTGGGAAAAGCTTCACTCGCAGAGGAAATTTGAGGAGGCATCAGAGGATACATACTGGAGAGAAACCATACAAATGTCCCGATTGCAGGAAATGCTTCAGGCAGAGTGGGCATCTGTTGAGGCATCAGGCGATACATATGAGAAAGCACTTCGTATAAAGTGATCTCACAGCCAGTGATCTCACAAACACACACACTGCTTCATTAGCGAATTAATTTTAAGAGCAAGTCAGCGGACTAGCTTCCATTACATTCCAGCAGTTGACCATTGTGTGGCTGTTGCTCTGAAACAACTGGGAGTTAAATCTATTACAAGCCTAGGGACAAACCAGCAGGTCCCAGTTTACCTTCTGCCTAGTCTTTCTTTTTTATGACTTTGCTGTGACTGACTGATACAGCCACTCCTTTTGGAATTTGCATGGAAAACTAAGAGGACCAACCGGCCGTCCTATTTTACAAAGCTGCTTTCCCCCGAATTAAAATACAGATGTTGGACCACATAATGATAACTAAAGAACCTTGGTTCAAAGAAGCATGCTGTGCCCAACTTGCATGCTGGTGCATTCTCCCTAAGAAACCAGGATTTGTAAGATTATCAAAACATTCCACCTTGTTTACCGAAACTGGCTTGTTGGGCGAAATGAACTATTATCTCGGGTTTGGAGCAGTGCTAAGATATCCCCCTTCCTTGTTTATTTATTTACCGCCTCACACAAAGAAAGGCATGAAAGAGGAGGGATCAGGCCTTTGGGAAGGGCTGGGGCTCAGAGCCAAAGCATCTGTTTTTCATACAGGGGGTCCCAGGTTTTCATTCCCCAGGCTGGGCTGGGGAAAGGATTCCTGCCTGAATGCTGAGATAAGATGGTGCCCGGCACACTTCCCCTGTGCTGATGGACGCTTGTGCCGATAGGAAAAACTTGAACTCTAGCAGAGTTCGTAGCAGAGTTCTGCAGCGGTAGAAAGTGTTGCCTTGTGTGTGGATAATAAATCAGACTGAACGACTTCCGGGGTGGTGCCACCGGCAATGGCGGACTCCCTCTGAACTGGAGGGACTGGCTCTGCGGTAAACAGGGTCTACTCCGCTACGGTGAAGCGGGGACCCCTTCAAAATCACAGGCGGATGAAGCCTGTGACCGTGGGACTTGGCGGGCACCTTTAGCGGGCCCCCCAATCCGCTAAGGAACCCACTAACGGGCTCCAAAGTGAGGAGGGGGAAGCGGCGTGGTGCTGTGAGTCAAACGCTATTTCCGTGGAGCAAAGCCGCATAGCTGCTGCCGGAGAGCGCTGCCTTCTTTCCTGGGACAATTTGGACTTTAAAACAAACACCCGTGAGTACTTAGAATCTGAACAAATGGGATATTAAATAAAGATTTGTGAAAAGGACAGAATTGGACTTTAAAAAAAAAAAATCTACTGAATTTGGTACGGAGCGGGAAGGGCTAAACAGGAAGTCACCCTTCCGTTCTTTTGTATATAGAACAAAGCAAAGGCAATTCACACTAGAGCTCAGAAAATCGATTTTAAAAGAATGATTTCAACATTTTAAATTGGGAATATTTTTTTTTGGACTATTTGAAGTAACTGTAAAAGGAAGTTATTTTCCTCCGTCCTGATCCTGGAGCGGGGGTGTCAGGACTGACGTGAGTTTACCAAGATAATTGTTTTTTGACAGACAGCTAAAAGAAGAGAAATTTGGTGATTTTACTGTTCCCTTTCTCACTCTAAAGGAATATATATGGACAAAGTATCCTATGTATTTTGGGGAAAAAAGGGAAACTTTGTAGCAAAAACAAATATAAGTCTTCCCCCTAGGGGGAGCTTTTGAAACTGTAACTAACTCCAAGGAATTGACATCTGTTACAAAATAACCGTGGGAAAGTGTTTGATTGTGCAGAGCAATGTTTTCAGAAATCTTGGTGCGCGTTCTTTACAAAACAAATGCTCTACTGGAAGAACTACATGATAAGGTGAACTGGATGGTCATTTCGACTAGAAATCTTAAACAGGCAGTGGAATGTCTTGATCAGACTGTGGGAAAACATGTGGAGCCTACCCAGGATTCAAACCAGGAGTGTGTTTTGACAGAACAGGAGTTTGTGGCATTAAATCAGCAATGTGTTTTGACAGAACAGACCCAACAGGAGTATGATCCTTCAGATTGGACAAATGAACTTGGAAAAAGCCAGACTTGGAAAGGGAAAGTTCGGTGTGGCTTGGAAATGGGGGGCTGGATTGACCCCCCTATGCTGGGATGTCTGGACTTTTTAAATATGGTAATGGGCTGCGATATGATTGGGACTGTGGGGGCTCTCAACTTTGGAGGGCCCTTGAAACATGCTTTTAAATATTACATGGAATGCAGCGATGAATATGGAAAAGGGTCTGATCTGATGAGAAGGGCTAAAAACATTACTAAGCTGGAGTTACCACGAGCAAGAGACATTGTCAAGCTGGAGTTATCACGAGGAGACAAGGGAAATTACAAGCTGCGGAAGGGCCATGGAAGTGACTTGAGGGCCTCGGACATAAGGTTGCCGGGTTAATAAGGACTGACAAATCCTGGAACCAGGAGAAAGGGACGTTGGATAAAGATTGGACCTGTTTATATCTTTCTTTTTCTTTTTTTATTATCAGAATGTTTTACAAAGTTGATGAATGATAGAAAAATGTTGGAAGAAATTACCTGGCTTTAGTAAAGATGCATAAAGAATTAAGAAAGAATATTATTATTATGATCATAAGAAGCTGGTAAGGTTAAGACTTAAGTTTTAAACTTTAAGGTTTACTTTATTATAGAAAGATAGGATTAAATTAGTCAAGGGTAAGGTAATGATAGAATTTTATGAAACATGGGGAAAGGATTTGCTGGGATAATTAATAACTAGAATACAAAGGAAGGGAGGAGGAGGAGGTCTAAGAAAGAAGGTAATGACAGTTAAGGGTCTGAAAATAATGAACTTGTTTTGTTTTTTCTTTATTCTTTTTTCTGTATTTTCTATTTTTTTGTATTTTTATTTTTTGTACTTTTACTTTTTGTTCTTGTGCAATTTTTGCATCCTTTGAAAATTTTAATAAATATCATTAAAAAATAAATAAATAAAAATAAATCAGACTGAACGCAGGCTTCTTGCTAATCTCTAACAGCCTTTAATGAGAAGAAAAACATCATAAATCAGTCCCGGCGAGAGAGCAGGCATTTATTTCGTCTCTCAGCCAAAAACGAAAGGAAACTCACACACAAAGAAAGATTCCCGTATGTGAACCAAACCACGCCTCAGAATGTGAGACATCACACAGAACTGTTTAACCCTGTAAGTTCTGATTCTCCTCACACCCCCTCTCGTCTCGCATCCTGAGAGAAAACTGTGAGTATAACTCACCCCAAACACAACCCTTCACAGAACTCCCCATGTCGCTGGAAGGTCAAGGGTTTGGTAAACCCATCAGCTAGGTTCTCCCGGCTCGAACAATACTTGAGCCGTATCCAACCTGCTTGGACACTCTGACATACATTCTGGAAACGTATGTCCAAATGCTTGGTTCTGGACTTGAACTGTCCAGATTCTGCCAACCTAAGACAAGGTTGATTGTCTCCCCAAACAGTTATGGGCAAGTAACAATCCCCACAGATCTCTTGGATCAAGCACCGGTAGAAGTCCAACTCCCTGCACAAATCCGACAACGCACTGAACTCAGCCTCAGTGGAAGAAAGTGCAATAAGACTTTGCTTCCGGGACTTCCACCCAACCAGCCCAGACACAGACTTCCTGTCCCCAAGAGATGCCCAATCGCTGTCACTCCAGCACGTAAGCCGTGCGTCACCTTCAGCTGACAATGTGAGGCAAAACTCCTTGGTATCCTGCAAATACCTCAACACTCTCTTGATGCCTTGCCAGGCATTCACACTGGGCTTTGTAGCCTCCCTGCTGAGCAGATTCACAGCAAATGCTATGTCTGGTCTGCTCCACTGAGAGAGATACAACAGACTCCCTAGCGCTGACTGAAACACCTCAGGGTTTTGGAACTCAGAACGCTCCCCAAGCTGACTGTCCTTCACGAAGTTGGTCTCCATGGGCATTCTGACCCCTGCACAGTCAGACATCTGGAACTTCTCAAGCAACTGCTCAATCTTGCTTTTCTGACTGAGCAAGAAACTCCCGTTCTCAGACCTGTCTATCCTAACGCCTAGATAAACCTGAACGGGACCAAGGTTTTTGAGCTTAAACTTCTTACCAAGCTCTTTGGCAAAACCTTGCACCTGTCTACTTGTCTGTGCCACGTACAGAATATCATCTACGAACACCAGAATTGCCTCCTGTGTCTCTTCTGACCCCTTCAGGTACAGGCAACTGTCTGCAAGACTCTTCTGGAAACCCAAACTTTCCAGAGCTTCATTCAGGCACATGTTCCAATTTCTGGCTGACTGTTTCAAACCATAAATTGACTTGTGCAGCTTCCACACACCTGGCTCATTGCCCTCAAACCCTGGAGGAGGTAACATGTACAGATCCTCCTTCAGATCCGAGTTCAAATAAGCCACATCCACATCAAAGTGGTGCACTTGGTGCCCTCTTTGAGCAGCTACTGCTAAAAGCATGCGCAGAGTCTCACTCCGGGACGTAGGAGCATACACCTCGGTGTAATGCAGCCCCCTCCTCTGCGTGAACCCTCTGGCTACAAGCCTCGCCTTGTACTGTGGTTCTCCAGACGCTGTGGGCTTAATCCTGTAAACCCAACGACAGCTCACAGCCTGCTTGCCCTCTGGCAGCTTCGTGGTGGAGAACACACCTAAGGACCTTATTGAGTTCAACTCCTTTCCCATTGCCTCTTGCCACTTCCTGGCTTCTGCTTCAGGCAACTGTTGAACCTCCTCAAAACTCTCAGGTTCGCACTGCGCTAAACCAACCCACACGCTGGTGACCTCAAACCTCTCAGGTGGTACCCCTTTGTAGTGCGTGTGGAACGTCTGAGCACTGTCTCAGGTGCTCCCTCTGACCCACTGGGGCCAGCAAGTGTGTCCTTGTTATCAGAAGACTCCCCCTCTGACTTACTGCGTCTTCTGGCCTTCTGCACTTGACTAACGGGAAACGAAGGCTCACTTTTGGACTCTCTTTTAACAACCTGTGGAGATGCCCCTCCCTGTTCTTGACCCTGGTCAGAGACCTGGTCCTCATCAACAGGTACAGCTTCTAACTCTCCCTCCTCAGCAGAATCAGACAGACACTCTGAGAGAACGTCAGGATTCCCATGGATCCTTGACCAACCACTCTGCTCACAGAACTCAGCACTCCTGCTGACTAGAATCCTGGACTGATCGCCTTCTGGATAGGCAAACCTCCACCCTTTTGTCCCAGGCTCGTACCCACAAAAGATCATTTTCCGGGACCTCGGGTCACCTTTCTTGTGTTGAGCCTTTGGCACAAGCACCCAAGCTTCGCAACCAAACACACGGAAGAAATGCACCTTGGGCTTCTTCCGGTGCAGCAGAAAATAGGGTGTGTCTCCTACAACAGAGCTATAGGACCTGTTCAAAGTGAAGCTGGCAGCTTTCCAAGCTTCGGCCCAAAAGCTCTGAGGCAAACCAGAGTCAAACAGTAGAGCGTCAGCTGCCTCAGCTAGCGTTCTGTTCCTGCGCTCCGCTACGCCATTCTCCTGAGGAGAAAAAGCAACCGTCAACCTGTGACTTATCCCCTTCTGGCGGAAGAAACTCTGTAGAGCAGACCCGGTGAACTCTCCGCCTCGGTCGCTCTGAAAGCTCTGCACCTTGGTGGAAAACTGTAGTTCCACCGCCGCAACCCAGTCTTTGATCAGTTGCGCCGCCTCGCTTTTCTGTTTCAGCGAGAAGAACCAGCTGTTCCTCGAAAAATCATCTGTCAGTGTGAGCGCATACCTGGCTCCGCCCAGACTCGGCACTGGCATGGGTCCACAAAGGTCTGTATGCACTAGCTCAAAAGGCCTTGTGGTTACCCTTTCCGATCTGGGATAACTGCACCTTTTTATCTTTGCTCTTTTGCATGCCGTACAATCCAAGAATTTACCACATGCCTTCATCTTGCAACCCTCAGTGCATTCTGGCAACTTCTGGATATATTTCCAACAGCTATGCGACATTCTCCTGTGCCACAAGTGAGCACATGAATCATGTGTGGGAACGTTAGCACACCGCGCCTGTGCTGTCTCAGCGTTCCCCTTACCCTCCAGAGGTGTCTCCAGAACAAAGAGGTTGTTCTGGCATGCAACATTGACCAGTTGTTTCCCACCCCTGGAAATAGAACAGACATCATTTTCAAAGCAAACCTTATAACCCTCCTTTACAAGAGCAGATACAGATAAAAGACAACACTTCATTCCTGGCACAACGTAGACTTCCAGCTCTGCCTGTAAAAAAGAAACAAACACATTGCCAACAGTGGTTAATTGTCTCTGTGAGCCATCAGCAAGAGTGACTGTTTTCCCAGTTGAAACAGCCCTGCAGTTCCAGCTGGTGATGGCTGGCTCCTGAGTCGATGACCCAACACAGCATGCTGCCCTCACTGGAGTTGTCCTTCAGCATTGCCATGGAGGCAGCTAGGTGATAAGAAGAACCTTCCTTCTCACTTCCTCTGTCACGTCCTCCCTTTGCATTCCCACGCTGGCCTCCTCTCCTAAACTGGCTGCCATGGAAATCTGGCTGGCTGCCACGAGGACTTGGCTGACTGCCATGGGAAGCGACCTTGGAGACATCCTGCCCGGCCTCTCTGGCTCTCCTCGGACAGGACCGACGCAGATGGTCAACAGACCCGCAGACAAAACAACGACGAGTGGAAAAAGCCTGAACTGTGCCTTCTGGCTTGGCCCCCCCTCTGTTACCGGCAGGGCACCCTGCGCCAGCTCAGCCCTCTCTGAGATGGCGTTCCTCCTCGTCACACAAACGCCCAGTCACATATTGCAGCGTAAGATCCGCTGGATTCATCGATTCCAAAGTTAGACACAAATTGTTATAACTTTTGTCCAAAGAGCTGAGCAAAATATAAACTTTCAGTTCCTCAGTAAAGTTGACTTGCAACAGTCTCAGCTTGTTGAAAACAGAGAGCATCTTAGTCACATGCTGTCTGACGCAGCTTCAGCTCAAACAAGCTTCTGGTGGTGTGGATCTTTGCCCCAGCTGTGGTCCTGTGATGCACTCTCTCTAGTGCCTGGTAGACCTCCTGGGCAGTCTCAAGTCCCTCCACCAAAAGTAGCTGTGAGCCCTCCAAACTGAACACTATAGCTCCTAGGGCTTTCTGGTCTTTCCTCTGTGAGGCTTGGGCAGCTGCAACAACCGCTGCTGCAGCTCCGGCTGCAGCTTGCTGTGGGGGCCCTTGGGTCGCCTCCCGCAGACCCTTGGCTACCAGCCAGGCCTTCAGCTTCCTTGACCACTCCTCCCAGTTGCTCCCATTTAATTTTTCAAAGGGGACTGAGAATGACTCCTGTCCATCTGCCATCTTCTCCCCTGGGGCTGTGCCTACTAATGTAACCAGCAGCTCCTCTTGGCACCCGGTCCTGAAGATGAGATCATCCCCAGCAAGCTTCACTGCCTCAAACGTTAGGCAGGGGCTGCAGCTGGCTTCTCCCACACACACAGGCACGACGTGGCAACAGCTTCCAAAGCTTGGCTAGCTCCCACAACCTGCTGAGATAAGATGGCTCCTGGCACACTTCCCCTGTGCTGATGGACGCTTGTGCCGATAGGAAAAACTTGAGCTCTTAGCAGAGTTCGTAGCAGAGTTCTGCAGCGGTAGAAAGTGTTGCCTTGTGTGTGGATAATAAATCAGACTGAACGCAGGCTTCTTGCTAATCTCTAACAGCCTTTAATGAGAAGAAAAACATCATAAATCAGTCCCGGCGAGAAAGCAGGCATTTCTTTCGTCTCTCAGCCAAAAACGAAAGGAAACTCACACACAAAGAAAGATTCCCGTATGTGAACCAAACCACGCCTCAGAATGTGAGATGTCACACAGAACTGTTTAACCCTGTAAGTTCTGATTCTCCTCACACTGAAACCCTGGAGAGCCACTGCAAATCATTGTAGATAATATTGTTGAAATGTCTATAAAAATCCGGATGTATAGCAACCCATGAAGTGTACATTTTGGCGAATTTCTTGAAAAATAGCTCAAAAACTTCTTTTTTTGAAACAACAACACCTTTTGTGTCCAGATTTTCACTCTTTAGAATATGGCAACCCTAAATACTGAGGAAGATGGGACAGTGGTCTGATCAAGCATAAGGCAGCTTCCTGCATTCTTCTGTAGTGCCCAAAATGCTTTATGTGAGAATGCTGCCAATTGGGACCCCTGACCATTAGGTCCAGTGACGGATGACTCTGGGGTTGCGGTGCACATCTCGTTTTATTGGCCGAGGGAGCTGGCGTACAGCTTCCACGTCATGTGGCCAGCATGACTAAGCCGCTTCTGGCAAACCAGAGCAGCGCACAGAAACGCCGTTTACCTTCACGCTGGAGTGGTACCTATTTATCTACTTGCACTTTGATGTGCTTTTGAACTGCTAGGTTGGGAGGAGCAGGGACCAAGCAACGGGAGCTCACCCCATCGCAGGGATTCGAACCGCCAACCTTCTGATCTGCAAGCCCTAGGCTCTGTGGTTTAACCCACAGCGCCACCCGCGTCCCTTGCCAATTGCCTGAGCCACGTGTTATTTGCAATTCAGGGGAATTTGCTGCTACCTTGCTGCAGAAGTTTGGTTTTCATTATTTCACTGAGAAGTAAAGAGAAGTGTGTCATGTGACTATAGAAGATGTTGAGAAAGTGTGGTGTTCCTTTAAGGGGAATGGTTTGGGATTGACACAAAGGTATTTTCGTTCTTTCCTTAATTCCCACTGAGTATTATGAAAAGCAAAAAGAAGTGCACTTTCCTGTTCTTTTCTTCCTTTCCTTTACATTTTGTAGAAGCAGGGTTCTTTTTGTTGTTAGCAAGGTTTGTCTGTTCAAATAAAAGAAATTAGTGTTAAAGAAATCAAGCCTCTGAGAACCATTGTTCCTGGTTAAGAAATCCTTAACTGTTGCAACGGAGGCATTAACATCATTTGAGAACACAGCTTTCGACATTAAAATATTCAGTTATTAATCCCATTGCTACAGGCCCTCGACAGAAGGACTGTTGTAATCTGTGCTGAAAGAAGCTCCTGAAGTTCAGTGCTGCAGCATTGTGAAATCTTGCTTTTTTGCACAATTAGTTCTGCTGTTTTTAGTATTTACCATAAAATCTATTCAAGTTTTGGTCTGCGAGGAATTAAGCTGGGCCTTGAAGCCTCACCTCAATTGCTGGAAATCCTGGTCACCTAAAGCCCATTGACTTCTAAATGTAGAGGTACGGTTGTTGTGGGATATGATCATAGATACAGGAAATAAAGAGGAGTTTTAGCAACGACACCCTACTTTGGAGAAGGAAAGAGAAAGAGAGAGAGAGAGAGAGAGAGAGAGAGCGCAGGAGGGAAGGTTGGCATGAAGTCTATGAAAAGTGACAAGAACCTAGATTTAAAAAAAAAAACAATTCTCTCTGTCTCTTCAGGTGATGAAAAGAGATGTCTGATCAAGGTGAACCCCTCACAGCAGGGAGAGACAGGGACGATAATGACGTTACCTCTACGGACCATTCCTGGAGCTGGAACAATTCATGAGCAGAGATGCGAGGGGGAGGAACCAGTGAGGGGAGAAAATGGCTCCAGGGAGCTTTTAGAAGATGCGCATAATGAACCCTCCTTTCGACACTCCAAATACCAAAGAAGGTACCATCACCACAACATAGGACTTACGGCTTATAATGGAGAGGACCGCTATGACTATCTGAAGTGGGAGGGAAACACCTACCAAATAGCTTTCCGTTCCCAACACCAGAAAATCCAGACAGGAGAGAAACCTTTCAAGTGTCCTAATTGTGGGAAATGCTTCAGGCAGGGAGAAAATCTGAAGAGACACCAGAGACTGCACACAGGAGAGAAATCGAATGAACGCTCTGAGGGTGGGCTCGCTTTCCGCCCAAGACAGAATTTACAGAGACCTGTTCGTGCAGGAAAGAGATGCTATGAATGTCCCGAGTGTGGGAAATGTTTCTCTAATAGAGGGACATTGATCAGGCATGAGAGGATCCATACTGGGGAGCGACTGTTTGAATGCCCTCAGTGTGGCCAGTTCTTCAGTCAGAGAGCCCATTTGATGAGGCATCAGAGGATCCACACAGGAGAGAAGCCACACATGTGTCCCCAGTGTGGGAGGAGCTTTTCCCGGAGTGACAGTTTGGTAGACCACCAAAGGAAACATCTCTGCGAGAAACCTTTCCAATGTGCCAAGTGTGAGAAAAGCTTTAGCCAAAGATGCAGTCTCATTAAGCATCAGAGGACCCACATAACCGAGGCTGTACTCTGAGAACTCAGTGTTGGGTTGGAAAAAGTTCCAGTAGCAAACTTTGTCATATTAGGAATTGGTTGGCAAGCCCACCTGTGCTCTGTGCTAAAGAAATATTACACAGACATTATGGATTGTATCCAATGATTGTGTGGAGTTTCACTCAGACAATGTGACTTCTGTCCCCACATGCCCTCAAAATATGCTCCAACTCTTAGAGACTTGTTTTCTGGCGGGAAATTCCATGACATGTCAGGAACTGTGATCATAAATACCTATGAAAGAAGGCAAGTTTACACCATGTGATGTGGGGGAGAACCTCCAGCAACAGCTCACACCTCCCCCCCAAAAAACCTGAAGATGATAGAGAATTAATTCTGGAGTGAAACCTCACAGAAGCCCCTAGTGTGTGAAAAACCACTCTTGGATAGTGTTTAACTGATCCTGGGAGAAGTCACATTGGCTACATACCATGTGAACAGTGTTAGAAACTGGGATACAAAAGCTAGGAGCCAAACTGGATCCTGGGACCTGGGTTGTGGGTGCAAAAACAAAATGTCTAGTTGCCATTTGGGTGGTTGGCAACACTTTTTATTTCTTCTTTTGATAAGCATAAGTGACACATTGTTAATATCACATTTTTGTACAGAAATTGTTAATACGTGTTTAATTTGGCATTTACAATAAAAATATTGATACCATACTTCAGTTTTCAAAACCACTGTACTCTTTATTGTTAAACTCCTTAACTTATTGTCTATCCTTAACATATACTTTGACGCTTCAAAGCACATACCTTTCAGTAATCCTGGAGTGCTGTTGTTGTTTTGTTGTTTACTCGTGTCCGACTCTTCGTGACCCCATGGACCAGAGCACGCCAGGCACTCCTGTCCTCCACTGCCTCCCGCAGTTTGGTCAAACTCATGTTGGTAGCTTCAAGAACACTGTCCCACCATCTCGTCCTCTGTTGTCCCCTTCTCCTTGTGCCCTACATCTTTCCCAACATCAGGGTCTTTTCCGGGGATTCTTCTCTTCTCATGAGGTGGCCAAAGTATTGGAGCCTCAGCTTCAGGGTCTGTCCTTCCAGTGAGCACTCAGGGCTGATTTCCTGAAGAATGGAGAGGTTTGATCTTCTTGCAGTCCATGGGACTCTCAAGAGTCTCCTCCAGCACCATAATTCAAAAGCATCAATTCTTCATCGATCAGCCTTCTTTATGGTCCAGCTCTCGCTTCCATACATCACTACTGGGAAAACCATACTATACAGACCTTTGTTGGCAAGGTGATGTCTCTGCTTTTTAAGATGCTGTCTAGACGTGAAGCATCAATTAATGCATTGTGTGGAGAGTGGCTGGAAAGGAGGTTGCAGGAGGCTCTCGGGTGACTGGTCAACCATCAGAGAAGCCATGTGTGGCATTCCAGCAGGCACTGAAAAAAGTATGGCGACGGCACCTGCCTGATGTCAGTAGGCAGGGAGCTCCAAAATGTAGGTGCTGCTACAATAAAAAAATGACTTTGTACAAATGCGGAATGAGTATTATGTGACACCTGTTAGCAGGGCCAGTTCCACTGATCAAAGCGCTCAATTGGATATATAAGGACTGAATTCCTTACATATGGTCTAGGGGTTACGTTAGCAGACCCTGCAGCTTGGAAGAAATAGATTGGAATAATCATTTACAGTTTCTGGAGTTTATTCATGCAGGAACTATTTAAAGGATGAGTAGAAGTATCAGACATGTTGATTCAACAAGTTGAGAAAGAATAACACAAAAAAATGGTTTAGCTTTTAAGGGTAGAGTCAACAGAGAGTTACAAACAAGGGCTCTCTGGATTGCTACACAACTCTTGTGCTTAAACTAACACATTCTATGATTAAATACAAATTCATCCTTTCCCCTAAAAAGTTATCCATGGGAGGGAGAGATGAGAGGAAAAGAGTGTTTAGATGGTTGCTTTTAAGTGTTTTAGATTTTGTGAGTTTTTATTTCTTTTGATTGGGATTGATTGGTGCCTTGGGAACTGTATACTTGAGAAAGCAATAAATAAAGGGGTCTTTTTATTTTAAAAAATGGTGAATAAAAATTTGGTTGTTGGTTTTTAAAAATTGTTTTTATTTCAATTGTTTTTCTGCTGTGTTTGGGTGGATTGGTGCTGGGGAGCTGTTGTCACATGAAGCCTTGCAGATGTACATGGTGGGGTCTGGGAGGTAGCAGGATATAGGGTATCCCTCTTGCGCCTTCTGGAAACAACACAGCTCTCCAGATTCCCCGTGCTTCGTTTGTGGAGCGTATGGTGTCCCTAGAACCCTGCTGTCTTGGTTAAGTGTTTTGCCAACGGTAATGGAGTGGCAGACCAAAGTTTTTGAGTATACAGAACTGGCTAAAATGACTTATAAAATTCAAGACCAAAAAGGGACAAAGTTTGAAGAAGAGTGGAGTAAATTTGTTGCATACGTAAGAATTAACTGTAGAAGTCTAAAAACTATAGCAGGGTTAACATGTGTTGTGTATAGAGGGTAAATAAGAATCTGCAAGAGAAGATATAAATTAAAAAAAACGAAGCAGGGAAGGAAGGAAGTCTGGGCGTGAACTTACGCAGTGTAAATAAGACGACACAAAATGGTAATTGTAAAAGATTAAGTTATATATATGTTTGTGAAAAAATCAATAAAAAGCATTTGAAGGGGGAAAAAGTGTTTTGCTAAAAAGCTTTTACTTCCTGGGATTGAGACGCCAACCTTGGAGGGCAGCGCTGCAGCATAACATCTGCTTGCAAACCCAAACAACAGGAGCATGCTGCCTCTGACATTGGAGGGCAGCATGCAGCTCTCATGCCTAGGTAAAGGTAAAGGGACCCCTGACCATTAGGTCCAGTCACGGACGACTCTGGTGTTGCGGCACTCATCTCGCTTTATTGGCTGAGGGAGCCGGCGTACAGCTTCCGGGTCATGTGGCCTGCATGACTAAGCCGCTTCTGGCGAACCAGAGCAGTGCACGGAAACACCGTTTGCCTTCCCACCGGAGTGGTACCTATTTATCTACTTGCACTTTGACGTGCTTTTGAACTGCTAGGTTGGCAGGAGCAGGGACCCAGCAACCCTGTTGCGGGGATTCGAACCGCCGACCTTCTGATTGGCAAGCCCTAGGCTCTGTGGTTTAACCCACAGCGCCACCTGCGTCCAGCTCTCATGCCTAGTAGCCATTAATTGCCCTATTATCCATAAATTTGTCTAATTCCCTTTTAAAGGCATCTGAGTTGGCTATTATTCCATCCAGGGCTTTTTTCAGCCAGGACTCGCCAGGACTCTGTTCTGGCAACTATCAGGTGGGCGCCATTGCCAACGTAAGAGGACAACGGAGGTGTTCAACGTGAGATCCATCATCTCTTTTTCTAGAAAAATAGCCCTGCTTGTGTACATCTTAGCATGTCTCCTTTTACTTGCCTTATCTCTAAACTAAATGCCCCAAACTTTGGAACTCTTCTGCATAGCGGAGTCGCTCCAACCCCCTCGATCATTTTAGTTGCCCTTTTCCTGCTCTACAATATCCTTTTTGAGTCAAGGTGTTACCTAGAGTGTGGGTTGTGCCACAGATCTGTACAATGGCATTATGATACTGGCAATTTGATAACTGTAATTTCAATGTTTTCAAATGGATATCCCATGTACAAGAATATTCTACAAATCCCTGGTCTAATTAGCGAATTGACTGAATGTTTTTTTTTGGTGGGGGAGATAGTACATTAAACAAATAAACACTGTTTGTGTTTTGGTGGTTGGTAAAAAATAAATTTATTTTTTTTAAAATAAACAAATAAACACTGGCTGGCAAACATGTAAAATTTATTACTTCCTTATGTTCAAGACTTCATGGTAAAATGGGCATAGAATATGAGGGGAAATATTCCAATAGAGATCTAGGAGAATTTTTGAACATCAGCACAATAGGTTCTCTTTTGGACTCAGGCATCAGAGAAAATTGTTATGTAATAATGGTTATATATAACCCTGATAAAAATTAAAATTATTCTCTCCCCTCAGCCAAATGACTGGGGGGGGGGGTATTTTTTACACATACCGGTAAGTTGACATTGCGATATTGAGAAAGAATAAAAACCTATTGGGAAAGAATATTAGGTTATAAAGTTCCCCTACACCCAGCAATACTTATTCAATTACTTTGCACCTCACCATTTAAAAAAACTTAAACATGAATTTACTACATGCCCTTACAATTGCAACAGGCAAACAGATATTAGAAATGATCCAATATGGGGAAGGGAGGCATTTCAGATAGCTGGCTTAGGCCTTCTCCCTCTGGGCGCTTAGCAGCAGACTGCCTGGCAACCAGCCATGAGCTTTGCTCCTTATCCTTGACTCATGGAAAGCGGCTGATTTACTGAGGCGGCTCTGGACCTAGCATTCTGCACGTGCTCAGAGGTAATTCATCAACAAATTCCCTGCCTGAGTCCAACATCAGAGTGAGAGAGAAAAACGTGGGGCAGGAAGAACTATGACTGGCTTAGATTACGCCCAGCAAATTGGGCTGCATTGATTTAAATCTATTTTGCTAACAAATGGCCATACCATTTTAGTTTTAGCCAAGAATTTTTAAAAAATATATATATTTGAAAATAAAAAGTGGAGTACCTGTGCCCCCTACATATTGTTGGACTACATCTCCCACCACCCCGATCCCTAATCATGCCAAGTGGAGCTGATGGGAGTTGTAGTTCAGCAGGTGTGCCATTGGGGGGCAAGGCCCCCCAAAATGTTCAAGCAGGGGCTCTCCTGCAGCTGCAACTGGCCTTTCAGGGCCTACCTGTGGCCGCAGCGAACCCACACGCACCATGCACATAACGTCATGCACGCACACTGCCCCTGCCCCACCGAAATTGGGCGGAACCTGGCGCGTCCGGAGGGCTGAAAGTTGCCCGCACCTGGTGTAGTTCCATTAAGGTGGTGAGCAGCTTTCCCTAACGTAGTGCCCTTGATGTACTTTTGGACTACAACTCCCATCAGCGCCAGGCAGCATGGCCAGTGGTCAAGTACCTGGAGAGCCTGACTGACACTTTTCACACAAGGAAAGCCTCTCATTTTTTAGCTGCCGCGTCACACCGTTGGCCCACAAACTTGACATGAGCCAACAGTGTGACGCGGCAGCTAAAAAAGCCAATGCAATTCTGGGCCTCATCAATAGGAGTATAGCATCTAGATCAAGGGAAGTAATAGTGCCACTGTATTCTGCTCCTGTCAGACCTCACCTGGAGTACTGTGTCCGGTTCTGGGCACCACAGTTCAAGAAGGACACTGACAAACTGGAACGTGTCCAGAGGAGGGAAACCAAAATGGTCAATGGCCTGGAAACGATGCCTTATGAGGAACGGCTAAGGGAGCTGGGCATGTTTAGCCTGGAGAAGAGGAGGTTAAGGGGTGATATGATAGCCATGTTCAAATATATAAAAGGAGGTCACATAGAGGAGGGAGAAAGGTTGTTTTCTGCTGCTCCAGAGAAGCGGACACGGAGCAATGGATCCAAACTACAAGAAAGAAGATTCCACCTAAACATTAGGAAGAACTTCCTGACAGTAAGAGCTGTTCGACAGTGGAATTTGCTGCCAAGGAGTGTGGTGGAGTCTCCTTCTTTGGAGGTCTTTAAGCAGAGGCTTGACAACCATATGTCAGGAGTGCTCTGATGGTGTTTCCTGCTTGGCAGGGGGTTGGACTTGATGGCCCTTGTGGTCTCTTCCAACTCTATGATTCTATGATTCTATGATTCATGCACCGAATGAAGATCCTCCTTTATATTCATTTGGTCTGAACCCAGTCCTCTGAAACAGGTGGGCAGAGGATGGACTTCTGTGCCTGTTCCATCAAAGAGAAAAATGAATGGCCACAAAAAAAGAGTACTGGGAACTGTAGTTTGTTATGAGTGCTCAGAGTTAATAGGAGACTCCCTATTTCCTTCAGAGAACTATACTTCCCAGAGTTCCCTTGAAAGATGGACTAATGGTTAAAAAACCACTCTGCATATTGTGGTTCTGTGAAGGAGGTAAAGGTAAAGGGACCTGTTAAGTCGTGGGTTGACATAGCAGCCGGCACAGCGATTTCTTCAAGTAGCTCTTTATTATGGTAAGCTGGAATAGAACTGACTGCGAACAGCTCAGCCGGCCTGTATTTATAGGCAGCCGGCTGTCAACATTGTAACCACAACAGCCCAGAGTTCCCGCCTAAAATAACTGGCGCGGACCTGAGTGAAAACTATCTACAGACCTGAGTGAAAACTATATACAGTATCCCCCTGTTGGCCCAGGGTGAAACTACACTACATAACACCCCTCCCCACCGAGATAAGGCGTTAGTTACAATCGTAATGGTTTCCTTATATACAGCACTACGCGTAATGGTTCAATTAGGCACAAAAGCATATCGGTTACATTTCCCATACTTAGACCAACAGTGATACCTGTCCAACAACATAGTCCTTTAAATAAGTTGGGCGCTTGGAAACTCTGCCAGACCGCCGGGGACTGGTAGCCAAGTCCGGAGGGCCACACAGTTCTCGCTGAGGCTGTGGTGCGACCCTAGGTGGCGTTGGAACCAACTCCCTGGATCCGCTGCTGTGGGTGGAGCCTCCGCAAGTGGAGTGGTCTGAGTCTGTTCTGAAACGGCTTGGTTCGGCTCCACGCTGGCAGTTTGCGAGGGAGGTGTAGGTGGGGCCTCGCCATCTGTACGTGTCTCTTCTGGAGCCGCAAGCGCAGTTGGGGGCACCTCGGTAGTGTCCAAGTCCCCAACCCTGCGTCTAAGCTGGTCTATGTGCCGTCGCCACAAGCGTCCGTCTTCGAGTGCCACCTGGTACGAGCGAGGTCCAGTGACTCCCACTACTGTGGCTGGCACCCAAGGGATGTCCCCCACATAGTTCCGGGCAAAGACCTGGTTTCCTGGGACAAATGACCGTGGTGCGTTGGCACAGCCTGGGGGTTCAGCCACGGCAAAGTCTGGGTGTAGCCGGTCGAGCGGTGACCTGAGGCGGCGGCCCATAAGCAGTTCAGCAGGACTCCTCCCTGTGGCCGCATGAGGGGTGATGTGTTGCACGAACAAGTATTCGGCGACCCGCTCATGGCAGTCTCCCCGGTCCAGGCGCGCCAGTGCCTCTTTTGTCGAGCGCACCATTCTTTCCGCTTGCCCGTTGCTGGATGGATGAAAGGGTGCCGTTAGGGCATGGCGGATGCCCAGTCCCAAAAGATACCGCTCAAACGTGCCTGACGTGAACTGCGGTCCGTTGTCAGAGACAAGGACATCAGGACACCCATGCGTTGCAAACAGGCCTCGCAGCACCCGGATGACAGCTTCGGTAGTGGTGGAGGGCATCAGGGCGACCTCCAGCCATTTGGAATAGGCGTCCACCACTACCATAAAGGTCCGGCCGTGAAAGGGGCCAGCCAGATCGATGTGCACCCTCGACCAGGGTGTCTTTGGCGTCTCCCAGGTGTGTCCCTTAGCTGCCGGTGGTGCAGGCCTCGACTCCTGGCACGCTTGACAGGCGGACACCCAGGCAGTGATGGCATCGTCCATATTAGGCCACCAGACGTAACACCGAGCCAACGCCTTCATTTTGACAATTCCCGGGTGGCCAACGTGCAGAGCCTCCAGGACGCACTGACGGAGTCCCTGGGGAATCACGACGCGGTCTCCCCACAGCAGACAGCCGCGATGAGCTGAGAGTTCCTGTTGTCTGGTTGTGAAGGGCTGGAACTCCGATGCAAAAGGCCCTTGTGGCCACCCCCTCCACACCCAGTTGAGCACCCGGCTGATGGTGCGATCCTGGGCAGATGCGGAGGCCACAGTGGCAGCCGATACAGGCGCTGCCGGAAGATCCTCAATCAGAAGGAGCGATGAAGCTGGAGCCGGGTCTTCCACAAATGCTGGAAGAGGGCAACGGCTGAGGGCGTCGGCATGGCCCATCGATTTCCCCGGGCGATGGATGAGCCGGTAGTGGTAGGCAGCCAGGAAAACAGTCCAGCGCAGCATGCGTGGTGAGAGGACCGGTGGAGTTGGACGATCACCGGCGAGGAGGCCCAGGAGTGGCTTGTGGTCAGTGATGAGGTCAAAAGTCCTGCCATAGAGGTATTCATGGAACCTCTTCACTCCAGCCACAAGTGCCAACGCCTCCTTGTCGAGCTGGCTGTAATTCCGTTCCGTCGGAGATAGAGTCCTGGAAAAGTAGGCGAGCGGTGCTTCTCTTCCATCTGGAAAACGGTGACTAAGGACAGCACCGATGCCAAAAGGTGAGGCGTCGCAGGCAAGGACCAGCGGCCTGGATTCACTGTACTGTACCAGCACACTGTCTGAAGAAAGGAGAGCCTTGACCGCGTTGAAGGCCGCCGTCTCCCGATGACCCCAGGCCCAAGGCGTCTTAGTGCTAAGGAGTCGGTGAAGAGGCTCAGCCACTGTGGCTTTGTGGGGCAGGAACATGTTATAAAAGTTCAGCAGCCCCAGGAATGCCTGCAACTCCGTTTTGTTCTTTGGGGTGGGGGCCTGCTGGATAGCGCGGATCTTGGATGTGGTTGGATGAAGACCGGAGGCATCGATAAGATAGCCCAGGAACTCTACCTGTGGAACGGCGATCTGGCACTTCTCCCTCTTTACCTTGAGCCCGGCCTCCTGGAACCTGGTCAGCACGGCACGGAGGCGCTCGAACAGCTGCTGGTGTGAGTCTGCAGACACCAAGACGTCATCAAAATATGGTACCACGCCCGGAAGCCCTTGCAGGAGACGCTCCATAAGGCTTTGGAAGATGCCAGGAGCCACACTCACCCCGAACTGCAACCGGCGGCAACGGAATGCCCCCCGGTGGGTGACGATCGTCTGGGCTTCAGCAGTGGCATCATCGACTGGCAGTTGTTGATAGGCTTGGGCAAGGTCCAGCTTAGCGAAGACCTTACCCTCACCCAGGGAATGCAGCAGGTGTTGGACAACAGGAACCGGATAAGCGTGCTGCTGAAGTGCCTTGTTGATCGTGCACTTGTAGTCAGCGCAGATTCTCACCGACCCATCTGGCTTGACAGGCGTGACGATGGGGGTTTCCCACTTTGCGTGGTCAACCGGCTCCAAAACTCCTTGGGCGATCAGTTTGTCCAGTTGTTCGTCCACCTTAGCCTTGAGAGCAAAGGGAACCCGGCGTGGCTTTAGCTTGATGGGGGCGACTTGTGGATCAAGGCTAAAGGAGATGGGCGTACCTGTATATTGGCCCAAGGTGCCGTCAAAAACCTCGGCAAAGTCTTTGACCAGACCCTCAGTCTCTGCGTTAGAGATGCAGTTGATGCCGGTGACTTCCAGGCCGAGGGCATCAAACCAGTCTAGCCCTAGGAGGCTTGGCCGCTGACCTTCGACCACCACCAACCGGAGCAGGCCCGAAAAATCCTTGAAGGCGATCCGGAACCGGCCAACGCCTACCACGGGAATGTCGTTTCCCTGGTAGTCTCTCAGGTGTACGCGGTGAGAGTCAAGTTGCCTTTTGGACACTCTGGGTACCAGTCTTTTGATGGTGCTCCATGACACGATGGACAGGGCAGACCCGGTGTCGATCTCCATGTCACATGGAGCTCCTTCAATGAGCACCGTGACGTTCAGCTTGCGTCGTGTAGGCGAGTCGGTTTGGCCAATCGTGGTTCCAGACGGGCAGCGGCAGTTGGTGAGAGCGAAACAACTTTCCTTGGCAGACTGGAGTGAAGACTTGGACTTGCGAGTCGATGAAGGGGGGGTGTCAGACGGAGCCGATCGGCAGACCTTAGCGATGTGGCCCCTTCTGGAACACTTCCTACAGATGGCGTCTCTGAATCGACACTTGGCACGGGAATGGTTGCCTCCGCAGCCAGCACATTCCGGTTGGCCCTTGGACTTCTGTTGGAACTTCCTGCGCTCCCGCTTTGTCTGGTGCACGTCATCGTCTTCACTGGAGGATGCCTCCTCACTGCTGTCCTCTTCATGATGCACTGGCTCCCTAGCAAGACGCGGGCTGCTGGACTTGCGGATCTCCTGGGCGGAGCGTTCAGCAGCTTCTGAGGCCACAGCTTCCTCAATGGCTTTCTGTAGCGTGAGGTCTGGCTTGGCTAGGAGGCGCCGTTGCAGATGGATGTCCCGGACCCCGCAGACGATTCGATCCATCAGGGCATCGTCTAAGTCTCGGAACTCACAGTGCATTGCAGCCTGTCGCAGGGCGGTGGTGTAGTTGTTGATTGACTCCCCCTCTACCTGGTTCCGGTGGTAGAACGCATGGCGGGCAGCAATCTTGGACGGCTTTGGTGCGTAGTGGTTGCGGAGCTTCTCTTGGATCGTGTCCCATGGTGTTGCCTGGACTGCTTCAGGCGCAACCAACGCTCGGGCCGTCTCAAACACCTCAGGCCCACAGAGGCTGAGGAATAGGCCCCGCTTCCGATCCTTTGATACTGCTGTCAGCTCGTTGGCTTGGAGGTAGCAGTCGAACCGAGCGAGGTAGGAGTCCCATGATTCAGAGGCTGGCGCAAACGGCGGTAGAGGCACAAGTGAAGCCATGATTCCAATGCCGGCGTGAAGGGCGATGGATGGAACACAGTGCTCTAGCCAGAACAGTCAGCTCTGAATTGGTTCTGCCCAGTGATTTCGCTCTGTGATTCAGCTCAGTGATTCAGCTTAGTTCAGAGGCTGGCCGCATCTGGCTGTGCTCTGATGTCCATCCATCCCACCTTCGTCGCCAGTGTTAAGTCGTGGGTTGACATAGCAGCCGGCACAGCGATTTCTTCAAGTAGCTCTTTATTATGGTAAGCTGGAATAGAACTGACTGCGAACAGCTCAGCCGGCCTGTATTTATAGGCAGCCGGCTGTCAACATTGTAACCACAACAGCCCAGAGTTCCCGCCTAAAATAACTGGCGCGGACCTGAGTGAAAACTATCTACAGACCTGAGTGAAAACTATATACAGTATCCCCCTGTTGGCCCAGGGTGAAACTACACTACATAACAGGACCCCTGACCGTTAGGTCCAGTTGTGGCCAACTCTGGGGTTGCGGCACTCATCTTGCTTTATTGGCCGAGAGAGCCAGTGTACAGCTTCCGGGTCATGTGGCCAGCATGAGTAAGCAGCTTCTGGCGAACCAGAGCAGCGCACGGAAATGCCATTTACCTTCCCGCCGGAGCGGTACCTATTTATCTACTTGCACTTTTGACGTGCTTTCGAACTGCTAGGTGGGCAGGAGCAGGGACCGAGCAACGGGAGCTCACCCTGTCGCAGGGATTCGAACTGCCGACCTTCTGATCGGCAAGTCCTAGGCTCAGTGGTTTAACCTACAGTGCCACCAGAGTCCCTGTCAAGGGAATAGGGAGTCCCCTAAAAATGCCCAGCGCTCTTAACAAACCAGAGTTCCCAGGAATCTTTGAGGGACGGAGGCAGTGAGGCCTCTCCCATCTATCCCCCACCTGGTGTTTTGGCTCCTCCCCTCCCAGAACAATCTCCACCAGCAACCCCTCCCATCAGTTTGGCTGGGATCAACTGCCATTTCAGCTCGCCCCTTCCACAAATTGCCCCACTTGGCCATTGTAAGAATAATGTAACATTATGTGAAAAGGGGTGCCAGAATCTGCTTATTTTCCTCTTTCTTTCCTGCGCTTTTCCTTTCGTGTCAAACCTATTTTAAAAAAAGAAAGCCTCAAAGCTTAGCCCGTGTGGTGAAGTTGTTAAAAGGATCAGACTAGGACCTTAGGACCTGGGGGATTAGAGTTCAAATCCCGGCTCATCCATGAGCCAGTCCCTGTTTCTCTCAGCTTAACCTACCTCACAGGGTTGTTATGGAGATTAAATGAGAAAGAAGAGAACTATGTATGGCAGATTTTGAGCTCCTTGGGGGAAAAAGTCCCTGGACATCTAAGGACCCAAGACTGAAGAACAATCTCCATCTGAATCCTTATTTTCTATGTGGAATATATTGTCCCCATCAACAAAATGAGTCAGTCTTTCCTCACACCTGAAAAAAATAATACTGATGGCAGATGCACATTATACTTTCAAAGCACATGACATACCCCAATGAATTATGGGACAAGTTGTTTAAGGGTGCTGGGAATTGTAGCTCTGTGAGGGTGAAGCTCCCATTTCTAGGAATCTTTGAGGCAAGCCCTGCGCAATAGTTGTACCTGTTGTTGTTGTTGTTTTGTTTGTACTCCACTCATCTGACTGAGTTGTCCCAGCCACTCTGGGCAGCTTCCAACAAATATAAAAGCTTAGCATAAAACATTAAAGACCTCTCTATACAGATCTGCTAAGCTATTTATCTCCTTGACATCTGATGGGAGGGTGTTCCACAGGGTGGGCGCCACTACCATAAAGCATTGAATTTGCTTTAAATGTATGTTGTGGATTTGCCCTATGCTCTGTTGACTGAGGGTAGTCAGTCTAGGTTTTTTTGAGGGGGGGGTGTCTTTAACAACAAACCTGACTTTCTAAAAGACCAGGCTTTTTTCAATAAGGAAAGTGACAGGAAAATGCACTTGTTCTGATGGAGCAGCATCTCTCCTTAATGCAAACAATGAATGTATGTTCATTAAATAGCTGATGCCATCTAATCAACGCTGCAATAAACAGGTTATCTCAAAGTGCCTTGGGAGGAAAGTTGTGTTTTATAAAAAATATCCATCTGCATGGGAAACATTTATATGGTCCTTCACCGCTCTCCTAGGTTGGCAGTTAGCATGATTTTGCTCGATTGTGTAATTTGTCCACCTGCCAGTTTAATACCTGCAAGAGATATTATGTTGGGAGTATCCCATCCCATGATTAATGACCTTGGAGTGGTGTTAGGCTTTTTCTTGGCAGCTGCAGCCCAGATTATGTGGTCCACCCCAGGTGTGAGCAATTTAGCGCTCTCTCGCTCTCGGAGGGGGGGGGGCGGGGGAGTCATTCAGCAAACAAGCCTCGAGAAACCTATAAGGCCCCTGGGATTCAAGGCTACAGTGGGGGCTCCCAGCAGCTGAAAGACATTGCTTGCTTGGTATGGTATATTCTTATTTATGATCTGCCTGCTGTTTAATTAATCTTGAGACTTCTTAGAACTGTAGAGTTGGAAGGGATCCTGACGATCATCTGGTGACTACCTAATGCTTATTAGATGGATTTCCCCCCAAATTGATTTCTGAACTTTGAATTTTATTGTTATTCATTTTTTTTATACTGTATTTTATGCTGCTTCTACAAGTAAGTGTTTTAAATTTGTTGTTAGCCGCCCTGAGCCTGGTTTTCTGAACAGGGGAAGGGCGGGGTATAAACAAAAATTTATTATTATTATTATTATAGTATAGTCCGACCCCCTGCAATGCAGGAATATGCAGCTGTCCCATACAGGGATTGAACCTGCAACCTTAGCGTTATCATCACTTTTGTATTGTTTCTGTATCCCAGAGAAAGAAGCCCCTTGTCTTTGGCAAGACACTGTCCAAGCTGTTTCTTAATTATTGTGTTTTTTTTTGGGGGGGGGGAAGTTGGTAGAAATAAAGAACAACAAAAGTTGGCCTCTCCCTCAAGTATATATCATGTAACTAAACAGATACAGTGGTACCTCGGGTTACAGAAGCTTCCAGGTTACAGACTCCGCTAACCCAGATATAATAGTACCTCGGGTTACGAACTTTGCTTCAGGATGAGAACACAAATTGTGCTCTGGCGGCACGGCAGCAGCAGGAGGCCCCATTAGCTAAAGTGGCACCTCAGGTTAAGAACAGTTTCAGGTTAATAACGGACCTCCGGAACGAATTAAGTTCTTAACCCGAGGGACCACTGTACTTATTTTCTACTCTTATCTCTTTCCTGTAGGGAGTATCCCCGCCATCCAAGACTACCCTCTTGGGGAATTTTCTCAAGAAAAGGCTCAAGGCCTCAGAAATGCGCATAGAACTACTTGTTGTAACTGACAGGATTTTGCCAAGAGAATAAGGGGGGGGGGAGGACTGAGGGTCAAAAATGGACATAAGCTGTGAAGACCTGGGAAAAGGTCCAGGCATTGCCCACTTTGAAGAGTTTCCAAGAGGGGCAGCACCACAAAATGTTAACCAGCAAACCCAGGAGCGGCCGCCACAGCAGAGGGTGAGCCAATCTGAAGAATTCCTGAAGGACCTCCAGCCTCCAAAGCCGACTCTGGAGAATCCAGGATTGACAGAGCCCATACTGTCGGAAGATGATCCTGAAAGGTTCCTGGTCTCCTTTGAGAAAGTTGCCGGAGCTTGTCAATGGCCGAGAGAAGAGTGGGCAGCCCGGCTTGTGCCGGCCCTTGGCGGAGAAGCAGCAAGAGCCTTTAGAAAGCTGGCTGCTGGCGACAGAGAGGACTATGGGAAAGTGAAGGCTGCCATCTTGCAAGGGGATGCAATCAAAATGGAGGTCCAGCGCCAGTGCTTCAGGCAGTTCCGCTTCCAGGAGGTGGAAGACCCGCAGAGGGCATATGGCCAGCTCCGTGAGCTTTGTCGTCAGTGGTTGAAGCCAGAGAAACACACCAAGGAGCAGATCCTGGATCTGGTGGTCCTGGAGCAGTTCCTGGCCATCCTGCCCCAGGAAACCCAGAAGAGGATGGAGAAATGTAGCCCAAAAGCCTGCGCCCGGGCAGTGGCCCTGGCAGAAGACCTCCTGAGAAACCATCAAGAGGCCAAGATGTGGAGACTGGAGGTGAGATTTGCATGATGTGAAAACTTAATGACCTGTCTGTTTGAAGCCAGCGCAGAGGGGTGATGTGGGTTGCCAACTGCTGAGAAAAGAGGCCTGCCTTGCTCTTGTCCCATTAATATAGGCTTGATCTACAGCAGAGGTTCCCAAACTGGTCCATGGACCACCAGTCTCCACAAGCTTCGTTCAGGCACAATAGGAATGGAGAAACCTCATGGGAATGCAAAACGTTTTAAAAAATAATAATAATTAAACATTTTTATTGAAAGTTCAAAAAGTGCATAATTATATGTGCACTAAACATGGTGAGACGTAAATAAAAGAGAGAAAGTGAAAAAGAGAAACAGAACCTGTGTAGAAGGGAAAATAAAATGGGCGAGGGGGAAAACTCAAAACTGTATATTTTGCAAGGTTATTGTACCTCACAAATTCTTAACCTATTACAGTAGCTGTAAGAATTAATTCCAAAGATCATTGAATTTGTCCATGGCAAGTCTGCGTTTATATGCAGATTGTTCACATGTTGCGAGTTTGTATAAGTCTTCAATCGTAGAAGGGGACCACATCTTAAGAATTGGGGCGGGGTTAGGGAGGGGAAAAAAATCTCAAAATAGCCCAATGCTGACTTCTTTTGTGGGGCGGGGGAGGCTGGAAATTAAACAAAATAAGTCAAAAGTGTGGATCAATGCCGTTTTGGTGGTACTCCCACTGGGGGCTGCAAAGTTGGTGCTGTTTAGTTGGTGCAGAGAAAGCCTATGATAGGGTCCCCTATTTGTGGAATGCCCTCCCTTCTTGCAAGGTATGTCTGTGCCCTTCATTCAGGTGAAATGTTGAAAACATTCCTGTTTACCTAGGTATTTGGTGGGTGAAAACCACTGTTCCTGACACACCTGAGATCACTGTTTTGAAATCGTAGTATCATAGAATTGTAGAGTTGTAGAAGGGACCCCAAGGGTCATCTAGTCCAACCCCCTGTAATGCAGGAATCCTGCCCAAAGCTGTCACTGGGTGGGTTTGAACCACCAGCCTTCTGGTTAACAGACCCATTGTGCCACAAATGTTTTAACTGTTTTTAGGATGGTTTTGAAATAGTTTTCTCTTGATATGTTTCCCCCTCTGGAGAAAGGGCAGGATTTAAATTGAAGGAAGGAAACAATAAAGTAAATAAATAAAGTTTCAAAAGTGATATACAGTGGTACCTTGGGTTACATACGCCTCAGGTTACAGACTCCGCTAACCCAGAAATAGTGCTTCAGGTTAAGAACTTTGCTTCAGGATGAGAACAGAAATCAGACTCTGGCAGCGCGGCGGCAGCTGGAGGCCCCATTAGCTAAAGTGATGCTTCAGGTTAAGAACAGTTTCAGGTTAAGAATGGACCTCCGGAACAAATTAAGTACTTAATCTGAGGTACCACTGTACAGCTCACTTTAAGTGAGTCAGGCCATTGTCTCCAGCTCTGGCCAGCAGCAGCTGTTTCCCGCTACCTGATCCTTTTAAAGAACAAAACTAAAATGGGGACTTAGCTTGGGATCTTCTGCACTCCCCTCAACATTAAGCCACTTCCAGAGCGGTGTCCCCAAGGAAACAGGAGTTCAGAAATTGAGTATGGCCTCCATCCCTAATGTTTCTGTCTCAATCCACTTTATGGGATGCAATTTTCCTTGCTGTTTCAGGAGCCGTTGCAGAAGATGACCCAGAGTTTCTTGAGAGCAGAGGAGATGGCGGCCCACTCCACCGAGAGAGAGATCTGCAAGGAAGCCAAGCAGCAGGGTGATGGTGGTGCCACGCTTCTATGTAAGGGTTAAGTGACTCGCCATAGGCTGGCCGAGCAAGTGGGGCAGGCAGGTGGCCGAGGCAGGCCTTTCTATGCCCACCCCTCATCCCCCCCTTTGACCCCAACAGCTGCCACTGCTGATAGAAGGAAGTGTGCAGACAGAAAGGGAGGGAGGATGAAGGGGAGAAACATGAGCAGCAATTGGGGGAATCTTGGGACTGGGCAAACTGGGAGGGGAGGGAGGAGTTTGGGGTGAAATGTGAAGGGATGGAGATTGGTAATGGGGCAGGGAGTTGGCAGGTGGTCTGGATTTTTTGATGTTGCTGAGCAAGCTCTTTTTGTTGTGCAGAAGAAGGCAAAATAGGTAGTGCTAACACAACTCTGCCGGTCCAAGCAGCCCATTGGATTTGGCTGTTGTGCTCCGCTAAGAACAGGGTGTCCACAAGTGGAATGGCTGTTGTGATCTGTGGCTACCACAAGTGGATCTCCTCCTGTGTGTGTCCAAACTCTCTGATACTTGTAAGCCGCTTTGGTTATGTTTTGAGAAGGGATGGATCATGGAAATGACTGAAATAAATGACAATACAAATGTTGCTTCTGAAAACATAACCTGTTCTTGTCTCTTACAGCCAGCAGAACACCATCCCAAAGTGTCTCTGCTCCCTTGCATTGCCCTGATGGATCAGAGCTGGCAGAAGGTGTCTTGGATGAGGTGGGTTCATGCGTTAGCTGTCCTGATGTCTCCCCTCCTCCTGCGGGCTCCTGAATCTTTCTTTGCATCAAAAAGTCTGTTTTTTGAATGGGCAGCTTTTTTCTGTCACCTTGCTGCCAAATTCAGAAGGTGCCATCTTTTTCATTTTAGTTTTTCCTATTGTTGACTGATTTGCCCAAAATGACCATGGAGGCGTCCAGCCTAATGAAGCCCATGGGCTAGGATTTGCCAATGCTGCAGTAACCCATAGGTTGTTCCACTGGCGGAGGCAGAGAGGGGCGGGGGGAGCACGGCTGCCCATCACGGCTGCCCCCCACCTGCGTTGGGCGCCACGCCCCTGGAACGCACACCAGCCACGCCCCTGCCTGCTCTCCGCCCCCCGGTGCCGGAGCATGAAGCTCCTCTACTGGGTTGTTCAACAAATCATTGGTTGTCCTGCAAACAACCGGACAAGCAACAGTTTGTTTCTCCAAACTGTGTTTTAAAGTACTGGTGCCACTTCACTAAAAACCTTAGTTTCTATAGGAAGCAGATGCATATGTGATAGTGAGGGACCTAAGGGGCTAGATTTAAGGGATTTAAGTGGCAGGAAGGGAGATTTTGGTTGGACATGAGGAGAAACATTTTGATGGTAAGAATTGCTGGAGATCTTCAATCCGAATCTGGAGAACTCTAGCTCTGAATCTCCTGCACCAAGCAGGAAATTATACTGGTTGGCTAAGAAGGTATTTTCCAGGTCACATCCATGCCATATATAATGATCTCTGGCAATCAAGCAGCCTAATAAGCAGCAATGAGTCCCCATCAGTTTTATGTAAGTTTATTTACAAGAAGAAACATATCCAGAGCCCAGTCTTCCCGCCTGCTCTCATTAACAGTAGTTGCTCAGTCTGTCTCATTGTCCCTTCCCCAACAGGAAGAACCCCAAAATTGAGCTGTTCTTCTCCTTCCCTTCCGTTGTTCTCTGAGCTTCTCCCATCTTCTAGTACGGGGACTGAACAGCTGGCCTGTCTCTTCCCCACTCCCAGAAGACACAGACTCAGACTTTGGCTTATCTGATGGTTGCCTGCCAACGCTCTGGCTGACTTCCAACTCTTCCTCTCCTTGGGAGCTAACAGCTTCTTCCTTGGGAAGGAGTGGGGCTGGGCTGTCCTCTCTAAACTCTGACAAACAGCTCTCATCTGCAGTTGGCCCATTGTTCCTTTAGCTCAGTTTCTGTGCTTGGGGTGGGGGACACATTTCTGACACCATGCATTTAAAAGCACCTGCCAAGGAATCCTTGGAACTGCTGCTTATTCCTCATACAGTTACAGTTCCCAGCACCCAGAACAAACAACAGTGCATCCAGGTTTCTTTGGAGGGAATGAATTAGCTTTAAATGTATGGCATGAATGTGACCTGTCTACAGTTCTGCATTCAGAGCAGGAAACCCTCTTGTAGTTTCAGGGGACAGTTGATTTGAAGGGTGCAACTGCCTTGTCGGATACAACAGAGAAGGCTGTGCTCAATCCCATTCAGAGCCCTGTGTACTGGAAAGTTTTGGTGGAGGAGGATGAGACCGTTGCTTTCTCAGGTAAATGTCTCAAGCATATGTACACTGCTGCCACACCCCAAAAGCACTGGATATGTCTGGCATCCATATTTCTCCCAGTTGTGAGACAAACTCCTCTTGTCTCCCCATTCATCAATTTTGTCTCCAACCTGTAGAAGGACCAGTGGTCTTCCCCAGCCTGGTTGGACAAGAAAAATTAGTATTTCTCCCAAACTCTGAGCATAAAGATACATTCCCAGGTAAGACTCTCTCAGGTAAGGGTAATCACAGAGACTCCATGGCTACATCCTGGTGGCGATGAGTACATAGGCAACAGCCTGAAACCACATCAGTGTCTTGCCCCATCTAATCCAATACTACCTGCTCTGACTTGCAGGCGCAATTCAGAGTCTCAAACACAGAGAAGGTCCTTTCCCATCCCCCTGCTTCTCAAGATCCTTTATTAGTTAGAGAGAGCAGAGACTGAGATGGAGATATTGGCTGTGTTTGTACTTCCAGTAATCTTGTTAGGGGGATAGTGGTCCCTATTATTCCCATATCACAGGAGAAGAATGTAAGAAAGAGAGCCTTCCATGATCAAATCCTGCACCCTAGCCCAGCACCTTATTTCCCCTACTATGTCCCTTGGAAAACTACAAGCAGGACCATGAGAAGAGCAAACCAGCTCATATGATTCCCAGCAACTGATATCCAGATGCAAGATTGCGGCTGATATTGACATTACCATCATGACCAGTTCTGCTAGATTAGGCCTAAGAACCATCTAGTCCAGTATATTTTTCTGGCAGCAGCCAAGCAGATGCCCATGGGAATCCCATGAGCAGGACCTGAGCAACTGATTATCACTGGCATATTTTCTCTGGACAGCAGATATTGAGGCCGGGTGTTCAGGGTTTGCTCAAAGCTCAGTTCTCTTTACAATGCAGAATTGGCTCTTGTATAAAATAGCAATGATCCCCCCTGTGTTTTCTCACCTTCACGACAGGAAGGAGCATGAACAGGAAGGAAACTGAAAACTCTCAGCAAGGAATCCCTGAGCGACAAGGCCCATCTGTGATACGATCAGGAGAACCCCAGGACACTGTTCCCTTGAGTCCTGGTGTTTCCCTGAGTCCTGGAGTGATGTGGCCTCAAATGAGTGACCGAGGGATGAAGCAGGGAGAGCCGACTCTGCATGGTATGAGCCAGGAGTTTGCAGAAGGAATTGCAGATCCACCACAAGAGAAAAAACTCCGTCGCGGGTCCAGAACTTGCTCCTCAAACCTCGCTCAGCACAGGCAGATTCACACGCGGGAAGGACTTTACCAGTGCTTTGAGTGCGAGAAAACCTTCTGTGGGATACATGCCCTTGCTGGCCACCAGAGAATCCACAAGACCAAGATGGAGCCCAGAGGCAAGAAGCAACTGCTTGCCAGGGCATCTCTCACCAAAGGTCAGAGATTACTTTGAGGCTGCAGATATGATCAGACAAATAGACTTGTGGAAACCTGCTTTGTTGGGGGGTTTTTTGCGGGGGGGGGGGAGTCCAGCAACTGGAGCTGAGGGCAAAACAGTGCTTCCTCAGAACAGCTGCTGGGGACTTAATTGCAACTTTGATTTCAGATTTGACCACCACTGAGGCCAATCCAGTTGCCCAGTTTTCCTTGTATTATATACATTCATTAAGTTACTCTTTAATTTTATGAAACAGTACACGGAACAGTAAAATGTTTCCCATATATTTTTATTTTTTTTTAATAATATTTATTGAGATTTCAAAAGAGAACAAAAAAAAATACAAAAATTACACAAAAACAAAAAATAGAAAATACAAAAACTTGCACACAATAAGAAAAAGATACAAAAGTAAAAAATAAAAATATGAGAAAGTAAGTAATACAGAAGAAAAATAATAATAAAAAAGAAAAAACATTAGACCTCCTCCTCCTCCCTTCCTTTGTATTCTAGTTATTAATTATCCCAGCAAATCCTTTCCATCTTTCTATTATATAATAAACCTTACAATTTAAAATTTAGATCTTAACTATACCAACTTCTTATATTCATAATGTTCTTTCATGATTCTTTAATAGTTTTTAATTATCCCAACAAATCCTTTCCATCTTTCTATTATAAAATAAACCTTAAAATTTAGAATTTAAATCTTGACTTTACCAGCTTCTTATCTTCATAATGTTCTTTCATAATTCTTTATACATCTTTACTAAAGCCAGGTAAATTCTTCCAACATTTTCCTATCATTCATTTTTCTCTCATTCTATCATTCATCAACTTTATAACACATTCTATTAGTTAAAAAACAAAAACAAAAAAAAACAAAAAAGGAGAAAGAAGCATATAATCAAGTCCAAACTTAATCCAACGTCCCTTCCTCCTGGTTTCGGGATTTGTCAGTCCTTATTCATCAATCTAACCCGGTGACCTTATGTCCGAGGCCCTCAAGTCACTTCCATGGCCCTTCCGCAGCTTTTCTTCATATTTGTGGCTGTAGTCACTTGCTCGTAATGGCTCCAACTTAATAGTGTTTTTAACCCTTCTCATCAGATCAGATCCTTTTCCCTGTTCATCGCTGCATTCCATGTTGTATTTAAGAGCATACTTCAAGGGCCCTCCGAATTTGTGGGCCCCCACATTTCCAAACATGTCGCAGCCTGTTACTGGATTTAAAAAGTCCAAATATCCCAACATAGGGGGATCAATCCAGCCCCCCATTTCCAAACCACACTGAACTTTCCCTTCCCATATCTGATTTTTTCCAAGTTCCACTATCAAGTCCGAAGGATCAAACTCCTGTTGAGACTGTTCTGTCAAGCCACACTCCTGATTTAATGCCACAAACCCCTGTTCTGTCAAAACACACTCCTGGTTTGAATCCTGGATAGACTCCACATATATTCCCACAGTTTGATCAACGCCTTCCGCTGCCAGTCTGAGATTTCCAGTCGACTTGGCCATCTGGTTCACCTTATCATGTAGTTCTTCCAGTAGAATATTTGTTTTATTGAGCAGGCAAACCACAACTTCTGAAAACATTGTTGCACTCTCCCACGGTTCTTTGTAACAACTGTCAAGTCCTTGGCATTTAGTTACAGTTTCTAAGGCTCCCCCTAGGGAGAAGACTTATATTTGTTTCTGATACATTTCCATGTTACTTAAAATCCTTTATCCATATATATTCCTTTAAAATGCGAAAGGGAACAGTAGAGTCACAAAAATTCTCTTCTTTTAACTATCTGACACACACAGATACCTTGATTTGTTCACGTCAGTCCTGACTTCCCCGCTCCAGGATCAGGACGAAAATAACTTCCTTTTACTGCTTCAAATAGTCCAAAAAAAATATTCCCAATTTAAAATGTTGGAATCCACTCTTTTGAAAGCAATTTTCAAAGCTCTAGTACAAATTGTCTTTGCTTTGTTATATTTACAAAAGAACGGAAGGGTGACTTCCTGTTTAGCCCTTACCGCTCCGTACCAAATTCAATCGATTTTTCTTTCTTTTTTTATAATCCAATTCTGCCCTTTTCACTAATCTTCATTTAATGTCCCAATTTGTCCAAATTCTGGGTACTCACGGATATTTGTTTTAAAGTCCGAATTGTCCAGGAAAAAAGGCAGCGCTCTCCGGCAACAGCTACGCGGCTTCACTCCACAAAAGAAGCAGACGACTCGCAGCACAGCGCCTTCACTTCCCCGCTCTGTTCCGGAGCCCGTTGCCGAGCTCCTTTGCAGATTGGGGGGGCGCTAACAGTGCCCGCCGAGTCCCAGGGTCACAGGCTTCACCCGCCTGTGGTTTGAAGGGTCCCCGCTGCGCCGAAGCGGTTTTAGACCCGATTTCTGTGGAGCGGTCTCCCTCTGAATTAGAGGGATTCCGCCATTGCCGTTGGCGCCACCTCCGGAAGTCCAAAATGTTTCCCATATTATGCCCTTTCAGAAGTGGCTCAGTAGGTGGGGCAGAGTTGCTATGCCAGCTTCCCAGCAGGTGGGTTATTGCTGCTTACCAGGCAATAGATGGATGAGAAGGTTGGCATGGTGCAAACACACCAGCAGAGAGAGCCAGACCAGTGCTCCTGCCAGTGCCTTTGCACCACACTGACCTTTCCCCTCTCCCTCCTGGTAAGCAACAGCAATCCACCTGCCAGGAAGTTATAATAATGGATTTACCCCACCCAGCGCAACACCTCTATGTAAGTTTCATTCTCTGTGTTGAAGAATTGTGTCTCATATTCAGATGGGTTAATTCAACTTTCTCTCCATCCTTGTAGGAAATGAGGGGCTAAGTAAGTTCAGGGTGGAGACTCCTCAGCAGGAAAGGAACGAGAGAGAGAGTATATCTAATGGAAGGATAGCAGAATTTCCTCAGAGTAAGATGACACTGGCTCAAGAACCAGAATGGGAACCTGAAGGGCAGCAGGGAAAGAAGACGGTGAAGACACAAAAAAAGCCCATCAAGCTCTTAGAAGGCCGCAAGTCCCAAAAGGAAACTGTGGCGCACATGTGGGTGAAAAAATTGTCGTACTCCTCCCAGCCTGGGAATGTGTGCCGCAGCACACCAGGATTTGTAATCCAGGAAACTCCTCCTACAGAGAGGGCACTCTATCAATGTCCCTCGTGTGGCAAAACCTTAATGAACAATGTTTGTCTTGAAGATCATCATAGGCTCCATATAGGAGATGCCTTATGGATGCCCACAGTGTGGGGGAAAGTTTCACTGGAGAAACTGTGTGTTCAAACATTTGTGGATCCATAGTGGGGAGAAAACGTTCACATGTACGGAGTGTGGTAGAAGCTTTTGTTGGAAAACCGGGTTGAGAACACACCGGGAGACTTGTACAAGGAACTGTTCTAAACTAAACTTGATTTAGTTTGAAATTGGACCATGCAGGCAAAGGTACAGGGCTGTGCAAGCACTGACTATCTTTGGTGATGCCTGTGACCCCTTTTCGGCCTGGCCACATTTTTCCTGCCCCAGTGTCTGACCTGATATCATGCATGGTATTGGGTGTAGGGCCTATGGGCATGGCTGTGCCAAAATGGCCCTGTGAGCCAAATTAGGGAGGTCTGATGGGCCTAAATTGGCCCGTGGCCTGGTGGCTCCCTACTCCTGCTTTAGAGAGTGTTTCATTGGCCATCAGAGAATCCACACAGGAAAGAAAGCCTATGGATGCTTTGAGAGAGGAAAAAGCTTATAGTGAGAAGTTGTAGATATTAAACCTCTGACTGTAAAATTTGATGGGTGCAGGAGAGATAGAGAGCACCACTTGATTCCCCAACACCACTCTGTCATTTCCCCCCTACCTGAATCTGACTTCACTTGTTGCAATGGTGAGAGTGATGGATTGCTTGAGTGTTTGTGGAGGCTTGTAATCTGTAAAGCTTGATCTGTACTTCTATATGAAGACACATTGCTTTTCGGCCATTTTCTTTCTTCCTGGTTGTTTCCTTGAATAATGTTTTGTAGAACTTTCCTGGAACTGTTGATGCACAAATCCAGAGAAACAGTCATGTGAATCACCAGAGAGCAGGGATAATGTTGCTTGTTCTGATGTAAAAAGAAGCTTAATGCTGTACGATCGCATCTTGTACAAGGGCTACATTCTGGGGATGGTGCATGTATACAAAAACACGCATATGCAAACCACCCTCTTGAAACTGCCCCTGTGAGACCATCCTTACCTTCCAAGGAAGGGCAGAGAGCTTTTAAGCTCTCCAGCTTGCTTACCAGCCCGGTGAGTAAGCTTTGGGATCCCATGGGTCTGTCTGAGTTCCTGCAAGAGCATCCCAGAGCCTGGTAAGCAAGACAACGCTTAAAAGCTTCTTCATGCCAGGAAAGCGTGGCACAAAACGAGCTTTTGAGCTCTTCTCTTCACATGCAATTAATTTGTTCAATTTCAACTGGACGGATTTCAACTGCACAAGGCTGAAATCTTCCAATTTAATTTTGAGCAAGATGCATATGGTACTGTAATTGACATTTGAATCTATGCATAGTCAACCTGGCGTAATCCAAATAGTGTGGGACTCCAACTCTCATCAGCCACAGCCAACCGACATGGCCAATGGGCAGGGATGATGGAAGTTGTAGTTCTAACCAAGTAGGAAAATAGACCTTGTTACACACCCAGAAGAATCAATAGACCCTATAATACCCTGTTCTGATACATGTGCAGATAGAGATGCAAAGTTATGTGTGCCCTGTTAAAATGTGGCAGCTGGGGGCAAGGAGGAATTGTTGAATTACTTTTTGTCTATTAAAAATGGCTTTGAAGTTTCAAAATCAGTGGAGTGACTTCTTTTACTTAACCTCTTGTACTTACAAGCTAATTCTTAAGCCCCACTGACTTATTTTTCAGTAAACACATGCTTAGGTTTGCAATCCAAGGTGCTGGTTTTTACTAGTTAAACCTTAAAACGTTCTAGCTCTTAGTTAGGATGCCCATATGAAACTCTTCCAAATCAATCCCTACAAAACAACAAGTGAGACCTTTTCAACTTCTATAAGTCAGACTGGTCTCAGCAACAAGCAGGAACTTTTCTGTTTTGGCCCCCAGGATCTGTGGTGCTCTTTGAAAGTCGTTCTGTTTATTCCCCAAAGATTTTGGCAAATTGACTCACCCCCCCAACCCAGCTGCACTGCCTTTCTGTTGCTGCTGATATAGTTTTAAAGCTGGGGTTATCAAATTTTCTACCCGCAGGCCCCTTTTGAGATGGCTGAAAATTACAGAGGGTCACAAGTCACATTTCCCTGAGAGTCTTTCTTCCAAATATTATCACTGATTGATCCTAAAGCAAGTACCTTGCCCAGCTTTCCAGACTCTGGGGATCCTTAGATGTTTATTGGAGGAGCTGGGATTCTCAGTGACAGAATCAGTCCTGACTTTTTTGACAGCTACGTATGTATGTACATCAGAGCCTGGGAGCCTGCAGAGAAGTAGAAGTTGTCAACTCAGGTAGACAGGAAGAAGCCAACCCTGTTTTCCCTTTTGTGTCTCTGGTTAGCCATGCCTCTGCTTCTCCTGAGCTGCCTCCTCTTGGGGTCCTTCCCTCCTTCCCACTAATAACTGACTCTTTCCCCTCAGCCATTTTCATTCACTTCATGTATTGTATACCTATGCCACTTTTCACTCACACGAGTCACAAAGTGACTCACAAGCAATAACATAATAAGGTAAAGGTAAAGGGACCCCTGACCATTAGGTCCAGTTGTGAACGACTCTGGGGTTGCGGCGCTCATCTCGCTTTATTGGCCGAGGGAGCTGGCATACAGCTTCTGGGTCATGTGGCCAGCATGACTAAGCAGCTTCTGGCGAACCAGAACAGCGCATGGAAACGCATGGAAACACTGTTTACCTTCCTGCCAGAGCTGTACCTATTTATCTACTTGCACTTTAATGTGCTTTCGAACTGCTAGGTTGGCAGGAGCTGGGACCAAGCAATGGGAGCTCACCCCGTCGCAGGGATTCGAACCGCCAACCTTCTGATCGGCAAGTCCTAGGCTCTGTGGTTTAACCTACAGCACCACCCGCATCACTAATAACATAATAGAACATCACAATTATAGAATAATTATGAAATCTGTAAAACAACCACCTTCTATAAAGCACTATTGTTATAAGAATTCTACGGTCTCAAATACAGAATAAATATTCATAAATGCACATATTATAATAATGTTTAGGTCTTAGATGTATATAATAAATGTTCATAAATGTACCAAGCAAACACATACCGGTATATAAATATATAAACCACATGTCTAAAACCCACAGGAAAAGTCCTAAAGCCATTTTGACTCTTTCAGTCACCTCAAATATTTCTCTACAAGGTTGAAGGAAATGCAGAAACCTCCCCATTGTCTCTGTCCTCACAAATGTGCCTTAAGGGCACATTTAAGGTGTGAATAGGGTGAGCCTGTGACCTGGCTCAGGAATTAAGTATTATCATTACAAAAGAATAGCAAGGCTCCCCAGGTAATCCAATCAAGTGACCATTAACAGGTAACTTGGCAGACAAGGTAAAAACAATGCACTCAGATTTCTGTTGTCGCCTTCTGTGATGTATGTATGATGTTTCTGGGGGTGCTCTTGGACTCCAGGGCGGGCAATTTAAAATGGCTGGGGTGGTCCTCCTCTCTCCTGCGTGTGGGGGAGCACCCTGTTGCAACAGTTAATAAAGATCAGGCTTACTAGCTGCTTTGCTTCTCAATATTCTCTGGTTGGTCTCTGTTATTTTCTCCTACGAAAGAGAACCTACAAAAGGACTCTATATGGACTCTTGGGTCCCCATAAGGGAAAAGAAGCAGGTTTTTTTTACTTATATCACACACATATCTAAATATATAAACCATGTGTCTAAAATAGTAGAGAACAATCCTGAAGCCAGATGCAGTTTCTCTAGCTGGCCCTGATCCACCTCAGCCTCCATGTCTTAGGGGCTTTCCCACTCCTTTCTCCACTTATGGCTGCCTCTCTTCCCTCAGCCACCATGTCCTTTTGGGCATCACAAGTTGTCTGTATTTAACAGCAACAGTGCAGCCTCCCAGAGGCAGCTCAGCAGTGATTCGTTTCTTTAAAAAAATACTTGTCAAATGAAACTCCGAATGTATTTTGATGTATTTTGAAAGACCTTTATTTACAAATAAGAGTTGGCTGGCACTTAAGCCCTGCATTCTATCACATGGAAGATAGAGCAAGCTTGTTTTCTCCTGCTGTGGATGGAAGGCTCAAACCAATGGCTTCAAGTTATAAGGAAGGAGATTCCGACTAAACATCAGGAAGAACTTTCTGACGGTAAGTTGTGGACTCTCCTTCCTTGAAGGTTTTTAAGCAGAGGTTGGATGGCCCTCTGTCATGGATGCTTTCACTAGATTCCTGCATTGCAGGGGGTTGGACAAGATGACCCTTGGGGTTCCCTTTCCACTCTATGATGCTATGATGTCTCTTCATTGCTTTCACCAGGAGCGTTTGTTATGTATTCAGACTGGCTGCAGTTCTCACTCTGGGCCACCAGTATGCAAATGAAGGATTGAGAGTTGTTTTCACCAACTGGGTAGTTAGTTGGAATTTGTTACCGTTACAAGTTTGTTTTTAGTCGTGTCCGACTCTTCATGACCCCATGGACCAGAGCACGCCAGGCACTTCTGTCTTCCACTGCCTCCCGCAGCTTGGTCAAACTCATGCTGGTAGCCTCGAGAACACCGTCCAACCATCTCGTGCTCTGCCATCCCCTTCTCCCTTTCATCTTTCCCAACATCAGGGTCTTTTCCAGGGAGTCTTCTCTTCTCCTGAGGTGGCCAAAGTATTGGAGTCTCAGCTTCAGGATCTGTCCTTCCAGTGAGTACTCAGGGCTGATTTCCTTAAGAATGGATGGGTTTGATCTTCTTGCAGTCCATGGGACTCTCAAGAGTCTCCTCCAGCACCATAATTCAAAAGCATCAATTCTTTGGCGATCAGCCTTCTTTATAGTCTTGTATGTTACAAGTTATTGAGCATTATATAAGGCAGCCAGCTTCACTGTTTTTCAGAGAGACTTAGATCAGTGCTAACTGCTGTAATAAAGGGCTGTTGCTTAAAAGAGCTGTGTCTGTCACCCATCTTTCCCACTATACAACAAAAAGGTGTGTGGTTTGTTTGTTTTTATGCAAAGCTTCAAAGAGTTAAACCCAGAGAAGATTGTTTCCTAGAGAGGCCCACCAAGGATTGCAGAGAGGAAGCATGCAAAACAGTGAAGCCTCCCTTCCTATTATGCCAGGGATGTTCCCCAAAGGGACTAGAGCTACTATGCAGTCCTTACAATATTTCCGGTAGTCAATTCAACAGATTTCCACCCTAACATTCAATGCAAGGGGTATATAATGCAGAGACAGAAAAAAACATATTGTTACTTTCACAAAACGCCTATGTGAGATGCAAGGTTGTCACCAGACTTGCCAAGGAACAAATCAATGCCACATTGCGCCCACAGAAAAGTCTTTGTTGCTTTCAGACAAATATCAGCTGTAGAGGCTGTGTGCCTTTTTCTCTTTCTCTGTGAAATTCCATTAGGAGGAGAGGGATAAGAATCTGGAGTTGAGCAAAGAGGTAAACTCTCTTGGTTTATTGCAGGAACAGAAGATGGCAAAAATGCGACTGCTCACTTTATGGGAATGGCTGTGGAAAACAAGGAAATATCATTTGACACTATGCAGCAGGAACTTCAGGTTGGAGCTGATAATGTTGAAGCATTTGTTATTGATGCTGTAAAGACAAAGATGGTGCACTGCAAAATTGATCAAACAGAGAAAAGTAGTGGTCAGTCACAGCACACATCGAACCTTTGGAAAACAGCAGTGGCAACAGCTGTATGATACACTTAACTTCTGGAAACTAAATTTGAATCAAGTGAAAAACAGCCTCCTTAGCTTGTCGGATACCTGATTATTTGATGTAATATTTAGTTTGTATTGGATGGAAACTCGGCTATATTAAACCATTCAACTTAACTTTGTGAATTTTTTATTGGAAATATCTAATAACAATCATACCTCTTGTTATGTGCAGTTCAGGTTACGTCTTTTCAGGTTGTGTCCCGCGGTGACCTGGAAGTACCGGAAAGGGTTACTTCCGGATTTCGCCGCTTGCGCATGATAAAATAACTTGAACTACAGGCTGATAAAGCAATAAACTTTAAATAAGAATAAAAAGGGGGGGGGGGGGAGAAAGGTTTCCTCAACAGCTTACAAATATCAATGAGAAGAAATGACACAAAAGGAAAATTTATTGGGAGGGGGTAAGTAAGCATAGGCACTGCTTCTCAGGCCCCATCTACGGCTTTATACGCTATGCATTTAAAGCAGAATGTGCCACTTTAAACCCCACAAATTTTTGGGAACTGTAGTTTTGTAAGGCTGCTGAGGGTTGTTAGGAGACCCCTCCCCCCCTCACAGGGCTACAGTTTCCAGAGTGGCTTAAAAGTCCATCTTTCTTCCTGGGGAACTCTGGGAACTGTAGCTCTAGCAGGGAATGGGGAAGGCTCTGCTAACAATTCTCAGCACACTTGAGCTACAGTTCCCAGGATCCTTTGGGGGAAGCCGTGACTGTTTAAAGTGGTACGATTCTGCTTTTGATGTACAGAACAGATGGGGCCTCGGTTACAGAATTCTTGGCAGGACCACCTGAAGAGAAAAAAAATTATGCAAACGCGGAGAATGAAAAAGGAGTCATGAACTCCTGTTTGTTTTTCCTTGTTTTTCTGAAGGCGCAAGACATTATTACTGCAGGATCTGGCGAGGATGAAAATGGAGGTGTGAAAGCTTCGACGGGATGGATGTCTGGGCCATAGGCAAGACCCTCATGTCCTCCAGGCTGGGAGTATTGGAGAAGTGCTTCCAAGAATGCAGCTGGTCAAACAGGAGCCATGCGAGGGTCTGCTTCAGCACTGGGAAACGCAGTGGTAGGAGTTCCTGAGGACGGTGGAATCGCCTCCGTCACACCGGGCAATGGCATAGTTGCTGGAGGAGCCCAGGCCTTGGGATGACGCCAAGGCCTTCCTGGCATCCTTCAAGCAAGTGGCCGAAGCCTACTGGTAGCCCAAGCAGGAGTGGGTGACCCGACTCCTGCCAGCCCTCCAGGGCGAAGCCGTGTAAGCCTTTGTCAGGCTGGAAGCCGGGGACAGAGAGGACTATGGGAAGGTGAAGGCGGCCATCTTGCAGAGGGACACCAAGAGGAGGGAGAGCCAGTGCTGGCACTACAGACATTTCTGCTACCTGGAGGCCGAGGGGCCCAGTGGGGCTTACAGTCGGCTCCGGAAGCTGTGCCACGGGTGGCTGAAGGCTGAGAGGAACACCAAGGAGCTGGTCCTGGAGTTGCTGGTCCTGGAGCAGTTCCTGGCTGCGGTTTTTATTTAATCCAGGGGTGGGGAAAGCTGTTGAGCCTGAGGGCTGCATTACCTCCTGGGCAACTTTTTGTGGGCCACAGGCCAATGCTGGGCTGGGAAAACGTTAGCCAATATTACTATCTCAATTTGGTGGCAAAATGGGTGGAACGTTGTGCTTCAGGGGAGAGGGGAAAAATCACTTGGCATATTAGGTTGGAAAAGCTAAACCCAGACCATTTTGCTGCTCTGTGTTGGGACTTCATCTCACGTGTCAGTAATGAACAATTGCAGCAATCTCTTCCATCCGTTCTGCTGGTCATTTGAAATATAGTTTTTGAATCGCAATGCCTTTCCTTATTGACTTGACTGGGGTTTTTCCCCAATGCAGCTTCCTTCCCTCCGAAAAGAAGTTGTGATTAATTTATATAATATATGGTCTAGCTTGGTTCCCATGCTGATCCAATCTGGTTGGACTGTTCTTCATTATTTAATTTTTGTTTTTGGCACTGTTCTGTATCACTTTGATAAATACTCAATTAAAAATTATTACAAAGAGAACATGGGAGCCTCAGAAGAGTCTTAGAACAGAGGGAGCGACCCTCCTGTCCTCTTGTCTCACACAACAACCCTGGTATGAAGCAGTCCTGGGACTTGGGGAACGGGATGCCATTGCTGCTCCACCTTAGGCAGCAAAATATCTTGGATTAGCTCTGCTAGTGGGGGGCGGGGAGCCAGGAGCTGATCTGGGCAGAGCAACAAAAGTAAATTTTACCTCTGTAAGGTAGGTAAGATCCCCTCCTGCATTGCAGGGGTTGGACTAGATGACCCTCAGGTCCCCTTCAAACTCTACAATTCTATCATTCTAAGACAAGCTAGAGGCATTATCAGAGTTCAAGGACCCTTGCGAGGGGCAGCAAGACCAGGGAGGGGCCACACAGAGAGGGTTTGAGAGATGCATTTTGCCACTGAGACTAAGATTCCACCTATGCAGAGGGAGCTATCTACAAGCAATTTAAGACTGGATTACTCCATGCAGGGCTTCCGCTGCACTCGATCCAGAAGCTGCAGTTAGTGCACAATTGCTGACAGAAGCGAGGCCTTGTCAGCATATAGCACCTGCACTTGGAGATCTGCACTGGTTGGGAATTTGCTACTGGACCAAGTTGAATGTGTCACTGTTAATATATAAAGCCCTTACCTTGGGACTGGTTAACCTACAAGATCGCCTTACCCAATATACACCCACTGTTACCACTTCGATCAGCGGAACGGGCACTTCCAGGTGCCACAAAATACCTGTTCCATCTACACTTTGGAATTCCCTGCCTGTTGAGACCAAGCAGGCGTCTTCACTGTGCTCCTTTCGGTGCCTGATAAAAACAGATTTGTTAGGCAAGCCTACCAAAATATTTAGAAAACCTTTAATCCGTTTTTAGTGTATTGTTATTTTAACTTACTCAAAGTCTTAAATTACTGTTGTTCTTATTGGGAGTTTTATTATTTATTTATTTTTTGCAAACCGCTTAGAGGTTTGCTTGTTTGTTTTACAATCAAGCAGTGTATGAATTTTACGAAATAAGAAACTACTGGTGGAACTGCGGGGAACTCTTGACTTCCCTTGCCTGCAAGCCTAAAATTGCAAAAACATCTGAGGCTACCTTACCAGTCTCTGATGAAGCAAGAGCAGACAGCAAAGGGTCTTGTGGCACCTTTAGGGCGTAAACAGCTTAATAATAATAATAATAATAATAATAATTCATTTTTAAGAGCAGGCGTTTCTGTAGACCACACCATCAAATGCAAATTGCTATTTGCGATGGGGCTGTGTTGTTCAGTGGTCAGAGCATCTGCTCTGCATGCAGAAGGTCTCCGTTTCTGTTCCTGGCATCTCCAGGAGAGCGAGGTCAAGGAGACTCTCGCCTAAAATTCTGGAGAACCTCTGCTGCCAATCAGTGCATGCAATAGTGGGCTGGATGGGCCCAATGGATGAAGTCACCTTCCCATCTTGCAATTTAATCAAAAAGACACAGACATTTGATCAGCTTCATCTGAAACGGCGGAGGGAACGCGATTTCCCCCTCTCCCTCCGTTCAAAAGGGGACCGGAAATAGAGTAAGAAGCGCGTGTGTGTTGCAGCCTCCTCCCTGCCTCTTGCCTCCTTCCTCCTTAAAAAGCGTGGCAGCCCGATCCGGCCTTAAATGCAGCTTTCCCGGGAAAGTAAAGCTTGCAAACGCCAACCACCCCCGCTAAGGTTTGGCCTGATCCGGGTTGCAACCTCCTCCTGTCTCAGAGTGATGGAGGGAGAGAGAGAGAGAGTAAGTATTGCTGGAAAGGGTTAAACTCAGATTCCTGGAGGAACTGGGAAATTTGAGAAGGGGGGTGGAACTGGAAGTGGTGTAATAATTCTCTCTCTCTTTCTCTCTTGCTCCCTCCCCTTCTCTTTCCTGCTTTGTTGAGAGGGTCGGATGCCTGCTTTTGAATGGCTGCGAGAGAAAGGTGAGTTTTAAAGGGGCAGATTTGGCCGAAATGTGGTAGGAGCTGGTGCAGATCAGAGAAAGGAAGAGTTGCAAAAATGTGTTGCTTGTCCGGGCTGCGTGCGGAGCGACTGGGAAAGTTGGGCTTCCAACTAGGTTCGAGGGTGGGTGGGTAGGAAGCCCACGCTGCAACCCCGCACCTTTTGAGCTTGTGGCAATGGTCGATTTGCAGGTCTGGAAACAACAACATGCGCAGAGTGGCTGGCCAGGTCTGCTGTGGGAACCCCGTCTTCTGATCTAGAAGTTGTTACCCCCAAATCATCCTTGAAGTGGGGGCTCTTCTCTCTGCGGTTCAAAAGGCCACACCAGCATTTCTGCCCCACCTTTTCCTTCAAGGAGTGCAAGGTGCTGCACATGGTTCTTCCCTCTTCATTTCATGCCCACAGCAACCTAGGAAGAGAGATTGGCCCAGTGAGCTTCATGACTGAGTGGGGATTCGAACCCTGATCTCCCTAGTCTGACACTCTTAACCGCTGCTACTCCCAGGGGAAGAGTGTACAGCAGGAGTGGGGAAGCTTTTCCCAGCCCGAGGGCCACATTCCCTTCCAGGCAGCCTTCGGAGGGCCATATGCCGGTTGTAGGAGATGGGAGCAAGGCAAAAACAGGCACTGTTTGTGGGAAAAGGTGCTTGGAATAACCAGTGTAAATTGATGGGAGTTGTAGTCCATCCACATCAGGGAGGGGGAATTTGAGTCTGAGACTGAGCAGGCTTCTGTTTCCCCAGCTTCTGGGACTTGAGCGCATGTTGTAAATGGCACTATACATTGAAAGCACTATGATAATCACTTTAAACTGTCATGGCTTCCCTCCCAGGAAATCCTGGGAGCTGTAGTTTGCTGAAGGTGCTGGGAGCGGTTCAAAGAGACCCCAGTTCCCCTCACAGACCTACAATTCTTAGATTCCCTGGAAAGAAGGATTGATTGTTCAACCACTATGGCAATTGTGGTGTTTTAAATTTTATAGTGCCACAATTTGCCAAAATGGCTCCTTCATGATGCCTTTTGGTGTTTTGTTCTTTTTCTTCTCTGCAGGGACCGGTCCCACTTGCCGTTCAGAAAGACACCCAGGGGATACTGTCAGAGAAAGTCTCGGTAAAATGCTGTAGGGTCTCCTCCTTGAACTGAACCTGTCTGTATAGCCACAGACCCGAAACAAAAATTTGACATTACGAGTGTGGGATATTTGTCCCAATCCCCCCCACCCTGAAGCAGAGAGAGGACACCAAGGATCCAAGATGGAGGAGAGGTTAGAACCTGCAGACCAAGCACCACCGCATGGCGTCACGATGGCATGTCTGAAGGAGTTACCGGGCCAGGCAGCGCTGCAAAATGGCAAGCAGCAGCTTGAGGATGGGCTGCCCCAGGAATGGGCAACTCAGTGGCAGGAGTTCCTGAAGGCCCTGGACTCCCATCGCCTAGGATGGGGAAGCCCACCACGGTCAAAGCTTGGGCCCTGGGACGATGCCAAGGCCTTTCTGGCTTCCTTTGAGCAAGTGGCTGAAGCCTGCCAATGGCCTCGAGAAGAGTGGGCGGCGCGTCTCCTGCCGGCTCTCAGCGGAGAAGCCCAGCAGGCCTTTAGCGGCCTAGAAGCTGCCGAGAGGGAGGACTACAGGAAGGTGAAGGCGGCCATCTTGCGAGGGGAAGCCAGCAGAATGGAGGCGCTGCGGCAGCACTTCCGGCAGTTCCGCTACCAAGAAGTTGAGGACCCACGAAGGGTCTATGGGCAGCTCCAGGAGCTCTGCCATCAGTGGCTGAAGCCGGAGAGGCGCAGCAAGGAGCAGATCCTGGAGCTGCTGATCCTGGAGCAGTTCCTGGCCATCTTGCCCCAGGAAATGCAGAGCAGGATCAGGGCCTGGGACCCGGAGACCAGCACCCAGATGGCGGCAGAGGAGTTCCTGATGAGTCCCCAAGAGGCCAAGGTTTGGAAATGGCAGGTGAGGTTTTAATGCATGTCGCCGTTTAATTCAGGTGTGGGGAAACAGCCTTCTAGATGCTTCTGAAGTGCAACTCCCATTGTCCCCAGCCATCGGCCATGATGGGAGTTGGAGTCCAATGGCAGCTGAAGGACCGCAGGCTCCCCACCCCTGCGCTACTTGGACGGATCCTGGGTTTTAAAATAATTGAATGAGGCCCCCATCTGCCCTGTACTTTTAAAGCAGTCTTGTATCACTTTAAGCCGTCATGGCTTCTTCCCCCAGTGAACCTTGGGAACTGTTTGTTGAGGGTGCTGACCCTATTCCCCTCACGGAGCCACAATTCCCAGCATTCCATGGGAAGAGAGCCTGAGAAAGTCACCTGGAAATTGTAGCTGCGTGAGGGGAATAGCGGGGTCTTCTCACAACTTTTCCTACTTCAGTAACGTTCAATTGCCTGTAATTCAACAGCTAGTCGGGCCTGCTTTTGCATACAGAAGTGTCTTCTAGTCTTTCACCTCAGGCAGCAAAATACCTTGAGCCGGCACATGGGGCATCTATGACAGGAGAGGGGGAAGTAGCAGGGAGAACAGCCACTTCCACCCCCCAAAACAAATCATAATTCCCAGCTTTGACTAAAAAGAACAGAGGAAAGTTTTTGGCATTTGTGAAAGCTGTGCTGTGCGGTCTATCTATCTATCTATCTATCTATCATGATCTATCTATAGTTTTTAATTAAATTTTCTCTTTCACAATTTTGAATACTCATTTAAACATCCTTAAATTATCAATGACTTCTCTTCTCTTTCCATGGTTCATTTTGCATACCATAAATCCCTGCATATTTTATATAAACTAAACCGTTCAGTATTCCATTATTATATCCATCAAAGCTTATTTACACTGTTGAATTTATCTTAATGCTGCCAACATTTTCAAGTGAACACGATTTCCTGCCATATATTCAATAAACCTTTTCCAATCTTCTCTAAATTTATGTTCGTCTTGTTCTCTTATTCTATATGCTATGTCTGCAAGCTGCACATAATCCATCAACTTAAGTTGCCATTCTTCTTTGGTTGGGACCTAGCTCGTTTTCAGTTTTGGGGCTAACAAAACACAGGCCGCAGTAGTGGCATACATAAACAATCTTTTCTGACACCTGGGGATTTCTGTCTGAATTATCCCCAACAAAAAGGACTCTGTTATTTTTTGGGAAAAGTACTTTTAAACATTTTTTTCAATTCATTTTGGATTATTTCCCAGTGCTCTTTTACTCTTTTACAAGTCCACCACATATGAAGGAACGTTCTCTCAACCTCCTTGCATCTCCAGCACTTATCTGATTCAGTCTTATACATCTTAACTAACTTACTCAGAGTTAAATACCATCTGTAAATCATTTTCGAGTAATTCTCCTTCAAAGAATAACATGCTGTGAACTTCAAATCGCTTTTCCAAAGGTTTTCCCAGAGATTAAAATCTATATTATGTCCTACAGTATATCTATCACCCAGTGTGTCACAGAGGCTTTGGCAAGCTCATCTTTTGCTCCTTTTTTAATGCCAATTATGAATAGCTTTCCCAAAAAATACCTCAACGGTAAAAATAATTTTAGAACAATTCCACGTATGAAAGCAATTAAGAACAATTCCACACTGCAGTAGGTGCTGTAACTCTCCAACAGTTTGACTTCACCTACCAACGCACACTCTTCCAGGAGCAGGAATAAAATAACTATTTCAAATCCAATATGGATATAGGCTGGGGTAAAAATCTGCACTTGAAAGGATGGTTGAACAAGGAAGGCCTTCAATATGCGCCAAGCATAGAGGTGACACAAAATGCCCAGGCGCTTTTCTCATTTGATGCCCCCTTTTGCAAGAAGCTCCCCTGCTTCCCCCTGCCCCCTTCAGTTATTTGCTTTGTCCACCTCCTGTCCTCCTCTCAAGCCCTCCTGCGTCTTCCCCATCCTGAGTGGGACCTGTGTTGTTCTTTTTCAGAGGCCGGTGGAGGAAGTGCCCGCAAGCCCCTCAGAAGCCAAGAGGGCACCTCAGAGGCAAATCTACATAGAGGCCGATGAGAAAGCAGAAAAAGACCTCTGTTTGCTGGGTGAGGATTCATTGGGCTAGCGCAGCATTTATTCAAACTGGATCCCTGGGAGCCCTCCACGGCTTTTCAGACGGTCTCGCGATGAGAAAACTAGCAACGGCTGAAAGACAGTCATGGCTTCTCCCAAATATTGAAGGACTACAAGTCCCATTATCCCTCACTGCTGGCCATGCTGGCTGTGGATGATGGGAGTTAGAGTCCAGCAACTTCTGGAGGCCCACCAGGTTGGAGAAGGCTATTTTAGGGGACAAACAAAGATGGCTGGGGTTCCATTTGGCACTCCTAAGACATCTGTGCTGGTTATTTCTGGGCTCAAAGTGCAGCAAAGAGGGGCTAGCTACCATGTGGCCTCCACTCTAAGGAACAAAATTTCTGGGGCTGACACTGTTGTTTCTTCCAAGCCCTGGGTATTGTGTGGCATCCTGCCTTGTAAAACAGATGCACCGGTTGCCAGTTTGTTTCAAGCTTAGGCCTCAAATATCTACATAACTTAGGCCTCAAATATCTGAGATGACCTCTTTCCCTAAAGACCCTCCCGGGTGTTAAGATAAGCAGAGGGGGCCTTCTTGGTAGTTCTGCTCACCCCAGAAGTTTAGGGTGGGGTAGCCCAAGAGAGAGCCTTCTCTAGCATCCCCACGATTGTGGAACTCCTTACTGTTTCTGGCTCCTTCATTATATAGCTTCTGACTGTAATTTATTTTAAACTCAGTGCTGATTTTCTAGAAAAATCGGTGCTGGAACTCACCATGAACGCTTCCCTTGCTCTCTTATAATGGCAATTAATATTCCGGTGAGTTTCAGCCGAAAAAAGCCCTGTTGAAATTTATTTTCCTAGTGGGTTTTAAATCGCTGCAACCTGCCCAGGACCTTATCGGGAAGGGCGGATAAGAAATGGACTCGATCACTATTATTGGTATCTGAAACATTCCCCCTCTTTACAGCCAGCGGAATAATGTCGCCAAGTCATCCCAGTCCAGCGCTTTCTCCCGAAGAACAAGAAATAGTTGACACTGAGCTTTCTGAGGTATGTGAGGTTCTGAGGTGGGAAATACGTTTTGACCAGAGGGCCACATTTCCTTCTGAGCAACTTTCCAGGAGCCACATAGCAGTAGTGGGCAGGGCCAGAGGCAAAAGTGAATGGATTAACAAATGTGAATTCTACCGTTTGGAGAGTAGGACTATTTCTGTACGTTCACACATGCTTATGTGCATGCGCGTACACACACCCCACACCGTTTTTCATCCAGGCAAGCGAGAGTTCAAGGGCACATTCCACGCAACCAAAAACACTTGAGGAAGGCAGGAAGCAGGGCTGGTGAGAGGAAACATCCGAGGGCCAGATAATGGCCTGGGAGCTACATTTGGCCCCTGAGCTTGACGTTTTGCAGCCATGATCTAATTTGAGGCAGAACAAGGCAAACCAGGTGGGCCGTTACCTCAATGAGCCTACAGTGTTGACAGTGGGGAGAGAGAATGGAGAGGAGGAAAGGGCCAGACTCCAAAATTATACAGCTATTAGAATCATAGAGTGGTAGAGTTGGGAGGGACACTAAGCATCATCTGGTCCAACCTAGGACAATGCAGGAATGGAGGGGATACTTTTATCGTTCCAGGGAAGTGTGAATTTAAACGAGGTGACTGTGGCATTGGGCAGTGCTGAGTGGGCAGTGCTGAACACCAGTCAAGGAACCATGCATTGGGAAGTCATGCAGGAGGACTCTGAGGACATCAGCTCTCTAGGTAAGGAAGTCCTTGCCCTGTATTAATGGAACATGGCAGAAGAGAGAATATGAGTTTATTTTTTTTTTAATGCATCAAAATATAATAAGGAAAAAGAAGGTGGGAGGAGAACAAATATGTTTTATTTATTTCCAATTCTTTAGGGACCGATTTTCACCATAGATGGTCACAAAGCAGTTTCCACAACAATCAATAAAACGATCCCTCCATGAAAAGAACAGGGTGTTGTCTTGAGCCCCGCAAGGCTGTTGGAACTGGGCTTGGGTTGGCAGACTCTGACCATAGCTGTCAACCTTCCCTTTTCTTGCGGGAAATTCCCTTATTCTAGTGCCATTTCCCGCTGCTTCCTGCTGCTATCCCGGATTGTTAGATATCCTGTAGACTGTCCCCGGGACAGGTGAGGCTGCTGATCCCTTATTTTCGAGGCTGCTGATCTCTTATTTTCAAATCTGAAAGTTGACAGCTATGACTCTGATGCACCCTCCTCCCTGCCCTCATCCTATATCCTAAAGGCAAGCTCGTTGTTTGAGTTGGGATCCTAATGCAACTGAAACAGCCCCATCCATACAGAAGAGAGAAGCATCGGTAAACTTGGGGTAATGCCCCAAGATTTGCCAAGCACGAAACATCTTTTTGGGTGGGGGAGCCCCTCAGAAGATACCGCCCCCTCCCACATAAAGCCAATCTAATGAAGATTGACCATGTTCATTGGTCATGTAATGCTGGGTGGCTGTTTGCGAGGGAGGAAAACTGGAGGATGAATGAAATGGAGAACAGGGTTTGGCTGACTGAGGATCTCATTCTGTGGCTGCTTCTGCTTAATCCCCAACCAGCAGGCTAAGTAGAAAGTGTTCTGTGCTTATTTTAAAACTGTATTTTATTGAATCTCCAACAATATTCCAAACCATTTATCATCATATACAAAAAAAAATTTTTTCAACGTAAATTTCTTCTTGAGTTCCCCACTGCTCCTTTCCGCATGTTTGTTTTTTGCTTCTTTTCATTAGCTGTTTTGCAATACATCTCTTTTTACTATCTAAACTTCACTACCATTAGTTATTTCAGTAACCGACTGCTTACATTTCAAAGCCTGCCTGCGACTTCATGTATAGGTGATATTTTGATAGATAATCCATCAATGGCCTCCATTCTTCTTTAAACACTTCGTCATTATGTCCTCTTAGTCCAGCAGTTAATTTCGCCATTTCATCAGAGTCCATCAGTTTCATAAACCAGCTTATTTTGAAACTTTTTAGGTCGAATCCACAAATATTCTTTGCCCTGCCAAACGTTCAGTCAATGACTATTTCTCTCAATGTTCCTTTTATCTCTGTTTCTCTCCCTATTCTAAGGAGGGTTTGTGATTCCCAAACCAGAGGCTGTATCCCAAATGGATAAAGGAGACATGGGTTTCATCGAGGACTCTGAGGATGGCGAGGTATTTGCAGAAAGCATCTCAGGTAAAGGGGAGGGGTATTAAAGGTAGGGCGGGGCTTAGTTGGGAGGGGGTGGTTACAGAGGGGTGCATCACACACCCTGGGATTGCTTTCATTGTGCCTGTTTTTCCATGTGCCACTTCCTGATTTTCTTGTCCTGGGTGCTGATTGGCTGGGAAAGTTCCACACGGTTGACCACACCCACATGGCTTCTTCAGCCAATCCACATGTCAGAATGAGGTGGGAGAATTCTGAGGTGGTTGAACAGACTTCAGACTGCATGGGGATTTTTTAAAGGTCCCATGTAGTAGTAGTAGTAGTAATTATTATTATTATTAATAATAATAATAATAATAATAATACCCCGCACATCTGGCTGTGTTTCCCCAGCCATTCTAGCTGGCTTCTAGCAGAATAGTAAAAGCACGATAAAACATCAAACCACGAAAAACTTCCCTGTATAAAATGAGTGAGCCAGCACCTCCCTGCAGCAAGAAATCTAGCACATCAAAGAGGAAAAATACCTCCTTTGCCTGCTGTGCTGGTTTACTGTTTGCAAGGATCCGAAACTTACTACATTTACTATATGTATAGGCAAACTTTCCCCCCCTCTGAGCAGCTTCCTCCCACTTTCTAATTTAATTCTTATGACAACCCTGTGAGGTAGCTTAGACTAAGAGATGTTGGCCGGCCCAAGGTCACCCAGTGAGCTTCGTGGCTGAGTGGGGATTCAAACCCTGATCTCCCAAGTCCTAGTCCAGCATTATGCCATACTGGCTCATGATGCAAACTGGGGGGAAAGAGGAGTTGCATCCGTTGCCAATAAGCTGATTGGGGACATCTGAAAAGCCCTGTTCACAACAGTTTGCAAGCGGAGACAGTGAGCTGATCATTGGGATTTCTGCACACCATGCTTGGAAAAACAGGTTAGCTGTGACATCATGCACGAGCCTACTGTCTCTGCTCCCTTGTGTGTGGATGGTGGCATTTTAGCTGCATAACGAATGGTACTTACACTCTGAACGTTGCTAATTACAGGAATTCTTGAGTCTTTTTTATATATAATTTTCATTAAATCTCCAAAAATATTCAAAAATATTGTACAAACCCCCCCATAAAGTTTCCAATTGACTTCCCACCCACCCTTTCCTGATGCTTGTTTTTGACCATTTTCTGAGCTGTTTACAACACACGTGTTTTTACTATCTAAATTCTAGTTCTTTCATTAATCCACTGCTTATATTTCAAATCCTGCCAGAGATTATGTATGGGTGACACTCTGATAGATAATCCTATCCTCCTTAAACACTTCATCATTATGTCCTCCTAATCTGGCAGTTAATTTTGCCATTTCAGCATAGTCCATCAGTTTCGTAAGCCATTCCTTCTTCGTTGGTAATCCTTCCTCTTTCCACCCCTGTGCATATGAAGTTCTAGCTGCTGTTGTCACGTACATAAATAAATTAGTCAGCTTTCTCAGGATCTCCATCCCCATTATTCCTAGCAAAAAGGCTTTGGGGTATTTTTAAGGACTGTCAGTTTGAACAGAATTATTGTCTGCGTTATCTCTCTTTGCAGATGATGAAGAACTTCAAATCAAGAAGGAGAGTCCTGCGCAAGGAGGCAGAGAGCCGGATGAAATATACAGTATGTCGCTGGAAATATCCCAAGGGAGGGCTTCTCTGGTGGCCGAGATTCACGAACAAGGATGCGAATCTGACGAGCGATGGGGGAGAAAGCCGGCGGAGGGATGGGGTGAATTAAACGAGGTGGCAGAAAGTCACGGGGCAGTGAAGGAAACCTCGAGACATGCACGGGTGAATAAATTTCTGTACTCAAAGTGCGGGAAATGGTACCGATGCAAATCAGTTGCAAACCAGAGTGTCCACTCCGCCGCCATGCCTTACGAGTGCCTCGCGTGCGGGAAGCGTTTCCAGAAGAAGAATTACCTGGCGAAACACCAGAGGATCCACGCGAGGCCCAAGGTGTACCAGTGTTCCGAGTGCGGGCAGAGCTTCAACGGGCGAGAAGGATTCGTCCGGCACCGAGGGATGCACACAGGGGAGAAGCCTCACGAGTGTCCTCAGTGCGGGAAGTGCTTCAGCCAGAGGGAGAGCCTGATCAGGCACGAGAAGATCCACACGGGGAAGAAGCCGTACGAGTGTCCCGAGTGCGAGAAGAAGTTCTGCCGGAGGGACTCGCTGGTAAGGCACCAGAAGATCCACACAGGGGAGAAGCCGTACGAGTGTCCCGAGTGCGGGAAGAGCTTCAACCAGAAAGAGGTGCTGCTCAGGCACCAGAGGATCCACACGGGAGAGAAGCCGTACGGGTGCCAGGCCTGCGGGGAAAGCTTCACCCAGAGAGCCATACTGAACAGACACGAGAAAACCCATCTGGGGGAAAAGGCCTTGTTAATACTCTGAGAATTAATGTGGCTCTCAAAGATGCGCTGGCCGTTTGTGTATTTTGTGTGTGTGTGTGTGTGTTTTGACAGACACAGACCTTTTTGTAAGCCGCAGATAATGCCTATGTTTTCAGAGCTATTCGGAGCAATAGCTCAAGAGCTGTGAACCTGGCACTAGTTCCTGAATTCTGGATGTCCTCAGAGAAGAGCCGACTCATTGGGTACTAGCAGAGGTGGGCAGGGCCAACTGGGAATTCTCTTGCTGGCCACACCCCTTTTGGGAGAAGCCATTAATGATAAAATCTTAGAATTGTAGACTTGGAAGTAATACAAAGGGTCAGTTAGGCCAACCTCCTGCAATGCAGGAATCTCAACTGAATCATACATGACTCTCCAAGGAAGGAGAGTCCACCACCTCCCAAGGGAGTCCGTTCCACTGTCAATCAGCTCTTACTGCCAGAAAGTTCTTCCTGATGTTTAATTGGAACCTCTTTCTTGTAACTTGAAGCCATTTGTTTGGGTCTTATCCTCTGGAGCAGGAGAAAACAAGCTTGCTCCATCCTCCAGGTGACAGCCCTTTGCTTTTTCCTGCTCTGGAGGGAAGGACCAGAACCAATGGCTTCACAAGAAAGGAGATTGTGACTAAACATCAGGAAGAACATTCTGACAGTAAGAGCTGTTAGACAGTGGAAAAGCCTCCCTCAGGAGGTGGTGGACTCTCCTTCCTTGGAGGTTATTAAGCAGAGGTTGGAGGGCCATCTGTCATGGATGCTACAGCTGAGATTCCTGCAGTGCAGGGGGTTGGACTAAGTGACCCTCTGTAGCCCTTCCAACTCTACAATTCTAGGAAGATAAATTATTATTACTGGGGTTCTAGTAAACACCTGTTTTCACAAACGCTGCTCATCGCTATATCCCTTTCTCCAGCAGATGACAACTTTTAATTCATGAAGGCTGCAGTCTCTCTCTCTCCCTCTCCCCCCCCCCACCTCACACACACAGCAACCCTGTTGAAATGCTGAAGTCACTCACTTCAACAGCAATACCACACCATTTCATAGGAAAATATTCTAAAGGCTGCTTCACGATTGATCGGTTTCTCCTACCTCTTTCTTCTTCCCTGTTTTTGGCAATTTACTAATATTATCGTGCGAGAGTGCATGTGTATGTTTTCCTCCTTCTTTGGCTTTTCACTTAAAGGTTTTCAAATTGTTCCTGGTTTTTACACTATTTTCTACGCAACTTGGAGCGGTTTTGAGAACGAAATAAAACAAGAGCTGCCTAAGATTTATATATGTATATATAAAATATAAATAAATAAACATTACTGGCCTGGCTTCTAACCCTTTCTAGGATTGATTAGGGTGCTTTTGACTGTGCTGGCACCACTCTGACATTCAGAGGACCATCTGGCCTCGCATTTGCAAAAGTATCATGACAATAATGAAATTGGTTACATATTATAAGAGGAAGAGTATTAGCCTGTGATGTTACCAGAAGCCAAATCCCATTAGCCCCAGCCTAACAAGCTGTCAACTTATTAATAATAATAATAATAATTTATTATTTATACCCTGCCCATCTGGCTAGGTTTCCCCAGCCACTCTGGGTGGCTCCCAAGAGAATATTAAAAACACGATAAAACACTAAAAACTTCCCTAAACAGGGCTGCCTTCAGATGTCTGACATGGGGGTGGCTGCTGTTATGGAGCATGGTATACTTAAGCAGTTTTTGCAAAAGTTCACATGCCCTTCTCAACAGGTGGTGCTGGTCGATAGAATGGTTGGTTATTTGTTGTGACATGAGTCAAGAGCATGGGTAGGGAAATGGCCAGATCTTTATCTGAGAGAAACAGGTTTCCCAACTTGCTTCTAGATGTTGCTGATGCGGTTTTGCTCAGAGGCTACATGAGAGGTAATCACTGGCTTTCCCCATTGCCAGGGGACCTCGCTTTTCCTCACCAGGTCATCCAGACTGCCTGATTCCTGGCCCTCACTTGCAACTGTGGTCACTGATCTTGCAATACATCTTCACCCTGGTCTTTAAATCCCGCTGGGCAGCAGCTGGGTTTTAAATGTTGAAACACATCGTTGCAGCTAGTGAGTGGGCCCTGCAACAAAATGTTGCGATGAGGGGTGCTTCTCTGGCGATCCAGACACACACTTTCCCATCACTCCTCCAGATTGTAGTCTAGCTAGCTAAAATTCTATGAGCAGCTCACAGATCTGTCCACAGGAACGTTTCATAATGGCTTTGCAGTGTGAAACTCAAGTTGATCTATCCAGCAGAGGACATGGTTTTTATACCGACACGTTTTTATATCTGTATCTTCCTCTGCCTTGCTTCTCCAGCTGCTCCCAGGCAGTTGGCAAGGTTTTCTCTCTCGGTCAAAATGCTGCGACCACGGAGTCCTTACTGGATTGGGTTGGGGTGTGTGTGTACCTTTTATTTAAAAAATTACCTCTGCAAATTTCAGCATTATGTTGAATCTCCATAGCATTTTAAGATCACACACGTTAGTGCTATTTTTATAGAAAAAGAGATGCCAGAACTCAACATGAACATGTCCCCTGTTCTCTTATAATGACAATGGTGCCCATCTGAGAGGTGCCAGAACTTAGTTCTGGCTGAAAAAACTCTTTGACACCCCTACTGGTATAACCAACAATGTAACACAGCAGAACAACACAGCAGAACATCAGGAATATTTAAATTACACCAACATCCCTCCATGTAATTAGGGTGGGTCCTTAAAACCCACATCTCAGGAATGTGCTGGTCAGTAATCACACAGTTCAAAGTTGAAGTTAACTCTTTATTAGCAAAAACATAACGACCTTGGTTGAGTGTTAGGCCTAATGAACAGAGTAGCATATTCCCAGTGGTGTTACTCCATAAAAATCAGTTGCCGAGACTGAAAATCCTCACCTCTGCACAGCTATCTAGGTCCCCTCCTTTCCAGGGCTTTTACCAATCAAGTGAAGAGGTTGTGCAGCCAACCTCTCCTCCAGCCTTTTCCTGCCCCTTCTGGTTCGGAGAGACAAAGGTAGCAGGGCAGCTTGTCCCAGCCAGACGGGGAGACACCAGCTGGACTCCTCCCTGCCTCCTCCTCCACTTCAGCTTCTGTTCAATTCTGGACTCCTCTCTGTCACACCCTCCCAGCTCATGAAGTCCCGTTACCTCTTCAGCTTCCGACCCCTTCTCTTCCCAGTCTTCTACCTCTGACCTCTCATCATCGTCCCACCACAAAGGGTTCCCACCCAGCTGGTTCCTCCCAGCATTCCTCTGCATCCAACAAGTCCACGGCAGGTAGAGGCACATCTCAGCACTTACCAACAGCTGTATAGTGAAAGTGTCTGACTTGTCTCTACTGGCAAGGAATTCCACTACTTAGAGATTACCCTCTCCCAGACTGCCACCCCACCCTTCCTTAACTTCTGAGGGATGCAGAACCACCAAGAGTGGCTCCACTGCTGATCTTAAAACCCAGGAGGAGGAGGAGGACTTTCTGATGTCTTTAGAGACTACTGTGAGCACCTTAAATTGAGCTCAGAAACTACTGGCAGCCATCAGCCATGGGACATATGTGCATGGCTGGGGGAGGGGGGAGGCCTTGTGAGTCTAATTTCAGCTGTGGGTCAGAGATGAAGCACACCTATGTGACAGGATATATGCCTTGCATGCATAAGGTCCCATTTTCAATCTCTGGCATCTCCAGCGACAGGTAGGTACAGGCGTGGGGAAGCTTTGCAGCTCAAGGGTTACATTTCTCTCAGGATAACATCCAGGGGCCACCTGTTGGGAATATTTGGTGAGATACCCACACAGCAGAAGTTGCCCCCAGCTCCAGTTGAGATCCAAAATGGTTTACTCCTGTAGATTAGGCTTCAGTAATAAAGTTCCAGATGTTTATATATACACAGCTTGTAAGCTTTGTAGATACAGATACAAATAGAAAGTTATGCATCTACACCATGAAGCTCCAACAGGAATAATTCCTTCCAACAACTATTCCAACAGCAGCCTGGTTGTGAGACTCTGCACCATCATCTGCCTCCCTGAAATATGTCAAGGAAAATTTATTGCTTCAACTTGTCTCCTCTGCCGCTTGTATTATCCAGATTTACTGCCTTCTGACATCTGGTAGCTGATAACTGGGCTCTGGTAGCTGAAGAACTGGACCCATAACCTGTTGGGAATCTGAGGTGAGATGCCCACATAACAGAAGTTGCCCCCAGTTCCAGTCACCAACAGAAGCAGCTTAAGGTCCAAAATAGTTTACTGCTGCAGAAGGTCAGGCTTCAGTAATACTCTTCCAGATGTTGATATAGAAATAAAGCTTGTAGGTTTTGCAGATACAGACACATACAAGTAGAAATAATTTGTTATTCCAGCAATTCAAGATGTAACATGGACTGCACTTTCACCTACTGATGAACTGTCATATCCTAATCACTTCTATAATAAGGTTACCAGACGTCCCCGTTTCCCGGGGACAGTTCCCGGATTTACAAATCAGTCCCCCGACAAAATCCATCTATTTAGTAGGAAGTTGAAAAGTGTCCCCGGATTCATTGAAGAAAATCTGGTAACCTTATTCTATAAATGACACTGGGCTGTTGCCATAGCAACTGGCTTGGCTGATCTTGCAACTGTTTGCTTATCTCATACATAGGGTGATTTGTCCCCATGAAAGAAATTAACTCATTCCTCCAAAGGCTAGGTAGGCACATATTCTGACACTTTCAAAAATTCAGCTTCATCTATCTGAAAGACCATCTTCTCTCATGCAATATCTGCATTGATATAATTAATTTGGATGCTTTCACCTCCTAGGAGATAGGAAACATGTGGGATCCCAACTGTTGCTGATCTACAGCTGCAACCGCTCCCACCTACTGTGTTGGGGTGAGTGTGCTCACTCGTTTCCAGAAGTTCATGAAGACTCCAGAAGCAGCTAAGTGCTGGATGTTTATTCCTACTTGAGGACATTTCTGTGGAAACTGTTCTTTACTCCTCCTCAGTTCCTACAGTGACTGTAAATTGTGTTTAGTCTGTGTCCATCTCCCATGCTGAGAAGATAGAGCGGGGAGAGGCGGCTTTGCAGAGAGCAAGGCCTGGAAACTCTTAAGAGAAAACTTCACCTGGGCTCTGGTGGAAGTAAACTGTAAATAGCTGCAACCGTCAAACTGTCGGAACTTGCTTTCAACCGAGCTACTCCTCCGGTCGAGTCCTCCGACGGTGATTAACGACCTGAGCCAGGCACATTCCCATTACGCAGAGTATCCAAGCAGCAGCAGGAGATGAGAAATATGAGCTATGCGCTAAGCGTTTTATTTCTAACTACACAGACAGAAAAGAAAATATACATCCTCTCTCTGTGAAAGAAGAGGCAACCGGTACAAAGAAACAGGAAACCAGTAAACAGTAAACTGTTGGAACAAGCTCCCATATTTTGTTCCTCTCTAAGGAGTCAAGCTCAGCCTTCATGGCACGTTAACCATGGGCTCAGCATCTTTCGAGTCCAAAGCCTGGATCTCTTGGAAGTTTGAAGGTTCAAATACCTTCTTGGAGCTATTAACAGCAGTTACAGCTTTAGCTACTTTAGCAAATTCATCAGCAAATCTCTCTGGAGGTTTACCTCTTGTGGCTCTTTCAGACCTGTGAATCAGACGCAAGTCTTCAACGCTTTCTTCTTCTTTCTTAGGAGAAAAGTGGCCTATAGTGGACAGTGGTTCCTCCAATTCTCGATCAGAGCCTTCAGAGGGTCGCAGAGAGACCTTAGCACTCTTTAAATCCTCTGAACCATCTGAGTCAGTTTCAGATTCAGAACCTTCATCAGTGGGTGTGGGGTTTTGCTGCTGTTTATCCTCAGACTCTTCACTGTCATCAGAATAACATTGGAAAATTCCCACATTCTCCCACTTGGCATTGTACTCAACACGTCTAGTGAGTCTAACTGTGTTAGTGTCTGTCATCATTACTCTGTAAGAACCTTTCTGATATCCTAGAAAGATACCATGCAAACCACGTTTGCCTAACTTGGAGCTTTGTGGTGTGTGAACCCACGTCAAAACCAAAAATTTTCATGTGCTTGATGTATGGTTTCTTGCCAAACATCTTTTCATAGGGGGTACAACCAATCGGTGATGACAATCTGCGATTATAAGTATAAACAAAACAGCTGAGCACTTCTGCCCAATAACTCTCTGGAAGATTGGCATCATGCAGCAAGGTTTTCAAGCCTTGAAGCAATATTTGATTTGCCCTTTCACTAAGTCCATTCATCTAAGGAGACCGTGGACTTGAAAGGTCATGTTGAATTCCTTAGGAAAGCTTTAAACTGCTGAGAAGTGAATTCTCCCCCTCGATCTGTAAACAAACATTTCACCTGTTTATCATGCACATTTTGCAACCAAGCACAGAATTCCTTGAACCTAGGAAACACTTCTGATTTCTGCTTGAGATTGAACACATGAATATATCTGGAAAATGAATCAATGATAACCATAAAGTACCTGGCTTTAACTCTCTTGCAGTTCTTGTGCATTAGTTTCCCCTCCCCCATTTTTATGACTCCACTTTGATGAGTGTGTGTGTTAACCTAACACTTTTAAAATTCATCATAGCATTGTAGCTGTAAGCCTTTATAAAGGTAAGCTCCCAAAATATTCCAACATCGACAGTGGGGGGAAGATTCTGTAAGGATTTAAAATTGAAAAATTCTTTATTGATTATGAGAATTCATGTCCACAAACTCCTCTGCAGCTGCCACAAATTTATACAAACAACATGACGCCACAGCTCTAAAAATTTTTACAACTTTTACTTTGCATTCTAGAACAAATATTACTTTTCTCAGGTAAGTTATACTTCTAAGGTTGTTACTTTGTCATCTCCAGTGCACTTTTGCTTCCCAACAGCACCAAGACAAACAAAATTATACAAAACTTTCCCTTCCCAATCATCACTTATTTCCCAACCACCACTCAATATTTCTAAGACACCCTTATTCAGGACTGTCAGCAAGGCAAGTGAAATAGAACCTCAGAAAACCTCCGGATAACAGATGCTAGGAGGGAAATCACCCTGCTTAAGGGCTTTCTAAAAACAGTGAGTTGGTGCATGAAACAGAATGCTAAGCTAAAAGGACGCTTATGTTTTCATGTCTAAAGTCTACTGAATTATAGTATCCAAACTAGCCAGGGCTCTTGCCTAATTTTTAAAAATAATTAATTAAAAGATAATGATAAAAAGTCATGAGGCAAGATTCGGAAACTCTGAAAGCGGTAGGAAGAGATGGAGGTATATTACATTACAAGGGCAGAAGTCTGAGTTCAGGTTGCAAACTGGTCAAAACATACACAGCCTGGCTTGATCTTGGGCCGTTAAGCCACCACCATGTGCCAAAAAACAACAACAACCCAGCAGCATGGAAGAGGTCAGATCTGTAACCTGAGAATATCAACAGACATTGAAGGCAGAGGAGCAGGGGCCAGTAAAAAAAGTTAGTGGCCCTCCTTTGAATGCTCAATCACCACCACGCCTGTTCCGCAAAGGGGTGGGGTTGCTGTATAAAGTTGTTGACACCTTCCGTTTCCTGTGCCACTGCCTTTTCAGACTTTGAAAGAGTAACAACTGCAAAACAGGCTTCAATGCTTGCGATGGTGTGACCAAGACTTCCTCAGAGATAAGCCCAGTACAGTACAACGTGAACCATGCACAGGGCTGCACCCTAAGTACACACTTACCAACGGAGGAGACCAGCTCCCAGCGGAACTTGCTTCCGAGTTAAGCCTTCTTAAGACAGGATAGTTCACAAGTGGGGGAACTGTGGCCCTCCAGGTGTCGCTGAACTCCATTTCTCATCAGTCCATGCAGCTGACATGGCCAATGGCAAGGGGTTTGGGAAGTCCCTCAACATCTGGAAGGCCACTGCCCCAAACTTGCTGCAACAGTCAGTGGGACAACTCAGGGCAAGTCTATATAACTGTCTGAACTGGGCTGGAGATGGGTCCTAAGTCTTTGCGGCTGTGCCGCTATTTCCCATCTCCTCTCCTCAGCTAACAATTCAGCATCATCCTTGATAACCCATCCTGCCCTATGAGGCTTCCTCAAAGCGCTTGCTGCACTCAAAGCCGTGAGTCTTCTCGTGGGCTTCCAAGGAATCTTTCCGCATGAAATCCTGCCCGCACACCGAGCAGAGGTACGGTTTTGCCTCTGTGTGCGTGGCCTGGTCACAGAGCAGCTTGGCCTCCCCACAATCCTCGCCCTCGTGGGGCCCATCCCCTGTGTCGGTACTCTGTTGGTCAGCTAAGGCGGCAGGCTCACCCTCAGAGGATTTCTCGCTTGCAGAACTTTCGGGAGGTGGTGGCTTCTCTTCCACCGGGGCAGTCTGGCTGGTGTCTGGCTCTGGCGGGCAGGGATTTGTCTCCCCGCCTTTGGAATACGCAAACCTTTCCAGCCTCGCACGGACTTTCGCTTTAATCTCTGCTAGCTCAAGTTCTGCAGCCTCAGCCTCAGCGTCCTTGGCCGAGTCACTCTTTGCATCCTCAGTGGAGGCACCCTCAGCGGAATCACCCTCGGCAGTGGAAGCACCCTCAGCAGAATCACCCTCGGCAGTGGAAGCACCCTCGGCAGTGGAAGCACCCTCGGCGGAGGCAACAGGCTCTTCTGCTTTTTCTCCCCTTTCCTGTTTACAACGGCTCCACCGTCCCCGGAGCTCAGCCAGCTTGGCATCGTCCATGTGGCTCAGTACCGGCACTTTCAGAGGTTTCAGTTCCACCGTCACCATGTTGCCTGCAGGGACAGAGGGAGAAACAATCCTGGCATGAGACCAGCCCATTTCAAGGGAAGAAGGGTAGCGGTGGAAGAGGAGGAAAGAGCTCTCCCAGCCATCAATGCTTTTCAATTATAGCCCTGCTGCACTGAGCTTCAGCAAATGGGGACGTATAAGGAAGAGCATGGCCTTGCTGACAGTGGTCCCTCCATCCTTTTGATATAAGAATTAAGAGACCCCAGGTGTATATTTTCATTATTTTAATAATGTTTCAATGCTTCAGTTTAATTGCATTTAACCTTTTAGAATGTATTAGGCGTGATTTTCGTGTGTTCTGCCTTTGTGGAACTCTCCCTCCTACGCTGCATTCCATCTCTCCTTATCTATTTTATTTTATTTATTGAATTTTATGCCACCCTATACCCAGAGGTCTCAGGGCAGTTCACAGGACAAAATCAAAATATAAAACCACAAAATATATAATGAAAATAAAAACAACAACCGCCTGCCCCAACCTGAAAGTGGTACAAACAGCAAGATGTTTTACCACCAGAGTGTAAACAACTATTCTCAAAGCGATCTGAGACCCAGGAAGAGGATTTTATGATGCTCTTCCCTCACTGTAGGTTGCCAAGGTAACGTTGGACATTTGAGACCTCAAATGGTCAAATGGTCTGGGCACATCAGGGCCGCTCCAAGGCAACTGCAGGGGTGAAGATACCACTATGGAGTCATGAGAGTTGTTACAGCCTTTGCCATGAGCAAATGTAGAAGGTGGGATAATAATGAAGTGCAGAGGAAAGAAAGGAGGGAATAATTTGGGCAATGGACCTAGGGCAAAAATATTCAATTATTTGCAACTCGATAAAGGAAAATTGTCTCAAGATGTTTTTATACGTGGTATATAACACCTAAAATAACCAAAATGTATAAAACAAAATGTGCTGGAGGTGTAATCAATCAGAGTGGACGCTACTCCATATGTGGTGGAACTGTAATAAAATCAAGAGCTTCTGGGACACGGCATATGAGGAGTTGAAAAAAATATTTAAACAAACTTTTGTAAAAAAAGAAGCAGCATTTCTATTGGGCATAGTAGATTCAGAAATCGCAAATGAAAATAAGATAATGTTCCTTTACGCAAGATCCGCAACAAGAATACTAATTGCAAAAAACTGGAAAAGTGAAACAGTACCAACAAAAAAAGAGTAGCAAGAAATATTATTTGATTACACTGAGTTGGCAAAAATGATGCGTGCAATTAGGGGACAGTCTAAACAAAAATTTCAAAAAGGGTGGGGGAAGTACAGAGATGATTTAAAAAAAACAGTGCCCTCAAATTAAAATCTGAACTTGCTTCAAATAATTTTTGCAAAACAAAATACAGTCATACCTCTTGCTGCGTTTGCTTCACATTGCGGCTTTTCGGGTTGCGAACGTGGTAAACCTGGAAGTATATACTTCCGGGTTTTGTTCTGCATGCGTGTACAGAAGAGCTCTGCGCGCTCCACACATGCGAAGAAGCGCCGCTCTAGTTGCATACTTTTTGGGGTGCGAATGGCACCCCGGAATGGATTGTGTCCGCAACTAGAGCTACCACTGTACAAATAGAACATATGGAGAATGGTAGAAATGTCAAAATGAAAAAGAAACAGTTTATCAAGTTTAAAAAAAGACCCACGGTGAGAAGGAAGGGAGTCAATTAGAATAGAATAAGAACTAAAGATTGGATAACATAAGTCTTTTGTAGTTTGTTTTCTAAATGTCGTGTTTGTATGTGCTGTAATAGTAACTTAATAAAAAGCATTTACCCCCCTCCCAAAAAAAGGGAATAATTTAACGTAGCACTGAAGCAGGTGTTCTGTGAGTGCAAACATTATTGGGCAGATGGAACCATTTGCCCTCTCATCCCCTGGTATGCTGTCGTTGAATTTTCCACTGAGCCAGTTTTGGGAGCAAAGGGGAAAGGCCCTGTTGCGCTAGTAGGAATGCTTTTGCGATCTTAACTTAGCAGGGCACATTATTTGAATCCCATTACAATGGTACCTTGGTTCCCGAACGGCTTGGCTCCTGAACACAGCAAACCCAGAATTAAGTGTTCCCATTTGCGAATGTTTTTCAGAAGTCGAACATCCAACACGACTTCCACTTGACTGCAGGAAGCTCCTGCAGCCAATCAGAAGCCACACCTTGGTTTTCAAACAGTTTCAAGAGTCGAATGGACTTCTGGAATGGATTAAGTTCGAGAACCAAGGTACCACTGTAATACTATCTCCAGGATGCTTTTACAGACATTGCCATATTTGCAAAAACTAACATGCCACACAGAAACACTGGTTCTCTGGGCAGCTTGCAACAGAACTGACAAAGGGACTACTCATACGCTGGTCCTCCTGAGAAAAGCATCATTTTACAATTCCCATCAAATTTCCATTTTACTATGAAACAACATATTGGTACCCATACATGGCAGAACTTGCATTTGGTTATATCTTCAGGGATGGCAGAGAGCATACAAAGAGAACCAGAACATTCATTCTAAACTGAGGTTTGTTGAATTTTGTTAGGCTACCATTAACCAAACTAGCCACATGAATCGTGCATTGTACACAATGTTAGTCCTACTCAGAGAAGACCCACTGAAGTCAACAGACATATGTTGAGGTTCGTTAATTTTAATCAGTTTAATCTGGTAAGAACTTAGTTGGTAATATCCCCATACTCTGGTTTTGAGACTGAAGAGTAAAGGTGATATGGTTGGGCAGGGGATGGGATGGGAACAGATTTTATGATATTCCTTTTTCTTAGGGTACTTTCTTCTGTTAAGTCCACTAAAACATAAACAGAGATAATTAGCAGTTTGTGTTTTTTAAATTAATTTTTAAAAACCCTTCCTGATTCAAATCATACGGCACTCACCTGTAGCAACTTGCTGGTGTACAGAGAGAGAGCCCTTTCTGACATTGGAGAGATCTTCCTCGTGGGACTTTTTGTGCCGGGAAAGATTTGATTTGTAAGTGAAGTTTAGCCCGCACTTGTCACAGGGAAAAGGTCCGTCACCCACGTGGCTTTTCATATGGATAAGATGGGTTGACAATTTGTAGGTTTCGTGCCCACATTTGCCGCACGTGTGCTTCTTCTCCTTCTGAAGGCTCCGTGCTCTGTTGGCGGGCTTCTTCCTGCCGCCAGAACGACTGTCCGGCTGGTGGACTGTCTTGTAGTGTTTGCTGCAGGCAGAAGGGTCAGAGAAAGCTCTCCAGCATTCAGGGCACTTGTAGGGCTTCTCGCCTCCGTGGCTTTTCTGGTGTCTCATCAGGTCGGAGATATAGTAGGATTTGTGCCCACATTCAGGACACTGGATGTTCTTTTCCATCCATAGATACCTGCTCCTCTTGGCAGCCTTGGTTCCTTGGTCGCGAGTCGATTCTTGCTGACCTTGAGCCAGAGAACTGCCACCTGAAGGTTTTCTGGGGAGTTCCTGCACTTTCACTCCTTTTTTCTGAGCTTTCTTCGCCAGGATGTTAATTAACTCCTCCTCATCTGTCAGGATACAGAGATAATTGAGATATAGGGCTGTTGCCCCAAGGGTCGGGGGAGAGGCTATATAACCCCTGGCCCCCTTATTTTGAAAGCCAAGAGCTACAAACATGCTACACTCTCCCTGGTTTTTGTGAAGGACAGTCCCATGGACAAGCAAAGTAACTGGAGCATCTTTCGGCAAACGGCTGCTTTTGTTTTCCACCTGTTCTTGCCTTGCACTTCTGTAGCCAGGCAGGCCTCTGGGGTGAGGCATGAAAACAAACCAGGAATGAGCTAGGGTTGTGGCTTTGGGGTGCAACATTAAGACCACTGTCAGTGTAAGCAGAGTTTAGAACTCCAGCTTCGAAAACATGGTTTCATACTCTGGTTGTTTGGTTGAACATTTGATGCGGCTTCCAATATTGCTATCGTTGTGCCTGCGCAACCGGAAGCCATGCCTTGGTTTCTGAACGTTTTGGAAGTCGAACAGACTTCCGGAACACATTCTGTTCAAAAACCAAGGTTTGACTGTATGGGTCCTTTTCTCCCTGCCCCATGGAAGTAAACTAGAGCGCTTAATCCCATTTAGGTTCTGGAGTGTATGGAGACACCAATCAATCAAAAGTTTTCAACGTAATAGCACTTTCGATTGCACCTAAAATATTAATCTGCTTTTAAAAATCCATTTGTAAAGAAGGGTGTAAATCAGTGTTTCCCAAAGTGGGCAATACCACACCCTGGGGGACTCTGGAATCATCCAGGGTGGGGGAAGGGAGTAGGCTTGGGTACAGTTGGGGCTGTTGGATAAAAACAAGGTGGCAGTGGAAACAAAGAAGGCCCAGAAAGTGGATCGCAGCTTGGCTGCTTATTTGTCCAATGGCAGGTGGGCTGCAGTGCCAACTCTGCCCGTGGGGCGGATTGGACTGAGCTGACAGGCTTCACTCCAGTCCACCCCATGGTTTTTTTAATCACGGGGCCTAGTTCACCTCCTCGTCCAGTTTTGAAAAACTGTTCATGCCTATTTCATCTGTTGTATAATGATGCTTACTGATGTAACGGGGGGGGGGGGGGTGCCTATTATTATTATTTTCCTGAAAAGGGGGCAGTAGGCCAAGTAAGTTTGGGAACCTCTGGTGTATAGGAAAGTGCTCAAGTATATGATCCTGGTACAGGCCTCACGACACCCCACAAGGGGAGGTGATCAATATTCCCATGTTGCTGATGGGAAGCAGAGAAAGGACAAGGACACACACAAACTGTATCTTGCCTAAAAGGGCTGCTTAACGAGTTTGTGGCAGAGACAAGATACTTAGCAAACCAGTATGAGGCAAAAAAATGAGCTTACTTAGAATACAGTGGTGCCTCGCGAGACAAAATTAATTCGTTCCGCGAGTTTTTTGTCTAGCGAATTTTTCGTCTTGCGAAGCACGAAATCCCATAGGAATGCATTGAAATTCAATTAATGCGTTCCTATGGTCAAAAAAAGTCCAAACAAAGCCAAATTTGGTACAACAAGAGTTTATTAAGCGCTCTTTAAAGTCACACATACTGTAAAGAGCATTTCAAAAATTGAAGGAACAATTAAGTTTCTAAACATGACAGAAAAACATTTAAAAATCAACAAAGTGTACAGTACATTTTCTAAGACTCTGGGGGACAACTCAAAGAAGGTTCCTCTTCCACTCTTTGCTTCTTGCTGAAGAACCTGTCCATGGTCTGCTGATTCATCCGCTTTTTCAGCACCTCCCTGAAAGGTGACATGACCCTCGTATCAAAAGTGTTAGCAAGGTCATGTGCCACGTGCTTGTCAGGGTGGTGCCGCTGTGCCAAAGCCTGCACATCCTTTCACTTCAGGCAAATGTCCCTCAGTTGCTTCCTCCTCTTCCAGTGAGGCCTGCTCCTGCGCAGCCTCTGCCTGCAGTTCGACCAGCTGCTGGGTGGTCAGCTCGTGGTTGTGCTCCTCCACCAGCTCGCTGACGTCCTCTTCTGTGACCTCCAGGCCCATGGTCCTCCCCAAGGCAACAATGTCCTGCACCACTGTTGACTCTGGTGCATCAGAGTCACTTGGTGCCACACAGTCCGGCCACAGGCTGCGCCAAGTGCAATTCAAATTTCTTTGGCTGATCCCGTCCCAGGCCGTGGTGATCATCTTCAAGCAGGTGACGATGTCGAAGTGGTCCTTCCAGAATTCCCACAGGGTGATGGTGGTGCAATCAGTCACCTCGAAGCATCGCCTGAAAAGCTCCTTGGTGTAGAGTTTTTTGAAATTGGCGATGACCTGCTGATCCATCGGCTGGAGCAGTGGCGTGGTGTTAGGCGGCAGGAACATGATGCTGATGAAGCTGAACTCCTCCAACAAGTCCTCCTCAAGGCCTTTAGGATGAGCAGGAGCATTGTCCATCAGAAGCAAAGCCTTCAGCGGCAGGTCGTTGTCCAGCAGGTACTGTTTGACAGCAGGGCCAAAAGCAAGATTGACCCAGTCCACAAACAGCACACGTGTGACCCAAGCCTTACTGTTGGATCGCCACATGACACTCAGCTGCTCCTTGTCGACCTTGTGTTTCTTGAAGGCCCGTGGGTTCTCCGAGTGGTACACCAGCAGGGGCTTGATCTTCAGGTCGCCGCTTGCGTTGGCACAGAAGAGCAGGGTCAGACGGTCCTTCATGGGCTTGTGGCCAGGCAACTTGGCCTCCTCCTGTGTGATGAAAGTCCTTTTGGGCATCCTCTTCCAAAACAGCCTGGTCTCGTCGCAGTTGAAGACCTGCTGTGGAACGTAGCCCTCCGTCTTCACAACCTCCAGGAACTCCGCTGCAAAGTCTTCAGCCGCAGAAACATCAGAACTGGCAGCCTCTCCATGCCTGACCACGCTATGGATTCCAGATCTTGTCTTGAACCGGTCAAACCAGCCTCTGCTTGCCTTGAAGACTTCTGGCTCACCTGAGGTTCCTGGCTGTTCCCGGACGAGGTCTGCGTGCAAGGCCTTGGCCTTCTCACAAATGACGGCCTCAGTCACTGTGTCCCCTGCACGCTGCTTCTCTTCTAACCAGATGAGCAGCAACTTCTCCACCTCCTCCAGAACAGCTGGGCGGTTCTTCACGATCCTGCTGACTCCCTTGGCTGCATCAGTCGCAAGGATCTTCTCCCTCATCTTCAGGATGGTCCAGATGGTCGATGGACTCCTCCCGTACTCCCTGGCGAGGTCTGTCACACGCATTCCACCGTCATGCTTCCGGATGATCTCCTTCTTCATTTCCAGCATAACCTTCTCCTTCTTCCCCTCGCCGGCCTCTGCAGCAGCAGTCTTCTTGGGTCCCATGGCAGCACAGCTCCTACCTGCGCAATCCCCCCCCCCAAATAATCAGTGCTTCACATCCAAAAAATTCAAAAGCACCCAGCCACCCACCACACAGAAATTCAAACCCAGAACCAAGTCCTTGAATTCCAAACACCCCAACCCAAAATCCCAAAACCCCCAAAAAAGTTTTAAAAGTTTAACTTAGCGAATGGCTGCAAAAGAAGTTTTGGAAAAGCTTCAAAAATCACCAAAGTCTTCAAAAACCTCAACTATTCCCCCAGCCACCCACCACACAGAAATTGCAAACCCCTCCCCAACTGTTGCAAACCCCTCCCCAACTGTTCCCCCAGTCACCCACCACACAGAAATTCAAACCCATATTTTTTTTTAAAAAAAACAGCAGAGTGGCCCAATGGTCACAGAAAATCATAAAAATGCAGAAAAAAACCACACAAGCTTCCAGATTCTTGCAAACCCCTCCCCAACTGTTCCCCCAGCCACCCAGAAATTCAAATCCAGAATTTTTTTTAAAAAAACAGCAGAGTGGCCCAATGGTCACAGAAAATCATAAAAATGCTGAAAAAAACCACACAAGCTTCCAGATTCTTGCAAACCCCTCCTCAACTGTTCCCCCAGCCACCCACCACACAGAAATTCAAACCCAGAATCTTTTTTAAAAAAAACACCAGAGTGGCCCAATGGTCACAGAAAATCATAAAAATGCAGAAAAAAAACACACAAGCTTCCAGATTCTTGCAAACCCCTCCCCAACACCAAGTCCTTGAATTCCAAACACCCCAACCCAAAATCCAACCCCCCCCCAAAAAAGTTTTAAAAGTTTAACTTACCGAATGGCTGCAAAAGAAGTTTTGGAAAAGCTTCAAAAATCACCAAAGTCTTCAAAAACCTCAAAAAAGGCTACCACACCGCGTGCTATGAGTTGCTCCTCGAAGTCAAGTCGCAACTGCACCTCTTCAAGCAATGCACCCTGGGTATTAACGGTTTTACGAAAAAGGAAACAAACTTGCAAGACGTTTTCGTCTTGCGAAGCAAGCCCATAGGGAAATTCGTCTTGCGAAGCACCTCAAAAAACGAAAAACCCTTTCGTCTAGCGAGTTTTTCGTCTTGCGAGGCATTCGTCTTGCGGGGCACCACTGTAGTAAAGTATTCTGCTCCTTGGGGCAGGGGCTTGTTCTCTTATTTATCTGATTTGGTTTATTTCATAAAATTTATACACAGATCAGTTGCCAAAAAAGAAAGAAGTATAACCTCAAAGCTGTATTCCTAGCAACTGTTAGGAAAAGAATCTGCACAATCCTCTAATATCTAATGATTCACCGTAGACGAGCACTCACCACTAAGTGTTACGTCACATTCCGCCACAGGAATCTGGGGAACCAAAGGGGTATTGGAAACAGAGGTGTCAGGAACAGGCTTCTTTGCTGAGCAGGAAAGATATAGCGTGTGTTTCCTAAGGCTCGCTTTCCATGCAAAGGTTTTTCCACACCGAGGGCACATGTAGGGCTTTTCTCCAGTATGTTTCCTCATATGGGAAACAAGGTCTGTTAAACTCCTAGCCTTGTATCCACATTGTGGGCAAGTGTGTTGCTTTTTCCGAAAGTTAGCTGAACTTGCCATGGCAGCTAACGCGGACAAACTGTCCCCTCCCGGGTGTTCACTCAAAGCAGGTTCGTGACTCAATGTAAGACCTTCTGGGGATATCTCAAACTCTTCTTCCTCTGTTTTAATTGTGGGCAGAGGGTCCTCAACACCTGCAGGGAAGGCAAATAAATACAAGACAGGGCATATCGGTCTGATTAAGGCGTTAGAGAAATGTGCCCCTACAAGGATGGGTTACAACAACCCATCAGAGACGACATGGTATAGGTGTATATAAAGGCAAGTATGCTGTAGAAATCTAAAAGTCCCGCCTCCGACCCAATTGTAGTTTGAATTATAAAACGTTGATAGGTCATACTTGCATCCCTTGCACATAAAATATCATACAATTATATCCTTTCTTCTATAGTGGTACCTCGGTTTTCCAACGTCTCTGTTGACGAACATTTTGGTTTTCATACGGGCCTCAGAAGTTAAACATGCCACACAGCTTCCGTATTGAGTTTTCCATATTGAGTTTTCAGTTTTTGAACATTTCAGAACTCAAATGGTTTTACATTCAAAAACAGAGGTACTACTGTATTTCAAAAAGATTCCATTTAATAGAATATGCATCAGTTTAAAGCAGAGCTGTCAAAACGTTTCATGTTGATGACATACTTTTTAGACATACATATACATCATTTTGCGACACACTAATTCAGTTTTACTAGCAAACTGGAGGCTAAACTAACCCGTTTCCAGCCCTGGGAAGAGCTCAGGGAGCATTTGTGCAACACACCTACACACTGCAGCCAACATTGTGACAGTTTGGAAAGCTCTGCTTTAAATGGTGTTTTCCACATAGTAGTTCCTTTTCTCCAAAGTGAGTATCTTCTGTGTGATCAGAAGAAACAGCTTCTCCAGCAAGATTTCTCTATTTATTTACAAACTACAATGTGTTTCCTGCCCCCTCTCAACCCTGCCTGTGAGAGAAGCATCTATTTAAATGTGTGCACGAGCATGTTTGCAGTTCATTTAGCACTTCAAAAGGCTACCGGGGAGCAGGCAGAAAGTGAATGCCCTCAGCTCTCCTGCACAACCAGAGATCAAGGTCACACGGCTTCTGGTTCCATTGCCTTAATGGAGACAGCTCCCATGACAGCGGGAGATTGTAGACAAAGAAAAAACCAAGAATGATCAAGGGTGAATGAGCATCTTTGCAGTTCGTTTAGCACTTCAAAAGGCTACCTGGGGAGCAGGCAGAAAGGGAATGCCCTCAGCTCTCCTGCACAACCAGAGATCAAGGTCACACGGCTTCTGGTTCCAGTGCCTTAATGGAGACAGCTCCCAGGACAGCGGGAGATTGTCGACAAAGGAAAAACCAAGGATGATCGAGGGTAATTATCCTTGCAAGTTCCCTTCAGGGACAGGGGGAGGAGCTTCAGTCGCAGGTGTCTTGGTATCTGGCTCTTACTTCAACATGGAATGCAAGAGGCAGAGACACTGAGCGTAAAAGTGTTTCATTTGCCGATAACCCTCCTACGTCGCCATTAAGAAGCAGAGGTTCTCCTGTTAATTAGAGTTTAATTGGGACTAATGTACAGGCACATGCTGGAAATGTTGAGATAATAAACTGCATAACGGAAGCAGCTGCAAGGTTGCTAAGGTTTGAACTTGAAAGAACTTTATTCGGTGTAAAACATGGTGTGGGGGAAATAAAGTTTTTTCCTTTTATATTTATGATTTGGCAACCTTCTCTAGGAAGATAAAGCAATTTTTAATGAGCAAGTGAAGAATAAGGAACTGGATTGCAGAGGTCCAGATCTGGAATACAATATAAAATAGAACTGTGTGAACAAAAAAAAGGGGGTGACTGCTAATTATCACAGTGGAGTATGGAACAGAGAAGCCTTCTTATCTTCTGTGAAATAGAGGAATGAACAGAGCCTGGAAGCTTGCCAAATGCACTGGCAAGATAATAGACCACTTTTCTTATGTTGGGAGGAAAGACGGTGGAAAAGGATATTGATGGAGATCGAGTGACTTATGTAGCTATTGTTAAAGATGCATAACAAAGAAGCACAGGACTAAGCATGGGAGAAATCTAATTGGATTGCGTTGAATACCACTTTGTGAGAATGGTATTTGGAAGGCATGTGGAATTTGACTTAATTGGACTATGCAATTTATCACACCGTGAGTATGTAACCTGGAAGGCTAGTTTATTTTTGGTGTAAAGGGGGGATGAACAGAATCTGGAAGCTTGCCAAGTACACTGGCAAAATGCCAGATCACTCTCCTCCCGGGGCTGGGGAAAAACCAGCTAAAATCCAGCTACACAGATAGAGTGAATTTTGTAGCCCAGTAATGTTAAAATGGTAAAAACAGAGTGCAGTGGTTATCTTGGTTCTTGAACTTAATCTATTCCAGAAGTCTGTTTGACTCCCAAAAGCATTTGAAAACCAAGGTGCAGGGAGCTTCCTGCACTCAAGAGTGGAAGCCGCGTCAGATGTTCGGCTTCTGAAAAACATTCAAAAACTGGAACAGCTACTCCTGGGTTTTCGCCGTTCCGTAGCAGATTTATTCAACAACTAAGCTGTTCGAGAACCAAGGTACCACTGTACGGGACTGACTGAGGGAGAAATTGTTGGAACAACATTGGGATATCAGCTCTGCTCAAGGCATGACAACTTTCAGCAAAAACCCGGGGGGCGGGCAAGAGACAGACAAGGAAAAGGACTTCCGGTTTGTCGCGGATCACCATGGAGCACAGATCTAGCCTTCCAGTGAAGATCTGAGCTTTGCGGGGGGATATGAGGCCACACAAAGGCGCTGTGGATCTCAAAAAACCCAAAAGGATTTATTTTGGGTGCATGTGATCTGGCTGCACTCTGGGTGATCTCTCCCATCTCCCGGATTGCTCTGTAAGGAGTGGAGAAGAAAAGACGGGATTGAGGTGCGAGTGCTGGGATCCACCACTATCTCCGCAAAGTGAAGCTTCTGGCTCCGAGTGGATTGAGCGGCAGACTCTTCAGGACATAAAAAGCCGAAATTTAAACAGAAGATTTAAATTTGGAACAATTTGGACTGATTTGGAAACCATTTGGTGTGAGACGGGATAAAAAAGGAAGCCCCTCCCGGCTGTGGTGAGACGCAACTTGCATGGTGCTTTTCTATAAGTCCTAAAGTTGCTTTCAAACCTTCCCTGCTAAGTGGACCTTTTGTAAGTTAATTCCACCCATCCCTGATATAATGGGGGGGGGGGGGCGCGTGCGCAGATTGTTTATATTAAGTTTCTTTTTTTACTTTTTGTATAGAAGCAGACTGCCTGATTGGCTGGGGAAGGAAAGCCCCTGCCAGCTTGGCGCACATTGTTATAGCATACTGGCATTTTGATAAAACTTGTTCTGGTTTTCGGCTGCTTTTTGGAAGCCGAATGTCCGACACGACTTCTGCTTGACTGCAGTCAATCGGAAGCCTCACCTTGGTTTTCGAACGTTTTAGGAATTGAACAGACTTCAAGAACAGATTACCCGTATTTTTCGCTCTATAAGACGCGCCAGACCACAAGACGCACCTAGTTTTTGGAGGAGGAAAACAAGAAAAAATATATTCTGAATCTCAGAAGCCAGAACAACAAGAGGGATCACTGCGCAGTGAAAGCAGCAATCCCTCTTGCTGTTCTGGCTTCTGGGATAGCTGTGCAGCCTGCATTTGCTCCATAAGACGCACACACATTTCCCCTTACTTTTTAGGAGGGAAAAAGTGAGTCTTATAGAGCAAAAAAATACAGTAAGTTTGAGAGCCAAGGTACCACTGTATATGGGACCTCTCCCCACACAACAGATATCTTGCTCACAAGTGTACAAAAACAGAAAGGAAAATGCACATGCAACGATGTTTCCATGAAGGCTTGCAGTTCTGTCTGCTATTGTGAAACTGATCTTACACCACACCACCTAAACATATTCCACTTACCTAGACACATATCATAAACAGAGGTTTTAAACCAGGAAAAGGCACCAAAACAGCACGAAAAGAGGAGAACGCTGGAGAGGGGGGGGACAGCTTGCACAGGTGTTCCGAGTGTCTTGCCTCCCCCCACTCACACACCGTCCTTGACTTTCTTCTTCCTGGCCAGCAGAGCTGTCAGTTTGGGGGTGCTTCATGCCTCGGCTCACCCCTTCCTCGCTTGCATGTGCCAATTTTATTCCTTAGGCAGGATCTGAGTCCCTCTGCTCTCCCTCACTGCCCCACAAGTAGGCAAAGGGGGTGGGGTGGGGAGACTAGATAAAAAGAAAACTGTCTCCAGAAACATCCGAGACTAAGAGAGAGAGCATCAAGAAGCCTCACAGCAGAATAGCTACCCACTCTGCCACGAACCCCCAAGCTCAACTTGCCAATCCCTGGAGGCAGGAAGGCAGGCAGGTGGGATGGATGGATGGATGGCCAGCCTCTCTCAACAGCGCCCTCCCCACTTTGTGCAATTTCACATACATGTGTGGAGCCAGGGGACATAACAGCAAGTGGGGGGATGCCTGTATTTTGCAAATTATTGGGGATCAACCAAATTATTATGCTCACCTTCGTACGACACCTGGCCTTCTTCAAGAGGGGCATCCGGAGTAAGGCTGTTTTGCTGGCATGTATTTCTGCTGCAGTGTTTTTCGAGGTGTGACGATGACTCGAAGCATTTCCCACATTTGTTGCATTTGTAGAGCACCTCCCCCGTGTGGACTCTCCTGTGTTGAATGATGCCCGCTAAGCTTTCAGAGACAAACCCACATTCAGGGCAGGTGTGCTTCCTCCCATTGCAGAGCTTGGCAAACTTGGTCAGCACCACCTTCACTGTTTTTGTCCCATAGCGAGAAAGAGGCACTCCCTCTCCTTCGGATTGGCTCAAGAGCAGCTTTGAAGGGGAGCTAGCACTCACCAAAGCAGTAGACAGGGGCTGTAGCAGCAGAGGAGAGTTTTCAGCCGTGCTCGGCCCAGGGGCGACTGCAAAAAGAAAGAGAGGGGACCTCTTACCCCTGGAAGATGTGAACGGAGGTGGCGGCGAGAGGAGACAAATGGTATCACAACACGGAAGACTGTATAACCACAGGGAGCACCGCACACACAAGGCCAAAGGATGAACTACACTAGAAAGTCGGCCCCGCTAGTAGCCCAACTTTCTGTATCACAGGTTGAGAAGCTTAGGCCCTCACAGCTGTTTCAAAAGCCCTTTTGCAGGCAATCAGCTTGTGTCTCTGGAAAGCACAATCTGCCCCCACCCTGGGAATCTGCTGGGCAAGGAGGAAGAGAGAGGGAAAAGGGTGGCAGAAAAGGGGTGCTGGCACGCTCCGTCTGACACTTTTCATGCCAGTGACGTAGTTTTTGTTGGAAATCGCCCCCACCCCCCAGGAAAGGCTGACTCCTTTTCCCGGGCACCGGGGCTTCTCTCCAGTGGTCACCCTCTGGCTGAACTTCCCTCAGTCCAGAGAGACTGGTGATAAGCGACACCTCCCTTTTGAGAGATGCACACTCACTTTCCCCTTGCATCTCAGCAGAAGAAAGAAACAGTCTGAAAGTAGTCTGTAAAGACTGTACACTGTACATAGAGCTAGTACAAACATGTCTGCTCTCTCAGCAGCCTCTGTACAACTCACTGCTTCCCCCTTTGCAGCAACAACGGGAAGGTCTCAAGTTACACTGAGAACACAACCCTGGGAACAGCGTAGGACATCCTGTCTCACGCTCAGAAACATCAGAAACATCAGATGATGTAAACAATATACTGCTACCACGCAGCTGGTTGGTACTCAAATCCCAACAATTTTAGCATGCACAGTAATTTAGTTTTACTAGCAAACTAGAGGTTCAGCTAACCCCTTTCCAGCCCTGGGAGGAGCGCAGGGCGCATTCACATGACATACCTACACACTGTAGCCAACAAATGTGTCACAACAGTTTGGAAAGCTCTGCTGTAAAACAATGAAAATGCAGAGGAAAAACAGCAGAATACTTACAGGATCAAGCAACATCAAAACAGGCACAGGAAGCCTCAGACTGAAATAACTGACCTACCTCTGGGCATCCTGCGATAATCCGTAACATTTTTTTGCTGCGAGTGTAGCATCTCCTGGTGAAGAGCAAGATGCGACTTATACCGGAAGGTTTTTTCACATTCTGGACACTTGAAAGGCCTTGCCTCCAGGTGGGTTATCATATGCTCAAAGAGACACTCTGGTGTAGCTTCGACCTGTCCACACGTGGGGCACATGTGCTCTTTATGCATCGGGGCACTTGAGGTCGCTGCCCCATAACTTTGGCTGCTGCTGGCATCACCTTGGGCCATGTGGACTTGCTGGTGAGCCTCCAGAGATGATTTCTCTTTGTAGGTCATCCCACACTGTAGGCACTTGTAGGCCCCTTTCGTCAAGTGGGTTTTTATGTGTCTAACCATATCTGAAAGGTAATAGGCCATGTGCCCACACTCAGGACAAATGTGCTTTTTCTCTCTGGGGTAATATCTGCCTTTCCTCCTCACACATTTCCTCTTCCGTTTACTGCCTTTCCCCGTCTGCTCATCTTGTTTCCCCTCAGGACTCGGGTCAGAAACCTCGGTATTCGAATCACCCTCTGCAGGTTCATCTGGTAAGCCCTCAAAGCTGAATTCCGTCTCCAAATCATCATCAGAATTCTCCATTTTGATCTGGTTCCGAAATCTGTCGCCTGGACAGAAGACGAGAAAATATAGTCACACCTTGGTTGTCAAACACCTTGGTACTCGTACATTTTGGCTCCCAAACGATCGAAACCTGGAAGTGAGTGTTCTGGCTTTCGAATGTTTCTTTGGAATCCGAACATTTGATGTGGCTTCTGCTATTGTTTCCAGCCTGCCTCTGCAACTGGAAGTCGTGCCTTGGTTTCCAAACACTTCGAAAGTTGAACATTCTGTTCGAAAACCATGGTATGACTGTACAAAGGTTCACTTTCTGGTATGAGACAGTGTAGTTCAGTTCGGTTTGAACAAGAAATTGAATTAGATCTGGGAAGTAACCTAATTTGATGGCCCCAAGCAAACTGATGGCACCTCAGCCTCATGGCACCCAGAGTGTCTGATAAAACCAAGCCAAATGGGTGGAGTATAAATAGTAAAATTATTGTTATTGTTATCCTTATTATAATTATTACCCCAATCTGTACAACGGGAAGAATGGGGGGCCTCCTTCAAACATACTTCAACCAGGGAACATTATGAACGAATGTGATACAAATGAAGCTTTTTTTTTATTTGTTTATAAAAATACTTATACAGCCATCCTCTCACAAAATATCAGGGTAGCGTGCAATGGTTTTACTTTTAAACAGATTAAAGCAGCATAACGCAATTGATAAAATGACTGGCTACTCAAAAACATTTTAACCAACTGAGCAAGCCTGTTGGCATAAAAGTCCTCAAGACTTCAAGGTCAGCAACTGCAGTGGATTCCAAGTGAGCCAAATCTAAGCTATAATTAGATCTGGTTCTAATTTCCTGCAATTCAGGTGACCATCAACGAGGTAGCAAACTAGGTACGGTAGCAGAGTTCTTCAAACAACACAAAAAAATAGTGTATATTAACAGTTGTTTTCAGTGCCTCGCCTCCCCCACCAACCTTAAAATAATTAAAAGGGGAATCTATGTCCTCAGGTTATGTCTGAATCTGCTTGAACATTTAAACCACTGTACCTGCAGGTTATCTGAATCTGCACCCTCCAAATATTTCAGCTATTTTTAGCTATTGGGAAAATGTTTCAGGTGTATACATGTAAAATTAACATGTCAATTAACACAGCTCCCCCCCCTTTAAATAGTCAAATAAACTTGCTAAATCAGATGTGCGTTGGTTTAGTGGAGTGGGAAATTTTCCAACTGAAAGTTTCCCCCCAGAATTCCCACAACACTGGCACATCCAACAGGATAATGTCTACTCAGACACGTGTTGACCTTCCAGAATCTAGGGAGGTGTTCCTAGCCTGCCGCCCTATAGCCTTTTACAACAGACATGGGGAACATGTCTTGCAAGTACTGTTTGATTCACTCCTCTGAGGTGATGCATGAGGGAGGGTTAAATCCTGCTGCCTTGGTTGCTTTGCTAGGAACAGTCAAGCACAGTTAAGGCAGAACTGAATGATTCCTCAGGAAGTGGGAAACCTATCATGGGACTACAATGCCCATTAGCCCTGTTGCGCTGACTTCTCTTCACTTCCCATTCTATAGTTCTCTCTCACTTACTCAAGAGACTGCCCAGAATAGTGTCTCCATAGTCCATTTGCTGGGGGAAAATTGATTCCTGATGTTGAGGTAGAGGGTTCATCTCAGGTGTGGGAAACAGGCCCTCTGAGAGGGAGAGAGAGAGAGAACACGTAAAGAAAATAAGCATATGGAATCAGGAGCGCTTGGGTTTTTTCTAACTCATCTGCATGGCATTCGCGGACTTCTGGTTTCAGAACTTGAGAATTCAAGAAGCGGATAACAAGCCCACGCCCAAACTGAGCCTCTGGGTTTTTCTGTGACACAGCAGTGATGAGTTTGTGGTTTACTCAATATGGAGATAAAAGGGATTTTGTGCATTGTCCTGATCCGCAGGCTCAAAAGGAGGGCCTGTGGAAATGGTTTGATGCATGTTTGATACCAAAGTATGCCAAAAACGCCAGTGTGATCAGTTCTCGGGCTTTATTAGAAGAAAATGTAGTGTTTCCGACCACACCCATGATTTATGGCGCTAGCTCTCCTCTGCCCTCCGGGGCAAAGGAGAGGTTCAAGCAGGGGAAAGCCAGGACTTATGAGGTAAAACTCCTGGCAATACTCCACCCTCAGGGGGCTCTGGGGAGTTCACTGCATCCCGCTGTGCTGCTTATGCCCACGTCTGCCAAACTGAAAGGCAGAGCAGGCGCAACCTGGGAATTTGTGTCTCCACCGTGGATGAGCCTCTGTCAGCAACATGATTTGTGCAGGGTTCATCAAGAATTTGGAATATTGGCATTAATTATGGGGTGTTTCTGAAACAGCATATGATAAAGGGCTGCAACTAATCAGCTGCCGAAAGGACTGGATTTGAACCAAGAAGGTATCCAAATGATTGAATGATTTTTAACAAGTGTGAAAAACCCAACAGCAGCTGGAAAGGAAGCGGGGGACAAGCCAATGTTTGTTTGGTTCTTAAATGGCCTTTTCTCTTCCTGACCTCTCCTGCAAAATGAAAGAACCATGTGCAGGCATTATGATGTTATCTGATATTGAGGGAAGAGAGGGGAGTCAATTATTTATGCTCTGTAAAGGGTTTTTACAATGCTTTTTTTACACCTCCCCTCTCAAACAAACAAATTGATACACACACACACACACACACACTCATTCTTCTGGTCCGCACCAGGAGTGGAAAAGAGAGCAACCCCCGCTGGGATTAAGGCCAGCAGGAGTTTGTATTGTATAAAATTTAATTGTATTAAATTGTATAAAATTTAAATTGTATAAAATTTAATAATTTGGATCAATTTGTTAAAATTTGGAAACTTAATAAAAATTAAATTTTAAAAAATACAGTCGGACCTTGGTTGCCGAACGCCTTGGAAACCGTACATTTCGACTCCCAAATGATTGAAAACCAGAAGTGAGTGTTCCGGTTTCCAAACTATTTTCGGAAGCCGCCCTTTGCTTTCCGAACGTTTTGTAACTTGAATGGACTTTCGGAACGGATTCCTTTCAACTTCCAAGGTACCTCTGGATGCCAATGGGATCCGTTCCGAAGCCCCGGTCGCATCCTGAGTAGAATGTAACACGCGACTGAGCATGTCGCATTTTGCCACTTCCGCGCATGCACGTGACGTCATTTTGAGCGTCTGTGCATGCGGCGAAACCCAGAAGTAATACGCTTCGTTACTTCCGGGTCGCCGCGGAGCGTAACCTGAAAATGCTCAACCTAAAGCACATTTATCTCGAGGTATGACTGTACTGCGGATGGTCCTGGGCAGTGTTAGAAACTAGGATAGAAAAGCTATTCGCCACATGGCTGCTGGAACTTGGGTTACGGGTACAAAAACAGAAAATCTATTTGCCATTTTGTCCTTTTCACAGGTGATTCATGCTGCGGGGGGGGGGGGTAGCACTTCCCCTGACCCGCAGCAATCAAACTTGGGTGCTGGCTGAGGAGGCATTTCTCCTCCCACAGCCTCAGAGCCAGCCCAGGGACTCACGCTGCATCTTTCTGCTGCTGCGCTGCTGCATGAATCAGTTGGCTCGCACAGCACCAAAAGAGGCATTCGCTTGGTGCAGCGCTGCCCCGTAGACCAGCTGACCATTGTGGCATCGCAGCAGAGCCAGCCAGCCAGCCAGATGGAGATGTAAATTGTCAGCCTGGCAACCAGACATCTTCACTTCCTCGCAAAAGGCTGGTTGCCTGTTGCAAAACATGCCTGGCACCTGGCTAATTTCAAATGGTGGTCCTGAAGCTCCTTTTCTGGCTGTACCTATACCTGTGCCTATATGTTTGTACACCTCACATGGACTTGGGGCTTAAATTGTCATCAGTTCCCACTGGGGACAGTGAAAATTTGTACCTAGATTGGACCCTTCATTTCGCATCAAACACTGACTTTCACAATTGCTGGCTCTGCATGCAGATGTCAGTGCACGGACATGGAGGTGTTCCAGTATTCCGTTCGCTGAATAACATTTTTTATTGTGTTGTGCAAGAGTATTTGAATGCCAAGTTTCGTAGACATGCCATGGCGTATGCCTGCTTTTCTGGTGTTGATCACAAGTCTCTAAAGGCAACAAGACTCTGCATGCTGTACTGTAAGTCTACACTTTCTTGTAATAAAGCAGTATAATTGACGACTCTGCCACTTTCATCTCTTTGGGCTGGGGTGGAGTGCAAATTTCAGTCCTGAGGATAGAGCCCTAGTTAATTCATGAAGGCCTATAACCCTTAACCAGAGCCTTAACCCACTCTGCAGATTACCCCATACCCCAAAAGAGTAGAAGGGGGGTCCTCAAACTACAGCCCAAGGGCCGGATCCGGCCCGCGAGGTTCCTAAACCCGGCCTGCCGTTTTGCTCAGAGTGGTGCTTACTCCCAAGGAAGCTGGCTTGAGACCAGGTCCTTAAGCACGCCTATGGGAGGAAGAAGAGCCAGGGCTGCCTGCCGACCTGGGCTTACTGGCTCTGGCTTCCTTGCTCGCTGAGGGGAGAAGAGGCGGGCAGGACCTGGCAGGGAGACGAGGCCGACCACTGGAGAAGCGCCCGCTTTCTCCCTGCTCCAGGTCTTTACCTCACAGAGACAAAGTGAGGGCCGCTGGCCTCAATAAGGCGGCAGCAATACTCGTCAGGCAGAGAAGGGTTAATCACCACTGCTCTCTTTGCGGCGCTGCTGCTGAGGTTGCTGTTGCCACTGCCGCCGCTGCGCGCGGAGATACAGAGCAGGAACCTTGATCATGGCGGAGCTGAGGCCCCCGAAGCCCAAAAATGTCTGCCTGGGGGGAGGCCTCACAAGTTCTGTTGGGGGGGGGAGCAAGAAAGGTAGGCCAGCAGGCGGGCATGGGAAAGAGAAGGAAAGGGAGGACATGGGCTGCAGGCGACAGAGTGGCTGAGTGTGAAGAGGGGAGGAAGAAGGAAGGAAAAGGAAGGACGGGCTGAGGGAGAGCATTCTCACCCCTCTGCTCCATCCTCCTCCGCTGCTGCTGCTGCTGCTGCTGCTGCTGCTTCTCTCCTGGCTGACTCCGGGGCAGTGGCGATGCTGCTGCTGCTGCTACTGCTGCCACCGCTGCCTTAGAAGCAGAAGAGCCACTTGGACCCGGGCAGCAGGGCCGGGAACCAGGTAAAGGTTGGCAGGCATCACGGAGGGAGAGGGAGAAGAAGGCAGGGGTGGAGTCTGAGGGGAAGAGAGACCGGTGGCCGGAGGGGGTTTCTTCCCCACTCGGAGGAAGGAGGATATGCACGGCCGTCTCCACCGGGGGGGGTGCCTGGGCAATATCGAGCCTGGTGCTGAGAGTTTTCAGCACCCTTTTTGGGAGGCAGCCGGGGCCGTGGGGTAGACGGGCCCAGAACGGGGGCAGGGCTGGTCCTTTCACTCTTCCATGCAGGATGGCGGGATTGTTCCAAGAAGAGCAGCCCCTCCGTGCCCCTAACCCCAATTAGTGAACCTGAACCAGAACCATGTCCTGATTTATGTACGATAAACGTAGCCTAGTATCCACGCCTCGAGCCAGATCTGTTGTGCGTTTACTCTGCTGAGTAACGTGTGCTCAGACACAGCAGCATAAGTCGCAGGCACATGTCTGAGGATGACTGATTGATCTCTGCAGCAGCAAGGCTGAGAAGGGAGACGCTCCAGCTGGGGCCTGTCCAGTTGGCTTTCCATCCTTTGGTTCCAACACCTTATTCCTAACACACGTGCTGCTGCCCCCCAGTTATCTTTCCTGCGAGAAAACACCTTAAACTTCGGGTTCCTGGTGGTGTTTCGCCTCTTTCTCGTGCCCCGACCGCCGGTGCGGAAGTGCCTGGCTGGCCCGAATAGAAAGGCGGAGAGGTGGGCAAGAGATGTTGATTAAAATCATTCTTCATTTTAAAAATTGTATTGTTTTTCCTGGGGCTTTTTTGGACTACAAAAAAATTTGTGGTATGCATAGGAATTCATTCATATTTTTTTCCAAACTATAGTCCGGCCCCCAACAGTGTATAAGGGACAGTGAACGGGCTCAGTTAAAAAGGTTTGAGGACCCCTGGAGTAGAGACTCACCAGAAACACTGGCGTTACTGCCATTCTCCTGCATTGCTGCTAAGTGCAGAGGATTCTGGAGAGGTAGCACATTCTTCACATCCTCAGGCTCCTGAAACAGGAAAGCAAACTTTTCTCAGATCTCCTGCAGGCCTCAGACCCGGTCTCAAGTAGTACATATTTATTAGTTGGCGATGGGCCATCAGTTGCACACAAAACCCGAAGGCACTGAAAGCATGAAAAAACTTCTCTTCCAAACTCCCGCAAAACTAACAGAAAACACCAATTATCAAAGGGAAGTGTATTGCCACGTATACTTGGAGTTTGGCTTTTTACCAGACAGAAGAATGAACAGGACAGCTGCAGTGTTAGAAAATGTTGGTTCCTTTCCCACTAGATCTACAAAATAAGTTTGTTTTAAAATGCCTGAGAAAATAAAAGCGTCTTAATCTGGCGCCTTAAAAAACAGTAACAATGCAAGTGCCAGAAAAACTTTCCTGGGAGTAGAGTCTGTATCTCAGAAGTCACCAAGTAAAAAAGCCCCCAGCCTCAAATTAAGACTACAGCTCTGCCTCTAGCCAATGAAACCAGTGGTTTTCTCAGGGGGGCGGGGAGTGTTAGAATTCCTGCTCCATGCTTGCAGTCATAGGATTACTGTCTTTTACATGACGGTATGTGTTTTTACTCCAGAGTGGGAAGTGATGGAAACAGGATGTTTGTGTTCCTGTGTTCCGTGAAGTGGGACTATTGTCCTTTGTTCTTTTTCTCTTTGCTGTCTGATGCTAGAGAGAGAGGGAGCCATGTTGCAGTGCTCTGTGTGTGTTTATAAGTAAATAAAGTAGATTAGCCAAAATGCTGAGTTGCTGGGGTCTGTCACGCAAGATGCGCAAACTCTGCAGATCCCTAAGTGTGCCGGTGTTGGTTGGCATCGGGTACTCTGATGTTCAGGCTGAAGAAAACTTTTGAAGCTCCCAAAAGACCAGGAGGGAGGGAACATGCCAGTAGGGCATGTGTCTCTGCCAGGGTCCTACTCAAGTGTAGGCTGAACTCGACAATGGTTACGGGCCCAGGGATCAGGGCCACAGACTCAATGCCAGCAGAGGAAGAACGGGGGCTGTTTATGGAACCGGCAGCATGAAGCAAGCCTCTCGGAGACAGACAGTGAGTAAAAAAGCCTGTGCCTGAAAACCAAAGTAACGTAGACAGGCTGGAATGTTTTGTGCAGCTGCCAAAGTAGCTCGCGCACGAAGAAGGCTTGATTTATAGCCGTCTGGACTTCCGGGGAGGCGCCTCCGGTAATGGCGGAATTCCTCTGACCGGGAGGAATCCGCTCCATGGGAATCTGGGTCTGGCCACCACGGCAAAGGCGGAGACCCGTTAAAATCACAGGCGGGAGAAGCCTGTGAACGTGGGATTCGGCGGGCACCTTTTGCGCCTCCCCCACTCGCGGGGAACCCCGGTTTTTGGGGCTCTGGAGCGACGTGGGGTGAGCGGTGCGGTGCATCAAATCGTCTGCTTCTTCCACGGAGCGAAGCCGCATAGCCGTTGCCGGAGAGCGCTGACCTTTTCCTGTGGACAATTTGACTTTAAAGTAATTACCCGTGAGTAGACCTGAAGCGGAAGAATTGGATTTCTAAATGTTTAATTTGGTATCGTAACGGGGAGGTTCAAAACAGGAAGTCCGCCTTCCCCTTTTGTAAATAGACTGAGGCAATGAAGTTGCAAGCTGGAGTACTGGAAAGTCTTTTGTAAAAGATCAAATTTCCAATGGTAAAGAACATTAAACCCCCCCTTGGAGGCAGGAGAAGAGAGGGGGAAGTTGAGGATTGAGTATGCCTGCGGGAGAGAGCGAAGAGACTTAAAACACCGCCGCTCTGACCCTGGAAACGGGCTGCTAGTAGGACTGACGTCTTTTGGAATGTTCATTGACAGCGCTTAGAACGTTCATTGACAGCTAGTTAAATAAGAGAAATACATTGTTTCTACTGTCTCCGGCTGCTTTAAAAAGGAGTAAAAGTAACTGAAAATTGAAACTAATTTGAAACTAATTTTGGATTGTTTAAAAGAGGATACTATTGACTATTACAAATAGAAACTGTTTCCCCCTAGTGGAAGCCTTTGAAACCGGTTGCTTTACAAGAGTTGGACTAGGGGAATTTCCAGCTGCAAGTTAAAAACCGTGAGACTCTGGGACTGAACTTGAATCTTTCAAATGTTATGGTAAATGGAAGAGGAAAAACAGACCAGTCAACTGCTGACAAAACATTAAGGTCTGGGAGGACTTGGTAACAATCCAGGAGAGGTCTATCATGAGGCCCTCCTGTTCTTTTTGTTGCTGTCTTTGTACTAGTATATTTGAAACTAAGAGGAATGTCGACAGAAGAGGCTTTGGTGGCTGCATTATATAAGATAAATGACTCATTGGATCAGCTTCACAGGAAAATGGACATGATAAATGCGAAAGTGGATGTTTCAATTGCTGAGGTTGACTTGAATGCAGGGAGTATGGATAATACCAATATAGAAACCACTCAGAAATTGATACAAGAACCTATTTTGATATGGCAAGCTGTGGAGGAAGTCATGGAAAAAGCTGTTGCTGCTGAAGGTAAACACAACTGGAGAGAAAGAGAAAGAGAGCCCCAGCCCTACAGAGGCAATTTGATGAACATAAGTTGACGCTCGCTATGACTGAACTTAAGGAAAAACAGACGAATTTGAGGATTAGAGTTCACCTTTGGTGGACATGCCCAAGGATTAAGACACTCTGGGAGATGATTCATAACGAAATGAAAAAGGTATTTAAATATACCCTTTTGAAGAAACCAGAGGCCTCTCTCCTGGGCGTGGCCGGCCAATTGGTGTTAAAGAAGGATAGAATTTGTTTCATGTATGCAACAATAGCAGCAAGAATATTCATTGTGAAGTACTGGAAGACACAAGATTTATCCATTCGGGAAGAATGGCAGATGAAGTTGATGAACTATATGGAATTGGCGGAAACGACTGGCAGAAATCCGAGACCAGGGAGAAGAGCTGGTGGAAGAAGACTGGAAAAAGTTTAAGACTATTTATAGAAATACTGTAAAAATAATGAATGTTAGAAAAATGTTGGAATGAAGTTATATGGCTTTAGTAGAAATGCTATAAGGAATCAAGTATAAATAGATTAATAGTGTATTAAAGGGAAAATAAGGTTAGAATATGTTAAGATAATTATAGGATAGAAAACAGAGGAAGATGGAAAGGAATTGCTGAAATAATTAATAGAAGTGGAAAACAGAAAGGGAGGTGTGAGGAGGTCGTGGAAATAAGGGAATGAAAGATAAGACATTGAAATTGTTCTGTGTCTGAAATGGTTTGTGTCATGCTTTGTTAGTTTTTTGTTTTTCTTTTTTTTGTTCTTTCTTTTTTTTTGTCTTTCTGTTTTGTTGTGTTTAAATGGTTGAAAATTAATAAATATTATTATTTTTTAAAAAAAGATTTATAGCCGTCTGATAAGGACAGTAAAGGTTGTTTCAGCTTGGACTAAGCTGCGAAATGGACCTTTTGGAAGGGTAGAATCCCAAGTCCCTGAGTTACATGCCTGATGCGGCAGGTCTTTGCCGAGAATGTAGCCCTGATTTATGTGCTACGAAGGGAGGAAATACCCCGATGCTTATGAAGCAGATTTGCGCAGCGGCAAGCTTTGTCAAAACAATAGCTGGATGTGAAGCATCAGCTATGGGGGAGCGGGAAATTTCCCCGGTGCTGCGTTGAAGTAGCAGGCATGAACTTTGAGAAGATTGAATCTTCTGATGCATTCCCTGTGTTGTCTGGGAATGTGGAGGAGCAGTGGTTTTGTTCCCGAAGCTGCAAAAGCAGTTTGATGCTGTGTCAGATGCCAACAGCCAGAGTGTGTGCTCGGCAGGAATTTCATCTGCGACACACTTGGACGTTCCAAGTTGGCGACGGACTATCGAAGATGCCGGCTGGACTTTGCTGTCTCAGATGCCCACATGATCTGGGAGGCATTGTTTCCTGAGGCCCAAAGTGTTGGGATTTCAGTTCCCACCAGCTGCGAGCAAGCAGCTACATTGTTGACATCATGTGATGTCCCTGAGTGTGAGACAGGAAGTCTCAGCCAGTTCTCAGTGTTCTCTGTGTAACCGGGTGGAGTTACTGGGAGTTGGTCTTCCGCTTCTGGATAGAAGCAGAGTCGAGTCGTAGACTCTTGTGCTGTACTGCTCAGGCGAGCAGACATGATTTGTACAGTCTTAATAAAGTAGCAGTCGACTACGGACTGTTCTCTTTCTTCTGTGATGCGGTGCCAGGAGAAAGTGAGTGTGCTTCTCTCACAAGGGAGGAGTCGCTTATTAACAGCCTCTCTGGACTGAGGGAGAATTCCAGCCAGAGAGTGAGCACTGGAGAATGGCCGCAGAGTGCCTGGGAAGCTGGCAAACCTCCCGGGCGGGCGTTTTTCCTCCAGTCGTGTTTTGAGGTGTTTTGGAGGGAAGTTGCATTGTTTCCTGTTCGGGGGGAGGACTCTCCAGAATGGAAGGGGAACAAGGGGAACTGACTGTGACGTCATCTGAACCATCACTGCAACCAGCAGGTGGCGCTGCTGTGGTCAAAGCAGTGGAAAGTTTGTACTGTGAGAAGTTTGGATGCGATTCCAAAAGCCCGGACAGTTTGCAGCATTTGCAACATGAAGCAAGGCCAGAGATGCAGAGCTTCAGCGCAGAGATGGTGACTAGGTGTTCCAGAGCAGAGGTGCAAGAATCTTTTGTGCTAGATTCTGAGGTGGAGGCACACCTTTGTGGAAGACGGAACTGGTTCACCACGTGTACACCACAGAAGGATTTAATCCACCAGTCGAGTGGAGATTCCTTGAAGGCACATAGCACCTGGACTGTGGAAATGAAAAGCTGTAATGTTGTGGTGTCTAACGTGTTTTTCATTCCAGGTCGAGAAGTCCAGCTGATGCAACGCGGCTGATCTGTTTCAGACTGTTTCATCACCGCACTCACCTGATCTGGCATCGCAGGTTCTACTGTGCAAAATGGGAGCCTTAGCAATTGTCAGCTGGCAGCGGAAACAAACTAGGACTGCTTCAGGAAAATGCACATGGTGAAAATGAGGACTGCTAGGCCCTCATGGGCCGCCCCCTTGCCCGCTTGCAATTGGCCGAGTGGAGAGCCAGCCAATCAGGTTTAAATAATAATAATACAGTTGTGCCTCAGCTCCCGAATGATCAAAACTAGAGAGTGTTCCGTTTTTTGAATGATTTTCAGAAGCTGAACGTCCGGCACAGCTTCCGATTAGCTGCAGGACGCTCCTGCAGCCAATCAGAAGCCATGCTTTGGTTTTTGAATGGTTCCAGGAGTTGAACGGACTCCCATAATGCATTCTGTTTGAGAACAAAGGTACGACTGTAATAAAATGGATTTTTTTGAGGGGGGAAAAGGTTCCAGAACTCTGCTCCTGAGAGTTCCTGCCAAAAAAAGAGGCCTTGAATGAAACCATTATCAAACTTTCACATACCTCAGTTGGCCTAACACCAGTCATTCCCTGCCCGTCAGGAGTTAATACAGGAGGTACTACCATAGCAGAGTTCCTCATGGATGCCATTTCATTGGCTGCAAAACACAGGAGTGGGGGAAGACATCAAAAACAAAGAAGAATTAAGAACAGCTTGGCTGAATCAAATCCAAGGCCCATCCGGACCAGTCTCCTGTCTCTCACAGTGGCCAACCAGATGCCTCAGTGGGAATCACCCAAACAAGACATGATCAATACAACCAACTGGTATAATAATGGAAAGAAGAACAATGGTTTTCCCAGTATTCTCACTGCCCTCACCCATTTCACAACAAAAAGAATGCATTAATATTGTTAGTTCAACTCATATTTTCTTCCTGCCATCTGGGTAGTGTGGACAAATTTCTAAACAAATCTCATCCTATTCTAAAGCATTTGATAAACCTGGCCTTCAGGTGGAATGGTTTCCTCTATCCCTTCATTCACCTGTCTTTTTCAGGTGTGGTTTCCCTCACACATAGAGGGGAGAACCTTTTGGCCCCTCCCCCTCTATCATGTCCCCGTGGCCCCTGAAGCACAATCCAGTTGCTATAGTTTCAAGGATTGCAATTTATTCCAAACTGAAAGATGTTGGGGTGGATTATTTAGAACATTCTATACCATACTGCCAGAAAAGGAAGAGCATCTCCAACTCCTTACCCATTGCAGACATGACATTTGGGCTGACCCCCCCGTAGAGCTGTCTTTGAGCGGCATCTGGCAGAGCCACCTCTGCCTCCAGGGAGTTTGTGGCTGGCACCTGATCAAAGCAACAAAGATGAGTCATTGGAAGCCTACAGATAAACGGCACCACTGCGGTGCCCTCTTGCTTCGATTTCCCATCCGTCAAAACTGAAAACGTTTTAATTTATGTGGCTGCCTTGTCTACTCCTTGTCGCTCATCCTCACAAGTAGACCCACTGAAATTAACGGGGAAGGTGACTACTGCAGTCAGTGGGTCTTCTTCAAGTATGACTTGAGTCTGGATTCAACCTGAATTCAGTTAACCTGGACTGTACATTTTAAATCTGCAAATTATTAACTAGTGCACCAAAGACTAATAAACACCTGATTTTAATTAGTGGGGCTGTTTCACCACCACCACCACCAGGCTATTTTGGCTTACTGTTATTACTGCAAAAAGGAATGAACAGGAAATATTAGACACGGTCTTGATTCTTTCCAAAAGAAAGGTAGCTTTTGTTTACTAAACACTGACTACGGCAAGTCAAGTCTGGGGCATCACCGGTGCACAGATGACAGGATATACTTAGAAAGTTGATGAGATAAATTATTATTTTTTTCTTAACGATGATCTGTTTGTAAACAGCTTTGAGGCTGTCCGTTTTCTTCAAAACTGAGCAGAATATAAATTTCATGAACTAAATAATAAATAAGAACAGGTTCTCCCTCCTGCAAGGGAGAAAAGGGAGCATGCCCCCACAAGAGGATCCTCACCATCAAGTTTCTGTCAGTATCAATATTAAAATGTAGCACTGTATCCCACTAAGCCTAATTATCCAGGGAGCACCTTCTTAAGCTTTTCAGCTGCCACCTCCCTCCACCTCCATTATTTTTTTAATTTGGACATTGTTGGCCAACAGCAGTAAGATCTGGATAAGTCTCATAGGCAAGACCTTGTTCTTCTGCCACTTAATTTAGGAGGATAGTATCAGTAGAGCCAACTGACTTCACTGGTTCTACTTTCTTAGTCCTCCAGACAAGTGTTGCCACGGGGATGGCGAAACTTGTGAGGGTCTCTGAATGTTGCTGGACTCAAACTCCCATCGTCCCCAGCCCATTACTGTGCCGGCTGATGGGAGATGAAGCCCAACATCTGGTGGGTTACAGGTTGTCCATTAGGGCTGAGCAATAGGTGGTTTTCAACATTGTGATATATCAGCAGCTAAATATTGTGAGGTACTGATATATCACGATGTCTGAAACTGCCTAGTCCTACCCTATAGCACTCCTGCTTGAGGGAGCTAGAGCGGTACAGGGGCTTGAAAAACTGAGGGGTGGGTAGCCACCTGCCCACCCCATAGCTGATCAAGCCGGGGGGAACGGCGTTAACCTGTTCTGCTGAGGTGCGGGCAGCTGCGCATGTGCCCCTCAGCAGAGTAGTTTAAACAAGCTGCCCCTTGCCTTCAGCTCGCATGAGCCGGAGGCAGGGGGCTTGATCAGCTGTGAAGCAGGCTTCCTTAAACCACCTGTCTCTCAGCTGATCAAGGCCATTTTGAGCTGGCAATGCATTGTGATTCCCTAGGGCGAGGTGCGCTGTGCTGGTGGCGGCTGAGGAGTCGCAATGTATTGACAGCTCAAAAAGCCTGAAATGAGTATCACAGTCTGAATGTCATGGGAAACCTCCTGATGCGACACTCCTATCACCCCTGGCCATCGGCCATATTGGCTACTGCCCCTCCCCCCAAAACAGTGGTATCTACTTCCCACTGCCGTTTAAGGTAGGTGCAAGGAGAGTGAGAGAGAGGCAAGCCAAAGACCAGTGATCTAGAAGAAGCCATTTCCCTCCAAGTTGCTTAATACAAATCAAAATCAAAACAAATATTTCTTTATGCAAGCTCTGATTACAGGTTTAAAAATCTGTCTGAAACATATACGTAAGTACCGGAGCACCAAGCCTGCTTCAGCTGGCCTGTCTCCTCACTCCCACACAACCATCTACCACAAACAGCCATATTGGGAGGCTTCTGGTGTTGCCTGTAAGTCACCTTGAAAAAATCTGCAAATTGACAGGCAGGGGGTTAACAAGTGGCAAATGTGTAGTAGCACAGCACAGGCCATGTTCTTCTGGACACTCCCCACCCGCTGGGCACTCAAGGAATATTAAATACTCATCTCTCACCTGCCTGACCCATGCCCTGGCAGAGCGGCGCCCCATCAGGAAATCCTCTGCCAAAGCCACCATCTCAATACAGTCTTCTGGCCCACACTCCTTGACCCAGCTCTGGACTTCAGGTGGCAACATGGCCAGGAGCTGCTCCTGGATTATCATCTCCAGGATCTGATCCTTCGTGTACTTGTCCGGCTTCAACCATTGGCGACAGAGTTCTTTCAGCTGGTTGTAAATTCTTCGCGGCCCTTCCAGCTCCTGGTAGCGGCACTGTCGGAAGTGCTGGCGCTTAGACTCCCTGCGGATGGCGTCTGCTCGAAGGAGGGCGATCTTCACCTTCAGAAAGTCAGTCCTGTCCCTGGGATCCAGCTGGCAAAAGAACTGCTCCACGCCGCCTCTCAGCGCTGGCAGGAGCCGGCCCACCCACTCTTCTCGCGGCCACCGGCAGGCTTCGGCAACTTGCTCAAAAGCGGAGAGGAATGTCCTGGCGTCGTCCCATGGCACCTGCTCTGTGGGCAATGAATTTGCCCTTCCCGCATGAGGCGGCTGCAGTGCATTCAGGAATTCTTGCCACTGAGCTTCCTGTTGCTGGGGCAGCCCAGTTTCAGGCGGCTGAGAAGCAGGCCTTTGGGGCCCTTTAAAGTACATAACCTGTACAATTTGGGGGACTTTGCCCGAGCCGTCCGAAGCTTTCTCCATATCTGCTCTTTGCTTTTAGGAAACCCAAATTTCACAGCTATGTGCCTGCCGATAGCTTGAGATATTGTCCTGGTCTTGGGTTGCCTGCCCCACCTGCGAGGCGATATTAAAAGGTGGGTCCTGCCAATATTTCAATAGCAACTCCCAGGGTACTCAACAATTGGTCTGTTCTTCAAAACCATCATCTAGAGAAGAGGCCAGAGGGGATGGGGGAGTGTTTCTGGAAGTTAAGTGGAATTCCTGCCTGCATGAAAGAAAAAGAAATTTTTATTTTTATTTTTTATTTCAGCAGCACATGTTATGGTGTTGTCTGGATGTTGTTGAAGTACATCTCCCTGCTAAGGAACGTGAAAAAAGGATTAATTCTCCCCAAGTTGGCAGAAACAGTTTGCCCCTCCCATAGTACAGCTGCAGGCATCTGGTTTTGTTTTATGTAGATGACATTGTGTTTTTATTCACAAGCCGATCAGAATGCTGAATCTGAAAAAGTAAAGATGAAAGCAATGAAAGCTTTTGTCTGAATTAAAAGGCAAGATCCAATCGTTAGAAGCACTGAACGTGGCATATTGTAAATTGTTAAAACTCCTATGGTAACTGATTTTCAGAAAAATGTTGAAAGCAAAGCTTTTCAACAGCCTGAAAGGTACAGATGCACAATTAGTTCACTGTGCATTTTGAGTAATATTTCAAGAACTGATATAAGCAGTGCAGTAGGAATATTTAGAAGAAAGATTGCCCTACTGAAAAAGACTGGTGTGCAGTCAAAAAAAAATAATCAGATACACGAGCAGCACAGTCGACCGCAATTTAAAAGTCTCAGCACAAGGTTCTGATGAGCTGGAAGTTTTCACTGATGCAGATTGGGTGTCTGATCTTAGTGACAAAAAGTCCACATCAGGCATAGTGATCATGTGTAATCAATCATAGATTGGTTTAGCAAGAAGCAGAATCTGGCAGAAATCTGTAGCACTCAAGTGCATAAGTCTGTCCCCTGCGTGTCATGAGGTAACTTGCTTTAAAAGCTTGTTACCTGACATAGGCATGCAAGTGCAAAATGCTATAAAAGTGTACAATTAGGCATGTATTAGCTTTGCAGAGATGCACAAGAGAACAAAACATATTGACATTAAGTTTAAACGTGTATATGATTCAGCAAAGTGAAATTGAACTGGTGTACTGTGCTACTGAATAAGTGTTTGCAGACATATGGACAAAACCGCTAAAAATAGAAGTTTGTACAAAGCTTTCACAGAAATTAGGACTGTGCTGGAATAAGGTTAAATTTAACATATAATGGTATTTAGCAAACTTATAGATTGCATCTTGTCTTATATGTTCAATATGGATGACTTCCTGTAATGTGTAGGAGGCGATAATCAGTCAGTAGTTTTAAACCTTCTGTCTCTGTTTGGCCGAGTTTTATTGCCTTTTAATCAGGCAAAGAACAATTCGTCACACCAGGAAAAAGCTTCCCTTGCACAATTCCTCTTTGTTTGCTCTTGGCTTTCACTGGCAATTGTAGGAAGACAAGAGCAGCCATTTTGTTTTCTCTTATTCACTGGCTCTGCTCTGATGCTTTTTACACATTTCCTTTTCGTCTAGTGGCTGAAACCTTCACAGCTGCTGAATGTTTGCACCCTCAGCGGCTTTGAAAGCAGATTCAATAATTTACTTTATTTATCTAAAACACATTTATAAGCCACTTAGTATTTTTTTTATTAAAAAGAATCCTAAAACACAAGTACAAAAAACCCAGAATCATAAAAACAGCATTCTAGAAACAAATAAATGCAGGATGAAGAGAGAAATACAGTACTATGCCGGGGAAAGCCTAAGCAAAAAGATATGTCTTTGCAAGTACAGGGGACCCTCAGGTTACGTTACCTTCGGGTAACATAATCCTTGGGTTGCGAACGTGGCAAACCTGGAAGTGTATACTTCCGGGTTTCGCTGCGTGTGTGTGTGCAGAAGCGCTCAATTGTGCCATGCGTGCACACAGAAGGGCACCTCCGGTTACGAAGTTTTCGGGATGCGGCCAGGCCTCCAGAACGGATCCTGTTCATAACCGGAGGTGCTACTGTAATCTGAAGCAACTGATAGCTGCTGTTTCACATACAACAGAGGTAAGGGCATTCTACATTGCCAGGGAAAAGGCAAAGAAATGGGTCACTGATTAAAAAAAACAGCGTCAGTGCTGTGAGGTGGGGAGAATCTGAGGGAGGCTTGTTTTGCCACTGCAGGGACTCCATGTTTGTTGAAGTATTGCTTTGGAGTTTAGCTGGTTCTTCAAAAATATTCCACCCCAGCCACAAGATTTCCTTCTGCACTAACAACAAAGGGTGCTATCCCCCTTACCAAACCACAATACCTTTTGTAGTATACCTCCACTAATTTACCTCTATCCTATTAAAAGCTTTACCCAAAACACTATTCCTGTTGGGCCAGCTGTTGGCCAAGAATGAAAGAGGGTCATGGAGAACCAGAGCTGAGGAAAGCAAGTCAGTTAGGAAAAACAGGCCTCAATGCCACCATTTCCGTTTTGAGATGGAAGTTACTGCAACTTCAAGATCTCCAACAACTATTTATTTCCAAGCCTGCTAGCACACCATAGCCTGAAAAGGTTTGAAATCCACTTCCGGGTTGGCGCCTCTGGCAATGGCGGATTTCCTCTGATCGGGAGGAATCCGCTCCGTGGAAAAAAGGGTCTGAACTGCCACGGTGAGGCGGAGACCCATTAAAAACCACAGGCGGGAGAAGCCTGTAGACGTGGGATTCGGCTGGCACCTTTGCGCCTCCCCTACTCGTGGGGAAACCCTGTTTTGGGGATCCGGAGCGACGTGGGGTGAGTGGCACAGTGCTTTGAATCGACTGCTTCTTTCACAGAGTGAAGCCGCATTGCTGTTGCCGGAGAGCGCTGACTTTTCCCTGTGGACAATTGGATTTTAAACAACTACTCGTGAGTAAAACGGAAAATTGGATTCTTAAATACTTTCAATTCGGCACTGAAACGGGAAGGTTATAAACAGGAAGTCCGCCTCCCGTTTTTGTAAATAGATTGAAGCAAAGACGTTACAAGTTAAAGCCTTTGAAAGCTTTTGGCAAAGGATCAAATTTCCACCGGTTAAAATACAAAACCCCCCTTGGAAGCAGGAGAAGAGGGGGAAATTTTGGATCTAGTGAGCCTGCAGGAGAGAGTGAAAAAATCAAATTACCACTGCTCTGAACCTGGGAACGGGCTGCCAGATGACGTTTGGAGAGAGTGCTTTTGACAGAACGGATTTGACAGTTAGCTAAATAAGAGTAAGATACTGTTTCCATTGTCCTTTTCTGCGTTTAAAAAAGAGGAAAAGTAACTGAAAATTTATCTTCAATGCTTGAGTTGTGCCTGAAAGAACTGATACAAGTGGAGACTGTTTCCCTCTAGAGGGAGCTTTTGAAACTGTTACAGGAGTATAACTGGGGGATTTCCAGTTGCAGATAAGGATTCTGAGAACCAGAGAGCGACCTTGGACTATTTAAAAATGTTGACAGGAGAGGCCATTGTGACTGCTTTATGTAAGATAAGCTGTTCGCTGGGACAGCTTCACAAGAAGATGGATGACATGACTCTCAAAGTTGATCATTTGGAACAGAAAGTGACCAACTTGAGTCAAAAAGCGAACACCAACACAGAAATAATTTAGGACTTGGTACAGGAACCCATTTTGGCAGGACAAATGGTGGAGAAGGAGGAGAAGGAGAATGCTGCTGTTGTTGAACATAAAATAATACAAGTGAGATCTGTGGTTTTACAGAAGCAAATTGAGGACTGTAAGTTGAGGCCTTCTATGATTGAATCTAGGAAAAGTCAGACTCCGAGGAATGGATCCCGGCTTGGATTAAAGAAGGAAAGTTGGAAAGAGCCCTCTATGCACGGATTAACTGACTTTTGGGACATGGACTTGGGCCTGGAGGAGACTGAAGTTTTGGGGGCCTTTGGAATCGGAGGAATTTTGAAATATACCCGGAAATACTTTATGGACTGTAGCTTTAACCATGGAAATTTAGCTGATCTGTTCAGAAGGAAGAAAAGGATTGACAGGTTGGAGTTTCCCCGAGATTTGCTCTTTAGCATTAAAGTAAATGAAGAAGACCTGCAGAAGGGACTTGGAAAAGAGTTAAGAGCCTCGGACATAAGATCACCAGGTTGATGGACTTTATGGAATTGACGGAAAGGACTGGCGGAATCCGAAACCTGGGAGAGGAGATGGTGGAAGAAGATTGGAAAATTTAAAGTTTATATATAGACTTATGGTAAAACTAATGAGAGATAGAAAAATGGTGGAATGATTTTTTATTTTTTATGGGCTTAACAGAAATGTTATAAGGAGTTAAGCACATATAAGTATTTTAGTTTTAATGGAAAATAATGTTATAAAATACGTTATTTACAATATCACAGAAAATGGAGAAAGATGGAAAGTATTTGCTGAAACAATTAATAGAAGTGGAACACAAAAAGGGAGGTGTGAGGAGGTCGAGGAAACAAGGGAATGAAAGATAGAGTATGGAAAAGAGATGTTGTATGTTTAAATTGTTTTTGTTTTGTTCCATTCAGGGTTAAGGTTAGGGAGTGGGGTTTGTTTAGTTTAGTTTAATGTGTTTAGTTTTGAGTTTAGGTTGTGTTTTGCATTGTTTATATATTGTATTGTATTGTTTTTTTCTTTTTGTTTTTCTCCTTTGTTTTTTCTTCTGTTCTTTCTTTTTTGCTTTTTTCTCTCTTTTTGTAATCTATAAAAGTAATAAATATTATTTAAAAAAAAATAATGAAAAGGTTTGAAATCCAAATGCTCCTAGGTAACAAATTTTAAGTGACACGTATGAACACAACGGGAAACATTTGGAAATCTGTTTATTCTACATTTCCCTGTCAGTTATCAGCAAAAAACAAAACAAAACACTTGGAAATAGTCCTAGTTCCTTTCTTAAAAACAACCCCACAACCCCCCTTTTAATTAAAAAAATGAAGTGATGTTTGTGAATTGTGTGAGGTAAATCTATTTCACAGTCGAAGTCTGGGAAAGGGAGGCCTGTTCTGTGGAACAGGATTCCTGTCAAGATGAGAGACGCACTCACTATCTGTACTTTCCAGAAAAAATCTGTCAGGAAAATCCGAAGTGTTTCCTCATGGAACACATCCCTCTTGATTTAAGGTTCCAAGATGTTTAGAGCACAAGTGGGCATAAAAGGGGGGAAGTAAAGAAAAAAGAAAAAATGTAATGGGGGGAAATGTAGTGGGATTAAAAAAAAAAAGTAATCAGATGAATCATTCCCAACAATGCAGCTGCAGGCTTCTTGTGACTGTCTTATCAGTATTGCCGGGCAGAAATAGCATGTAGATAAGGAGCTCAAGTTACAGCATTCCGTATGGGATAGCACAGAGTATGGAGTAGTGAGGAAAACTGAAGACTTTGTAAAGAGTTGCAGGAAAGCAGCTTCGAAAGCAGCTGATCTCAGGACTTGTGGACTCTGTCACGGCAAGGACTTTGAAGCAAGGAACCTGCTCTGGGCTCAGAGAGAGAATATGACTTGTAAGATCTATAAATAGTTTGTTGGTCTTGGCCTAATAAAAACAACCCTGCTAAACAGCTGTTTCCTGTGGAGAGTTTAACCACTGAGCTTTTGTGGCACGCACACCCAACACCCAACATACTGGAATAGCTCGGTATGAAAAGGAGCTACCGCATTTTTCGCTCTATTGGACGCACCGGACCATAGGAGGGGAAGAATAGGAAAAAAATATATATATTTTTCTCCCCCTCAAAAACAAGGTGCGTTCAAGAGCAGGCCCTGCTGCTGCCCCCAGGCTTGTGGGGCTGGTGGGGGGGGGGAAGCGCTGCTTTCCCCCACCGCCAGCCTCAAAGATCCCTGAAGCCTTTGGAGCGCAGCTGCACTCCAAAGGCTTGAGGCTTTGGGGACATCCTTTGTAGCCTCCGCAGAGCGGCGGGGTGCCTTCACCCCGCCGCCCTGCGGAGGCTTTGCACAGCTATCCCGAAGCTGGAACAGTGAGACGGAGGGCTGCGCAGCGCCCCGTCTCGCTCTTTTGGATTCTGGGACAGCCTTTCAAGCCTCCACAGGGCACCGGGGTGCCTTCACCCTGCCGCCCTGCAGAGGCTTTGCGCAGCCATCCCAAAATTGGAACAGCAAGACGGAGGGCTGCGCAGCGCCCCGTCTCGCTGTTTTGGCTTCGGGGACAGCAGGCTGCTATCCGCAAGCCTTGGGAGCCCGGCGGGAACTCCTGCTGGGCTCCGAAGGCTTTTTGATAGTTGCCCGAAGCCCAGGGCGCGCAGCTCTGCGCTCCCCAGGCTGCAGGCAGCTGTCCGCAAGCCTGAGGAGCCTGGCGGGAACTCCCGCCGGGCTCCGCAGGCTTGCCGAAAGCTGCCCGAAGCCTGGGGTGCACAGCGCCGCGCTCCCTGGGCTTCGGGCAGCTCTCCGCAAGCCTGTGAAGCCGGCGGGAGTTCCCGCCAGGCTCCGCAGGGTTGCAGATAGCTTCCTGAAGCCTGGAGAGCGAGAGGGGTCGGTGCGCACAGACCCCTCTTGCTCTCCAGGCTTCAGCGAAAGCCTGCATTCGCTCCATAGGACGCACACACTTTCCCCCTTGATTTTTGGAGGGGGGAAAGTGTGTCCTATAGAGCGAAAAATACGGTAATTTCCCAATGAGCGAGGAAATCACTGGTGCAAGGTCAAATGAGTCAGTTTCTGTGGTAATGTCACAGAACTCAAGCTACATCTGTGTGATTAATGTATGTCGATTGTGCTTTTGGAGTCTTGGAATTAGAGCAATGCTGACACTCTCTCTCTATGTAGCTGTGTCTGAACTAGATTGAAAGCTGGAAATTATTCATTTTACATTGCACAACTTTGTCAAGAGTTGTTTGCTGTATCTGTTACTTTATCAGCCGTAAAAGCATGTGGAGCTTACTGACCCTGCTTTCTGTGTGGCTGTTTTTTGCTGCATGCAAGAGCAAGACCAAGATCCACACTACTGCACTGTGTGTGTGAGAGATACCAGATTCCCAACAGGTTATGCGCCCAGAAGTTAGTTGTAGGTCAAAAGAGGATTGGAAAGCTCTTCAAAAACTGAGTTATTTACAAGGATCGTTATACAGTGGTACCTCAGGTTAAGTACTTTATTCGTTCTGGAGGTCCGTTCTTAACCTGAAGCACCGCTTTAGCTAATGGGGCCTCCTGCTGCTGCCACGCCGCCGGAGCACAATTTCTGTTCTCATCCTGAAGCAAAGTTCTTAACCCGAGGTACTATTTCTGGGTTAGCAGAGTCTGTAACCTGAAGCGTATGTAACCTGAAGCATATGTAACCTGAAGCGTATGTAATCCAAGGTACCAGTGTAATTAAAAATGGGACTATCTATAGAGTAAGCAAGGAAATTTCAAACCTCCACTGATGTTGACAGCTTAATGTTGGGAATAGCGTTCAAAATTAGCTGGGTGCCAGTCATGTTTTGCGACAGACAACTGGCCTTTTGCGAGGCAGTGATGTCCAGGCGTCCTTGTTTGGCACCTAACCTCTCCACCTGGCTGGCATGGCTGCAAGGCCAAACAAGTCAGTTGTTCTGCAGGGCACCAAAAGATATGCCTCTTTTGGTGCGACGCAAACCAGAGGATTACCTGCAGCCAGTCACCCCCACCCCAACTGGAGCCCCAATGGCTCCGTGGGTCCGGTTTTGTTGGGGCCGAGGGAGTGATTGTTGAGCCTACTCTTGAGGCTACTATTCTAAGAGCTTATGTAGCAACACTGGATGCTGACAAAGACATTACAGAAAAACATTACTCGCAGCTGGGGAGCTTAACAATATGCGAGGTGACCCTTCCTAACTTCCAAAATGCTTTTTGACCTTCTAGGGCAGAGGTCGTCAAACTAAGGCCCATGAGCCGGATATGGGCCACCGGGCTCAGTAATTCAGCTCGCAAACCTTGCGGAACCCGTTCGGTCAGTCCCCGCGCGAAACAGGCATGGCGCAGAGGCCATTCCGCATTGAGATTGACTTCCGCAACGCGGCACAGCTTCTGATTGGCTGTAGGAAGCTCTTGCAGCCAGTCAAAAGCCGCGGATGCCTCTGGGCGGGCAGTGCCGCTGGCATGGCTTCTGATTGGCTGCAGAAAGCTCCTGCAGCCAATCAGAAGCCACGGACGCCTCTGGGCGCCACCCCTTCCTTCCCGCTGAGGTGGCCGAGCAGGAAGGAAGCGGCAGCGGCGCGGAGGCTGCTTCCGCCACCCAGACCAGTGGCATCTGGGTACCACCTCTTCCTTCCCGCTAAGGTGGCCAAGCAGGAAGAAAGCCACTGGAGCGTGGAGGTTGCCTCCACCACCCAGGCCAGTGGCATGGGCTCTGTGCCCCGCCAAGACAGAGGACGCCAACACTGCCAAAGACGAGGCAGCATCAGCGGCGTGAGTGGCATAGGCGGGGAGGCTTTCAGGAGGGGGGATGCTTCGGGAGGCGATGGGTCCGGCCCCCCACAAGGTCTGAGGTACAGTGGACTGGCCCCCTCCTGAAAAGGTTTGCTGACCCCTGTTCCAGGGGGACAGTGGACATGATTTTCACTGCTCGACCGCAGAAACCCAGCATCGCTTGAGCTCTGCGAGTGCAGCTTTCGCCCAACTGAAGTGTAGAGTGTTTGAGAACCAGGACATTCACAGGGAAATCAAAATGCCTTTTACAAAGCTTTTTTTACAAAACAGTGGTACCTCGGTTTTTGAACAGCTTAGTTCACGAACTACTTGGAACCCTAACACTTCAAACCTGGAAATGAGTGATTTTTGGAATCCAAAGGTACTCCGTTCGGGGTGTGCACTTCGGTTTTGACTGCCACACTTCCGCTGCCTGCTCGCTTGCCGCCTGACCTGGGCTTCCCTTACTCAGGGCTGGCTGCATTGGCCACTGGTGACACCCGGAAGCAGAGAAGGGGGTTGTGGATGCTGCAGCCACGGTGGCAGCAGAGGGACCCAACGCCGGGGAAAGGCAGTAACATCCCTTGTCTGCTCAGCACGGCCTTCCCTCGCTCAACGCCAGCCGCAGCAGAAAATCCGGACGCAGAGAAGGGGGCCACTATGGCTGCAGCATCCACAACCCCTTTCTCCGCTGCCGTGGCCGGTGCTGAGCGAGGGAAGGCCGTGCCAAGCTGCCACACCCTGGTGCTGGGTCCCTCTGCTGCTGCCGGGACTGCAGCATCTACGACCCCCTTCTCCGCTTCTAGGTGTCGTCAGTGGCTGGTGCTGAGCGAGGAAAGGCCTTGCCACTGCAGCAACCACCCCCTCCTCCGGTACCTGATGTCGCCTGCGGCCGCCACTCCAGGCCCCAAAGCAACGCCAAGCGACTCAGCCCCAGAATTGAATGCCGCGGTATTCCCTCACAGGGCACGGGACGGCCAGCCCTGAAGAAGGGGGGAGGGGGGAGGGATCCAAAAAGGCTGGTCTGGGGGGCGGGGAAAGAAGCCAACTGGCTCCTCAGAGAACTTCTGTCTCCCTTTCCTTCCCCCCCCATTTGAACTCCCCCTTCACACACCCCGCTCACTTATCCCTCCAACGGCAATGGGGAAATCACTCACAGTTTTTTATACTGGGTAGCAGATTGAAGTTTGGTCTACTTCTTTCATTTTATGGATCAATGGTCTCGTTAGATAGCAAAATTCATGTTAAATTGCTATTTTAGGGGTTGTTTTTAATTGTCTGTAATGGATTAATCCATTTTGCATTACTTTATATGGGAAAGTGCGCCTTGGTTTTGGAACGCTTTGGTTTTGGAACAGACTTCCAGAACAGTTTGAGAACCAGGGTACCACTGTACTACAGCGGAACCTTGGTTCCCGAACAGCTCCATTGTTGTAAATTTTGGTTCCCAAACACCAAAAACCCAGAAGTAAATGCTTCCATTTTCAAATGTTTTTTGAACCTGAACATGAGACATGGCTTTCACTGAGTGCAAGAAGCTCTTGCAACAAATGGGAAGCCGCACCTCAGTTTTCAAACTTTTCGGAAGCCGAACGGGCTTCTGGAACGGATTTTGTTTAAGAACCGAGGTACCACTGTACCAACTGTACTGTATGCTTGTGAAGCATAGACCAGTTATAAACACCATCTCCAACTCATGAAAAGATTCCATCAATGGTATCGCCGAAAAATTCTACACATCACTTTGGAAGACAGGCGAACTAATGCCAGTGTACGGTCATACCTTGGGTTGAAGTAGCTTCAGGTTAAGCATTTTCAGGTTTCACTCCCCGGCGACCCGGAAATAACGGAGCGAGTTACTTCCAGGTTTTGGCGCTCGCGCATGTGCTCAAAATGACATCACGCACATGCGGAAGCGGTGAATCACAACCCGCTCACACAGGTTGCGTTCACTTCAGGATGCGAACGAGGCTCCGGAACGGATCCCGTTCGCATCCAGAGGTACCACTGTACTGGAATAATCACCAGTGTTGAAGCAATGATTCTTCCACATCAGCTTTGTTCGACTGGGCATGTCGTGTGGATGCCTGATTATTGTCTTCCAAAGCTACTCTATTCCCAACTCAAAAATGGAAAGCGAAATGCTGGTGGCAAAAACAAGAGGTTTAAAGACTATTTCAAGGCCAATCTTTAAAAATGTAGTATAAAGACCAACAACTTGGAAACACTGGCCTGCGAGCGCTTCAATTGTAGAAGAGCCTTTTAGCAAAGGTGTCAGTTACTTGAATTCAGGACAAAAGGGAAAAACATGCTAAGAGAAAGGCACACTTAGCAAACCCTCACCATGACCAACTCCAGCCCGGAAGGGGGGGGCTGCTAGGGGCACTTTGGAAGACAGCTGACAATACCATCTCTCCGGCTCACACGAGGTAATTAAGAGGCTAATGATGGGAGTAAATTAGCCTCCTGAATTTTCCCAGGGGATGGGAAAATGCTGCCTCGTCCGCGGTTGCCAATAAATCACCCCCGAGTTCGAAAGAAGGAGGGGGAGCACTGGACGGAAAGCCCTCGAGTGAGTTTTTGGATCTCCTGGACACTACTTCTAAGTGCGATCCTAGTTGCATTGCTCAAGATAAATAATTGGAGAAGAGTAAATGCACATGTTTCGAGTGAAGGAAAGGCTGTACTGATTGCTAATTAAATCAACCACTGAGAAGCTGAGTGACGGGTTGGACCGAACAGAAGCCTACATCAAAGAAGCACAGCTATGTCGGTATGTTGAAACAGATCGGAAAGGGGGGGAACTTTTCTCTTTTTCAATATGATTTACCTAACAACCCCCCCCAAAGAAGAACCGCCACATGATTGATAGCAAGTGAGATGGGAAAATAAACTGCGTGGAAACAAAATTATGAACCAAAGGCTTTGTTTTGCGGAAGATCTGGAAAGGAAACGAAAGGCTTTTGGTGTAACACAGTTCTAATTAGGAACCACCATTATGAGACAGACTTGGTTGCAAGATTTACAGTCAAAGGGGGAGAGGTGCTACAGTTTTGCTATCATATCTGAATTCCACGGCTGAATTGGCTACAACTCCCCTGGAAAGGCTGATTTATGGAGCAACTGGTCTGGGAAAGTTAATGAGCAGACGCTTAGACAGTAATTTATGGAAACTGTCGAAATGGTGCCTGCCGTTTGAATAGGACTTTTGGATCAGCGTGAAAACCCACACAGGACTATAATAATGTTTGCTTCAACTCGCTTGTGGAGATAACTCAAAGGTTACTAAGAAGAAATGATAACAACAAGAAGATTGGATGATGGGATTTGTAAAGGGTAACAATAAAGAGATGGAAAGATGGGACTTGTGAACATCAAAGCAGCAGAAATATGAGATGATTGGACCCTTTCTGAACTCGAAGCATGGGTACCCCCAACAAAAATTTAAAATTCGGTTAAATATTTGGAGTTTATTATGTATTGGTATAATTTGGAATTAATGTGATATGATTGGTTTGTTAATTAGAAATTAAATAAAAATTATTTTTTTTATTAAAAAAAAAGACCAACTCCAGCCCGGAAACTCATGTCCCCACTGTAGAAGGACGTGTGGATCCAGAACTGGCCTCCACAGTCACTTACGGACTCACTGTTAAGACTGTGTTCATGGAAGACAATCTTACTCGGCTATGAGTAATCACCAAAGAAGCTGACAGCTGCGCCTAAAGGCACAGCTAGGGGCACACAGGTGCCCGCCCTTGCACTGCTGGGGATGCTGCCAAGGAGCTGCGACTCAGAGCCCCATCAGAACTGCAAATGGAGAGCAGCTCATTCTGTTGCTCCAATTTCTTAAGCAGCTCTTGCAGATTCCGTACTTTGGTGTTGGTGGTGCCGCAGCTCCCAACAAGACTGTTACCCTTGGAGCTACAGCAGAATAAGCATAAATCACCTGATGGGTGAGGTAATCATTGGTGCTAGGTCAAACGAGCCAGTTGTGATGGTAACGGCACAGAACTCAAGCTCTATCTGTGTGATTAATGTGTGTCAGTTCTGGAGTCTTAGAGTTAGGGCAACAGGGAACCTCTAGTAATAATACCTTTATTGTCAATGTACAACCTGTGTACAGTGGTACCTCTGGATATGAATGGGATCCGTTCCGGAGCCCTGTTCACATCCAGAAGCGAATGCAACCCACGTCTGCGGGTCGTGATTCGCTGCTTCCGCGCGTGACATCATTTTGTGCATGTGCGAGCGGCAAAAACCAGAAGTAACGGAACGCGTTCCATTACTTCCAGGTCGTCGCGGAGCGCAACCTGAAAGCGCTCAACCTGAAGCACATTTAACCCGAGGTATGACTGTACAATGGGACGCGGGTGATGTTGTGGGTTAAAGCACAGAGCCTAGGACTTGCCGATCAGAAGGTCGGCAGTTCAAATCCCCGCGACGGGGTGAGCTCCCGTTGCTCGGTCCCTGCTCCTGTCAACCTAGCAATTCAAAAGCACATCAAAGTGCAAGTAGAGCAATAGGTACCGCTCCGGTGGGAACGTAAACGGCGTTTCCGTGCGCTGCTCTGGTTCGCCAGAAGCGGTTTAGTCATGCTGGCCACATGACCCGGAAGCTGTACGCCAGCTCCCTCGGCCAATAAAGCGAGATGAGCGCCGCAACCCCAGAGTCGGTAACGACTGGACCTAATAGTCAGGGGTCCCTTTACCTTATGACTGTACAATGAAATTAAACGAGCCTTCCCCCTCCCACAAACACTCAATCTCATTGCACTCTGTGTGCTTGTTGCACAACACACCACCTCACAAGTCAGTTTGCGCTATGTTACTTTCCCTTCAACAGCCTAACAGCCCACGGATAGAAGCTATTTTTTAGCCTGTTGGTACAGCTGATTATACTTCTATATCTCCTGCTCCAGGGTATAAGATTAAAGAGGTGATGGCCGGGGTGTGAGTCATCCCTGATCCCTCTGTATCACTATGTAAAAATATAACAGTTAAGGGTCCCTGGATGGTTAAGTGCAGTCAAATCCAACTATGGGGTTGCAGCACTCATCTCACTTTCAGGCCAAGGGAGCTGGCATTGGTCTGTAGACAAATTTCCGGGTCATATGGCCAGCATGACTAAACCGCTTCTGGCGCAAGGGAACACCGTGACGGAGGCCAGAGCTCATGGAAACGTTGTTTACCTTCCCACCACAGCGGTACATATTTATCTACTTGCACTGGAGTATTTTCAAACTGCTAGGTTGGCAGGAACTGGGAGCTCACCCCATCGCGGGGATTTGAACCACTAACCTTCTGATTGGCCAGCCCCAGAGACTCAGTGCTTTAGACCACAGCACCACCCACGTCTCTATGTATCCCTATATATTTGTGACAGAACTAGCCTGAAAGCTGGAACTTATTCTTTTTACCTTGGGAAAGACTGAAGAGAAGTCACCAGATTTTCCCGCACCACCCAACACCCCAGGTGTAAAACCGCGCCAAAAACCACAAATCAAACGAGGGGTAAAAGGGGTGAAACCCAATCCATCCCTTGGTACAAATGGGACTTACGAGCACCCACAAACGCTAGGGGTGTGAAGTCACACAACAGCTTGGGGTTCCGACTCCCATGAGGCTGGACAGTGGGAAAGACCTCTGTCCCACACCCATATTCTCTTTGACCCCGAAACACACTGCCCTCTGGCCTGCTATGCCTTGCAGAAGGCTGTGTGTGGAATGGTCTGTGGCAGTTGCCCCGCCGGAGGAGCCAGAGCGGCGGAGGACCGTGTGCCAACGGACCAGTTTTATACATCCTTTTCTTTCTTCCCTTCTTTCCCTCCCCCCCCCCCCACTTGCGGCCAGAGAGGTTGGTGGCGGCTGCCCTGCCAGGAAGGCTGGATCTATAGGCAGGGATGAGCCACATGCTGTTTGCCTGAGTCTTATTCCCCTCAGTCTATTGTTTTCTTTGGTTTTCCTCTCCCCCCACCCCAATTTCCTTTCCCCGTTTCCCCTTTCTTTTTTCTAAACCCAAGAGGGCTGGGTTCGCAGGTCAAGAAATGCTGTGCACCAGCTAATCAGCCCACTTGCCATCTCTCCCCTCAATGAAGTGCAAGAGTAGCAACCACCACTGACAGGCTCCTTGGCCCCCAGACCAGCTGAGGCCCAACCCGTGACAGCCGATTTGGGTGAAAATCATGTCCTTGACCCCACTGCCCAGCCCCAATAGAGGTCTAAGTCCTCTAAAAAAAATTATTTTTTTAAAAAAAATTTTTAACTTTTTTACACATGCATATGTGCACCCCCCTTTCCCCCATATATCTATATAGTGTTTTATCATTTTTAAATTATTATTAATACAGTGGACGCTCAGGTTGCAAACGTGATCCATGCGGGATGCACGTTCGCAACCCGCAGTGCCGCATCTGCGCACATGCGGGTTGCAATTCGGCACTTTTGTGCTTCTGCACATGCGCAACCGCCGAAACCCAGAAGTAACCCGTTCTGGTACCTCCGGGTTTTGGCGGGTCCATAACCCCAAAAAAACGCAACCTGAAGCGCCTGCAACCCGAGGTATGACTGTATTCTGCTGGGAGCCGCCCAGAGTGGCTAGGGAAACCCAGCCAGATGGCCAAGGTATAAATTATTGTTATCGTTGTTATTTTGTGCGTGTGTAATTTGCTCCCGCCACCCTCTCTGGTCCCACCCCGTCTGTGTCATGTATGATTACCTGTTGATTCCTTTATGTGTCTTGTTTGTCGGTTGGTATGTTTGTTTGCCTGTCCCTCACTTGACTACCATACGTGATGCAGCCACTGCGCCCCAGGCGAAGTCCACGAACCAACCAGCCTACTCCTGGAAAAAGCCACCCAAGGGAAGAAAGAGCAGCATATAGGCAGACAGAGAAAAAACTATAGTGGACCCTCGGGTTACGTTACCTTCGGGTAATATAAACTTTGGGTTGTGAATGTGGCAAAACCGGATGTGTTTGCCACTTGCACATGCGCAGAACAGGCACCTCGGTTACAGATTCCGTTTGTAACCGGGGGTACCACTGTACACAAAACCAACACCAGTAATCAAGATGTCTGGGAATCACAGCCCAAACATGACAAAAATATTTGCCTGATCCAAATGCTCTGAGAAAGCCACCAATCAATACAGCAAGGAAACCCTCTGGGACTGTCTCACACGAGGAAGATTCCCTTCCATCAGATGAGCCAATACAGGCAACTCCCCATTTTAGGCAATTATGTGTATGCGGGGGGTGGTGGGGTGACCCCACATCAATGGGTCTAGAGCCTGCCCATCCCTGTTGTAGCTGAGTGGTTTGAACCACAAACTTGAAACAACTTCTAGAGATGCTACAGCAGTACATGAGGAATGAAGATCAGCTTCAAAGGCCAGCCAGGAAATGCTTACTCTATAAAAGCAAGCAGCTTTTCAAGATATTTATTAACCGTCCAGAACCCAAAATCTTTGAAGAAAGGATCTGCTATCCCTGAAACAAGAGCCAAGATTGTGCCAAACACTGAAAAAACAAAATGATAACTTAAACCTGATTTGTAAGAGGATAGGAAAAACAAATTAAATTCCAGTGTGCTCTGCCTATTAATCAGCCTGGCGTACAGCTGAATACTTGAGATAAGAGGGATTACAAAAGTCCACAAAAGGCAGCAATGTTTCTTTTTCCCCTTAATCAGAGTTATCACTTGTATTCCTTGCCAAGAGCCCAAAGGCAGGAGCTTGCCAGAAAGCAACTTGCTCTGAGTCAGCCAGTCACAAAATGGCCGCTCACTAAGTCAGTTGCAAAATGGCCGCTCACTAATCAAGGCACAATTATGTTCTGAAGCCTTATGAGACTCTAGCTATCTGCATACAGAACGCAACAAGCTTTCATCAAAGTACCAAATCCTCAGGGGTTTGAACTGCAAGCCACAAATGTTTTAAAATAAACATTTTAAGTAAATTTAACACTGAAAACAAATGCTCCAGGGAAACATCAGGAGGAAAAAAAATATTATATAGAGTTTGATGGGGATTGAATTTTGGAGTTTCTACATGCAAAGTGTCTACTCTACCACTGAATGGCCTTTGATTTAGAAAAACCTTCAATTTTGCAGGCAGTTCAATGCTAACCACATTGCTTAAACAACCAGTTAATTCAAAAGGACTAAACTTGCCTTTTATAGCACATGCTTAGCTACATTCCCTAAAAAACAAAATGCACACAGGCCCAGGCAGCGGCATAGCATGGGGGGGGGGGGAGGGCTGCGCAGCCCTGGGCACATTTTTTAGAGGGGGCAAATCCAGGCACGCACCCCAGGCTCCCTCACTGGGCCTGGCTCCAGCGCGCAACTCGCACCCACCCGCAGCAGCTCCGGTCCTGGGTCAGATCCAGATCTGACCCGAGAGGCGGAAAGAAGGAGGAGAATCACGGTACTACTTCCACCCCCATCCTCAGCTGGGCAGTGCCATGCGAATATGCTGCGGAGGCAGCATTCTCACACCCAGCCGCGTTGGGCACAGCGGGCTCTTTCTGCACCCCTGGGGGGGAGTGTATCCGGTGTGCCAGACCCAGACTATCTGAAAGACCGTATTCTCCCTTATAAACCTGTGGAAACTCAGGACGCCTTTCTCCCAGTTCCACCACCCTTACAGACAGGGGCAGGCAGATCCATTTTGCCACTTGTGATGAAACGGGAATTGCCATCTCCTTTGCTTGCCCCACCGCTGCACCCCAGCTCTCACTGAACTTGGCAGGAGCCAGAGCACTCATCTGTGTCGCTCAGCTTCTCCGCGGGGGTGGGGGGAGCAATGTTGCACGCTGGAACACCTCCCTCTCAGCAGCCCATGTGCTGCCTGGGGTGGGCACTTCACCTCGTCTCATGAACGGGTGAGCTCTGCTTAACGGCACACTTTGTGGGGACACAGGATGCTTTCAGACTTTGGAGCGCCCTTCTTCGAGAAGGTAGACTGGCTCCCTCCTTTTTGTCCTTCCGCCCGCAAGCGAGGACTGTTTTATTCCAACAAGCCGTTAGGAATGAACTGGTTTTTTAAGGAAAGGGCTTTTAATAGTGCTGTGCTGTTTTTAGTATCTTTATGTTGCTAGATTCGTTTTTAATAAAGCCATACCTCACGTTGCGTCCGCTTCAGGTTGCTTTTTTTTGGGCTGCAGACTGCCGAAACCCGGAAGTACCGGAACGAGTTACTTCTGGGTTTGGGCAGTCACGCATGCACTGAATCGCAAAATCGCGCTTTGCGCATGCGCAGAAGCGCCGAATTGCAACCCGCGTATGCGCAGACGTGGGTTGCAAACGCTGTCGGTTGCGAGCGTGCATCCCGTACGGATCACGTTCGCAACCCGATTATCTACTGTACTCTTTTGATTCCATAAGAGACTTAGCCCAAATTAAAACGGCACAGATAAAAGACAAAAAGCTAAAACTCGTAAAAGAACATGATTTACAGTGGTACCTCAGGATGCGAACGGGATCCGTTCTGGAGCCCCGTTCGCATACTGAACGGAACATAAGACGCAACGGCGCATTTCACCCACCGCTTCCGCGCATGACGTCATTTTGACCGTCTGTGCATGCGCGAGCAGCGAAACCCAGAAGTAACGCGCTCCGTTACTTCCGGGTCACTGCAGAGCGCAACCCGGAAATACTTAGGTATGACTGTAGGCCACATGACTCGGAAGCTGTACGCCAGCTCCCTCGGCCAATAAAGCGAGATGAGCGCTGCAACCCCAGAGTCGGTCACGACTGCACCTAATGGTCAGGGGTCTCCTTTACCCTTTACCTATGACTGTAGTTACTTTTTACCTATGATCTTTTACGAGTTTTTAGCTTTTTTTAAAATCTGTGCAAGCATTGTATAAGGTAAAGGGACCCCTGACCATTAGGTTCAGTCGTGACTGACTCTCGGGTTGCGGCGCTCATCTCGCTTTATTGGCTGAGGGAGCCAGCGTACAGCTTCCTGGTCATGTGGCCAGCATGACTAAGTCACTTCTGGCGAACCAGAGCAGCGCATGGAGACACCGCACCTTCCCGCCGGAGTGGTACCTATTTATTTACTTGCACTTTGACGTGCTTTCGAACTGCTAGGTGGGCAGGAGCTGGGACCGAGCCATGGGAGCTCACCCCGTTGCGGGGATTCGAACCGCCGACCTTCCGATCGGCAAGTCTGAGACTCTGTGGTTTAACCCACAGCGCCACCCACGTCCCATTGTACAGTCATACCTCGGGTTAAATGTGCTTCAGGTTGAGCGCTTTCGGGTTGCGCTCCGCAGCGACCCGAAAGTAACGGAACGCGTTACTTCCGGGTTTTGCCGCTCACACATGCGCAGAACGTCAAAATGACGTCACACGCATGTGCGGAAGCGGCAAATCACGACCCGCAGACACAGGTTGTGTTCGCTTCTGGATGTGAACGGGGCTCCGGAATGGATCCCGTTCATATCCAGAGGTACCACTGTACACTGGTTGTACACTGACACTAAAGGTATTATTATTACTACTATCATCGTATTATTATTGCAATGATCTTTTACGAGTTTTTAGGTTTTTCCTTTTATCTGTGCAATTATTGTATACTAATGATCTTTTACGAGTTTTTAGCTTTCTGTATTTTATCTGTGCCGTTTTAATTTGTGTTATGTCTCCTCGAGTCCCGGGGTGCGGGTAAAAGCGGGATATAAATACAGTATGTTTAACATTCTCCTGTGGGTATGCTTAGGATTGCAAACTTAGCTATGGATATGAATTGCCATCTTTTACTTGTTTACTCAGAAGTAAGTCTTAAGAGCCCTGGCTCACCTAGTCCAGCATCCTGGTTCTCAAGCTCCTGATATTTAGGAGGAACCTCGGTTGGTTAGAGCATGATGTTGATGACGCCATTTGCAGGTTTGATCCCTCACATAACCGAGCCCCTCAGATGCAAGCTTGCAAAGAACAGCCTTCAAGTTCCTATTCAAGTGTTTAATATGATGATCACTACTAATACGAGTTGTAGTAGTAATAATAATGTTTATTACCTGCCCTTCGCCAGATAGTCCCAGGGCGGCTTACAACAAATATGAATTACAGCATAGCGAAGGTTCCAGAAAATTAGGTCAGCCTTCGCACGGCAGTGTCACGTGGGTGGCAGTTTCCTTCCTAAAAAAAAAATCCGCACCCCGCGCGCGCCATTTTATGTGCTCCCAAAGCTCTCTACTCCTTTAGCGTAGCTGTTTCTAAAAGGGAAATCGCGAGAAACAAATTAGTATGGCAAGTGAGCGCCTTTCTTTCCGCAAAGGAAAATCCTCTGGGGTTTTTCCGCAAAGGAAAAAACCCAAAGCAATATAAAATCCTATTTTTACCCGCCCTCCCGCGCCTTCTCCGAGAGACACACACACAAAGAAACAAGGGGACCGATTCAGCCACATAAAAAGAAAAAGGCTTGTCGGTTTCAGCGGCAAAGATCTGAGCGCCTTCAAATCGTTTTCGCGTTAAAATCGATGGGATCCTAAAGCCCGTTTGGCCCAACCTCCCTCCCTCCTTCCTCGCATCTCAAAACTACTGGCGATCTTGCATTTTTCCGGGAGGGGTAGCGCCCTGTTAAATCTATTTTTATTTTTTAAAATAGTATTTTATTTTATTTTATTTTAAATAAAGACTGCGCAAAATAAAGAGGGGGCAAATGCTCCATGAAACCAGGCTGAAGCCGCTCGAGTCTTGCATTGTTAAGTCTCCCCAGCCGTTTCCCCGCAGCCCGCCTAAAAAAAATGACCCCCAAAAAGTCTTACTTGGTCGCCTCCGGAGGAGATTCCCAGGCTCGCGATTTCACCAGGTTTCTAGCCCGACAGCGTCTTGCAAACTCGCGCCTTTATGGAGGGGGGGGAAACAGACTTCTCGTCTAGCTAGCCGGAATTAAAAAGACCCTCCCATCTTGCATCTCGAAATACATAATATGTAAAAGACTTGGCGACGTTCCCAGGCACGCCGGTCTGCCTTCGCCCGGAGCATGTTGGGAATTGTAGTGCCGCCCAGCGCCAACTACGGGACGGCGAAGGGGCCAAACTTCCGGAGCCCAAGGAGGAGGAGACGGCAGAATCATAGAATTGTAGTGCTGAAAGGGACCGCAATCTAGTGACATCTGCTGAACAGGTACAGAAATCGAAACCATGTGGAAACCATGCTCTTTTAATATTTTATTTATGCGCAAGTACACAAACACATGGGTGTTTGTGTTTGTTTGTTTGTTTGTTTGTTTGTTTAAATAAAACAGCATGTGGCAAATATGAATTAAGCCATATTCCAGATTTATTTCAAAGCAGAACATAAGTGCTGCCAGTATAATAGAAAGCCGTTGGTGGAAGTAACTGTGTGGGGTAATGGTTCATATTGGGCTAGGGTGGACTGACTCAGCAATAAACTGAAAGCCACCCACCCACCGCAATATCCCAAAGACAAACTTTTAGGCTGGGAAAATTCTTGATAGAAAATGATGAGAAGTGTTATAAAATTGGGAGTATGGTGATAATATCGGGAGCTCCATAGAAAAGATAGGAATGTTACAAAAGAAGGCAAGGTTTGTCAGATTTGCCAATTCCTCTCTTCCCACCTTATGGTGGTGGTGGTCTTCTTCTTATAGAATTCCCTCTGAGCTCAGGCAGACTTCAACAGGGATGACATTTCAACATCTATTCAAACATACTACTGTAATTATCCAGTGCCCTTGCTGGTGTTGCTGGAGATTGTTATGATCTGAACTCTGGGTTATTATCTGCATCTTTTCATTTTTGTTGGTGATTTTTAACATTAATGTTACATTACTTCTTCGCCACAGCGCATTGAGGGATGGCCCCCAACTTGGACAGCTTTAAAAGCTTAGACAAATTCACTGAGGTAAAAGGCTATCAGTGGCTACCAGCCATGGTGGCTATGCTCTGCCTCTGCTGTTGGAGGCAGTGATGCTTCTGAATATTATTATTATTATTATACTAGCTGGAAACAGCAGGAAGGGAGAGGGCTCTTCAGAGGATCTGTGATCGTAAGCCCTTGAGGATTTTATAACATAGTACAGTGGTACCTCTAGATGCGAATGGGATCTATTCTGGAGCCCCGTTTGCATCTAGAAGCAAACGTAACCTGTGTCCACGCGTCTGCGCGTGCACGGGTCACATTTCGGTGCTTCTGCGCATGCGTGTGATGTCATTTTGAGTGTCTGTGCATGCGCAAACGGCGAAACCAGGAAGTAACGTGCTCCGTTACTTCCGGGTTGCCACGGAGTGCAACTTGAACGCGCTCATCTCAAAGCACATTCAACCCGAGGTATGACTGTAAAAGTAATTGTAGTAAAAATAAAAGTCTTCACATGAGAAGAGAAGACTCCCTGGAAAAGACCCTGACGTTGGGAAAGATGGAGGGCACAAGGAGAAGGGGACGACAGAGGACGAGATGGTTGGATAGTGTTCTCGAAGCTACCAGCATGAGTCTGACCAAACTGCAGGAGGTAGTGGAAGACAGGAGTGCCTGGAGTGCTCTAGTCCATGGGGTCACAAAGAGTCGGACACAACTAAACGACTAAACAACAACAACAAAAAGTGATTGATTTACCTATGCATTGCTTCCCATAAAATTTAACAGTAACATTACGCATTTTTTAGGGGTGGGCTGCACGCCTGAGGCCCCTTTTAAATCCTGGGTCCACCATGGATTCAATTCCTGGAATAGCCAGGCTAGTTTCCTGGTGAGGTAATGGCCCTCTAAACATGGGCCTTTAAGGTAACAAAGGAAATGGCTCTGTGCTAGATTGCAAACGGGTGTGGTCTGCTCCCTTACCTGGTTGATGGTGCAAAAGACAAAGGCCAGAGCTGAGTGCGACAGCTGGGCTAAAAGCAGGCAGAAGCCTGATATTGAGATCTATGCTTCATCCCATAACCTTCTAAAATGTGGGGTTTGGGGGGTACTGGGTTTTTGTTTTTATTTTGATTACCGTATTTTTCACTCCATAGGGTGCACCTGACCATAGGGCGCATCTAGTTTTCAGAGGGGGAAATCAAGGAAAAAAATATGATCCCCCCCCCCCCAGCTCTGGGAGCAGCAGACAGACTGCAGACAGCCTGTGCGCTTCTCCCAGACCTTCTCCCTGCTTTTGCGGGAGGTGGGGGAATTTCCCCATCTCCTGCAAAAGCCCACAGGAGCCATGCACCCTTTAAGGAGCGCACGGCTCCTGCGGGCTTTTCTGTGAGGAGGGAGAAGGGACTTACACGGCCAGTCAGTCCCTTGTCCCTTCTTGGGGAAAAGCCCCCAAGAGCGGTGCGCTCTTTAAAGGGTGCGCGGCTCCTGCAGACTTTTCTATGAGGTGGGGGAATTCCCCTACCTCCCACAGAAGCCTGCAGAAGTCGCGCGCTCTTTAAAGGGGCTGCGCGGCTTCTGCTGGCTTTTCTAGGAGGTGAGGGAAGGGACTGATGCAGCCAGTCAGTGCCTTCTCCCTCCTGGGGAAAAGCCTGCAAGAGCCACATGGAGCTTGTGTGCGGGGGCTTTTCCCGCCTGCCTCCCCACTGCATTCACTCCATAGGACGCACAAACATTTTCCCTTGCTTTTTAGGAGGGAAAAAGTGCGTCCTATAGAGCGAAAAATACGGTATATATTTTGTGGTTTTGATTTTGTTCTGAGAGCCGCCTTGAGACCTCCAGGTATAGGGCAGTATATAAATAATAATAATAATAATAATAATAATAATAATAATGTGTTTGATGCCAAGGCTTTGATTATAGGAGAAGCAAGACCTTCTGGGGTGTTCATACTGTGAGCTCCTCCACCAAAAACCACAGATCATAAAGAAACCACAGTGTTCACTGCCCCCTGGCTAGGTATGTTCCTGGAAACCCTAGGATCTATAACCACTCAGAGATTGGGGTCCATTCACAGCCAAGTCCCTTTACGCACCAGCAACAATGAGTGACACCCAGCTAGAGATGGCAAGGCCTGGGGAAACCCCCGGAGAAATGAGGGGGGGAAACCAGGTTATTTCCATTTTCCCCCCAAAGCTGATTTTCCTGAAAAATTGGGGGGGGGGGGAAATAGTTTGATATAGTTTGAATGTTCCACACACTATTTCCCCCCTCAATTTTTCCTTAAAAAAATGGCTTTATAAAAAAACTGAAAAAAACGTCCGCCCCCCCCCCCATTTTTCCATTTTTTGCACACACACTTTGGAGCTCCCTGCAGACTGACACCAGGCAGGTGCTCTCAGTGTACTCTTTCTGGCAACTGCTCAAAACATTTTTGTTAGGGCCAGCCCATCTGAACACGTAGAAGCTGCATGCGATTTACATCTTTTTAACCACTGCTGACTTTTAAATACCTGCTTTTAACTGTGTTTCATCAATCATTTTAATATTCTGTTGTATATTTTTGTAAACTGTTGAGAAAGCTCTCTTACCATCATGCAGTTTATAATATATAATAACAAATTCAATTAAAAAACACACACACTCCTTTTCTGTCATAAATGTAGGGGTTGCTCGTGCGCAAGTTGGTGCCACTCCTGGCTAGGTTGCCTTGTTAAACCTTTTCTGTCTGGACAGCCCTACACTTCGTGGCTGTTCAGTCGCTAGCAGAATCCGTCAGTGGGCATTTCTTAAACCTTTTCCAGCATAAAAGTTGTTTGACTCCAAGTCTCCTCCTACTCTCCCTGCGCGGAAGTCTTCTGCGCAGGGAGGGCGTGGGTAGTGGAGGACCCGTGCTCTCCTCGCCGATCTCTGGCGAGGAGTCCTGGAGCCCCCTCGCCGATTCCCCCATCTGCCCCCCTTTATCCCTGGTGTTACGCTGATTTCCTTCCCCAGCTGGTGAGCTGCCTCTCCCCCTGCTGGGCCCTTCTCCAGCATCACTTGAGAGCCTAGCCTCCGCCTCTGGCTCCGATGTCAGTTCCCTGACATCCACCTCCCCCCCAGGACCCCCGTCCCCCCCGGCCCGACCGGTTGATGCAACATCGTCCCGTTCCGCGGCCGACGATGCGGGGGATCCCCGGAACGAGCTGTCGCCCTCCTCTGAGGATTCAAAACCCGCGTCCCACCCGCTCCGAACCCCCCCCGCGCGGTGGGCCTCCCAGTCTGATTCTTCTTCCTCCGAAGCCTCTCCTCCCTCCTCTTCGGAGGCAGAAAAACCCACAAAATCCTCCTCATCGTCTGTGGTTCCAAATTGCTCCTCCCAGAATCTCGCTAGTGGTTTGGGCTTGTCTGGGAACAGGCTGTGGAATTCCTCCACAAGATACCCGTCATTGATTGCCTCCGCGGGAACCCACGTGTTTTCCGACCCGGGTTCTCCCTCCCAAGCTACCAGGTACTCCACCTGGCGCCCTCGCCACCTTGAATCGAGTATTTCCGTGGCCCGGTTGTGGTGTTCCCTCTCCTCTATCTGCGGGTGTGTGGTGACTTCACCTTCCCGCCCCGGGACTCCCCGCCCCTCCCTGTACGGTGAGAGTAGTGACGTATGGAACACCGGGTGTATCTTCATGCTGTCAGGCAACTTGAGCTTGAATGCCACGGGGTTCACCTGCTGTGTTACCTCAAACGGCCCCAGCTGCCTTGGCTGCAACTTCTTGCACCCCCCCTTAAAGGGTAACCCTTGGGTTGACAACCATACCCGGTCCCCCACCCGTATGGTCTCCCCTTCCCTACGGTGCTTGTCTGCCTGCCTCTTGTAAATTTCCTTGGCCCGTTCTAAGTTCATCTTAAGTTGCTGGTGCAGGGCCTCCATTTCTTCCACAAACTGCTCTGCCGCAGGTACGCTCCACCCTTCCTCCCCACTCCCCGGGAAGGCCCTGGGGTGACACCCATAATTGGCCATGAACGGGCTCATTCCCGTGGACACATG